ACCCCTAACCCCTAACCCCTAACCCCTAACCCCTAACCCTTCAAGGAGCACTACAACCAGGCCACTCTGTGAGTCTATAACATACTATCCTTGTTCGCCTTGCGTACACGTACACCTCGAGACTGACCATATCCGACCTGGTTACGACAGCTTCTACAATTCGCTCTCCGACGTCGAGAAGAAGCACTTTGTCTCGGCCGTCCAGTTCGAGCTTGGAAAATGTGACGAGGCCGAAGTCCAACAGCGGATCATCGACAAGTACAACATCATCGACCACGACCTTGCCGTCCAGATCGGGTCGGCCTTTGGCGGGTTGACCGTCCCCGACGAGGTCCGAAAGAACCACGGACAGAAGAGTGAATTCTTGTCCCAGGTTACTGGAACTAACCAGGTCTTCACGTGAGTGCCCCGTCGGAGATTGCGAATACTATGGTCTTGAGCGCATTGAAGCTGATGACGGTTTGTGGGACGCTCATAGTGCCAAGGGTCGACAGGTCGGAATCTACATCTTGCCCGGTTTCAACTCGGCCGTTGTGACCGAGCTCAAGACCGCCTTTACGGCTGCTGGTATCATCCCTATGGTACGTACAGACACAGGTCGACAAGGTTGTCTGCTCTCAGCTTCTACCCAGACTAACACCTCATTTTCACTCTGTGCAGATCGTCGGACCTGTCAAGGGATCCGTCACGTCCGGAGGGGTCACCTTCCAGACCCAGTTCACCTTCGAGACCTGCCGATCGACTCACTTTGACGGACTGATCTTTGTCGGTCCTCAGGACGAGAACAACACCGAGTACACCGAGACTCTTCGAAAGCAGGGTCGAATCAAGCACGCCGCCATCGAGGGTTTCTTCCACCAAAAGCCCTTGCTCGCTCACGGCAAGTGTATCCCCTGGATGGCCGATCTGGCGCTTCCCGGCGAGTTCTCGCCCAGCGTCAAGACGGGCGAAGAGATCCAGACGGAGAAGGGTGTCATCTTCGTCCCCTCGGCCGGGTTCGGCGTCGAGATGATCAAGCAGTGGACGGACCTCTTGGCCAAGCACCGAGTATGGGACAGGGAGGTTGAGCATATCGCTGCTTAAGGCTCGGGGAGGGTGATGGAACGTTATTCCTGTAGTCAAGGTTTTTTTGCGGGTTTCAGCTGTAGCATATAGGGCTCTGTACCGATACAAAGGTGGATTCAAATGATGATCTATGACATGGGTCGATCCTCGAGAGAGACGGCGAACAGCAGTTATGGACCGTCGTCGATCGCCGTTTCGAACCATACGCTTATGCTCTCGCCATCATCGACCTACTTTTACTACTTACTTGACATGACATCGAGATCTTCGAGGGAGGGGATTTAACAAGGGTGAGGTGGCTGTCAAGTAAGGAAACGTTCTGGATGTCAACGGAGCTTCCCTCGATGGGGAGCGGTCGACTCGGGTACGCGTTGAGTTGGATCGCCGAGAACGAGGTGGACGGCGAGGTCTGCATCGCTGCCTGGAGGCTGTACAAGGTCACTTTGTACAGGGTCACTTCCAGGGTTTGATAGCTAGAATCCATGTAGCTCGGCCGACGATATCTGTTTCATGCAGTGCTACGACCTCCACAATTGACCATTTTGCCTGTCCATCTCGTTGCAACCTTCCACATCAATAGCAACTACGACTGGCCACTATCGACTACTGGCCACTGGTAACCCAGCCTCCGTCTTTCTTAGTCTATGTTCCTATCCCTGTCTACGTCTACCATACGGATATCGATGGCATCTATACTCCGCTCGCCATATACGACCCGAACGTAGTCGTCAATGCATCGTCAATGAACATCCGCATTACGAGCAACTTTACTTCGATCTTCATCACCCTCGAAAGGATAGTTGAGATCAAAATCATAGCCATAGTCACCGCTACCGATAACGTCAGCCCTGATTCGGGATGGGAAGACAGGCGGAAATGTCCTGTGGGGTCGACGCTGGGTAACTCATCCAGCGCTGCTGCGATATCCTCAATTTTGGGCTCCGCCTAGAGCTAGCGGCCTCCGCCTTGTCCGTTGGCTCTCGCAGAGGGTCGATCAATTGCAACTTACAATACATACTCCTTGTAAGCAATTGAAGCATCGGTCTATCATCACCTGCGCTGCGCGTGCGCTGAAACGCAAGACGCAACGCGCGCGAACTAGGGGAAAGGGATTGCCCCGTCTCCCTGACCTCTGTTTAGTCTGTCTTTCTTGTACAACATTCCAAGTCGACAGATATACATGACTCTCTTCAGCGTAACATCTCTGCTCCGAGGGGGCCGGCTTGCTTTGCGCATAAAGGGTTTCTCCCGAGCTTGCATCTTGCGACGTCTGCTCTTGGGGAGCGTGTTTCCATACAGATAAGCCGCAAAATGTCGCAAACACGAGTCTCAATGTGTGCTATCTGTCAGCTTTTGTATTACAAAACCGCTCCGCAACAGGTAATAAAACTCTGCCTGAGCTGAAAAGAAATCTGAGTTACAAACGTGATCGTTATGACATAGCATAAAGACGATCGACTTCTGATTTGGCTGCGGGAACTGAACCTGCTGATATACGGGTAGACGGTCGCACATGCACGGTCGAAGCTTGGGGAAGGTTGGTTATCCGAGGAGCCGTCGAATCATCCTCGAGGATAGTATCGAAGCGAGCTCTTTCGCCGATAATCAGCTGAATCCGTGCTATCTGTTGTCGGATGGGCTGTCTGATGATCACGATGCTGCTGTATCGGCGGCAGAGCTTGCTTGAACAGCTTTGACCCGCGGTCGAGTCCGACGAATCGGGCAAAGAAGAGATAAAGGCAAATATGCCATCCGAGCGAGTCATGAACCCCTAAGTAATTAATAATACAATTATGGAAAAATAGCATCTAAAGCGAGAATTTATGAGGGCGTCTGGCGCCGTAGTCTATGTCGTCTGATTGTCCATACATATTATGCGAGTCGGCAGTTTTTTCCTCTTCATCCGATTTGTTATTCTCGTGACGGGATCCCCATCTATCTATAGTCGGTACTTCTGGAGCTTGATGGCTTCGACCTGGGATCGGACGCATCGGTCGCCAGCGGCATCGCTGACAGCGACATAACCAGGGTCGCAAGACCGAACGGTGCATCGACCGGCATTGCATCCAACAGAAGCGGCGTGACTGATAGCGGTGCAGTCCTGAGCGGTGCTGTTGGCGGCGTTTCCAAAGTCGAAGGGGTCGGGGGTAGCACAACCTCCACCTGTTTTACTCGCGACTGATTAGCATCGATGTCGGGAACGGATGCTTTAGGACGTCGACATACAGTGCTCGAGGTCGCTACTGGTATTGACGCATTCATAGAGAGGGTTCTTCATGGTTCCCCCGACAAAGCACTTTTCCGAGCCTAGAACGGCGACAGGTCAGACGCGTGGGCGCGGGTCAGCAAGGTTCATAAAGGCAGCGGTTTACTCTCACAAACTTACCGGCAGCGCAACCAGTGTCTCGCTTCCAAACGTGAGAACCGTAGTGATCGTAGTGACCAGTCTGAGTAGCGGGCTTCTGGGGCTTTCCCGAGACGCAGACTTCTCCCTTCATCAGACAATTGTTTCCGCACCAGGCCTCACAGGCTGTACATGTAAAAAACATCGAATTCAGTCAAGGTGGCTCTCTTATATAAGGTTGACGACCGAATACTCACCTTGCTCACAACATCCTCCGTGCCATTCGATGATGTCCGGTCGGTATTTAGCTGGAACCACACACTTGTTCTCGATCCAAAGCTGATACCATAATAAATAAATAAAAGATCAGCCTCTTGACCCCGACCTCACTGATCACGACCCTATCGACTCACAGTTCGTTTCTCCAACCCGTTACTCCGGACAACCTCGCTGACATCCCGCTTCCCACCGACCTTCCCGTAATAAGGCACACACTTGCAGACCGAGCTCAAGACGAGGTTATCCTCGAAACACAACCAAAACGGGATGGAGAGGTCGACGCCCCAGACGTGGTTAGGGTCGAGGGTGTCCAAGGTGGGAGTGGGCGAAGCGGTGGCGGAAGGAAGGACGGTAGCTACCAATGCGGCGATGGAGAGGGTCTTGGCGAAAGAGAACATTCTGATATTGTAGCGATTATCGATGGTTGGAAGTGGTGTGATGTGATGATTCGAGGACGAGGTCAAGGGTTCCACAGAGGATAGATGAGGGCTAGGAGAGATTGTTTATGTTTAGAGGACTAGGGCGAGAAGAGGAAGATAATTTGATGTGTGAAAAGAGTACGATTCGACGGGAAATATACAACCTCTTCGAAGCTGGGATGCCATGGTTATATACCCTGCCCGCTGCCTGGGTCGTAGACCCCCAAGACAAAAGCACTGGAAAAGTGAGCTTGCATCGACCACGTATACCCTTACCCTCGATCTTGGCCAGCCACAGGGAGTGATCAATCGGTCGGGAGGTCGACCCCATTGTCCTCGACTTGTAGTTAGCGTCGTGATATTCCACCTGACGACCCGGCGTCACACTACGCCACTTGCGAACGGGAGTCGGGAAGGGCCTGGGTGAAAAAGAATCGTCTACCAGGAGGAGACCGAGCCGGAACGTCGTCGTCCCCAAGGTTTGCTGTGGATCCCGGTACATGTCGATGAGAATCTTTTCCTCTCCCTTCTGCCGTTCCCGGTCTTGCCTGGATATGCTGCTTGTTCGCCAAATGATGACCTAGTGACGGGCGCGAGTGCGCGACGAGGAGGATATTGCGAACGGGTACTGGTACCAGGAGGCGTCGCCACGGAAAAGCCACCACGGGACTCGGGAAAATTACCAGCGGAAGCGAGTTGTCTCGGATGATGGCGGATGCTATTTACATCCGTGAGACGCCGCTTGGCTCTCGCTCCCTTGCCCTCACGCGTGATCATTACGTCAGCACTGACGTTTGTTGGAATGAAACGCGGGCGCTAGGCCTCGATCGGAAGATGTTCGACGGGAAGCGGGTCGGGAAGGGCGTTTCATACATCCCGGCGGCATGGTCGATATATCGTATATCGCACACGTTCGCTACTGGACGACGTCGCCGATACCGACCTTTTCGTCTATCCATCGCCGAGTCGCAGGTCGAAGCCAAGCCATTGCTCAGGACCGACGGGCGTATATCCATATCTGCTGTGCGTTCGAGGCCGAGCCTAGCTTCCTACTGAGGGCCCGATCGTCAGTTCTAGCTAGCTAAAAGATAGATGGTTGCGGAAGCGAATTTGCAATGGTATAGCCCATCGGACCAGCCATCTCACAAAATCTGCCGGAATTCACCGAAATCCCCGACAATCTGGGGTGATCTCGAGTTCTATCCTGCTACTATGCCGTAAAACTATCTGCAACAATCTGTGCTAGCAAATATTCTAGCCCCTATCGAGCCGCTTTTTTGACGCACGTGGCGGAGAGCGGTCGACGGTCGACTGCAGACTGCCGAATTCTGCAGAATTCGGCACCGACCTGATCAACTCCAGATACTATGTTGTATGTTGTACTACTGTCTATGATCGCTATGCCGAATTTGAATCGTTGAGCGGATCATCAACCATGTCTGAATACCATCACCATCCTCATCAGCAGCAGCAGCAGCAACAGCAACAACATGTGCAACGGGATTGGAGTCAGCACGAGAGGGAGTACTACGCCTCTCTGTCTGATCTGAGGACGTTTCAGCAACCTCTCCCTCATCCAAATCATCACCACGGCCAGTATCCGTACCCTTCACCAATCGGCGAAGGTCCTCGAGGTTACCTCGCAGGCCCTGCAGGCACCTTGGTGGCTCCAAGCACCCAAGGACACCCGCAGACTGCCGAATTCGGCGGAACTCGGGACATGAGTCCATTGGACTCTCCCCTCTTGACTTCGATCAACGCTTTACCTAGCCTGCCCGCCGCTCCTGCTATCCCTCCGGCCCAGGCTGCAACTCCTACCTCTGCTCCTGGCAACCCTCCTGCCAACCAGAACGTTCGCTGGTATGAGTGGATGGAGGATCTCCTTGCCGACCTCCTTGTTGCGGAGGTGAAGGTCACACGCAACAAGGTCACCATGGGCATGCCCGTATTCTCCAAGATTGCCAACCTGATCAATGAAGCGATGGACGCTCGAACCGACCCCACGCCCAATGGGAGATTGGATGGTATCAAAGTTAAGAACAAGACAGGAATCTTGACGGCAGAATTCTACAAGCCTCTCGAGCGGATGAGGAAGAGGTCGGGCTGGGGTTGGGATCACCAGCTGCATCGTCCCCTTGTTGATGACGAGGCGTTCGAAGACTACGTCAAGCACTGGGTGAGCTGAAGATTGCAGCCGAATTCTGCAGAATTCGGCAACACAAGCTGATCCCGTTCAAACATCGTCACACAGGTCGGGACCCCAACCGTGTCTCAAATCAGACGTCTGCGAGACAATGGATGGCGGCTCTACCCCAAGTGGAAGATCATCCGTGAAGGTCATGGAGCTACGGGTGATTTTGCCTTCCGGGGTGGAGCTCCGATCCCTTCCCAACCCGAACCTCCTGCCGGAGAGGCGGAAGAGTCGGCCAGCGAAGGTGAAGCGAACAGTCAGCCGCAGGGTACTCCCCAACGTCCCCACAGCAGCAGGAGCCGGGGCAGGGGTGGATCGTCTTCCGCTGGATCAATTGCTTCGATGAGCAATCGCCGACGCGATGAGGATCAGCCCGACTTTGCTTCCCTTGGCAAGACGTTTGTTGAACAGCTGGCATCAGTCACTCAGCAAGCAACTTCGCAGATCTTGACTCGTGGTTCCGCTTTGCTCAAGGAGGATATCGCAGCCATGGAAATCAGCGTGGTCGACGCTCGGAAACTTCGCCTCCGTCTCGCCAAAGACCGTACGCTGGCCGAGTCTTATGCCCATCAATCCGAAGAAGACCGCCGGGAGTTGCTACAAGCAGTCTTGGAAGATCTACAGGGCTGAGTTTTTGTGTTTGTAATTAACCACAGTGCTCCCGAATTCTGCCGAATTCGGTGTATCAATGAAACGTCTGTCAAATGAGAGCTAGGAGCTAGACACTTGCGAATGTGCTCACCTACGAATTCTGCCCAATTCGGCAGCCCTCTTGCACTCATTCCGGTTGGGTGGCAGGAATGACCTCCCATCGAGCGAAGTTGTCATCCGCAATCTTTTCTCGCAGTGCAACCATAGGATCACTGCGAGCATCTGGATCGTTCCTTTCCCTCCGGGCAACGGGTTCGTCTGGATCCAACCCTACCCCAGAGAGAAGATCCTGATCGTCTGGTACTGGCTCGCAGTCGTCTTTGTTGTCAGACATGAAGTTCTGCAGTGCGCAAAGTGCATAGATGACTTGCACTTGCTTAGCCGGGGCATAGTACGTTCCGGCTCGCAATGCCTTGAACCTCGCTTTCATGATACCCCAAACCTGTTCAATGGGCATGCGGAGACTGGAATGTTGGTGATTGTACACCTCCTCCCTAGTCGCTGGCTGTCGTCTGGATCGCTTCCATGCGGCAAGGTGGTATGCTGTCCCATTGTAGGGCGTGAGTACCTGGCATCGAAGAGTGAATCCTGCATCTCCGAGTAGATAATACCCTTGCGGAATTGGAATGTCTTCGTGGCGAAGACAATCGTACCAGATGCTGATATCCGGCTCAGGACCTTCCCAGCCAGCGTTCACGTAACAAAGCCGACGATCTAAATCGCATATACCGAGGACGTTCCATGAGAGACCACCTTTGCGATCTCGGAAATTACCCTCTCTATGGCTTGGAGGATGCGCAGTGATGAGGGTGCCATCGATAGCGCCGCATGCCTGTTGAAATGCCCCGAGCTTCCTGCTCCGGGCGAATTTGCGATGAGGCAATTGGTTTGGACGAGGAAAGCGCACCATCTCGCTGTAGAATGGGTCGGTGGCGAGGGCAGTCACCGTGACATCAACAGCTCTATTAATGAAATGATCAGCCGAATTCGGCCGAATTCGGTTACGACCCTCATCTCGGCTCACCTGAAAGATTGAGAACACATGATGCACATTCAGCCGAACTCGACCGAATTCGTACAAATTTACTCAACTCACTCACCTGGACACCGCTGCCAAGCTTCTGTTGAACTCTAAGCCTGTCTGCCGGTGACCTGTGCCATGCCTCAATGCATGCAGAGCGATGGCCAACGTTTCTTGCGAGCCCACGCGTTGTGTCGCCAACGACCTCCCAGCTGTTCCAAGTTTGCTCGCGAGCAGTCGCATGGCAGAAGGACTCATGCCAAACGCATTCATGCATCGTGCTCGGTTATTAAGAGCCTCCATCAATCTCATTTGTCCAGAGAACCTGGATGTGGAGTAGGCCAGCCGTGTTCGTGAAGGGTTTTGTTTCTGGTTTCGTTGCTGTCGATTGCACAGCAACACGAGGCTGATAAATTGGACAACAAAGTCCCTATCTCTACTCGAGTTATCTGACATGTTGCAGGGTGACCTTGTGCCGAAGTCTGCAGAATTCGGCTGAGCACAACAACGCATGTATCGACGATCGACGACAACCACGATATGCTTGTCGTCAAATCGCAGATGGAAATTGAGATGACGTCAAGGACCTATTTGCCTCCGTATTTGCACCCGACGCGCGTTTGAGCGACCGTTTCATCCCTTGATCGTCGCTGCTTGACGACGCTGTTGCCATCAATATCACCAAAGGACCTCTTCAGTTCCAACGCAGAAAACGCAGAGACTTCGAGAAGAGGGTCCTTTGGATTGTTCCTGTTCATCAAACAACAACAACAGCCACGTCGACGCGTATGACTCCATCAAAACAAAGAAAAAAACACGTCGCGTCTGCTCAGCCAGTGAGGAAGGTATATACACACGATCAATTCACATCCCCCCTTCCCCCCCCCTCATCGTCCTTTTCTCTTTTCCTCTCTTCACTCTCAACTCTATCTCTCCGACTCTATCTCTCTTCCCAACTTTACTTAATCCTCGTCTTGATAACAACATGGCCCCTGAACGTCCCGCCAAATCCTCCTCCTCTAAACGCACCAACCCCGCCAACCCCGCCAATCGTACTTCTCGGAACGCCCTTGGGCGATTCGTGTCTCGTCCCGGAGCTGGAGCTCCCGCTGGCGCTCAGGAGGAGTGGGATAGGATGCAGAGGGGGGAAGGGGGTCGTCAGTCGACTCTTCCAAACCTGAGAGTGAGTACGATGCGATCGTGATCCTTCTTCCTTTCACCGTCGGTTGTTCCCCTCTTGTCTTTCGTTCTTTGTCGAGTAAACGACTGACTCTCCCGAATTCTACCGAATTCGGTAGTTTGCTCAGACCGAAGAGGAAGAAGAACGGGACGTCCAGAAGGCCATCGGCAAGTCTCTCAAGACGGCTAAGTTTGAAAAGATCCTTACCAAGGAGCGACTTGCAGCGGAAACTCGCCTCGCCCAAGAGCAAGCCGAACGGGACGCCGTCAACCAAGGAGCTCGCATCTCCCCCATCCCCGACGACAACCAAGGAGCTCGTATCTCTCCCATCCCCGATGACGACGACGTGATCGTCAAGACCGAGAAGATTGATGAGCCTGTAAGTTGGGGTGTTTGCTAGCTTCAAAGTCGGAATCGAAGGCTTACCGAATTCTGCAAACTTCGGCAGATCCCTCCAAAGAACAAACGCAAGGACAAGGCCAAGGCGAAGCAGGCGGAGGTCATCGAGGTGAGTTATTCCTGTTAGAGAGTGATCGGTTTGCGCTTACGAATTCTGCAAACTTCGTCAGCTTTCCTCGACCGAGGAGCCGGAGGCCAACGCCAAGGCGAAGGCCAAGGCCGAGAAGAAGAGGAGGAGGAAGGCCGAGAAGATGGCGCGGGAGGTGAAGAAGGAGGTGGAGGAGCTTGTCCCTGTGAGTTATCCATCTTTCGCTCCATTTCAGCTTGAACATGATACTAATTCCTTCCTTCCCTATGCGTTTAGAGCGACGACGACGTCAAGGCCCTCGTCGCCGACTTCCCGTCTAAAAACCTCGAGGATGCCTGGATCATTGACGGGAAGAACCCCGTCAAGGTTTGTGTAAGTCTGTGCTCTCTCTTTTACACATCCTCATCGTGGTACTAACTTCATTCGCAAACGATAGATCTTTACGAAAGGTTACGACTGGGTAGGAGCTCTTGCGAGACTCGAAGAGGCTGCCCAGATGTCGAACGAAAAGGAGAAGAACGCCATGGCCAAGAGTATCGGCTTGATGGGACCTCGTTCGTCCCCCGACATGACTGCGGCCCGACGAAATTTCTGGCTCGCCCGAGGGATCGACTTCGATAAGACCTTCAACGCTCAAACGGGCTACGACGTCGGCGTCTATACCGGAGAGGTGAGTTGGCGCTTACCGAATTCAGCCGAATTCGGCAGAGTCCTGCGTCTTTTGCACTGATCACTGACACCGGTACGATTGCTTCTCTCTTCAGGAACGAAGCATTCGAACCGCGAAGGAGGGGGGCAAAGCAGTTGTCGAGTTCGAACACATCATGTGCACCCCCTGCGCCAGGAAGAAGAAGGATGACCCGGAGCAGCGATGCTTCGCCACAAGGCCCTTCACCGCCTGCACCGCCTGCGCTGATCGCGGCAAGGCTTGCGACTTCAAGGAGATGCAGCGCGCCTTCGTCAACCAGCACGTCATCGGTGCTGCGAAGACCTTGCAAACTATCGGCAAGAAGATTCGCAAGAAGGTCAAGGGCAAGAAGGGGTTGACGATTGCTATCGACATGATGGCGGTGAGTTTTTCTCTGATTCAAACCAGTGATTCCGCGACCCGTGACTGACCGAATTCGGAAAAATTCGTACAGGCTGTCACCGACATTCTCAAGGCCTCCGACGTCGGTATCCCCGGTCTCCACGACTCGCTGAACCGTTACTTCGAGATTCAGTCAGCCAAGATCGACGCAACCTCCAAGAGCGGCAAATCGATGATCGGGCTGTTGAATGAGAGTCGAGGCGAGCAGGTTGCCCGAGAAGTCGAGCAGGGCATGAAGGCTCCCCGCCGCAAAGACGTCGAAACCCAGGCCGTCCTCGACGCGGCCTTCGACAACTTGCCCAGCACCCCTCAGAAGCGCAAGGCCATCGCTGCTCCCGACCAGCGAGCGACCGTCGAGGACTACGATGACGCCATGGACATCGACGAGCCGGTCGCCTCGGGATCGGGATCGGGTAAGAAGAAGGCGATCAAGGCCGCGCCCCCCAAGGAAGAGACCTCCGACTCGGACTCGTCGGACTCTTCGTCTTCTTCGGAAGACGAGAGCTCCAGCGACTCCGACTAAGTTGCCTCTTGGTAGACCCCCGCTCAATGCATAGGGTCCCTTACTACCTGATTTCTCTCGCGAAGTCTCTGTTCAGGTAGGGGTTTTTATAGATTAAGACTTCGCCCGTTATTATACGGTAAATATGTGATAGAGGTTTGTAATTACGAGGCTGGTTTCTTTTCTTATGCCATGCCATGCTACGAGCGACTACGAGTGATCGCCGAATTCGGTGAACTTCGGCTGATGTCTTTGTCAAAGAGTTCTGATTCACCCGTTCCCCGAATTCTGCAGAATTCGGCAAGACCTTTGCTATGGAGATGAAACACACATCGTCTGAGATATCACGTGATGACGTGGCTGCTATTTGTATCCGCGCGGAGGCAAACAATGCAAACAGATAGAACTCGCGATCACCCACGGCAAACTATCCGACCTCGCTAGCGCGCTATCTGCGCGCAGATACTCGTGAGAAAATAATTATAATCTAGATAGAACTCGCGACCGGGCCCTGATCGCACAGCCCCTCTTAGGAACTGCGCCTCATTACGATTACGACGGGTCGTCCTCACCCTGTCTCAACGAAGCCGGGGCGTTTCAACCCGAAGCCTCCTAGTTCAAGGGTCTGGCTTATCTCAGGCTATCGCACCGAGGCTAGCGGATATCAATGACAGCCTCCATGGCGCGACGTCGTGCAGCGGACATCGCTTGGGCCGGCAGCTTTGGCCAGCGGTCGGGCACAGCACGATCGCTCGGCTAGGAGAGAAACAGCAAGTCGGTATGATCACGGAGAGAGTCTGTATGGAAGTGGGTATGGAGGATTAGGTAAGCGATTCGTTCCGAAGTCAAAGCTTTCAAACCGAGGCACCACCCGTATCGGTCGAACAAAGGCATCCGCACAAGAAAGCGATTTTTCGGAGAGACCCCTGCTGATGCGACCCTTTTGTCGGTTTGGTAGGCTGACGCATCAACCTTGTGTATGTTTATCATCTCTTCATGATTCGGATTTGTCGGTACTCCCTAATGATCGTCCCGGGCGTTCATTGCCACGGGATGTGTGGCGTCTCCGATCGGCTCGTACATCGCCAACTCTTTTGCTTGGCAGGTATGGGAGAATCCAGCGATGCATACCTACGAACCTCTAAACATCCATGTCTCCCGAGACTTGAACTAGTCTAAATGATCTCCGACATCTTGTGCAGAAACACCGAACGGGAGGCCCAAGCAGGACCGGAGTGACGACGGCAAAGCCGTGAGGTTCTGATGAGCTCCAATCACCCTGAAAATGAAACTCGCTTATGATCATGTTATCGTCGATCTACGAGATCTACGAAACCTAGTTTGTCAATCATCATCGTTACTCTACCAGACGCTCTTGCCTCTACCCCTTCCTCTGCCTCGGCCACCAGCAGCACCGGTCGCTCTAGCTCGAGACGCGGTCGTTCCACTATTGGCGTTATTCGATGCAGTCCCCATCGTACCCGCACCCGCACCTGTGTGTAACGCGTTTCGCATGGCCAAAGCAGCTTCGTGCTTCTGAGACTCTGTCTGATCCAGCACCGTCCGCGTATCTTCGACCCTTATGGGGGAAGTCGATCGGGGTCTCTTCATCGGACCTGGCGAGCCTGTCGACTTCCTCTTTTGCCGTCCGGTAGGTCGCACCTCAAAAGACCGCGGCGGACTATCCGGCGTCGGGCTCGGTATCGTCTGCACGTCCGTCGATTCCAATCGGACTTGCGAATCCTCGACCTGGTCAGGCGTATCTGGGATCTCATCCTGCGGAGGCCCTTGCGTTCTCAGCCCGGTCCGAGCTCGTCTCGCCAGCGTCCGATCGCGTGCCATCTCAAACTTCCTGGTCGCTTCCTCGTCGTCGCTTTCGGGTTCCGTCATGTCCGAGTTCCATTCCATATCGGAAGAACCAGTAGCTTCATTAGCGTCCTCTCTGTTGTCTCCGTTTGATACCGCTTGTGGAAGCGGTGAAGGTGAAAAGGATTTCATCTCCAGTTCCGCGCTCATCTGTGCTTGCGCCGGCGACAGGTCTAATGTTGGCAAATCTGCCTGATTGCCGAAGTTTGGAGCAAGATTTCGGTAGTCGGGAGAATTGGGAGGCGGGGTCTCGCTTTCCCTCATCGCCGCCTCTCCGAATGCCGGTCGAAGTACAGGACTGAACGCTTCGGTCGGGTATTCCTCCAAAATAGGCTCTACAAAGTACGGCGATCCTCAAAACGTGCACCATAGACTTCGCAATAATGTCAAACTCACCTCTAGTCACTGTGCCCTGCCTGACCTGCGTCCACCTCGACATGCTCGTTTGCAACAACGGTCTGTTCAACGTGTTCTTCAGAAGCGGGGTCAACCTCCTTACCGCCGTCGTCGCTGACGTATCTATGGCCTAGAGTAAGAATCACCATACACTCAGCATACACAAGAACGATGTTAACAACATACTGTAGGAAGCGAAGTGCTCACCGTTTGCAGCTCGGCAACACCGGATGACGACTCGCCAAGACGATCCATGAGACATCCCGAGAGCGCCACGAGAGGATAAAGTATATGATCCCTGATCATATTCAAGGCGCTGGAATCGTCTACCTTGCTGAAGCAAGGTTCCTAAGTGTTAACACACTCGGGTGACCTCGATTTCGGTACATGACAAGAATTTCACCTGAACTTGATGTTCCAGTCAAAGTCGTCGGACGAGATGTCCAGCATGAGATCCTATAACAATCGTAACTACGCTTATCAGCTAGCTTGCAAAAAGCCCTAATGGAGCTAATAGGTCGAGGTACGTACATAGAACGTATCCGACTCCCCCAACTCGATATCCACGTCATCCCAAGCTTCTCCAGGGCTAAACAGCGCGTCCAGACCAGCTACGCACTTCTGCACCGCGACGTCCAAGTTCTGGCTATCCGCATTAGTGTTCTGGCTGTACGAAGCTCTCTTGTAGCTAAAGGACTCTGCATCTTGAGTGAGTTTGGCTGAAGCTGAAGCTCGGGATAATAGGCGGGAGGGCGAGAGGACTTCGAGGTAGACCTTGTCGAGAGTGGTCGCGAGGAATATGGCGTTCGACTCGAAGTAGATGTATTTCTGCGGTCACAAAAAGGTCTCATATCAATATCCGATAGTCAAAATCCTCATTATGTTTCTCACAAGCATATAAAGCTGATTCCCGACGGTCTTGGCCAACCATGGTCTCGTCCTCAGAGCCAGATCTTGGTTCTGCGTAGTTGGGTCGTCAGTCGGTCAGGTCTTTTCGATGCTAAATACCCAGGTCTACGGCTAGCTTACCGTACTCAAGTCGTCCATGTCATCTCACTTGATCATCGGTATGTCGTGCCATGTCAAATTTCGCTAGCTAATTTTGATGCAAGTGATGATCACATACACATGAGATGTCGAGGTTACGGCGGTAAAGTTACGTGCATGTACCACAGAACGAAGTCCGAGTCCGGAAGCGAAATTTAATTCCGGAAGGGGGAGGGAGATCATGCATATTCATCTTTTGACCTCATCGTATCTCTACATCGCCTCGACAGATCAGCAGATCCTCCATGGCATAGCTTACAGATCACAACTTGTAGAGGAATGAAATCGGGATGTCAGACTATACATTGCTCAACTTGACGGGCTTGCCTCTCTCCATCGACACGCCGGACAAGACCGCCAGCTCGTCAATCGTCGATCGAAACGTCACCGCGTTCATTACCGATACAGATCGTCCGGACCAGGTTGTCACCGCTACTCTACCTCTCAAGTCAAGGCGAATACGAAATCGTGATGTAGGATGGCGGGAGATACCCCTGAAGATGGCTTCGGATCGAGCCTCTGTACGGACGGACAAGATGCCGCTGCTGGACAAGGTCGCCGAAATTGTCACCAATAGTCAAGATATACCGGGCTACAAAGCTTTCTTCAAACAGGTCAGTACCACTGTCGAAAGCTCCTAAACATCTCCCTGAGCTCAGCTTCCGTTTTCATCACCCTCACCCAGGCTAAAAACCCTTGTGATCCCAGCACCGTGCTCGTCTTGCCCCGGATCGACCTCGCTAGACACCTATCGGTCATGCCCGATCGCACATCGCTAGCCGACTTGTTACTACCAGGAACCCACGACAGCGTCGCCTTCTACGGATGTGAGTCTCGTCCCACGAAAAGTCTTTCTCTTCGTTCCGCTGACGGGGACGTACTTTTTTCGAGTTGGCTTTCCTTACAGGGCCTTTCACACAATGTCAAGAGATCGGCTGTACGCTGACGACCCAGCTCAACGAGGGTATCCGGTTCTTCGACATCCGGCTCAAGTTGAAAAGAGGCATCTTGCTCGCCTTTCACGGTCCCTGGCCGCAGCTGACGACCTTTCCAACGATGCTCTCCGAGATCTCCCAATTCTTGGAGATCAACCCTCATGAGACCCTGATCGTATGCATCCAACAAGAGACTTCATTGCACCCGGACTTCAGCCGGACGGTGAAGGAAGATATGCAAGCGACGATAGACGCCGGAAAGTGGTTCTTAGAAAACCGGGTCCCGACGCTTGGAGAGGTCCGGGGGAAAGCCGTCTTGATGAGCAGGTTCGGGGGCGGTGACGGCCCAGACGGGTCGATCCCCTGGGAAGTGCCTGTAGGGTGGGGACGTAACAAGGAAGTGAGGATGGGTTGGAGACCGAATCGATGGCCGGATTCGGTCATCGAGGGGTTCGAGTGGGAATGCGGTACGACCGAGGTGCGGACGCAGGATTGGTGAGTCGTCGTTACCTTCTACACCCTTTCTCGCTAGACAGCAGGGTGCAAAAGCTGAGCGGTCCGAGAGGCACAGGTACGAGATTCATGGCGTTTTCAACATTCCTGCCAAATCGAGCGTCGTAAGCCGAATCGTTTCATCTCCATATACGAGAGATCCCCATCACTTACGTCTCCGCCTCCAACAGCTCACGGACCATCTATTATCCGGCAGCCACCTTCCGTCTCGATCCAACCTCACCCTCTCGTTCTCATCAGCCGGCTCCATCCCTTTTGCCCTCCCGTCCTTTGTCGCCAAGGGTTTCGGCTGGCCGGATTGGGGTCTCGGGTATCGTGGGGTCAACGAACTCTTGCGAGACTGGTTGTTGGACCGTTTAGAAGCCCAAGCCCAGGCTCGGCATCGAGGTCCAGGTTCAAAACCGAGCTCGGGTCCAGCGGATGAGGAAGAAAGGATCAGAGGGATCGTGCCGATGGACTATTACCGCAAGTTTGGGATCGTGGACGTCATGCTCGCGTACAATACAGTACAAGTAGGTTTGAAGACCGAATTGTACGCTTAATTAACAGCTCATGCAGAGGACGAACGAGTTCAAGCGAGTGACTCCTTTCATGCGTCGTTACGATGCCTTGACCCCTTGTTCGCTTCTCGCCGCTAGCCTCAAACACCCTTCCTGTGGTTGAGCCCTGGGTCGCAGGTCAAGCTACGTGATCTCATTACCCTTCATTGAACAATATGAAGGATCACGATGCAGGTACGTGGCTTGTGACTTGAAGTAATCAAATGTCTATAAACATGCAATCAGACTCGTGACGCTACCTAAAGCCATACATGTGCACACTTCGAAGATATACTGCATAGACCTCTCCGATACTACGTCCTCGAAGCACCATCGGCCAGAGCGTACAGCTGCTCCTTTTCGTGAGAATCCTCACACAGAGCCCAGTAATGGCCCTGCTTGTTCTGCAATAGCGCCTTGGGAGTATCGTATTCCAGCATCCGGCCCGCCCCAAGGACGAGGATCTTGTCGCTATCTCCGATCGTCGTCAGCCTGTGCGCGACGATGAGCAGCGTGACGTCCTTGAGGTTCCGGATAGCTGTCTGTACCAGAGCATCGGTAGCGTGGTCGACCGAGGCTAAAGGGCACGAATGGCTAGTCGTCAGTACGGGAAAGCTACGAGCAATGCATCTTTATCTCAACTTACCGGTAGCCTCGTCAAGCACCAAGATCTTGGAGCCACGGACAAGGGCTCGAGCCAATGCGACCAGTTGCCTGTATAGACATGAAAATACTGATTAGTAGGGCGACTCGCTACGGTTGCGATAACACGACCGTTGTCGACTCGCCTTTGTCCCGCACTCAAGTTGGATCCTCCACTCGCAATCTTTGAATCCAAAGTCAACGCGGACGTCGAAGACTCGTCATCCACTTCACCGGTAGCCATCTCCAACCCGGAAGTCTTGATGACGTCGTTCAACTCGTGATCGTCATGCTCGTCAAACGGGTCCAGGTTGAATCTCAAAGTTCCGGACAAGAGCACCGGTTCTTGAGGGATGATCGTGACGTTCTTTCGCAAGGATTGCAAGTTGACGTGTTTCGAGTCGATCCCGGCGATCCTGATAGAACCTTCCGTGGGGATCATCCTCAACAGTGCCAGTGTCAATGAAGACTTGCCACTACCAGTCCGCCCTACGATACCAATTCGAGACCCGGCTGGGACGTCGAACGAGAGGTCTTTGAGAACCAGAGGACCCCCCTCAAAGTATCGAGCGTTCAAGTTCTCTACCCGAATATCACCGGTCGTGGGCCATGAAGCGGGAGGTTTACCCTGCTCGGTCGAAGCCGGTTCTTGATCGATCTGCAGGTAATCGTTGATCCTCTCGATTCCGTTGGCTTGGACTTCGAACTGATTGACCATCCGAACGAAATAGAGCAAGATGGCGCTAAAGCTGACGGCTTGGTTCAGGGCGAAACCGACATCCGAGGCTGGCAATATCCCACTGCCGGTGTAGACCAGGAGAGCGGCGAGACCCGAGCTGAATAGACCTCCGAGGACGTCCATGCGGACAGTAATCCATCTAAAAACGAGAGGCAGATTCGAGAGGTCAGCCATGAATACCACTGAAGTTCCAGGGGATAGCAACCTACCGATTCAAGTTGTAATAGGTGACACAGCATCGCGTGTACCGATCGCATCGACTTCGCAATTCGGTAGCAAAGAACTCTTGCGCACCATAAGCACGGATCGAGATGACACCGTTGACGGCAGCGTTGAACGACGTGAAGAGAGGCGTCTTGGCGTTGGACATTTCACGCTTGACGGAGAGCTGTCCGTGAATGTACAGCTCGGCCAATCCGAATCCGAGCAGGGCAATGACGAGACCGATCGGGCCAAAGATGGGTACGAGCCAGACCAGAATGATGGCTTTGAGCGCCAGCGTGATAGTGAGCTCGCTCAGCCCTTGGAACAGGTCGACGACCGAAGAGTCGATCGAGTTCATGTCCTTTGTGAAACGGCCGAGGATACGTCCGGTAGGCGTCTTGTCCAAGAATCGCATGGGCGCGTTGAGAATGTGACGAACGAGATTGGCGTGCAATATCGTCGAGGCTTTGATGGCACCAAACATCCACTGGATGCTACTCGTGTTGTAACAACCCAGCTGCACCAACATGAGAAAGACGTACATGCCCAACCAGTAGACTGGCGACACTTTGCGCGGGTCGTCCGCTTCGTCGTAGGCGCGCGACCATTCACCGAGCCACCAGTTGCAAACGGCGTAGAGGATCTCGCCGAGGATGATAATCGTAAAGTAGATGGACCAGTAGATGGGACCACCCGCCAGCCTGAAGAAGCTGATCAAAGCGGCTCGTGAGACTCGACCTTCGCCCTTTTCTTCGACCGTGACGAGCTTGCCCGCCTCGGCATCGTTGCCATTGCCAGCAGCGGCATCCACAACGACCGCAGCGGGTTTCTCGATCGGGTGGGCTTCAGAGATGGGTTCCTCGGCGTGTTCAGGCCCGGTCTCGGCGGCGGTCTCCTCCTCGATGAGTTCTTGCATCTGGTCGATCGGGCCCTGATGATCGATAGTCCCTCCAACTTGTAAATGGACCAGATGATCACTGACGGGGCTGAGCAGAGCGACGTGGTGAGTTACGATGATGACAGTCCTTCCTTTGAGAAGGTCACCACCAAAGAGCTTTTCGACGATCCATCGCGAGGTCGTCACGTCAAGGGCTTCCAGGACCGAATCGAGAAGGAGGATGTTGGCATCCGAGTAGACCGCACGAGCAAGACTGATCCTCGCCTTTTGTCCGCCACTATTGGAGACGCGTCGTACAGGGTCAGCTCTCGATATAACATTGAGACGTCCGCAGTACAAAGGAGCGCAACATCGACGTACCTAGCATTAAGACCCTTCTCACCGAGCTCGGTCTGGTCACCCGCGTCAAACAGCTCGAGATCCTTTTCGAGAGCACACGCATGCAACACCTTTTTGTACCTATCCGCATCGAAAGCCTCGCCAAAGATGATGTTCTCCCTAACGGTACTGGCCATGACCCACGCTTCCTGAGCGGCATAGGCGACTCCACCGGCCCGAGGCAAGTTGAACGAAGCGTCCAAGCGGGTAGGAGCCCAATTCATCTCGCCCAAGAGAGCCATGAGCAAGCTCGTCTTGCCCGAAGAGGTCTTTCCCGCGACCACGGTCGTCTTGCCCAAGGGGAATTCGAGGTCGTCGATGACGAGCTTCCACTCGCGCTTGCTCGTCGCGGTTCCCTTGTTCTTGCTCACGTTACCATCTCGAGCGGCCTTGGAGGCCGGACTGTTCCAGGAGAATTCGGCATTCTTGAAGTAGATCTTGTCCTGCTCCTCGGTAGACTTGGAGCTGATGACAATCTCATCCTTGTACTCGTCCAGCATCTCGGTCGATCGCAGGAAATGGTTCATCCTTCCGATCGAAACCTTGGCAGCGATGGTAGCCTGTATCTGAGCAGTCACGTTGTACATGCTACCGCGGATCATGTCAAAGACCGAGAGCGACCCAAACACCTGGGCAGCCGACAAGGTCCGTTTCTGTACGCCCGTGTAAAGTCCATAACAAGCGATCATGGTCAAGATCGGCAATCCGAAATTGACCGTCCCGATCGCCTTGTCGACAAACGCCTTTCGTCGGACTTTGGCCATCTCGGCCGCCCGTTTCTCCGAGATCCTGTCCGAAATCTTTTCTTCCCAAGCGAAAAGCTTGACCATCCGGAGCGTATTCACGGCCTCGGTGATGGTCTGCACCCGACTGTCGGTAGCCTTCATCAAGTCCTGTTGAGTGTTGTTCATGAGTTTCGCCAGGTACCCGGGGATGGGCAAAGTGAGCAGTGTAACGGCCATCCCGACGAGAGCCGACCAGGAGAGGATCTGGTACAAGAACACGGCACCAAAGACGAGCTGCAAGGGCGCGTAGAGGATCGCCATCAAGAAGTCCCTCCCCTCGATGATGTTCTCCAAGTCGGAACTGGCCAGGGTCGTCAGCCTTCCGACCAGTCCGGCGGTCTGCGGTTCCCCATCATCCGAAGAAACAGCCTCTTTACCCTTGTTGGACCCATCGACGCTCCCTTCCTTCTTGTTGCTGGCGACGGTGACACTTTCATCTTCCCCCTCGCTACCCTGTGAACTCTCAGCAGTGACCGCATGTACAGCCGCCGTCTCGTTGTTGACGATCGGACCGGTCCCAACAGCCATCCCCGGGGCATCATCGACGACCACCGCCGGAGTATTAGCTCCCTGAACCGGCAGCTTGGAGCTCGAGGACGATTGATCCACGGGATCTTGCATCTTGATCCTCAAGGCGTGTCCGAACAATAACTGCGTGAAGAGGGATTCGACGTGGACGAGCGACCGGGTGCTGCGGTAACAAATCATACGGTCAGACATTTGAGCAAGCCGTGCAAGAAACATCACCAACATGACGTACGTAAGGAAGATGTACTGCTGCCAAGCCAAACTCGAGAACACCGGCCCAAGGAACAACCAGAGGATCCAGAACCAAGGTCGGATATCCCCCGTACTCTCTTCATCCTGGAGATAAGTCAACAACCTATTGATCCCGATCGGCGCCGCAAACTCCATGACGGCCTTGATGAGCAGCATCAGGGCGAGCGTGATATAAGTCTTCCAATAGACGGACATGAGGCAGACGATCAAATGCCTCGGTTTCAGCCCTAGTTCTTGTCTCCTAATCGGATGAAGCTTCAACAAGCTGTTCTTGGCCAACCAGCTCGCTCGATCGTAATCCGGTAACGGAGGTAGCTCTTCGTACGGGATCGCATTCGACCTCCAAGCTTGGAGGATGATCTTGTCCATAAACAGGTAAAAAACGTAGGAGAGCAAGCTAGCCGTCTGCTCCGGATTAGGTTCCCTGCTTGGATGCATCGGGTCGACCGGTCGATATTGACTCGGTTGTACGAGGGGGATGACAACAGCGACGATGGTGAGCAAGGAGAACCTAATCCAGACGATGGGTTGTGGTAAGAATTCCCTGTCGAGAGGGTGTTTCGAGTAGGTGATCAGAGGGTAGAGGTCTCGGTACGAATAGATGGCCCAGGCGATGAGCATGAGGGTGTGGAAAGTGAACCGGAAGGTACGGCGGAGAGGCGAGTCTTTACGCATGGCAGCGATGGCGATGGCGAGGACGAGGTTGGCTGCCTGCGGGGGATCGTCAAAAGTCGAGGAAAACATATAAAATCAGCGACGCCAATTCTATAGCAGTCCGACGGCCAAATCGACCAGCCTTCAATAATAGTGACTCACATAAAAGATGGTCACCCCCAACTCGACCTTTTGCATACGGTTCAACCCGGCCTTATTGCCGACCATGGCGATCCCCAACCTCGCTACCACCGACTCGTTCCCCTCGACCCCGATCCTCAGCTTGCTAATAATCGTAGCATCGATATTTAACCCGGTCAGACCGAGCATGACCCCAGCTCGGAGGAGGTCGAAAACATAGACCCATTTGGCTACCTTGCGAGTATAGGTCTTCAGCGAGGTGGGATCGGGGTCGTCCGTAGGGACGGCGGAATACCGCGGCATCTTGTGTCCTGCGTGTCGACTCGAGGACTGTGAGGGTTCTCGACTGGTCGTTCAGCAAAGATGCAGGTGGAATGTGTCCGTCCAATCAGAATCTCTGTAGCGGGATGTGCTGTATAGTCCCAAAGGGATCGTTGTCGTCAGCGTTATATGAGGAGGTCTCTCGGTGATCTTGCTTACCGCGATTCGCGGTCACCAAGATCTCGTCCGTAGCTACTTGCTGTTTGTGGATGCTAAGCTACTTACTACCTTTGAAGTATGTATGTCGGTTATCAAGGTGGTCGGTGGGCGTGACTCGCAATCACACACAATCACACACACCTGCACACACTTGGGGTATATATTTCGGAGAGAAAGATTGCCCACCATGTGCTGCTGCAAGAGCGCGTTACGTAAACGGGTCACCCTCCCTTCCCCTTCCCCTTCGGTCAGATCCGATCGCGGAGCCGAACGCCACCCACCTCGGCCACCCCCTTGCCCCTCGTGTGACCTGTCAAGAGATAACGAACTCCAAAGCCAATAATAGATCGAGCAGGTCGAACGTCCAACAACATGTTCAGCGCTCAGCACTTGTGATCTCTGAACGAAATTCTTGACTCGCCAGCTTGCAGCTCGCCTATGCGCTGAGTTCGACTCGACCAAGATTGACGGTTCCGGGAGGATACCGGCCGGCCGGTAGGCGCACGAGATCTCACTTGTTGACTCGTATGACCTCGAAGCGTTCGAAGCACAAGGATTCGAGGATTCGTCAGAAGCTCAGTAATTCAGTAACTTGTAGATGCTCTTGCGCTCTCATTTACAACAGTTGGTCATCATAACGTCATATCCATATGATCTCCATCATCTGACATAATCGGACGAATTGGTCACAAAGTCAGACCGATAAGGCAAGACCCTCGTCCCTCGTCCTTTGACGGACGACCACCAATACAAAAATCGTCCTCCGTTTCAAAATACCTTTATTAGTAGCTTAGGAATCAGGGTGGGTGATCATGAAGCGCGTACCAGAATATAGAGGAATATAGAGGAATACGCTTTCCTCGTCAGCGCTTTCTAGCGATATTTGTACTATAATAAATGTTAATGCAAGCAGCATCTGGCTAAACTATTTGGTGCCCAACAACCTCGTACATCGGCGAGGTGAGATCTATGATCCCTCAGCCAGTACACGATACACGGACGGGATTTCCAGGCTAAGCTTTACGAAAAAATTCAGGTCGGCTGAACGATAGTTCAGCTCTGTGAGATCTGTGCGACTATTAATATTGTTGACTTATGAGCTTATGATCTTAATGATCGTATGAGTGTCTGTACTTGGTGAATCGGTGGCATGTATCCGTTGCTTGCCTTGTGAACGATTCCAATGATATCGACCGGCGAGTAGGTCCGGAAGTAAAGATCGGAAACAATATTTTTGGGCAAAGGATCACTCGTACCTGCTGTACCCGCGGCTAGCTAGCCATGAACTTGTTCGATGGGATGATACTCTACGTACTCTACTCTACATCCGTCTGCGGAGAGGTCCTAGATATGTGTAGAACACTCGAGATAGTCACAGCCTACATAGCTTGAACAATCAAAAGGCCTTCTCCCGATGAACGTCTCTGATCTCCTCAATCCTACCGATGAACCAAAAACGGATGGCGGGATTCGTCACCCCGGCAACAACGTCGAAATCGATATGACCAGCAAAAGCTTCAGAGCGACCGTACCTTCACCTTCACCTTCATCGGAAGACCTATTCCCATTCGACGCCGCTCAAGAGGTTTGGCTAGAACAAGTTACCAATGACCCAGAGCTCCACGGTCGCCTTCCTGCTTTCCTGGATAGAGAATCATCGATGCGTGTCAACCTCGGTCAGAAAATCGCCCGGCTCGTAAGGTCTCCTATCAAAGTCCTACAAGAGATGGACCTTCGAACAGTTCCTACCAAACGGAGATACAGGCATACAGAGACTTTTCGAGAATACCGTCGACAGCTTCACTCGGCCCCGACTTTCTTGGGTGATGAGTTTACGGCTGTTTTTCCGCCCTCTACTACATCTTCTTTAGATCACACGGCTCGCGGTACCGATTCGGTCGGTACTGACATTCATTCGGCTGGTCCAAGCACGATCGACATCGGGTTGTTCATCCCGGACGCCAAGCAGACGACCATCAACGGTACTCTCGAGCTGAAAAAACTGAAACGAAAGGACGTTGAAGGGACTCCTCTCGGTCATCCTCCCGGTGTGGGCGATCCTCTTTCTCTTATCCTCAGAAGAGAACTTTCCCCGGCCACGCAGACCTATATCAAGCAGGGATTGGCTCGAGGGATCTGGTACGGGGCTATAGAGCAGGAGATGATGCGATCGAACGGGCATCCTCGCGTCCCACCGGTCCTCGTTGGCTACCTCGTCAATCAATTCTTCATCAGGATACTCCTGCTCGGAGACACGATCTACATTGAAGGAGCTGGTGAGTCAGCGACGGCGATAAGATAACAGGTCGAAGATGCGGCAAGCTGACACGGTCGTACCTCTCGCTGCTCCGCCGGCAGGAGATAACTCGAGTCTGATCAACTTGGAAGATTACCTCGAATCGTTCAAAGATGGGCGTAGTTTCCCTCATCACCTCTCGACGAGAGATGGTGCAAGGGCCTTGATGGAACATGTCTTGACGGCTTGCAAACTGCGTACGTTCCCGGACGTCCGGACGAGTTGTGCGCATAGTATATCCCTGGCGAAGTGCCCTGATCGCTGGTTCGTATTACAGTCGAGTCGCAGAACTCAGCGCTCCAGGTCGACTTTGAAAAGTGTACCCCACCTGATGCCTTACGCGCTACCACCCAAACCGAACGAACCAAGAGCGGCCTCTTCGCAGCCACAGTCGATCTGTCTGATGTAACGGGAGACGATCTCGACAAAGCAGAACACCATGAGTGTCCACCTTCGCCTCCAGATCGCGACATCGTTCCCCCCTCTACTCCCGCTTCCATCAAACCCATCGAACCTGATTCTCCACCTCGAACGTTCACCCAGGCCTGGATCGCACATTGCGAACTGACAGGTATCGGCCCGCCGGAAGAACCCGACCTGGCTGATTCGTACGAACGGACCGATTCCGCCTCTACCACTTCCTCGTTCGATTACATTGCGGAGGAAGAGGTTTCTGAACACCACGTCAAGGCTTTGGTGAGCAGATACAAGTTTCGATGTCTATCCCGTGACGATTTCGCCCAGACATTGCGCAGAATTACTGTATAATGATATCAGCTACGAGCTAGCGGTTGTAACGATTGTCCCGAGCCCGGCATGTCAGCCTTGATTACATTATTGTTGTCAACCTTTCTACATGTCCTTCGCCGCCGCACTCAATCTTGCGCCTGGTGACAGAGCCTGGGTGTCCTGGTGAAATACGACTTTGTAAGAGAACCATGGTCAGCCTTATAGATGGTAGTAATTAGTAGTCCAGCGACAATATTTTGTCAAGCAAGCGGATGGCGACGACAGTTGTCATTTTGTCGACGAGATCAGGAAGTGATCGCTCAGGTCCCCGTAGTGAGTAATCGTGCACGCGCGAGGGGAAGCGAGAAGTCTCACCTCGAGAGCAAGAGCCAGGACCTCTACATCTCGATGCCATCATCCCATGTTCGAATCACTCAACCGTAATTCGCAACGACTCATGGGATCACTAGCATCAGATCAGTGACTTTTGCAGCCATGTCGGACGACATCCAGAAGAAGCAAGGTTCCTCGAGCTCTACTGCAGCCAAGCCTCATCTGACGCACACGGCCTCGGGTTCCCCTCTACCACCGACCAACGGGACATCACAGCCTCATACCTCCGTCGGCGGTACCACCACTTCGGACAAGGTCAAGGAGAAGGGCAAGGAGAAGGAGAAGGACAGTCTGGAGAAGCCTTCGAACGTGTTCAAAGTAAGTCTGATGCCGGCTGTTCATTTAGACTGATCAAGTTCCCGATCTCTATGACCATGAGCTTCGTACGTCCCGTCGACATGTGCCTTGTGGCCGGTATTAATCTTTGACAGGTCCCGTTTCACTGTTGTTGCAGAACGATGGAAGTTTCTTGGCGAGATTCCAAAAGCCCAAGGTACGTGACAAGTCTGGTGATGTATCACGGAACTCGAACTCAAGTACACATTCAACCTTTAGGAACCGTCAGCGGAGGACAAGAAGGCTGCCGCGGTAGCTCAGAAAAAGGCCTTTGAGGATCGCTTTGTGGGTACCTGATCTACTGAGTCGTAAACAATCCGTCCTCTTACCAGAACATCGCGGACACAGAGGAAACGTGGTAAACGACCTCTCCCTGTCGGTGAAGATGACTCGAAAAACAAGAAACCGAAGACCGAACTTTGTACGTCCCCTGCCCCCCTCCTTTGGCTCGGTTCATCTCAAATTTCTCCCACTGACCAGACTATATCACATACTGTAGCTGCGTACGAGAAAGAGGTAGCCAAGTATGAATCGAGGGTGTTGAAGGATACCGGATCGGGTGTGCGGGCGATCATGAAATGATCCGTCCTCTCCTATCCCAGCCTCCGAAAATTACGATTTCACCGAACATGGACGCGAGCAGGAAAACTGCATCTCATTGACGATATCGACCTCGTCACGCAGCGATCCTAATGGAGGAGCGGTGTAGGCTCGAATGTTATAGGTTAGCCTGATATATGAAATGTATTGCCGTCGTTGACTCGCAATCGAGACCATCCGATGGTCTGCTATATCTGCCGTTCTCCGGTATGATATACAGACGACATGGATGCTCAAATACTCGTTACCCTCCTCGAGAATTGGCGATGTGAACCACAAAATGCGCTTAATCAGTGCGCCTGAACCATCCGGCAAGGTTGGCGTTGCCTGGAGAAGTACCGGTCTTGTGGTACATCTTCTTCCCCAAACGCCGATTGACTCCGATCTGGCATGTGCTGCCTTCGTAGATCCAATATCGGACAAGTCTCCAGCCGGTCAATACCCTCTGAGTCGATCCCCAGTCTGTCGTTACCCAGGTCGATCTTCAGTGCATAGTTTCACGTTACTGCATCATACCGTTCTTCACTTATACAAATTAATCTCCTCTTCAGCTATCCCGTCAGCCCGTCCCACTCCACCCGATCATTCTTTATGATAGATATAGTCACGTAAAACCCGTACAATGTACCTGCGGATTCATATCTCAGCGAGGAATGATCGCACACGACAGCCGACTCGAACTCACAGCGTAGTAATATCGTTCTCATCTAATCGGAATCAGGAGACCAAAACCCAGACCGCGTCGAAGTCCTTTCCCATGGCGTAACGTAGAAAGACGGACAGCACGAGATCCAGAGCTCAGCCATCTTGCCGCTCAAACGTTGGCATTACCCAAGAAGCATCGAAACGACACGATATAACTCACTTGGCAGCCGATTCTCCTAGCACGACGTACGCCGGCCTGTCATCCCTCAAGGTCCTCAGAAGGAGCTTCTGCTGGAGCAACTCTATGGACATCTTTTCTCTCGTCTGGAATGACACGTCGTTGTCGATGTTGTCGGGTGACATGCGGTCCATGGTCGAACCGTTCTCCTCGACGAAATCCGAGAACCCAAAGGCGACCGCTTCCAAGCTCTGTAACCTGCAGACGTTCATGATGGTCTGTAACATCATCACACCGCAATCGTGGTAGTTTTTCTGCTGCGTCAAGGCCCTCTGCAGGTCGAAAACAATGCCCGGAGAGAGAGAGAGAGAGGAAGAAAAAGACGAATCGTCAATATGTCGACACCGACTTCGGCGCTGACGACAAAAGTGGAAAGGTGGGTTCGAAAAAGCACTCACCGGGAACCTCGACTTCCACTCTGCGACCTCGACCTCGGCTCCATCGTCGATTTCCATCCGGTCCGGGTCTTTTCGATTGATCGCTTTCTCAAACTCGGAGATCCACCGTCTGACCGACTGACACGGGAGTGAGGAACCGTATACGATAAAGGGAAGGACGATGTTTAACGGCAAGTTCAAGTCCACTTCGAATCAGATCCGCACTCCGAGCACCTCACCCGCATTACGTCGAGAAGAGAGTTACAAAAAAAAAACAAGGCCAGACTCACCATGAAGACCGCCTTACATCTCCCTTCACTCTCTTTGGCATCGATATCTCTCATCGAATCGAACACGTAGATCGTCCTCGATTTCATATCGATCACCGCCGTGACCCAATGATTCTCGCCGGTCAGAAAGGGTATGATCGTGTGCAAGTGCTCGAAGGGGTTGAGGCTCCGCTAATTTCGAAATCAAAAGAGAAGAGGATGAGAACCAAAAGGTATTGTTAGCAAGGGTTGGAGAGTCGCGATATGTAATCCGTTCAAGGGGTGATGTGACTACGTAATGTAATCGGCCATAACCTCACTCACCTTGGCCAAGATGTCCCCATAGGGGATCCCGTTGGTATACCCAGCATGTACAGTCTTCTCCGTATCCTTGACCTTGTCGATCTTTATCTTTTGGGACAAGTTGGCCGGCATGATCAACGAGGCCGGCTTTCCCTCGCCCGTCAATCTGAAGGTCGACTGCCACCAATGTACGAGGGTGCAGTAGGAATCCACGGCGATGTCGTCCACCCATTCTCCTGGTCCGAGGCTCTTCAGGTAATTTACTCTGTCCATCTCGACATTGGGAAGGGCGGTCGGAGAAGAACGATACCACGCCGGAGTCTGGTCGGTCCGGATCTTACGGCCCCATCTGTTAAAGTTCTCCCGAGCTCTTCGGAAGGTCGACTGCCACCAATGTATGAGAATGCAGTAGGAATCCACGGCAATGTCGTCCACCCATTCTCCTGGTCCGAGGCTCTTCAGGGAATTTACTCTGTCCATCTCGACATTAGGCAGGGCGGTCGGAGAGGAACGATACCACGCCGGAGTCTGGTCGGTCCGGATCTTACGGCCCCATCTGTTAAAGTCTTCCCGAGCTCTTCGGACCTGATAGACATCATGCACAGATCGATATACGATTATTCAGCCTCAGGTCATGTAGGTCAAGAATCACGAAGAGGAAGCACCATACTCCGTAAGAGGTTGCGGAAAGAGCTGACAATCGGGTACGGATGGAGAAGGCCACGGACCTCCCCGCCGAGGCTTTTCTTCTAGTACCATCGCCGCTCCAGGTGAATAGAGTGCCGGGCGGAGAAATTGCTCTTTCTTCTTTGTAGTCGCGTCCATGACCGTTGAGGTGGAACTGGGGATGGGGATGGCGAGTTGAGTTTGGACATGATCAGGTCGGACTCGTCGTCGACTTGGGCGGTGATTATTAGGGAGGAGGACTAACAGTCTACGCGGGGCTAGGTCTAAGGACAATGGTGTAATAACGGATGAAGTATATACATACAATGAGCCTATTATAATAAGCACCTATAGGAGATGTAAAAGTAGACCCCTGTGGGGATGTCGAGAGGTGTCTCCGAGGGGACCTCCGAGGGGGTCTCTCGCGGGAGTAGCGACGCGTCACGTGACGGCTATAATAGTGATAAGGGCGAGGTAGGCGGCTCCCCACGAGGTGTGCTGTTGATTGACCATATCTCTTATTTGAACGACTGGCTACGGCATAATAGTGAGTCCATGCAGCATGAAGCATGAAGCATCTAGCTACAGTACTCGTATCGAGAAGCTCTAGGGGATCTAGCTAGCTAGGGTAGTAACCCCTCGGAAGCATATAGCTCGGAATCAAATTACGTAAGATGACGCAACGTCGGAAGTTTGCAAGATGTTCAAGATGTTCAAGACGTTTCCACAAAAGTTGGGCTACTACTACTACTCGAGCTACTGCTTAATGGTTACTTCCATACGAACCATCATCCTGTCACAAAAAGTCGATGCTCATATCATCGTCGACGCTACTACGCTCTTTAACCGCTAGAAACACCTCCCCCTCGATCCTCCTCTTCGCACCTGCACGAATCGCCATGTTTCAGCAACAACAACAACCCCGACCGAACCGTGGCCGTGGTGGTGGTGGTCGATCGAACCAATCGACCCGACCCAAGACGACCCATACCGCTGGTCAACCTTCCACCTCGACTTCTTCTCCATCCGCCACACCTCAGCCTCAACAAGACCGGACCGAAGTAGCACCTACCGTATCGACCCACCTCTCCACCGTACCCTTTGCCAGCCTGAGCGATCGTGTCGACCCCAGATTACTCTCCGCCATCCCTTTCCCGCTGATGAGCGAGGTCCAGGCGGCGACCCTCGGTCCAGCTCTGACCGGTGCAGACTTGCTCGCTAGGGCCAAGACGGGGACGGGCAAGACGATCGCCTTCCTCTTACCCACGCTCAATAGGATCCTGGCTCAAGAGCCGAGGGCGGGGCAAGATAAGATCAGTTGTCTGATCATGTCCCCAACACGGGAACTGGCATTACAGATCGAAAAGGAGACGGAGATGTTGCTCAAGAACGTCAACTCTGGTGGTAGCGGGAGCGTAGTCGGGGTACAACACGTCGTCGGTGGTACCAACATGAAGGCGGAACACAAACGATTGACCTCGCAGCGCTGCGACATCTTGATCGCTACCCCAGGCAGACTATTGGACCACCTGACGAACAGTTCCGGGGTATCCGGCAAGTTTAGCCATTTGCAAGCTTATATCTTGGACGAAGCGGATAGGATGCTAGACATGGGTTTCAGGCAAGAGCTCGCCAAGATCAGCAAATTCCTGCCGAACAGGGCGCAGGTCCCGCGTCAGGCGTTGCTTTTCAGTGCGACCATCCCCGAGGGGGTCAGGGAGGTTGCCGATCTCGACAAGAACGCCGTCTACGTCAACACCGTCAGCGAGGAGGAAGACAACACCCACGCTCATGTAGCTCAGAAATCGGTCATCGCCCCCAAATCGGCAGACATCTACCCGACGACCTTGGCTCTCCTATTACAGGAACTCGAGAGGGCCCCTACGACGGCCAAGGTGATCGTCTTTGCCCCGACCGCCAGAGCTGCCGGACTAGCCGCCGAACTCTTTCGCAGCTCGGCGGTCCTCGCTCTCTTACAGGACAATAACGGGTCGTTCTCCATCGGAGAGGTCCATTCGAGGAAATCACAAGCGCAGCGCGTCAAGGCCACCAAAGAGTTTGCCGAGGCCCGACGGGGGATCCTCTTTTCCTCGGACGTCGCTGCACGGGGGATCGATTTCCCCGGCGTAACCGCGGTCTTCCAGACAGGGCTCCCTGCGAGTTCGGACCAATACGTCCATAGGATCGGTCGGACGGGCCGGGCGGGCGCAGAGGGACACAGTATCATCGTGCTCGCCAGCTGGGAATCCTATTTCCTGAACGGCAAGGATATGAGAGAACTGCCTATCACGCCTTATGATCAACTCCCCAAAGAACTCTTGGATCGATGCAGGACCGCCGTCACCCGGGGCTTGTTGGACGACGTCACCGACGAGAGCAAGGCGCAGGCTTACCAGGCCTCGTTGGGGTACTACAAGAGCGAACTGAGGAGCCTGAGGTGGAACGTCGATCAGCTCGTACATCACATGAACGAGTATGCGAGCGAGGCTTTGTTGTACGCTGGAGGTGGTCCAGGTGCGATGTCGCCGCCCTTGTTGGCAAAGACGGTCGGAAAGATGGGTTTGAAGGGGACGAAAGGGTTGAACATCGTCAAAGAGCTGCCAGGTGCCGGTGGTGCTACCGGCGGTCGAGGAGGACAAGGTCACGGTCAGGGGAGAGGAGGCGCCTCGGGCCGAGGAGGTGGACAGGCGAGAGCACCTCGGAACGCTCCTCCCGCGCCGCCCATCCCGCAGGGTCACGTCCCCGGACAACAACCCGGTCGAGGTCGAGGTCGAGGTAACGCCAGGGCTCGGGGAGGCGGTGCCGGCTTCGGAGCTGGTAGAACTGTTGGTACGAACGGTGGAGGATGGGGCGATGCGGGTGCTTTGGCCGGAAGTGGGGGAGCGAGCCGTGGATGGGGAAGCGTCTCCGTGAACAACTGGGCATAGAGCCGGAATCATCGCACAAGCACCGCATCACGGAGACGGAGACGTATGAACGGGATTTGTCTGTCTATATTACGCTGTTACGATCCTTGATGTGTCTTGTATGACGGTCACTACTTGTTGATTCGTGACTCGTCTTCAGCATTATAGAGATTGTTTTGGATACCCTGCATTCGATCGCTCGACAGCTCATACATGCGCCTCTCTGTCGACCCTGTCCAACCGATGAAAGCGATCACATCAACAGCCAGTCGAGAGAATTTGTGTCGATCGGAAAACCTTCTCGAGCTAAGCATACTCACTCGATCGCGTCAAGTACTCCGCGGCTGCGAGAGCAAGGCCTGCATGAAGAATGCCGTCCATCCCTGCATCATGACCTCGTTCACATTCTCCACCCCTTCCCAGTCAGTCGTAATAAGCCTTTCGTATCCGTCCATGGTCTTGTCCAGCCATGTACGAAATGCAGGTCCTCTCTCTTCCTCGAAGCGAGATCCAAGCCCGGCCATCAGGACACCCCGATAATGTTCGATGGCATGCTTGTTCGCATCGGATAGTGCAAGTTGTCGAGATGAACTGTTCGCCGTGTCTGCAGCATCTTGTGGAAAAGGTGCCCCTGCTCGATCCGACAGTGACAAGCGATTGAAATTGTGAGAGACCGCACGAGTGTCGACCGCCTTGTATCGCTTAGAGGAAGGCGGCTCCGACTCCTCGCGAATCCGTTTGCTCTGTCGGGGTGCATTGTCCACCACGACATCCATATCCTCGCGCTGTTTCCCCTTGCCCTGACCCCTCTCGACCTCTCCAAGATCCTGCCTTCCCTCTGCACTCTCGGCTTGTCTCTCTTCGGACTCCACGGCCTTTCCCATAGCAATATCATCCGCCTGCCTTGCCTCGAAATCGCGCAATCGGACGTGGTACGTCCCATCCTCTCTGACCCCCGTAGTCGCCATCGAGAGAAAGTCCTCTAGCCATTGTCGATCCCAAGAGAAGTACCAGAGTCGCCAACCTTCGCTAAGTCCAATAAGCAAATCTCTCCACGACTTGTACGTCTGACCTTCCACAGTCACAGGTTTAGCGATAAGCCCCTTATCTACCTCTGCCTCGATTCGGCAGAGGAGGCGAGTAGAGCCGTGGATGAACCAGCAGGGAATGTCTTTGTGGTAACAACGGGAGCAGCGGACATCCTCGTCACTACTAGAACTAGTAGAATCAACATATATTTTTGTCAGCAAGTAAACAAGACTATCGCATAGAGCTATCAGAGGATACACTTTTTACACATCGAGTGCATTCGAGCGAGTGAGCACGGTACTCACGCTATGCCCCTGTAACACCTTGATCCTGCACGAGCGCAATTCTACTCAGTCGTAACGGTGTCAGTCAATCAGGTCTAGGTCAGTTTTCATGTGACTTCGCGGGTGCCATGCAGATCTACTAGCGTTGTGAGGACTCACCTCGCATGCGTATAGAGCGGGTATCTCCCTGGCATATAAGATCGTCATAGCGGACACCACCACTCTGTGTCCGATGTATCGCTCGTCCAGTTGAATTAGGAGATATACCAAGTCTAGGTACGTATCTCGCTGGCAGGAAGTTCTGACTTCGTCCAGTTTGAAGTAGAAATCACTGTCCTCCCAAAAAGCTAGACGTTTGGCGAATAGCGATAGAAAAGTAGCAGCAGCAGCTCCATATTGATATCTCCCACAATAATCGGCCCGCCATTCCGAGAGATCCGAGTACATGATTCACGGCGGCGTTGCGAGCAATCGAGGAGGTGTTGCGAAGAGTCGAAGAAGATAGGCTTGTTCCGTCGTGCCTCTATGAGGGGTCAAAGGGTCCATATCGAGAACTCAAGCTCGACTTTGACATGACGTTCTTCATCTTGCACTTGATGATGAGAAGAATTTGATGGCTCGACGTATCGAACAAAAGAAAGATGAACTTGTGTGTTTCGAATCGATCTGTGACCCGTGGGAAAGCGGCGAGTCGTGGCATTCCCCATCTTTTAGACCTGGTATCTCTTGTGGCTAGCTTATGGCGAACTATGATGGTGAACCGAGGATCTCGGGATAACAACGAGTTGATTGAGAACGTACCCAGGTTTACAGTGGTACAGTGGACGATAGAGGTTCGCGGTGAAGCTCACTTTCACAACAAACGTGCGATGAGAGCTCGACTATATTCACAGTTGTCGCAACAAGGATTTCACATGAGGTCTGAACTATTCTACCAGCTGGGTTAGGTCGGATCGCAGGAGTTGATACACAATTCCCATCCGCCCAAAAAGTGATATGTGGAATTCGCATTCAAACCGCAACCTCCCCGTCGAGCGTACGTACAGGTTGCCATACAGTCAAATCCTCACAGCACGGTTCACGATCCGAGATCCCGAACGACGTTCCGCTTCTGCAACACTGCATATCCTCTCTCTTCTTTGTATTATAAGGTATTCGTGGGAAACATACAACCGAGGTATTGTCATACAGTTCCGATCCGGTTCGTCATCTATCGCCATCCATCGTCCATCGTCCGTCGTCCACATCCCTTCCGCTACCCCATAACCGTTTCAGCTGGCGTTCGAGTTCCTGTCCATGAGACGTATCCGACAAGCAGATCGTTTTGTTTTGAGATAACTCATGGACCTGTAGCTTCTTTCGTCTGATTCCCTCGAGCTTGAGTCTGTGCTTCGAGGTCCACGTCGAGCAGACGAGAAGCCGCCATGAACCTACAGTCCGTTCACTCCATCAGCGAACGAATAAAGTAACGCAACTTACAAACCTCGGTCCGATTTCACAGAAGGACTCACTGAGATCCGCAATACGCCCCGAGCTTGGCCATGCTCTCCAACTGTTTGGCCATCTCCCCCATACATTGCTCGGTGACGACGAGTTCGTTCTGGAGCGTCTTGATCCGGGACGCGAGCATGGCGTAGTGTCGGGTCTTTTGGGACGAGGGTTGGTGTACCATGGTGAAGACTGAAGAGGGACCTCTGACAGTTTGTAGTACGATCTGTGGTTCGTTTTCAGACTTATGTGGTTTCCTGGGTCAGGTAGTTGAAGGCAAAGCAGGAGAGTCATACCTACATGGTGCATGAAGGTGCGGGGTCGAGGCTTTGTTGACAAGTCTCGACGACAAACAAAACAAGAGCGATAACGAGCGCGAGAAGTCCAAGGCCAAACGTAGGGGCATATCCGTTCGTACTCTGTTTTCGTTATCAATTCCTCGTATGCAACCTGCAACCTGCAACCCCATCCTCATCGACACTCGACCCAGACTCAACGATGATGAACTCTCGCAAATCCATGGCCGCTTCGGCTCCGACGTTCGTCGCTACCAACACCGCCGGAGGATACAGGAACGCCGCGGGCGCGAGCGTCGTCGGACAAGGTGGTCAGGAGAATGACGGACTGACGTTCTTTGAGAGGGAAAAGGCTAGGTTGATCGAGGAGATCAATGGGGTGAGCATGAGCAGCTCAACCAGCAATCATCAATGTCTCACATGAGCTGCAACACGGGTAGCTGATTTCAGTAGCAACGTGCCTCCTCATAGAACTTTGAACAACTGTTGAATTCGAGCAACACCCTCAATCGAAAGCTGGAAGAAGTGCTAGGCGTCGGCAAAGAATTCCAAACAGTGGCCGACCTATGGGGGGTGAGTCGAGATCTGTGCATCCCTTGCGGATACCATCCTTGAAATGAACCACTATCCTAATCATGTATATCTCGCGACAGAAATTCGATCATCTCATTAGAGAGCAAAAAGTAAACACCCATATCCCCCAACTCCGTCTTGTCCCTCGTTGCCTTCTCATCTGACCTTTCCTCCCACTTTTCACACCATCTAGCCGGAAGAAACACCACAAAACTCGCACGATGGCCTGAATACCAGCGGCCGGCCGGCAGGGGACGGACTGAGACAGAGCGTAGGGATACCTGGGACCGGGGGACGGAATTACGGAGGAGTTTGATCTCCTCTCCCATCGCTCTCCTTTCTACCTTTGTGTCGTCATCTTCCTTCATGATTCGGAACACATTCCTGGTCTGTGTCAAGAGAAACAGTTGTATAAGATCGAACCCGGTGTACCAATTCTGTAAAATCGAGACCCAGCCTTGATGGCTGCATGTATTCATATTTCTTTTCAAGACTATTCGATCGAACACGATCGTGATCATGTCATGGACCAGCTCCCACCATGCCCATACAGACTCCCACCCATCTCTTTCCTCCTGCCGAGACCCAATGCGCTACCGAGAGGTGGGACGAGAGGTTTCCTGTCCACGACCGAGGGACTGGCAGCCGTCGTCGTCGTCGTCGTTGGTGTTGCCGCAGTCGATCCCGGTGTAGCGGTACTCGTACCCGTACCCGTACCCGTACCCGCAGCAGTAGTCGACCCACTTCCGATCTTCTCCCTCTCTCGTTCCCTCTCTCTCTCCCTCTCCCTCTCCCTCTCGACCTTGTCCTTGTTCTCCAGCCGAACCCGCTCGGCCTCTTTTTCCCGGGTCTCGCGTTCCCGTTCCCTCAGATGTTTATCTCTGGACCAAGAATCCCATTCGCTCATCCTCAACAGGCCCAAACCCCCGCCGTACGGGCTGCCATACCCGCTTCCGAGCAGACTTCCACCTCCTCCAAAGCCCAATCCACCGTACCCTGTCCTTCGGCCGTTGATGAGTTCCCTCTCCCTGGCCTGTCGAGCGCGCAAGACTTCGTCGTCTTTGGTTGTACCGCTGCCTGAAGCTGACGCAGGTGCGTGGGACGAGGTCGGTCGGCCTGTAGAGGTGGGGTTGGAGACGACAGGTTCGGCGAGCTTGTCGTTGAGCTGACTGAGCAGTCTCTCGGTCTTGCTCAGCCGCTCTTCCAGCCACTTTTTGCCCTCCAACAGGGAATCCCGGTGGTCTTGCAGTTCCTTGCGGGTCAATGCGTTCATGGTCGGCGAAGCCTTGACCTGAGCGGGCGAACCGGTAGGACTTCCCGGTCGTGAGCGCGAAGCGATCAGGGGGTTGATCCATGATGCCGGGCGATTGGAAGAGAGGTGTGACGAAGTAGAAGCGGTACCCTCTTTCGTCCTGTCAACCTGACGTCCGAAACCGTATCGTTCGTTATCAAACATGGATCCGCCGTATCGGTAGGGCGAAGGACGAGCACCGATGGCAGCTCCACCGACGTAGGCCGATCCGATCATCGACGAGGTTCGCGAATCGGTACGGTTCCCGTTGGCAGCCTCGCTCTGGGCGGCGGTATTCGCACCGTTCGTCGGCGTTGTCCCGAGCCTTCGGTCTCGCTCCCGAGCAGCATCCCGCATTCGTTCCCTCTCCAAATCGACATGATCGCGCGCCCTCATCTCTTCCTCGTCCTTTTTCTGCTCGGCCCGCATATGATGCCAATCCAACAGTCGTCGATGACGCTGTTCTTCCATGGAAAGCTGCGCGAACTCGTATTCTTCGTCCGAGCCGTAGAACGAATACGGTCGAGGACGTGGTCCACGGTAGCCTCGAGCTGGTAACGACGTCCCGTCCATATCTCGTTGCCTTGCTGGACTCAAAGCTCGGCGTTTCGGCGAGTCCATGGCATTCGCTCTAGCCTTTTGAACTACCGTGTCCTCGATGCTCTTACGTTTCAATCCACGAGCGTCGAGCGATTTCGAAGCGACATCCTCCGTAACTCTGCTTGTCGAAGCGGCGCTAGGCGGTCGGTCAATAGAACTGACCGGCGCAACGGATCGACTGTTGGGTCCGATGGAGAGCAACGTCTCGGCTGCGAGTTGATGGGCGGCCTGGGATTTCGAATGATAGACAGAAGAGGTCAGTATGAGATGAGGCGATGTAGCAATGGGCGGCCGTCCACGTACTCCTTCTTCAGCGGCAGCTCGTTCAGCTTCCGCGACATCGACGTCCATGTCGATATCGCCTCCTCGCGAGACGGTAGACTCGGGAGGCGAAGGAGCGGCCGAGGCCGTCTTGGACGCAGCGGCCGACTTGCGACCTCGTTTAGGCTTGGAGACGGGAGTCGCCACGACCTTGCTCTCGATCGGGAATTGCGCTGGCAAGATTTCATCCTGTTCCCCAGCAGGACCCGCAGATCCACGAGATGTAACGGCAGGAACGCGTTTTCTCCGCTTGATGACGGTCTTTTTCATAGCCACAGGACGAGGCACACCATGCAGTTTGTGGTATAGGCCTGCGACGCCATCGGAACGTCAGTTATGGCCGTTACAGCTGATTCATACATCGCGACTCACCACACGCATTACACTGCGGTCGACCCTCGTCGTCCCGTCTCCACAACGGCGTCGTGCTCGTCCCACAATTCCGACAACTCATCCCGATAGGTACCGCCCCATTGGCCGGACTGACGAGCGGCAACGTCGTCATGCCCGCACGTGGACTGTCCTGCCCATCGCTTCCTGCACGTCGTCGTCCGCCGTTTTGACCAGGATTGCCACGCACATTGGCTTGAGGAGAAGCTGTCGAGGGTGATCTCCCATCTGTGGCGCGAGACTTGATCAGCGTGATGGTTCAGCATGCGTCGGGACAGGAGCCAGCACTGACCTTCTTCGTCTGTATACCTCGCGCTCTTGCTCCCTGGCGACCTGACGCTCGATTTCCCATTCATATTCTGCGCATGACTCGCTGCTATCAACGGGTTATACCCCGGTTCGACCCCTTCCATCGGACTTGCACCCCCGGCTCCTAGCGCATACCTCTCCCTGTCCCTGACGGCCTGTTCCTGCTGCCTCCTCGCCGATCCCGCACAGGTCGACTGTTGTTGTTGTTGTTCGTCGAGGACGACCTTGCTCGAGCTATTATTATACGTCGGACAACCTTCACAACCCATCTTGCCGCCCGTCCCGTTACACCTCCCATCCCCAGGACAAGACCCTACAGGCGGTGGAGAATCCGGTCGCGTAGCCTCTCTTGTCCTATCCCGTCTGACGGATCCTGCTCGCTCGATACCAGAGATCGACGGTCCACTAGGGTGCGAGGTAGAAGCCCGCGGGTCGGCCATAGGACTAGGTCTATCCCTGGATCGGGAGGGCAACATCATCGTCCCCCTCGGTGTCAACGCGGCCCCGATAGGCGGTAACGAGATCCCCGAAGAAGATCGTCCGTCCCGAAGTCCATTCCCATTCCCGTTCCCGTTCCCGTGACTCGACAGGTCTTGTCCTCGTTCACGTTGAAGTTCACGTTCCCGTTCTCGTTCACGAGCATGAGGAGAATGCAACACCGGCAAATGTCGCGATTCGCTCAACAACGACGAATGCGTATGAGCTCGTTCCATGTGATGATGCTGCGGGGGAGGGAGAACACCCCGATCGTGCCCGTTCATACCTCCGCCAAGTCCTCTCGATCTGACATCGCCATCACCATCACCATCGCCGTGCCCATCCCTCTCCTGCGAAATGCCCCTCTCCACGGGACTCTGAGGAGGACTATCCGCATAAGTACCCCGGGAGGTCGAGACGGGGTGTTGGTACCCGTTCAACAAGCTCGGTCTTGCTCCGGACCCTGATGCTGATGCCGAGACTGACGCCGAGGCGGATGTCAAGGTGGAAGACGGGTGACTGGGAGAGTGGAGCGAGTGCGAATTGTGGGGACCGGGGAAGAAGGAGCTTGATCGATGTGAAAACGGGCTGGGCCGGGTGTCGCCTATAACCAAACGTAAACGAAATCACGCAATCAGCGTCAATTCAGCGTGTCGTTTCGTAACAATCGCAAGACTGGATCTCAGACTCACCTCGACCCCCTTCCTCTGTCGGACTCTGACCCCTTCCAGACCGGTCCAACAACTTATTCATAGAGGAACCCGCTGTCCTGCCGTGTCCGTTCCCATTCCCATTCCCATTGCCAACACTAGCTCGTTCTCTCGACCTAGATCTCTCCCTCTCTCTCGACCTAGTTCTAGATCTGGATCTAGACCCCGATCTCGACCTCGAATCGTGTCGCGGTCGAGATCGATCTTCCTCGGCTCCGATGGCCATGACCTCTTCCTCTCGTCTATCGGTTCTCTTTTTGTATCCTCCCGTGGCAAGAAGGAAAGAATGCAAGAATTCAACAAAGAGAATGTAGATTGTGTCTTGTGCTGTTGATGTTGCTTAGTCTAGATGGACTGCGTGTGTGGTCGTGAACGTGTGATATGTAGGTGGCGGACGTGACGAGAACGACACTATCGTATGCCGATCTTCAAGCGATTGCTCGAATAGGTTATCGTATACGAAGCGGACGAAGCCCGTCGAGTCGCAGTATAATAAGTATATGTCGTCTTTTGGCGAAAACGCACGACGCAAGATGCAAGACGCAAGGACGATAGACGATGTCGATGATCTTTCAACGTCGGGTCCGACGATCTTCCTCGTCTCGTTTCTTCTTGATTATGTGATCCGAAGTCCGCCGCAGACGTTGAAATCCCACTCTTTTTCCCGGTGTCAGCCTGGCCTAGCCCGATCTAATGACGGTTGACTTTTCTCTTCTCGCAAGATCAGGAAATGAGAGAAAGAGAATATACCTGGAACGAAGGAGAGTGGACTAAGTGCCGCGTGTGTGTGTGAGAGCTGAGAGTGAATGTGAGGCGTGTGTGGGAAGATCTTATCACGGGTCAGCGGTGATCGAGAGCAAGGCAAGGGCAAAGGAGGGGGGGGCAGACCAGGGCACGCGAGAAGGCTCAGGTCAATCCCAATTACCAAGGGGGGCGTGAGATAAGATTGAACTGGGGGCGGCAATCGCAATCAGTCGATTATTTAACCACAACCCGCAACCCGCAACCAGCAACCAGGACCATCAATAATGCCAACGCTGGCGCCGGGTCGAGCAGAACGTTCCCGAGCACAACACATAGGGGAAACAAAACGGTCACCCGGGTATGGACGATACGGTCTTGGGACCTAGGGTTAGGTGATGAAACCTGATCTTCCCACCTTCGAGGTCCGAAGATCCGGGATTCGGCAAGCACGATGCGCGAAATGCGATTTGTGTACTTGTGTGATCGCGTTGCACGTTGGCGCTCTTTTTTCTTTTTGCTGATAGCGATAAAACCCGATCAAGAGCGGCCGCCTACAGTAGTCACACACCCGTCCTCATATCTCTCCTTCGTCCCCTTTTGCTTTTGCCGGATCATGCGATGAGATCCATCTCTACTCAACTCATCGTGATGGTAATGGTAAGGGCACCCATCGTCCCAAGACTGCGAAATCGCGATCTCGGTGATGATGCCGACCCTTCGCCTTCGAGAAAAAGCTACGAGGGACGAGTGAAATGAAAAAAGCAAGCCCGGCGATTGGCCGATAATCCTCCCCCCCCTCGCTCGTCTCATCTGCATCCGCTCGTTACCTGACGTCGACGTCTTCCCGGTCGGGGCTCGGTCGGGCGGGAGCTGGGAGTGGGATGGAAAATAAACCTTGATTGATGATCCCGTCCGTTGTCGGATGGCGTCGTTTGCTACGAAAATACAATCGCGTTCGGGATCGCGGTTCTCGGCACCTAGGTGCTAGGTGATCTTACTCATTCGAGGTCTATGATCATCACCCATGCAACACCGAATATGATCGCTGCAGACCGAGAACGAGCCCGATTCGAATACGACCTTCTTAAAAACTCTTTCGCCTTTCGTCGGCGGTGTTTGTTGTCCCCCCTACCTCTCGGGCGTCGGAGAAGCCCGAAGACGCAAAGTGCCCACGTTGTCCTGATCTGATCGCTGATCAATCGGCCTCGCGACTCGCGATCGGATCAGATGGAAAAACACGACTGCGGGATCAGATCTCGGCGCCGAAAGGGGGTGATGGTGGCTAATTGGCCAATAGGAAGTAGGGTATTTGATCGCACTCAGAAGGGGGATTGAGGATTGGGGATTGGGTTGGGTGCGGTTCGACTGGTGGTACGTTTCATGAGCGATCGAGCGGTGGCTTTTGCTGGTCGTAATGAAACGGAGAAATCTTTGCGATTCGAGACATGACATGCTCGTCTGCTGTTACAAGCATGATTCTGGCAAAACAAGAGACGAGCTATCGTAGCTTGACGAGATTCACACACCAGATACAGCAATGATGCTCCTGAGATCAAGCGGGATTGTCTGGTTGCCTTTGCCGGAATACAAACTTCTTTTCCTTCGGGGGAACCTCATCGCCCAATCCGTTCTCGTCCCTTTTCCGTTTGACCTTCTCTCCCTCATCGACCTTTGGATGCTCTTGGTGCCAAGCATAAATCCAAGCCACAAGATTCCTGTGTGCTTCGAATTCTAGTTGAACGGAGCCGACACCTGACATAGCCAGGGCGTTGGCCAACCGTTCTTCGTCGATGTCAGACAACCATGGACCTTCCTTGTGATTCTTCTTTTCATCACGCTCCATGCTCCCCATGCTCTTCAAGTGCTCTTCGGCTGACTGTAAGAGCTGGCCTCTGCCCCCATGATAGCCGTTCTCGACTACGAGCCCTTCGACGTAGGCGTGGAAGATCTTGGGAAACTCCAAGGCTTCCAGTATGTCTTCCAGCCCTTCCGAAATGTCATCTTCGGGGAAATAGACGTTTTTAGACTTCTTATCTCTGAATAGCCGGTCCAGCTCCTCCCCCAGACTTTCGACGGGCAGGTAAGTCTCTTCGGTAGGGTCTCTTAGGTAACTCTCCGCGAGCCCTGTCCATTCGTTGAGCTTGGAAAGCGCTTCTGGATCGTGCAAAGAGATGTTCCCTCCGACTATCTCCAGGTAGGATCGGTCGAGGTGATTGAAAAGGACGGAAGCATCGATCAGGCTGACAGGTTCCGTCACGCTGAATACAGCGGATGACGGAGGTGGGGAGGGCATGCTGAGATATTCTTCGATCAGGGTAGTGAATCTGTTGGCGATCTCTGCGATGAACTGAGATGCTAATCAATTATCAGCCGAAGAACGAGCTCAAGCTCACGCTCACTTGGAGAACCCTTATATCAGCAGGAAATCGCCTTGCTGAGCTGAGAACCCTAGCCTTTCTTTGTTCAGCTTGAATTGACGCCGATCGTCATTCATCATGCTATTTGGCCGAGGAGGACCTCGAGGCTTTCTTACGCTCTTCAAGGTGTGGCGATCGATCAGTAACGACATTTAAGATACAAGGAATGGAGCTCGAGACAAACGGTAGTCGAATACGGGGTATGCTGAGCAGATTGGGTCTCGCAGCTACGATACAACATTCTTGGGTGATCGAGCGGCAGCGTCCAGTTGGCCTTGCTCTGATTCGAGTTCCTATTCGCATCCTCTCAAGAACAAACAGGCTATACCAGATTGCTAATATTCCATTTTTGCGCTTAAAGGGAGCCCGATGAAGCGAGAGGCACAATTGTAGTAAGGGCCAGACCTGAATCGAGAGGCAGTTGCGGATATTTAAACGCGATGGAGCAATGAAACATGAAACCAGAGGAAGCTCGCATCCAAAACGAATGCGACCCACCGAGAAATCCACAGATCGAGCCTTTCGGAGGACTCGAATAAGCACTTGGTCTGATGGCGATGTTTCAATACCTTATTCCGCCCGTAAGTCCCCTACCAATATCTTGTCAAGCATCTTCGCCCCTGCCGATAGCGCTGACTCGATGATCTGGTACGAGAGTCTGGTGGGATAACGCTAGCGAATTGCACTTAGTAAAATCAGTCGTTCACCATGGCTATGCATTCAAGTTGAATTCTATATAGAAATCTGCTGGGAAAGAGCTGCACTACTACATGTTACTTAACAATACTACACTCTGTCGAAGAAAAGGGCAGGCAAACATGGAAGGCGCTTCGACGATCGACCCGCAAAGTTGAGCATCTTGAGCATTCTAGCATTCTAGATACCTTCTTGATTCAAGGGCTACTCGAAATCGATCAATGACATCGGTTTCTGTCGCTCTATCTCTGATCGATCGGAAGGTTATTTGGGCTCCACCAGACCCATTGCTTCCAATCGTTCGCGCTCGCTGGTCTGTGCTTGCTCTGCCAGCCGCTTCTCCTCCTCGCGTCGCTCTTGCGCTATGATCGGTTGTATCCCACGAACGAGAGTCTTGAAGGTATCCGCGTCCGGATATAGAATGTGCCCAAATTTCTCGATCGTGACCACAGCTCTGACCAAGCGCGGGAATTCATCCTTATTCAAAGGTACTGGGACTTTCGCTTCACCATCGCATACCGAGAGTCGATCGGCCTCCATTCTTGCCATCAAATTTTCCATGAAGGGTATGCGTCCTAATTGTTTTGAAGTGGGTTCCAGTCGGACGCGATATGCTTCAACGATGTATGGGATTTGTATGACCGTTTCTAATGCGTGGAGACCCCCGAGAAGTGCCTTGCCGTTACTTATGTATGAGTAAGAATAGCGCGGTGCAGTGTCAATCTGGCGGACCAGCTCATCGCCCTGAATTTTTTTACGGATCTGTAGGTCTCCTCGTTGGGACTTCCCAAATACTGTTCCACGCTTTTGGTCCATTCCGCAATCCTTGACTCGGCGTCCGGGATTGTTTCAGCGATGCTTCTGAGAGTCGCTTCCATATAGGATCGCTCGAGGCTATCAAAGATGCTGCAGCGATCGGGGACACTGGTGTTAGCTGACAACAAGGACATCTGTACTGTGGTGATGAAGTGCTCTTTGGTGACAGGATGGAGGTTGAATAAAGTGGCAACGGTCTGCCCTACGCAGAAGGAGGCAAGGATTTTGATGAATCCGAGTTCGGCACGCCTTTATAGTTTCCTGTCAGCCGTGGAGAAGCAAGACAGAATCGACTACCGTAGGCGGAACTGGAATCTTCCTTTGTTTGGGTTTCGAGAAGCCTAGGGTTCTCAGCATCGTCGCTATCTCCTACCACAAGGTCTGGTCACTAATGCTGCAAGCCTACGATGGCGATAAGCGGAAGAAGCCTAGCCGGACGCCTTTGTCTACCGGTTTTGGTGTCGAGTCGTAGCAGGGGGCTATGCCGGACTTCCTTTCATCATTGTCGTCACACACGTATAGCCTCGCTGAACGCCCGACAGGATTCAGGACCTGTTTGCTTCGTTCTGAGGTTAGAGGTTCATGCACCAGCACTGCGGCGATAGCTATCTTGGCCAGGCGCTCACTGACATCGTGATCTCGTTGATTCATCGGGCTAAACGTCACAAATACAAGCAAAACACTGAGTTCTACCTTTGCTTCTGGGAATCGATGAAGACATGGTCAAGCATCTTGCGAAGATGCTTAACAAACACAATCGAGCAGCGGATTCGACAATCGCTGTAGACCAGATCTGCGGCCCGACGGAGAGCAGGCGCTGGGTCGGTAGCTTGGTCAATGGGAACGATCCAATCTCACTAGAGGAAAGGACTCGCTCGATGGTCCAGTTGATCTATTTGCCCTGATACACTGCAACCCGGCCTGACATGACCGTCTGTGCTCGCATACGCGTTCACGTTGTGGCTGTTGCCGCGATACAGAGAAAAGGGAACGGTTCTCGTAAGAGGGAAATGTGCCTGAACCTTCACAGCCGATAACTAATTGATCTCGTCTAATCTATGTCTACAACAAAACAATCGCTAGGAACACTACCAATCTGATCGTTTAGGCCTAGTTCCTACTTGTCTTCGATGTGCCCAGCTGACTGAGGAGGGAGGAAGGTTGGCTCTGGAGCGAGCATTTCGACATTTTTGTTGTCGTCATCGCTCGACCGATAGTCAAGAGGTTTGACTTCCTCTTCCGCTATCTCTTCGAGAAATTCGACGTCGTCTTTCGCCTTTTGTCCTCGCTTCCCAAACTGGTATAAGTAGTGGAAAGCTCGGTACATCTCCATCGTCCAGCAGCCGTCATAGATCATTTCCAGTGTCAATTCGGCCAATCTCTCCTTCACTTTGAATTCGAGGTGAAGTTCCCCTCCACTTTCAAGCTCAAGCACAGCGAAGTCGACTTCAATGTCTCTCAGAAGGGTTTTAGAGCTGATGCGTTTTTCCTCATCGAGTCTCCTTCCCTGGATATAAGCTTCGTACACCTTCGCGATGTTTATGGTCTGATTCATGTTCCTCTTTGTGTCGCGGCACAACTTCGATGCGTTGAACCGGCCCTTCTTATCAGTGAGATTCCCCTGATGAATCTCGACACTAGCGTCCCGCGACACAAGCGACCCCTCGTCCTCGCTTCTGCTGTATTCAGCGGTGGAATTCATGACATCGAGGTAAGGTTCAAACACGCCCGCCTTGATGAGGCTGGTGATCTCAGCTCCAAGACTCTCAGACGAAGCATCGGTAGCTGATGGGTCGAGCACGAACCTGCCGGTCCCGGTGCTGAAAGAGACAGGCGGAAAGATAGACATCAAAGTCCTGGACTGGCGCGATAGGTTGTCCGTTTGATCTGCTGAGAGGACATCCATTTCGAAATATATGTGAGGTGTAAGGTTATTTGCTTAGTTATTTATTGTACGAGAGTATGTAGGGAATGTTTTCGTGTCAGTGAAACTGAATAGACCGATCCGTTTAAATACTGAACCAGGCGAGAGCAATAGCACCAAGATGGCGAATATGATCTCTGCTTCCTTTGATGCATCCTGTGACGGGGAACCAATCGCAGTCGTAAGCTGCCAGCCGCGGCGGAGGAGCTGAAACGTGTCGACATCTCGCGCGATGTGCGCCACGCGCTTAACGGCCTTTCATCGAGGTCCTCTCCGCCACCGAGACCTCACGGCCTGGAACGGTAATATATCCCTAGATCACCTCATTGAAATCTCTCGCGGATTGTGACACGCTGAATCACATGACGGTGAGTGAGATGTCGTCATCAGGCTTTGGAACGACCAGGCAGGATCGTGACCTGACAATCTGCTGACGCCATGTTGCCCGGCGTGGTCTACCGAATGACGACATGCGACAGATGCCCTTTGAGGACCATATATTATGGTTCTTGGGTCGTCTTTCAAGAATGCTGAACAAAGGGTAATCACCCTTGGGAATTAGATGGTGGAGAAAATCCGTGTACTCACTCGTATGTACGTTGTCCGTTGGAGTCTTTTGACTGCTGAGCTTGATATCTTCTGCAGCTCAACGGTTCGACCAGAGTCTTGTATCGTCTAGATACCATGATGGTGGAGCAACGTCCAGGAAAACGTAACAATATTCAAGCAAGAGAACGCAGGCACAGATCGTGTAGATATGATCACGAGAGCATCGAAGACGTGGGTCCTCCTGGCATTACATAACAGAGTAAACAACCGCTTGAAGTTCCGCCAGAACTGCATGCTTGTATTATTGTCAGGATCTTTCGAGTGATTTGCGGAAGTCGTGGCCCGTGGTTGGAGCACGCTATGATCTTCCATCTCTCATCAGTCGTGCATACTTTTACGCTTACAATCCTCGAAACATACCGCGAAAGTGTGACATGGCAACTATTTCTTTTCTTCAGTTTCAGGGTCTTTGTACCTCTGCGGGTTACGAACTCTGTCAACTTCTTCTTTCGTCAGGCGTCCTCCCCTGCAGAACGTTCCGATCAGGTTCGATGCTTTATCAAAGACAGACATTGAAGCTTCTTGACTCGCTTGTATCTCGGCGAATGACCTCTCCACCTCCGCGAAACACTTGGCTCTCTCTTCCTCTCGGGCCTTATGTAAGCTCAAGAATAACTCCCACATCTCCTCAGTCCAAATCCAATCAAAGTCGGGGTGGGTCGTCTTGTGGGTGTGACCAATTAACTCATCCAATCTGTCGCCCTTGATGACCGAGTCTGCCTGAAGACTCGCGAGCTGTCTCTTTGGCTTTTTCCTGATCTCAGGAGGGGCAGCGTCGATCGGTCCACCATTGTACCACTTGAGCTGAACTATGGGAACTCGCGACAGGAGCCACCGGGACTGGTAGTCTTCTCTCTCGGAGAAATTTTGCAATCTGACCTGCGGAGGTGTCAAGTCCCCCCAAGCCTGAGCTTGTGTGGCATGCTTGAACTTTCTAAGATGAATGTACTAGTCCGCCGCCGAGACCAAGATAGATGACAATAGGGTAGATCTGGACCACAGCTATCTCAGGCCAATTCTGCCCGTATCCTATGTCTGACACAGTCCCCGACACGGCCTCTATTGCATTCAATAGCTTTGATATTCTTCTTGACCTTGACGTGAGGGACTGCAGCCAGACGAAGCGAAGCTAAGAATCCACTTGCTTTGGCACCCCGATACAGCGTCAAGTTGTTGACGCCTACTTCATGGAACTCTCTGGTTCCATTTGACGGATGATGGATATGAAGGCCTCTGGTCAAGTCTCCAGCTTATGGGGATCTTAGAAATGTCCGTGCTGCGTATTGGTGGATCGGGAGATTTCAGGCTGTGCATCGGTATACGCAGTCGATGGCTGTCGTCGACCGGAAGAGATGGCCGCATTGGTTAGCAGGGAGAAGCTCGAGTCGTCGAGAATGCTGTCGTCGTTCATCGTATTGAAGCCAGTGCTGCGATGTAATAGCTAGCACAAAGGACGAAATGCCTAGGAGGCAGTCAACTCACTCGCTCGTCTCCATATACCATTGACTCGGGCCGCTCGTCCGTGTACGCAATGACCTTGAATTCGCGATCCGCCCCTCGCATCACCCGCCTCCCTTGTCCCTTCAGAGATATGCAGCACAACGGCCAGAGCTGCGGATTTTGCATCACGAACCTACAAGGATTTCATCATCAGGCAGAATGACGACAGGCAAATTTTGCACTCAATCTTCAGCTGCGTTGCTATTGGCAGCGCGGCTCTGAAACCTCATTGTCTAGGAGTCAATGAACAGCTCGTCGTACTGTATTACTCTTGTCATCCAACGAACAGAGGCTAGGAAGGTACCATAACAGACTATGACCGATGGCCGATGGATACCGTATTCATTTCATGAATAACCTACCGGCATCGCGGGAGGTCTGCTGCAAGATTGCAGTAGACGATCATTGCCTCTAATCGTTCGGGTCGCGAATACAAGAAAATCCGTTCGTCATGAAAAGTCGTAAGAGGTAGAACCCGGCGTCACATTCGTTTATCAAGATGTTCAGCGTCATTCCAAATAGCTCTTGAGATTCCGCACGACCCGTTCCTCCATGCGGAGCTTCTCCGACATCTGCGCTTCGGGTAGCCTTCTCAGAGGTTGCCATCCGCGACCCGGCTTGACCTGAGTGATATCGATGACGCTCGCAGAAGCTTGAAGGTTGGCCAGCTGACGCCACAGGTGCTTCTTTTGCACTGTGGTTGGCCGCTGGAAAACCGCTCCCTGTGGAGTTTGCGGTGATGAGTCAGACTCCGACGAAGCGTTGTCCTTCGCTTCGTCGGCGTCTAGCGCAGGAACCGATTCGATGGCGTGAGGGAGCGCAGGAAATGCCCTCATCTGCCCAAGAAGTCCTTCGGCCTTGAGCAAGATGTTTTCACGTCGGATTATGTCGATGGCCGTCTTGAGCTTGGCGATCTATCAATCGTTGTTCCGGATTAGTCGGAAGGGTCTCGAATCCTTCTAGACCGCTGACTTACCTCGTCGACTAGGTGAGTCGCTTGCCCGTCGTCGAGACCGCTTGCCACACCACCTGCTCGTCTAGGTCTTGCACCTTCACCTGTTTGGAGGGCTTCAGCTGAATGTTGCGTTATTGCCGATCCGGCTTACTTACCTGCAGAGCCCGAAGCTGACGACTGCCTCAGTTGAGCGTTCTCAGTCTCCAGGTTGGATAGCTCGAGCTGTAGCTTTTGTGCCTGTTCCCTGGCCTCTAATTCCTGCCCAGTCGCTCGTTTCAGGTTGACCTCCAGCTCGGACAGCATATCGGCCTGATATAGACAGTATTACGTTAGCATATGGTTGGTGCAACTGATCAGAGCGCTCACGTTTTTCTTGCTGTCTTCGAGCCGCCTGTCCATAAGTTCAAATTTGGCCCGAGTCTCTTCGAGGATTTGGTCCTAAAAAGCCGAGAGGGCTATCAGCGAACCCAACTAGGTGGCGGGCATCAGATGTAGGACTTATTCTTACCCTAGTCTTGATCTCCCGGAGTAACGACGTGATCTCCTCGGCCTGACTGACGAGGCGACTTTCTGCCTCTGCGTTTGCCACCAGATCGGCTCGCAGGGCATCTGCCCGTAGAACCCATGGTCCTGCGAACCCAGCTATGAAGTGGGACACGAGTTGAAATAAGAGCAGATCAAGCTTGACGTTAAAAAAGAGTGTCGCTCACTGTGGATGAGATTGCCTTGTTCGATTGCCGTCTGAATACGAGGGAGCAGACTGTTGAGATCGGTTCCGAGTCTGGTAACGAACATGCCGATAATGTCCCATGGCTTGATATCGCCTTGTGGGTTAATTGCTGAAGTGACCTCTAGCAAGAACTGCAAAACTATGGACAATCTCAAGGGTTCCTGACTCCCTCTCAGATCATTAAGATGGCCACCGATTTTTTGAGCGAGCTGAAGGCAGGCAATCAGATTCGAGAGGCGTTGGCTGTATCAATAGAACTCGACGTACCTGCACAGCTACATCGGTCGCTCGCGACACCGACTCTGAGATCATCCGCAGCGGCGTTTGAAGATCGTGTTCTAGCGCGGTGGACTTGCTGGCCACATTCCGAACCAATTCGACCAGTTTCCTAGATTCGCAGGATAAGTAACGTTTCCTTGTTACGAAGGCCAATCGTTCGTCTCACATAGAATTAAGCTTCACCGCTCGGACTTGATTCAAGATCCTCTGAACAGGTTCGAAAATTTCCTGCTCAATTTCAGGCACAGGATCCTCCACGAGAGCATCTACTCGGCAAAATAAGAACGAGCGTTGTCGCATAGACCGTCCTCTTGCACTTACCCGGATCATTGACAAGGTCCAAGATACCATGTCGTGCAAGACCGACGGAAGCAGCAAAGTTATCCAGCTCATAATCGAATGCTAGAGCGAATCCTAGCTGTCGCTCCGCGACATCCAGCTCAACTCCACTAGTGAAAGAAGACAGGACTTGTTCCAATTCGCCCACATAGCTGGAAAGGATCGGACGGATAAGTCAAGGCGCAAGTAGACAGCAAAGTTGCCCAGAACATACCCCGCCAGTTCAAGGGAGCAATCGCGCTCGCTGAACTCGTTCCTCCGGATCAGGTCGAACCAGTGGTCGACCTGCTCCTCGATCGGGGCAAAATCGATATTCAACCTTGCCAGGGCCAAGAATTCTTGAGGAGGACCCCGCATCATGCTGCCGGCCAAGCGTGCGAGAATGTTGGCAAAGACGGTGATCAAGCCTCGGACCTCGCAAACACCAGGCAGGCGATCGTTGTTGACGTCGATCAGGGCATCTGGCAGGTTGTGCATTTGGCAAAAGGTCGAAACCAGGATGTCCGCCTTGCCAGCAAGGCGGTGAACCAAAAGTACCGCATTTGTTGCCTCGCTGTCGGCTTCAAAGTAACTAGCAGGGAGGTATGCCTGCGAAAGTGTTCTTCAGTTTCCCGCTTGCACGATATATGCAGGCGCCAAGGCGACTGACCTGCATGATCTCGGTGTACTCCCTTGCCACCTTGGATTCAATTTTGGCGAGGGCAAGGTCGAGCACTCTTGCCTGTGTCTTGCTAGCCGAATTTTGCAACTTCAGATTCATGTTTAGCATCGCCTGGGATTGCGTCGACAGGTTGTGCGATTCGGCTTCAGTCTCGTGATGCTTGGCCCGCAGATCGTTCAATTCGCTGTAAGTAAAGAGAGGTTCAGTAAAGGTACCGGAGTTCATTCGGAGGGGAGAGATGTACCTCTGGAGACCTTGCACCAGATCCCGGAATTGGAGAATCGTGCCTTCTCGATCGGCTACCAAGACTTCCAAGTCCGCTTCGCGATCTTTCTGCTCCCGCAGGTCAGCCGCAAGGGAGTCTATAGAGAAGTATCAGCTAGGAGATGAGGGTCTTCAGCGACATTCTCGTCGGACTGACCAAGAGTGGCTTGCAGGTGTTTCTCGGTTTCTATGTGCCCCTCTTCCATCTCGTCATTCATCTCCTTGATCGCTTCCAGATCTTCGATGTGAATCCTCATTTCTTCGATTTTCTTTGGGAGGCGGAAGACAACTTAGCCCTCACGATTGAAATACAGCAGGACGTAGTTCAGACCTACCTCGCCCATAGTTAGCGTCCTCTCAGTCAACTGCTCCAGCATATCTTCAGCACCCAAAGCCACATCGAGCTGTTGCTTGAGGTCGTCGATCGCTTCTTCGGCATCTTCGAGCTGGCCTCGGACCTTTCCGAGTTCATCTAACATTCCCACCAAGAATCAGCTTTGTGTATATGGAACTTCAAGTTGAGACAGTAAGACCAACCTTTGAGCCGCCCGTTTCCGCTGGTCTCTTTTTCCAGCTCGGTGATTCTGGATTTCAGCTGCTTTTCCGTGTCGGTCGAGACATCTCGAAGCCTTTTGTAGTGAAGGACAGTCTTAAGCCAAGAATGCTCCAACATGATTTTCGTATCCTAGGGAGACTCACCTGACCAAGGCCTCTTTGAGTCGCTCGTTCTGTCTCTCGAGCTGGATGAGCGCCACCGACGACCGTTCTTCTCCAGGTTCCGCAGGCTGATCGTACTTGGCTGCAAACGGTCGATCCATAAGTGTCACGAACGAAATCACAAGTTTGCAATCGCAACTAACCAGCTTCCTCGAGCAAGATCTCATTATCCGCCTCGAGTCCCTGAACCTTTTCCACCAAGTCGTGCACTTGCGATTCCAGCGCGGCTACCTTCTCATCCGCCAACTCCCGTTCGACCAAGGCTTCTTCGAAAGACTCTCTGAGCTCTGCTTCGGTCTGGCTGCCTTCCTGGAGCTCCTTGACGAGAACACGTTGTGCTTTGAGTTCTTTCATGATCTCCCTGAACCTCGCTGTTGAGACGATTTACCCTAATCAGACTGGAATTGTATTGGCGAACGACAATCAGCACGACCTACTGGTGAGTTTCTGAAGATCTTCCGCCTGACGGTCGCCCTCCCCGACTTTCAGTTCCAACGACTTGATCCTCTCGGCATCTTCCACACGTCTCGCTTCGAACCTCCGAATCTTGTTGGCCATCTCCTCGATCTGACGTGCTACCGGCTTGCTGACTTCTCCCCCTCGATCCGTCAGACCACCCGCCGGGAGGGTAGTCTCGTTCGAAGGAACAGACTGGATAGGACCGACCAAGATGTTCTCCGGTATAGAACTCGCTGCGCGTTGCGACCTAGCCGCTCGAAAAAAGTTTGCCGGATCGGCCTGATCACTCGGACCATCCGCCCTAGCGGCATTGTCATTATCGTTGCTGTTCGTGGCCTCTTTCCGAGCGGACTGTTTGGCGATGAGGCTCTGAGCGAGTCCTCGTCCATACCGACGAGGTTCCACAGTGGTAGACGCTTTCGGGGTGGCTTGAAGTTCCTCGATCGGGTCTGACGTTTCTTCTTGTACCTCCAGAGTCCGGATCGATGCTGCAGATTGTCTTCCTTCCGTGGTTCGCTCTGCTAGCAGCTGTGATTGCGATGCCCGCGAGGACGGGCGGTCGTCCTCGCCCTCGATGTTCGACGCAACTGAAGAAGGCCGGCTCAGCCGAGAATGGGTCGAGGCCGAAGAACCCGGTCGGGTCGGTATCCGACCTGTACTGATAGCAGACGGTCTGGGAAGACCAGCCGATGTCGTCTGGCTGAGCGTCGAAGAAGGCCGAGGTGGGCGGGTCGTTGTGATCGGCCGGGGCGCCGGGGTCGGTGTCGAACTGGGTGAAGGGGTTGGCGATGAGGCTCGACGATCCTGACTGTCCGTTGGGGCTGGCCGGACGCTGCCTCTACGAGACAGTCCTGACAGTCCTGCTAGGTCTCGTGATGAAGATGAGGAAGTGGAGAGACCAGCAGCGGCGCGGGAAAGCTTTTGTTGAAGAGGGTTTGATGGCAGGTTGCTGCTAGAGCTGGCAGGTTGCGAAGGAGAGAACGCCTGGGAAGAGGAAGATCGTCTAGCAGGGGACGCATTGCCGGAGAGTACAGACAGCGATGAATGTGGTCGAGACTGAACAAGACCATCGCTGTGAGCTACGGATGTAAGCCTGATCAAAACGAACATACTCACGCTCGAAGCCGCAGAGTTGATGTTACCATCGACGGCCTTGATGGATATCGCTTTGACGAACACGCCATAGCGAGGCTGACAGTGGAAGTAGGTCGTTCCTTGCACGGTCCCGTCGTTCTTGCCATTCGGTTCGAAGCTATATCAAAGTGATCAACAACGATCAGGCAAGAGTATAACACAATGCATTCGTATGACAGTCATAGCTTACAGCTCTACCCCGACCCAATCTCCTTGTGCAAACGCCGGATTCGTACCGATCCATCTTACTGTGCCTTCACCAGTTGCGATCAGAACTCTCGACCCGATGGCGATACGAGGAGCAGCCATCTTGTTCTTGACGCTCGCTGAAGCCGCTGAGAGGTGATGTTACCTGTCTGACGATTCTGGTTGTGCTTGACCTGGAGGTCACGCAGGGGTATAGCTTCAGGCCACCATCAGCAGTTCCAGGCCCGTCCTGTCGTAGTCGTGCTGCTATTGTATTTCAAGCGATAGACATCTCGCATCATTCACCGATATAAGAAGAGCAGAGTGATTGTAGGTCACTAATCGCGAATTCGAATATGCTCCTCGGCTCGCGGCTTGACGTCACTTTTGACAGGGGGACAAAGTCCGAGCCTCAACATCTCATGTCTCAACCTCAACCCGTACACCGTCAGACCGACGACCGATCACGATAGCGTCTATAAATTGGCTTGTGGTATATGATATATAATCTTGCTACAACTACGCAAGTACAGACTTTGAGCTGACCCCCCGTAAAGTCACCTTCACTCATAGTCACGATCATAACGGTCTCCCAAGAGACAAAGAGTCCAACCCATTCGAACTCGCATTCGCTCGTGGCGGCGGTACGACCGACCTCATCGAAACCGGACTATCAAACACCTTCTGCTGCTCCTGTTGATTTCCAACCAAGAAGAATTCCGTCGACTTCGGTCTTTCCCTGGAATTCGCCGTGGTGTTTGTGTCTGGATTCGTATTGCCATTAGAGTTCGTGCTGATTTGCGTGTTGGCGTACTTGTGGCTATCCGGTATATGTATCGCAGGGATATTAGGTCGTCGGGATTCGAACGCCGAGTTGGTCCGGGACCTTCCTTCCGAAGGAGTAGAGCGGTTCGAAGAGGACCTCTCGATCCGTCTGGGATGGAATTGAGGGTCCAGCGAATAGGTCTCGGAGTGTGGGTTCCTGGTTAACGTAGAAGGGGGCGGTGTAGGGGTGGGCGATAAATGCGGGCTCGTCCGATTATAGTTGTGGTTCGCTTGATCTTTCCTAGGCGTCTGCCGGGAAGTGGAAGGAACCAGACCTCGTTCAGGATAAGCATGGGTTTTCGGCTGTCGCTCGCTGCTGGGTAAAGACCACATGCTCGAGCTGGGAGATCTCGCTTCAGGGGTGGTCAAATGGAACTGAGGTGGGGTCGACGGTCCTCCTCCTTGGATGATGGGAGAACCGATGTTGTTATTCCGACTTCCGGATCCAGCCCCCGTCGAGGCTTCTTCGCTGAAGACGGTGACAAACGACCCCTTGTTCGCCAACGTCCTGAAATACCCGGTACCTCCCGGTCCCAGCCCCGGTCCAGTTCCCATCCCAGTCCCATTCCCATGTCCATACCCCGACCCTGACCCCGACCTCGACTCCGCCCCCGAAGCCCCCGAAGTCCCCTGTATCCTCCTCAACCTCCTCGCCTCCCCAGCCTCCCTGATGGCGAGGGCGAATTCTCTAGCGAGCGTCGTCGAGAACGCATAGTCGAGCGCGGTGAAGGATTCGTTGTTCCGGGAAGAAGAAGGGCAGCCGAATTCGAGCAGGATCTTGATGCAGGCGAGGTTGTTCCAAGCCGAGGCGCTGCGATCGATTTTTTTGGCAGCGGTTTAGCAAGGCAGCAGGCAATGGACCAGGCGATGTAAGGAGTAGGAGCGGTGCTTACTAGTGTAACGGAGAATTGCCTTGCAAGTCCGTCAACTGCATATCCGCTCCGAGCTCACAAAGCGTCTAATAACATCATGAACGCACATATCAATCATCAGCCTTGGAACGTATAACACGATATCACACTTATCGTTCGGTGAATAAGAGATCATTGATTATGGGTTTTGAAGAAAAACTGACCCTGACCAACTCGGTATTCCCACTCTGACAGGCCATATGCAACGCCGTCTTCCCCGCCGAGTTTGACCAGTCTATCAGGTCGGGGACTGTTCATCATTCGAAATTTGCAAAAAAAAATCAAGGTTTGTGAGGATTAGCTCCCCATATCTCTCTCTCTGATCTTTCCCTTGACGGAGGTCTCGAACCGGAGAAGGATGACAAAGATAGATGACGAGATCGAGATAGCTATCACCGCCAAACTCACAGACATCCCAATACATGTTCGTCATCCTCAAAGCCGCCTGAAAGATCTCCACTTTCTTCTTCTCCTTCCCGCCCGTCGTACTCATGTTCGGACCGAAGCTGGAGTTCGGGGTGTTATAATTGTTGTTGTTATATTCGGGAGAAGGGAGGGAGGCTAGGAGGTGCAGGATCGTGCTATTCTCCGAATCCTAGATTTATAGATCAGGACCAACCGTCGATATCAGCATAGACTTTCCAGCACATCATCTGAATGTTATCGGTTCGGGAAGAGGACTGACCCTGCTCAGCTCGTCATCATCATGCCCAGCATCTAATAACAACCACTCGAAGACGTCCTTGGAGACGCTCAGTGCGGCCCAGGCGAGCGATGTCAGGCGCCTCTCGTCCGTGTTCCGGAGGTCTGTCTTGTACCGGAGCCTCATCACCAGATTGAGGTCGTTTTCTGTGCAACGAAGAGGTAGAAGAAAAGGGATGGTTAGATGTTGTGAAGAGGTAGAGACTAGACTAAATGCAGGGGGGTGGGGGTTTGAGGGACTCACTCTGGACGGCCTGACGGAGCCGTAATGAGGGATTTCGGGCCATGAGAGCCATGTTTTTCAGTGAATTCTTCAAGGTGGTGATGTCATGATAATTCGAGAGGAATGATCAGGAAAGCCTCTGAAGGTGTCGTCGATGGGTCCATAGATTGGAGTGGGAGTATGTTGTTGATGATAGGTCACTGGTCACTTGAGGTCGGGCACCATGACGAAGCATGAGCAGCAGCTACAAAGGGGGGAAGCAGCAATCACCTCGACCTCGACCCTTGTACAACTTCGCAAAAACACTACACTGCTACTATCGTAGTCACCACAATCAGCCTCAGAAGAGGAGATGACCTCGAACTAAAGATACCCACCCAATAAGACCATATAGCATGTCAAGATGAAGAACCAGCTACAACAACCTCGATCCCGCTACCATACCTATTGCCTCCGAGTCTCCTTGATCCCCATAACCTTGATCCTAGCCTTCTGCGTCCTCTTGACCACGCTCGACTTACTAGGAAGACCGGTCAACCCGGCTAGGAACCAGCATTTAGGGTGGCAGAGTTGGGATGTGGTACGGTATCCCAAGACCGAACAGGGCGTCATCTCCTCTGGCGAGCTTCAGGGGTCTAAAGCTGGAGGAGAGGATGATACCCCTGCGGATTCTCTGGGTGGCGAGGACGGTATCGATGGGATGGACTCGTCCTTTGCTCCAAGCTTACCTCTGGGGAACTGGGACCCTACTTTGAGGCATACGACGGGGTTGACAGAGGTCACGGTCATGCCCTGCTTCTTCCCACCTTGGATCTACCCCCGGTTGTGTAGCCCGCCTACTACACCTGAGGAGGACAAGTTGAAAGGGAGGTGGGTGAGGGTAGAGAGGGATCTGAACGTCAAGTCGGGGTTATGGTACCTGGTAAGTCTCGCCTTCGTTCACCTCTACCCAACTATCGAGGGATTGACAGACTCGGGCCTTTTTACTATCAATGAATCTATCGCCATCATACGTAGAACATCTACTACCGCCGTACCCGCCGCCTAGACGTCCCTTTAATAACCTCCCTTCTCCTCCTACCGGAAAGCGCCTCCCCACCGGGTCATATCAACCTCTCACAGTATACCATGGCAAAAGGGAATTTCCGGGACGGGGTGTGGCCGAAGCAGGAAGCGTTGAGGATGTGGTACAAGACCCGGGATGGGAACAAGGCTGGTCTGAGTAAAGGAGGGGTTCATTATAGGAATAAGAGGAGGGATAGTGGGGAGTGGTCGCAATGGGATACCGATCTGGAGGAAGAAGAGGAGACGGAACTCGAAGGACATTCTACATCTACCGCCAACGTTCACGCCAATGATGATGACGACGAGATCATCACCGAGATCGACGTCCTCTTCGGTGACAACAGGCCTTTTTGGTCTTTCGAGCGCGTTACCAACGGACCGGTCGTACAGCGGAAAGAGGGCAAGTGGGAGACGGTGGATATCGTGGTCAGGAAAGGGAATCCCGGTAAGTCTCTATGTTTTTGTTCAAAGCAGGTTGCAGGAAGCGGGTTGGCTCATGGGAGGCATGCTGGGATTGATGATAGTCACGCCCTTGGCGCCTGTTCCTCGATTTGGTAAGGATGGCAAGTTCAAGATCCTGTGAGTCTCACTTTCTCTACGCTTGTACAAAAAACCCCTTCGCTTGCCTCTGACTTTTGTGTGCTTGACGCATGGTAGGCAAATCGCAGACCTACATTATTCGGTCGGACATGGTGAATGCCGAGATACTCCCAAGCAGAACTGCGTAGGGGACGATGATACGCAAGACCTCTTGGGCAGGATGCTGGACGAGGAGAAACCGGACTTGGTGGTCTTTACCGGGGACCAGCTGAACGGACAGGAGAGCAGTTGGGATGCGAAGAGCGTGATAGCCAAAGTCACCGGGCTTGTCATTGATAGGAAGATCCCTTGGACGGCCATCTTTGGTGAGCCAGCCAGCTGTGTAGGGGGTTCTATGCGTGTGGTCGCTCGCTGACGGGTTTGATATGGGCATAGGCAACCATGATTCCGAGATTGCGGATGATCGAGCGGCGCAGATGAAGTATATGCAGACGCTGCCTTACTCGTTGGCCGAGCCCGGGCCGCAGGGTGTTGATGGGGTAGGCAATTGTAAGTCACGCAGTGGCAGACATTCAGCCGGTATGCAACTGATCTTCAACATTGTCGGATTGTAGACATCGTCAAGCTATACTCGCACGACGCGTGAGTGCTACCGAGAACGGTTCGTCCTTGTTAGCGTTCGGTAACTGATACACCCACGCACAAATCCAAACAGATCCATGATGCACCTCTTCACCCTCTACTTCCTCGACTCGCACGCTCGACAGAAACGTAAACTCCCCTGGGTGTGGTCGGACTACGATTACCTGAAACCCAGCCAGATCGACTGGTTCTTGAACACAAGCGCCTCGATCAAGCCGATCGAACGGCCTTTCACGCCTGATGGCGCGGAAGACCTGGGCAAGATCTGGAAGAAGCGGGCCGATGGGGGGAAGGCTAGGTTGGGGGATCGGGAGCAAAAGAGGACGTTGGCGAAACCGAACGCGATGATGTTCTTCCACATCCCGTTGATCGAGAGCTATATCCCGATGGATGTGGACGAGGAGACTGGGGAGGAAATGAACGTCGGTATGGAATTGGGCGGGGACGGGCCCGGGAGCAGCAAGACGAACGGAGGATTCTTCGAGAACGGGTTGCTGCAGGCGCCGGCTGTTCCGGAAGACGTCGCCGATCAGGAAGTCAATATGGATCGGATGGGAGGATTAGAAGTCAAAGTTGTCGGACATGGCCATTGTCATAGTGAGTCCAGGGGCGCAATAATTTAGTTTCGCTAACGAACTCGCTGACATTCCGTTGTATGATTTGCAGACACCGACCATTGCAGGAGAAATAACGGGATTTGGTTCTGTTTCGGCGGTGAGACTTAAATTAAATGCGGTGGCGATGAAGATCGCGCAAGCTGACAATCCTATTGCTACGGCAATGCCAGGCGGTAGCTCATACGACGCCTACGGAAACATGGAGTTCGACCGGAGAGTACGAATCTACGAGATATCCGACTTTGGAGAGACGGTAATCACCTGGAAGCGGACGGAACACGACGAGGTAATCGAAAAGCAGTTGCTCGTTAGCGATGGGCAATCTATGAACGTCAAGCTGGTCGACTAGGCATGGCGGTCCACTTGGAAGGCTTGCATCTCTGCAACGGACGTGTATATAGACAGACAGAGAGGTCCGTACCGTTGTAACTTGACTCGTATGATGAGCGCACCATACCCCATACCATCTAAGTCCCCATGTAGAAAGGTACCTTTGAGAGCTCTACAACGGAGATCAAAAGTATAACGCTTCTTCGCTCGACAACAGGCGCAACGGCCCTTTTTACCCGGTATCCTACCGGTACCCCTTTTCTTCTTACACCTCTCGTTCTGATGATCTCCTCGCTCTCCGACTCCTACGTTCCCTCTCTGCTCTAGATTCTTCCACCGGGATCGGCCTGTACTGACAGACCCGATCGTGACGGGCGCACTCTTCGCACGGTTGATCGCCCGAACACTTGATTTTTCTAGGGAAAAGAAACACGTAAAGAAGTCAGCTCCAGCCTTCTGTTCCACACTGGTTCTCCAATCATGAGGATTACCTTTTGCGGCATATAATGCATGCCATTCCCATCCTTGTCGATTTGACCGACTTGCCAGCAAGGTTCGGTCGTCGCCCCGGCTCGTCCGTTTCCTCTGAACCACCTGGCAATCGGCTCTCCAACACGCTCGGCCTGTGTCCATTGGGGCCGGCAACTGGGAGACCGACCTGTTGGAACGGATCTTCCATCTCGCTGCCGGGGCTCATAGTTTGCCGTGAGCCTGTGAGGGCTCTCGACCTAGCTCCAACCGCCGCCCCTGCTCCAGCACCGCGATACGGCGAGAACGCGTGTACCCTCTGCTCCGCACTCGATCGACGACGATGATCACCTAGAGTCCTTGTGTCTGCCAAATTCGACAACGAGCCGTAAGGCCTGGCCGGGTTCGAGTTCGATAGCCCTGGTAGATGGACTGAACCACGGCGACGATGAGGTTCCCTCTGGACGGGCCCGCCTCTGGGTCCGGGGGAGCTCGTCGGTCTAGGTCGATCCCACGAACCCGTAGAAGCTCCTGGGTCGAGGTCCATAGGCATCATTTCCCCGTTTCCGGGTGTCAAAGGCGCGATCTCATAGTTCCCGAACAATGCCCCTGGTGGTTGACAAAGTGGCCGAGTTACGTTCAAGAGGTCCCATGGGTCTCGACGTGTATCACTTAGGAGGTCGGATCCGACGGTAGCTCTTCGCTCGAACGGTGGCGCGTGTGGCGCTCGGGGAGGAGGCAAGATTCGACGTTCGAAGAGGGATCCCGCGGGCTGGAGTGGGAGGAATGGACGAGGCGGCGAGGTCGTTGATGTTGGCAGCGATGTTGTTAAAGTAGATGCCGAGGGCGTCGATGATGAAGAAACCGTATTTGCGGCCGTGTTTAATATTGGGGGCTGAGCGGGTCGCGTTTCAGGTCGGAGAAGCTTTGCCAGCATGCTCCCCTGTGGAGGCGGGACGAGCGGTATCTTTTCCTCGTGCGATCGTGCTTCGACCTCCTGCCTCCGCGAGCCGACTCCCATATTATCTGCCAATGCCGTGTCCCGTTTTGTATCCTCAATTTCCTTCACCTCTTGACTTCCCTCATCGTCCGCCAGTTTCATCCTCGGATCCTCCATGTTCATCATTTGTCTGCCTTCCATCTGATCATCGCAGGTCAACGCATGAATTGGCAGCGTAGGACTCCATCTTAATCTCTGCTCGTCCTCATTTTGATCCCCATCTACTTCCATGCTCGTGACCTGTTCCCTCTCTTTGCCCGAGCTTGGAGACACAGCATCATCTTGTAAACTCGTACTCGTGTGTATACCTGTGCCTGTATTCTTCGATCCGGAGGCGAGTCCGACCATTTTCGTCGTCCTCGAATTCGCCTCACTGGCGTCTGGCAGCATCGATGTCGACCCTCCTAGCGCCTGCCTAGACGAAACCATCTCGGTATCTATACCTTTCCGCTCCTCCTTTTCCTCTTCATTTTGCTCCTTTTCGTTCTCCTCCTTCTTTTGATTCTCCTCCTTCATACCCGTCTTTTCAACCTCGTCGAGTCCTTGTTGTTGACTCGAAGTCATATCACACATGGCGATAGATTTGTTGATCAAAGGAGGTCCGGCTCCGAGTGGGAGGTCGAGAGTCTTGTGATCGACCTTTGAAGAGCCGGAGATGCGGGTGAAAGTCGCTCTTTCGAGTTCAAGCGGAGATCGTACTGGTCGAGATGTAGCTATGGGAGCTATATCTGTCGTATCGTTGTACCACACAGGGGCAGTAGAAGATGACCGTGCAGTCTCTCGTTCTTCCTCGACCCCGAATTGCGACTCCGATCCACAAACCAGCGCCGATGAGCGAGTTCGACTCGGTGAAACGCTTGATTGTACCTTCTGGTCCTGGCTATACGGAGTCAAAGTCTGCTCCAGAGCTATTGATCGGGGTTGTCTTTTGGTTGTGATGAATTTGGAATGTCGGCCAGAAAGGATCTCGGTATGACCTGCAAATGTGACGACAACACCGATGACGAGGATTGATGGAATGGTGATGTTCAGCTCGGCGTTGCTTTAAGATGATCGCAAGCAAAATGATAACGAGAGAGAGGGAGAGAAACAATGTCGTACACCTCCTCTTGAGAGAGATCGTACCTCGGGTTCATGCACGATGTTATCGTGATGATATATCGTCTGGGCGGTCGACTCGTCATCGTCTCTAATCTCTGATGATCACGGCCACGTATCTTCCTGTCCGTACTTATCACCATTGCCAGCTTGCTATGTACTGAATTACTGAATCATCTTTTTTCCTTGAGCGCTCTCCCTTTACCCACTTCTGCCGTCTGATGGTTCCTGATCGCCTTGAGTATATCCCGTCCTCTTACTCCGGTGGTAAGCTGTGTCGGACGACACACATCCACGGTCGGCAACAGCGAACAACAGGGAAGAGACCGCAGGAAGATGACCTTCACCACAGCTCTCGGCCATGTGTCGCTTGGGTGCAGAGCAGTCTATGCGATTGTTTCTATTCGATTCCACCAGAAGAGGGTACCTCTTTTTCTGAAATGTTCTATCCTCCGTCTCGGACGGACGACGGCCTCTAGGCTCGCCGGTGCCGGTTGATGAGTTCGGTCGGATGACTCGATGAAACACGTTAAACATCGACGTGGTTTACGGGATGAAACAATAGGGAGGAATGACACGACATACGAAGATAGAGACGAAACGATGCTGGCGCTGAACTACCGAGGTCAAGCTTACCATTTGCATCTCCCGTTGTCCGAGAATCACTGGTGCCCGCCGATGCTCTGTGCTTGCTTTCCTCCTCGTTTTCATGTTTGCCTCTCAACATCAACTCTTCTTCGTCCAGGTTAGGGACGACGTAACGATGATGAGGGCGATGGTACTGCGAAGATAGTGATGGGCAGTGGAAAGGCATCACGATATTCCGTTAGTCGATGTCGTCGTTGCTTTTTGTCGTCGTGTTCGTCTCCGAGATGTTTGTGATCCCGCGTCTCACTTGATCGATTATTCCAAGGAGGAACTCAAACCTGATTGTTCTCCTATCCGAATCGCAATCATGTCACGATGCTATAAAGCTAAAGCTGATGGACCTGTCTTTCTTCCCTCTGTTCTCGACTTAGGATTCTGGAGTTTCAGGTTACATCACACTTCCGACCATGAGGCTGTGTGTGTGTGCGGGTCATACTACTGAAGATCCCTTCGACCTCTCCGGTTCCGCTGATGATAGTGCCCTCCTTTCGAAAAACATCGGGATCGTTGAGTTGCTGTATGAACGCGCAGGATACATGGTAGTGGTTGATGCGGTATTGAAGGGCGTTTTGGCTACTTCAAGCTTGCTTTCTAAAAGGGACTGGGGGTTGAGATTGTGAAGAGACCTGTAAAGGCAAATCTAGATTGAGGTCGAAGTGACGCTGACGATGGAGATGACTATGATGATAAAGATTGCGATCGAAAGGTCTATACGGTAGCTAGTAGGTGAAGTATCGGTATGGAGTATAGGAAACGGTAGGTGCACATGGATGTACAGGAGCAAGTACAGCGTTGTCTGATATGTACCCTACTGCTATCAAGTTGTCATGAAAGTCGACGCATCACTTAACAGCCTAGCCAGGAAGTGCTACAGAATGCTTCGCGGTTAATCCTCTTTCTCGATCTACATCATACGCTTCGATAATTGCAGGTAGGGCCGGCTCAACAAATCAGTACACCAAGATGAGGTAAGTGAAGGTCGATCGAGACGAGGTAACATCGGTCGAAGTAAAACGGGGTAACGACCCTCAGAGCGTCGTACGAAGACCCAAGGGTGAAAGGACGGAGGATGGGGAGAAAGGAGGGGTCGATCGATCACCCAATTCAGAAGACAAAGGTCCCGAGGGGATCGAGATCCAGGGGTGAATCATACTGGTGGCCGAGGTCGAGGTCAACTTCATGATCGAAACTGTCCCGGTCAGGTATCCAGGCTGAATTTGCGAAGCAGAAGTCACGAAGTGGTTGACGACGAGGGCCTGAAGCGGGTCTACCTTCCGATCTGATGCTGAGATCCTATCGTCAATATCTGATTATAATGGCCTTCCTCATCACCATATCTCCGGGATAAGTTGAAGCGATCCAGAGCCGGCGGTAAAGACAAAGGACCCCTTGCCCTCATCCTTCCTTCTCATCTCCCGTCTCAACTCCCGTTCTTTCCCGTATCCTGTAGATCCGTTTGATGCCTTCGTACTTGAAAGGGATACATATCAGAACCAGATCTGTTTCTGATCCCGAGTATTCGGGTGTCGTAGTCATGGCCCTTTTGTGTGTTCGTTGTGGGCGAGAGTAGTATGAAGGTAGATGATGTATGATCAGGCTGAAGATGGAGTCGAAGGAGGATGTTGTAGATAGGATTGGGCAGGGTAGGGGGAAGTAGGTAAGCATGTTTCGTGGATGGATCCGTTTGTGTTGGGAAAGCGAAACGGCGGCAGGAGTGAGGCTGATGTAGGCGAGGTGATGTTCGGTTATGTCGACATGAAATGGACAATCCATTGATCTAGAAACATTGTTGGATGCGGTCAAGCTGAAAGGTGACGACATTATTGGTACAGGGGTGACGTCGTCAGCGGCATATATGACGGTCAGTCTCGGCCTTGCTGCACACTCACTTCTCTTCCGATAGCCACTCGTCTCCTTGCTCGCACCGATGCAGTCTCTTGTGGCTTGTGGCTCATAAACCGTCCCATCTCCGTGCGTCTTGTTCTGTTTGAGAAGCCGTGAGGCTACGATCTCTAAGTTATCGTTGCTACGTTGAGATGTATGATGAGTCTTCGCAAGATCTGACGTGTTGACCATCGATTACGGTTGCTTCCAGTCCGATTCGTCCGACAAGAGGCGATGATTACGGGGGTTATCATTTGACGACTCTAGGATCGCCGAAACTGGCCAGTCCAGTAGTTCTCTCGTCGGTGATCTTGTAAGTTGCAGAGGGAAGCGCAAGACAGGGACAGGTGGATGCACTCTTGTTCCCGAAGCGCAGCTACAGGGCAAGGTGCAGCATTGTCTGGATTGGCAATCGCAGTAACGCAGCAGTAAGTCACAGTTGCGCAATTGCATCGTCCTGGCCCCGGACGGGTCAGATCAAAACACAAGAAAGACTTGGGTTATCGGTCGAATCGAAAAGCAAACGTTTCATCAACAAACACCGGCCTCCACTTTTCTTGTCTCCGCCGCTTTTTCTCCTGCCGCCTCCTGCCTCCCTGATGTCAGGTCCAGGCTCGGATCAACCGAGACAAGTCTAAATCAAGGTTTATGACCCACGTGGCCTCTGAACCTTGTTTTGTTCGTCCCTGCCCTTAACCCCCGTCCGATCAACGCGATCGAGGGTAGTCAGATCTCAATTTCAAGGGCGAAGACGAGGAGGCGGCGATAGAACAACAGATCCGACCGAGACAACCTTCTTTTTTGCGATCGAAGAACGCCACCTGATAGCGGGACGAATGTCGCCCACGCGAGCCAAAGGAAGGCGAATCCCAATCTGAAACGCGTTCGGCAGCAATTCTTGCGCGCGTGCTAGGAGTCAGCGAGAGAGCGATCGAGGGTGGATGGAAGGTGTAGAAATGGGTTGGATGACGGATGATGTCATGGGAGACCTCGCAGGATATCGTGAGCCTAAACCATGACCAGCCCGAAAAGTGACGGGCCTGTAAGCTGTGGTTGAGTCTTGGCCCAGTCCATATGCTATTGCAGCTGATGCAGCTGAGACTCATAGTGTCGCTGTGCCGGTCTGGCCTGTTTAAACATGAACAATAAACATGAACAGTCCAAGTCGAATCTCCTCGTTCGAGAATTGCTGGGCCTGGTCCCTTCTCTGTATCTGCTGCTATGTTTTGCCACAGCCGTCGTTTTCGCTGAGGTAGTCAAAGACACAGAAGTAGAGTTTGATAGCTTCTTTGTCGCGCATCATGGTCAATACCTTGTCGTAAAAGGTAGTGTAGTGGATCGTGGACCAGCGTTTTTACTCGGAGTAGCAGACAACCCGACTCAGAGAGATTGCGTGAGAGGATGATTCCGATGAGCTGCTTAGACTATGTGATGATGGAAAGAGCTGGAAGCCCGCTCAATCGTCATGGCCGGTCTGACTCTTCTACCTTGGTCGTCGGCAATCCTGGACAAAGTCATTACCGCAGGCTTTGGGCTTGCGCATTTCGGATGGGCCGATGTCACATGGTCTTCGTGTATCTCTTTGTCGCCTACGAGGACTACCGCAACTACCTTCCAATCTGATCGAATTAGAGAGAAAACACGTGGATCTAGCCTAGCGTCGGTAACTGTGGCTTACCACAGTCTGCTTGTGTCGACGACAGCGGACAACTTCAGGACCACGGCAAGTAGGATGACCTCAATCTTGCTGTTAATGACCCTGTCAACTAGAATATCTCACAGACATTGCCTACTTACGACTCGTCGCCGTGGATCGTGGCGAGATTTATCAATACCATCTTTTTGAACCGCTCAAATTCGGAGAGGTCAAGATATCCAGAGCCTGCACTCAGCGATGTCGGTGCGCCTTCCTCGATGGAGTGTTTAGGAGAATATGGATGTCAAGCGTGAATTGGGATCGTATCGGGGGTATCTTCAAGTCAGGCAGGCAACAACCCCGCCGTTGTATTATATACAGAATCGAAAGACCAACTCCGCTCGTCTAGTCCCTCGCCATGACCTGCTTGAGCTCCTGTCCAAGCTTGGTCCCGCGCTGCCACTGCTTCATCCCCTTCCGTCTGGCTTCCTCGCCATGCCTGCCAAACATGCCCTTTCCACCCCCACCCCCGCTAGAGCCAAAGACCGTCACCTGCCCGACCCTACCCGCCCGACCCGTCCGTCCGGCTCGATGCATGAAATCGAGAATGTCCCGCGGCTCGTCCAACAAAAAGACGTGCTTGACCGAGGGTGCAAAATCAAGACCTCGGCTCAGTAACGAGGTGGTGATCAACACCCTCGCTGCCTTGTCCGACGCTGCTGCCGAACCCGCTCGTCTAGGCGGAGCAGGCCGACCACCGGGTTGGAGCAAAAAGTCGTCCAATCTACCGTTGGTACCCCTCGCCCTGTCGTCCGCCTCGCCAGTGATCGCGAGCACAGGCACGTCCTTGTTCTCCAGCATCCTCTCTAGCGCCTTGACCTTTCTCGGCGAATTGGCAAAGACCAAGATCTTGCTCTTGTCCTCGTTGACATTCACGTTCGGGTTGACATTCGTGGTCTGGTTGAGATGACGACGTTCCATAGCGTCGGCCGCGAACGTCCTTCGGAGTTCATGCACGACGTCGGCTAGCTTGTTTCCCGAGCCTGACCAGGGTACGAACCGGGTCTCGAGCTTGATCGGAAGTCGATGTAGCGTGGGGGAAAGAAGCTTTTGACAGTCCGGAAGGTGGGTTTTCAGGTGAGCGATCAGGGAAGGCGGGATGGTCGCTGTCGTAAGGATCAACGAGGGAGAGGGCTTGTCCTTTGTCGTCACAATTGCCTTTTTTCCTTCATCCTGCTCTTGCTCGATCATTTCCTCTTCGTGCACATCCTCCTGTTCGATCTCCTCGCTCTGAACCGAACTGACAATCCCAACCCGATCCAAGATCTTATTCGTCTCCCCCTCGAAATCCGGCCCTAACAGCACATCCGCCTCGTCCACGACGACCCACTCCACCTTCCCCAAGTCGATCACGCCCTTATCTACCAACCTCTCCAAGTTCCTCACCGTCCCTACCAAGACGTCTGTCACCCCAGGTTTCAAGGTCCCGTTAGCTGTCGAAGACATGCCTTGCACGCTGAGTTTTATACCGTGGGAAAAGGCTTTAAAGGTCCGGGTGAGTTGTCGGGTGAGTTCGTGTGAGGGGGAGAGGACGATCGAACGTGGGATCGTAGGATCATCGATGGTCTCCGACTTCGTATTTCTTGTCACTCTGGTGGAGGCAGGAACATCGTCCAAGAAATCGACGTACGGCAGGTCTCCCTGTTTACTGCCCTGCTCAACAGGGGGAACGGGTACAATGCCCTTATCCGTCCGTTTAAGAGCGTCCAGTAAGGGTAGGAGGTAAGCCAAAGTCTTCCCCGACCCAGTATCCGAGCCGAGCAAGACCTGATGAACTTCCTTTCTCCCCGGTTTCTTGTTCAGTGGGCGGTTCTTGCTCCCGAGAAAGTGTTGTAGGGAGAGGTGTTGAATGGGCGTAGGAAGAGGTGATTGTGGTTGTGGTTGACCGGTGAGATGATCGGGATTTGAGGGGGCAAAGAATTTGGCCAGACCTTCTTTCAGAGCGGGGTTCAGGGAGTAGTCGGAGAAGGGGAGGGAGGGGATAGATTCTTTCGGTTGAGATTTGGCTATAAATGCCGAAGGCGTAGGTTGTAGGTTGGGAGGGAACGACGGGTCCAGCTTTATTGGTTTGGGAGCCGGTGCACCTTTTGAGAAATTCGTCCTGAGAGGATGTGTAGGCTCAAGGTCTCGGGCTAGACGTCGACTGGTAGTAGGTTCGATCGGTGCACGATCTCGATTGCTGAACCGGGGTTTTGATCCTCCCGTGCCCCGCTCGTCTTTACGCCAACCCTGCGTTCCCTGCATCGATCTTCCATCCCGTGCCGCTGGAGCTTGATACGTCTCTGACCTCGAAACATACTTCCCAACAGGCGCTCTCGGGTTATTCGATGGTGGTGCACCTGGTCGACTACGGGGTAACGGTTTCCTCTGCGTAGTTCGAGGTCCTCCTTTTTCCAGCGTCGTGCTGCTCGACAACCAGCGGACGGTCGAGGTCTGGGTCGACGGGGCTCGACAGCGTGTACATAGTGATCGCAACATCTCTGGCTGTGTGATATGAGGTCCAGCTAGGTTATCATAGGGTACATATGGGCAATAACCTGCTGGTACTATGAATCGATGTCTGTACGTTTACCGAAATCTGAAGAACTTCTCTCGAAATCTCGTCGTTTTGTTTACTTTTTGGGCGGACAAACCGGGCGATCTGGTGAAATCTCAAGTTTCAGGTCAAAGGTACCCCATGATCCCATGACAAATTAGAGGGTGATGCCGCAGCTCAACCAGTCTGAAGGATCGTCTGATAACGAATCTGCCACCCGGCACTGGAAAGTCGCAGAACTGATTGTCATCAACCCCAAGCTACATACCCTTGCCCAAGACATTGATTCGCTTGAAAATCTGTCTCGTGATCTGTAGCGATGAATGGATGCAGCACTTTCCCCTGCCACAGGGAGCCTTGCCTTGGACAAGCGAAGAACCGAAAACCATCCTCCTCTCGCAGACATATCGATTCAAACAGCGGCCAAACTACTGGCGCAGGCCCCAAAGGCAGCACACAACTCCTCTCAAAGAGCAAGACATCAATATCGCTGCTAAAATTCAGCCAAGGTTCGAAGGAGACTGAACGGAGACCCGAGCAGGGCTTTACAAGGAAGACGCTGAGCTCGAGTAGTCCAGTTGCCCAGCGAAGCCAGGGGGCCCGCTTTGAATCGCATGAGACCGGCACACAAGAGGTATATATCCAAACCTGTCTCTAAGCAGTAACATGCGAGCGGTGCTACCGTGTCTCAATCGTGCTTGTTGATAGCCATGATCCGGTCTTGCATTCATGCATGTCTTTGTGTTTTCCACTTATCTGTTGTTCTCCCTATCGGTTACAACCGTTTACGTTCCCACCAAAAGCGCCTGTCGTGAAGATGATCCAGGATCAAGACTTCTTCCGGGGCTGGATCTTGAGCGAGAAATCGACGTGCTGGACGCTCTGCAATCGACAAATGAATGACCGATTGAAGGGTTAGCTCGTCAGGTAATCGTACGTATGGAGATTGCAGGGTTCACCTGGTGGATCGCCGAGGTAGACAGGATATCGATATCTGTATCAAACCAAGAAATGGTCGGTATCATCAGCCACATCGCTCGTCAATCGACAGCCAACGAGTACCACTTCTTCTCAGACTCACCCGGTCCGATCCTCGCCAACAACCCGTCCTCGACAACACCCCCACTACTCTCGATCAAAAACTCCCTGCCCTTTCCACCCGGACCCTTCCCGTAAACCTCTTTGAGCTTCTTGGCGTTCGCCTGAAGTTCTTCCCCGACCATGTTGTCCAGCATGACAATGTTCGCACCCGCATCCAACGCTTCCGCGGCCTCTTCATACGATTGACATTCTATCGTGATCAACAGAGAAAACCCTGCGGCACGGCGGCACGTCCGGATGGCCCCGGTGATGGACCCTGAAGCCCAGATGTGGTTGTCCTTGAGCATGACCATGCTGGAGAGGTCGTGCCTGTGAGGATCTACGCCACCGACCATCATTCCGTACTTTTCGACGAGCCGGAAGCCGGGGGTCGTCTTCCGCGTCCCGGCGATCTTGCCTTGCCACCCTGAAGAGCGGGCGAGGGTGGAGAAGCGTTTAGAGCTAGCGTGTTGCGATACCATGTGTTGTGAACACGTCAGCACATACCGCATTTATAGGCGGAAGTAAAGAAGGGGACTTACATGGTAGCGATCCCGCTACACCTAGCGAGCATATTCAGTCCCACCCGTTCACCCAGCAAGAGTTGTCGGGCTGGGCCGCGAACGATGGCCACTTTGGTCTTGCTGTCGTAAGGCAGGTCGGCGCCTTCGGGGTATAGCCATTCGACGCTGCGTTTTCCCTCAAAAGAGAGAAGGGCGAGAGAGGAACAGATGGAAGAGGAGTGTTCATATTATTATCAGCTCGCGATATGCACAGGCTAGCGAGATGGAGCTAGGTACTGACGTGCAATCGACCCGCTTGAAGATCTCGTTGAAGAAAGGTACACCGGCCAAGATGCCCTATCAAGATTGCCGTTACATCCAGCAGGATCAGTTATGAGCGATCCTATTGCTTTAGACCACCTCAACCTGTGATGTGTGGCTCACCCCACTCTTTGCCCACAAGAACGCTTCCTGCTCTTCTTCGCCCACGACCAAACCGCCCCAGTCGAACGAGGGGGTGTCTTCGGCGTACCAACGGTCGATGTCGGTCTTCCACGAGGGCGGCAGGAGGTGAGCTAGGTTGGGCGAAGTGGACATGGTTGGTGAGAGTGTTTTCAGCTATATGATATGAGAGGAAGAGAGGGTATATCTGACTGGTGGCCGGTGGTAAGGTTGTTACAAGCAACAAGGAGTCGATCGAATCGAGGTGATTGCTGGTAGCCCCGCATTTTGGAGGTTGACGTAATATTGCATAAGCTCCCGAATCCTCTATGCGATATCAAGTCATCTCTTCACCACTTTGTAAACTAATCATCTTGAAATCATCAACACGCATCATCAAGATATCAAGCATACCGTCCCCAACGGATAGCTGTACCATCCTCGAGCACAACCAGTACCAGTGATAGACACATATAATATATCGCTGGCTCGTGTGAAGCAACAACCGCCACCATGCCGGTCAACGGTACGACGAACGGCAACGTCAAAGGCAAGAAACGCGTAGCATCTCCAGGATCGAGCGATCAAGAGTCGGATGTCGAGGATGGAAACGTGAATGGGAACGGAAGAGCGAACGGACGTGGAGAGTCATCGTCGAAGAGAAGAAGAGTGCAGCATGTAGCTAGCGATGGGGAAGAGGATGAAGAACGTCCGGGGATGAGAGGGATGAACGGTCATCGTAATCACGTCAATGGCAACGGGAAGGTCCAGCCGCGAAACGATGTAGATGAAGATGAAGATGCCGATGACGATGCTTCGGGGGAAGACGATGTCGACGATGAAGAAGGTCTGGAGGTCGAACAAGGTCAGAGGGTCCGAACGCAACGACCTGCTGCCCCGATGCAGAACTTGGTACGGCACGATAACGGGTAAGCTCATACTTCCACGATGAAACGCGAGCGACCTGCGTACCGACTACATGCCCTGACGTACTATGCTGATCTGTCATCTACCTATATATTCACTTGGACGCTACATATACGTCACTTTTCTTCGTCCTTCATTGGACTACCTGAATTTCACTCCGGTTCCCTCTGGTCAACGACACCTATCTATCCTATCACACTCCTATCATCCACCCATGGCATCTGACAGCTACGTCCCAGGCTCGATCCTCCGAATCAAACTGCACAACTTCCTCACATACCACAACGTCGAGTTCAGCCCGGGTCCACATCTGAACCTCGTCATCGGGCCGAACGGGACGGGCAAGAGTTCGATCGTCTGTGGGATCGCTTTAGGGTTGGGATTTCCGCCGAAGGTGAGTGTAGAGGCGCTCTCCATGTTCCCGCTCATGCCGATCTTGAATGGTGGTTTTCTACTTCATTGTCACATTGTTGACGATCATCAGGTATTAGGAAGAGCGCCCGATGTATCTTCCTTTATAATGACCAACCAGACGGAAGCGTTCATCGAGCTCGAGTTGGAGGGGAAACAAGAGGGGAGAAACGTGCTGATAAAGAGGTCGTTCAAGAAGAACAAGGGGAGCGTCTGGGAATTGAACGGTGAGTCTGAATACAATGGTTAGGGTTACCCAATGGGACGTGGGCTAGGGAGATTTGATCGACCGACGAACGGAGGCTGATTTTTGGAAGGATGGTGACATGTTGGAGGAACAGGTAAATCAGCCACGGCCCAGCAGGTCAGCGATACCGTCTCCAAACTTGGGATCCAGGTGGACAACCTCTGGTAAGCCTTCATTCCTCTTTCCATCTGCTTGCCCAACCTACTTTCTGCGCAGAAACGTTGACGAGAAGCGGCTTTATTACACGCCCTCTCGACAGCTGCTTCTTGCCGCAAGACAAGGTCGCTTCGTTCGCTGCCATGACCCCGAAAGAGCTTTTGAAGGCGACCATGCAGGCGGCAAACGAGGTCAGGTTGCCGGGGTGGCACGAAGCCCTGGTACAGACGGATGGAAAGTTGTCGGTGCTCACCACGGTAAGTCTTGTCATTTCTGGTTACTCCTCTACTTGATTTATCAGTCGACAAGAGGTGGACGGTGATGCGGAGGCTGATGAGTGGAACTCTGTAATATACAGGACCTCGATTCGAACAAGTTGCAGTTGGACAAGCTGGCTGAGAAGATTGCAGAGTTGGAGGAGATTGTTCAGGCGAGCAACGAGCGGAAAGAGCTCGAAGAGCAGGTAAGGACATACCTTTGCTCGATGAATTAGTCCCGAGATTGACCTGGAAGTACCTGCGATAGCTGGACAAGTACACCTTGTACCGCCTCTATGCGCAATATAACAAGAAGAAACAGGAATTTGAGGAGATCAAGAAAAAGGTCGCCGCGGCCAAGACGAAACTTCAGCAGATGGGGCAGCAGCAGCAACCGTTGATGGAGCTTCAGGCGTGAGTCGAGCTGTTGGCAGGTCAGGTCTAGTCCAAGCAAAGAGCTGAGGCGGTTGATTTTGCGTACGAAGGCATATCAAGGATCGGGAATCGAAGGGCTTGTCGGCCCTCAAGGCGAATTCGGATACTGCTAAACAGCACGAGCGGAGGATCAACCATCTGCGTGCTAGCATCGAGAAGGAGGTAAGCAGTCTCTGCTTGTCCGCCAGGAATGGGCAGGTCTGTAAGCTAAGACGACCTGGTCCGGAATACAGAGCGAATCGGCTGAAGACGCCCAGGAAGAGCTGCGATCCCTGAGAAAGGGAGAGGATGAGCGCAAGACCAAGATAGCAGCTGTCAGGAGCAAACTGGATGCTGCGGAGGCTACCCTGAACCAATCGCAGGGGTTGGATCCGGAACAGGCGAGAAAGGCTGAAGCTAAGCGTGTGAGCCCTCGAATATTGTCTAGTTGTGGAAGACGTCGTACTGACGCTTTTTGTCAACTGTCAGACGGAGATTCGGAGACAGATCTACCAGCTCGATAGCCTGGACCAGGACGATACTGCCAAGAAGGGTCAGATTCAAGATGCGAATAGAAGGTCACTCCAGCAGATTACACATTTCCAGAACAGGTGAGGATCCGTGTCTGGCAGTAGATCTTGTTCAATCCACTCAATGCATGTTATTTTTTCGTAGTATCGCGCAGCTTAACGACGTGAAACGTAAACGACGCGAAGAACTTGCATCGCGACAGGGAGATCTCGGATACGCCATGGACTGGATCGACAAGAATCGTGATCAGTTCGAGAGGAATGTCTATTTCCCACCTGCTGTCGAAGTGGATATCACCGATCCCAAATATACCCGGGTCGTCGAGGGTTGTGTCGGACGAGCCGCCATGTTTGTGAGTCGTGAGCACGTCTGTGACACATAAGAACGTGGCTGAGGTTCCGTCCATGCCGAAATACTTAGACATTCATCGCGCAGACGCCAAACGACTATCGAGCACTCAACAGGCTCAACGACGAGCAACATTACTTTGCTTTTCGTCGCGAGCGCAAGCGGGTCAGGATTTCTACCGTCCAGGTCACGCAGCAGGAACTCGATGCCGTCGATGAAGAGCCTTCAGTCTCACGTCAGCAGGTGAGCTGCGGGAATACCACTTGCGCCTTATTCACTACTAAAGTGCTGATTTGCTTCCGTCAGCTCGCCGACCTCGGATTTCACGGTTATGCTATGGACTTCATCTCGGCGCCAGATGCTGTCAAAGCCTACTTGCGTTCGGCCGGCCTGCACCAGGCGGTGAGTGGGCTTACGTCTATTTCGACTGGAACGACCGCTAACGCAAGCGCTACAGGCCGTGTCGATACAAAGAGCGAATATCGAGAGAGCAACACAGCTGGGCATAGGCCGATTCGTGCATCTCGAAGGTCAGGTACTCTCGGCGATACAAGTCAAAAGGTCGAACTACGGAAGTCGAGCCGCGCAATCGACGACTAGTGCGGTCGGACCGGCTAGGTGGTTTGGCATGGGAGGCAAGTCTGTTATGCTCGCTCATCTGATCTATGGCATCACTTACACTTAGCTTCTTCCGACAGTCAATTCTGAGGACATCCGGAACTACGAGAATCAGATTGGAAAGGCCCGAGAAGAGTCGGCCAGGGCCGAGAGACAAGTGGCACAGATCGAGGTCGAACGGAAGAAGCGGTTGGTGGAGAAGGAGAAGCTGCAAGGCACCGTGGTAAGTTATCCGTATGTGGGAGTGGCATGATCTCGGCTGACGGAGCTTCATACGTGTTACAGGCAGGTGTCCAGGCGGAGATCGATCGGATGGCCGCTGTTCAGAAGCGTGCTCGAGCAGCCAGGACAGACCGAGGTCGGTTCCCTGTGCAATAGACATTCATAACGTAGCTAATAAGCATTTCTTTCACAGACGACGCTGCGCGTGAACTCAGTCGACTCGAAAAACTGCCACCGATTGAGCAATTGCGTGAAAAGCTTAAGAAGGAATACCAGTCTTCGGTCAAGAACCGATTCGAGTTGGCGATGAAGGGCACTGTAAGTCTTGATCTGCTAGACCAAGAGCCCTCCATGGAAAAGCGTACTGAGATCGTACCACATCTCTCCTGTTAGCCCGACCTGCAACACCTCAGAGACGTGACTGTGGGCATGTCTGAAAACTGCCTGAAACTCCTACAGGCCCAAGCGAACAAGGCGCAAGTCGAACCTATGGTGGCGAACCGTCAAGATCGGTTACAACGATACAAGGACAAGGTGTCCGAGTACACAGAGATATCGCGTAAGGTTAGGGACGACGCCAGGACTCTGCAGGCAGAATACGTCGAGGAACAGAACGAGTTGAAGGACAAGCACAATAAGAACTTTGTTGACGAATTTGAAGAGGTAGGATCAGCGCGAATGGTGCCTCTTTAAGGCTCGACGTTGATCATGTTCGTGCCACGTCTCGTACAGATGAATCATACGGTTGCCGAGATCGAGGCCTTGATAGCCGATACACAGAGCGACATCGCTCTACAACCGGAGGTGGACAACGCTGCCGAGGCTCGTTTGCAGCGAGAGAAGAAGGAGCACGATGAACTGCATGCATTGGTAGCTACTCAATCTGCCAAGAAAGCTAAATACGATCGGATGCACGAGACCGCCAAGGTGGGAAAGAAGCCTTGTCTCGCGCACATATCGCAAAGACTAAACTCAATAATCACTGCAGAACGAATTCGAACCCGCCTTGGACACCCTGGTGAACACGGTATCGGAAAAGTTCGAAGATGCTCTCAGCAGTGAGTACCTCGGCTTGATCGCGTGAACGATCTCTCAACACTTTTCAATGGTAGAGGTCAACGTCGTGGGACAAGTACGTCTGAAGCGGATGCCACGGTATGAAGATTGGGCTCTGGAGATCCTGGTCAAGTTTCGTGACAAGGAGGAGCTTCAAGTCCTGTCTCATCAGAGGCAATCCGGAGGTGTAAGTCAATCCTCGTTGCTCGCTGAGCCGGTCCGGGTCGGTACTGACCCCGCTCTTGTAGGAACGATCGCTTACCACGATCATGTACCTCATGAGCTTGATGAAGCTGTCACGGACACCTTTCTCGTTGGTGGATGAGATCAACCAGGGCATGGATCAGCGGAATGAGCGAGCGGTTCATAATCTACTAGTCAAGACGACCAGCCGAGGTACTGCAGGTACGATTGCCGTAACGATTGAACAGTTTTAGATGTCTTGCTGACGATGGTGCTTTCTTCCCGATAGGCCAGTAAGTTATGCCGTCTCACACCGAAATTTGCTAGCCGGCGTATTGATCGATGTCTTGTGATCAGGTACTTCTTAATCACACCGAAATTGCTGACAGGACTGGACTACAACGAGAAGATGCGGGTATTATGCATTAATAACGGTGAGCTGCACAGTCTACTGTACGTCGAGTTTGGTGCTTAGCTGACCCTGTTTTTCTGCATGCATCGCTGCAGGCGATTGGCGTGAGTGCAACAGAAGGTTCCCCGCCGTTGTTCTGCCTACTCATTCGTTCTCCACATTCTGACAACTCCATAGTACCCGACCCCAGCAAAGGCGACCGCCTTGGCGATCTCAACGGTATTCTGGCGAGATTCGCGCGAAATCGCGCGGCTGCACAGGAGTAGGTCAACCAACTTCATCTGGGCCGACCCCCCGCGCTTCGAGCTCCAAGCCTAAACGGACCTGTAAACCCAGCAACCACAAGTAGGACATTGCATAGAGCGCTTCCTGATGCTGCCTGGCCATCTTTTCATGATCAATGACGTCTTTCCTTGTATCTGTTTGGTACCTCTAGGGTTCCGAGTATCTGTCATGTCACCATTGTATCGCTTCATGGATTTCATTCCGCCGGCAAAGTCGTTGACTAGTCAAAAATCACGGTATTCTGATTCCCAGCCAAGGCAAGATGCTAATTGAGTCTATCCATCCAGTCTGACGACGTCGAACCCAGTGCGTCTCTGGATTTGTTGCTGGAAGACCGGCGGGTGACGGAAGGAGATAAAATTATCTTAAGGTGAGACCGCTGGCCATACTTGTCAAACCCACGGCGACTTTCAAGATCTTCGAAAGATATGCCAAGAGGTGGAGGCAATGGGGACAGGGCCGAGCAGAAACATTTGGCTAGAGCTTTCACATCAAACCAACTTTGTTGGTGTACTTCAGGCAGATCTGACATCGATGTCCCAAGGTTGCTGACTACCGCTCTTTCAGGTTTCACCCAGTCGATTGATCTCTCGTCATATTATTGGCTTCAAACAAGAAAGGTCGTCAAATCGTCGATATATTACAACAAAGCGAATCTGTTATCACCACGGTCGCTGCTTTCTCTATTATATATTTAAAGCTTGCCCGGTCAATCGAAGAGCTGTTCTTGTTCGTTACGTTTCCAGAAGTACGTCGTTAGGATCATCGTCAGAATCCACCCCAAATTGAACCAATTTCTATTGCGTTGATTATCCCCTCTACCACGTTCACCGCTTCTTCCCCAGCGATAACGATCCACTCAACATCGCGCTCCTCCTTTTGAAATCATCACTACTGCTCACCCGCCGCATGCCGCTCTGACCACCGAGTTCCAGCGAGACGTCCGCCTCGGTAGAGACCGCGGATATTCTGGACCGTTTTGCCACCTCTTCAAACGAAGTGACGAGTTCGCTTACGGCCGGCGAAGCGGTCCCGGTCTCCTCATCCATACGGGGAATGTCGATAGGTTGTTTCGATGTCCGTCCGTCCAGGCTATGCTTGACGTTTTGAGATTGAGACAGGGGAGAAGGTCGAACATTGACGTTCTTGACGAGATGGGCCGGGATGGCGGGGAAATGAGGGCTGGGTGCCCCGCTGGAAAAGAGCGCCTGCAACGCTGCGGATCGCTGAGAGGCCGAACCCTCGAGCGGCAACCGGGTCGAGGTAGTGACGCTTCGATCGCCGACCTGCTTCATCTCGGATGGCGGAGCTATGCCTCTGTATGAAGTTGAAGCAACGGCGTTCGGGTTGGCGCGAGGGACCTTGTCCAAGTAAGGCGAGTTAATAGAACCAAGGCCTGAACTGCGCAAGGCGGCGGGATGGATAGGCGTGTCGATTGGTAGAGAAGTCAGTCCGCCTGGAAGCGCTCGACGAGGCTTGGGGGCCATCGGCCTGTCTCGTCTGTCCTGCTCTTCTGGCTTCTCCCTTGAACGAAACACTTCCGCAGATTCCTTCTCCTCTTCGCGATCGGACGAGATGTCATTTTCTTCTTCCTGCGCCATCGATGCGAGCGAAACGCTGCTCTTAATCCGCTTCCAAGTCTTGCTCATCGAGCCCCACCAACCACTACCAGTGGACGACTCGGAACCATCCTTCTCGCGACGTATTTCCACCTTGGTAGGGCGCGAGCTCGCCTCACTGGTTCGTGTTTTCTTCATAATGGGCGACAAAGGCCCTGGTTCAGCCGTGATGGAACCTCGTTCAGTCGAGCTCAGGGATTCGGCAAAAGAGTCGGCAGATCTGAGTTGCGCGTTGCGGTGCAACTTGTTGATTCGAGTGACAAGATCAGCTCTGAAGCGAAGGGCCGGTCAGTCCGCTGTGTTCATCTAGCAATCTGGTACGCGTGGCTCACCTGGCCCATCTCTCGCCTTTCAGTTCCTCTTGTGTGATCCCCTTCTTGAAGACGAACGCGTCAATGACCTCGTCCACGTCGATATCATCACCACCCAAGCCTTCTCTGGCTTTGCCCTTTTGGTGAGACGCTCTCTTGACCCGTCTATAGCAACGGTTGAGAACGGACCAGTCGTCACGAGTCCAGCTTGAGCCTGCCATAGATCCGTCGTTCGCTTGAGCGATGGTGGTCTTTTCCACATACGCCTTGGTCCGGCGATACCCGCTCTCATCATCCATCAATTCCACCTCGGCTTCTCTGAGCAATTCACTCGGAGTAAGAGCAGCTGCAGATTCCGCGGTCACAAAGTATTCGCTCCGACGACGTTTGAGCTTGTTTTCCTGCTGTGTACCTTCCAAAGGAGGCGCTGCTTCCGCCTCGATGTAACGTCGGCTCTGATATCGAAGAAGAATGGGGTCAGCATGGCCGAGGAAAGGCGTCGCTACCAAATCTTAGACTAACCTTGCGAAGGATAGCAGCAGCTAGTGCAGCCGCTCTAGGGTCCTGGCTAGAAATCACGATGGGTGCCCTAGTGTAATCGTTGTCAATCCCCGTCTGCACCGATTCTGTCCCCCGGGCAGTTTCCAGTGAGATCTCGGTCTCTTCGTCGACGTCGTGTTCTGAACGTGATTCGGGCGATGCTCTTTCGACTTCGACATGAGGTGGTTCGTCATATGGGCCTTCGGAATCTGATTGGTGCGATCTCGAGCCATCATGTTCCGATCTAGGCGCATCATCTTCCACTAAGCCATCACCTTGCTGATCCTGGTCCGCAAGAACAGGATCAGCCCGTACATCAGCTTGTCTGGCTGAGGTGGCCAACGGTTCCTCCCCAGGGCGGATCGCGATGGTCTGCGTCACCTGGACTGTCTCGAAGGTCTCCCTTGCGACCGCAACTTCGGATGATGCGGCGATTTCCTCAGTTTCCTCTTCATGAGTCAGTGACTCGCGATCTTCGGGATCTGCTTCAGCTGCGTTGTCCTCTGTCTTAACGACTACGGTCCTGATAGTGACGTATTCGCTGTTCGCGGTCCGTTGCGTTATGGGGGCTTCCTGAGCATGTGCATCATTCCCTCCAATTTGTTCCTGACTGTGCTCCTCCTCCTCTCCCTCAGCTTCTTCTTCTTGTTCTTGTTCTTCCTCCTCCTCGGATTCATCCTCCGCAGGAAGCGTTGTATCACCATCGGCCTGAACGGTATTGGTCACATCTTGATCTTGCGCCGTCTTGTCCTCTGCATCTTGATATTCGGGACTTGAGTCACGATCGTTGGCCATGAACTCTCCTTCCGAGGCACAATCCTCGTGGGCGTCTTCTTCTACATCCTCCCAGACAGGCTCCGAGTGGGGACCGGTGCAATCCGCTTCAACGTTCTCAGGCGGGCTGCTGGCGATAGGCTTGTGATGAGGGGTAGAGATTCGTCGCTTGCTGAGAGGGGTCCTGAGTGGCGTCGAAGCGGTAGCCTGGGTAAAGTCCATCAGATGAGGCTCGATCCGCTGCTTGGGTGGATTCGACGAAGCCATCCGAGCAGGCGGACTCGAGTCACACACCCCTTCCCCGAATCCGGAGAAGTCGAGCGATTGCCAGTTCTCTTCGTTCGGCGGCGAGTAATCACGGAACTGGGGATACGCCGGACTGCTCGATCGCGGAGCATCGTCACGTAGCGGGGCCGGAGATAGCGTGCGCTCAGCTCGTACATCCTGCTGGTCCACTTGGACCTGCTCAGATACGCTATCAAACTGATCTCTGTCCCTGGTCTCGTCCAACCGACTCATTGGAGGAGACGACCCAGCCTCCGTCTCAAGCTCTGACTCCGGTCGCTTGCCCTTCCTCTGCGATGCCTCCCTTCCCGGTCGAGGCGTTTTCGACTGCGATTTTCGTGACCGGCGATGGGAAGTGGGTGATTGTTCGGTACCTACCAGCAGCAAGACGTCCTCACTCGGGCTGCTCGGTCTCAACGGATGATCCATCACGGCATGAAGATTCTCGACGACGTGCGCCGGGGCTAACGATTTCCTCCCCTTTCTCCGCTTACTCGGGCCCGTCTTTCTCCTGTCCTCGCCTTGCTGTACCGAGTCGAACTGGGCTCCTAGGGATTTCCTCCCCTTGCCCGTCGACCGGCCTTGGGATGCCGGTGGAGAGTCCGTCCCAGACTTGCCAGATCGACGAGAATCCTTACCAGCCGGCCTGTCTGTGGCCGGTGCGGATCGTTTGCTCGGCGCGGGTCGTTGAGGCGTGACCGGATCCGTCGAAGATCGACTGTTCCCGGACGTCCTGACAACCCCACGCATGGGACTACCTACCATCCTCGCTGAATACGTCGGGATCTCTACGACGAGCACCGATTTCCTAGCGTTCTTCTTGGCTCTCGGGTTTGGGGATTCGTTTGTCATCCCGACCGAGCCGGCAATGACAGCAGCCACGTCAGACGACCGTTTCCTGCGTCTCGCAGCTGGTTTCGGAGTGACGGGTTTGGCAGATGAAGGTAGAGGTAAATCTTGTTGCCCATTGCCGGTAACCCGTTTGGACTTGGTCTTGCTGGTGGAGCTGGACGAAGCGGCCGAGACGAACGAATCGTTCGAGATCTCGAAAGGATCGTTCCCGTGCTCAGGCCGAGGTGAAGCAGATGCAGACAACCTCCCCGCTGATAATCTCGCTGAGCGTCTCAACGAATTGCCCGTCGATCCAGTCGTGGGCGGAGTAAGCTCTTTCCTGATAGTCTGTGATGCCGCCGCAACGTCCTGAGAAGCGCCAACCGGGTCCTACATTGAGGTGGGAAAAGAGAGGTCTTAGCATCTTTACTCTGCCGAATCTTTCCTCGAAATGCCTACCTCTCGCTGAGATCCTCCTTTCGCTGTCGAGCAACCCTGACTTGCCCCTACCAACGCGTCCTCGTCATCCCCAAACGCCTCTGTCACCCAACTGCCGATCCTCACCACCCCGCGTTCTACGCTATCCACCTCATCATCACCTTCACCGTCAAGTTCCGTATCCGCTCCGCCCCCCATGACATCATCATCGTTGATTCCAGCATCGATTCTCGGTCGATCCTGACCCTGAACCGACCCCTTCTCCCCGCCCAAACCCGACTTCAACGACATCCTAGCTACGAACTTTGATTTCCTCCTCAGTCCGCCTGAAGGTGTAGGCGGAGCTAGGGAGAGCCCGTTCGGCTGAGGTTGAATTTGGGCTTGGGGGTGGTTGTCGGTATTGTTATTGTAGGTGTGGGAGTGGGTATTTTGTGGTATTGATCGTGATTGTTGTTGGGAAAAAGGAGTAGGAGAACGGGTAGGGGTAGGTGTTCCCGGAGGATCAAGGAAGGTAGGTCTGTTGGTGTTGATTCCGATGGCACGTAAGGGGGATCTCTATGAACCAGACAACCAGATCGATCGTCATCCAGGTCGAAGGTCAATTATTATGCTTGAATAGCCAGTACCAAAGGGATCCGCAGACTTACCGTCACCGTCCCTGGACCAATTTGTGTAGGACGCGAGCCCGAACTCGATCGATCAGAGTTGATCCTCTTCCTCCTACCCGGCGACCCTCCTGCGACCGTCTCTTCCCTCTCCATATACATCTCCCTTCCAAGACCGTACCCATTCTCGATCAAAGATACACCGGTACCGGGGAACGTAATCGATCTCCTTCCCATCCTCGAAGTCGACTTGGTTGCAGATGAGGGTTTCTGGGTGTTGGTAGAGGTAGAGGTCCAGAATTGTCGGAGAGGGGAAGCAGGGGCTGAATGCTGTTGATGTTCGTCCCTGGAGTAGACATGCTGATGAGGTTGATTCTCGTCATTCTCTTTCTCTTGCCCCTCTTCAGCGCGGTTCAAATTCGAAGCTTTGTGCTTGCTGTCGTTCGTATTGGCCGATTTGAGACCCGCTTCATCGGAAAGGAGTGTGGTTCGGACCTTGACGCTGGGGAGTACGAACGGGATCCCCACCTGAACCTGCCCATTGCCTCGGGCAAATCGACTGATATGCGCCGAAGTCGGGGTGAAGTATCCATCATCTTGCCCGTTCGAGTGTACTCCTACTCGAGCTCGGTTCCTGGTGGGGGTCTGCAAGGTCGCTAGGGCCGACATCCTATCTTCTCTTTTCGTTCTCGAGGTTCCTTTCCCGGATGTTGATCGATGACCTACGCTCCGCGGCGACGAGGTGGGGTGACGATGGATCCTGTCTCAGACGGACATGCCGAGTGAGTGGTTGGAGCGCAAGAGTAAGCTAGAGGTCAAGAAGCGAGAGTCGTACTATGTGTTTTGTAGTGTGATGGACAGGTCGAGACTTAGGAGGTTGCAGGTCATCATCAGGTCTTGATCATATCCAAAGAGGTCAGAGGTCCGTGAGGGTTGTTGTTGTTTTGTTTGTTGTTGCGCGGGGACCTTATCAAATTATTCGGCGACATCGATCAACAGTGAGTGCTACTGCTGCGTAGACACTGATATCGATCGCAACATGCAGCTGACTGATCTGGAACATACAACGAACTGATGAGGTAGAGTGCAGTACAACAGCCCATATCAGAGGTCGCAAGCCTCTCGAGACTCAGTTTGGATCCCAGCTCGTCGAACGCCTCGCCGGAGCACCAAGCCAGATCGCGACGACGACAGCGAACAACCGTGAAACATGCAAGGCTGGTCTAGTAGCAACTCAATCAAGAGCCAGAGCCTTCATAGCGATTACTCACCTTTCCGTATCCCGAATAATGACCTCGAACCTCGATGGGGACAGCACGTAGCACCCTCTTTCATGGTCTGAAGCAATGAGCATATGATATGACGTGTCAATCGAAAACAGCATCATCTTCAAGCGCGCATTCCGGTTTCATTCAAGGTTGCGTTCGCGATCATTCGACTATTATACGTCTATTTTTCAGAGTGCCACGTTTTGCTAGTGAATTGTTAACAAAATTCGGCAGCAAACAAAATTACGCAAGCACTCGAAAGTAGACCGTTCGCGATGAAGAAATGTCTACTTTGAGCTGAGACTTCTCGACCGATATTCGAAGTCGACATCGGAGGTCGACAAGAACGTCGACATACCTAGGTCGACGTCTTGTAGCTGTAATATCTCATGAACGAACTATAAATATAGCTATGAACTACAGCACAGATGACAAGGACGAGGACCAGTACCTCATAGACGCTAATTCCGCCACCGTAGACTTATTGACGGCCGCTTCGCAAGCCTACGTTCAAATCGTTCGAGGTATCCTCGAGAGGCCCCCCCTTCGACCTATTATACATAGTCCCTTCTCGACGGCTCGTATCCTTCTTCAGACGGTCGGCGGACACCCTATGGCTTGCCACAACGCTATAGGAATGTCCGCCAGTTGTCTTGAACGAATTACCGACGATATCGACCGACTACATCGCATCAAACCCACCGACAACGTCAGTTTACAAGCGAAAGTTGCGATGACCTTATGGATGTTACGCAAGGCTGCTTCAAACCGTCTGACCCAGCAATACTGGCAGATTTCGCAGGCCAGTATCAGTAAGTAAGTGCCTGCGAAGTGGGGCCGGCCGGTTCGCCCGACGACTTGATCAATACTGTCAAATCTAGATACTTTCATGAAGTTATCGACGCTATGTTCGACGTTCGATTCTACGGCCGCTACGTCAAACAACCGACAGCCGACGACCTTCCCCTCCATGTAGACAAGTACACAGACCGTAAATACCGCCACCTTACCAAACGCTGCGTCGGTGCGATCGATGGAACGCAAATAATAGCGACACCTTCCTCCGACGACTCCGCTCGATGTCGAAATCCAGCGAAGTACCTCTCGTTCAACGTTCTCGCTTGCGTCGGCCTCGACGGTCTCTTCACCTTCATACTAGCTGGCTGGGAAGGTAGTGATCACGATAGTAACGTTTATCGAGCAGCCGTAGAACGAGGACTGAAGATACCGAACAATCACCACCTACTAGCCGACGCCGGCTACGGATGGAGCTCAAATCTACTGACCCCGTTCCGTGGGGTCAGATACCACTTGAAGGAGTGGTCGCAGTCACAGAACGGGTGAGTACACCAGCCAAAACGTGACAGCTCGTTCTCAGGCCAACCCCATCGCTCGGGTTGACGAAAACGCTGACGATTTCGTCGGATGTTCAGATCGCCCCAAAACGAGAAGGAACTATACAACCTTCGACATTCTAGCTGCCGTAACATTATAGAGAGGTCGTTCGGTATTGTCAAGAGTCGTTATAAGGTTCGTAGCTATTGTTCTGCCGTCGTCGACCGAGAACGAACGTTCTCCGCCCGCGATATCGACGTACATCGGCATATTCGAAACTTACCGAGTCCTCTCGTTCGCTACCGTTTACTATAGGTTCTCAAATACGGAACGGTCTACCCTATCGCCACTCAGGTTAAGATCATCTACGTCTGCTTCGCCCTCCATAATATCATCGAATTGTACGGGGAAGACGGTACCGAATACGACGACGACGGGAACGTTGTAGGCGAGGTCGACGTCAACGTACCACCACCTCCCCCACCCCCTCGAGAACGACGTCCGCCACCGGAAGAAGATAGGCTAGCTGTCGAGAGACGTGGGAGGATAGCGAGAAGGATGTATAGAGAATACGTCGACTATAACAACGGTCGGAACTGATCGATCGATGTAGTATCGCTATTATCGACGTGGATTCGCTCTCGTAGATCGTGTCGGCTGTCGGCTAGCCTCTTCGTCTTCCTCCCTTCGCTGTTCCATCTCCATCATACGTTTCACGCTGTTGGCCAGGAGTACGTCGGGTGTAGCCAAGAAAGCGATACCTCGAACAGGCCGGTCGGTGAAGTGATTGACGAGACGGTTGTAGTCGACATCGCTGAGCGAGAGTTTGGTAACGACGTCCGCTAGCTTCTTAAACACCCTCTCCATCTGCTTCTCCGGGTCTCGTTTAGCTAGGTCCTCCATACGTTCGTCTAAACGATCTAGTCGTTCGATTAGATCAGCCTGAACTGAAGTGCGTTGACGTTTGGTGGGAGTTCGTCGGGAGGGGGTAACCTGGACCTCGGGGCCTGAAGATTCGTCGCTGTGTGTGTTTGGCTGGTGAGTACTAGTCGGTACACCCGCTTCAGGCTCGAAACGAACCTAGAATCGTCCGATTCTGGTTTGGGCCGTTTCCCCATCGCTTTCGACGATTTCGATGTACCGCCGGGTGTTTGAGAAGGGTCGGTAGCGAAAGGGTCGATTGCGAAACGACCGTCGGGGGTAGTCTTTGAAACGAGGTCATCTAGCAATGAGTAGAGTTCGTTACTCCGGCCTCGCAGTGCGTATAGTGCTAGATTGTCCTTCGTCTGCGAGATATGACGGTTGATAGGTCAGATCGTTCTCTGTGTTTGGGCAGACGATCTTCGACGACGCAGATTTATAGGTTACGTAAGGGTGATCGTACGCATATTCGAACGACGTCTAGAACGTTCGACACGTCGACATACATCGTCAAACATCTATCAAACGCTGTAACTTACTCCAGACTCCTTCAATTCGTCCCACGCACCATCAGGGAGGCTCAACGTATTCATCTCTTCATCAAATCCGGCACCTGACTGGCTGTAGCGTTTCAACAGCGTGTGTTATAGCCGTCACGTGACGCGTAGCAACTCCGTGCAGACCCTCCCCTGGAGACCTCTCCAGAGACTCCCTCTGAGACTCATCTGGAGATTCTTTTGGAGATGTCTATCTGATACCATCTTTGTATTAGTTAGACATCCGTTATTACATTAATCCACTGAGATATAGCCCTGAGTAGACCTTATTAGGATTGGTCCTGGGAGGCCTCCGCCGGAGGTCCCCCGGGGCCTTACAGCGTGTTCCAGGGCTTCCACCCTTCGTTCTTGAGCTATAGGTCGTCGGAAGTCGTACGTCAGTTCTAGCTATTCGGTACCGACGTTGTGAGCGATGTACCTTGTTAAAACGGAACTTAGCTGACTTCTCGTCCTTCTCCCCACCCTTACTACGTATCTTGTTCACCTCAGCGGCGACTGACGCCCACGTACCACGTTTGAAACCGTTATCGGCCCGTTGACCTCGACGTTGTTCCTCCGTAAGCAATTCTAACATCAAACGATCGTCCGCTAACGACCACTGAGCGTTCTTACGACCTCCCTCGGTCTTTACGGTACTAGTAGGACCTCCCTTATCGACCTGCATCACCTCGAAACCTTCCGTCGCCATCGAAGGGGGGTTCTCGAGCGAAATCACCTCGACTATCGACATATCGTCAAACGACGTCGTTCCCCTCGCCAACGGTTGTCGACTACCTCCTCCTGGGTGTCGAGAGACGCCCTGTCGCTGAGAATCACTAGCAATAACGTCCGGGTACATCGTAGCGTCGGTATAGGGTCGTTTAGGCGAGATATTAGGGATATTCGCGATATTTCGAGGTTCGTAAGTACAATTCGTGTTCTGCGTCGTGGTTCTACAAACCCCAACTCCCCTACCAAAACACTAGCCGGCCCTGGGTTACCCAAACCGCAATTGTAGACGCAAAAAATCAGGTCTCGAGCGTCGATTCTCGGCGACTATAAACACACGGAATGCCACATGGTCTGAGCGATACGTAATCGGTAACAATTCACTAGCGTCGGCGTATCAAACTAGCCAGTTGCCCTTTTGGGCCTGTTCTAGACGTATAATAGACGCATGTCGACGTCGCGAACGCACCCCAACTCAACGCGATACGCGATACTGGGCTCGGGCGGGGTCTTCGGTTGTGAAACGAGTCGTGATACGCAGCGGCAGATACAATTTTCTGCCCGAGATCTTCCTTATGTGCCCTTGTACGTGCTTCCATATTAGAGTGACCGCTCGCTTTGCGAACGTTGAATACATATTATTGATGTTTAATCACAACAGAACCTGTTTCGACGACGAAAAGCCGCACAAGGTATAGCATGCAGGCCAGACCTCGCAATCTTCAGAAAAACTTGAAACAGTATTACGAGGCGACTAGTACAATATATATATAAATACACGTAGAATGGAACAGACGGAGATAATACATTCTCTAACTCAAGGTCTGCTGATGGCCCGACTAGGTACCTGAAGCGTTACAGCAAACGCACAGGACAACCGATCAAAGATTATCGGCGCAAGTGAACCCCAAGTTCGGGTTCGAAGCCGCATGAACATTCTTGCACAAAAACTCGGCTGGAACCCCGTTTTGTCCGTAGATCCTGAGGTTCTCCGTCTCGAACCCTTGACAAGACCCTTCGTTGGCACAGCTGAAAAAGATGCCTTGAGAACCGGTGAACTCGGGTAGATCTTGTTCGTACCAACAAGGGTCCGAGATGCAGGATTTGTCACCGGGTTGGAAGCTGTTGATATCGCCGACCCAATCTGAATTAGGTGTATTCGCGAGGACGACGGAGTCTTGTCAGTGACCGCCGGACAGAAACGCATCCGATATGTATGTGAAGAAACGCACCTTTAAAGGAAAAGTTCTTGAGAATGACGGAACCGTTATTGACTCGATCCCCGCCAGGGTTGTTCTGATCGACGTAGGTCTGGGTGACGGCTATGGGGTAGGTGACGTTGTACAACCGGATATCGTGATACTTGATGTTCTCGGTAATACCTTGTCCGCCGACCCAAGACTGCACCCACGTAGCGTCAGTCATCAGTTGACTTGTCATGAAACACGACGTGTCAACGGCGCTCACCTTGAACCTAGCCCCGTACAAGGCATCGATCATCGTGATATCCTCTACGCCGACATCAGGCGGGCGATCAGACCGTGTCAAATGAAAGCTTCCCCCCATACAGTAAAACATATTTCTGAGCTCACCGAAAGTGATATCCCGAACGGTATTGACCTGAGCCTGATTCTTGCCCAACGACCCGATAGAAAGCCCGTGCGTTCCCGGACCGCCGCAGGTGGCCTTGCGCATGGTGATGTTCCTGGACGGGGTGGTGATCGCGAAACAGTCGTCACCGTTATCAATCTTGGAGTCGACCGCCAAGATGTTGGTTCCACTGAGACCCAGGCCGTCGGCTATGGCCAAAGTCTCGGACATCAGCTCCGACGCTATGTCTCTATTGTTCATCATTCATTTCACTCACTGTTGAAGGGGAAACTACCCGACTCGGAATGCGCGTTCACAACAGTGCCCTCGATGTACAGATCATCAGCTACGATCCTAGTGTTCCACCCAATAGGCTTCTCGCTCTTCAAGTTCTTGATGGTGCTTTTCTTGATATCAAATCGGAGCAAGTGAGGGCGGTTGGGAAGTCCACCTTGGCCCGCTGGATTTGCGTCCCACCAAGCTTGACCATGAGCTGCCCCGAGTCAGAACCGTACAAAAAGTCAGCCTAGGTATGACTTACAAAGAACTTGCTAATTCAAAGAGAAAAGGAGAAAGATGACTCACAATCGATCCATCCGGCATTGATATCCTTCGTCCCCACCCATTCCAACCCCTCTCCCTTGAACCTGAACCAATACCCATCGTACACCTTGGGATCGGCAACGATAGCTTGGACGGTAGGGATATCTTCCGGCAAGTGGACGTTGCCGTAGAATTCGACCTTGGTACCGTTGAGCTTGAGGGCGGAGACGGGGTTGTAGGCGTTACTGCGAAGTTGAGCAAGAGGATAATTAGCCGATCGTATCCTCTATGTGATATCATATGGACTCTTTGAGGGATTATGTGGCGGTAGCAGGAAGAGTAAGTCGGATCCGAACACTTACTACCTCACACCGTATTCGAAAGCAACCACCCCACCCTGACTGCACTCCTCGAAAGCCCGATTGATCGCCGGAGCATCGTCGGCGTCCCCACCGAGCGCCTGGATCGCGCAGCGTTTACGTTCGCCTGAAGCAGGTGGGGTAGGAGGAGTCTGGGAGGTGGTCGGTTCGGGAACGGACGAGGCGAGGGAGGTAGAAGTAGGAGTGATGATGGTGCTGGTGGTACGACACCATGGGGCGGCTTGAGCGTTCGAGTTGGCGTTTGCGGGAGGGCTGCGAGAACGAAACGAGTGAAGAGTCTGATGAGGTCAGTACCGAATCGTCTTGCGATGGAAATTGAAAGTTTGGGCGAATTACCAGGGCTTGTTGTCGTTAGCAGGAGCGGCCGAAGCTGGAGCGAGAATGGCGAGGGTCAAAAATAACTTGAAGAGTACGAGCTTAGAAAGCATGTCTAGTGAGCTTGTGAAGGGCAGCTAATCCGATGGCGTAGTAGTAGGATTGAAGTGCTTGTGGACGTTGGGTCGATTGGGTCGCCAGCTGATGTCTCCAGTACAGTACATCGATAATCGAGCCCGACTGCATCTTTCTCTTTCTCAAACCCTGGACCTTATATAATTTTTGGGCCGTTCATGATCTTCATGACCGGCTACTATCATCCACGAAATTCATCACAACAAACACTCGACAAGAAACAATCACCACCATTCAGTATCGCCGCCACCCGGATTTCATTTCCACTTGCGCGCGCTAAATTTCAACCGGCCCGGGGTCCCCCTCTTCCCTACCTTACGTTCCTCCGGGGGCCCGCTCTGCTCTGCCTTCAGGGTTCAGGTCCAGCCTCTTCCGAAGCCTTTACAGCTATGGGTTGGCCCCGGTCCGTAGATCGGGCGCAGTCGTCGTTGATGTGTTGGCTGGGTGCGCGAGGTCATGTGTTCACAAAACGAGTTAAGACGCGCAGACTGCGAGACTTGCGATGATTAGCGTTTCGAACACATTGATGGTAAGCAATCGCAGCTTCACGCAGCTCGCAGTTGAATGGTGACGAGCAATCCCTTGGCAAGATCCGGTTCGTTTGGGCGAGGTGCCGTCTTCCCCAGCTGCTGCAGGGTAGGATGAATTCCAGCGCGCGTCACGTGACTAGGTGAAGGGACGGTTGGTGAGATGATCATGACACGTCATGTGTCGCGCCAATTCGTTGAACGATCCCTGTGTCATTTCTTTGATAGCCACGTCACAGCAAGCACCCCGAGAACCCATCAATCATCATCTCGTCATGCTCATCATCATTTTCTTTATCATGTCTTCCTCTAGACCTCTCTCCATACATGCCATACACACACACATAGACACACACGCAAATATTCTCTCTCTCCTCATCTCTCGATTCCTCGTCCATACTTGTCGAGACAGATCGACATATAGACAGAGGTGTCTTTGCCTCCCTTTCACAAAGCCCATTCAACGACGACGACGACGACGACGAGTAAATCATGGCTACTCCGGCCTCTCAGACCACGCCCGTCAACGCCCTTCAAGCCGCTCTGGGACCTGAAGCTTTCAAGGCCTTTGAAGATTACATCATGACCAAGATAAAGACGGGCATGGAAAAGGTCAGGAAAACGGCGACGACATCCTCGGAAAGCGACTATCTAAAACTTATCGAGCGCTGTGTCGAACATATCTCTGACACGGTCGAACCCGTCTTGCTTCCGATGCTGGGCAAGTACAGAGTGCTCATAGTTAGATGTGAGCTGTACTTGAACAGGGTTGGCAAGGACCTCGGTGTCAAATGGAAGGAGACGGAGATGTTCAAGAGATATATCGGGCCGTCCGACCATTGGCAAGAACACGCAGACGCAAAGCGCATGAAGAGCATCCCCGAACATATCGATCTCGAACCTGCCACCTCTGTTATCACTTCCACTTCGGAGCCTGCTTCTCCTAGTCGTTCTCTTCCGATGGACGACGCACAAGTTGACCCGCTCTCCGACGAAACAACCGACCCGGACTCAGAGTCTTCCAACAATACGCCCACATACAGTTTTTCTGGCCAAGAGCGATCCGGCAGGTTGAAACTCGATATCCATATGTCTAGCGTGGTCACGACGGAAGCGACCAAATCCGACTTTGGCTGCACTGGCTATACCCCAAAGCAGATCATTGCCCTGCTCGTACAGGTCGAGTATATCCCGGAAAAGGAACTGCGAGGGACCGGACTGGAAGCTCTTAATTCCGACCACGGGCGGGAGGAAGTGGGGTCGGTTCAACCGATCAGCTCGGCGATCATCAAGATCTTACAAGCAGGGATCATCAATGCGGTCTGGAAATCCGTCGCGGTGTACACCATGTCCCAAGATCGAGATCCAAAACGAGGTACCGCCGCTCAAACCATTGGCTCTCGAAGTCGACCGATATATAGTATGTTCTTCCTGAACGGACGGTTCATGAGGCTGGCCATCCGAGATCGGGTCGTGCGTATCGAATTCTCGAGCGATAAATGCGGAAATAGAGGGACCGATAGAAATGAAGTTCAAGAAGCAGAGACCACTTTGACGTCGACTTCTAATAAGAGGGGGACCATGAGCGGTCTTTTAGCACGGATGAATATGAAAGACGGTTGTCGATCCTTACTTCGGCATCATATCACAACGGAAGATGGGATGAAGAGGTTTTGGAAGTGGTGTGGTGCGGCGGTCTGGTCGTTCGTCCCCACAGAATCAGAACCAGATTCGGATTCAGATCGTGTGAGATCGACCTCGTCCTCGACCCCGGCCTCGACGGCGGTCCGTTCGCCTATGCGTACAGGTCGTAAGACGGTACGGGAAGAAGTAATCGGTTCAGATCTCGTAGGTACATCTACACCAACACTTGCGTCCAACGGAGTCAGGAAACGAGGGAGAACGAAGTCGGTTGCCGGCATGGACAAGGGCGATAATGGGAACGAAGAAAGGGACGAAGATGGGGATGACGACGGGAGAAGAGGAAATCGAGGGAAGAGGACCAAGGTGCTTGTTGCGCGTGAACAAGATGAATTAGAAGAAGATGACGACGACGATTATCATGAAGACGATGACGGTGACGAAGAACAAGGCGGAGCAGAAAATCCAACAAGCCGAACAAGGGCGGGTGGACAAAAGCAAGACGAAGAGACGTCTTCACGAGATGTGGAGATGAAGAGCAAGGCCGGGATCGGGATCAAGGTCGACAAGTGGCGCTCTGCGATAGAAACCAAGACAACAGCAGAAGCTTCTGAGATTGAAACGCGGGATACAAAGGAGAACCCCCGACCGCAATTACTCACACCGTCGGACGACTTGGAAGTCGGAGCCGGGGATCACGCTATGGACTCTGAGGAGTACATGGAATACGTGGAATTGCGGGAGAAGATGCGAATTCTAGATGGACTGGGTTGGAGGGTCGAGTATTGTAGTCCCAGTGAGATTGAACTGTTCGCAGATATGGTGCGCAAATGAGATGCGCTTATGAGGGATCCGAGTCAGAGGTGGGCATCCGGTATGCAATTTGAGCTTCATCGTCTTTCAGCTATTGCCCCCTCAGCATCGGTGCGATACGTTGAACCTGATCACCACTCGTGTATGCGTTCACTACATCTGCCGATCACAAAACGCACCGCCTCTCGAATGTAGTAGCGAACTCTCTGTCTATCACCTTGACCACCGCCACCAGTCAACCGTGGAGTCCAGAGACGAGACGAACATGATCATCCTCTTCGGTCATCGAGCAGCACAGGAACAGGGGTATTTGAACGGGACGTCCAGGCTGGTTTCGCTCAGCCCCATGATGCGCTGTCCAGAATGAGGGCATTCATGGATGGCCAAAGCGCGAACATAACGCCGGTCTCCGATGTCGGTCCACGTTCTCCCGTTTGTCACGGGATAAAGTCGAACCGAGTGGGACGGGGTAAAGTGGACGGGATCGTTCCTTGCGAGTAGGTGTTTCTCCTCTCGTCGCTCGGTATAATGGTACATCGAGACATATAGATTTGAACGATCTAATGACCAACTCTTACAATCCGTCAATACAATAAATATAGTGCAGTGCGGTCACATTCCTGGTATTGACAAGTTACGAAGTGAGCAGATTCGCGCTCTCCTCATCACCCCACGCGTTCAATCAGAAATCAGAAACGACCCCTATAAGCTACAAGGCCACGAATCCACGTACACAGTCTTGAATCTTGCGAACATGGTCTCCATCTCTCGGCTCTCTTGCGAACACTACGAAACTCCCTTGGGGATCCACCATACCCGACCTCGTCTCTCATGGCGATTCGAAGGGTCGGAAGTCGATTGGAAACAAGCTTCGTATGACCTGGAGATACGGTACCTTCCTCTGAGGTCCAATAACGGAGACGAGGAGGGGGAGGTTGAGCGGCATCATATCGACTCTGCGCAGTCCGTCTTGGTACCTTGGTCCGGTCGTGAACTCGTCTCGAGGGACAACGTACAGGTTCGAGTCAGGTCCAACGGCGAGGATGGAAGCAGTACCAATTGGTCCGAGATCACCCTCCAAGTCGCTCTCCTCTCACCTTCCGACTGGACCGCTAGGCTACTCGGAGGTCCCGCCAGCGACGTCGACGCTGCCCACAGGCCGATCCTGCTGCGAAAGACCTTCCCAGTCGACCGATCTGATAGTGCTAGACTCTACATCACGGCCCATGGATGCTACAAGGTATTCATCAACGGCCATCGGGTCGGGGAGAAAGCTCTAGCTCCGGGATGGCAGAGTTATCACCATCGCCTGCTTTATCAGACGTATGACGTCTCAGACCTTCTGAAAAAGGGGGAGGAGAATGTCATCGGAATGGTATTGGGGGAAGGATGGTTCGCGACACGGCTGAATTTTGGGGGTGGGAGACGGAACATCTGGGGTGCGGATCTGGGCGTTCTTGCACAGCTGGAAATAGGGGTATGTTCATCTTCTCCTCTTCTTCGTGTGCTCAGCAGACTGCATGACGAGCAGTCTATCGGAACAACCTTCTAACATATCATCATCATCTCGATCTTGCTTTGATTTACAGGGCAAGACCGTGGTCCAGACCCGAGCCGACGAAGGCTGGGAATGGGCTCACGGACCCATCATCAGCAGCGAGATATACGATGGCGAGGTGTACGACGCTCGACAAGTACTTCCGGATTGGTTCGAACCGGGATCGACGTCCGGCACCTGGTCGAAGACGGTCCGCGACGTAGGGTTCCCCCGTGGAAAGCTTATCGCTGCGGAATGTCCCCCGGTGAGGGTAACACAGTCTATCAGGCCCAAGGAGATCATCAACACACCGTCGGGCAAAACCATCCTCGATTTCGGGCAAAACCTCGTCGGGTGGCTCAAGGTCGAGAATCATCCTTCCGATCTGAACGAAGGGGATGTTATCCGGTTCTTACACGCCGAGGTCTTGGAAGACGGGGAGCTGGGGACGAGGCCTTTGCGTGATGCGAAAGCGCAGGTGGAGATTACTGTCGGGCAGGAAGGTGGATTGGCAGGATACGAGCCTAGCTTTACGTTCCATGGATTCCGGTACGCCCAGATTGAGGGTTGGAAGGGCGTCTCGCTCGATGATCTCACGGCCCAGGTCGTCCATACCGACATGGAACGGACAGGGTGGTTCGAGTGCGATCATCCACTGATCAACAAGTTGTGGGAAAACGTCAATTGGGGTCTCCGTGGTAACTTCGTATCGGTCCCTACCGATTGTCCTCAGCGGGACGAACGACTCGGTTGGACGGGAGATCTACAGGTGTTTGCCGAGACGGCGAGTTTCTTGTACGATACGAGCTCGACGCTGGGAGGATGGTTGCAGGATCTAGCCGCTGAGCAGATCGAGGATTGGGAAGGGGTCGTGCCGCTCGTCGTGCCCAACACGCTGGGAAATCTCTTTGGCCCGCCACCCCCTTCGGCAATCTGGGGAGACGTGGCCGTCTTGACGCCCAAGGACTTGTATGTGGCTTCGGGTGATATGGATCTCGTTGCCAAGCAATACGAGAGTATGAAGACTTGGATGGACAAGGGGATCAAGCGGAGCGCCAAAGGGTTGTGGGACAGCAAAGGACCTCAGTTTGGAGATTGGCTGGATCCCAAGGCGCCCCCTGATGCGCCTCAGGATGGAAGGACCGATAACATGCTCGTCGCCGATGCATGGCTGGTCCATACCACCGAGGTCATGGCCAAGATGGCCGAGACCCTGGGATATGCCGAAGATGCCAATCGGTACGCTGATGACGCCCGACGTCTCAAAGTCGAGTACCAGCAAGAATACATTACCCCCAACGGAAGGATGATGTCCGACACCCAAACAGCGCTCGCCCTGGCGCTACACTTCCACTTGTTACCTGAAGCCTCTGTCGAGGTCGCTAGGGATCGTCTCGATCATCTGGTCCGAAAGGCCATCTTCCAGATCTCGACCGGGTTCGCGGGGACTCCGATCATCTTGCATGCCTTGAGCGATAATCAGCTGTTACAGCATGCCTATAGGATGTTTCAGGAGAAGCAGTATCCCTCGATCCTCTATCCTGTCAGCATGGGCGCGACGACGATTGTAGGTTCCGCTTTGAGAAGTCTCGGTCGACGTGTATGCTAACCCATCGGATCTCTTCGTCGCCTCAGTGGGAAAGGTGGGACAGCATGTTACCCGATGGTAGGATCAACCCTGGCGAGATGACCAGGTGAGTCCAATTCGAGGCAAGCGGGTTGATCATTCTGACGCTAACATCTCACATTCAATCTCGCTGTGCACCCCTTCAGCTTCAACCATTATGCCCTCGGCAGTATCGCTTCATGGCTGCACAAGGTGGTCGGCGGACTCGCTCCGTTAACTCCAGGCTGGCAAGACATCCTCTTCAAACCCCGTCCAGGCGGTTCTCTCACCTCGGCCAGAGCGACCCATACGAGTCCGTACGGTGAGATCAGCTGCGCTTGGAAGCTCGATGGACGGCAACTCGAAGTGACGGTCTCGGTCCCGCCGAACTGTACGGGCCGCGTGGTCCTTCCCGGTGTCGACGAGAGGATCGGGAGCGGTTGCAAGACCTATTCTGTCGAGTGGGAACCCGAAGCGGAATGGCCCCCAAAGTCGTACCAGTTGCCATTCGGGCCTCCCAAGCCCGATGTTCCAGCATGAGCGAGCATGATGTCTAGGCAAGACATTACCGTGTTTGCGCGATGTCATGGTATTCTCTGTCGGTTGATCGTGATGAATGTACTCCGCTTCAGTACTTTTGCAGATGGCAACTAATGCTCGACGGTCACCGAGACCAGGGACGTTGCTCTCGAACCCTTTTTCTTTCGTTTTCAGAGCGAGCAAAGGTTTCTCGATGCCTGACCTCGGTGATGGTGCTGGGGATGGTACGCGCCCGTATGCAACCATCTTCTAATTCAGGTTGTCCATGCCGATTTCCGCACAATATGGTGAATATAAAGTCCCTTGCAGTACACGTCGCGCTATACTATAGCATCCTTGATAGTAACAATCGAATGCATGTCGTAATAACCCGAGTGAGCTGCATGCTGCACTGATGATTCGATTGACGCATTTCGGCCCACCCAAGCTTCTGATTGTTGTATGATACGACGCATGACATGCATGGCATTACGCTATATGCTAGCATGCTACATGCTTACCGATCACCGATCATACGAGTGTAATCTGTGGACGGGGGAGGTGGAGGATAGGTGATTGTGAAAAGGGCCCGAATCGAAGCGAACGCCGCCGCCGGCTCCGCCAAGCGGCCCTCCGCAACAAACACCCGCTATTCCCGTGTTCTGCGCATGTGGTCGAGGTCCATGCAACACGCCACACGCACGTGTTTATCATACGATCTGCCAACACTCTCGGTAGACCGGTTGATCGGTTGATCCGTCGACCTTGGTCATCCATCCGACTCGTTGCGACTCTGGAGGACCCTTTTGACAAACACCGCAAGACATATCAACTGCAGGGTGATGACTGATGGATGAAACAACTTTGGGTGCAGAGGGAGAGCGGTGTCTATGGGTCAAGGGTCCGCTGTTCCCTGGAAAGATATAAAGGTCGAGGTCGGGGTGGATCGTCTGTCGTCTTCATCTTGCGACTTTCATCAACCATCTACCATCTGCCATCTACCATCTTCCGTCTGCCATCTTCATCAACACCGTCATCACCACGCAAACCGCAATGTCTCAGAACACCGTCATCTTGAGTAAGTCTCCTATCTTTTGTTTCGACCATTCTCGCGACCATCGCGCTAAGCCCCCTGAAACATCATCATCGTGACCATTACAATCATCAACATCGGTTTCAAAACTATCATCATTCGCTATACACACATCACCCGACTCCATCTCTTCCTCTCGATAGTCACCGGCGCCAACCGAGGTATCGGTCTGGAACTCGTCAAGCTCTACGCCTCTGAGCCTCAATACACCGTCATCGCCGGTGTCCGGGACGTCACCAAGGCCCGAGAGCTCGAAGAATGGAACGAGCAGGCCGGAAAGGAGAGCGGAAGAGGGGGGAAGATTCACTTGGTCAAGATCGATGCAGGCGATCTGGAGGGAAACAAGAAGGCTGCGGCCGAGATTGAACAGCTTTACGGCAAGGTCGACGTCTTGTGGGCGAACGCTGGTCAGTCCGCTATAGCTATTACATCGTCACCGTCATCGTCGCATGTTGCGCTGCGCTGTGGGATCAGGGTCAGGGAGGCTGACTGAACGATATTCATGGATCGTCATCGTCGTCGTCGCAGGTGCCGCTTGCGGATCGATCCCCGTCCTCTCGGCTACCAACGCCGATTACGAAAACCTCTTCCGTACGAACACCCTCGGCCCTATCGTCCTCTTCCAAGCGTTCTATGCCCTCTTGCAAAAGTCAGACAATCCGGTGAAAAAGTTTTTGATCACCTCGTCCATCGTCGGCTCGACCGGGTCCCAGCACATGGTCCCCTTTGCGCTCTCGCCTTACGGGGCTTCGAAAGCGGCCGTCAACCATGTGGCCGTCAAGCTCGCACAGGAACATGGGGAGAAGGATGGGATCGCCGTAGTCTGTCTTCATCCTGGTCAGTGTTTACTCTCGTCTTTCTGATTTCTTTTCCCGGATGGAGGGAACGAGCGTCGTTTGCACTGGAGTTTATTATCGCCTGATCTGAACTGACCTTGTCCTCCTTCGCCCTCCCACAGGTTCGGTCATGAGCGACCTAGGCAGACAAGGATGGGTAGACATGGGTCTCGACCCGGACGGTCCCCTGCCCATGCCCGTGGCCACCCCGGAGGAATGCGCGAACTCGTTGAAAGGGGTCGTCGATGGGGTCACTGTCGAAAAGGATGGCGGCAAGTTTATCGCTTATGATAGGTCGGTCGTGCCTTGGTAGAACGGGAGACCGCGAGGGATAGTGAAGGGAGACATTGGGCGAGACCAGGGTTGCTTGTACTGTGAGGTAGAAGACGGTGATGACGGTGAAGGGCGAAATGTGGACCCAAGGTTGATCGAAGACAGGAATACATTATTATATCTGTCTGCTCTTTTCGATGCGGACGTAATGGATTGAGCGTGTAGTCTGTGCCTGTGTATGTGTATACGGATCATAACAGCATCTGAGCGGCAAGCGCACGGCAGTCGAGATCGCCTCAGAATCACTCGCATCTTCAATCATTTCTGTTGACTTTCTGAATAGACAGCTCACATCCGGGTTCAGGCCAAGTGAGAAAACGTCTTTAGCAGTTTTCAAAGTTTCTCGCAGGTCCGATGATGATTTGCGAGAAGACTGGATGGGCGTGGGATTTTTGCGTGACCGTGGAGAAAGGCGATGGTCGACCTCGAAGGTTCAGTCCTCGTGGTCGGTATCTCAAGTGAAGGGGAGGGGTACGGCAGATCTCGAGAACAGCCAAATCATGACGATTACGGAGCGGGAAGTTCCGACACGATGACGATCTCTGAGCAGGAGGTGAATCACCATCGAAAGGACGTCGATGGTGGGTGGCGACGTCACTTTCAACGGTCTGGCGCGCCCGTTACGCGCTTCGCCTGTCGGAGGTCTGGTTCAGATCATATAAGAGTGCTGCCTTCGCCAACATCTTTTTGCCGATGGGAGATTTTCCTTCGACAATAACACCTTGCTACACCATCCAACCGGATCATTATCGTAAATGCGCGCTCTAGACGACCTCTTGTTCGGCTTCATCATTACGGCTGGATACGCCGCTCTGATTCAATACCTCGGCTTGGCCATGCCTCCGCAACCGTCGAGGAACTCTCTTGGTCTTTTTTGCCTTCAATTCGTCATTGCATATTTCTCGGACGATATCGCTAGGGTTTACCTTCACATCGGCACGACCCAAGCTATCGATCGCGGGCTAGAGAGGCGTCTTTGGGACTTTCAACTCGTCCTGTGTATGGTGACCAATGTGGCGTCCGCTTTCACGCAGCTCTGCGCCATATGCGGTACGGATGGAGTCTGGACCGGATACACAGACGATAACGCGATCCTCTTGTGGTGTACCATGACCCTGGAACTCGTGTGGAATATAGGATTGATCGGTAAGCGAACAAATCATTGACAAGTCGATCGTATACCATGCTAACCCTTGCTTTGAAATTGCCCCTTCTTTCCCTTGTGAATCCAGCATATGTCGTTGATACCAGACCCGTACATGTGGCACCACGGGTATCGGTCAGCTCATCATCGCCTATCGAGACGCCGATTTCAACGCCGACTTCGAGCCCAATTGTCGCTCCCTTGGAGCCGCAGGAAGGAGGAACGGCTGCAAACGAGCAAGTCGATGGCTTTGTCGCCGTTTGATGGACGGAGACATCTAATTGCAAGGACCACGGTGGTCTGATAGAAATAATAGTTTCACATACTGTCGTATATACTCGAGGCGACCTTTATCTTGTCTACACTATAATAATGAATTCTATCTTATCATGGTCAAGACATGCTTTGGACCGCCTGGTCCCCTTCGGCCTTGAGAAATTGCAGCGATGGCGTTGTCTGGTTTCGGTTGGTTATACGATCGTTAAGCCCTGGCCGGCAATCGCTCTACAGCAGGCATTATGTAACACAGACGTCGATGCTTACAGCTAGCTACCGTATATACCATAACCTTCGAGGGCACCTCGATGTTTCATCTTGATTTGATCTAAACGTGGGATAGGCGTCAGCTATCGCGTCGGCATAAGTGATTATCATCGAGTCCCGGTAAGATATCTTGACAACAGGAAGAAAGAAAATAGCTCGTTTAGCCTGGTCGGATGGCATGCGCAGCCAAAGGCGGGGCTTGAGAGTTCGGCATTCGTCGGGGACCGATTAGAACTCAGTCTCATCGTTTACTGTCGGTTCTTCTTCCTGTTGTTTGACGTTGTGATCGGGTTCCGATGGGTAAATTCGGCCATGGTGGATTTGAACAGATATGGCGGCGAAATGTTGCTTTAAACCATCAATGGGGTATGTGTGAGGTCAAGCTTGGGTTGATGTTTGACTGATAAACCGGCCTTAAGGGTCTACCCAGATGCAGAGAGATAGCGTGTGACAACATTACTTGCGATAGTCTTCCGCTGACAAGCTACAGATTGACAGTTCACTAAGTGTGCGTTTCTGCTATACACGATTTGTATCTTGCTATCAGTCCTCGCTGATCCATGGGTCCTGCAACAATTCAGCGGCGGTCGGACGGTTCTCCGGCTGGATCTGCAGGCACCGCGATAAGAAAGCGGTCCAGCCATTTACTTCAGCTGAAGGTAGGTCCGGCATGAAATGCACTATCGCCCCTTTCAAAGTGCCCTTTTGCCCTTCGTATATGAAGTCGCCTGAGTTTCCATGAAGATACGAGTTCGAGATATCAGTCTTCGACGCAGAAACGCGCTGTACGAGACGGGCGAACACACCCACCCTCTTCATCGATGTACCTGTCCCAATGTTGACTACGATTTTTCATTTCAATCGGTATGTTGGTACCCAGAACCTCGACTATATTGGCGAGTTGTGTTTCAGGCTCGATGAACCCGAGGCGATCTTCAAAGAGTGTGCCGCCTGTTACGAACCAGAAAGTCTGATCGCATGTCCGTGAACACATCGTCGTCAGCAAAGGTGGTCATCGACTCTCGTCGTTCTCGATGTGACGGTCTCACGGTACAAGCGAGAGCCCAAATATCAAGCGCGCCTGTGCAAGGGTAGCCCAGATAGACCTCCGGCGCCCGATAACATAGATGTTGTGTTTTTTCTGGAAATACCTCTCCCGCCTGTCGAGCTTTATTGAATGTCATTTAGAGTTGTAAGTTTGGGTGATGGACAGCCTTTCTGAGAGCGAACAGATTTGAAGAGCTCACCATGACCAAGATCGACCAGAGCAACCTCTAGCCCGATGTCCCCCACGATATGTTTGCTTACATCGAGCCAAGGAGGAATCGGCTGCGACCAATATCGAATCAAGCCTTTCGGAAGGTAGTGAGGTCGATTGCGCTTCGTTAAAGTCGGATTGTCGAGTAATTCAGCCCTGATAATCGATTCCATCTGCTCGGGGCGAATTAGAATATTGTTCGGCTTGAGGTCTAGGGGATTTAGAAATGGGCGCACTTGATGACAATGAGCAGTGGAACCGCGCGATGAGTCTCGAACAATTAGAGCGTACCTGCATAGACCGTGTTCATCTCTTGATGCAGACCATCCAAACCGACGAGAATCTGCCGGACGATACTCTTGCACGTGCGAAGTGAAAAGCCCCGAGCAGGAGTGACTTGTTCGAGCACATAGAGATCCCAAGCCAGGGGCTCCATCACGATGCAAGCGTGCCGGACGTCATCCTGAGTGCGATGATCGAAAAGTTCGAGAAAGCGACCGAAACGGCGAAGCCATTGTGAGTCTTGTTGACCTTGCCGTTCGATCATACGGTCTACGACCATCATCTCCTCGCTCTCGCCCTCGTGGATTTTCTTGGTGGCTGCGGATGACAGAATTTTCAGGGCCACAAAAGTCTTCGATCTGTTCCGGCCGACAGCATGTAAGCCCGTCTGACACGCACTGATACAGAGCGATGTTGCTCACTTTTTGTCGCGCGCCAGCCAGACAGTACCGAACGATCCGTGACCTAGCTTCCGAAGAATAACGTATCTTCCTTTCTTGAAGCCGTCTCCCACCAGTACGTGAAGATGACTCAATCGCTTGAGGGCGCATCGTGGACGATCAAATTCTTCGAGCGGGTCGAGCGATTGGTGTTGGTAGTCGGTGGCCTGAGAGTTTAGCGAACTCAACGGTTCAGAAAACCGAGTCTCTGAGGGTGCTGGCGATAGAGGCGGTGCGTCGGGATCCATACTGAGAAGGTCCTCGTCGTAGTCCCATCCCCTTGTACGACTTCGGAACGCATGGACCCACAAGCCACTTGATATATACACAGTCAAATCGATCGATGTACAACCCTAGTTTTGGCAGGAGCAAAGTCGACACACACCCTTTGCCACCGGACTTACGTCAGTCCAGTCCAGTCATTGGCAACTCAGCAAGCGCGTGACGTGATTGCGACTGAAAAGTCTGCCGTCTCATTTGATCATTTGACGGCAACATCATTCAGTTTTTGTTACCGCACAAGAAATGAATGTGTATCGTCAGAGATACACGTCACTGGTGAAAAGTACCGCTCAAAGCAAACGCTTTCATAGCTCTTGGGAGTTATCTATGGTCTGCGGAGCATGAGGCTAGATCAAGTCAGATGAGCAGGCTTCGATTGATGCTTGAGTTTTCAAAATGGTGCTATCGGCTATCTCTCGCACAGGGTCGACGCATAGGATGCTCTGGCACTGTCCTAACGCCTGCGATTCTTGTGCAATATATATACTCGCATCTAGATGTCCCAGGTGTTCTGAACATTCCATGTTGTCACCGCTAGTGGCAGCATCTCCAAAGTGATATTCGTCGTACGAGGCTCAATCTGCTCGTTGCCATTGTTCTGTAGGACCTGGTAGCGTAGACGGTGTCCAGCCCATCGTCCCAGACCAAGTACCTCTGGTCCCTTGTAATCTAGATACTCTAATATGTTGTAATGAGGCATATAGACTAGATGCGCCCACGCGACGTAGGCGGCATCGAATGGCTCGAACGGACAGCGCGACAGGCCTAGCCTACCGCGCGGTATCGCCAGTTGTGCCGTTGGAATAGCCGACTCCACCTGACCTGGGTCGAATCCAGGTGTTCGAGGGTATCGAGGTTGATGATACGGTAGGCAGGCTGTTCAGGCTTGCGATGGAAGAACTCGAGCATCTTTTTCCCCGTGACGTCTCCGTTTGCAACGTAACGTTTGATCTCCTCTTCGGATCGCTGTTGCAGTTGCCGCTTCTCCTCCAGACGCTTTGCGTGTCTCTCCGGTATAGGCGGATCGTCTGGACCGCGCTTCGGCCGCCAGTACTCATCGTCCGCCCCAGTACCATATATGGTCATCGATGATTTGACGTCTTTCCGCTTTATGAATGCCTCGTAGTCGGCCGTCTCGGGTAACCCCCATATGCGTCGTGTAGTGGGAAAGACGGAAGTATAGTCCTTCAGCCCCCAGCCCAGAGCCCGAACGGCTTTCACAGACGTGTCTCGAAAGGGTACCTCTCCCTCCGGACTCGAATTTGTCCTGTATTCTGCACGTTCGTCCGGCACCCGAATGTCCTCCACAAGACGTAACAACTCGATCACCTTGGGGTTCGACTCGTCCTCGCCTCTCAGTTTGGCCGCAGCGAGGACGGCGGTCTGAGCGTGTTGCACCAGGGGGTCCCTATGCAAACCTTCTTCGCTGACGATGATCCGCTTGCCGTTCCAAGGTTCGTTGGGATAAGAGAAGGGTCCGACCGCCTGAGAAAGACCGTCACGAACAGTCATGGCCCAGGGCGCTGTCATCTTCATCGCCTTTCGACAGGTAAAAGAGAGGATCAACGTGTCTTCGAAGTTTCCGAGGAATCCGAGGATATGTTCGAAAAGTTCCAAAGGGAGTTGAAGCAATCGACATTCGTGTTGGTCTATTTCGGCATCTTGGTCTCCGCGTCGGCGTTCGATACTAGCAAGATATTCTCGCAAGTTCGGTAGAGGGTTTTCCCAACCGATGAGGAGATCTAGTAGGTCTTGGGACTGGTAGTGGAAAGGGTTTTCGCCAAACTTTCCTCCTGAGAAGTAGCGGACTTTGTCGCTAAGATTGGCGATGTAACAATGGGCGCCCATGACGTTGACTGGGAGGAGGCCGAGGTGTAGAGCTAGTGATCCTGAAGATGAAAACAGAAAGAGAGTGGCTCTTTCGTATACGACTCTTGTGGTAGGCAGGCGAATTTATAATGGGCAAAACGAAATGGACTGAGGGTGATTCAACCTCGAAAGCCTGAGCGCGGGTTGTCGCGTTTGATTGGTTGGTAATGTCGCGCCTACGTCGATGAGCCCATTAAGCGCATCGATCTGTGACTGAGAAGCAGGTAGCAGGTAGGTGACGTATGGTTTGCAAGCTCTGATGCTGTACTCGTAAGTTCCCCTGCCCGCCTGATGTCGATCATCCCAGATGCCGCGCGGCACATGATGCCTAAGATATAGATGCGCCAAGCGGCAATGATTGATATCATATTGTTCGACAAGAGCAAGGGGCGTCTGGGAGAGCACTCCAGCCGGGTCTATGAGACGGTCTAGAGATTGGTCAGGTAACGTAGCTCACTTGAACGGTGTTGGTCATCCTTCCTCGTTCACGTCGATCATAGGGGCAAGTCGAGGAGAGGTGTTCGAAGAGGGTCCGATCACACCGTCTGGTGACAATCCGGACTTTCATGATGCCGGAAACGCCGGTCGCTGATACTACTAATTAATGCTAAATATACGAGTTCATTACGAGATCATCATTTTCGGTCTCGCCGCGATGAGAAAGGACTTGCGCGAATGTGGAAAAAAGCGAACAAACGTTGTGATGTAAGGGGAAGGAGGCTCAGAGTCTGGCCGTATCATCATCCTCATAGAGTTACAGAGTGGGAACGTGAAAGGTCGTCCGTCCGAGCGTTTCCATGGCGGCGATTCATCGGTCTCACTCTCCCTTCTCATCTTGCGTTTCATGTGTATCACACGAAACACACGTGGCTTCCGGCTCGCTTCGCGGCCCGGTCGATCGCTTATAAGCGAGGTGCGAGGTGGAGGTGAGACAAAAGAACGAAACTCTAATTACCAATATGATATCGATATCAAATGACGTAGCAGATTGCCCAACAGTGAATATTCTCGCTCCTTCCGCCCCTCTTTCTATGCTCGCAGTTCGCCTTCTCGACCCGTTGGAGGGCGGACAGGCAACAGGTCGACTGTTCAGCGCTTCCTCTTCATGAATCTCGCGAGCTTTGTCCGAGATGCCGAAAGATGCGATGTGGATTCGGGACGCTGGAAGGCGCCGCAGCTTTGTGATCTTGTCGGCGTTGGTGAACATGCGGTCAAGACCGGACGTATGCAAAGGCCCAGAGATGAGGTCACCTGATCAGAATCAGAGGACATGTTGTCGGATCTGACCGCTGCACCCAGTACACGCGATCGGCCCGGGGAGGACAACGACCAGAATGGGATATACACACGATAGATCTCGCCAAGCCCAACTCTTAATTCTCATACCGCGGTCCTCCACATGGATCCTCCACGAATCGATGCGGAGAACCTGCCACCAGCCTTCCTGCCTCAGAGGTCGAGGGCGGTCCGGGGGGGAATCGTCATATTCGACATCGATCGAACCCCGGGCCGGGCCGGGGCACCTCATCCCGGATGCGCTTAGCGCGAAACGAACCCCGACCTTGGGGGAATCTTTGCACTCGATTGCGAAATTGTCGCACCTATCCATGCTCGTCCCCCTGTACACCTTTACACCCATAACCTCGGGGAAACACATATATAAACCAGGATTCTGCAAGGGTAGTAATCATAGTCCCCTATTCGCCTCTTTAAAGCCCGTCTCGCAAGTCAAAACTGCGAAAGCTCATAATCGCCCATACCAAGCTTCAAAGACTTGTACTATGCTCAACCTCGCCACTCTCACCTCGGTGCTCGTAGCCACCGGAGCTCTGGCACATACAACGCCCCCGAGATACAACCAGACTACCGATCAGGAGATAGAGTCTCAGATCGCCTTCAAGGATGGAGAATGTACCGTCGAGGTAAGCGATTCCTTTCAGTCTTTAGGTTTCGAACCAGCTTTTAACACCTACTACATTTGATTATATGATATGTATGTATCTTATGCTTATGGTAGCCCCTCGGAGGAGCTCGGGACGATGGTCCAGCCCTGTTGAGGGCGTTTGAGACATGTGCCAACAACTCCGTGATCAATCTCCCTGGACCGCTTTATACGGTGGAGAAGGTGTTGGATACCGAGTTGCATAATGTCGTCATCAACCTCGAGGGGATCATGCAGTATACGTGAGTCGATCCTTTTCCCCGCCCGTAGTTCGGTACGAGCGATAAGATCGGAGGTACGCGAGCTGAATCTGACTCTTTCCCTTCCTGCTGCTTTCGATTGTCGCAGCCCGAACATCGAGTACTGGTCCCCCGCCTCCATCTACCTCGAATACCAGAACGCAACTACCGCCTGGAAACTATCCGGAGCGAACATCACTCTTCAATCCCTCACCCGAAAGGGAGGAATCGATGGGTCTGGACAGACTTGGTGGGACGCCTACGCGGTTGAGAAAGCGAGAGGAGGGAGGGGGGTCGCAGGGGGGTCTTCGAGGTTGTTTGCGAGGCCTATTCCGTTGGCTGTTGCCGATGCTTATGATGTCAGGGTCGATGGTAAGCATCAGAATTCATCGAGGGTCTCTTTTTCGGCAACGTGGAACGAGACGCTGATCTGTCGCTGTCGACGCTTGTAGGTCTTTCGATCACCAACGCGCCTTTCTGGCACATGTTCACCTATCAGGTCGAAAAGGGTCAGTCTCGCCCCAGGCCATATTTGTGGGATCCACATCATCGTACTGACATGATAGCGCTTGGAATCTCTCGATAAACCTCAACAGTCGAGTTCAGCAACATGTTTGTCAAATCGATCAGTAGCAGCAATGCCAGTGCTGCCAATACCGATGGATGTGAGTTATCAAGATTCCTCTCTGTTCCTCTCGGAGGACCTCTTGTAAGGCGGACTGCAGCTAAAGCAAAAATGGCTGACTTGGATTTCCCGTACGGGTTACTCTAGGGGACACTTACCGATCTAACAACGTCATCATCCGAGACTCGGTCATCATCAACGGTGACGATTGCGTATCTTTCAAGCCGAACTCGTCGAACATCTTGGTGGAGAACCTTTACTGCGACGGCTCTCATGGTTAGTCCTCGTCAGCTAGTGGTATTGTGGAATTCTTTCGGGGGTGTTAAGACGGAGAAAGGGTTTGTCTGTCTGCAGGAATCAGCGTTGGATCTCTTGGGCAGTACTACGGAGAGACGGATATCGTGGAGAACATCTATTCCCGAAATGTGAGCCATTCCGTCGTCCCCTGTTCCTCGAGCCAATGTGACTGTGTATTGACACTTCAACTTCGGCGTTTATGTTTAAAAGGTCACTTTGATCAACACTGAGCACGGGGCCAGGATCAAGGTTTTCCCCGGTCACAACAACACCGATTCCGTCGAGGGAGGTGGTACGTATCAAATACCACTGCGATTTGTGATTCTGCCAGGAGGCTGACGTGTTTTGAGACCTTTGTAGGAATCGGTCGAGTCAGGAATGTCACTTGGGAGGACCTCACCTTGGAGAGCGTCGACAAGCCCATCTTCGTGACCAGGTAGGTACGGGTGCGCTCATCGACCGGGAAACGAGCCGCTCACAAGAGACTGTCGGCGGTTGGCAGCTGCTACAACTACGACGAGAACCCTCAGTGGTGTGAAGACCACCCTTCGGAACTGGTCATCTCGGACATCAAGTTCTTCAACTTGAAAGGATACGCTTCCGGTCAGTTCCCTATCTTTGCTCTTAGGCGCACGGGCTCTTAGCTGACGAAGTGATGATCGCATTTGTAGGCAACTACCCCAACAACACGGTCGGTTCCCTCCGATGCTCTGGAGACTGCGCCGGCTTTGTCGCTCAAGACATTGACATTGGGCTGTACGAGGTGAGTCCCACGCCAGAGCGCCTGATTCATCGAGCTCTTCGAACAAATGCTGATTTGATTGACTTGCTGTGAAATAGAACCGTACCCAGGGTCAATACGTCTGCACTAACCTGGTCAACCCACGTCTCGACTTTACTTGCATCGACGTTCCTTTCAACGGCGAGAACCAGTTGAGCGATTTGGAGCCCTGATCAAGAGGCGAACGTGAACTCCAAGGGAAATACCCCGCTTGGCATGCCAACTTGGCGCCGAAGCGTTACAGTCTCCAAAGGAAAGGAATTGAATATGCTTCCGTGTAGGCGTGTATCAGATTAGCAAAGTTGTCGAAATCCTCTTATCCCATAATACTCGTGTCTGATATGGGCATGGCCAGCATCCGAGGAAATGCAAAGGCATCCCAATATGGAAGCGCAAGACGAACGTGGTGTATGCTCATAAGTATGTTGCACATAAGACTCGCCGCACTTGCCATCGGTAGGGACTCGAACGCCTCCGATCGTCCAACTCGTCATACAACATCTTCTCCCTGCTCGGTCAAGGCTCACTTCGCCCTGAGCTCGTCGTCGCGCTCCTCACTCAAATTGAGCTCGACTTGCAATCCCGGTTTCACGCAGCTCTACTTTCGGTCCGTCTGCCTCTCGGGGCTCATCCATCGATGTCTTCGTTTCTTCATGTTCGGAGCTACCAAAGATGAAAACAGGAAACAAAAACAAGCACAACTGATCAGCTCGCAATCTTTCTCCTCGTTTCGCAACGTTCCAAGACCGCTTTTCCCTCCTCCTCGCACTCGGTACTCACCCTTCTTCTTGAACCACTCCCAAGCCAAACTCATTACCTCACCATCAGCATCATAAGGCGAAGGGACCTCGCTGTACCCCGGCCGGGCCGTGGGATGCCTGACGTACACGCAAGCGCAGGTCTTGAAGTTGGGTTCGAGGTAGGCGGGGATGAAGAGGTGCGGTGCTGCGTAAGGAGGGAGGGTAAAGTAGGCGTCCTTTGATGTCGATTTCGAGGTGGGTTTGATTTCTGAGTCTGATTTTTCGGTGTCGGCGGAGGTCTCGGAGGTGGGGTCTCCAGAAGACTCTAAGGATTCGGCAGGAGTCTCGACGACCTGTTTTTGCTTTTTGCCCTGCTCTGCGACTTGCTTGGAGAGCATCGGGATAGCTTGCGGGTCCACGCTGAATAGGTCCCCAGGGTTCAGACGGACGTTCGGGTTGTTCACCTATCATATAGAGCATTGAGAGTGGACCCGTAAGAATCCGCGCAGACGAAGACTCGCAGCTGGATGTCGGGATGTGGATGTATATAGATGAACTCACCACGACCCCATTAACCCTCACTTTCCGATGCACGACCAACTGCCTCGCTTGCCATACCGACGTGGCGAAACAAGCTCTGAACATCAACACGTCCAACCTCCTCTCCACCTCCCTGTAGAGCAACGTCCCGATGGGCGTCCGGGATTTCTTTTCCAGCAGCGCTTTGGTACGTTCCGTCTCGGCCCGACCTCCTTCCCTCGTCCGACCTGCTACCATCTTCCCTAGTTCCCGGGATTTCGACGTTTTGGTAGATGTTGATGTTGAAGAGGCCCCGTGGATGGAAGGCAAGGCGTCGGGGAGGTACCACCTCTCAAACTTTTGTTCGGCGATATGGTCCCCGTGATACCCCCTGCTCAACCTCTTTGCGCGCCATCGTTGTTGAAAGAGCGTGAGCGAGGTCCGGGTGAAGTTCGTCTCGCTACGCAGGGGGCCATCGGGCGAGACACGTTGCCATAGGTTGTATAGGTTCTCCGGAGCCCAGCTCTGTGGAAGATGAAAGAGAGGAGGTTGATAGGGTTAGTGGAACCATACAACTTTTTTCTCTCCAAAGAGGTTTGACGACTTGCCATTCGCGGAAGAGCCCTGTTCTTGTCGAACAACGGGCGAGCGATGATCGAGCGGTACGGCATGATGTCAAGGGTGCAGACTATCTAGCTGCTGATGCGTGTTTGGTCTAGATGAAGCAAGTTGTAGATGCTCGATGATGATGAGATGATGTCGAGGTTGTGGTCGAGGGGGAGGTTCGCCCGAGGTCGATTCGTTTGAAATCACGTGAAAAGCTTTTTCGTCCTCTGGACCTCGCTTTCGACTTTGGGATCACAACTCTATCTGCTGTATACATCTACTCCTGTGAACGACGAGATACTCTCTACGATCAGTAGATACTCGACATACGATCGACTTGCAACCATGTCCTTCATCGTCCGCTCACTCTTTACCCGATCACGGCCGACCACAATTGCACGCTGCGTGGCCTGTAGCAGTAACCTCGCTCGATCGTACTCGACCAAGATGCCAGAATCCACCTCTACCGTAGCAGCAGTTCGGAAGACCAAGCACTGTGAGTCCCTCTTTCTCTTCACTGGCTTTTTGTTCTGTTTGAGCAGGTCCTGTTGATCTTGTGCGGCTGACGGGGGTACCCTTTTCATATTCTGTCTTCCATCTTGTGTCCTTCTCCTTATCTTCCATCTTCCGTCTTCACTTTCGAATCATCGACCTATGATTCCCGATACGCCACATCATCACATCACCACAATCATAACTACGACCACGACGCCACAACGACAGCCACCTCCATCCTCCCCGCAGGGACAGTCATGAAAGACCTCTCCATCCTGAAAGACAAGCCCGACCCCCTCGCTCTCCCTGACAACGACTACCCGGACTGGTTATGGACGTTGACGGATGAGGCATTGGCCGATTCTCAGAGTGGGAAGAAGGCTGCCGAGTTGGATGCCGAGGGACAGGTGGGGGACGCCAGGGGGGTCGGACAGGCTGGAAAGGGATTCGATAGGCAGGCGGAGAGACGGAAGTTGAGAGCGAGGTGGGTACTGGTTCTTGCTCTGTCCATCATTCCACATCGTTGCTAGAGCAGGGATCGTCCCAGATCCCTGCTGAAGTCGAGGACTAAAAACGGGAACGAAATATATGCATGGGCGATGTGCGGTGATGTGTTTTGCTGATCCGCATCGAATTGCACTGTGTTTCTGTGTTCTTCCTTTTTGACAGCAACAAGGCGGAGATCAAGGCGAGGAATTTCTTGAGGACCACTTAGACCGCTTAGATCGCCCAACAAAGTGTATATATACGACATGAGACGAAAAGACCTATCTTTTACGGGTTACGGACAACGGGAATTACTCGATGGTTCATCTCAATTCGGTTTCGAGTCTGATCTGATCTTCAGGAATCGGATCTCGTTTGATTCTACGTTTCTATGCTCAGTCTCACAATCAGCAGCGGTGGGGCAGTCCTGGCCCGACTACACAAAAAACCGTGAGGATTCAAGACGTTACCTCCATTTACCAGATGAGTCTGCTTCTCGCAGCCTTTTCGTCTGGGTTTCAAATCCACTGAAAAGATAGATTTCTCGACCCATACGCGAACATCCGGGCCCCCCGCCGGCAGGTCGGCCTGGCCGACGGTAAATATGCCCACGTTACCATTTTACAAGACATTCACCACCAATCATGGTGTGTGAATTCTTCTCGCCAACCACAAAGAACCCCTGCTTCTTCTGGGTGGTTCCCACGGCCATCTTCTTCAGATGATTCCACATCTACCGGGAGAGGTCGTACACATCATGCCGGGTCATTGGCTGGTCGACGGAGTTTCCGAAGACGAGATAAACGTTTCGCGGATCTCATTAGCGGCAAGATGGGATCCTATGATGTTTTGAGGGAGAAGATAGAGTGGAACGACTAGTATCTATTCTTTGGGAACTATATGCTTGGGAGTTTCTATCCCCTTCCGAATCATAGCTTTTGCACCATGCAGGTACTTCGCCTCTGTGTTGTGTTGATGACAATGTCACGACCCAGGGGCGGCTAGCGGTATGACTAGGTCGATACGGACCTGTTGCTCGAGACAATGAGGATGGGACCAAAGAAGATTCGCAAAGTTTGGGCTGCAAAAACTATCGATTGGTGGACATCTTTGGCACGAAACATGTGAATTCAGGTACCCTGACTAGACGGCTTTCCTCCTACTTGTACATGACTTTCGACTATCAGTGCTACCGACCGGTCCATACAAACAAACCCGCTTTCCCTGATCTTTACTCTTCACGACTCTCCATCATGTGAGCGATGTTGGTTCCCTTCCATTTCCTTGCAGGGATGCCTTGCTCGAAGAGGATGTCGATCTCGGCGGCAGCTAGATGGCGGAGAAAATGACGGTAAGCGTCTCGAATCAAATCCGATGCGACATGAAAGAGGAGAGAACTCACTGCGTCCGTTGGTCTCGGGGATGTAAAAGTAGGCCCAGACGACACCGAGACCGGTGAGTCCAGCGTAAATGACTATAGGTAGAGGATCGAGATCGATGAGCATAAGACATCACTCCGTCAAACTTGAGCCGACTCACGTGCAGTCTTGGCTCCCAAATAACCAGGACTTTGGAAGATGTAAGGCGTCACGAACGAGGTCAACCACGCTAGGAAGTAGGAAATAAACTGTAAGGGTTTTTGCAAAGTTTGAGCGCAAAACCTATATTTCGGATCGTCTGAGCGGAACTCACGAAACCGAACGAGACGGTCTTGGCCCTCAAGCGGAGTGACGAGATTTCGGCGTTGAGAGCGAAAGAAGCGCCTCCGGTGGACAGCTGAGCGGTGCAGATGGCAAAGTTTAAGACCACGGCGACACCCTGATTGCAGAACGGCTCTTAGTAAGAAGTGCTTAGAGAAACGAAGGTTCGAAGCACTCACCCAACCCGCCGACTTGTTCTTAGCGAACCCGAGGCAACCCAAGCAGGTGAGAACGAGACAGTGGAAAGCGCTATTCCCCAATCCCGATTTCTATGATCAGAGAATGTTCTGCCCTTCCTAGCTCCTGGACATAGCCGACTTACTTGCAATAGACAAAGCAGAATCGCCTTCCGAATCGTCCGAGACAATATCCTACCAGCACGTTGGTCAGACCGCTGAGCGCGAGCATGCCAAGCGTGATCTTGGTAGCGATGATGACGTCGAGGCCCTTTGAATGATGTCATGCAGGGTCGGTACTCGCTCAACGAGCGATGAAAGACGGCAAACTCTTACCTGTTGTTGCAAAAAGTAGAGACCGCTTCCCAAGAAAGCAGCTCCTGCCATGTTGTAGCATGTCCATACTCCGACGGTAAGAAGGGTCCTCTGCCTGTCAATCGGGTTGCGGAAGAGGTCCATGAAGGTGGCAGATCCCAGAGTAGCCGTAGCTTCTTGCTCCATGGCGACGGTGTGTTGGACGACGGCAAGTCGGGCGCGAATGATGGACTCGTCCTTGAGGTTATGCAGCCGAGCGAGAGCTTTGGCCGCTTCGGCAGGTCTGCCTCGTTTGACCAGGAAGACCGGGGACGTAGGCACGAAAAGGAGTCCGATGACGGTGATAAACGGGAAGATCCACCTGTTGAACAGCATATGCTTTAGCGATACTCCCGATATGTCGTCAGATCCTTGTCTTGACTTACTGGATAGCGAGGACGAGTCTCCAAGAGAGCCAGTCTATCGAAGTGGCGAAATCACCAGTCAGACGCCGTCTACGAGAGCCGATGAGAATCGCTGGAGAGACACTACGTACCACTGTTGACGAACGGGATCCTCTCGAAGCCAGTAGCGATCCCACAAGTCACTCCGATCAGACCACAGAAGCCCAACAAAGAGGACATCATCGGTCGGAGGTTCTGGGTGCAAGCCTCGGAGATGAAGTTGGCTGCCGAAGCGACAAAGATACCGTTCGGTAAACCGCCCAGCATCTGCACATGTTCATCATAGAGACGAGATGAGCGGAGCATTTCGGGGCAGTACGATGGGGGATCAGTCGACTCACTTTTCCAGCAAGCAACATGCCGGGGGAGTTGGCCAGGACCTGGACGGCGATGGCGGGCAGGATGAAGACGCTCGCGCCAAAGTTGGTCATTCGAGGTCCGTACCGTTCCAGGAACCAACCGCAGACCATTGCACCAAAGGCGATACAAATCTGGGTCATGGAACCCCATAAGGCTACCCACTTGGAACTTTTGATTGTAAAGGAAGAGATGAAGCGGGATAAGGATCAGCTTGAAATCCGAGCACAGGTAAAGCAGGGGAACACTAACTCGATGGACAAGCTGTGGGTGACGGGATCGAACCCTCCGAAGTATAGGAGATATGCGGGCCTGTGAGTAATATTCAGTGAGTAGTTGATCGAGATGAGAACACGATTCTATCTTGGAATGCGCTTACATGGCGGCGGTGATACCCGTAGCGCCGTTGTCGAAACCACAGCCCAAACTGTATCGCAAGTGGTAGACAACTTTTTATTTTCGCCGCTCCTGACAGACGGAAGCACGACACGCGAGGACATACCTCGAAAGCAAGTACGGCAGACATACCAAGACCAGCTTCCATTCCTTCTTGAGCGAAGCCCCAACTATATAGGCAGGTAAATTTGTCAACGCCATGCCGGTGCTAGAGGGGTCTTACTCGTCCCGCCCGCCAACTCACGTTTGAGCTTGGAGTCCTCCTTGACAAGATCATAACCTTGTTGCAGCATCTCCCTTGTCGGCGCCTCGAGCATGTTCTTGAGCGTCTCGGGGTAAGGGACTTCGGCATCGGCCGTCGAGGTGGGTCCATTCTCCAGATGCTGGACGTGCTCCTTGAGGTCTTTGACGTCCTCGTCCATCATCCGATCCTTGTTGTCGTATTCGGTAGACATGATGAGATGTGACCCTGTAGTTCTTTGCAGGATGTTGTCGCGAATCGTGTTTCGTAGCGCGCGTGTGGGGTGAAGATGTGAAACTCTGAGTTGGACCTCGCTAAAACGGTCTCAGGGTTTACCCCTTATATCTTCGCTTCACGCTTAGTGATCCTGGGATGACTCAAGGGATAAAGGTGGACGCGAAATATTGGCTTTGCGGGGAAGTCAGACAGGCTCCGCCCGCAGCATCAACAGCTTCGGGTTGACGGTAGGTCATTGTGCCGCGATCCACTCTTGTCGATGGGACGGATATCCGACTTTGCAGTCTCTGCCAGCAAGATGAAGCCTTTCACCCCGCCTTGCTATGCCCCGCTGGTGATCTGACGATAGTGCAGTCTTCGTCTCTCGCTGCATCGAGCAATCCGGGCTCGTGCGCAGCACTTCGCTCCCCGTCCACGGTGCTTACGGGTCAGCACGTGGCGGCGCGGACGTGGTGGACGCAACAGAAGTTGTCGGTAAAATCCGGTATATAGTCTTAGAGGTAGATAGGTATGCTTGGCTCGCTCATCGCTTGATGGCTTCGAATCCTGGTAGCTGCCTCTCCCCAATTGGCCCGCATTCCACCATGTCCCCGATCGCCATCCAAGACGAACCCGTCATCGCCACGATCACCAACAAACTCAAATCGATCGGCCTCGCTCGACAAGACACGTCCACGCAACGGGATCACGACGCCTTGCTTCGATCGCTTTCTCTGCCAGAAAAGGTCTTCTTGCTTTCAGGATCTTCGTTCACCGCGACCAATGGCCTACCCGCGCATGGGCTCTACAAAGCCAAAGTATCTGACGCTCAGACGGATGTCCGAGGCGGTACCATCTTCAACGCTCCAACCGCCGCCGTTTTCCCCAACGCTACCGCGCTCGCTTCGACATGGGATCTCGACTTGATACAACAGGTCGGGGTCGCTCTCGCCGGCGAGATGGTCACCAAGGACGTCGATGTTCTAATGGCACCCACGCTCAACTTGCATCGAGATCCGAGAGGAGGACGTAATCAGGAGAGCTACGGAGAGGACCCATTCTTGGCCGGTAAATGTGGTTCAGCGTTGGTGCGAGGTGAGTGCCTAACGCGATGGTCTTGCTGCTTCGAAGGAGAGCGGTCACTTATACGTGACGTCATGTGTCGAACTTGATAGGCATTCAAAGCAAGGGTCGACAAGCCACTCTCAAGCATCTAGTCTGCAACGACTCGGAGACTTCGCGAAGAGAATACGACGTTCAAGTCGACGAACGGGTCTTGAGGGAGGTCTACCTCAGACCGTTCGAGATCGCCGTCAAGGAATCGGATCCTTCGTCCATCATGGCGGCGTACAACAATGTGGTATGCATCCGTCCTTGGTATTGGATTCCGCTCGCAAGGGATCGGGATCTGAGAAAGAACCAAAGCTCACCCCGTCTTGTTTTCTTTTGTTGTCTCGATAGAACGGCCATAACGCCAGTGCCTACTCCCACGTGCTGACCGATATTGTGCGGGACGAGTGGAAGTATGACGGTCTAATCATGAGCGATTGGTTCGGGACCTAGTCAGTGCTCGTCAACAACGAAATCAGCTGTAAACAATCCGACTGACCGTTGGCATTGTTTCCTCTACGCAGCGACGGTCTCGCCTCTCTGCAAGCCGGCATGGATTTGGAGATGCCGTTCCCAGCCACCCGAGGTCCCAAACTCATTGGCGCCATCAAGTCAGGTCAGATCCCAGAATCCGCCCTGGACACCTCGGTCAAGCGGATGATTCGTTTCCTCGAACGCGCTGGTACGAGCAAAGACCGCCGAGACGAGAGATTAAGCGGGACCGACCAGGAATGTTGCGACTTGATCCGCAAGGCGGCGGCTGAAGCAGTCATCTTGCTCAAGAACGATGGAGGGGTCTTGCCGCTCGATTCCCAGCAGACCAAGAATATCGCCGTCATCGGATCGCTTGCTACCGACCGAGTCATCAGTCACCTCATCTCGCCGTCGTATATGACCACTCCGCTGCAAGGTATTCAATCCCTGGTCGCATCCTCTTCATCTGCATCCGGATGCAAGGTCAATCACGCCCATGGTCCTCAGACCCACCGTCTCGTCCCGTGTCTGGACCACCGGTACACTTCGGACATCGCCTTCAACCTCTGGAACCAGGGCGACCGGACCAACCGAGACGCTCAACCGGTCCACACCGAACATCGCAAAGAAGCAATCGAGACGTTCTTGATGCGAAAAGTCCCAGGGCTGAACGAAGATTTCGAGATCGAAATGGTCGCCGAGATCAATGTGCCTGTAGCGGGGGAATACGAATTCGGGATCATCTCCGCTTCCAACGCCAAGGTCTATGTGGATGAGCAAGAGGTCTTCGACTTCATTCCCGATGGGGTGGTCGATATCCAGCGATTCTTGTTCCACCAACACACCTTCGAGCAGAGACATCGACATCGCTTCGACAAGGCTGGCAGGTATACCTTGAAGTGCGTCTCCCAGTCTCAGAAACAGGTGGGGCCGGAACCGGTCGCCACGGGGTTGTTCTTCGGCATGGTCGAATGCGCTACCAGAGAGGAACGTATCCGAGAAGCCGTGAAGCTCGCAACCGAATCGGATGTGGCGATCGTCTTTGTAGGCACGACGTCCGAGTGGGAGATGGAAGGGGTAGATAGGGAGTCGTTGGAACTGCCTAGCGGACAGGCGGATCTCGTTCGGGCGATCGTCGAGGCCAAGGGAGGCGACAAGGTGGTTGTCGTCAACCAGAGCGGGGCCGCTGTTGATCTTGCGTGCGCAGATGGGGCAGCGGCGATCTTGCACGCTCACTTCGCTGGGCAGGAGGCTGGCAATGGTGAGTGGGAATTTTGCACGAAGCCCAACAGATTCAGAATCGACAACTGATCTCGCTCGTCCACCTTGTTGTTCCTTCCTTAGCCATCGCCGACGTCCTTTTCGGCCACGCAACCCCCTCAGGGAAGACGACGTACACCTGGCCCCGAACCTTGTCTGACAGCCCGTCGTACGGCAACTTCCCTTGTAACGAGGAAAGCCTGAAGTTGGACTATGCCGAGGGGCTGTTCATGGGCTGGAAGGGTTACGAGAGGGACGGATGGGCCGAACCGGCATTCGGTACGTGTCTTGGAGGATGGGGATATGGGTTTGGATGCCGTAGTGCTGATCAGGGTCTCCTCTTGTTGATGACGAGTAGCATTTGGACACGGCTTGTCGTACACCACTTTTGACTACTCCAACATCCGAGTAGGAGGTTCCATCGACTCTCACTCCTCCGAAGTGACTGTCCAGATCGACATTACGAACACCGGAAGCCATCAAGGAAGAGAGACCGTCCAGGTCTACATCTCCGGTCCTTCCAACTCTTCAGTGGAACGCCCCGCCAAGTCGCTCGAAGGGTTCTCTAAGACCAGGCTTCTTCAACCGGGAGAGAAGGAGACGGTAACGATCAGGCTTTCCAGGAGGTCTTTCGCCTATTGGTCGAAGCAACAGGAGAGTTGGGTGGTAGAAAAGGGAGTCTATGGGGTTCAGGTGGGGAAGTCGAGTAGGATCGTCGTGGCGAGCGCGGAGGTGGTTGTTGAAGGGTCCCAACGATGGGTGGGGCTGTAGGTCCTTAGGGGGGATTCGCCTGCGGTGATCTTGTGTATCTGTGTTTTGTGACTCTCGTTGGGTTAGCGGTTGTATCTGGCATTCAGCAGTGGAATCTTAGTGATCGTCATCAAGAGACGCTTGACATATTACAACGACGAATTCGTTCATTCGGCTTACCCTTCGCGGGCTCGTCCAAGTTCGGCTGGTGTTCTTCTTACCATCTGAGGGGATCGGCGGATTGTTCATTACCAAGCCGACCTTGCATTCAGCCTCCTCAATTGTCGGTATTCTTGTGTCGATGTGGGAGTTCTACGAGGATCAGCCTGTGGCCTGAGTTGAAAGGGGTCGAAAGGGACCTCCAACCCTGAACAATTCGACATCTGCCTGCCAGATTAGGTTCAGATTAGGTTACTATTCCTGGTTTGCCTGTTCATTTCCTCATGGAGCTCAGCATGATTAGGCTCAGCTCCTGTTGCTGTTCGTCCTCCGTATGGTTTTCTACGTTCCCATACCATGATCCTTTGTCTGGGTTTGGTGCCAAACCCTAACTGCATTATCATACTCCATCCCAATTTGCCAATGTTTCAACATGTTGTGTTGGTTTAGGAACTGGAGAGCCTGTTCCTCTCCTTCTGGGAGAGTGGCCCAAGTGGCCATGTCATCATAATGCCCTTGGCTCAAGAGCAGCTCCCAAATCCTGCTTTGATCGGTGATGTAGCGGTCTAGCCAATATCGGCGGAAGGGCTCAGCAAATTACTGAAGACCTCTAAGCTGGGTCTCTGTCAAAGAGGTCACAACCTCTCGTCCGTCGTTCAGTTGATGAGTTGACGAGATGAGCCAGTTGCTGACAATTTACTAATTAGCTACAGGCACATATTCTCTTCTTTTCTGATCAAATTACTAATTCCCACTAATTTCACTAAATTGCGTTCCTCCTGCCTTTTTTTTAGCGCTTTTCCCTCCAAAAACCGCTAAATTAGCTGTTAGTCCTCTCCAGAGTGAGGGTCCCCGCTTTTGCCGCGTCCCCGACCGATCAGCAGCTCCGCAGCGGGGTAACTGCTTCGATTCGGGTTGTCCGTCCATTAAACACGATGGTCTTGTTCAGTAGTACGTAGTAAACACCGTTGCTAATTCGATTAATCCTCCCCCGATCGTACACCGAGCTCATCTGCCCCTCAATCTAAGATTCATGGACCCGCCGAACGCTCGTCCTGGAGCGTCGACCACAAACTCTAACTCGAAGAGGAACGGGACGGCTGCCACGACCGCTCGAAAGAATGCCAACGGCGAGTTTGTCTGTGATTGTGGCAAGACATTCAGGTGGGTTCTGTGTCTGGTTGCTGGTCGGGTCAAAGCGACCGGAAGGTTCTGTACTAATCCCTGTTATATCGCCGATTACTGTGTGTAGTCGCATCGAGAACTTGACCCGGCACGCTCGAAATCGTAAGCTACATAGCTTCGAGGTCGTTTTTGCTATATCATCAAGAACTCGATTACTGATTCACTCACAACTCTCATCGACTTCTCATGGTGTATCATCACATCACATCATTGTCGCTTCAACCCGCCATTCACAACCCGTGCTACCGTATCGACTCCCTAAAGACAACGCTTCCCAGACGTGGAAATGCCCTCATTGCAGTAAAAGCTTCAACCGTCCAGATCTATACAAGAGGCACCTCAAAATTCACCCTCAGAGTCAGACGGGATCCGAGGATCGTAATCGAGCTTCGCAGGACCGTGAAAGTGGTTCACAGGAACGTCAATTATACAACTCCGGATCTGGGTCTGGATCGAGGTCTGGAATGCGAGCGTCCGTCCCACTGCCCATACACCCGAATTCTGAAAAGGACGTTGGGATGAGGATGGGGTTGAGGAACGGGGATCATCAGCGGAGCCTTACGTCCGGTACTCCTTCGACTGCCAGGAACACAGATGGAGATGGAGGTGAGGATGAGGAACGCGTCAGTCCGTCGGGTTATCGTACGAGGAAGAGGGTGGAGAATAGCGGTAGGGACGGGGACGGTGATGAGGATGAGGACGGAGATGAGGCGATCGACACGGACGAGATGGATATCGGGCGACCTGCGGCAAAGAGGTCGAGGAGAGATTGGGGTCGACGGGGGTCGTCGTTAGATAATGTCGACGATGGGCACACGGGATATCAGGGGGGTCATGGCCACGCTCATGATTCTACCTACGACAGCCACCATTATTCGGGATCACGGGAGGACCATGCGCCTGATCGAGATCGAACCTCGATCGACCCTGGTCTTTCCCCGTACATCATGTATCGAGACACCGAGCTCATGCTCGGGGATGTCGCTGGATCCGCTTCTGCATCAACATTGACGTCGATGTCAATCCTCCCCCCACTTCAACTGCAAGGAATCGAGAGCTTGACCACGCTTGCCAATAGCGCTGCCGCTCAAGCTCACACCTTAACCCCGCCTTTGTCATCTCGGACGCCAAACCCTTTCACGTCTCTCTCATACGACAGCTCTCGGAACGATGGATTCGCTCCTTCTTCCTTCAAGGTTCCGAATACGACGTTCGCAAGCGGTCTCGGTCGAGATCACAACGAAGACAGGTTCTCCATGCGAGATCGTCAGACGCAGCCTTCTCAGATAGCCCCGGAGGATCGAGACATATTCCGAGCGCACGCGGGACAACATTCGGCTCTGCTCGTTGAGCGACATGGGGAGGGTCTGGACCAGGTCTCCTCGCCGCCGCCTGCCTCCCGAACGAATCAAGGGGTGGAAGCGATCTACGCTCAACCTGGTATTGATGACCTGCAGATGGATAGTAAGTCTCTGACGCGCTTGTGAATGGGCAAACGATGCTAAGGGATGCTGAACGAGGTCGCTGGTCGTGGGTCATGGTTCGACAGCCTCTGGGTTCAATTTGCAGCAGACAATGGTATGGGACGCTTTGGGTCAATCTGGTGGCGGTGGTGATACGCTACAGTGGGGTGAGTCGCGGCGGGGTTGAGGAGAAAGCCCAAGAGGATCCTGTTTAGCTCATTTCAATAAACTTGGCACGTTGGCAGATGAGGGCATGCATTGGATGCTCGATGATGCCACCCGGTACCTCTCCTCGATCACGGCCGACCCTTCGGGTCAGCAGAACGCGCCCTTTGGGTTTGGCGATTTCGCTTCGCAACCCCTCGCCTTTTCTGACGGCGACGCGGTCGGTCTGGCTGATGCACCGATGTTTCAGGCCGGGAACGACACGGTCGATTCGGCAATGTTGAGCTACTTTCTGAGCGAGATCCAGCAGTTGCGGCCGAGCAATGCTGTAGGAAGCTCTTCGTTGCCAGACAGGCAGCACCAGGATACTTACGCAGCTGGCCAGGCTCGGAATTCAGGAGCATTCAGCCCAGCGCCTGGCGGGGTATCCGGCCGACTCGGATCGACGAACGTGACCCGAGCGAACAGCCCTCGAGCCGGCTTTTACAGTCGCGCAGGCAGTGCTCCCGCAGAGGAAACTGCGGAGGATCGATGGCGTGAGTGGGCGCAATCGGGTCTACCCGATGCGGACGAGCCTAAGGCCTGATCAAAACGCGTGACTGAACGAGATCAACCTCCTCTTCCCAGCGATGAATTGGCAGCCGGCAGGCAAAGCGTTCACTTTGGGTGCCTCTAAGTATATCGACGAAGTGGCGAAAGAGTCGGATATCGATCCACACCTTCGCCAGCGATGGAGCCGATACTGGATTGACGAGAGGGTCCGCAAGGCGATCGTCAACAGCTTTGGTGAGTGGAAACGGTCAAGAATCGCCATACGCAAAGCTCCTTCGGATGACACGAATCACCATATATCACAGCACTCGCCAAGGCGATGCCGGGCCCGGACGTCAGCCGCTTCGTCATGCCAAGCTCTGTACACACCCTCAACCATTTCATCTCGCGTGAGTATTCGGACGGAGTGGGTCCAGCTTGAGGAACGCTTTCACCGACTCGAATCCGGTCCCTACAGTGTACTTCGAGCACTTTCATGAACAGTTCCCAATCCTTCACTTGCCCACCTTCGAGCCCTCGCAGTCACCGCCTCTCTCCGTGGCCGCCATGATCTGCGTGGGCGCGTGCTATTCCGACCGTTCGGGAGCTCGAACGTTTGCGGTCGAGATGATCGAGGTACTTCGTAAGACACTAAACGCCCTGTTCGAACACGACTCTACGAATGTGAGTGGTTCATTGACTACTGCAAAGGCGGGACGCGCTGCGACGGGTTTGCGTCGACTGACCCTGATACCGGGTCATACCCATAAATAGTTACGGAGTGCGTCTTCAATTCACGCCTATCTCTTGGTCATGCTGGCCGGGCTATTGATTGGGAACAAGCGGACCTATGAATTGGCTGAAGCGAGTCGTGGAACGCTCATCAATGTGAGTCAGTTCGAGTGGTCCGGTCGCCGGCGATATTCACTTCCTGATCATCATCGCATTTCTTGATGGCAGCTCTGTCGAAGGGCGGACCTACTGGGCGCCACCAGCGTGACGGTGCTAGAAAGCGGTCTCAAATCTGGCAACCCAGATGAACGCTGGAGGACGTGGGCGGCATTGGAGAGCAGGAAACGATTAGGCGGTGCTATTAGCCTGGTCGATACGATCTTTCCGGCGCTACTTGATATCCCTGCGTATCACAGTCACGGCGAGATGCTCAAGACGGCATTGCCCTGTGATGAAATTTACTTCGCCGCCCCGACTGCCAAGGCTTGGAGCAATCTCCTGGGATCGAGCCCTTCGCCTCCGTGCCCGTTCTTTACTATGGCGTAAGTTATGTCGATTCGCTACGACCGAGCGCTCGCTCGATCACACTAACACTGTCATCCTGCACGCGTCTAGTTCCGCCGCGCTCTTGACGCCCACCTATGTCGAGGAACAAAACAGAATAGCCCCTATCCCTTGCCTTAACCCGTTTGCGGCCCTTCTGACGGTCTCAGCGCTACATCACCATATCTACGAATTCAGGGCACAGCTCGGCGCGTATACCGGATCCGGACTACCTGTTCCGCTTTATCGGCCTGGTAGCGAAGAACGGATGCGTGATGGATTCGAAGGACGCAGACAGGTGAGCGGGAAGTCTCGAACAGATATTTGTCGCTCGAAGCTGATAACTCAGTCCCGCTCACGGATCGTGACGTTCCAGTGGCTACGAGAATCGCTCGATATCTGGTGGAAACATTACTACGACCTCAATCCCGATGCGCCGCTCATGAACAACGCCCGAGCGCTCTATCACCTAGGTCACGTCGCCTTGGGCGTACATGTGCAGTCCCTGTATATGGCAACGGGGAGTGAGTATCGTTGAGAGACCCATCAAACCGGCCCGAAAGCAGCTGACGATCGGGACGTCCTATTCCAACCTGTGTAGAACGAGGCAAACAGGCAGCCATCGATGTCTTGACCGAACTGCAGTCCTGGGCACCGAGCGAAGATGCGTGCCACGCGGTCAAGCACTCATTAGGGTTGCTGGAGGTCTTGTCCCACTCCAAGCGCACGTCCCCGTACTACCCGCTGTGCGTATTCGTGGCGACGCTCTCTACCTGGGCGTTTGTCAAACATCTGCCGGTCGATGACCGTGACCAGGAGCAGATCGCGCTCCTCGGCGAGGTTCAGAGATGGTTGACACCTACCACCGTGACGCACGATCACGAGGATCGATACATCCGGAAAAAGATTCTGCAAAAGGGTGCCAAGCTGTTGTCCGAGACCAAGGCTTGGAGAATCGGATCCGCGTTTGCCTTGGTCTTGCTCAAGGAAGCGGAGATGGATCTCGATAGGAATGGGACGGTATGATTCGGGGGTTATATGGTCGGCTCGAGCATGCGCAGGGATATCATCACTTGTTGAGACCGAGTGTGACGGAATCGACTGCTCGTTGCCTTGATGCCCAGTCGCCGAAGAATGATAGTGAGAATTGCGTCATGACATCAGCCTGTCTATGTTGGAACTGCAGGCGTAATCGCAATCGAGGACTTGCAGAACTTGGCGTTCGGCGTCGAGCAAGTAGATGTCAACTACGATCAGTCAACCATGTTCACTTACCCTGTGACAATAATACGAACCTCTGCCGAGGGGTTTCGCACCCAGGCCTTGCACTCGTATGTTCGCAGCTACAAACGATATCATGGTGACTACCAGATCTTGGGGCCAGAGACTGAGATTAGGAGACGTTGGCATCGATCGTCTTGGGCTCAGATTCGGCCATAAGCCTTCCAGTAGTTGATCTCCCTCGTCATGCTGTCTCTCTTGCTGATTGTGCTTGATCATGCGATGGACAACTTTGTTAGCCTATCCACGGCTTGGCCCGAAGGAGTCGAGTCTCAATAGTTCAACAGCAACGTTAAAGCGGTGCAAGATATGTCAGTCACATGATCAAGGTCCAAGCTGACCGAGGCCCAAGAAAAGTACGGCCCGGATGCAGGTGTGCTCATGTGCTCCACCTTGCTCGTTGGATAGCAACAGGTCAGGCCCAATGAGGTTACATTGTATCTTCCAATAACCTCAAAGGCTGCTATGCCAACAGAACAATCCAAATCTTCATGACGAACTTCAGCTTTTTCTTTCAACTGGTTTCCAACCTGTTCAGAAGTCTCGATCGTGAGCAATATTATTATAGGCATCCGCGGTACGCATGTCGTACACACGCGGGATGTAGGTTTTCACCTCGTACGGAGGTCCGTTTGGAGACCCTCTCGGAGACCCTCTCGGAGACCTATTAGGAGATGTGTTCGAAGATGTCTAACTAGCACCTTGTAGTAGTTAGACATCCGTTATTACAGTCATTACCCTACCCGTACCTTCTAGTCCCGTGTGTTACTATTCAGGCTTGCTGGCAAGCCTTATAAATATTCCCATTACTGCCCGCAAATGGATTGCTTAGCAGGTACTGTAAGGCCCGGAAGCGACCCCCGGCGGGGGTCCCCCTGGACAGGCTGACGGGACGCAGGAATGAGGCAAGGTACGGGTAGACATCTAAATGTAATAACGGATGTAGAGCTATTACAGAGGTACTAGTTCTACATCAAAACAACAACACCGAAAAGTACCCCCGGCGGGAGTCGCATACGGGAGTCGCGTACGGCGCGTCCGATGCGTCACGTGACCGCTATAACAGGATCCCCCTCCTAGATGCGGACTCCGAACGCATCAAGCGTCGGCGTACTCCTGTCGACCGGGCTGCGGTAGATGGGGGTAGCGCTTGTGGAACGCCGTGACGACCTTGTCGTCGTGATCGAACTCGGCGGGGCTGACCCACTCGTTCGACTCGTCCCCGTACCCTTCGAATCGTACTAAGTACTGGGTCTTCTTCCCGGACCTCCCGGATCGCAACGCCTTCGAGTGTACAATCTCGGACACCACATACCCTAAGTTGCCGTTGTCGAGGACTTCGGGGGTAGGCGGTTCAACTACCTCTCTTCCTTCCAGTTCGTTGGCCCGATAGGGAATGAGCAGCGACACATGGAAGACGGGATGCACCCGGCGTAATTGCGCGGGGAGTTCCAGCCTCCTCGCCATCTTGCTTTGGCCGACGATCTCCGTGATCGGGAAAGGCCCCAGCGTCTTCATGGAGAGCTTCTGGCTGGGGCGCACCGATGTCAAGTTCTTGGTGGATAACATCACCAAGTCGCCTACGTTGTAACCCTCGTCAGGGACGGCGGTACGCTTCCGATTCGCGTACTTCGCCATGTCTTGTCGCGCCTGCTCCAGCGCCTCCTTCACCGACTTGTAAATCCCATCGAGTCGGTCTCGATACTCCCCCGCCGATTCTACCGCCTCCTCCCTAGTGCCGGGCACCGGTAAGGAGAAGCTGTGTTCCCTTCCCTCGGACGCCATGAATGGCAACATCCCGATGGCAGAGTGTTTCGCGTTGTTGTAAGCGAACTCCGCCAGGGAGAGTAACTCCGCCCAGTCGTCTTGGAGAAAGTTGACGTACGACCGCAAGTATTGCTCCAAGGTGGAGTTACTTCGCTCGGTCTGACCGTCCGTCTCCGGGTGGAACGCCGTGGAGTAACTATTCTCCACGTTTGCCATGCGGCACAGGTCTTTCCAGAAACGCGAGGTGAACAACGTACCTCGATCCGAAATGATCTGCTTCGGGAACCCATGCAAACACACCCACCGGTCGAGGAACAACCGCGCCAAGAACGAGGCGTCGTTGTCCTTCCGACAAGCGACGAAGTGCGCCCGCTTGCTGAATCGATCGACGATCACCAGGATCGAGTTGGACCCCATGGACTCGGGCAGGTCCGTGATGTGATCCCAAGTGATCGATTCGTATGGTCCTGCCGGTACCGGTAGCGGCGCTAATTCACCGACAGGCTTCATCCGGGGCCGCCGATTGCGCTGGCATATGCTGCAGCTAGCGACGTACTCCCCGATCCACTTCGCCATCCCGGGCCAGTAGAAGTCCCTACTGGTCAGCTCCATGGTCTTGTCCCGCCCCCAATGGCCGGCGGCCTTCCCGTCATGTAGACGCTTCATCAGCTCTACCTTGATGTTCCCTGCGTTGGGGACATACACCAACCCGTTGTACAAGAGAACCCCAGTGGGGCTCAAGCTGTATCGCTCGTTTGCCAAGGTTCCCGCCTTGAGCTGCGCTACGAGCTCTTTCGCCACCGGGTCGTCCTGCGCCGCCGGTATCAGCGCTTTCACCATCCAATCGCCCAGTGCGGGGATGGTGCCATTCAACCGCAAAGGCGGTCGCTCAACCGGGCTACACCCCTCAGAGGGTGCGTCTTCGACAGGCCGGAGCAGAGTCTCCGCTCGCTTCGGTTCTGTCTCCTCCATCAACTCTTCCCGCCGACTCAACGCGTCGGCCTTCCCGTTCTCCGTTCCCGGTTTGTACTCCAGGGTATAGGAGATCTGATTCAGCAGCTGCGACCAACGCGCCTGCCGCTGGGACAATACCTTGTCCCTCTTGAAGTACTCCAAGTTCTTGTGATCCGTGAGGATCCGAACGGGGTACTTGTTGTCGAGATAATGTCGCCATATCCGACTGCAATAGACGATGGCCAACAGTTCTCTGTCGTGCACATCGTAGTTCCTCTCGGCGGGCGTCAGGCTCTTCGACATGAACGCTACCGGGTGGAGCTTCCCATCGTCCCCTACCTGGGACATCACCGCGCCGATCGCTCCAGAGGAAGCGTCGGTCTCGAGCACCACTTGGCGCTCCTCGTTGTAGTGCGCCAATATAGGCGCTTGGGTGAAGGACTCCTTCAATTCCCGGAACGCAGCGTCAGCGGCTGCCGTCCAGGAGTACTTCACCCCTTTCTTCGTCAGGGCCGTCATTCCCTGAATCTTCTTGGAGTAGTTCTGAATGAACCTCCGATAGTAGTTTGCAAATCCTAAGAAGGACTGCAGTCCCCGAATGTTCTTCGGGGGGGCCCAGTCCAAAACGGACTTGACCTTAGAGGGGTTCATACTAACCCCCGTCGGGGCAATATCGTAGCCCAAGAATTCGGTAGCCACCGTATCGAACTCACACTTCTCCGCTTTCGCATACAGGCCATTTGCCTGCAGCCTCTTCATAACCTCCTTGACCTGACCATCGTGGGTCTCCTGGTCGGAGGAGTAAATAAGTATGTCGTCGAGGTAAACGACGACGCACACATCCAAAAGGTCTTGGAAGACCTCGTTCATCCACCGCTGAAAGGTAGCGGGGGCGTTGGTCAAGCCGAACGGCATGACCAAACATTCGAACAGACCGAAACGTGTAGTAAACGCGGTCTTCCAAATGTCTTCTTCTTTTACGCGTAGCAGGTTGTACGCGCCTCGGAGGTCCATCTTCGTGTAGACCTTTGCGCCCTTCAACCTGTCTAGCGTCTCTGAGATGAGGGGTAGGGGCGTCCTATCCTTCACCGTAATGTCGTTAAGACGACGGTAGTAGATGCACATACGCATCTCGCCGCCTTTCTTCGGTACGAACAGTACCGGGCTCGAGCAGGGCGACTTCGACGGCCTGATGAACCCCTTCTCCAGGTTCTCCTTCAACCACTTCTTTAGCTCCTCACTCTCCCGCTGGGAGTGGTTGTAGAGCTTCTGATACGTCGGCGACGTACCGGGTTTGAGTTCGATCGCATGGTCGATCGATCGCTTCGGGGGCAGTGTATCTGCCTTCGTCTTGGAGAACGCTCCAAGATGTTCATGATACTTCTCCAGTACCATGTCCCTCAGCTTCTCCATATACTCAGGAGGATCCTGATCGTCCTGGAACGAGTCCGTGGGTTTGACGTCCCAATCCCACAGGTCCAGACGCCTCGCCCGCTCGTCGTCCTCCCGGGTCATCTGCATTTGTGCGACGACCAAATCCTCCGTGATCGACCCCTTCATCTTCTTGAACGGGTCGATCCCTCGTGTCTCCACTTCTACTTCGTCCGGAGCATACACCGTCTCGGGCCTCTTGAGGCATCCCGTGCTGATGCAGACATCCCCAAACGTCACCGCGTTGGAGTCCCATTGGATATGCGGATTGTGTCTCCGCAGCCAAGGAATACCTAGTACGACCGGGTACCCACTCAAATCGGTGAGGTGGAACTCGGTCAGTTCCAGGTGCACTCCCGTACGTACCAGCGTACGAGCCTTCTGGGTGATCCTTCCTCCCTGGATCTCCCGGCCATCGATCACCGTTACTACCCGCGGCGTCTCGAGGTCCGTTACGTCGAATCCATGTAGCGACGCGAATGTCCGATCCATGAACATCCCGGTCGCTCCCGAATCCAGCAACATGAGTGCTTGGACCGGCACTCCTTCCGGGTAGAACACTCCTACCAGCGTCAGATGGCTATCTGGACCGTTGGGTACTCCGCTTGCACCCAACTGCAAGGGGATCCGGCTACCTCCCTGTGCTCCCCCATTCGGGGTCCTTTGATGATCCGTTATTCTGTAAGGCCCGGGAGCGACCCCCGGCGGGGGTCCCCCTGGACAGGCTGACGGGACGCAGGAATGAGGCAAGGTACGGGTAGACATCTAAATGAAATAACGGATGTAGAGCTATTACAAGGGTACTAGTTCTACATCAACATAACAATACCGAAAAGTACCCCCGACGGGAGTCGCATACGGGAGTCCCCTACGGCGCGTCCGATGCGTCACGTGACCGCTATAACAGGTACCCAAGCCGACCTCACGACTTACTTGCAGGAATCGCCCTGTCCCTTTCTCGGGATGGCTCTCGTCCGGAACCTTCGAGTTACTCCTCATCTCAACGAGGGGGACGCCAAGCACGGCTATGTCAGCATGACCAACATCGGAACACATGACAATTGTCATCTTGTGCTTGGGACAGTGGATCAACAGTACAAGCTGGCTTATGAGCCTGGGTCAATCGTCCTCTTCAGGTCTGCCATCGTGATACACGGGATCACTGACAACGCTGATGATAGGACGGCCCTCATCTTGTTCTTACACAAAGACGCACTCAAATGGCAGCTGCAGGCTTGATGGAGGTAGTAGCTGATTGTAGTAGTAGTACCTGAGCGGAGTGATGGACATGTTTCGGCTCTTACATATACACATCGTGTCCCGAGGAAGACGAGCATCTGCCATGGACCGCTGCAATGCTCATTGCACTGGTATTTTGAGCATTGCATCGGTCTTATCAGCTCTGCATCGGTTCGTCTCCGTCCGCATCAGCGCAATGACTCTGGAATGTCGAGTCGATCACGTCAACCGAGACGATCACGTCAACCAAGACGATCGTCAGCTGACGTCAGCAGCACGCTCGAAGAACAAAGACGCGCGAACAAAGAAGCGAGAAGCATGAAGCGAGAAGCAAGAAGCAGCATCTTATATCTTATAGATCTTATAGAACGCTGGCAAGTGATATAACACGTCAACGTCACTGTTAGAGATCGACTGCCTCGACGGAGGCTATCAAAGAGAACGGTTCGAGTACGTTCTACGGACGCGACCGACAGACGTGATCGACAGACGTGATCCACGGGGCTGACCGCCGGGTGGCTGGTCGCGTCGCTCCGACAACAACATACCGGAGTATATAGACGGTGAACTTCGATGGAGACCTATCCATACCACTGTATTAGATAGTTCTCCATCCGTTATACAATCCGTAGGCTTAGAACCTAGTACAAGTCCCGCGTAGAGGAGCGACTAAGGGCATAGCAGGGCTCACCCTTAACAGTCACGCCTCAATGACCTTTAGGTGAACGTCATCTGGATAGCTCTCCATCATCTCAGCTGTGTCGTCACGAAGGATTAGTATGCATCCTCCGGCAGCACCGAGAAGCGTTGAAGCGTTGTGGCTGCGATGCTTGGAGATGGGTTGGGACGACAACTTTACGATCAGGCAGTCAAACGATCGTCACATTATTCGCTGTTTGGAACAAGGCTCTTGCCTACAATGGGAAGGGTGGGAGCTCAGGCCGGAACTTGCGCCTGACTTCAGGCTCATGATGTCCGGGTGGGGGGACCACTGCAAAAACGACGTGGACCATCAATTGGCTAGGAATGAACGCATGCGTGCTCGGAGCAGCATCATCACGGAGATAGCTGGCTTCACCCGTATGGATGACGTTTCAGGTCTTTGGGAAAGGAAAGTCGTACTGGCTCCAAGGGCAGAAGTCCAGGAGATCGTGGAGGAACCAAAGCCCAAACCGCCCGAAGACGACCCGACAGATGTTACGGACCGACCCAACTCGGCCTCCACACAAACGTACATACTACAACGTACAACCTACAACATACCATCTACAACGCACCACCTACAACGTACCACCTACAACGTACCACCTACACCGTACCAATCACAACGTACAGCCCACAACGTACCGGGCACATTGTCCCAAGTACAATGTACTCCTCTCCACCTCCCGCCTACCAACGCCACTACCTGGCTACACTGTACCCAACACAATGGGTCACTCACATTGTCCCGACACAATGTACAGCACACATTGTGCTGTCCCTTCCCTTCCTACCCTTCAGTCCACAACGGACACCACACAATGTGAACTCACAATGTAATTACACATTGTGATACTAGGTCTACGTTCTCTATCTCAACTAGTATATATAGCTGGCCAGTTCAGCCTGTTTGTACTACTCCCCTTTCATGTTCTCTCTTCTTTCCCAAGAAGAATTATCATATGTTACATCCCTAACACCTTCGCCACCCAACCACCTCTCACTACTCAACACTGGAGCTCTCGTCAAGCCCTTCACGGTATTATAGGCGTCACGTGACGCGCGATCTACGATGCGCGTCGCCTCGGGGTCTCGTTCGGAGACCCTCTCGGAGACCTATTAGGAGATGTTCTCGTTGACGTCTAACTAGTACCTTGTAGTAGTTAGACATCCGTTATTACATTGCTATGCCTACCGTTACCTTTCCCCAGTCCCGCGACCTTATTACCTCAAGACCCGGCAGGTCGGCTGCCAGGCCTTATACACGGTCAGCAAGCAGATTGCGCACCAAGCACTTCCCGTTGAGTATCTCTGCCTTAGCTCAATTACCACTGACGCTTTCCACCTAGGCTAGCCTTTTGCTACCACTAGGCCCGACCGTAACAACAGACCCGTCCATCAAGGAGGTTCCCTTCGAGGAGACTCCCTCCGACGCGACTCACTCCCAGACGGCTCGTGTCTATGAGTCTTCTGCTCCTGTGCAGGATATGAAGAGGGAAACAGTCGGGGAAGCGGAGGAGGAGTCGGGGTCCGATGACGACGATGATCCTGAAGAGGAGGATACAGACAACGACAACGACTCCAAGATAGACCTGGATCGTCCCAACGACTTGGACTCGGACATGGATCCTCAAGACCTCAAAGATGCCCAACTGGACGAAAACGAGGACTTCCGTTTGGTTTGAAGCAGGATCAAGAGGCAGTTAAGAGGGGACAGGAAGGCCAAAGAGGTCAAGATATATACTCGGGGCGACACTATCCGCACGCAGGGCGACACCATCAAGCCTAATTATCTGCACGTCTTCCAATCAGAGGCCGAGGTTAACGCTACTTCGATCAAGGGTGGTTGGCGGGCTGCAGACTTCAAGTTGCAGCCTCTCTGGTGGCAATGCGTGAGAATCGCATGCATGCTCAGGGTAGAGATGGCCGAGAAGGAAACTTCACAATTTGCTGCAAGCCGCCCTATCTTGGCAGATGCCACCGGCTTGGGTAAAACTTACCAGACCATTGCCATGATCTTATGCCAAGATCAACATCACCTGGACGGGTACACCTTGATTATCATACCCAAAGCTATTCGTCGGCAGTGAAGGCGGGATGTGGCTATAACTCCGATGGCCTCGAAGCCGCCATCAAGGCAGGTATAAAGAGATTCATTGTGAGCCATACAGAGATCGGGCAATGGGGCACTGCGGGTTGCATGTTGGACGACGAGATCCAGCGGCTTATGTGCCAGTGCCGCCCCGATCTTCATTCGCTCTTGATAGTGTGGAGACGCGTTTGCTATGACTGCCTGATAACCCTTATACTGTATGTTCGATGTCAATAATCGTTCAAGAGTACACACCCCTTCAATAAGTATAAAGACACGGCTTCTAGTCTAGGCTCCTTGAGCTACCCCGTCTCGGTCCGCCTCCCACGTCGCATACTTGAACGACGCTTTCGATAAGGACGGCTCGTGATGCGCCCCGAACGCGTACAAGCCGAAATGAGTCCCGGTCATGATCGAGTCTATCATCCGTTGACGGACCATGACGGCGGCAGAGATGGAACCCGCTGTGGTCCAGGAGGTCGGATTTGAAGATGAGTCGCCGGTGATTTCGGAAAAGAACAAGGTGTAGGATGTGGGAGTCGCTTGGATACGAAGCTTGACGGGGCCGACATGCGATGAAGGGAAAATCGTCTCCTAAAGCATCCGCAAGGAATATCAGTACGGATGACTCGATCGTCTACCGCACTCACTACACTAGCGTCTTCACTCACCTGGATCTTGTCGTCCTCGAGCGTAGGAAACTTGAACACCACCTCCCTACCTCCCTCGATCCCCCTCACGCCAACGCTCGAGAACGCCCACTTGCTCCACCAGACTACCGTACCTGCCTCCTCGCCCGGTCGGCCAGGAGTAAAGTCAACGACCGTCTCCCAAGTGCCGACGAAAGCGTCTTGTCGGCGAAGTAACATCGAGGGGGACTCGTCATCTGTGATAGAGTAGGGGGATGGGTAGATGGTCAGGCCGGATGAAGCGGAGAGCGAGTGGAACGGCTTGATCGGGGTCCGGACGGTGTACCAGCCCAGGGGCAAGGTGTCTGTCAAGGCCGACAGAAAGCGAGGAGCCGTAAGAATTTGGTTCTTGATGAGCGGATCTGATTCGAGACCTGCTACTGACCTGTATTGAAGTCCTCTCGCCACGAGATCCTGCTCGACAACCTCGACAAGCCCAACCCCTCTGGGGCTTCTCCGGTCAACCCAATCTTCTTCCGGCCGTTCAAAATCGGCCATCCTTCCTCCCATTCCACAGGGCAGAGGAACGTCTCCCTTCCCAAGACGCTCCATAGCTTATCACCCGTCTCAGGATGTCTTTGGTTCCGGAACCCGAGCATGACGGCCCACCATGCACCTCCGTGACCCTGGACGAAATCGACGTGCCCGGTCTGTTGCACGAACTCGTCTTCTCCGTTGAAGACCATCGGATTGACCGTACCTTCCGGACCTGTCTCCCATGGCCCCTCGGGGCCCGACTTTGATCGGAAAACCCATTGCTGGTGTATCGTCTCGGTCCCGCCCTCAGCCGTGATGAGGTAGTAATAGTCATCTTTACGGAAGATATGAGAACCTTCGGCGATCCCTACCCCGATGGGCGATTGGCGTAGGAGTTTAGGGAGGGTCAAAAGGCGACCAGACTCGAGGTCGACCTCGGATATCCAGGGGGCCGTGTCGAAGCCGTATCGGGGGAGGTCGGGTTGATAGAGTCGAGCGGTGGTTGAGAGGTAGACCTTGTCTGTGGTGTCGTCAAAGAAGAGCTGTGAGACGAGACGGAGCACGTGGTGAGATGAACATTAAAGCGAGTGAATTATGTATCGTTGAAATGGCTAGTCAAGGTGTTCCCACTCACGTCCTGGTCGATTCCTAGCATGTCAAAGAAGATCGGTTCGCTCCAGGATGCGTCGTCCATGATGTTGTCGGTCTGCGCGATCGAACACGATTAGGATCAGACAACGATGACCGCGAGTTTCAGAACGTGCGAGCATACTTACCCAGACGTAGAATCCGCGAGGCGTGACAAAGGGCTGATGTGACAAAGACAGGACAATCAGCCACCCGCGAGCGGCCAACGCGGTGACGAGCCAACTCACATCTGTAGTCCCGAATCGGATGCGATGAGCACAACAAGTGGTCATGTAAAACCTCCCCTTGTGATGACGCAAAGTCGGCGCGAAGATCCCCCCGCCGCCTTCGGTCGTTCGCATCTGAAGTTGCGAGGGCCGATTGAGCGCATGGCCGATGAGTTTCCAGTCGACCAAGTCCGTCGAGCGGTAAATGGGGACCCCAGGGAAGTATTGGAAGGTCGAGGTCGCGAGGTAGTAGACGCCGTCGACAAAGACGATTGACGGGTCGGGGTTGAAACCGCTGAGGATGGGATTACGGAAGGACATGTTCGGGAGATTTCACCAAGACGATACGAAGAGCTGGAAGGAGAGGTTGAACGGTGTTTTCGAGGTCGAAGGGGATGCTTCGAGACGGCGACCGAGGGTGAATGACAAGTACTTAGTAAGTGATCGATCTATATTTCAACAAGAGTGATCCGTCCCCAAAAGTGAAATCCATGTGACCATCTCGGTGTTGATCGCCGTTCTCCGTCTCCTTAGCGCGCGCCACACGTTGCCCCGCTCCGTCCACGCTCCCTCCCGTCCACCTTCCACCTCCATCTCTCCTTCCCCGCAATTGCTGTGCTTTGGTGGTCGGAGTTCTGATCTCCATCGTCGTCTTTCAGTAACGAGTACAAATACAGTTCGAGGGGGTCGTAGCGAGCGCTGTTCGATGACGAAGCTCGTGCTGTATACTTCCAGTACCAACTACCCGCATCCCGATCACACCTTCCCGCCCAGCCATGTCTTCCAACAACTCTCTCCGTCTGCCATCTTACACCGACCCTTTCCCCAAACACCGACCGTACGTCCTCGAAGCGGAACAAGGAGAGACTCTGGCTGTCGTCGGCGGCGGAACGGTCCGGTACTTGGCGACTCGAGAAGAGACCAGTAACGCTTTCGGGCTGGTACAGTCGAGAGGAGGACCAGACGAGCGAGTCTTGCCTCAGTGAGTCGATCGCAAGCGGAACGGTTCAGGCGCGCGCGCGGGTTGATCAATGGCATTCTTTCACGTCGTCCTTTCTCTGTAGCTTTCACAACGGCGCGCACGATACCTGGCTCGTCCTCAAAGGAGCCGTGAGGCTCTGGGCGGGGGATCAGAGTCGGATCTTGCTGCCCGGTGACTTCGCCTATGTGCCTCCTGTGAGTTTCGAAAAGCTGGTCGTCGAAGGATAGCGTTGTCCTCAACCTTTTTGTTTTTTATGTGATAGAAAATCACACATTCATACCAAGTCGTCGGCGCCGACACCGAGTTTCTGGGTGTGATTTCCCCTGGAGCATGGGTCGAGTGAGTCATGATCTCGAACTATCGTCTGCTGCTGGAACCTCGACTGATGATGCTTTCTTGCCGCCATCGTCGGGCAGGTTCTTCAAGCTCCTAGGAGAACCTTGCGATGAGACCCCGACGTACAAAGGGTTGAACGAGAAGACGTTGGACAAAAAGTGGCTCATCGAGCAGATCAAGATGGGGCATGACATCGTCCCCCAATTCCAGTACAATTGGCCCGAGGTCAATGAGGGTGCCGAGTGAGTCCCGATGTACCGGACGCGATGCTTTGCGTAGCGAGGATTCCCAAAGCTGATCTAGTACTTCTAATTACATGTTTTTGTTCTCATCATAGCAATGTCCTCCCCGATGGCATGGCCCCTTACTTCCTTCGATCGGACACGGGTCCCAAGTACCTCTTGAACGGACAGTCGAACACGCCTCTCTGCCGGAATGTCAACTCGGATGGCAACTTTAGCATCAGCGTCATCGCCGGTAACGGACCCAAGTCCAAGTATCCCTCCTTCACTCGCTCCAAGGAGGCGTTCCAGTCCGGACCGTTCGTCGAGGGCAAGATGATCAGGTTCGGTAGCACGCACACGTTGTTCCGGGTCATCGAAGGGTTCTTTGACTTCGAGGTGCGAGAGGCGGACGGGAACGTCCACAAGGAGACGATCAGCGCCAACGAGTCGATCATGGTCAGCGCGGGCAACGCTTTCAGGTACAGCGTCTCTTCGGCCTATGGGAGGATGTACTCGTTTGCCGGCAAGGGGAGCGGGTTGGAAGAGGTCTTTGTCAAGCTGGGACGGGTCGCCAAGAGGAATGAGATGGTCGGGGAGACGGATGACGAGGAGGTCTCGGTAGAGGATTTGAATGCCGCTGTCAAGGAGATTGGGGCCGAGTATATTTGAACGTAAGGCATTTGAGACTGCTGTTGTATCGTAAAGAAAGTCAAGAGTCAGGATTCTATTCGATACCAAGGACGAGGTCTGCCCCGCTGCGTTGGTACCAAGAGGCAAAATGAGACTTTTCGCCGATCGATCATGGAGTTGGACATCAATTCGGAAAGTCAGACAGATAGCCAGTAACAGCTATCTTGCTCTGATGTATCGTTCAGAACTAATTCACAAGTCCTAATTCACAGCGTGGCAAACACGGATCGAGTACGACTGGCATGATTTGAATATATGTACCACAATCGCTTGAGATTACAACGACTAACGATGCTCCCGGGCCTACTCGTACATTAGACCTCCCTGATCTTGCGCTCCAACCAATCGAACCCCTGTCGCTGAATCTCATATGTCCTACTCCCCTTTTCCATCTTGCCCGCAAACGTATGTCCTTCACCAGGGACCACGATGAGCTCGCTCTCGATCCCGTTGGCTTGGAGCAAGTCGTATTGCCCCTGGCTGATGGACAGAGGGACCATCTTATCGGCGTCTCCGTGGATGATACAAGTTGGAGGGTGTTTGGGGTGGACATTTTGCATGCTATCGATCAGAGCATACGTAGATGGATCGGTGACGGCCCGAGGATAGATGGTTGGCCAGAGTCGAGCCGTCTTGATCAGGTTCATAGCCCATGTGAAACGGGCGTCAGGTAGAGAGTCAGATTTCTGACCTTCGAGGGAGACCGAGTGTTTGGTCGCAGTAGGCGTCTCGGCGAGGACGCGGTCGATCGTGTCGGCCTGCATTGGGGGAGCGGGGATGAAAGGCAAAGTCTCGGACCATAACGAGTTGCGAGGATCCTTGGAGCCATAAAAGTCGAGGATGGCGAGCGGAGGATTGGGCTGATCTGCGAATGCGAGCGAGTAGGCGATCATGCCCCCTGCGGACGTGCCGATGACGACCATCCTGGAACGATCGACGGTGATGTTGTGCCCGTGTTCGCCAAGCAGTCCGTCGAGATCCCCAGCATGAATCCATTGCCATAGACGGCGACAGTCCGAGATTGGGCCTTCGAGCACGTCTACTTGGGGACATAGGCGGTGGTTCGGGGCAACGACGATCCATCCGCGAGACAAGCAGTCTGTAATCTGGAGGTTCGAGTTCATACGAGAGTTGCCGAGCATATAGGCCCCGCCATGAATGAACATGACTATCGTGTACCATGCCAGTCAGTCACATAGGCTGAGACGATGTCTGGGTCGAGTCCGACTTACTCAGAGGTCGAGAGGTCGACTGCTCAGTCTGCGAGACGTCCGGGACATAGTAGTCGGCCGTAAGCTCAAAGTCGCCATTGCGATAGGTGAATTCAGTAGGGTTGGGCGAAGAGTTGGAGGTCATTTTAGAATGCGCGGGTTCTGTCGAAACGCTCAGGATATGATGTCGAGGTCACTCAGGTCGTTGTGAGCGCAAGTGTAAGCTGAAGATGATGACTATCCAGGTAACTATCGATCGTAGCTTAGAGGTGGGCCTCATCTTAGAGTGACGGCGATGTGGCTGCGAAACGGCGGGCGAGAGTGGACGGATGGGGGACGATGCCGATGCGGCCGCCGGATGCCCCGCTTTCTGAATGTTGGAAGACACCTTGCCGAGACGTCGAGGGTTGCGGTCAGGGATGCTATTTGACATGCCTACACCTCGATTGATAGAATTGATAGTCAATAATACTGTTTTACGTTTTGCTGTTGCGGGGGAAATAGTACTCCTTCTAGCTTCTGGATATGGTAAGAGGTTGACCACGGGGCGAGACGCGTACGAAATGGCCTGAGCCATGAGCCACACATGGCGGTGTTATCGCCCGAAGACCGACCTTCAGCTGCATTGGCGTAGATATAACGGTTCACGTCGCCGACGCTGCATTCGGATGGCTTGCAGCCACCAGGTGGTTTTGAAGTCGTTGGTCGCAGGCTGATTTTGCACTTCTCCGCTGATGGAGCGTCTTGTTGTATTTTGCGAGCCATGATTGATACTTCGGAGCCGCGGCTTCGGTCAGGTACCCCTTAGTCGAGAGTCAGTAACAATGAGGCGTCAACGCCCTAGATCGGTGGCAAACTTTGAGTCGATATGCGCAACAAAAACAACACGTCGAGACTGCACTAACCACACGCTTGCGAGAACTACACACGGGCGACAAATCCGCTGCCACAGGCCTTCCGAGTATTAAAGTAGGACGATGCTGAGGGATTGTCCTCTCTTGCACGCCGAAGCCCCTGTTTTTCCAACCGTCTCCATCAACTGAAACAGACACGCGCGCGCGCGCGACAACAACAACCATGATCTGGACTCGATTCCTTTCGATTACTCTATTCGCTCTGACCACGGCTCGCGCTCAAGACCAGCAATGTCCACCTGGGAACGAACTTCGAGGGGATGAATGTCAACCCTGTTACCCAGGCGGATTCTCTGCGGGCGGATCCGATCCTTGCCAAGTCTGTCCTGGTGGCAGCATCTCGGCAGACTTTGGGGCGTCGTCTTGTACCCAATGCCCGGCGAACACGTATGCCAATTACGATGGGGCATCGTGCAGCGATTGTCCTGAGTATACGACTTCTGATCCGGGGACCGCGGGTCCTCAACAATGCCGGGCCACCAATTGTCCTCCCGGAGCGGTCGGGGTCGGAAGTCAATGCTTTGGCTGTGATGCGGGGACGTACGCTTCGGGAACGTACCCGGGGGTTTGTCTGTTCTGCGAGCCTGGTCAGCAGGCCAACGAGTGAGTTCGAGTCTTGCTCAATAGCTCTCCACATCACCCTCATCGCAGTCCCTGACGTTCTCTCCCCGTTCGCAGGGCGAGAACCGGATGCGAAACGTGTCAAGCGGGAACATACTCTGAGATTGGCGCCTTTTGCGTCGCTTGTGAAGCTGGTTACACCAGCGAAGACGGCGCGAGTGAATGCATGCTCGCCCCATCTGGATCGTTTAGTCGTCGGGATCAGACGTTGATGAGGGTCGGCGCCTGTACCCGTTCTCAAACGGCGTGCATGGTCGGACAGGAGAAATGGGAGTGGTAAGCTGCGGGTGGAAACAGGCTGTCCGAAGAAAAAGTCACGTTGAGGCTGATGCGATGCTTCATTGTTGCCCGGCAGCATCGACACTCTGACCGACCTGCAGTCCTGTGGAGGATGCTGGACAGACGGTTCGGGCGTCGACTGTACCCTGCTCGATCACCCCGATATGAGCGACGGTATGCAGATCGCCTGTGTCGATGGACGATGTCAAGGTGGGTAGCCCCAAGAGTTTCACCATGATGCGATGCTGAGAGCTGACACTGCCTTCGAGTGAATAGTACAGAAGAGCTGATCTTGACGACATAGCCTTAATGAGAGAGAACCGTAATATCGCGCCATGAACAATTTCATAGATGAATTCCTGTTGACAGAGTATAGTCGTCCTGTGTACAAACGTTTGCGACCTTCCGATTCGATTCCCCTATGCTATCATCGCTCGACGATCGGCATTCCTTGCGCACGTCGCAGAGCTTCTCCTTTCCAGATCAAACCTCCACACAAAAGCAGCCCGATGCATGTCGCCAAAACACCCTGAATGGCGTATTCCACCGTGAACGTGGATTCCAGACCCCATTCCTAGATGTCATACAAGATCGGCTTTCATTCGAATGGAACGTCAATTCGTGGCACAGACTCACCCATACAAAGAAAGGGATGGCAAATCCCCAGATGCATTTCCAAAAAATAAAGCTCGCCTGCGTGTCCATAGGTCGGGTGATGTAGGACTCGAGAACGTACTGCGCGCAAGGTATCGGAACATTCGTCAGACCGGATTCCTTACGGGAGACTGTCGAAAAGAGAGACCGAGACTTGCCGTTTGCAAGATACCCGTCGAGGCCGACAAACAAAAGTAGAACAAGGCGCCTCCGATCAGGGGAGCTAGCAAAGACCGATATTGGGCGTTTGTCAGCCCACATCGACCCTGACGTTTCGATAGCGACTCGGTACACTCGACGACTCACCGATCCACGCCAACCGTTTCTCGAACGTGATCCCGACGATGAACAGGCCGACGAACATGAACGGCAAGATGGGTAACAAGGCCCAGAGACGGTATTCCGGTTTACGGATCCCACCGTTGCGTTTCGTCACTCGGGTCACGACGACGTCTCCGACCAGCCCGCCGGACTATCGAAGTCATGGAGGAAATGTCAACAACGGCGCGAAGCGATGAAGGCATGTGCGGCTAAGCGGGAGGGTTGGGAGGGAAGACCCGACTCACCCATTTCCCCAAGACCGCTCCCAAGCCGAAAGCGAGGTACGTGCAACCCGTAGGGATCGGCTTGAAATCGTACGGAGGAGCTTCGAACAACCTGGGGCCGATGATGGTGATCCCGACCGACCAGCCAAACAGCGATCCGTAATAGATCGAGGGAAGGGTGATCGCGAGGAACCGGGACTGCGAATAAGGAGAGAAACAGGTGTGACGGGCGGATTAGCAAGGCCGACCGGGGTATACGTGCTAGGCTTTGAAGAGTGGTGATCGACTTGCCATGGCGATAGGACGGGTGAAGAGGGTGGCAAAGTCTTTAGGACGACGCCATGGGTACCAAGCGGGGCCGACCCTGCCTTGTCGGACCACCACCACCCCATCGCGGTCATCACCCGTGCCAGCATCGGTGCGATCCTCGTTCCACAAGGTCTCCGGGACGAGCAACAGGAACATCAAAAGTTGCAGCCCGCCCAAGCCTAGGACGATCCAGTAGATGTTTTGCCAGGAATGCTTGTTCACTACGAGCGAACCGATCAGCGGGGACAGGGCCGGGGCGATGATCACAGCGACTCCGAAGGCGGAGAGCTTGTCCCCTCGGACGTGACGTGGGTAGATATCTGCGATGGTGCTGCAAAGATGTCAAAGTAACACGAGGTCAGCTCAAAGCCCTTCTTTGCGATCACAGCCGCAAGGCAAGATCTCAAATATGCTTGACTTGAGTTGACTTGGACTCACGCTGGCGGTACCGTCTGACTGAAAGCGCTACACAGGCCAGCAAAGACCCTAGCCACCGCGAAACTGACGTAGCTCTTCGACTCTGCACACCAGACGATGCAGGGGAGGTAGAGGAGGCTTCCGATGAGGTAGGTATATCTTCGGCCTATGGTTTGAGAGAGGGGGTTCCAGAGGACTGGGCCGACGGCGATCCCGAGGAGACTGCGGGTTCGTACGATTTGGTAGATGGCGTTGAAGACGATGATGATGGGTCGTATAGGTCAGCTTTGTAAGTGATCGTGTTGCGTTGAGCATCGGGGACTTGCCCGTATCCGATCGTATTGGCGATATCGCCCACCGGACGATCAAAGTAAGCCGCCATCGGTCCAAACGCCGTCAAATGCGCCGACGCTCCATAGTTGGCGAGGAAACCGGAAAAGCAGAGAGTGACGAGGATCCCAAACTTGCGCCACGACGAGAGGTTGTGTGGGTGGTTCGGAGGATAGTGTTCAGCTAAATTCCATCGAGGTTGATCCTGGTCATGGGCTGGCGGAGCGATGACCTCGAACGTCTGTTCGTCCCGTTTCTTCAGGTTGGACGACTCTGTCTCCGACGTCATCGGATCGAGGTGTTGCGACATTGTGGTCGAGGTTGTTCACGATCAGGTCCTGGGTTGACGAGGGCAGACATTACCGAGTGGGGAAACGGGTTTCTGGGCACGAGTTCGAGATATATCAAGGTCTGCTTTTCGGTCGATAGGGCGTTTCATACGGCGACCGAGGTTTTGCGGGGTCGTTCCCGGACGAGAGTGAAGGAGCTGGAGGTCTTTGGATATCCAGGGGAGTGTGGAGGTGGGGCACAGAGGAAGAGGAGGTCGACGTCGATATCAGGGCCCGATCGTCAGTTCTAGCTAGCTAAAAGATAGATGGTTGCGGAAGCGAATTTGCAATGGTATAGCCCATCGGACCAGCCATCTCATAAAATCTGCCGGAATTCACCGAAATCCCCGACAATCTGGGGTGATCTCGAGTTCTATCCTGCTACTATGCCGTAAAACTATCTGCAACAATCTGTGCTAGCAAACATTCTAGCCCCTATCGAGCCGCTTTTTTGACGCACGTGGCGGAGAGCGGTCGACGGTCGACTGCAGACTGCCGAATTCTGCAGAATTCGGCACCGACCTGATCAACTCCAGATACTATGTTGTACTACTGAGATGATCGCTATGCCGAATTTGAATCGTTGAGCGGATCATCAACCATGTCTGAATACCATCACCATCACCATCCCCATCAGCAGCAGCAGCAGCCGCAACAGCAACAGCAACAGCAACATCATGTGCAACGGGATTGGAGTCAGCACGAGAGGGAGTACTACGCCTCTCTGTCTGATTTTAGGACGTTTCAGCAACCTCTCCCTCATCCGAATCATCACCACGGCCAGTACCCGTACCCTTCGCCAATCGGCGAAGGTCCTCGAGGTTACCTCGCAGGCCCTGCAGGCACCTTGGTGGCTCCAAGCACCCAAGGACACCCGCAGACTGCCGAATTCGGCGGAACTCGGGACATGAGTCCATTGGACTCTCCCGTCTTGACTTCGATCAACGCTTTACCTAGCCTGCCCGCCGCCCCTGCTATCCTTCCGGCCCAGGCTGCAACTCCTACCTCTGCTCCTGGCAACCCTCCTGCCAACCAGAACGTTCGCTGGTATGAGTGGATGGAGGATCTCCTTGCCGACCTCCTTGTTGCGGAGGTGAAGGTCACACGCAACAAGGTCACCATGGGCATGCCCGTATTCTCCAAGATTGCCAACCTGATCAATGAAGCGATGGACGCTCGAACCGACCCCACGCCCAATGGGAGATTGGATGGTATCAAGGTTAAGAACAAGACAGGAATCTTGACGGCAGAATTCTACAAGCCTCTCGAGCGGATGAGGAAGAGGTCGGGCTGGGGTTGGGATCACCAGCTGCATCGTCCCCTTGTTGATGACGAGGCGTTCGAAGACTACGTCAAGCACTGGGTGAGCTGAAGATCGCAGCCGAATTCTGCAGAATTCGGCAACACAAGCTGATCCCATTCAAACATCGTCACACAGGTCGGGACCCCAACCGTGTCTCAAATCAGACGTCTGCGAGACAATGGATGGCGGCTCTACCCCAAGTGGAAGATCATCCGTGAAGGTCATGGAGCTACGGGTGATTTTGCCTTCCGGGGTGGAGCTCCGATCCCTTCCCAACCCGAACCTCCTGCCGGAGAGGCGGAAGAATCGGCCAGCGAAGGTGAAGCGAACAGTCAGCCGCAGGGTACTCCCCAACGTCCCCACAGCAGCAGGAGCCGGGGCAGGGGTGGATCGTCTTCCGCTGGATCAATTGCTTCGATGAGCAATCGCCGACGCGATGAGGATCAGCCCGACTTTGCTTCCCTTGGCAAGACGTTTGTTGAACAGCTGGCATCAGTCACTCAGCAAGCAACTTCGCAGATCTTGACTCGTGGTTCCGCTTTGCTCAAGGAGGATATCGCAGCCATGGAAATCAGCGTGGTCGACGCTCGGAAACTTCGCCTCCGTCTCGCCAAAGACCGTACGCTGGCCGAGTCTTATGCCCATCAATCCGAAGAAGACCGCCGGGAGTTGCTACAAGCAGTCTTGGAAGATCTACAGGGCTGAGTTTTTGTGTTTGTAATTATCCACCGTGCTCCCGAATTCTGCCGAATTCGGTGTATCAATGAAACGTCTGTCAAATGAGAGCTAGGAGCTAGACACTTGCGAATGTGCTCACCTACGAATTCTGCCCAATTCGGCAGCCCTCTTGCACTCATTCCGGTTGGGTGGCAGGAATGACCTCCCATCGAGCGAAGTTGTCATCCGCAATCTTTTCTCGCAGTGCAACCATAGGATCACTGCGAGCATCTGGATCGTTCCTTTCCCTCCGGGCAACGGGTTCGTCTGGATCCAACCCTACCCCAGAGAGAAGATCCTGATCGTCTGGTACTGGCTCGCAGTCGTCTTTGTTGTCAGACATGAAGTTCTGCAGTGCGCAAAGTGCATAGATGACTTGCACTTGCTTAGCCGGGGCATAGTACGTTCCGGCTCGCAATGCCTTGAACCTCGCTTTCATGATACCCCAAACCTGTTCAATGGGCATGCGGAGACTGGAATGTTGGTGATTGTACACCTCCTCCCTAGTCGCTGGCTGTCGTCTGGATCGCTTCCATGCGGCAAGGTGGTATGCTGTCCCATTGTAGGGCGTGAGTACCTGGCATCGAAGAGTGAATCCTGCATCTCCGAGTAGATAATACCCTTGCGGAATTGGAATGTCTTCGTGGCGAAGACAATCGTACCAGATGCTGATATCCGGCTCAGGACCTTCCCAGCCAGCGTTCACGTAACAAAGCCGACGATCTAAATCGCATATACCGAGGACGTTCCATGAGAGACCACCTTTGCGATCTCGGAAATTACCCTCTCTATGGCTTGGAGGATGCGCAGTGATGAGGGTGCCATCGATAGCGCCGCAAGCCTGTTGAAATGCCCCGAGCTTCCTGCTCCGGGCGAATTTACGATGAGGCAATTGGTTTGGACGAGGAAAGCGCACCATCTCGCTGTAGAATGGGTCGGTGGCGAGGGCAGTCACCGTGACATCAACAGCTCTATTAATGAAATGATCAGCCGAATTCGGCCGAATTCGGCGACGACCCTCATCTCGGCTCACCTGAAAGATTGAGAACACATGATGCACATTCAGCCGAACTCGACCGAATTCGTACAAATTTACTCACTCACCTGGACACCGCTGCCAAGCTTCTGTTGAACTCTAAGCCTGTCTGCCGGTGACCTGTGCCATGCCTCAATGCATGCAGAGCGATGGCCAACGTTTCTTGCGAGCTCACGCGTTGTGTCGCCAACGACCTCCCAGCTGTTCCAAGTTTGCTCGCGAGCAGTCGCATGGCAGAAGGACTCATGCCAAACGCATTCATGCATCGTGCTCGGTTATTAAGAGCCTCCATCAATCTCATTTGTCCAGAGAACCTGGATGTGGAGTAGGCCAGCCGTGTTCGTGAAGGGTTTTGTTTCTGGTTTCGTTGCTGTCGATTGCACAGCAACACGAGGCTGATAAATTGGACAACAAAGTCCCTATCTCTACTCGAGTTATCTGACATGTTGCAGGGTGACCTTGTGCCGAAGTCTGCACAATTCGGCTGAGCACAACAACGCATGTATCGACGACAACAACGATATGCCTGTCGTCAAATCGCAGATGGAAATCGAGATGACGTCAAGGACCTATTTGCCTCCGTATTTGCACCCGACGCGCGTTTGAGCGACCGTTTCATCCCTTGATCGTCGCTGCTTGACGACGCTGTTGCCATCAATATCACCAAAGGACCTCTTCAGTTCCAACGCAGAAAACGCAGAGACTTCGAGAAGAGGGTCCTTTGGATTGTTCCTGTTCATCAAACAACAACAACAGCCACGTCGACGCGTATGACTCCATCAAAACAAAGAAAAAAACACGTCGCGTCTGCTCAGCCAGTGAGGAAGGTATATACACACGATCAATTCACATCCCCCCTTCCCCCCCCCTCATCGTCCTTTTCTCTTTTCCTCTCTTCACTCTCAACTCTATCTCTCCGACTCTATCTCTCTTCCCAACTTTACTTAATCCTCGTCTTGATAACAACATGGCCCCTGAACGTCCCGCCAAATCCTCCTCCTCTAAACGCACCAACCCCGCCAACCCCGCCAATCGTACTTCTCGGAACGCCCTTGGGCGATTCGTGTCTCGTCCCGGAGCTGGAGCTCCCGCTGGCGCTCAGGAGGAGTGGGATAGGATGCAGAGGGGGGAAGGGGGTCGTCAGTCGACTCTTCCGAACCTGAGAGTGAGTACGATACGATCATGATCCTTCTTCCTTTCACCGTCGGTTGTTCCCCTCCTGTCTTTCGTTCTTTGCCGAGTAAACGACTGACTCTCCCGAATTTTGCCGAATTCGGTAGTTTGCTCAGACCCAAGAGGAAGAAGAACGGGACGTCCAGAAGGCCATCGGCAAGTCTCTCAAGACGGCCAAGTTTGAAAAGATCCTTACCAAGGAGCGACTTGCAGCGGAAACTCGCCTCGCCCAAGAGCAAGCCGGGGGGGACGCCGTCAACCAAGGAGCTCGCATCTCCCCCATCCCCGACGACAACCAAGGAGCTCGTATCTCTCCCATCCCCGATGACGACGACGTGATCGTCAAGACCGAGAAGATTGATGAGCCTGTAAGTTGGGGTGCTTGCTAGCTTCAAAGTCGACATGGAAGGCTTACCGAATTCTGCAAACTTCGGCAGATCCCTCCAAAGAACAAACGCAAGGACAAGGCCAAGGCGAAGCAGGCGGAGGTCATCGAGGTGAGTTATTCCTGTTAGAGAGTGATCGGTTTGCGCTTACGAATTCTGCAAACTTCGTCAGCTTTCCTCGACCGAGGAGCCGGAGGCCAACGCCAAGGCGAAGGCCAAGGCCGAGAAGAAGAGGAGGAGGAAGGCCGAGAAGATGGCGCGGGAGGTGAAGAAGGAGGTGGAGGAGCTTGTCCCTGTGAGTTATCCATCTTTCGCTCCATTTGAGCTTGAACATGATACTAATTCCGTCCTATTCTCTGCGTTTAGAGCGACGACGACGTCAAGGCCCTCGTCCCCGACTTCCCGTCTAAAAACCTCGAGGATGCCTGGATCCTTGACGGGAAGAACCCTGTCAAGGTTTGTGTAAGTCTGTGCTCTCTCTTTTACACATCCTCATCGTTGTACTAACTTCATTCGCAAACGATAGATCTTTACGAAAGGTTACGACTGGGTAGGAGCTCTTGCGAAACTCGAAGAGGCTGCCCAGATGTCGAACGAAAAGGACAAGAACGCCATGGCCAAGAGTATCGGCTTGATGGGACCTCGTTCGTCCCCCGACATGACTGCGGCCCGACGAAATTTCTGGCTCGCCCGAGGGATCGACTTCGATAAGACCTTCAACGCTCAAACGGGCTACGACGTCGGCGTCTATACCGGAGAGGTGAGTTGGCGCTTACCGAATTTAGCCGAATTCGGCAGAGTCCTGCGTCTTTTGCACTGATCACTTACACCGGTACGATTGCTTCTCTCTTCAGGAACGAAGCATTCGAACCGCGAAGGAGGGGGGCAAAGCAGTTGTCGAGTTCGAACACATCATGTGCACCCCCTGCGCCAGGAAGAAGAAGGATGACCCGGAGCAGCGATGCTTCGCCACAAGGCCCTTCACCGCCTGCACCGCCTGCGCTGATCGCGGCAAGGCTTGCGACTTCAAGGAGATGCAGCGCGCCTTCGTCAACCAGCACGTCATCGGTGCTGCGAAGACCTTGCAAACTATCGGCAAGAAGATTCGCAAGAAGGTCAAGGGCAAGAAGGGGTTGACGATTGCTATCGACATGATGGCGGTGAGTTTTTCTCTGATTCAAACCAGTGATTCCGCGATCCGTGACTGACCGAATTCGGAAAAATTCGTACAGGCTGTCACCGACATTCTCAAGGCCTCCGACGTCGGTATCCCCGGTCTCCACGACTCGCTGAACCGTTACTTCGAGATTCAGCAAGCCAAGATCGACGCAACCTCCAAGAGCGGGAAATCGATGATCGGGCTGTTGAATGAGAGTCGAGGCGAGCAGGTTGCCCGAGAAGTCGAGCAGGGCATGAAGGCTCCCCGCCGCAAAGACGTCGAAACCCAGGCCGTCCTCGACGCGGCCTTCGACAACTTGCCCAGCACCCCTCAGAAGCGCAAGGCCATCGCTGCTCCCGACCAGCGAGCGACCGTCGAGGACTACGATGACGACATGGACATCGACGAGCCGGTCGCCTCGGGATCGGGATCGGGTAAGAAGAAGGCGATCAAGGCCGCGCCCCCCAAGGAAGAGACCTCCGACTCGGACTCGTCGGACTCTTCGTCTTCTTCGGAAGACGAGAGCTCCAGCGACTCCGACTAAGTTGCCTCTTGGTAGACCCCCGCTCAATGCATAGGGTCCCTTACTACCTGATTTCTCTCGCGAAGTCTCTGTTCAGGTAGGGGTTTTTATAGATCAAGACTTCGCCCGTTATTATACGGTAGATATGTGGTAGGGATTGTATATACGAGGCTGGTTTCTTTTTTTTATGCCATGCCATTCTACGAGCGATCGCCGAATTCGGGGAACTTCGGCTGGTGGTTTTGTCAAAGAGTTCTGACTCACCCATTCACCGAATTCTGCAGAATTCGGCAAGACCTTTGCTATGGAGATGAAACACACAGCGTCTGAGATATCACGTGATGACGTGGCTGCTATTTGTATCCGCGCGGAGGCAAATAATACAAACAGATAGAACTCGCGATCACCCACGGCAAACTATCCGACCTCGCTAGCGCGCTATCTGCGCGCAGATACTCGTGAGAAAATAATTATAATCTAGATAGAACTCGCGACCGGGCCCTCATCTCGTTTATTTCGGGAATGTGCCCCACTCGAGCACGTGTCGAGGGGGCGCGCAGGGGGGGGGGGCTTCGGCAAGCGGGAGTCACGGTTTGGCCAGAGTCGATCAGGCAAGCCCGAGTGGGATTCCACATCTGGTATATTGGTAAGCTTTCGCATCCCTACGATCCCTACCGAGTTGAACATTTGTCGCTTGGCTTGCTTGCTTTGCTTGAAAGCTTGAACAACTTGGGGACTCGACTCCCAAGTGCTTTCATGTAGTTCGCTCGACGTCGTCACGTGATCACCTGATCCGCGCTAATCATGGGGAGAGGAGAACATGGGGTCAGGAATGGTCGCAAACTTGTGTCATTTGCATCTCCTTGATCTCGTCGACAAAAGCCAACCCTTCTCTCGGAGCACGGAGCACGGAACACGGACCATGAAACTCAAGACCGCGTCGCCCGCGTTCAAATGCTTCGTCTCGCTCCATGTCATCTATCGTTCTCCGATCAATCATCGTTCTCTCTCCGAAGGGTATGATGGTATTGCGGCAAGTGACTACGGACCTCGGCCATCCTCTTCGTCCACCCCGAATCGGTTTCGGGACCTACAACAACCCCGGCAGACACGCCCACCTCCCCCCCTCCCTCCCGCTACCTCGCCACCTCGCCCCAAACGTCTGTTCGTACCACCTCTGCCCGTTGATCGCCCTCGGGATCATCGCCGCGAGCAGGGCCACCAAGAACATCCACGGCGGGCTTAGGAGGAGCGCTTCCTGTTCCCGTAGACCGTTGCTCGTGGTGAATGAGGGGAGAGGGAGTCGGCCCAGTAGTCGGATGAGGTCCACCACGAATTCGGGGTACTGCCGTTTCTGAGCTTGTGAAACGAGTACGGCAGGAGCTGGTGATCGGAGTGTGAAAGACGGCGAGGTGAGGATGGCATAACAAGTCCATTCGAACCTGCCACCATAAACAGCGTGTAGTGTCGTCAGCCTTCCCGTTCACCTCCCTTATCCTTCGACATCTCGACGAGTGAAACTCACCATTCACACAGGTAATTAGGAAAAGTCACCCAATAGAACAATCCTCCTTGCGGGATCTCATAGACCTTGCCCCCGGTCTTGTTATCCTCCTTGTCATCTTGCTTGATGTGTACCTTGGTATTCGGAGCATCGGCGGGTACGTTCGGTCGAAGGGAAGGAACGGCGTCAAAGATCAATGCTCGGCCGCGGAGAGAATGGAGGATCTCGTCGTGGTAGACTATTGGAGGACATATCGGAAGGAAGGTAAAGAGAAGGAGATGGAAGGGGCATTCAGGATCAGCTCACGCTTGCTCTGACAAGTTGCTATCGATCGCTCAAGCAAAGGTGACGCAGGGAATATAAACGAAAAGAATAGAGAAATCGAAGTCGCAGCGAGAAGAAGAAGAACGGATGGGAACGTCAAACACTGACCATTCCCAGCCAACCCGACCGCCCACCCGACAACAGCCACCCAGGACCACCCTCCAAACCTCTCCCCGACCCCCCTTCCGGGATCCTCTGCCAACCACCCTCCCATGATATACCCGTTCATCAGGTTGAACCCCATCGCGCTCAGGGTGACGCTGGCATGTTGTGGTGCTCGTTGGGGTGCGAGGATGAGGGGGGAGATGATAGAGCGGATGGAGTAGTGTAGGAGGTACATGGACTGTTTGATCGGAGTTGATGTCGCCGTCGTCGCCGCCGTCATCGGTTTGCCATGCAAAGCAAGACGAAGGGGGAAAGAGTAATGCGGGTTGGGGTCGATGTAAAGATGAGAGATCGTTCCCGAATCAGCGTCCCAGCTTTCTCAACTTGAGAGATCGGTCAAACGCAATAACATAGAGGGGGAAGAGGAAGCAAAGGGAGATGTAGAGAAAGCCGTCTACGAGAACAAGGGAAGAAACGATGGGAAGAAGATGAGATTAAGACTTTTCCAACATGCTTACGATGGCGACCTTGCTCCCCGTACTCAATCCTGAAACGTCGCAGTTGAAGAGAACGGTCGTGATGAACGTCAACGGCTACTCCACAGGACAACAAGACGAGGACGAACCCGAGCTTATCAGCATCAGCTCGAACCCCGGAAACGGACAGAAAGAAACGAAGACGACTCACCGAGACGATCTCCATAACAGCCCAAGCCTTGTTCCCATCCAAATACCACCCCTCCTTTCCCCCTTTTGCGGAGAACCTGCCCCAAGCCCCGTTGACCAGCCAGAGCGTGACGGGGGAATGGAGCGGGAAGTAGTGATATACCCTGAGAAGCGCCAGATAGAGTGGCGAGAGGGTCATCGTGAGCGGGATGCTTCGAGGAGAGAGTTGACCAGCCGTCCAGCTTCTCGATCGTTAGCGGGTTGTTCTAGTTCGTGTTACGTTCGTTGGTGTTCGTGATCGCTCGTCGATACTGTTTTGTTCGGGGGATCCGTTGATTCTGGAGGCCCTTGGTAGGTATATCGGTATGCAGTACCGGTTATGACCGAGTCTAGATTAGGTGCTCAAGAAAAAGAAAGGGATGATGTCTGATCATGACATGATTCGATTGAGAGTTCGAGACGACGATGATGGTTGTTGATCACGTCATCAGCTACAGATCTACAGATCCTACAGGCAAGACTCGCTAGCACGTAGCACACTACTACGAGTACGGCCGGAATTGCTCTGTGCGACAGACCGCTGGAGGCGCACTCCTACTGATAGTTCATAGTTTAGAGTAGTGGTATTTGCGTGGGAATATCAGCAATAATAATGAAACGGTTCCACCACCACGAGCATCAACGAACAAGGTCGACCAGGGGGTCGGCGCGCGACAAGTCCAAGCTCTCACTCGATCACCTCTCGACCATAAGTTCGCTTTCTTGTAATAGACTTCAATTGAACGGCAATCTCGCTACCTGATAATCTTCCCAAATCCAGGATAGAATTCAGCCGTAGCGATGCCACATCCATCACAACCTCTGGCCAGCCTGCAACAAGTCCTGGTAACCCCCTCCCGGCAGGACGGCGTCCCGGAAGACCTGGAGGACGATCTACGGGTCATGGGGTGTGTGCTCATCCAGGAGTTGGGCGTCATGCTCGAGCTGTAAGTCCCGAGCGCTCGGCCACCGTTTACGATGAAGTTTACTGAATCGAGGGAAACATCAGGCCGCAGTGCACGTTGGCTACGGCTCAGGTACTTTTGCAGCGTTTCTTCTACGTCAGCAGCTTGTCGTCCTACACCGTCAATGTGAGCGAGCTTACTCCTTTTTCTAGAAACCCGACTGCCATCCCGTTTGAGGAAACCTGAATCCTCACCAACGTTCACCTCCGAATGTGGAACAGGACATCGCCATCGGATCCCTCTACCTCTCTTCCAAACTCACCGAATCTCAACTCCGCCTCAGGGACCTACTCAACGTCTACTTGCTCTACGTCGCGAGGAACGAGCACCTTCGGACCCGTCTTCAGACTCAAACTCGGGATCGGGATCAAAACCGGGAACTTGAACCCGCTGAACATCAGGGTCAGGCTGTCGAGGACGAGCGTGACCCGATGGAGGGCTTCGAATATACCCCGCCGAGCTTTCATAGTCCGGTTTATTACGAGTTGAAAGATGTGGTAGTCGTCGCCGAGATGCAGATCTTGAAGAGGTTGGGGTTTCACGTTCAGGTAAGCCTTGTCCGGGACGAACATCGTCTCTCTTGGGCTACCCTCTGTTCCGCTCGACTCGACTCTAGCACTCTCTTTTGAACTCTTACGGGTCAAATCGACAAGCGTATTCGTATCGATGCTGATGACCTGGATTGATGCGTGCGATGGCGATGATATGAAATAGGTCGACCTTCCGTACAGTCACATGATCAATTATTGCAAGATCCTCGATCTGGTCGTCAAACCGGGGGTAGTCCAGCTCTGCTGGAGTATCTTGAACGATGCGTGAGTGTACTTGGCCTTCCCTAATCATATCCTGTCTTACTACCTCAACCCCACCTCGCTCGGTCGGTCCGACCTGATCCGTCTCTTCAAATCGTCTCACCTTGCCTCCCTTACCTTACACTGACCATCCCGACTCTCGTCATGCCACAGCCTACAAACCCCGATCTACGCACATTACCCCCCTCCCACCCTGGCTTGCTTTTCCATCCTCTTGGCTACACGTCTCCTAGCGATCCCGTTGCCGGACAGGTGGTGGGTGCTCTTCGATGCGGATTACGACGACATGTGGACGGCTTGTGGGTGGGTGATGAGGTTGTGGAGGGATTGGGGCGACGGCGGTTCGAGCAGACCGGGGATGGCTACAAAGACGGAGACGGAGACGCTGATGGGGACGAGGAAGGAGACAACGGGGGACCAGGACGAGATGCGACGAGCCAGATGGGCACGAGCGTGCGGTTTGGCGACGAGCAGAAAGTATGTGAGGAAGTATATCGAGCGGGTCGAGTTGGAGGACGAGAAGAGGGGGCAGTAAGCCGCGGAGCAATGGATCTCAGCCCCGGGGATGAAATGGACGCGAGCGATATTCGCTTACAAAGGCTGGCGACACAAGGCGATCAGCAGCGGAGACGAGACAAGGACTCCGGAAGTCGTCGTCTCGCCCACTTTCGCCGCTCGCACGAAAGACCCTGCAGCTCGCCGATCTCGACCATCGTCTGAAGCTCTACGCACATCTGCGTCAACCAAAAAAAAGAAACGCACACGTCGCACGATCTCGCAGTCAAATGTACCCGGCGAATACCGTCACATACCGAGGGATCTGGATAGGCGGGACGCCGCCAAGTCTGGTTTCTGCGCCCTTACTGTAACCCTCGCCCACTCCCGCGTATCCTGGTTATCGACAAGCTCGACTCGTCTGTTACCAGCCGACCGAGATGACTACGGTCTCCGCACACCAGAGTCTGGTAACGTTATCGCGTTCGATTCCGTGGGACGACCACTACTCTTCCCGGCATCACACCTGGCGAAATCCTATTACATCGCCGCTGCCCCCGAACTCGTCAATCCATGTCATCCATACCATCAATGCCTCTGTGTAGACAACAGAGCACGCGGACAATCAGCAGCAAAAGCTTCGGTCTCTACAGCACTACCAGCTGCAGTACCACCATCTCCGTGAATTGGATCGGTATAGTAGGCCAGCCACCAATCGCTTTAGCGTCGATGTGGCAAGACCCAGCTGAGCGGTCGACATCATCGATATCTCACAAAAATTGAAAACGGCAGGGATACAAAGAGGAAAAAGCCGAGTGGCGCGCGACTTCATGTCTGGTTCGTGAGCAAACGCATCCAACGCATAACTATGCGCTTGAGGAATTAGGGTTCAATGGCCCACCACCCGAGCACGAGCACAGGGGCAAGAGGAATGCGTATCAGAGTAGAGCGCACGATTACGGTCAACGACACGCCTTCTCCGGATTACTACCTCCCTCGCCAGCTTCAACCAATTCTACACGCCCTACTCCTTGCCACACGAACCAGGAAAGCGTCGCTTCCTTCCCTTCCACTTCGGAATCGGCTACTTGGTTTGAACGGCATTCTGAGCAGGTTAAAAAATCCGCACTTGCGAAGATTGACATGCCGACTCATGTAGATGAGGGAGAACACAACGGCATTGAGCAATCCGAGCGATGGATGCGAAAGCTGCCTGGAGACTTCAACGACCCCGGGCACCTGACTTGCCCGATCGAGGCACGAGTCAAATCGGATGACGACGACGACGACGACGACGACGACGAATGAATGTCGCATCTGTCTCGAGCGGACTGGAAGGTGCGATGTGTCTCGCCGACGATATTCGATAGGTTGTTGTTGGAAGAGATCTCCTTGTCGTCCGATTGTGGTCAAATTCGACGACTATTCTCGAGCGAGATGATCGTCGTCGCAATCGACCACAAGGGCTACTATATGTGTACTGCAAGTGGCTGAAGAAATAGTGTCTGATAACTTCCAGGCGGAGAAGGGAAACACGCAGCCACGTCGTACTAGACTTTCAATTCCGCGAGGATGATCGTTGGTTTCGAACTCGACCATCGCGTCCACGTGGCGCAGGAGCGTGTCCAGATCATCGTGGCTCCGGCTATCGTTGATTTTCATGTCTAGCAAGATTATATAACCATGATCCTGTGCACAAGATCGTATTCACGACCTCGTTTAGCCGCGATCTACTAGGACAGGACTCTTGATCAGGAAGATATCTGATACTCGACCAATGTGGACACGCGAACCGATGAGCCCTAATCTCAAGTAAGGTCCGAATTTGGGCGCTCTAGATTGTGTGACAAACTCCCTACACTCGCTCGTCTCGCCTCAAATCCTCCTCTCTCACCGTGGGGAGAAAGCGCGTGTCGAGCTTCAGTTTGGGTTTGACATCTGGCTTGTAGTAGGTGGCATTGTCGTTGTTGCTGACAGAGTCCGGCTTGAAGCTGGTGCGATAGTTGAGGAGATTGACACCGGGAACGAGGTAAGCAGGGTATATGGATCGGCCTCAGTGGGAAGGAGAGCAGAGAGAAAACGCGTTTCAGAATCCTTTCCTTGATCCTCGATTCGATGCCCTGCGCCTGCGCGCGCGCGGCGCGCAGGCTGAAACCATGGAAATCTCTGTGCTGACCTGTCCCTCAGCAGAAAAGATCGACCTGGCTACATTCATGATGATTCAATTGTAGGGGCAGCAGAGCAAGGAATGAAGCAGTTAGCTATCATTACTATTGCCCAGGTCAAGGATGCGACGAGTCCGATGAAAGTCGAACCTGAAGTCGCAGAGTTGATTCGCCTGAGCTCGACGAGCAACCCCAAGTGATGACGAATACGTCATCGCGCCGGCCCTTGGTAATGCTTCAAGCCGGGACCGCCTGGATGATTAGATGGTCGGATCGTCGATTCGGACTGATCATCTATCTTGACATATCAGCATACTCTCATAGCTACATACATACGTGCATACTATCGAACCATCATCTCAAAATGCCTTCCAACTTCGACCTCACCACAGCGGCTGTCGTAATCGTCTTGGGCGCCACGTTCTGGTACTCCTTCTCAGAATACAGGGCGGTGACTGCCCTTGATCGCAACGAGCCGAAACAGGGCGTCTCCCCTTCCAACTCCGAGTCGACCTTAGTAGGATCAGAGGAGCCAAAATCAAAGTCAGAGGAGAGTGTTGCAGGATTCTTCAGAGCTCTGCCTACCGATCCCTTGGAGCAACAACGTTACGTCGATAGGCTGCCCGAGATCGGGGTCACGGGATTGATATTCGAAGGAGATGATCGTGGCGGCCACAGTTTCAACGACGGATCGACTTCTCTGCTCGACCCCCAGGGTGGAGTGAAGATCGAGGTCACTGAGGCTGTACATGCACTCGAGTATCTGAAGGATGCGGTTGATATTGATAGGTGGGAAGCCCTGGGCATGTCCTGCACCTGTCAAGTGCGCCGGAGGCCCTACACCTACATCCCCTCCACCTACATCCCAAAAATCCCTGAAGGGGGTGATTCCCGTTGGAAGGATGAACTCTGGACCCATCTGAAGACGGAAGCTTGGGACAAAGAGGTGGTCATCATTGCCTCGACACACGGTTTCACTCCCCGTGTACAAGAGTGTTTTTACGGACTTGTCGCTTCGGCCCCTTGGCTGACCTTTATCTACACCGCGGGACGAGCCCTCCTTGCCAACCAAGAGGAAGAGGACGATAACACGATTGTGACGAAATCGGGGACTACTAGCCGAGAGCATCCGCAAGACGTTGAGTACAGAGACCTTGAGTACAAGGCCGTCTACCAGGAGGACTTCGAAAGGCATAAACGGGTCAGCATCGATGTGTCGATCAGCCGATCGGCTGGCGACCTCCACCCTCGTTTCAAGACGGAGGTGAGCGCGGTAGGCGACCTCGACAACCTTGCGGCTGGTGAACAGCAGGTATTCGTGAAGAAAATCGTCTGTCATTACGAGATTACCGGACGGGACAGAATGAACGTGCGCTGGGAGCTCGATCCATGGCTGGATGGAACCGCTCTCCCTCCTACCACCGTGACTAGGAATGTGTCAGCGGGGATCAATGCGGGATCGGAAGGGGGTGCTGGGAATCGAGAGACCGAGACGGTACAACAGCCCGGGCGAATCATACAGGTACATGAAGATCTGAGCTATGACAAGCGGCTTGAATGTACTGCGGGACCTCGAACTCCTCCGGGATGGTCTCGATTCACTCATATCGACCAGATCGCGTACAGGACTCGCCCTTTCGCGGCCACCTACACAGCCACAGTCGATGTGCTTTACGAGATCAAGGAAAGTACTGTGATCATTTCACGGGTAATGACCACACTCAGTTTGACTTTTGAACTCTCCGATACTGCACCGGTGGAGGAATGGCATCACGTTGTCGTCATCGATAAAGGACCTAAGCGCCGACCTGAGATCGATCGTTCTGATCATATGACATATGACTTGAAGATTGACACCAGACATTGTGGTTTACCCCGTCGACTTGCCCAAGCGAGGAGGTTGACACACTTTGCGGATCAGCCACTTGCGGACCAGCCAGTCCCCATGGGTTTTGCTCAGCCAGTCCCCTCTGGGTTTGCTGTTGATTGAATGCGGTCGGATTACCTTTGGTCACGGCACACGAGCTATCTTTCATCCATATAGTTCATTATGTTCTCTGCGATATACCCATGTCAAGATCTTCAACTCTTTCGCCGCAGGCAATCACAAGACCGGAAAACCATTCTCTGTCCATCGCCGCCCGAGCGGTCCTATCTCAGTCCTGAACCAACAGATTGTCATCAAGTCGTCATGGTCATAAGGGTAGGCTACCAGTCTAGCTGTCATGTACCGAGACATCAAACAGGGTCGAAATGCTGCCCTTTGGTTTGTGCTCGGCGTCTCGTTCGAGGTCGTTCTGCATCATCATGGGGTTTCTCATGTCTTCGAGCGAACCCATCGAATCGACCGACTTCTTTGCGCCGTGTTGCGATCTGGAGGACCGCGCAGCGATGATGTCCATCACGCTTTTGGGCGCTTCAGTAAGGTGCTTGTTGTTCATGAGCGTTTCGAACTCTTCCTTCTTCCTCTGTACGTGTGCCTGCTTAATGGTCTCGGCAAGATCTCCGAAGGGGGGCGGCTCGACCAAAGTCTCGGTAATGGGCGTGCTCGACTCGATGCTGACAGGTTCGGCGCTAGGAGATCGGCCAAAGAAGGAAGACCATCGTGAGACGGGCCTGGCAGGCCTTGCATTGTCTGTGGATGAGGCAGCCGAGTTGAAGCTCTGAGCACTGTTCGATCGCTGCATCATCCCTGGTCCGGTCACGTTGGGCGATAAGAGCTGGGGAGATTGGGTCCGAGCAGGAGCTTCCACGCCCATAAGTTTCATGGTCGCCGCGAGCCGTTCACGCTCGACCCGATCCTCGTCGTCTTCCTCGTGCGTTTGCAGTTTTCGTCCGCCTAGACGAGCTACCGGCGATTCTCTTCCGGAACGGGCCTCAGGTATGGTTGGACCGTTCTCCGTCCTGGGTGAGGGAGTCCCGCCTGATCCGCCAAACCCTGCAAACGATCCCCAATTGAGCGAGAGTCCACGTCGGGCCTGTGTGCATCCCAGAGCAAGATGCTATGGATCAGCATCTATCACTTCAAAGCCGAGCACAAGAAGGAAACTTTTGGCGCACCCTCTTTTCCGAAGCCGCCTCTGTCTGCTCCTTGATAGGCTCGGGCGAGGCCGTCTCCCTCGAATCGTTCCTGCCTGCCAACATGCTCAACGGTCTCAATCCCGTCTTGGGGTCGACTTGAACGACGCGTTCCTCGGAATTACTCTGCTGCAGGAAACTCTGGGGTCGAGACCGGTTGCTCGCTTGACGCTGTCTTGTGGGCCGAACGGGGATCTTGCGCGAGGTAGCCGGGTCCGAAGAGACGTCCGCCAGGAATTGTTCCGAGTCTGTACGGCGAAATCGTCAAGTGAGCTTACAATCCGGGACCAAAATCGGCTCTTCTAGAAAACTCGCCCGAATGACTGAGGATACGATCAAGAATCTGTTTCAGGCGAGCAGGGTCAGTCGATCGATTCTTTTCTCGTGGACCTTCACTGGAACTCGCCTTGGAGCAGTACAACCTCAGCCCACGGTTCGCCTCGGACATCTGTTTCAGCTCGAGCCGCAATTCTGCAGGCAACGAAAGAGCTCAACAGGGTCAGTTCCCGATTCGAGTCATCGTCACGTGGAATACCTACCCTCATTCTCTTCCCTCATCTTGTCCATCTCACCATCGTCCACATCCTCTGCGATGTCCGCGGCCTTGCCAGTCTCGCCCATCTCGCCCGTCCCAAACGCCTCGAGATCGAACCCTCCTAGCTCGTCTGCCAAGCTCTTCCCTCTCTCCCTTCTACTCGCCCGCGAGACAGAGCCCATCCCGACTCCCAGGGTAGACCTCACGCTGCCCTGTTGTTCGATCCTGGACTGGCCCCCAAATCCGATCCCCAGCCCAATCCCGATGGTCCCATCGATCGTCCTTGTTCCCACCAGCTTTTCCCAGACTTCGTTTTCTTCCCTCAGACGCTCGTTGATCTCTTTTTCTTCCCGAAGCATAGATTCTGAGCGAGCAAAGGCGTGTTCGAGGTCGAGGTGCGCTTTTTGGAGTTGCGAGAAGGCGGTCTGGGTCGCGCTGAGAGATTCGGCCAGACGAGCCAGCTCCGCCGCGTTTGCCGTATTGGTCGAGCGGAGCTTGTCCTTGGCGACATCGTCATCTTCCATCGCATGCGCATGGGCTTGTCCATCCCGCTCTGCTTTGGCCTCTTCGAGCTGTTCCGTCAACCTCGTTCTCTCCTTCTCCAGCCTCTCTAATCTGGATCGACTCTGTTCGTCCGCCGCAGCCCATTGTTCACGTTCGAGATCGAAACCTTGTTCCTAAGGGCCATAAATTTCACTCCCATCAGCCTCGACCTTCTCGACATCGCCTTGGCCGCTACTCACCCGCTGTTCCAATCTCTTGCTCCAACCTCCTACCTCCTTCTCTAACCCTCTACACCGTTCCCTTGTCCTTTCCAACAGAACGTCCCTTTCGACCAAGGCCTGTTCGGTACGCTCGACATCGGCGGTGAGGTCGGTTAAGTGCCGGGAGAGCTGAGCATTTTGAGTTTCTAGGTTGGCAATCTTGGAAGTAAGATCGTCTCTCTTTGAGAACTGCGATGTCTGCGATGTAGATCTGTTCGGGCTGGGGATCTGTGGGAACCGTATCGAAAGCGCGATCAAACCAGGATCAGCCGAGTTTCTTACAAGTAGTGAGTCGAATACACCACCCTATTCGGATTTGAAGTGTACTCACGCTCTTGCCCGTCGAAACCGTCCTTTTCCCAGCGGTCACTTGAGATGTAGGTGCTGTACCGGAGGTCGGGATGGAAGTAGAAAAAGAAGGGTTCTTGGTATGTCTAGCCGACAAAGGCCTCCTCGGAGCAGGCGTGGACATTTGGCGAGATCAACGTTTGATCCTGGCCCTGGGTATTGATGATGTGCGCCTTGTCGATCGAGGTCGTTATGACTACTTTGAATGATTGTCTTGTGTGTAGATCTTGAGAGAGGAGATCTTGCTACAGAAGATTGCTGACAAGGTGATCGTGATCGTTGTGTTGGTTGCACGAAGGCGATGGTGGTCGCGTGTTGCGAACTTGCGATGTACACGACGCTGCTAGAGGGTCCTTTGACGATGACGGATGTCGTAGTCGATTTTCTGAGCGCCTATATCGTATCCATGAGGTGTCTGTCAAGCTTGGGGTTCTTGAATGTCGACATGTCGAAGGTGAAGATGGATTGATGTTTCGCTGTTTGATGCCTTGATGGATGAGATGTTGATGGGAAGTGGACCTCGCCCTTTTGTTTATTTTGTGTGATCGGAAGCAAAAAACGCGCCAAGATGTAATCGGTCTTTCCTAATCGCTAGTCGCTAGTCGTCGACCTGACAAAATCAAATAGTTGAAGCTAGGATTTCCTTTCTGCTAGTTTATCAAAAGATTGTATAGCTACATCGTAGGAGATGGGACGCCGGAAGAATGGCGATGTTCGATCTCAATCTATCAAATCGAATCCATCGATCAGCGCAAGCGGGGAAATCGATCAACTACAGTAGTCACTCGGACGCGCCAGGGGTCAGCCGAAAAACGCCACGCTAAATCTATAGATCATTCGTATCATCGAATTTGTCGACGTATGACCTATAACCGTGAGCCCGTACATTGGAACCACGGCTGGCCCTCTTGAACAATGGCTACTTATTACCTGTCGCTTGCTCACTGGCAGACTCGAAGCATCGACCGCTCAACCGGCGTTCGTATGAACAGGGGACGACGGGAAATCGACGGGAAACTTGCGGACGAAAGTAGCGCGTCATCGCCGTAATCAGCTTATACAGAAATTCGCTAACTGGACTGCTTGATCATCGAAGTGCTGATTCATCAGAGCTGCAGGAATGGCAATATAAAGATATATAGACCAGTCCAGCGGATGGGGTCGAACAACGCCCGCTAGCCAACATATGCTAAGTACTCTACCGCCGCATCCTCCTACTGCGACTCGCACAACTCGTATCATCAGAGGTCGCTCTCGACAATCCTACCTACCTCTCCACCATGACTGTTAAGATTTTCATGTAAGCACCATGAACCTATATTATCCACCCGGCGACAGCTAAAGAGACGGTCATTCGTCTGCCCACTTCCCCTCGGCTGAACATCGTTCTCACACAAACCAGGCTAGGCGCGACCGGATTCATCGGCGGTGACCTCTTGGCGTGCCTGGAAGAGCAATACCCGGAGTACGAAATCACTTGTCTGGTACGGACCCAAGATAAGGCGGATATCGTTCGGGCTGTCTATCCCAATGTCAAGGTCGTTCTGGGAGACAATGAGAGCGCGGAAATCGTCGAAAGAGAGACTTTGAACGCCGACATCGTGTTCCGTGAGTGTCGTTTTTAGACGGGTTCATACACGTAATCGAGTCTGATGGACAGAGCTCGCTCATCGGTTCCGCTTCCTCTTTTTCCTTTTTCGGTGAGATGCAGACTCTGCTACGTCGGCAGACGACGTCCCTGGGACGACCTCCATCTGCAAAGCTGCCGCCAAAGAAAAAGAATCAGGCCGACCTACCTATTACATCCACGTATCCGGTACCGGTCTCCTCACTTACCAAGCCGACAAAGGTCAACCGAGGCATGGTAAAACCTACAACGACTGGGAAGGTCTGCCCGACCTCGTCAACTTTCCAGCGGAGGCTCCGCATCGGAACGTCGACCAGATCGTCCTGGAGGCCGCCAAGGCAAACCCTGCAACGTTGAGAACGGCCATCGTCTGCCCACCCGTCATTTACGGACCAGGAAGAGGACCGATCAACAAGCGAGCCATGATCACCCCTCTGACCGTGGCTTCGATGATCGAACGGGGCCAAGGGTATCTTCCTACAGGAGATGCCGCCTGGCACCACGTCCACGTGCACGATCTTTCCGACCTGTTCATCCGGCTGATACGAGCTGCCGCGGAGGGAGGTGGGAGAGCCACTTGGAATCAAGAAGGGTATTACCTCGCCGAGTCCGAGCGAATGGGCTGGCCCGAATACTGTAAAGCCGCGCTTGCACGGGTCGCCGAGGCGGGTTATATCTCTCCAAACGACGAGGAGGTACCTGTCTGGGACATGCAGGAGGCCGTCGGGCAAGTAGGAGGACTGGCGGGGATCTATTATTCGACCGCTTTAGGAGAATCGATCAGGGCGAGGAAGTTGTTGGGATGGGAACCCAAGGGGAAATCGGTCGTGCACGATATGGTCGATGTCATCGCTCTCGAAGCCAAAGCTTTGGGCAAGTGACCGCAGGAATAGGAAACGGAACGAAGGGGGGCTCGGGATACGTTGCCCGGTTTTCCAGGGGCTGTAATAGCTGTTATACCTAGATCAGCATTGTTCTCGCCAAATCCGTATGAGACGGGACCGATTGCGATCGCCACAACTCGAACGATCGGCCGATGTTGGCGATTTTCTTCTTGGCATGTATGAGCCGGTGTTCACGGTCGGCGGCGAAGATCGCCTGCCAGGCGATCGCTTCGTTCCAATACCCTTCTTGATCTCAAGCACTTCGCAGCGCCGGACGCATTTTGCAACCTGTCGCAATTCAATCCATTTGAATCACAGCCCGTGGTAGTATGATCTACGGACAATGGCGCGCGTGTCACGTGACTCTCGGCGGGTCCCCACGTGGAATGATGCGATGATGCGATGCGAATGACCCTGATCCCCCGGGATGGAATCATGCCCTCACGCCCTCAGCTACTTGGCTACCTGCATCTTCTTCTTCCTGACCTAGCCTAGATTCGGCATCCTTCTCTGGCTGGGTGGCGCACGTTCCTATCCGCTTCTCTCTCTCACCATGATGAAATCTATCGGATCTCAGATCGGGCTCCCGTTTCTCTCCCAAGACGAGGATGCGCGTTTACAATTCAGGTCGGGAAAGAATGGTATCAAGCGGTTGGCCGTCCGGGAGGTGAGTCCCGTTGCGAACCCAACAAAACGTTTACCATTACCAGGGTAGGAGACGTACTCTGTCAAAGTCTGTACCCGCTCATCATCTTCCTGTTCGTTGGGCAGGCTATTCCGGTGCACGATGTCGGGTATTGGTCGCAGGTGCGTAGACAATAGATTGGTCCATCAGCCGTCCTAAATTACACTAACGGCTTCCTCTCTTTGCGAAACATAGTACTGGATGCTTTTCGAAAGCTCGGCAGATGTACATTCCTTGATCTCTACAGGAGAAAGTGAGTTCACCAGCGTCCCATCGACACACTCAGTAAAACACGCTCATTATGAGGATCCTCGCTCTTCCGTTGCTAGTCCGAGCGGCTCTGCATCAATGCCCCCGGAACGTCTCTACCCTGATCACAACCCTCTCTTCTCACCTATTCTCTACGGTCCCATCTTCCACCTTCCCTACGGCCGCTTCGAGCTCGATATCTCCGATCCCACTACCGAACAACCTCCGCCGGACCTTGACCAACGCCCGTGGGAAATCCAACCTCTCCACTCCGGACCCAACCAGGGAAGTCCTCAACTGTCTGAGGGTCCTGGGAAGAGTCTTGCCAGTGGTATACGAGGCGGAGACGGAGAACGTCAAGGATCAGGATTATAGAGACGTAGATGGAGATCCCCCTTTCGGGCAAGATCAGGAGGCTGGAGAAGGGGAGGTCGACGACGGAAGGCTAAAGGACCATTTCGCCTGGCACGTCTTGTGGAAGCGACCACTAGGCCCTCGGAATCTAGATCCTCAGATTGATCTGGATTATCCATCAGGACGGGAAGGAGAACTCGCGGTTGGAGATAGGGCTAGGGACGTATCGATGAGTACTCCCTCGGATCCACTCACGCAAGCGGCAGAACAGAGTGAGAGGCGTCGAGACAAGAACGATCGAGATGTCGATGAAGAGGAAGAGGGCGACCGGCAACCAAGCTTGACGGACAAGTTGTTCGGGGTCACCGTGGACTTGCTGTTCTGCGCTGGGTTTACGATCCCTGAGAGTATGAAGGGGGCTGACGGACGGGGTGACAAGATCAACGTGAGCGCCCCTTTGTTTCGTATCGCCGCGCTGCAGCCTCGAAGATGACTTCTGATACTGTCATCTTCGCAGTACGTGATCTGGGAAAAGGGAGTAGGGAGCACCCACGACATCGGGTCTACGACAGAACTCGACCGGAACAAGACGGAAGTCCTTCGTTTCCTCCTCGTGCTCCTTTCGTCGACCATCTACACCGCTCCACACAGCCTCCCACACTCGCTCAACCGGCCACTACAATATCTCACGCACAACCTCGAACGTCGACTCGTTCTCAGTCTACTATGTTCTTGGCTAAATACCAGCCTCTCCAGGGGTGCTCAATCGGCTTGGGGCGAGAACATACCATATAATCATCTCATCACCCGAGCAGGGGAGGATCGAAGGACATTGGTCAGGATGAGCTTGATGGTCCTCCTCGTCGCACTGGATCATTGGAAGGTCGACCGAGAAGAGATCGTCGAAACTCCCGGAATCACAGGGATGGGAATGGGCGTCGGATTCAACTTTGGCATGCCTCCGTCAACGCCGGGAGGGTTGGGGTCGTCGGTCGTAGGCGAGAACGCGCCGAAAAAGGACGAGAACGCCTTTAGGTATTTCTTGTCAAAGTTGGCAAGTCGATTCTCGCTACTCGCCGACCACTACTCTTGCTAATCCACAACGTTTCTGTGTGGCGTTATAGCATCGGAGAGAAGACTTCGATTTCATCCTCACCGGCGTACTCGCCATCCTCAGTGAACATACTGCCGTCAACCAGAACGTCTTGCCAGGAAGCAAGAAGCCGGTCGATTACATCTTGGAGATCTGTACGTATGCGACCTGTATAGGTCTCGGCTTATGGGGATAAACACTGATCTGTTTCTTGCTGTTGCAGTCATGCTTTTCTGGAAGCTGCTCGACCTAAACAAGGTTAGCCCGTAGCCCGGTCGACTCGTAAATCGATACTCCTTGTTAACAGAATCGATCGACACGTCCAGCGCTTTCGGACATACGTTCACGAATCTGGAAAAACGCAAGACATCGTTGGTCATATCCTCTTGTGCTGCTTGGAGATGAAGGATAATCCAGGTAGGGACACCGTCTCAAAAACAGGTCTCGATCGAGGTGAGCTGACGTACGTTTCGCGGATAGCCCACCACGGCCTCCTTCGAATGCTGTCGTACATCTTGCAAGCCATGTCGGCCGATCGAGAGTTTGGTATGGCGCTCAACAAACCGTTGGACATTACAATCCCCGTCAAGTGGAACGTGCAGGGCACGACAGCGGACTTTATGGTCGTCGTAAGTATTTCGGTGCAGGTCTCCTTTCTCGCACTTTGGCTCATCGGAAGGATCTTGCCAGTCCATGTATTCCATCGCGACCACGCCTGGCCTTAATCCTCTGTTCCCGGCGTTGACTGTGACCATCAGCAATGTAGCGCCATACCTGAAAGGTCTCGGCATCCAGGCTTCGACCCGCTTACTCCAGCTTTTCAAAGCATTCTCGGTCCCCAACTTTTTGTTGGCAGATGAAGGTCATCCGAGGCTCGTCTACTACCTGTAAGTTTAAGGGTCCTCGGTCAAAGACACGAGCGGACGCTGGGATGCTCACGATGCTGCATTCGGCAGTCTTGAAACCTTCAACGGCATCATCTTCAATCAGCTTCAAGGTGGGTGCCCGGATCGAGGCAGCTCGTCTCATCAACGATTATTGACGGCATGCTCATTCCCTCAGAAAACCCAAATATCGTCTACGCAATCCTTCGCTCCCATCAGGAGTTCCAAGACCTTGCTACATTCACACTCCTGGGTGGCCTGCGCGACATCCAGAAACGGATGTTGGCCCGAGCAGCGAATCGTAAGCCATCCATGAGCTACAGTTCCGAGATCGGCGGCTGATCATCTACCTTTGCAGAGGCCGCTACCGATCGCAAGGCGGATGGACCCAGAACCTCCCAAGACTCGAGCGTCCTGCCAGAAAAGGCTGGTCTGCTGAGCGAAGAACACCGACGTGACACGATGGATCTCGGTAGTCCAAACCTCGGGACGCTTGCCCCTACAACGAACCACAACGTAACATCTCCCCTCTTCACGCCAGGTGAAGCGGAAGAAGATCCCATGGCCACGGCGGAATCGAACGCGAGCAAACAGACGGCGAACCCAAAGTCGGAAAAAGCCAAGGGAAAGATGAGGGAGCGAAGCGAATCGACGAGCACGTTAGCAATGGACACCGAGTTGCAACGACTTGCAATGAGCGGGATCGGACCGAACGGATACGTCCCTACTCAGGAATGGGTGTCGAGTTGGCAGAAGGGGTATGTCAATGGCCACGATCGCCACTTCATTCATAGGCTGATTGGCGTATACACTGGGTCATAGGTTACCGCTCGATCCGGTCCTGCTGACCATATCGGAACTCCTGCCAAAGGTACAAGAATTACAACCGTCAACAACGCCTGGTCCGAGTCGAAACGTCATCAGCTTTTTGAAGAGCGCCACTTTGGTCGACGTCCTGCCATCACACCCGTCCCATAATCCTCGAAGGTTTCAGGTGAGCAAGGCTCTGACATTGGGATGTTCCTGTCACTGTCGAGTGCTGACCTGTTCAACGCAGTGGAGCGTGGCATCGACGATATGGCTTAGCTCGCTGCTCTGGGGACAGATTTATACGGCTGCACTACAAAACTTCAACAACACCGCGGTGCGCTTGTTCGGGGTCAAGCAGGCTGCTCCAACACGCCGTGAACAGGTACGTCCAGGCGCGATCGCGACTCTATGGCCGATGATTGACTCTACGGCGATACTCGCAGGCCATTCAAAACGTCTCGAACAGGTTGTTATCGTTTGTCAACGGTTATCCCGCGCCAATGACGGGGATACCGAACGGCCGGCCCTCCATGTCAGGCATGTAATTATGATCCATATAGGCCACCTTTTACGATCGTTCTGCTAGGATCTAGTCTGCATACATATCATACCATTTTCCTGATCATATCACTGAGGGAGGCAGCAGCTTGTTGCGATTCAGCCGCTGATCCGGATTGGCCAGGCTCGGACGATGTTGGACGAGAGTGCACAGATTATCGCCGGTGACGCTGCCGTTGTACAACCAGCGAATGAGATTAGCACGATCATGATTCCTGCAGCTACGATCAGGTGGTCTGGTATCCCGGTCAGGCCATGCGGGCGAGTTGGTTTACGAGCTTGATCCGGTATAACTCTTGATGGTCCACAGCATTCTTCGCTTTCACTCTTGAGAGATGTCTTGGGCGGTCCCGGTGCTTCCGCCAGACTCGAGACTTTCTCCCTTGCTCATCATCGAAACCGTCTCGCAAGGCGCTCCATACATTTCCGGAAACTCTGGTCCCATGCCGTCGCAAGCTCTAGTAGCATCCTTGATCACTTGCTGCAACAGTCGCTGGTTGGCTGGATCCCGAATGTCCCGCCAGAGTGAAAGCTGAGGACCGGGATACTGGAACGTTTTGCTGTGGACGAGATCAGAATCGCTTGGGCGCATGATGCCCGGACGACGCGAAGGGTCGATGTCTGTTTTGACATGCCAAGTTAGACTTGCCCAATACGGTGGTAGAACGGGGACGACGGCGTGCTACTTACCGGCTGGAACCACTGAACCGGGATCCCCCTGACACCAATAGTACGGACGGAAGGAGTAGCCGATCCACCCGATCAAGTAAAAGTGCTTGTTGACCCCGTTCTCGTACGCCGCGTTCGCTCGAGCTCTGACCTGCCGATCGACAGCATAGACCTGTCCCGTGGAAAGCTCGCCCGGTTTCACCTCGATGACCAGGACCATGTTTTGAGGTACGGCGTCACGAGCCTTTTGCATCCAGTACATGGCGTAATCGACAAGGCCGCTGAAGAGCGGATGCTCGGTCGAGGTATCGTAAGGATCAGGCTGAAAATTGCAGGAGACGTACTCAGCCTCGCCACGGTGACGAGAAAAGATTCGGATCGACGGCTTTTCAGTTGGTCCCAACCGCCGCATCAGGTCCATGATGTCGTCCCGGAGAAGGTTGTGGTTGTTCAGATAGGGGTATTCGGGACCCTCCATCATCGGGCAGACGTCCTGAAGGGACGGGTCGGACCAGAACGGATGAAGAGCCGAGTCGAGGACTTGTTGAGGGATAGGAGGCGGTTCATTGTCTCCCATGAGAGAGATCTGATCCGATTGAGGGGATGGTGGCGTAAGGTCAGATGATGTCGAAGACATGATGGCGTCTCTAGGTAGGAAGCGGAGATGATATAGAGCGCTTCGTTTCCTACGCAAGGCGGCCTTTTTGTCTTGATGTCGTTCGTAGAGGGCTCTTCCAGCGGGGAGCGGGCGTAGAGGCGTGGAAGAGATCTGTGAACCCGGGTAGGAGGGTTCTGTCAGCGGGAGCCTCTGGGATTGAGGTCGACAAGGATCCTCACCGTGACGGGTCGTGGGGAACGTTCGAGACCTGGCATCGAGTTTTGCAAAGACGATGTTGATGTAAAGGTTTGGAGAAGATAGGTCGAAGGACGTGGAGCGAGGCAGAAGAACGAGTCGTAATGTGCGGGGCGTTTGCACCGGTCGTGAACGTGGCCGGAAGTCGTTAAGAGATAAAGGAGAATGGTTCGAGAGCGAGTCGTATCAGGCGTGATAAGGAAGCCTGAAAAGCGATCAGACGGGGTCGTCAGCTCGAAAGTCTTTCGACGTCAAGGCAAGGCTGACGAGGGGAACATACAAGTTGTCGGTGTCAACGAGAGCTCGTGAGCGGTCGTCTCGGCCTCGGCCAAGAGGGCGAGAGCGAAGAGAGAGAGCCCACACGGCTAGTGTTAAATATGTAGAGATTGCTAGGTCCGGCACTTTGACGAGGCTGATGCTCGACTAGTGATCTTAGTGACTAGAAGGTAGAAAGAGAGAGAGAGAGGAGGATTGTGTACTTGTACTGAACCGAGAGCAGAGGCGAGGATCTCGTAGAGAGGTAGGATACGAGGGATGTCATTACGTAATATCACGTAGCGTGACGTCACGCCGATCACCCTTTGCTTCCGTTCATTCGCGCGCGCGTTTCATCTATTCGACCGACCTTGACGATGATCTGAACATCACATCTCTTCCAGCTCCGTGGCAATACCACCTCGCATTCAACGTCACCGATTCTGTAGCTATCCTGATTCGCTTCTCCCTAGGTCCAATCTCGCTATGGCAAGAGGAAAACCGCGGACCTGGTATGTCCTGCCTTTCAATCGTTGCTTGTAGTCCGACATGTACTGGTACGTGTGTGTAGCATGCGTGTCGATATCTTCGGTGCAGTGGTGAACCTCCTGATTACCCTGATTGGCTACCCGACCTGGCAACAACACAACCTGTCCATAGTCGCCTGTACAACCTTGTGTCCATCGGAACTCCATTGCTCAACGTGTCCTCTGCCGACATCCGAAATTTGGAGGACACAGCTTACCCCGGCCTCGACCTTTGTGTCCCTCCTCGATGAGTCTACCTGTACTTCATAGGTATTACTTCGACTTGGACTGATATGGCGGATCGTTTACATCGGCGGGGGTTCGTAGACCGACAATAGCTTCAAGACGAGCTCGATCTCGATGACGAGGACCCGCAGGAAGTCGAGTCGATACGAAAGACGCCGAGATTTATCAAACAACGCCAGACTAGAGGCGGAGCATTCCAGACGTTCGACTTGGGTTCACAAAGCATCACAAGACAGCAAAAACCGCGGCCGGCGCGGTGGCTCGGGTCGAACCGCACGTTCAACCCGGCCGATCGATTCGTTCCGATACTCGCAGAACTTGGGGGTACGAGTCAATGAGTGTGAGCTAGGGACAATCAATCTGGGGTCGGGACGATCGATGGAGGATATTTTGGGCTCGATTCTATCGTTGCCGTACGTGTGAGATTTTATTAAGCGTATTATACGTTCGTAACGTTTTATGCCATCTGTTGTCTATACATATCTGCTAGCTGTTCGGTCGTGGTAGCCTCCTCGATCCCCTTATCCTCCCTCACAGAGATAAATCTAGGGAAACGCAGTGATACTCCTCGATCCATCCCAAGAAAGCTCGCGGCTGCCGTATACACCGGGCTGCTGGTGATGTCCGCCGCGGCGATTTGCCAGACTTCTTGAGGGTTGAACCAGATGTCTGGAGTGCTTGCTCCACCTGTCTCGCAGTAGCTGTACAGTGGGGTCCGCACGTACACGAAACGCTTTGTTAGCGATTTCCCAGGGGCCGCGTTCCCTTCGAGAGCGGACGTACCTGTACGGCCCGCCTGTTTTGCGGGCCATGTCGGGCTTCCCTGCAGGGGGATACTTATCGAGAAGATTTTTGTAAAAGACATCGGTAAAGCCTTGCAAGTCGCTTCATCAGTGTTGCCCTCGATGAATCAAGTTCACATCGGTGTACCTACCTGCAAGGCATTTACATACTGCTTCGAATGCCCCTGTCTCCGGATTGTAGGCGGCCAATAGAATTGGAGACCACCATCCAGCTTTGCGTCCCAGACCATGCCAGGCACCAATCGGGACCAGATCCAACGTGTCGCCCACGCCTTCCAGATAATCCTTCTTGACTTTGAGCCAGCCTTGGCTTCGGGCGTCAGGTTCGTACGTCGACGGTAGAGGCTTTTTTCGATTGCCTTTCCCTTTAACCTTGTCGTCGGCGTTGCCGAGATCGATATCTTCCTCCTCAGCCTCCTCGTCCTCGCCGGTCAGACCTTCTCCACTCTCTAGTAATTTGACCATTAGCCCTTCGCATTTCTGCGACACCACATGTTCGAAGAAGGCCTGCGAAGCGGTTGACTGGATTAAGGATCTGCTTGACGCTGGTTCTACTTGCGCCTAGACACTCGCCTGCACATCTTCCGGTTTCGTCGAGTCTATTGACTCCACGTGTCCAAATCTTGCGATAGTAGGATCGAGTTCGTTAAAGAACGGTTTGAAAAGGGTCCGCAGTAGATGCCTTCGTATTGAAAACGGCTGACCGAGCAATGGCTGCAGGAGAGAAACCCCGATCGAATCAGCTTGATTCGAGTCAATGTCCCTCGAACACGGCTCAGGCTTACCTCGTCATTCAACAACATCAGATCAAAGGAAAACACCCCGACGATCACCTTGATATCCTCGACCCTGACATCCTTCTTCGCCCGGTTAGAAAGGTCCTGAAAGGTCCGGAAAGCGCCGGTATCCTTGTCCAGCGCGACGACTTCGGCGTCAATCACGAAGGACGTGATGTGCTTGGCGCCCAATAGTCCAAGCATAGTGTCATTGGCTTTCGTGAGGTGCGACGCTTCGGGGAAAGGATTCGATGATCCGGGAAGCAAAGGCCGATTGACCAGCGCGCCCATAAGCGCCAGGATGTCTGGATACTGTAGAGGTAAATCGTCAGTAAGTGTGCAACTCGAAAAGACATGACGACAGACTGACTGACCTTGTCCGTCATATCTTCCAGATGCCTGCGTATAGTACCATGGTTCGGGAAACAGTGAGCGCGAGGAGGAGAGGAGGAGCAAGAGGATGAGGAACAGAGCTCACCGGCTGAACAGCCGTACCCAAACGTTTCGACCGCCCTCAGTCGAGTACACCCATTTGCCGCCCCCGTCGTCGGATCCGCTGGGTCCCGTGGTCCTGACATGGATTTGGACTCTCTGCCCATCCAGCTTCGCTTCAGAAGTAAACGGTAAAGAACCAAGACGAGTATATACTTCGTTCAGCGATCGCGTGATGGAGCCTAGCATGGGGGATAGAGGAATCCCTTTGATGCGAGATGTCTCGTCAGCCTTCACTCATGCGATGTTCTCTCCGTTTGCTGCCTGACTTACCGACAGAAAGCGGAACTCGTTCCTCTAGATCGTCTAATCCGCCGTCCAGCAAGGCAGACAGTATATCATCGTAATTCGGATGACGGACGCTAAGGTAACCGTGTCGATGCGATCAGTAGCGAGACCAGCGTGGCCATAGTACGAGGATACTCACTACACTCTCCTCAGCACGGCCACGCCCTCGATGCATTTCCTCTCAAGCGCCTCCCTCGCTGGGTCTGGTTCGTCCTTTGCCTTGCCTTTGCCTCGTCCAGCTCCCTTAACAGGTATCGGCTTGACGTCGTCGAGTTCGTGCTTTGTTGCGTGTAAAGATTCGGAGAGCTCCTTGTTGTCCTTGGGACGATCGAGAACGAACGCTCGGGCCAGAGATGATAGCAGAGTCTGCGACCCAAACTCAAATCGTTAAGCAAAATACGGCCAAGTATAAAGCCCGGAGGAAGCGGTGGAGAGCGATACGACTTACCAAGCGAACCGCTCCTATGCGAAGATGTCTGACAAGTGTTCTTACGAGATATCTAACCTCTTCCCCCTTCGTTTGGACTAGCAGTCTCTTGACGATGTCACCTTTGGCCTTGGCTGCACCTGCACCTTTGATAGTCGAGATCTTCAACAGTTGTGAATAAAGCACATGCACAGACAACGGAGTGGGTGCCATCAGAGTACGAAGGTTCGACTGACAGGTACAATCGGATTGAGGATCAGTATACTTTACGGATGTCACCCCACGTCACGTACCCACCTTGGCTTCGAAAGCGACGTCCCCGGGATCGCCGTATTTGTCCCAAAGCCGTTTGAGAACGTCTCGTCCGACACCGCTGACCTCTTGAGTTGCCTTGTTCAAGACTTGGCTTCCGATGCCTAGCTCGAGTGGTATATAGGACGGTTTCAGATGATTTGATAATAGGTAGATTGTCGGCAGAAGATCTGCAGGAGAGCGGCGGATGAGGAGCCGAAGGAAGCTGGAGATGTGCATGAACGTTCAGCAGCAGACATCGTCTCAGGCTTTACGTCAAGACAGACTCACTTCGAGATGATCCTAACGATAGCTAGCCGACTCCTTGTACCTCCGACTTGGAGATAAACTCCCACTAACACTTCATAAGGCAATCGACCGGCGGGCCAATGACTAGTGTCGACAGCGTCCGGCCTGAAGAGGAACGGGTCCGTGTCGAAATCGAATGTTGGTAAAGTAATGTTTGCAGCTGTCGCAGAAATTGTTGGCAAAGGCACGACATTATCCCGATCGGATTCTCCACCCTTGAACAGGTCGTGCGTACGCCGCGGTTTCGAAGGCGAAGGATTCAGCGGCGCCGTGAGCTGGAGTAACTTGCTGGGTGTGCCAGGCGCCGATGTACTCCTACTGGAGGGTGGTGGAGTGGATAATCGGGGTTTCCTTCTCAAAGATATGTCTTTGTTGGTTGAGACTCCTCCGGACGGCTCAGGAGATGAAGATGCCTTGCGTTTCTTGCTCGAAGGCGTGGTGACGGCCCCGAGATCCGAGTCTGAATCGTCTACTTCGATGATGTTGTGATTCAGTCCTACGGGCTTTGCGACTGTCGCTTCCTGTGAGCTGACCTCAGGTGAACTGAGACGCGTCGTTGGCAAGAGACCGTTGGGAATGAGCTCGCTCGGTCCAGCTGCCGAAGGGAGCTTAGTCGGGAGACAGCTTTGGCCGACGACATCGTCGTCGGAAGAGTCGTCAATGCTGATGATCCCTTGATCTAGGCTCGATGCACCCCGCTCTCCCTTGCGGGTCTTCAGCTTGGATCCGGATACGATCGTTTCCGGACCCTTGAAAAAGGAGCTCAGACTGAGCTGCTGATGTCCGGCAGGGCGTTGTTTGCCGGACTTGGATTTGCCGATGGGCGACGATGGAGGTCCTTTTCCTTTGCCTTTAGGAGCTGTAGATGACCCAGTCATACCGTTCTCCTCCATGACAGATAGTTCGAGATGTCTCTTGACCCGAAGCAGGAGATCTACAGATTCTGGCCAAAGGTAAAGCCAGTATCAACCATCTAAACAGAAGCGTAGTCAGATTTCTCGGCTTGGTCCAAACTCACCCGTTGAATCGAGACGACAAGTGCCCAGAATCTCCTCCCGATCGATCGCGGCTCCTCAAACGGCTCAAAGCTTTCCTCGTATGTAGACGCGATAACTCAAAGTCTAAAGATGATCGATGGCCTAGACTGCCCCAGCGTTGGCAGAAGTGATGAAAGGCCGATTACCATGTTGTTATTCTGAATCGATCTCTCGATTCTACTCGTACTCTAGGGCGACATGACGAATCGTGATGATGTTCGGAAGCAAATGCAATGAGTGAGTGAGTGAATGAGCGACTGCCTTGGCGGTTCGGCTCACTAACGATCGATGATATCGCTACAGCAATGGCCGAGTAGCTACGACTGTACAGTATACAAGATCGTGATAACGAGATCTCTTACTCCTACATTGCACCGAGCTTGAAACCTCAAACTCTCTCACACCTCTTCGTCGAACTACGGGCTACTCGCGCCACTCGTGTCAGGCAAGCACCCGCATTCAAGTAGAACTCGATCACGCACAAACAATGGATCACGGCTCGAATGGCGGCATGAAGCACGGGCATGGAGGGATGGAAGACGGAGGGATGGATCATTCTATGCCTATGAAGTGTTCGGTGAGTTTGTGCTGTAGGTTCCGAACACGAGGGACGATCGCCTGATTGGGCGTCCTTTGAGATTCACAGATGAACATGCTCTGGAACTCTCAGATCAGTGGCACATGCGTCGTATTCGAACGTTGGAGTATACAAACTTGGTGGGGGATGGTTGTTTCATGGTATGTCTAGGTACGCTGGAAGAGTGATGCTGAATTGACGACTGACGCTCTATTCGACATGATGGGCTCTCTCCATCTAGTGCCGCTGTGACATTCCTCTCGTTCCTATACCTGCACCTCCTGCACGTTGCACAACAGCAAGACAAGCGAACGGCTATTCAGCTCTATCTCGGCCAGAGACCGGAGACTTCCCTCTTGATCAGGACCTCGGTACCAGCTCTCAATGCCGATCGAGACCACGACGGCTCGCAAGCCATCAGCCGATCGGAAAGTCCTTTGCCAGGTGGACGGAGCGGTAATCTCGGAATGTGAGTTGATCTACAGGACTGAAGCAGGATTCAATTCGGCTGATGATCTTGGTATTGCTCTCCCGTGCAGTCAGAAATTACCATCCTCGATCAGGCTCTTCAGGGCGATCCTATACGCGACTACCATGGCTCTCTCATTCTTTGTAAGTACCGCGGCGGAGAGGCTAGCGGGCTCGCCTGCAGGTGAGGTCTTGCTAACCGAGACCGCACTGTATCGTTGATAAACAGCTTATGCTTGTTGCGATGACGTATAACGTGAGTTCTCACAAGACTCCTGAAAGATCGAGCGTGAGCTGACATATCTACGACCTGCCGCTGGGGTTGATAGACGTACCTCTTCTTCTCGATCATCCTGGGCGGCTTCATTGGCCATTGGACGTACGAGAGCGAGATGAACGTCGGGTGAGCTTGATTGATTTTCTCTCATGGTCTTCCGCTGACATTTCCTTGTGCATCAACAGGGCGGTGATGAATGGCCAGCAGGTCAAAGGGTACGCTTGTCATTGAAAGATGGCGCAGATTGACGTTTGTAATGCAAGTGTATCACGGTCATACGAAGCGTTGGGCAAAGAGCTCAAAGTCCGAGAAGTACACCATCTTGGCCGTCGTTTAAACGCATGCCGATCATGTCACGATCATTCTCGCGGAGTGAAGTATGTCTCGGCAAGCGTCGATGGTCTGAATGTGAATTCGGCCACGTGATAACGCAGATGAGACCCAGAAGTCGGACGCCACCGTCGACGAGTATGTATCAACCCGGTCATCATCTCCTCAGAAGGACTACGGGGGGTCAACATGCATATTACCGCAAAAAGGCTAAAATCTTCGGGTGGCCAATCACGACTGTCTCGTCCTTGAGCCTGGATGAGTGGGTAGGCAAGGGTATCAGCGAATGCTCTGACGAACGCTCATCGGTCCCTGCTGGGACATGGAACATTTGCAGAACGAGGACCGCAATAAAAGCGGAACGGGAGACCCCGCTTCGAGGCCGACGGTAGCCATTCCTCCTCGACTGAGTCTGATTTGCCGACGTCCGCCGTTCTTATAAGGGCTAGCTTTCGGTAATGAGCTCTGGAGCCGGCAGGTCTTCAGAATATTCAGCAAGCGGACGCTGATCAGGTTGCTGGATAAAATTGTTCCAGAAGGTCTGAAACTTTCGCGCGCAACATTAAACCTCGAGAAGGTGACTCCTTGCTCCTTGCGACCCTTTCATCATGAAGCAAAGCCATGATCGCCATGAATCATTCAGCCACAGGGCGAGGGGTCGCGCGTGATATTCGAACGAGCGGCGCTGGAATGACTGAGTGGCTATAATGATGGTTATGTTTGCGATTGGGAGATTGATATAAGAGGGCAGAGCAGGGTGGGCAGCAAGGTCGACGATTCAGGCATCAAAGAGACTTCACCACGACAGGCGCAAAATACACATTCGGCAGCGAATAAACGGTTGAAATATAATAAAAAGAAGTGTCAATGTTCTGGAAGGGCAACGGCCACAGCTCTCCAAAAGTCGAATGTCCAGAGTCCGAGTCGAACGCGCGAGCATTGGGCTTCACTCGACCGCTTTGATGATGCCGTCCCGAATATCATCTGCGCGCCTCCGTGTTCCCTTCCGCTATCGCGCGGTGTCGTGGCGAAATGCTGTAAAGCGGTACAACAAAGGCGACATCGCGCAAGAGGAATATGGCTTACAGGTTGTTGTTATCCGAGAATCGCATGCAAGGTCTTGACATCCCTCCGGCTTTATCCAGATACTGATATGGCAGGAAATCCCTCCGGTCTCAACTCGGGCTGGCTGGCAGAGATCGAGTACAGCATGATGAGGCTCGTATGTATGTGCAACACGGACGGCAGTTGTGATTGCTGACAAGTATGTGCAAGAGACTCGGCCATTATGGGCTCGTACAGGAAGGCTATCAATCAACCTGGGGACGCGTCCTTTTCCGGCAACATCGCCTCCTCGCAGATCCTGGATCTGGAGACTTCCTTTGCAGCGCGTAAATGGCGGATCGTCTTGATGGCCGGTTGGACCGCCTGACGTGCTTTGTTCTACTGATAACGCAGCGGAACAGTGCTTTGGCCGAGTATGGATTCACGAAGAACAGGTCGACGGTTTTTCTCGACGCTGTGTTACGGAGGCAACCGGACAACATCTGCGCGATAATGGGTTACGTCGGGAGCGAACACATGCGCCTGCCAATGGTACTGGATGCATACTACAGGTATGTGTCATGCAATAGGCAGCTTACTGAACCTTACTGACAAATCGACAAACCTATCCGCTTCCTCTATAGAGACCTTGATCCTACTCAGATTCACCACTCCCGAAAGCAGTGTGAACCTCAGCGGTCAGAACATTGGTACCAATTAGTGGGAGCTATGATCATGGATAGAAGGGCCTCTAGTTCTACTGGTATCTTGGACTATCTTATCCTGATTCGCTTGTACGACCGGTTCTTCAAATGCCCTTTCACGTAGATTTTGTCGTCTGTCAACTTGCGAAATCGTCCTCTCGCCCTCTCGACTAGCGCGACGACAAGTTGATCACGATGACCGAAGTGATATGATCTCGGATGCTTTCGATGTCTCATACATGCCGTAAGCGTGACGTGTCATTACAGTCACGTGATGCTGTATGCCTCCATGGGCGGGTGACTCGGCCAGCACCGATCGAGCTCTCGCCTCTCTCGCCATCGATCGACTAAACAGCTCAGTACTAGTACGTCTTCTTGCTTCTCTTCGACTCGAAACACCTTTGATTCTTTGACCTTTAATGCCCTTTCAGCCTTTCAAAGTCGTTAGAGAACCTTGATCTCGAAAAAAGTCGGCGAACCAGACAATCGGACAGGGTTCCGAAGAGACACGCAAGCACTTCCATAACAACCTCCTCGGGCCGTTGCCACGAACGAGCATTTCCTCTCTTCCAATCTCGCTCTTCGACCTGAATCAAGCATGGCCACGACATTGAAAGCGTTTCAACAAGAAATTTCCTCGATTTCTGATCAGAAAAAGGCGGAACACCTTCGAGACCTCAGACAGGCTCAACAGCAAGCCGTTCACGGTCATGGGCATGGCAAGTCTACCTCGTCGACAGGGACGAACAAGATAAGCGGAGCTGCTGTCAAGCCGAAGACAGTCAAGGACAAGGAAAAGGAAAAGGTGGGAAAGGCGGAAGAGGTGAAGGCTATACCTGGCGATGTCAAGGAGAAGAAGGATGGGGAAGAGGAAGACGCGGTCATGGACGTTCCGGATGTCTCGATCGAGGTGAGCAACTACACTTTTCGGTATTGGTTCTCTCCGGTATCCTGATCAACAGCTTATCGTGTCTTGTAAATGCTTCTACAGGACCTCTTGCACGATACCTCCTCTCCGACTTCCACTGATCCCGACCCGCTCCAAGCAAAGCTAGGCAGTCTCCTCGTGATGCAACACGGCGAGCTCATTCTTTCGCTCGGTCACCGACCGTCAGCAAACGCTCTGTTCGGCCCTGAATCAGGAGCTGCGGGCAACGGACCTCCTCATCCGTCCACCGAACCTGGGTCAGGGTCACCTACAAAGTCGAAATCCTCGGCGGCCTTGAACGTAGACTCGGCGGGATGGATAGGCAGGCCGGTAGACAAAGATTCGTTGGAAAGGATGCTCAGCCGACTCCGAAGCATAGCCGAAAAGTTTCAGGCGGTACTCACCCAGCTCTACATACACCACGAGGACGACCCGCCCGTCCCTACCATCAGCACCCCCTCCAATTCCCCTACGACGACCAGTACCAACATGTCCCGCCAGGCGAAGGGTCCTTATGGATCGTGGATGATCCGTATCAAGCCTGCTCGGGCGGAAGAGATCATCGAGGTCAGGTGTGCGGTGGTGGGGAATGTAGATTCGGGCAAGAGTACTTTGACGGGTGTCCTGACCCGGGGTGGATTGGACGATGGGCGAGGAAAGGTGAGTTTAGACAATGCAAGGCGGTCGAGGCGTATGATTTCATGAAGCTGATTAACAGATGTTTGCGGGTAGACCCGAGTGGCGTTGTTCAGGCACAAGCACGAATTGGAGACCGGTCGAACCAGCTCGGTCGGACTTGAAGTGAGCCATATCCCAACGTTCGTCTTTTTCGCAAAGACGCCCAAACTGACTTTTAGCCATCGTTCTCCCTTGCAAGATCCTCGGTTTCTCGCCTCAATGCGATCCTGTTGTCCCGACTGGACACGCAGCTGCCAACCTCGATGCCTCGACGACCGGATCGACGGTCGCGAAAAGGGAGAAGATCGCCTGGGACGAAGTGTGTAGCAAGGCTGCCAAGGTGGTCAGCTTTATCGATCTGGCTGGACATGAGCGGTAAGCCAGGACAACGTCTGGTCTTGTGTGGGCTGTAGGCATAGCGAGTCAAGCTGATATGTCGGGTCGACAGGTACCTCAAGACGACGTTGTTCGGGTTGACAGGATGTTCGCCCGATTACGTCTGTCTCATCATAGGTGGGAATGCGGGTCTGATCGGGATGAGCAAAGTACGTCATCGAAATTGTTGAGCGCTGTGGAAGATCCACTTACTTGACCACACGCCGGAACAGGAACATTTGGGGGTATCATTGGCGCTCCAAGTCCCGATTATCGTGAGTTATTGGTCTGAGACGTCTTCGCAAGATCCGAAGCTGATGATCATCTCGCATCGAACAGATCTGTGTGACAAAGGTAGGCAGGACCCAATTTGACCTCCGTGCCACCAGCTGATCGTCAATATCACGCAGATCGATATGACCCCAGCGCATGTTTTGGAGCAGACGGTGAAGCAGCTCGTCAAGGTTTTGAAGAGTCCCGGTTGCAGGTGAGTTCGTTTGGCGTCTTCCCTGTGCAAGATACATTCACTGACATATGCCGCACCGCTCGCAGAAAGATACCAGTATTTGTCGAGTCGATGGAACAGGCGGTGAATTGTGCATCGTATTTGCACTCTGAGCGGTAAGTCTCTCTTCAAGCCCTGGACAACTCAAGAAAGGCTGACATCCGGTCTTCGCCTGCTCTTGCAGGATAACACCGATCTTTATGATGTCCAACGTCACTGGAGCGGGTCTTCCCCAGCTCAAGACGCTTCTCAATTGCCTGCCTACGAGTCAGGGAGGGTCCAAGTACCTCACAGACGCGCCACTCGAGTTCAGCATCTCGGATGTGTTTAGCGTGCCGTTCGCTGGAAGCGTGGCCGTGAGTGTAGTAATCTTGCGTGGTGATATGGGGGTGCTAGGCTGACCGAGACCGCCAACCACAGTCCGGTATTGTCGTTTCTGGAAAGGTCAAAGGTGAGTCGCTGCGGTCCTCCGCACATCAGCGGCCCTTGCTGATTTTCATGAACCTAATCGGCAGTCGGCGACAATGTCCTTCTCGGGCCGGATAGCCTGGGACAATTCATACCGACCAGCATCAAGTCAATACAGAAGAAACGAGTCGACGTCGAGACGGCGGAGGCGGGGCAGAGTGTTTCGTGAGTCGTCTGATAGAAAACCCTTCGACCTGTCTCGATCCGCCCTGACCGCTGCGCCTCTATAGCTTTGCATTAAAGAAGGTCAGGCGTTCCCAGCTTCGAAAGGGCATGGTGATACTGGCCAAGCAAGAGCCGCCGCCCAAAGCCATCCGCCGGTTCGAAGCTCAGATGCTCGTCCTCTACCACAACACGACAATACAGCCTCGTTACCAGGCCATGTGCCATATCAACTCGGTTCGACAGACCGTGAGGATCGTCTCGATAGACCATCCGACCGGAGTCCTTCGAACGGGTGATCGGGCCAAGGTGATCTTCGAATTCATCCAGGCTCCCGAATATATCAGTGCGGGGGCCAAGGTTTTGGTCAGGGAGGCTAGGTGTCGATTGCTGGGTGTGGTGACTGATGTGACTAGGTGAATAGCGAGGCGGACGTCAGATGTAATTACAGCAGTGTCAAGCAAGTTTGTATCATAAGCCAAAAGCGCTCTATAAAACTCGTTGTAACTTCACCGACAAAGCTTAGATGAATGGACCTATAGCATGCCATAAGATGTCGCTCATATGCTCGACAAACTGGGGCCCATGGGCACAGGAGATCACGTCTGATCTTGTGAAAGTGCATGTCTAGGTGTGTGTCCTGCGGAAAGCGGCAAACACATTAGCCAATCAAATGAAACACGAGTCACGTGACCCCTACTTAAAGATCGCGCAAAGGTGCGTTGTGCACTCCACCACGTACGTATATTCGACTCGCAACTCGCATCACGATCATCAATCACCCTCGCACCCTCGCCTTTCTCTTTTTCCTCATCACTCGTTTATCGATCTATCTGGCTACATCTTTTTTGATGCAATGTCTGTGTGATGCGAGCCCCCCTTAAGGATGGGACGGGTTTATTAGGTGTTCCTCCGAAACCCATGGAAGAGAAGACCCTATTTGCCTGGCTGGCGTCGTTTACCTGTGATAAGTTTGGGCACCCGGGGGCTGGTTTGAATTGGCAAAAGCTTTGGGGCGAAAGCGATCATTTGGGCACAGCTATTATTTGGGAGACGGCTATGATTTGGGCGACGGCTATCATTTGGGCGAAGGCTATAAATTCGGGGTGGATTCGTCGAATTCGCGTGTTTGTATGCTCACGTCGCTTTCACCGTCGCAAGTGTTCGGTCGTAAGTGCCCGGTCGCACTCCCCCTTTCTATACGCTTACATCTGCTTTGGTCCATGTGCTTGATAGCATCTCTCCTTGGTCTTCGTTTTTGGTTCTTCGCTGCGGATAGCTTGTGAGTAAGCCGTGTTTCCGTTCTCCAACACGGCACTTTCCCGGGGGAAACGCTGCCATTTTTTTTCCCGATCAATGGACGTGACCGCTTACGTCTGCTTTGGTCCGTGTGCTCGATAGCTCTTACCATCTACACATAGAATGACTCTTGTAAGTCTCCAGCCCCGGTTTACAAGAGCGAAAGAGTCGTCTTTTGTCCGAACACAGGGGAGATGCTGCCGGACGCCGCCACAACCCGGAAGGGAATAGGTTGGGCGTGGGCTGAGTGGTAGAGATCGTCCACCCGGTTGTCACTGTCCGTATCGCCCGGACCTCGTTCGATCAGTGCCCCGTTGTCCCGCTCGACCAAGGAGATCTACCCGTCCCTCGAGGTGCCGATCAGGTGGATCTCGTCGAGATCTTGCCCGAAACTTTATCTCAACCGCCTTCCAGCCCTGCAGTCGCCCTCGGCTCTTGATGGCCGATGATGTCCCATGGAAGATCAGGCCGTAAGGCGAGAGGTCTGGCCGATCGACATCAGTATGCGGTCGTTCCGTTACAAGTACAGTAGATGTCATATGTCAAATCAACAACCCAGCCGGACCTCAGTACAATTGCTTTGGTGACAATCCCGAACTCTATACCATGGCCATGATCGCGTCACGTAGGAGGCGTTCTACGAATACCGCATCGAGCTGCCCAGGTGAAGTAATCAGCACTGCGTCCATGTATGTAGCGACGAATCAAGCGACTTGCCGGTATCTCACTACCATCATGCAGCTTGTCGACATTCGGTGTGTCTGCCATCGTCAGCCAGACGTCCGAGGCGACTTTCGTATCGTTCCACTATCGAGACACGTGGTGTCAGGTTCAGCATACTGAGACTGGTACAACACACGGTCTCGATGCTTACGACTGGAATGTATCGGTGCCCGAGAGCTCTAGTCAATACGTCAAAGTCTCGTATAAAGGCTGTTGGGCGAGATGGAATCAGCGTCTAGACCGTTCGCTCAGCTCGCCAGATCGCCATGACCTACCGGTCGGGGCCAAGATCTGTTTCATGTGGCAATTGTCCCGATCAGCCGATTCTTCCAGGCTAAGGCTCGATTGACATGCCTCACCTCGATCAGTGTCAATCCTGCCCGTGACCACAAACAGTGGGCTGTCGTTTCAGTGCAGGATGAGTGTCAGCATGGCCACGGAGGTGCTGCTCAGAGTTCCACTTACTCATTCCCATCCCATGCACGCCGATCAACACCTATACGACGCAGATGTCATCAGGAGAGTATCGCTGCCCGATTGACGTTGCACTCGGGTGACTCACGTCTGCATTGTGGACGACCTCCATCTGCTCTCGCACCGCCATGTGCTCGAAACGGGCGATCTCAACCAGAACGTGCGTCGCCTTGCCGTCCTTCCGTCGGAATGACTCGCCGGCCAGCTTGTGCAACGCGGTCTGTAGGCCAAGCTCGCTCCTTTCATCGAGTTTCCGATCCGTCTCTTGTCGGCTGACGTAGACAACCTTGACCTGCGATGGGGACAAAGCTTTGGGTTGACCGTGGGAAACTTCCCGTACAAGTGGCACGGCAGCGAGGTCCAGAGATTCGAGGAACCGTTGCTGCGGGTCGAGCCAGAAGGGGTAGTCACTTGAAGGTTCGGGCAGATCGAGCGCCTCCATAGCCATCTTGTTCCAAATCGATGCCGGGGACGATTTGTTGTGATGAGCTGCGTGCCTGTCAACGATGATGACTGCAAGGTCGAGGCGAGCTTAGGTGCAGCGCCTTGAGAGCGAGTCGAAGGAATGGCATCGACTGCGAACTCACCCCGTTCGAACATTCGCCAATCGCCGTCCGCGTTGAGTGCTCGCCAAGCATGCGTCCGCATCAGATCTATATCGAGGGCGACATGAGCTTTCTCCGTGGTATGATAACCCCTTGCTACTCACCGATCGCACCGAATATCGTCTTCACCACCATCTCTTGTAACGTCTTGCCCTCCCAGTCGGTGCAGAATGGAAAGATGATCCGTGCAGGCGGTTCGAGCCGGGTCGAATCGAAAGCTTGAAGTTCCGGCCGAGACGACTCAGAATGGTCGGCAGTAGGCGGGTTTCCTGATCTCGTTGATGTGAGGTCTCTCAGCTTGTCTGGTTCGTGACCAAGGTAATATACCCCGCCAGGAGCTGAGTCCTGTGGAGTAGCCCGACGTGGTAGATTGCTGAGGCCGAAACTCTCATTATCCCGCCTGGCGACTACGCCGTCGTACAGCGGCTCAGTCCGTTCGACGACCGAATAGGTGTGGTACGTCCCGATCATCAGCTCGGCGGTGAAATGGCTGCAAATAGGCACAACGAATGTAAGTCAAAGCTCGTCCAGTCTGTTGATCGTGTGAGCTCCGGTACTTACAAATAGTGATACATCAAGCTACCCCATCCCGTTATTTCAGGGTCATCCGCCATGTAAAACTATAGATCCAAGTCAGTACGATACACGGAGAGAAAGAGAGAGACAATCATGTACGTAAACTCACCGTCGTGCCTGGTAGCACCTCGACCGAGTTAGGTGAAGTAGAGGCTCGCCACCAACGGTTCGGCGAAGGAACAGGCTCGGACTCATTCCATCCTGGTATATCTCGAGCCGCCTCGTCGGTCGTCAATACTCTCAGTCGTGGCAGTTCTGGGTACCGTCCACCGCTCAGACTTGCAGCTACTTTATGGTAGGGAAAGGGCTCTAGGGTCGAGCTCTGTGGCGAGTTCGGATGGGACGTTACGATCGTTTCGAGAGCCGGGAATTCCGGTAGGTTTGGGTTCTGTACCAGGTCTGAACGGAAGCCAGGAAGGGCACGAAGCCATATCAGGGTTCAAGCACGGGAAGGTCGAAGGAAAGGTAATCAAACGATGATGAACACGATATAACTCACGTATCACCTGGTTCTTGACGAACACGTTGTCAAAAGTATAGAAGCCATCCGTCCCACCGACTAGCCGAGTGTACCTTTGGCTACGTTCAAGCATATGCCATTTCGAATGGTCGGTACTCCTGATTCTCCCTTGAGATGTACGGTGCCATTGAGCGACCAGAAATACCACGGCCACGGCGATGAATGTCACGGCATAGTAGCTATAGCGACGTCCGAGACGGGAAGACGTTGCGAATGCGAACATCCTCCCAAGCTCACAGTAGGTAGTCAGTACCGAGGTTCTCATGGATGGTGATCGAAGTTGAAGGTTGCAACTGACATGCGAGCATGAGTTGGTCGTTAACGGGATGTAGCTAGACTCCTGGGTCACGTGACGAGCGCGTGCGCGCGCGGACCTTGTACAGCTCCCTTGCGCATGGACCACGAGACCTATGCAAAGCTTGAGGACTTAGAGGTGACCGAAATTTCAACAAAAAGCAAGGGCACACCCAGTTTGGACTTCAAAAATGTAATCAGGAGGTAGAAATGAACATTTTGTTGCGTTTCCAGTTTTCTCCAAACTTGTAATCGGCAGGTTATAGCCATGTGAAATTTTCCAATCGATTCCTATGGGCCTTGATAGATTGTGGTGGAACTGGAAACGCAACAAAATCTTCATACAAAATCTACCTCAGCAAGCCTATAGCAAGAAAAAAATATGTTCTCCTGATCGTTGTTGAGCTTTCAGCAATCTAGTCCTCGTAGCCAGCTAAATCTGACATGTTTGGGCGTTTCGACGCGCGCGCTAAGCGCGGGTTCACCATCCCTCATCGGTAAACAGGTCATGCTACCAGAAGGAGCGTTCACAAGTTACCAATCTACGTTGAGATCATAGACGTATAGCCTCGTTCGAGTTCATTACTGGCGAGGTCGGGTGGATCGAGGACGGTTCGATCCCTGCTGCTTCGATTTCTGTCGATTCGCTCCAGGTCGGCATCAAGACGTCGACCATCCCTTTCAACCCACCATTCCGTCTCCTCAGTTCGATCCCCTGCCTCAGCCAGATCGCTATCGTCTCCTCAGCCCGATGGACCTTACACCTCAGCCTGATTTTGCTCACCGCACCAGACACTTCAGCGTCTATTTGGCAGTACGCCGTCTCCAGCTCGAAAGAATAGCTTCTTCGTTGGTATCGGCCATGACGAGCTGCAACCTCGATTCCTCCGTGCGTGATGGCCTCCCGGCCAGATTCATCTCGAACCAGACGACTCCGTCGATGGACATGGTCAAGCGGGATCGAAGCGCCTTCGAGGTGCTGGAAGGTATAGACAGCAACAACGTAGAAGATCAGGAGCAAGAGGAGATGTAATGATATCACACACTTGTATCAACCGGAGGCTCGAATAGCAAACCAAAGGTAGCGGTCATAATTTTTCGGGGGATCTACGCGCGTGCTGTTGTTCGACCGGGCCTGCAGGACCGATGACCCGCAAAACATATAACATCGATCACATGACTTGTTACGTATCATATCTAACATGCTTGTTCTTTCGCTCTTGCCCGTCAAAGTCTTCAAGATCGGAAGGGCTGGCTTTGCGGGTCGCAGGCACGACATGTGGCGGTCCAGGGTCTTTGCCGATCTCGTACCGATCCGAATGATCGGACGGAGGAACATCCAAAATTTCAAAGTAATCCGAATGATCGAACGGGGGACCATCCAAAATCTGAATGTCGTCCGCGCTGTCGAAGGGACAACTTTCCAGAATTTGATAGTCATCCGGGCTGTCGACCGATAATGGAGTAAGCTCAGGAGGTGGAGCAGGTCGAGCAGAACGGCAGTTGCAGATCTCGGACGAGGCGTATTTGAGAGCCTCGCGGTAAGCAAAACCCACTGCAGCAGCCTTATATACACTGGTACCGTTGCCTAGGATCCGGGAGTGACTTTGGACTAAGCCGTAGACAGCGTCGCGGGCAGGTGTCAGCGGCGGATCGGCCAGTACTGGGGAGTGCGTTCTGGGGCAACTGGACTCACCTTTCGCACGATACTGGCCATCGGCCAACTCAGTGATGGACGCCTCGACATTATTGCACGATAGTTTCTCCCTCAGCTTTGTCGCCGCAGACGCATCAGGAATTTCCGCCAGACGATCCAGATCGTATGCCCCGACGAATCGGGTGTAGAATGGGATGCAGAGATTTTCAAAAACCTTTCTTACCATCCCAAACCCTTCCGCATATCCGCCCTTGCCCTGACTAGCATCAATCCAGATTCCACCGAACAGGAGATGAACGTAATAGGACACTCGGGGGACCCTTTCGATCTTAGTCCACCCTAGGTCGAGTTCCGTCTGCGTTATCGTAGCCTTCTTCAGCTCTGACGCAAATTCCCTCGTTTCGTTGGTAGTATAGAAGAGGTCATCGAGTCCGCTGGTTACAAATAGCCCGGCGAAGGACGTCTGAAAAAATGCGGTGACCGGTCAGATAGGCGTATACGGAATGCGTTATCAGGAAACTACAGTCTACTGCGAATACTCACATCTGACCACATGACCCTCCTCCATACCGTCAACTCGCCCGGTGAAAGCTTGGGAGTACTACCCTGCTCAATAAGATACCCCATCAACACATACTCGAAGATGGCCCCGCCCAGCGCATTCAGCTTGGTGGTAGTGGTGGGGTCCGGGGAGTCCTGAACGCGAGAGACTTAGTCAGATCTGGATCGTCGTGGTTGGGTGACCCAATCAGAAACCTCACAAGTAGCAGGCCGAGGATTCTACGATCGTCAAATCGGTAGCCTGTACAGTGACATGAAGGCGGAACGCTTCGTTAGCCAGATATTAGGCTTGCCGGTTCATGCGAGCGTGAGTACCTGTAATCCGTTCAAACTGATCGACATCCTGGCCACTCGCCGAAGATCCCAACGGCAGGAGATTCTTTCCTGTGATATCCCCAAAGGATACGGGAGTCCCGAAGGCGCTTGGGAACAACCTCCTGCATACTTCCATCAAAATATTGGGATCTCCCACTCGGTCGACCACTCCCACAAGAGCCTCGGCGATATCGGCGATGGACTATTGAATCAGCATGGGTGAGCCTTGACCTTCGCGTATGGATAGCAGTCGTGCTGACCTTTTCAGCCAGCAAATGGGGTTTATGCTCTCTTGAAGATCCATCGGCATGTCCGCAACCCAAAGGAAGGAACCTACGAATATCGACAGGGTTATGCATCACATAAGCCACAGCTCCACACTCCCGCATCCCGCAGGTAAGGGGAACATTGTTTGTGATGTTGCGGACCCTCTTACCCATTTCACTAGATTGTGAAGTGGGGCAGAGAAAATATTGGTAGGCTGTAGCAACCAACTTCCAATATGTATCCCCTGCAAATTCCAACACCTCACAATCCATGTATCTCATGGTTGCGGATGTGGAGAGTCCGGCTAGGACGTCGAATGTATCTGCGCAATTACCCAGATACTTTGTGTTAACCTCTTGCGCTAGCAAGAGGCTGTCGATCGTCCACATAATCCATGGCAACATGTGAGCCGAGTGGTAGATGCTAATCGATCCTTCCTGTTAGTGCGAGAGCATTCGAAAGGACACAGTCAAACAGCAACAACTCACCTCTTCGAAAAACTACTGAGCGGTTCGGTCGCGGGATCGATGTCTGCAAAGGCAAACGACGCAAAAGCGATCAATGATCGAGTCTCAAACCTATTCTGCTTCTGCCGAACATAGTGACTCACAGCAAGTCGTGGTGATGATCACACCGCGTGTAGGATCCCAAAAGTCCGGGATCTCACGCAGTTCGAAGACTGGACCGCTGACGTTAGACATCTTCGATCGAACCCGAGCCTGTTCCTAATGGGGAATCTCAGTCAATTTTAGTTCGACTCTTAGGAATGGAAATGACTGACTTGAGCCTGTATGTCCTGGCGAATAGCAAAGACCTCGTGGTGCTGGCGGCCAATGATGTAGACGGCTTCTTTTGCCAGAGCCCCGCTTGATTCAAAGCGGCCTGCCATCCGCTTGTCGCTTGAGACGCCTGCTTTAATCTCACTCCACGCCAAATCGAGACCCCTAGGTCGTCCACAAGCATCCGACATGGTCCAGGCGCTCGACATTGGTAGGACGAGATACGGCAGCGCGTGCTGTTGAAGTTGTTGCCGTCGTGGGAGAGAGAAGAGTTTCAGAGTGTAGACAATAGCCGTATTGACTTGAGCCCGATCCAGATTGATGGCATCGCGCGCTTCAAGAACGGCGTCGACTATGACGACGTTTTTGCAATTTGGCAGCGGTCGACCCATGGGGAACGAGAAGGCTTTCGTTGTCAGGATGCACATCGTCCTGCACACAGAGAGTCTCGTAAGTGATTATGTAGGCTTGTACTTCGTATGTGCTACCTAGACGTACCTGTATGTCCGTCTGCCAACGACTCCGGTACGGATTGGGCACTCGATCCTGCATAGCGTGGCGAAATAGTCACCCGCTGACAAGGTACATCCCTCCCAGAATTGTGGTTTTGCAGCGTCGTTACTGCGGCGGGGCAGGGGTCGTAGCAGCCGACCGCTCGGAAGAGGATCTCCGGGTCGAACAGATTGGAGAGAAGGTCCGGGTTGATCTTTCAAATTCGAGAGAGCCGGGCGTGCTGGCGCATCAACGTCGACGATTTCAAACCGCTCATCCAGCCATCCGGCCATATAGAGAGCAGCAGCAAAGGTGATATAGGCTAGATCGCCACCTCTTGCCGCGCCAGTATCCGACAGGATCGGACCTAGACCCATAGCACCTGGACCTGAATCCTTAGCACCCGACGTAATGAGTGTGAAGGCTAGGGCATTCTTGGCTTTGTCCTGGAGTCGAGAAGGTTCCTCAATGATCCTCGTGGTACAGCCTCTCCTTGTACAGACCTCCTTGATCAATCCCGCCGCATTTGTAGCAGTGAGAACCGCACCGCGGCCGTTGGAAATCGTCATGCGGCCTTTGATCCTGCTGGCCATGCTGACTTCGGCGACACTGTCCTCTCCAAGGCGACTCGCTGTTATTGACCGACCGAACGGACCTGTGGGTAGGTGGAGGGAAGTCAGTAGAGTTGCAACGGGAAAAAGGGTCGCTGCATACGGACCTTGATATGTCACCGCCTGCCTGTCTTTGATCTGCGGGATACCTCTTTCAGGCAGCCCGAGATCTGTTTGCGATCGTAGTGGGATTTGTTGTACTTTGGAGGGAATGGGATCCAGCGTATGAGCGACCTCGGGTTCGTTGTCTTCCGACTCCTCCCGCATACGGAAGACATAGAACCGGTGATCTAGCTTTCCCTCCTTTTGTAAAGGGATGGTTCGCGCTGCTTTCCCACCAACATCCTCGTAGCTATGGACGCCGTTCGAAATACGTCAGCCGTGTCCCTCATGAAAGCCGCCTGCCTGGATTCTATCGGATACGTACTGTACGACATTACAGGTCGGCAATTCCCACTGACAGTCCTCAATCGCAGGGGCGACGATGACGTTGTGACTCGCATCATGAAACTTGATCGCCAGCCTTCTTGCCTTTGCGACCCGCTCCGTAGTATCAGGAGCTGCAATCTGGGTCGTCATACTCGCCACGCGGAGGTCATTGGCTTTCAGGACCTCGGTGATGGTGTCGACGAGAAGATCGTCTTTGACTACGGACAGCCGAGTCGCAAAAGAGATAATTTGATGCAATCACCAATCAGCAATTGTACCGCCTTTTAGACACAAGCAGCTGGCCATCAAGGACGGCACGTTGAAGACTTACCGATTAACAAACACTTCCATTTGCCTTCCGCCCCCCCTTCGTCCGCTTCCCGTTCGAAACGTTTGAAGAGCTGCAACAGCTTGCTCATCTTGTCGTTATGTATCGACCCCTCTTTTTTGGCAGCCCGAACGTACGCCCCGATGTTTTCGAGGGCCTCCCGTTGCTTCCTCTCACTGATGGGCACCCCGTTCTCGCTCGGCGCACGGACCGTCTCGGCTTCCACCGGTCGACTGCTTCCCTCGCTATGTACCTTGTCTTCATCAGAATCTAGAGCTGGAGCCGATCCATCCTCCTGCTTGTCCTTCGGCTGTCGGTTCAGCTGGTAGGTCTTTCTGAGGTAGGAAACGGCTCCTGCCGGCCCTAACTGACAGGTGACCCTCCTCAATCCTGTTGAGATCGACCTTCGAGTCGTAGTCGCAGCTCGATCCACATCCTCATACGGCACTATCACCCCCTTCCTTCCCCCATCATCCGGCTCATTGTTATCGATCGTCTCGAACGCGTCGATCACCGCATCATCGATCTCCCCGAGCAGGTCGTAAGCTTGTTGATGTTTGGCTTCATGCCGTTCGTGGTAAAGTACGAACTCGTCCGGAATGCTTAGGAGATCGGAGTGATATCGTTCCTCATTTCCGGATAGGGCTTTAGTGTTTCCATAGAATTCGTGAGCGGGCATTACGTTGGTACCGATAAGGTCTTGTTTCAGATGGTCGTGATCGGAAAGGTATCGTTTCAGATGGTCGTGATCTCGTGATTGTAAAGGTCGTGATGGGTAAGGTTGTCGTACGCAGCCGTCCAACTATAAGGGACGATGCGTCGACGCTACCGATGTTGTATCAGATGCATGAAAGGATGAGAGCTCGATATCGATGATGTCTGATCGATCACATAGATACTCGTCAATTGCGTTGCGATGACCGAATTCACTAAAGTCGAAGTTCCAGTGGTAAGCTTCCGAAAGGTAAGCTTCCGAGGAGCTCTGCTTCCGATGATGTTTGCCTCCGACTCGCGTTCAAAGGGTGGCTACATGACTTGTGTCCAACGGACCTGGGCGCATGTAGAACGGAACAAGAAAGACATGAGGTCAGGTTTACCTGAGAAACTCCCCAGGCTTGATGTAGGTTTTGTAGACTCATGCTGCATGCCGAAGTGTAAAGTAACAATCAGTGTAGTGTTGCGAGGGCCTGGGGGGGGGAAATGACTCACACAGCAGTCTTACGATTTGGTCACTGAGTTATCTTTTTGCGTTGGCTCCCTTCTTTTTGCCCTTCCCGTCGTCAGCATCGTTCACCAGAACGATCGACGATATCCGGGTACAGGAATACCAAGTTACTGCTTGATGCTTCCCGGTCCCCACAGCACCGGACCTTACATTCATATGCAAGTCAGTCATCGTGTCATACGCGATACTGTTCTTGGGCCTCGATCCGGTAAGGGTAATGACGCTTTTGTGGTTTCCGCTCAAGATGATGAAGGTACACCTGCATCGTACAATACTCCCAGGTCGATTGGTTCCCTGCATTATGGACATCCCCTGGCGCGCACCTTTGTTCTTATAAAATTGTAATTGAGATTGTTGGCACCCATAGTCTGTCGACCTTTGCGCCAGAGCCCTACGAATTCCGAGATCAAGGACGAAAGGCAAGCGAATCCACTCCGATCGAGCTATTTGCGATACTTCCAAATGATCGATTAAACAAGAGGACCGTCCTCAATTTGGATTGCCTTTGCTCTACCAACGAGGAGCATGAGCTAGCAGAAGAGCTCGGCAAGATTGGACGCCTCGACCTCGAAGGCAAACCCGAAGCTCGCGCCGACATGTGCAAGAAGGGCAAGCGAAAGAGGGTGGACCCATCGCCCGTGCTCAACCTAAAAACCATTCCGACCACGCTTCCGGATACACGACAATGACAAGCTTTTCGCCCGAATCTCTCATGCCGAATGTTGTTGCCGCTCACGATCAAGCCCGGTCACTCGTTCTACTCGACCAAGCGCGCGCTCAGCAGGAAACTCGTGAGAAGCAATGCACTTGAATTTGAGCGCCAGGCAAACGTCTACATGAAAAGTATCCTTATAGGGTTCACTTCAGGGCAAGACCTCTCAGGCGATCATGGTACTTTTTCTGCTCAAGCATCACTCGTTCGAGATTTCAAGAACACACAATGACGCGGAACCACAAGCGGCGTGGCCTCAACCGCCACCATGTTTCAATCCAAGCGCGCTTATCTCTACGAACAGAAGCCTGTCGTTCCCATCCGTCAAGCCCGATCGCGTAGCAATATTTCTTGGTCTAGCTGTTCAATCCGAATTACGCCGAGCCTCTTTCTGCGAAAGACAACGATGCTAGCCTCCGAGCTATTGTGTCTCCGTACCTGCCTCATCTAGTCATCGGCTCCCCTGCGCTTTTCGACGAGTAGGAAAGTGATACCAGCAACTTTGTCGATCCTGATAGAATAACGCTCCTGTCATCGGCCCTAACAACCGTGAAATGAACTGGTTCTTCAGATACGATGCCTCTAGGGAGGTGGTTCCGGAATGATTTCAAGAGCAGCTATTGGCACAACGAAGTATCATCTTGACGGTGTATCAGGTCGGTCCCTTCAGCCACTGGTGATGCTGTTCTTACATCTGGTGACAACGTCTCACGCTGTTGTAGACCGTCTTGGATCAGTACGATGCAGTCGCTTCTTCTCTCTTCCAAGAACGTCCCTCAAAGCACTATCGAGCCGAGTTCACAAGTTCGCTGAATACAGCCTTATCGTCGCGGATGAATTGGGCAACCTCAAGAACCCCACCACTGTTCGGACCGGTGTCTGTTCCAGGAGCTCGGCGGATCTGTTTCATGTGGGGTGAGGCGAAGATAGACCCGCAAACGGCCGCGTCCAACAGTCCTCTTCCGACGAATCCGGTATGAGCGGGTTCATGCCCGCTTCCACCTCCTGAGATGACGGCGACTCGACAGTCAGAGGCCTCAGGTCTACGGTAGGCGACTATCGGAACCCAGATAGCGGCAAGCATTCGTAGTTCAATAAGCGATATCCCTCTTGAGCTGTGTTACGTCCGTACCTCGACTCGCTCGTTCGACGATGACATCGGGTGCGAGTCCAGCCAAGCCATCGAGAGCGTCTGTCACCAGGTCTTGAGCACGATCTTGAACGTGTTTCTCTTTGAAGGACGAAGAGATGAATGGGACAGCTGAGCACTGGTGAGGCAGGATCATCCGGAACCGAGCGACTTACGACCAGGCATTTTGAGTTCATTTCGAGTATGTATCCGTTGTTGAATCACCGCAGCCGATATGGCACAGCGTCTATAGATGTCAAACTTCGCAAGTCGTTTTTCTGATGCCACATACAGTATATACTTGCGCACCTTCAGATAGATGGGTGAGCTTGATAGGTAGCGCGTTCTTGCATCGCCGGTGTCAGAAGTGCCTGAAGCACGTGCGCAGGACTGAAACCCAAGATACGTATTCGAAACCCACTACATCTCGCTCAGTTCAACTGTCGAAGACGCAGTGAGTTGATGAATTTGGAATAATATGTCGGTCCGGTCCGTCTTGCCGAACAGGTTGTCTGTCTCTTTTCCTTTAGTCCGTTTCGCGCATTCGAAATCGGAGGCGACCGAGACTCGATCGGTCATTGCCAAGTAGAACTCATAACCGCCAGCGTGACCTCGATCACCGCGAAGATGGCCTCATAACACACGGATTTCGAATACGCTGACGATTCTATCTTATCAACTGCATACCCATCCTACTGTGTCAACGCCGATGGTCGGCGCCCTAGAATGCGTTGTCAGCTTTGAGATATGAAACGAAGGAAAGTCCCGCAAAAGGGCCCGAGATATTCGCTCCTTGGCATTATTCTGTACCAATCGGGAGTTTTTGCCTGACGAACCCCAGGCCAAGTGGAAACATCAACCCATTCTTTCCCCGGTGATCGCTTGGCAGATGCGGGTCTCCAGGTGTTGCCCCATGGGAGACGTCTTCACGAGCCGCATAAATACTTACGGGCATGTCAGCGTTTGTTCCGTAACGCCCGTACCAGCGTATCATTCTTAGCAAGAAAACACGCACACAGATGACCATGTCCAACATTCAGTATCCCGACGCGGACGTCGAAAAGAAACTACCTATCGATCACATCGAAGCCGATGACGATGTCGAACCCGGCATCGATTATGTCGAGGGAACAGATGAAGAAAAGGCGTTGGTCAGGAAGATGGATACAAGGTTGTTTCCCATCCTCTGGTTCATGTATATTTTCAATTATCTTGACCGGACCAACATCGGAGTATGTGACCGTGATCTTCTTTCTTTGTTTCTTCGAAGGCTCCCATTGTCTCTGTCGATCGCTGACCTTGCTCACCCTTGATTAGAACGCTCGGATCGGTGGCATGGAGCGAGACCTCAAGCTCTCATCCTCCGACTATTCCCTCGCTCTATCGATCTTTTTCGTCGGGTATCTTCTCGCAGAGGTCCCCTCTAACATGTTACTCGTCCGTTCTCGACCCTCCCTCTTCTTGCCTGCCCTAATGTTCATCTGGGGGGCAATGAGCGTTGGCGCAAAGGGAATGACGAACCTGGCAGGTCTAGTCGCGTTCAGATTCTTTTTGGGAATCGTCGAGGCTGGATTCTTTCCCGGGGTCATACTTTTGTTGAGTTGCTGGTACAAGGTACGTGCCGCCGCAAGGGCGTATCGTGGATTCTCGCATAGCGCCTCGGTCTAACAACTCTTGTCTTCTTTTTCCGTGCAGCCCGACGAGCTTTCGAAACGACTCGCCATTTTTTACTCAGCGGCACTGATGGCCGGAGCTTTCGGAGGATTGTTGGCGGGCGTGATCACAGAGTATATGGATGGGCTAGGCTCAACCCCCGGGTGGCAATGGCTGTTCATCATTGAAGGGCTCGGAACGGTTGTCATCGCCGTGGTCGCCGTCTTCGTTTTGCCTGGTGAGTCTGTCCCATTCGCATGAGAGCGAATTGGGAGATGAGCGTTAAAAACTGGACTAATGGTCTGCTCGACTTGATACTGTAGACTACCCGACCACAACCCGCTGGCTGAATGACCGCGAGAAGAAACTCGCTGTTGCTCGCCTCGTCTCGCGACAAGAGGAAGGCGAGCTTCTAGGCCATAAACGAGCGTTCATGGCTTCGGTCAAGGATTGGAAGACTTGGGGCTTCATGCTAGTCTACGTTCTACTGAACGGAGCGGGCACTATCAGTTATTTCTTCCCGACTTTGATGACTTCTCTCGGATATAGGGGACGAAACGCGCAATGTGATTACATTCCAATTCCTTTATTCTTGAGTAAGCTGAGAGCTAATGCTGGATCGATTTGCGGCCGTGCCGTAGTTATGACTGTACCCATCTATGTGGTCGCACTCGTCGTTTCTCTCGGTATGGGTTGGAACGCCGATCGGACCAAACAGAAACCATGGCATATCATCGCGGCAACGGTCTTGTCGACCGTAAGCTTCATCCTTACCGTTGCCATAGGTAACCCGGACGTCAAATTCGCATTCATCTGTTTCGGAGGAGCGGGGATCTGGACCGCCGTTCCGCTGTTTTTAAGTTGGATGGTGGGCAACTTCGAAGGCAAAGAGAAGAGGGCGATCTCGATCGCCATGATCAATGGATTTGGTACGTCTTGTTTGCCACCCTGCTCGTACTCCCTCGACCATTCCCGTTGACGTATTGGACGAGCTTGCTCTCTGTTCCCACATCGCCCAGGTAACCTTGCATCAGTCTATGGATCGTTTATCTGGCCCAGATCCGATGGACCGAGATATGTACCAGGGTTTTCTACCACTACTGCCCTGGTCGCCTGCGCCGGAGCAGTCGTCTTCGGGCTCAAATGGAAAATAGCGAGGGACGTCAGTCGCGCGGCTTCGAGGCCCGACATGTGAAACTTGATTCAAAGTGGCAGCTCGCCAGGGAGAGAATGAATCCCAGCAGGAGAGTCAATACGTGACATCTTAGGTGTACCCAAGATAATCAGATTAAGCCGAAGTCTTCGCACAGTTGCTATGTACGGACTGCGTGTCGCGCGTCAAATCCTGTAGTATTAGACATTATGCAGTCAAGGGTTGTTTCGCGATATCGATCATTCGGCTTAGGGCTCAGGGTACTAAAGGGAATCGATCGTAAAAGAGCGCAAAAAGCATTGCTTTTTACCGCCGGCTAAGTATCCAATAAGTGGGCCATTCTCCCAGACACAGGACACAAACAACCTTTGCGCCCAATTTCGCTCAAGCCGAATATGGAAGTTCGGTCGCTCGCAAGTAGCGCTACGCATTACATATATAGAACCAAAGAATGCTGAAACACGAATACGGTTTAGTTGCGCAAACAAAGCCGAGGTGGCGAGTGGTGTGTCCGTCGCGTCACGTCGAAACGCGTGTGAACGCGTCATTTAGCAAGATTACGTCATTACGACATCATCCGAATCTGGAAAGGGGGAGCCGCCGATATCGATCAAACGATCAATCGATCAATATCACTCGACCTATCTCTACAAGCTACAACCTGCAACCCGTCAGTATCTCCATCAGCTCACGATTATCTACAAACTCTTCACCGTCTAAAACTACAACCTATATCGCTCATCACAGCCGAACGGACCAGCACTCAACTCGCAACTCGAGATGTCCGCAAAGACGAGATCTAGCACCAAAGTCGGGAACGATGTCGGTAGCAAGGAGAAAGGACTAGGCGTCAAGCGAACGGGAAGTGGAGGAGTACAGGTGAGTAAACCATCTTTTCTTATCTGTCTTTGTCTTCTGCTCTCCCTTGCCCCGTCATTCCTGGACATGAAGAGCTCCTTGTGATCGCCGGTGGAACTGACATCTCGTGCTTACCCGTACGACACAGTCTGCATTGGGCTTCTCGGCCAAAAAGTCCCTTCACAAATCGCCTACCAAGAAGAAGGTTCCTGCTGCTATCACCCAATCTATCGATCTTACCCTCTCGTCCCCTCCGCCCAAATCCTACGCTCCCGTATTCGCCCATCCGAAGCGGTCCGCCAAGTCGAATGCCAACCCGTTTCTGGACCAGGAGGAGAAGTACGAGCAAGGGACATCGGGGGACGTAGTAGAGAGGGATGAATTTGGGTTCGTGAGGACTGTCCCTCTCGACTACTCGCCGCTTGGGCTCGGGAAGCGCAAGCCGACGGAGGAGATGATCGCGAATCTCGTCGGTGATCGACGCAAGCCCGCGAACAGAGAGAATTCCGCGAAAGGGGAGGGGGATGAGACCGTAAATGAAGACGTTGACGCGACGTTCTTCTTGACCGAAAGACGAGCCGGGAAGACGGGCAAGGAGACGGGCGAGAAGGTCGAGGTCGAAGAAGGGGGAAAGCTGAACGTGAAGGATAAGAGATGGAACGGCATTTTCAAGGATACACAGGAGAAGATGGGAGGTCTAGACGTCGAGCCGAGTGAGTAAAGCGACAACTTCATAGATGGGAAACGTGCTGACCGCATGTCTCGTCTATCTCGTGCCCGCCCGACAGTTCACTGCACCCCGAAAACGCACAACCGCGTCCACCACATCCTTCGAGTCTTCGATCTGAGTTCTCAATGGGGTCCGTGTGTGGGGATTACTCGGTTGGAGAGGTGGAAGCGAGCTGAGGAATGGGGCCTCGAGCCTCCTGTCGAGGTAAGCATGTTCATCCCGGATGATTCGCGACGTCTCACTATCAATTCTGACTTCTGCTCTTTGTACCTGATACAGGTTCGTGATATCTTGCTCACGCAGGAAGGTGCTACAGATGACTCGTATAAGGAGACGGTTTTCCACGGGAGTGGCATCTATGTCCCATGACGTTGTTGCCGTCGATCTGCACCACACCACTTATGTAGCAAGCCCACTTGTAACGATGTAGCCCTTTACGTGTAGCCAAATAATACCATGTCGCTCAAGCAAAGAAGGCCGCAGGCCGCAAAGGCCAAGGAGAAGCAGCCTCGTCATCATCAAAACGTCTAGACCGCCCTGGTTCTTCCGTCGTCCGTTCAGCCTGATTGCATACAGTGCCCAATGGCATCTTGCGCACCGCTGCAGTATCCGGCATCATATCCATAATCGCATGTGATGCCAGCCATCTCGTAGCCATAGTACATGATATGGTCGAACGTGTCAGCGTGGAAGAGGGTATAAGAATGGGTGGAACAACTGACAAGTTCAGTCGTTGCAAGTCGTCTATATCGCAGTTGCGACCTCGCATACAATTACAGGAAACGCCTGAGCCTCCGTGTTGACTATTCGACATGACGTCGTCCGTCCGCACCTATCTGCGGGCCAAGGGAGATCGAGAAATGTGCGGGGGATCTCGGGTCGTCGACCGCTCGTGACGATAAACGCTGGACGAGACCTCAAAACGGGACCATACCGATCATCGGCCTTGAAACTGCAGAGTACAGGGTCTCAGTCCATCGCCGCCTTTTCCCTCGCCCAACGCTCGTGCCTTTCCAACTGCACACGGTCCACGACTCTCCCTCCATCCCAGAATTCCGGTGAGAAGCGCCACGTTGAACGCTCCTGCAAGGCAAAAGGCCGAGATCAATGCCCGTCTCGTGTTCGCTGACATCAACGCGGATCTACTATGCCATACAACTCATCCAACTTGGAAATCGCCGGCTTCTTCACAGATGTTTCACATTAGGAGACCGACAAGGGTGACGCGTCCGAAGTGTCGGCCGCATCTAATGTCGCCTCGACTAGAAGACAAGCTTCAACTTCGAGACCATTTCATACGAGCTTGCTATGTCCGACTATCAATTGAAACGCAAGACAATGGTCCTTCCGTGTTGCATTGAGAAGGGATAGAGGTCCCCGTCACCGCATGGTCCACGCCAACCGTTGGGGTATGAGATTCGATATTGCGGATTCCACCACCGACATGCCGGACATCATATCGACCACTCTGGAATCACACAAGCAGGTCGAGTTGATGAAGCTTGTCGGTAGCGCCGTAGCATACGCGTTTAATCATTCGAGAATGCATTCGAGTGTGGAACCCGACCTCGCGCTCTCACCGCGCCAGACGTGGGCGGGGAGAGCAGGACGTCCCGAATCCGAGAAATCTCCCTGAGACGTTCGAGCTGCTCGTCATGGGAAGTGCCCGAAATGGCAATCTGCCTCCGCTTGATGAAATACAGCAACCGTGTGTTGGCGTTTGATCTTCCTGGTCGCATTCGCGTGTCGCGTGTCAGAGATCAAAGAAGGATTGGTATCCCGCAGTTTCGAAAGTCGATCAATCCATCAGAGATTGTATTTCCTCCCCCTCCTGCCTGGGCTGCCGCGCAGCTGATTAGGTTCATCTTCGCTGCCTTTCGATCACGCCGAAGATCACACGGCCTTCCTTCCAACGCCTTCCAACGGGCTTCGATGATCACGACCCCCTTGAAACCTGATCGGTTCGGCTAAACCCGACCGGGGGCACGAAGGGAGGAAAGGGGGCGCGAGCGTATTCTTCCATCGAGCGATGACCGCGGGGATCGAAATCAAGATGATCATGGAACATTTGGGATCACGTTAGATCGTCGGTTCGCACTCCACCCACCCACCCCCCGCTGCCGGACCACGATCTGCAACATTCACGACGAAAAGGGGTTCTTTGCCGGGAGCCGAGAACTGATCACCTGAAGGATGGGGAGGACGATCTCGGGATCCGCATTCTCCCTTTCCAAGGCAAGTTGGATGGATGTCGCATGTCATCAAGCTGCTCCAAATCGATCACTCGGTCCCATGCCGGGAAGGCCTTTGAATAAACAAGTCCTGTTCGTGGGCCAACCCCTCTGGCGACGGTACATATACTCGACCCGCGACCCGTCATCATGACCTTGATCAACATCCGTCACGAAGTCCCGTCGTATGACTTCTGTATCTTCGTCATCACGACTACTCGATACTCGTCCCGCCTCAAATCTTTCTGGACGGCTCTCTTCATCAGTCTGAATTGCCAACATGTCAACAACAGCGGACAAAGCCTTCTACTCGGCTGCGGAACTTCGAACTCTGGCTAGGGAGAACTATGTGGGAATCTACGTGGGCACGCTGTCTGCTTTGGTGTTTCAGGGATACGTCATGTCTTTGGTGAGTCCCGCACCAGATAACCTAGTACTCTTGCACCGAGGTAGCATCTAACGCATTGTCCGCTCTGCCTGTTTTATATGCAGATGTTTTCCTACATCCAACACCGAACCTCGCTGCTGGAGAAACTCCTCCTCCTCTTCTGCTTCACCCTCGGCCTCTTCCTGAGCTGTGTCGACATGTACCAGGTCTTCCAGATCGGGGTCAAGCATTTCACGGATACGAAATACGTCTTTCAGATCAAGTGGACCGAGGGCGTCAACGCGATCGTCACGGGTGGGATTCATGCGGTCGTTCAAGGGTTCTTTGGGGTCAGGTTGGTCAAGGTGAGTCGCAAGAGTCCTTTGGAGGAGGGTTCGACTTGCGCAGCAAAGGGACTTGCGGTTGATGAAAGTGGATTGTCGCTTTCGTCAATAGTTAATGGAGTTGAGGTGGTGGTACGGCCTCCCGTTCTTCATGTTCATCGCCGCCGGACTCGCTTCGTCCACCGGTACGGGGGTCCGACTCTTAGTAAGCGTTCCCTTGCTCTCATTCGCATACCTTCCTGTCCTCGTACGCTGACATCTTGTCTCTTTGGGTGGTCTCGCGAGCAGCTTCAAGACAGACAAGACCTCCAGGTATTCCGGGACAACCTCAAACCTTGGATCTACTCTCGATACGCTACGGGCACGTCCATCGATCTATTCTTGACGATCGCTACCGCTGTAGTTCTGTGGAAGAACGCCAAGGGAGTGATGACTCGGTGAGCACATACGATTCCAGATGGCGGATAGCGGGATTCGTGCTAATTTGAGATACCTCTTTCCTGATAAGAACGGTCACCGCATGGGAACAGCTCGCCTTCTATACGGTGCACGCTATGGTCTTCCCGACATCGGCTTGCATCTTGTCGTTGATCCTGAGGGGTGCCCTTCCTCGATCCGTGAGTTTGAACGCCAGTAACCTCATCAAGATGACGCTCAGACTTTGCAGCTGCTGCCTTGATCAACAGACGATTCACGACTTCCCTATGCACTGCTTGAGCAAGGTCTCGCTCTTGGTCTTGCTACAGATGCTCATGGCGTAAGTACGGATCTGGTTGACAGGAACCGACAACGGTCTGGCTGACCGAACTGTGTCTAGCCGCGACCAAACCCGACCTGACATGCGCGAAGACCCCGAGGTCGTCAAGTCAGGCGAAGACACTTCGAAGTCCTACCCCTCATCTGGCAGCGGTTCATACCCCTCGGCCCACCGAAACAGCCGGATCAACAGTTCAGAGAAACGACTCAACAACCTTCAAGAGCCTAGCGAGGACGGTGAGGACGGTCTTTACAAGACACCTTCTCGACGAACGGATCTGGGTAGCGTCGAGGCGGGCCACTACACCCATCCTTCCCTGCACTACGATCACGAAGTGATTGATATCGCCAAACCTAACGAGGTACACAAGTTCTGATCGCCGGGACGAGCAGCAACGGACGATCTTCCTGTCGACTTTTCGATTTCTCCTCTTCTCATCTGCTTCGGGACAACTAGACTGAGCCGTCGTAATTCTCCTATCAAGGTATATCGTTATATTGTAATAGGTTTTTGTAAGCTTGTGGCCACAAAGGATGGACATCGGGACTCGTGATTTGAATCTTCGCAGAGGCGTCTCTTTCTCAATCATTCGTGTCTTTCACCTTCCGCACAAGACTCGACCTTTTCTGCCTCAAGCACCCTCCTACCATTACTCTCATCCGCTGCTCATCGGCTGGACGGTTTCCCCATTGCTAGGTATTTCGTACGCCTCGAATCTCTCATCAGGGATACGAGAGAGAGTTCGTCATCGTTTGCTTGCGAAATCTAGTGCTAGACCAGGGAGACAGAACCCCAATGGAGATCGACTCTTCTGTTCGCTGGCACGGACGATGAGTCGTGACCCCGTTCGTGTTCAAAGCGGTCGACCGCGCTTCTTATGATGTACTGTTCTCCGATCGATCTTTGATTTCTGAACGATAGATGAAGGGTATAATGGTACAAATATGACATCTAGCTTAGACTTCGGCGCTGGTCCTAGCCGAAGTAGCAACGGAGTCGAGGACCTTCTCGTGCTGTTCGTCAGAACCTCGCTTCTCTTGGGCCATGGCCTCCTGGGCGCCTTGATTCTCGATAAAGCTCTTCGATCGCCAAGCGGGCGTCTTGGAGAGGAAGAGCGAGTCGACTTCGACAATGCTCAATCCCTTCGTTTCGGGAACACAGAGGTAGATGAAGACGGCCGAACCAATAAGGAAACCGGCCCAGATGAAGGTGATCTTGGTACCGATCTTTTGCTGGATAATCGGAGCAACGAAAGCTATGAAAGTGCGAGACATCGGGATCAGCGGTCGTGCCTTGTTGTAGAATCGCACTTCGGGACAACACAACCCGGGCGATATCGTTTGAAATCTGAGAAACTCACTGATAACCGTGTTGACCCCCCAATTCGTCGCCGTGGCCAGAGTGACACACTTGGCAGCCAGACGCTGAGGGAAGACCTCGGCAGCAACAACCCAAGCGACGGGCCCGATAGTCGAAGCGAAACCAGCAACAAAGATGGCCGAGAATGCGATCAAGGATTTACCAGCTGTCAAAAAACAAAGAACCGCAAGGTCAGCCTCCACCATTACGATTGATCGGGGATCGTCAGTCGAGCCAAACTCACCTTGGGCCTGACCTGGAAGAGCCGTCGAGACGGCACCGACGATCACCTGAGAAACCCCCATGACGAGACAACCGATCAAGAGGACGGATCGACGACCCATCTTATCGACAGCCAAGATTCCGGGGAACGACATGGCGACGTTGACGGCAGAGAGAATGATGATGAAGATGAAGACGTCGTCGATCCCGGCGTATCGGGCAAAGACGGATCCGTATGAAAAGTAAAAGTTGATACCGGAGAGCTGCTGGCAAGCTTGAATGAGACACCCGATCATGGTCCTCCAGGCGATTCGATCCTTGTTACTGAAGACCTCCGCGTATCGAGCTTCTCCCAGCTTCGCCTCCTCCTCCTTGGCGATCCTCATCTCCTCAAGCTCGAGGGTGATTTCCTCGTCATCCGCAGGCAAGTCTCGAAGCTTGGCCAAGTTGATCCTGGCCTTTTCCCAATCGCCTCGTCCGGCGAGGTACGCAGGAGATTCGGGCGAGAGGATGAAACCGATGAGGAGCAGACCAGACCAGATGAGGGCAAGACCGACGGGAAGCCTGTAGGTGATGTCACCGGTGTGCTTGGACATTCCGTAGGTGGTACAGTTGACCAAGAAGATACTGCATAGAGAGGCGCGAAGTGTGCGGCGTGAGCGGTGGACTTGCATGGGACTCCTTCACTAAGTGGCTCACCCAAGAGTGACGTTCAATTGGAAAGATCCGGTAATCATTCCTCGAAGAGCAGGAGGGCTGGCCTCGGCCTGAAAGACTGGGACCAGACCAGAGGTGGCTCCGACGCCCATACCGGCCAAAGCTCGACCGACACAGATCTGACCCCACTCGTTGAAGGCAGAGACCTCGATTGCGACACCGACCATGTAGATGGCGATGAAGGCGAGACATGTGCGTCGGAGACCGTATCGACTACCAAGAGGACCCTATTTGAGCGATGCTGACGTTAGCACGCGTACCGATCTTCACCGCCACGAGTGATCGCGGTCGACTTACACTGCTCAAAGCGCCCAAGAAAGCTCCGATGCACAGAATACCGGCGATGGTTGATTGACGAGTGGTCGGGAGAGAGTAATTGGTGCATACCCCAGCAGCGTTATAAGTGTCGCAAGTACCGAATCGACGAAGATAGGCGGGGAGTTGGTAGAGACCGGAGGTGGACGAATTCTCCCAACCGAAGATCATCCCTGCGAACGACTGGAAGAGACATAGCACGACGGCTTTCTTTGATGAACGAGGGGCAGGCATGTTGAGAGTTGTTCACCTCTATGTTGTATGAAGAGGCGAATTCAGACAGAATGATGGGGACGACGACTCAGTGCACCAATGCGATTTATATATGATGAGCCTCCGCAGAGGGCTAGTTTTCACCTTGTATCCGAGAGCCCACGGGAACCTCGATGTTCTCCTTTCGTTTTCCCGTTTCCCCATTGCCTCCCCGCCGGCCGTCCCATGGCGACGTACGACGTCGAGCAGCAAGTGGGACGTGCAGAAATGAGATAGCTGATCGCTGATAGAGAGCTGTTTGTCCTCTTGCCGAGCCTTCCAAGCGAGCGAGCAAACGACGAAAAGCCTCCGTCTCTGGACATGTGACCCGCCCCCGTTCGATCGGCCAATGCCAATGCCGCGGCAAGTTTCGTTAAGCGAGTAGTCCAAAGCTACCGCGAGTCTCACCTCTCTCATACGGCTGGACGGACATAGGGAGGTGAGACGGGCAATCGTCACCATCTTGATGCGTAAGCCACCTCCGCTGAACAACCCTATTGCGACATCCGGCCGACCCCGTTCGCCCCGTTCGACCCATCGTCTCCGTCGCATTGTCAGCGAGCACAAAGAAGGAGAAGCTGGCTGGCCCCATATATTTCGGAGCGGTAGCCTGGTGGAGCTCACTTCGATATGGAGATTCATTTCTTGCAGGCTAAATGGAGGAGCGTACAGATCTCTGATCGCGGATCCCCTTGTAAGCTACGAAGCAGTCAGTGGGGTAGCGCTCACTCCGCTGACTATCGCTTCACCAGCATGGTCGACCGACTCTGGGGGATCGCAGCTCGACGGCAAGTAGATGTAGGCTAGATACTGTATGTGGAGCTCCTACAAATCATGGTCTATGTCGTGGCCTAATGGGTCTAATGCTCAAAGGCGAAAATGTAATTCGTCGCCTTGCCGCAACTGAGAGTCGCCTTCTTTCCGACGTGAAGTTTGGAGTATGCTGTTTTCGGACCATCCTTTGATTCGGGCTCTATGCAGTACGAGATCGTGTTGTGAAGTGCAAGTAGTGATCTAGCCTCTATAGAACGGAGAGGTCAAGAGCAGCGAAGATCTGTCGATCAACGTGCTCCTTCGGCGGAAAGGAAACGTGAGCAATGACAGGCGGGTGTGCTCACCGATTTCTTCCGTCGCCTTGTGAAACCAGGACCTTATGAAACCGACAACTACGGGTCGTGCATGAATCGTCATACACGCGAACCGTGATGTCGATAGGACTGCACCCACAACTGATGCCTACTTGCCAAGAGCCAGCAACGATCCTGCGTCAAGTCTAGGCCAACCAGGCGAAGAGTCTTGTTGTACCGCCAAGGACAGAAGAGTTCTCGTCAATGCTATCTGACCCAGCGTTTCCCGTGCCAGCACGAGCTCCCCCTGGTAGGTCGTCTCGGTCTGTATGATCGATCGCCCAATCGAAACGGCATCAGCCACAACACTACGGTCTTGGGTAAGACATCTTGGCGATACCGCATGATCATCTGCTAACTTGTACTCGGCCGTTGACGATCTTGAACGGATATTGAAAGGCCACGTAGTGATAAGCCCTTTTAGACTTGGTCGATGAAAGCGCGGTGCGTTTCTGGTATTTTCATCCCGCCAGAGTTCCTGTAAAGTGCTCGTTGGGTCGACGCGATCCGGTTCCCTCTTCAAAATCACATGAAGCACCCCCGTGCTCGACGCCATCAACGGGTTGGTCGGGTAGAGCGCTGAGCGTCTTCGTGCGATACGGGTGGCCAACTGACGAAGATCCTGTAGAAGGATAGCCAAGGTGATGAAAGTCCTCGTGGTGTGTGGCCAAAGCTTCATGATCGCAGGCAGGGTCGAGAATGTGTGTCTGGTTCGGTGTCGGATCTAGCCAAAGGGGGAATGTTTATAGCCTTGAAGATGTGAAGAACGCAATGCAAGACGTCCCATCCTCAGCCATTCAACCCTTGGAGGAGCGTTTTCGAGAGCGGTCCGAACATCTTGTGCTTCACAACTGACCTTGAGCTCTCCGTCGTTTCGGTTCCAGTTCTCGCCTTGTCCCGATATCGGAGATTCAGGGCCCGAATGCTGGAGCGCGTCCGATTGCTTGAAGAGAGATCTCCCCCTCGATAACGGCGACGTCCCTACTATCCAGCCGGTCCTTGCTGGCTTCCTTGATGGACATATCCTCAAACTTTCAAAATGGGTGCTTCGGATCGCTTGTTGTCCGACGCAATCGATATCAACTACTGGGTGAACAGTCGATCAAGACAGACGGACGACGAATCTGGAGGAATGGCGACATCGTTCAACAGGGTGTCTTGACCGTGAAACCTCGAGCGGCTTACGATGAGCATAGATGATCCTGTACACCCAAAATGTCATGCATCGTCGATATCAATCCGATCGAAAGATTTTGTGCTCGTGAGGATTTGAACGTCCTCCATGCTTTCAGGTAGTGGGTCGGCTTACTGAAACCTCTTTTCTTCGATCCTTGCACCTTTCCAATTCCGGAGGCCAGCCTCGTAGTTCGGCGATCGATGTACAATGGTGTGATTCAAGCGATGTTTTTGCAGACCTTTAAACGATACGACCCGCAGGCAAGGATTATATGATCAGCTCGAAGAGTTCGAAATCAGACTGAAAGTGAGATCGAGGTCAAGAGCGGGCCACTCACCAATATTGTCATGTAGAGAGGGTACATCTGAAGCAGATGAACATACCAGGATGAGGCCCACTTATGGTAATCCGTAAATATGTATGGTTCCTGTAAGCAGTCGACTCTGGTGACGGACCACGATAGCTCCTCGATAGACTTCATTGCCCCACCGGCTCGGGTTGTAAGAAGAACTGATGATAATGAAATCATGTATGAAATACAAGCCGGCTTGATCGCGTCAGGTCTAAAAGTTATACAGTGTTGGAGCTCATTGCGGCTCATCGTCTTCGTCGTCGTGAAAAATGTCGTCATGGGTTGAGGCTATGGATGTTGGTTCCAGCGAAAGATTGCAGCGCTACAGCGACAGATCATAGCTCGCCCTTGAGAATGGACCTGACGAGCGGCTTGAGGTGCTCTTTGGTGTTCTCCTTGGCGCTCGCCATGGATTCCGGCACACCAACCTGCTGAGCAAGCTTCTCGAGTAGGGATCGCTCGAGAGCTGGTCATGAAAAGAGTAAGCGAAAGAGCATCTTTCATCCCTCTATACCAGGTCGCTCTGGATCTATGTGTGGCTTTTGAGTTGAGTTTGGACGGTCTTGGTCATGGAGGCGGGAATTTTTTTGTTGATTTTATCAACATCGCCCTTGATCTGCTTGACGTCGTCGGAAAGATTGGCAATGTTTTCGGTCAGGCCTCGGAGCTGGGCCATCAACTCCGCAAATCTAGGTCTGGATCAGTCTCCGGTTGATGTTGCTTGTCCACGTCGACTTGTCCTACTTACTGGTCATCGTTCATTTTTTGCGCAGCCTTCAAAACCGCATTCTCCTCCCGCAGAGCTCTGTTCTGTTCCTTGAGGACTCCGATCTCTTGCCGGTGCTCAATAATCTCGGTGACGACTCGTTTCTTTGATTGAATCTCGTCGTCTTGAATGTTGAGCTTTTGGAGGAATTCTTTGGCCATTGTGAGATAGGTTGGGTGGATGAAGGCGGGTTTTGGCCGTGTGTTATGCAGTGAGTAAGAAGTAGTAGTATTGTAGCGTTGTAAGGTATGTACAGTAGGGGGGTGATAGGTGATTCGATTCGGACTGGGTGGGTTACAACAAGCTGTTCGAGTACTCGGTCGATGAGATGAGCGACGAGTCTCAGCTCTGAGAGCGAGACTGATCTAACTTGAGTTACCTTCAGATTCAGATTCAGAAGGGTCAAGTGCAGAGCTGTCTCTACAAATCGAAATACCAGCTTGGCAGAGCGATCTCCTGCGAACATGCCAGCGTCCAACATCGTCCGTGGAAGCATCTTTGCAGCAGGCCTCGCCGTAGGAGTCGGCGCAGCTTCGCTTCTGAACAAGAACAACACTCCCACCTCGCCCATCTCGCCGTCTCCGCCTGTGCGAGCACAGGTAGTAGCAGATGAGAAGAGCACAGGGTTAGTAGCTCAGGGCGGGAAGCCTGGATTCACGCCGAGCAGGGACATGGCGGGATCGTTGGCTTTGGCACCACCTTCCTCGCCTTCAAATCAACTCGCTTCGGACGTCTTCCGCTATGGCTTCCCAGGTAAGTTCCATACACCGAATAAGGCTGTGAAGCGGTTCCTAATCGTACTGACATGGTGATGCTCTTTTTTGCACCTCTCAGGACCGATCCCAGACGTCCTGAAGCGGACCGCCTATGTAGCAGCTTACGACCGACGCCTGCGACACCCTTCATGGGTAAGTACCCATCATGTTCACTTGCCTTCTTCGACCCATTCTATAGAATCCGACTACAGTAGCTGATGAATATCTACAATCATTCTCTTCTATTCGTTGCAGACCGCCGAGCACCTAACCCCAACCTCTCTGAACCGTCAACCCGCTCCTCCTACTGACGGGAACGGTGGACGCTCAAGCTCGAACATCTTGCAGGAGAATCCGAAAAAGGGCGATAGGAGCAAGAGCACGTTTATGGAGGATGCCGAGGTTCCGGCCATGTTCAGGGGATTGCTTAAAGATTGTGAGTTGTTCAGTCTTCCGTTCTCGGTCTCGGTCAGAAAGCACGTCATGTCACCTCGAGCAGTGCAGACTCTGTTCGGGTCGTTGCCGATATCTAAGATTGCTATGGCTGATCCTTGTTGTTTTTGATCGTCTGGTGTGATGTTATAGACTATAATAGCGGTTATGACCGTGGTCATATGGTTCCTGCTGCCGATGCCAGTAAGTCTCTCAACCTCCGGGCTGTTGCTCTGAAGCTCGCCCGACGACATCATCCGAGCCAAGACACACTGCCCTCACCCGCTGAAATTTCATTCTTGACTTACTTCAATAGAAATCTCTCAACAAGCCATGGACGAGACCTTTTTCCTCACCAACATTGCCCCTCAGGTCGGGGATGGTTTCAACCGGCACTACTGGGCGTACTTGGAGGACTGGTGTAGGCGGCTGGTCAGGCCTCGGGATGAGGGGATGAAGGGAACGGGCGGGTTCGAGGATGTCTACGTCTTTACGTGAGTCCAGGTTTGGGGAGTTTTGTTGTGACTAGCATAGCTGACGACGATGTGGGAATTTGATAGGGTGCCGCTCTACTTGCCTGCACAGGGCCCGGATGGGAAGTGGCGGGTGGTAAGTACCTCCCTCCTCGTCCACCACATCTGCACCTAACCCGGTGCTTGAACGCTGATACAACTTCGTCTGAACCCCCGCACTCGACTAGTCTTACGAAGTGATCGGCAGCCCACCAGCCATCTCGGTCCCTACCCACTTTGCCAAGGTCGTCCTCGCGGCCCGAGGTAGCCCCGGCGGTTTCGCCCCGGGTCCTTCGTCCGGTCTACCCGTCAGCGGACCCATGGGCAAAGACGTGGCCATCGGAGCGTTTGTGCTTCCCAACAGCGTCATCCCGGATAACACGCCGTTGACCGAATTCAGCGTGCCAGGTGGGTCGCGTCGAGATGTCGCTCTTGTCTGATCGACGGGGGCAGACGAGCTGATCGTGCATATCTATGCTCTCGGCTGACCTCGACAGTGGAAGCGGTCGAGCGCGCCGCCGGTCTGACCTTGTTCTCGCCGCAGATCAAGTCGACCGCCAAGGAACTCTGCCGGGAGACTCGGTGTCAGGTCATCGTGAGACGGTTCGACGACGCCAACAAGAAACAGCAGCAGCAGCGTGGTAAAGCGGGGCAACAGGGCATCGCCAGGTCGTAGTCGGACCTGCTACAGATATACACTACACAACATGTTCACCATTGCATAGCACATCATCATCTATCATGCACTACGTATTTCGATATGCCACGAAACCTCTTTTTCCCCGAGCTTACGTCATTTTTGCGCGAGACCTGTGTACTGTAGTCGTCTTCAACAAGTATGTCTACGGGGGTTCGACAGACCTTGACCTGATCATAGAATGGCCAGTTTCAATTGCTTCTGGGTTCAGGTCCACTGTCCGCGTAGTTCCGCTGTAGCAGTTGATTACAAGTTACAACATTCTTGGTGGCCCGATCAGTCGAGAGGGATTGAATGTAAGACAAGATGATCCCATGGCTGAAGGCCAAAACCGTAAACGCACAGATATACGTATCGGGATGACTCGGGGATATGCAACGCGCAGCCTTTATAGCTCTCCGAACTGGAGATTCTAATATAAATCGCTTCATATGGATACATAATTTCTGTCTAAATCATGTCTCGCCGTTGTTGCACGGGAGGCCAGTCAATCGATCTCGAGCACAATCTATGATACGGCGCGTCAGGATCGAGCAATAATTCCGAAGACAAGAGAAGTTCAGCCCGGAAACTCACCTTGCCACTATTCTTGTTGGCCTCCATCTCCTTGTGAGCGCCCACAACGTCTTTCCAGGAAAAGACCTGCCCGAAAAACGTCGAAACGATAAACCCCCAGTCAAGCCAGTAACGTCGAAGGCATCAAGCGGGACCCACCTTGTAGATGGGAACCTTCATTTCCATCCCCGAATCCTCCCCGCCCAAAGCGCCCAGCGCTTCTCTTTCAAACCGGCCCAACAGGTCGCCCTGATAAGCCGGACTCCTTGACCTCAGGGTGGATCCCTTGATATTCAGTCGTTTGAAGAGGATCGGGATGAGGGCCGAATCGGCAGGGAGCTTCGGACCGGACATGGCAGCGAGAAGGATCATACGGCCGTCTTGTCGGAGTAAAGAGACGTTCTAGCCGAGTCGAAGTCGGACGTCAGAGCCAGCACCGATCAGCGCACTCGAGAGCGGAAAGAGCGTGGAGACTGGGGTGGACTGACCTGGTTCCAGTAGTCGGGCCCGACGAAATCGACGATCAAGTCGACACCAGCTTCGTCGACCTTTTTAATCTCTTTTTCGAAATCCTGCGTCTTGTAATTGAACGCGTGGACTTTGCCTCCGGTGAGCTTTTTCAGATAGTCGACCTTGTCGTCGGTACCAGCTGTGGTGAAGACCTTGTTCGCTCCGAACTTGACTGTCGGGAGGAAAGTGGCAGGACAAATGTCAATCCAGCGGATAACCTGACTTAGCGGGATCTCGAGCGTCGTCCGGTTGTACTTACTGGCCAACTGGATCGCCGCCCCACCAACCCCACTGGCTCCCGCGTGAATCAAGACGTTTTCTCCCTCCTTCATTCCCCCTTCGAGGAAGAGCGCCTGGTAAGCTGTCATCCAGTTCTCCGGGACCCCTGCGGCTTGCACGGGGGTCAGGTGAGGAGGTTTATGGATGATCATCTTGGAGGAAAGGGCGATGTATTCGGCATAGGCACCCTGGTTGGCGTTTCGTGTCACATTTCAAGACGAGTCAGTACTATAGAGTTACCCAGCACAGTTGTGCACGTTCCCGTTACGTATCGGAGACAGGACGAGAGGGGAAGACTTACACCATAAGCCAACCCGACGACCTCGTCACCGAGCTTCCACTTTTCCCCATTCTCACTCTCGTTTCCAGCCTCTTTGCTCTCTTCACTATCGCCGTGGAGCTTGACGACCTCCCCAGCGAACTCTACGCCCATGATCGTCTTGCTGGCCTGAGGCGGGAGGGGGTACTTGCCCTGCCTCTGCATGATGTCCATACGGTTGAGGCCGAAGGCTTTTATCTTTTCTCGAGGGTAAAGTCGTATCGGTTCAGATGGCGAGCGGTGGCGAGCGGAGGACGCAGTGATGATGTTGATGATGAGGGTTCGTCGACAAGTAGAGAGTGGAGAGATCATATGGATAGAATCGATAGAGAGGAAGAAAAGAATGAGGGGAGAAAGAAGCGAGCGAGTAAGCACCGCACAACCCCCCCATGTCTCTTTGTTCTTCCACCTCGAACGGTAGCCTCTTCACAGATCAGAAACTAACCTTGACCAGAACCTCCCCCTCTTTCGTCTTTGGCACCTCTTCTTCCCCAAGATACATGTTCTCTGCGGGTCCTTGGTTGTCCTTGACGAGGACGCAACGCATCTTTTGCGGGATCTCGATCGAGGTGGACATCGTGCGGGTCAAAGCGATGGGCGTTCGGGTGAGTCTTGTGGTTGTAGTTGTTGCGGCTCTCAAGAATGTCATTTGTCAACCGTAGCTATGATAAATGTATGCCTGGTAACGATTTTTTACAGTATAACGGAGGATGTAAAGAGGTCCTCGACGGGATTTGGGTGCAACGTACGGAAAGGTCTTCCGCGATTACGTCATCCACACTCGACCCTTTACTACAAGTTGCGAAGATGATGATTTCACGGCAGGAGATCCTGATACAACGATGGATACAACTTGTGAACCTTTGGTCAGATGCCTATTCCTAAAAGGGGGTCCACATTGGTCTTTTTGGGAGGCTGAAGCCCGATATCTTCCGTGTGGTCTGCTGATTTTGGCATCTCGAAGGGTGTGTCGAACTGATCTACGGTACGGTTAGGACTGCGCTGGCGTGGAGAAGGTTCAGGCAAATGAGTAGACGTAGATGAATCCCGTTGACCGGCGTTATGTACCGCAGGGGAGAATGATGTCGCCTTGGGGTCACCAAAGCCATTCAGATTCCGCGGCGAGTTGAGCGAGACCCTGTTCGTCTCGGTCGCATAGTGCCGAGGGGTATTGAAATTGGCCGGATTCGAAAAACTGGGGGACGAAACGCCAAACGTGGCGTGAGTCGACATCACGGGCGAATGACCCATACCGTTGGATCCCGTAGTGGAAAAGGTCGGGCTGCGCGGATAGCTGCTACCAATTACGGTCGTAGCTGGTGTACTGATTGATTGTAGGTCCTGCGACCACGCCCAGACTCTTGCCAGATCGCTCGTCGCGGCAGCTCCTCCATCCAGTAAGGACTCTTGTAGCCTTTTCATGCCCGTCCATGCTGCTGTCATAGGCTCAGCTTCTGTAGCTGATCTCGGCTGGTTCGGTGGATGCACCACGTCCATCCAAGATCCCATCGCCTTTCCCATGCCAATCATGACCAATCGTAGTTCGGCAATCTCGCGTTCGGCGTCGAGGAGCGTTCTGATTGGGTGAGCTGGGTACGTCTGGTCTGGTGCAGCCATATCGCTGTCATAAATCAGATCGACGGACGTGTCTGGCGTATACGTCCGGAACGGGAATGTCGGGGCTGCAGGCGGGTTGAAGTCTGGCAAGTTTTTGCGAAACTCCGATACCGTTGACAGGATCGTCTTGTCTATACCGGACGCCTGAGCCCGCTCCATGAATCCTCGTGCCAATGACTCGAAGCCGTATCCCCGAGGCGTAGCGCCGGCGGCGCGAGGAACGCTTGTAGTCGGTGCGGATCTTTGACGGCTTCTCAGCGTCTGGTGGTGTGAGACCGACGGTATGCTCTCCGTCCCATCTGGTTCGTATGCTGGTATGCCCAAACTCTCCTGGTTCTGAATCGTGATGGCCGCACCGGTAGATGGCGAGGGATTCTCCCGAATGGCTCTGGCCTGTTGCAACAGGAGCGAGGGATCTAGAGGCAAATCGGGGCTATCTGGAGGGTACTTCAAGAGCATGGTCAAGACGCCTGTGTAATCGCACGGGAGAACTGGTTCGAGGGACATTCATCCAGTTTAGCAAAGTTTGACATGTGTTTGGTATTCAATCTCCACTCACGCAGGTGCCGGATCCGCAGCAACAGCGCGATGCATACGTAGCTCACGAGCTCGTCGACCCTACCACCTGATGCGAACAGACCGTCCCATATTCGCAGGGCCGATTTGAAGGGCATCTCTCTGGTGAAAAGTAGACGGACATATCGGCTACAGCGAATCAGGAGAATCGTAAGCTAGACAACCAGTTGATCGCTAGTGAGAGCGTGCTCTTACATTCCCCAGAGTTGGCCTTCGATGCCTTCCGCGGCGAATTTGGCATGAAGGATCGGGTCCACCCGCTTCATCAGATCATCTTGCATATACTCGCACATGTCGATGATCTTGGCTCTACGCTGCAGAGTAGGCTGTCGAGGACGTCACGAAGTTCAGAAGGATACTACTGGAGACACAGATCCGGAGGGGCACTCACCGCGCCAATCGACTCGGTCCTCCATTCGTACCAATCCTTGCCCGTTTCCATCAAACGGCAGAAGAGCCCATATGTATCGTGCTGGACATAGCTCCTGTCCAATACCAGCGACATGCTTTCCTCCAGCCTGGATATTGTCGAGGAGGAGCCTTCTTGCAAGGGCGATATTGCGGCCGAGGTGTTCATGCCGGATTTGACTGGTATAGAATCACGATCGACGACCATCAACATCGTTGCGAGGAGTTCGTGCATGCCCTGTCGATGCACATCGAGCTCTTTGAGCTAACAAATAACTTCGATCGAGCAGCTGTGTGCGGACTGACCTGGCGATAACCAACATCCTGATGTTCGATGGCCCATAGGAACAAGATAGTTGTCAGAGTCTTCCGTACGGAACGATCAGAAAAGTATTTCATATCAGGGAAGCTGTTGGGCATGATTCCAGTTGAATATCAGTACATAGTAACGCCGAGTGTATTTTCATGACTCACGTTCTTTCTACGTCCTTCTCTATCGTCCTTCTCAACTCCGCATTCTGGAACCACGCTTGCCAAGGGTTCTGGCCATGCCATCCGTTTCGACATCAGCTGGCACATTAGTATCGCCGTGTATCAGTACTCACCTCCTCGCCAAGATTCAAAGGATCCCACGTTGCACCACTCCCACTGTCTCTCGATACCTTTTGTGTCGTGGTGACATCCTCGGGTACCGAACAATCAGAAGCCCACCGCCCATCCGGAGCCTTGAGCCACTTTTCCCTCTTCTTATCATACTCTCTTCGCTGAGCTTGAAGATGACTCCGTAACGGGATGCTCGACCCTGATTGTAGCGTTTCCAGCGGCAGAGTTCCGAGATAGATACGCCAGTATACGCTCCGTAACGTAACCCCACCTAGCTCGTCCTCGTCCTGCCCTATCCCGCCGCTCAAATTCGCTTGATCCTGCAGGTCTTGTACGGTGATTTCCGGATGACTGAAGAGGGAGATCCATGTGGCTCTGAGTGAGTGATGAGAGACTTGTACCATGATCAGTATATGGTTCGTCAGATCAGGAGCGATGATGCAACGGACCTGAGCTCGCTTGGAGAAGGCCTGCTCAGCAACGTATTGTTCGTGCCGGTCATGATCGATATGATAAATGATAGCAGCTGTCTTTTCTGCAAGCGTCCAAGTTGGCAAGTGCAAGTGGGCTTGCACCGCGCGAAGGGGGGTCAGTATAGCCCCGGTCATATAGCAGTGATATTACTGTATACCCACTATATTACCCTAGTATATCCAGGCCCTGGGTCATATAGTGAGTATATAGAGGGTTATATGGGTTGTATAGGGTCTATATACCCCTGTTCATATAGTCCCCCTTCGCGCAGTGGGGCTTGTGAAGTCGAGCCGGGGGTTGTTTAGGGAGGTCAGGAGGTCCGCGCTTACGTCACTTTGAATGGTCTAAGATCTAAAGGCAGGTTACTACGGTCGTCAACCAGCTACCAGTCCTTCTAGCTTCTCATCTAGCATATCTAGCATATCTAGCATCTAGCATCTCGATCTCAGCTCTCGTCAGGTCAGTCGGCCAGATTACCAGCTACTGGATCATGGTTACGGATCAGGATGATAATCGACTCCAATACGAGGAGGTCTTTGAGAGATATGACGAATCCGATCTCAAGGAACTCAAGGAAGTCGAGGAGTTTGAGGAGCCACGATGGGTATAATGGTGTGATATGTAACAATACAGCGTCTTGACGTCCAGGTCAGAGTATACTACCACAGTCGCCAGTCTCCCTTCCCGATCTTGCATTTCCCGTTAGGTCAAGAGGAGAACGCTCGCTAAGTCTACAAAGGTCGAGCCTCCCGCGAGTATCAGATCCGACGAGGATGGCACAGTAAACCGAGTAAGGTGGATCGTCTTGTGTTGAGCGGTCGTCGTCATCTGGCTTGCCAATTTTTGACATTCGGCGTCGGACCTGCGGGAGCGAGTTGTCGAGCAAACTATACCGCTGCGTGCAGAGAAGGTAATCCGGGACTCACGATGGATTGACCATGTATAAGCGATCGGCGCACTGCAGATTGTGGCCTCTTGACAGTAATTCCGCGGGCCCGATCAGGACGTGGACCACGTACTCCTCTTGGAACTGCGAGATGGCGCCGAGTTGGCTCCGAGTGTCCTGTCCTGCACGCACATCCGAATCGTGAACCACGTAGTAGCAATCGTTGGCGGAATATTCTCCCCCGCCCCTCTCTCGCGAGCCAAGTTTGCGTAACACTCGGACGACCTGTTCCGTAGACTCCCGTGATTGGGTTGCGATCACCATCTTGCCAAATGGTAACGGCAACATGTCTCGTTTGAAAGCTTCCTCGATAGCATCGAGCACAGCGGACGTTCGTAACTTTTGAACTAACTGTCGCTGTGCCCGGATATGTTCATTATCGGCAGCGGATGATAGAAATCTCGAGTAAAAGGATTTTCGTGGCGGCCGGATCCAGGCCTGAGGAAAAATTAGGATAGGGTTAGCATGTTTCATGCCGCTTGGTAATGAAGGAGGTGGCCAGAACAACGTGCCTTTGCCATAGGGTTTGCAATCCAATCCCACACCTCATGCCCGAGCGGTACAGTTCCTTGTACCGGTGCAGGCGTGGTTGTAAGCATCTTTGTACAAATAGATTTTGCGATTCTGTGTGATTTAATCACTGGGGTGTCCCATCGGATTAAAAGCAGGATAGTCTGAACCTTTGAACTTGCACTTACAAGCCATGTGATCCCACTCGTCAAGGCGGCACTCTTTGGGATATAATTCTTCGATTTCCGGCCCCGGAGCCGTTGTGAGCGTCTGTCGGTACAGAGGTCGAGCAATATAGCAGGGACAGGTGGCGAGTCGTCCCGCTGCCCATTCGGCCAGTTTTTTCCAAACGACTTCTCGTTTGCCTTGTAAGAGGACGCCCTTGGTAAATTCTTTGTACGTCTCTACTGTCGCTCCTACCATGCGAACGGGCCCATACAAATCCCTCACCGTATCCCTGAGCGGTGTTGCTGACAGGACGATGACCTCGGTCGCCTGGTCACACATAGCGGTGATCGTTCCAGCGGCCTTGGTATATGGCGAAAAGCGCACATTCTGCACTTCATCGATGATGACCCGGTGAGGTTTTAAGGCAGCGATGTCTACTTCCCGTTTAGTATTCGGCCTGAGCTGCCTTTCCCTGCCGTTGTGGTATGCGATGAATTCGAATTCTGTTAGATGCTTTGTTGAGCCAGAGTAGAATCGATGCGATGGATCGCTGTCGGTAACATACGCATAAGAAGAATCATCGCAGTTCGGTCCCCGGACTTCCGCAGTTCTTCGTATTCGAACCAGTCGTTGGGAGTGAAGATCCATTGGTAATATTGTTTAAGCTGTGGCAAGTGCAGACACAACTCTGCCTGAAAGGAACGAGTTTAATAATGCGAATGACCCAAGATTTTTGTTCTGCGGCCATCACTCACTTCCCAGTTGTTTCCGTATGAACAGAGTATCAGGGTAGGCGACAAGCCACTAGCAAGCTCGTTGCCAATGTCAAGGAGCGACGTCAAAGCGACAAGCGTCTTGCCAGTGCGTGGGGCATCGCAGAGGAAAAAGCCGGCCTTTGGAGGGTTTGCAGGATGTCTCATCTGGATGCGCCCGTACAGTCGATGAGTCATGGAGGAGCCAGGACCACTGAGATATGTATCCATGGAACTCAAACTCACATAATGCCTCATATTGGCGATCGCTACGACCTTTAAGAGATTTTGTGCATGAGCCAGCCGTCCGCAATGCTTGAAGACACGATTAGCACTCACCTGCGAGTCACGTAATGGCGTCTTGACACCGGCCAAGGTCCGATTGCGCCCTTGCAGACCTAAGAGTGCAAGTGATTCGGACATTGTAGTGATGTGGGCGTGTTTCCGGATCAAGACGTCTGCGTCATCGTCGGATCTCGTGTCGAAAGGTGTTGCAAGCTCGGGCGGCTCATCAGTTGGCGGCTGATCAACTGTTTCGGCATCTACTTCAGGAGGGGCGATCGAGGCAAACCCGTCAGTCTCTTGAATCCCCGCACGGGCACGCGCAATAGCTTCCAGGCGTAGATGTTCGAATTCCGGTATCGGTTGGCCAGACCCGTCAAACCTAACATCTCGCCGGTCGCCGTCAAGAGCAAGGAGGTCCATCCACTCATCTTGCGCGTCATCGATGGCGAGTGGTCGAGTTGAAGGACCAGGAACGTCGATATTCCGGATGATCTCATCGGGAAATACAGGTCGTGCCGGTGGCGGCGATCCGTCCGATGCAAGCGAAGACGCACGAACGTAGCGTTCATCATCATCATCCGGAATTTGCCTGTGTCGGATTATGCGAATCTCGGGACTCATGGACTCCCGCTTGCGTTTGCCGCCAGCGACCGAATGTTCTTGGACACTGGGCACGTCTTTCGGCCGGGGAGTCCTGAGGTCGATTGAATGCTCTCGAATATTTGGCATGTCTTCCGGCTCAGGAGTCCTGAGGTCAATGACGGAACCGTTCATGGGACTGCCACTGGCAAAGGCGGGTTCCACGATAATGGTCGTAGGGCTAGCGGAGCGATCATCCTACCAGACAGGAACAGAGTGATGCGTGCGAATCGAGTCAATGCCGATATAAATGAAATGCTTAACAGTGGGACGGGATAAAGAGGAACTCACTACTACCATCTCCTGATCACCTCGGCTGCGTGCCTGGTGACCTTCATCTTGCAAATGCTCCTGCAATATGTATGACAGTGGCATGTCAGAACCAGAACAAGGAAAACCGAGTCCGAGTCAAGACGCAACGACACGCTAGAACCAGACTCACCAGCATGACCAGAGGGAACTGTCCCACATGACGGACCGGATGAGGTATAGTCACAGGAAATCCGGATGACAAGGGGTCGCAAACTTTACCTGGTCGCGAGAGAACAACAAGGGTCAGGGATGTGGGATTACAGTCGCGATCATAATCACACTCAAATTGAGACCACCGTCCCATAATCAAGAACCAGACTCACAGTTGACCCATAACTCCGAATCCTCCAATCCTTCGTCGCCCGATCGAAAAGTCGAGATTGAAGCCGAAGCCGAAGCCGAAGCCGAAGCTAAAGCTGTAGCCCTCGAAGACGAGCTGGAGGCCACCTGATCCACAATATTCCCGCCCGATCCCGATTTCAACCTCGGTTTGGGAGTAGCGAAAAGTGTGCTGGCTGTGGTCCCTCCTGGAGCTCGTAACAACGCTATGAACGGTCGAATGAGTCCCAGAGGTACAGTGTCGACCTATGATTATGATCGTGATCACGCACGTGAAGCATTGCAGGTTAGCAGTCTGATGCATCACCATATCTGATCGAGGTTGACGGCATCTAGCGAGTCCTATCCACTTACGGCTTGAGCGTCTATCCCGTAGAAAGTGGCGTACAAGTCTGTAGCCAAGGCCAGGTTATCCTGCATCTGCATCTGTATGATCTTATTTAGGCGATTCCCAGGGCGCAGTCCGCGATGTAGGTATGCTCCGTGCCGTACGGCGACGGGTGGTCGTGAACACCTCTTGCAGTTTCTTCCGAGGTCGATGATGTCGGTAATCGCTGCCAGGTATACATGTATATGCCATATATGAGCCCGGTCACGAAGCACACATTCTTTTGCGGTTATTGTCGTTGTTGTCGTACCGCACGTCTAAATGTTGATTTTTCGAGACTAGTGTCTCCAGCAGCTGGAATACGGTCTATGGAAGCATGCCGAGGGTTCTTCTTGTTGGTTCCACGATCAAACTGTATCGGAATCGAGATCAAGGCCGTCTTCCGAAGTGTCGAAGAAGAGCGAAATGTCGGCCGCTGCAACCTGCAACGATGGTGGTGCGGTTGGTATAGGTGATGTTCTAGTCGATCGATGGGGTTTTCACAGGCAAGCAATGCGTGATTGACCATCTCGAACTTGACTGTATCGCATTTACTGTGCCAACTCATGATCATCTCAAGGGGATGATGGAAAGATTGATCGACGAGGTCGAGGGTCGAGGGGGACTGATCCCATCAATCCTCGTTCAATCGAGGGTGGTAGCCGGTCGGTCCAGGCCGATGGTCCGCATCGACGAACGACGAGTCTCAGCTCTGCATCTCGAGCAGTTCAGCTAGATGCGTTCAGCTGTGGGACTTCGAAAGGTACTGACTTTGCCGGTGGAATCCCTGAACCAATACCATCCTCTCATCCGATCCCCCCCCCCACACACACACATAACTATCCATACTCATTTGCTATAAAGATCTCGATATGCTTCCGCCCCGGACTTGGTCCTTCCCTACGCCACCCCCCACCTCGTTCTGCAAGAGGATCTGGCAGCATCCTCATGACGGAGAAAAGTTCACCTTTACCTTGGACGAAATGACGACAGGACCCGATGCTCAATACCAAGGAATCCACATCAACCTCTTCTATCTACTTAATGCTCTGTCATACAGATGGGAAGAGAATAACGCTGGATCTGCCTGGAGGGGAGCGTACATCGCTTCGATCTCAAACATCAACACAACCAAGTTTGATTGCGAGAGATGTGCAATGGACGGAGCGAGGTGCTACAGAGGCAGCAAGGGCCAAAGGTCAGTGCTGATGCGGCAAAATTGAGCGGCGACAGGATGATGCTGATATTCGTGCTTCCACACCCTAACAGTATACAATCGAACAAGTGCGCCCGGTGTATGGTTATATATGTGCCGTGTGATCTCAGCATGGCAAAGATCGAGCCCGCTTGTCCTCGAGGAGTCACCATCAACACTGGAGAGAGGCTGCACGTCGTTACCAAATCTCTGGACAGAGTGAAGAAGGAACACCCGGGCATACTTGACGGATGGAAAGGAGGAGCCGAGCTTGTTGCGCACATCAATCCATCCGGTGATTACTATGCAAATCTCGCTCCTACCGATCCTACAAGCCTGCAGTGGTTGCGAAACATTCTGGAATACCTCCCACATTGTCATTTTGACAAGGGTACCCAATGGCGAGTCTTCCGTCCGACGTCACGTAACGTGGCTAGTTCTAAGCTAAGCTTTCTCGTGCTGAATAGCTACACGGCGACCCTTGACTCAACCATCAACATGCTTCCGTTTGCTATAAGCAAAGGCAAGCAGGAAAACGTGCGTCGAGGAGGTACTCCTTCGATCGACTTGGTCGACGACGGTTGTCACTTGAGGGAAACCATGGAGTCGTCAGAGGCAGAGGCAGGAACCTCGGAGAAAGCGTCTACTCGCCCTGCGACCCAGAGGCAAACAATTGCGATCGAGAGGAGCCCGATGAAGACCCAAACCCCAGAAAAGGAAGAATTCGGCTCTGCCAGGCGGGAAGCTGGCCCTGCGAGACGGATCAGAATTGAAGATAGAAAAGACCGATCTGGTACCGCCGCCAGCACCACTTTGGCTCGAGCGAACGATCAATCGGGAGCCTCTAGCCCGAACAAAACTCTTTCTGCCAGTCGGGATTCCAAGTTCTTGGTGGATGCGATGGGTTTCCGAAGTGGGGCCACGTCGTCACAACCCCGCATCATACGATCTACCGCCACCAGTGGTGAGGCTAGCCGGAAGGCCCCTCCAGTTTATGGCGGTGAGGTGTTGAGCGATAGCGAGGTCGAAAGTCGCCCGAAGACAAGGAAAAGGAAGAGGAGAAGCGACAGCGAGGACGAGGGCGAGAGCGAAGACGAGCGCGGGGGCGAACCATCGTCGAGGAAGAAACTGGAGGACCCACAACGAACTTTGACGTTGCACATGATCGACAGCATGCCGCAACACTCGATGTGGTACAGGAAGAGGTTGATGGTATTAGAGGGTATCATTGATAGCCACACCGAAGGCGAGGGAGGAGAGTTGACGGGTCTCAAGACCGAGATATATCAGTGGTATGCCAGTACAATCAACGGACCCATTCGGTCAAATATACAATGATCATGTAATACGAGGTCTCTTATCTCTAGTTCTTTGCTCTACCTGAGTTGGGCATCGTGCTATTGAAGCGGGATGTGACCGGTGCTTGCGTTGTTGAACGAGATATACTGGATGATCAGGGACTCTGAATGGTCAAAAGATGTCTATACGATAAATGGGCTATGAACCAAGATCTGTGGCCAGGCGATCGAGATATCATCAATATCAACAGTTGTACGGTCGAGAGATTCGATCAACGAACCCTCTCGACCTTGGTGATGTAACGGCGTCACGTGATCTTCCCGTGCTCGTTGCTTCCTTCTGGGTTACTAGCTATTCGAGAGACATTTGATGGATCTGAGCTCTTTCGAAAGTTTGGGATGTTCCTGGAGATCGATCGAAGTGTTTCCTGCGTTTGAGATGATCCAGGGATTGAAGACTTTCCTGATGTTCGATCCTAGAGTCTAGACGCTTGGCTGATGCCAAGGTCTGGAGGTTGGGATGACGACAAGGCCCCGGGAATCAGAAAAGCGGCCGCCTGAGGTAATCAGAGCAGAAGTGCTGTACCTACGGAAAAGCTTTACCCCGAATCGGGTCAGCTCCCATGGAGCTCCTTGTGATCGATAGAAATACCCGAGGTGCGCGAGGTGTCGTATGGGGACAGAGGACGGCTTGTCGTATAAACAGCCACCGTGCCTCGGTCATCGGCACGGACCATGCGCGCGTGAAGACGTCGTCCTCATCACACAGCCTACTAGCGTGAATCACATGAGCCATATTCCGTGAATCCTCCGCCTGGTTGAATTCATGCTGTCGGTCGGTCGGCTGACCGGGGTTGCGAGGCCAGAACAAGACGATGCGAAAGCCAACAATCTGCGAAAACAACCCGAAGGAACAGTCGACCTGACGACTTGCCGGGCCCCACGGGATGTTGTTCGTTGCCGAGAACTGTCCGTAACGCAGCTATCGTCGTCGTATATAAAGCCCTGCTTGAGGTTATGACTTACTCGACCTCTTGCTCGTCATACTTTTCTGGAATTGCTCAACAGCTGCCTCGATATATTCATCGCCTAGTTGTTCGCGACCTGATCCATCATGTCTGCCAACGATCTGTCGCCCTCACCCAGGGATCAAGCGAATCCTATAGATTCCAAGGAAAAGTATGCGGTCGAGCACATCGATGACCGCAACTACAAGCTGGAGGCGGAGGAAGCGGAGAACAAGGAGCAGGCCATGACGGTCATGCAGGCCGTCAAAGCCTATCCTTCGGCATGTGCTTGGGCTTTTACCATGTCGTCAACGATCGTGAGTGCGGTAGATGTTTCATCCGTGCGTACCTATTAGAGGCGCTAACGCGCGCGCGCGCATCAGATCATGGAATCCTACTGTCTTTTCCTCATGGGTTCCTTCGTCGCTCTCCCAGCATTCAGGCGCAAGTACGGTATTCCCGACGGAAATAACGGTTACGTACTGGAGAGCGCTTGGCAGTCTGCCTTGCAAGTCGGTGGACCTTTGGGAGCGCTTATCGGGGTCTTCATCGCTGGACCCATCACCAGCAAGATCGGATATCGTTATGCCACAATTTCAGGTAAGTCGACTCTCTAGAACTCGGTAGGTCTTCGGTCGCTGATTCGACCTGCATCTCTTCAAAAGGTCTAATGCTGCTCAACGCCACGATTTTCATCATGTGTAAGTCGTTCGAAATAAGAGTCATCTCTCTCGACTTTCATATCTAATCGATGAATCCCATCCTCTCGACTCTCCTTGCATCTAACCTCCACAGTCTTCGCGAATTCTCTACCTGTTTTCTTCGTCTCTCAAATCGCGGAGGGTATTCCCTGGGGTATCTTTGTGAGGATGCGAAAAATACGAAGCTACGCGCGGAACAAGGCTGACCGACCTCATTCAAACAGATCGCCAACGCTCCGGCCTACTGCAGTGAGATCGTACCGATGAGGCTCAGAGCCCCGGCCACACAAGTGCTCCAGCTCTTCTGGGCGGTAGGATCTATCATCGTTGGCGGTGTCACCTATGTATACCAAAAGGACGACGGTAGTTCCGCATGGAAGTGAGCTCAGCGTTCGGATTCGCTTAACCCATGTGCGCACGCTTACTCTCAACGAGCACTACAGAGTTCCCACCGCTCTACAGTGGATGTTTCCGACGCCACTGGCTGTTCTGATCTTCCTCGCGCCCGAATCGCCCTGGTGGTTGGTTCGCAAGGGGAAACTGGAACAGGCCGCCCGTTCGATCGAGCGACTCGGTCGAAAGTCGCAGGTCAACGGTCCTGAAGGTGTCGCGATGATGCGACGAGTCATCGAGGCGGAATCTCAAGAAAACCCTTCCCTCATCGAGCTCTTCAAGGGGACCGATCTCCGACGAACTGCCATTGTATGCTGCATCTACGCGGCGCAGAACTTGGCCGGGAACCTCATTGCCAATCAAGCCGTCTTCTTCTTCGAGCGTGAGTCACTCGGCATTCCGTTTGAAGCGACAAGTTTTGTTAACTTGTTGCTATATAGAGGCTGGCATGGACACCGATACCGCCTTCGCCCTGGGTCTGGTCACATCCGCTTTGCAAGCCGTCTTTGTCATGGCGTCCTGGGGGCTTACAACGCGCTTCGGCCGACGGCCCATCTACATCTGGGGAACCGGCTTCAACGTCGTTATGCTCATCGCTCTGGGTATCGCGGCCTGCTTCCCCAAATCTACGGCCTCATCTAACGCGCAGGCTTCATTCGGTCTGATCGTGTCTGTCATGTTCACCTTCGCTGCCGCCCCGATCTCATGGGTCATTATCGCGGAGACTTCGGCTATCCGTTTGAGGCCTCTTACCACTGGTGTAGGACGGGCTTGTTACTATATCGTCAACATCCCTTGCATTTTCCGTAAGTCCTGCCTGGTCCTTGGCCATAAACTTGGTATGACATCTCACTGGCCCTCGCCAACCCAACAGTCGGGTCTTACATGCTTAATCCTACGGGAGCCAACCTCGGTGGAAAGTGTGGTTTCGTCTGGGGAGGTACTGCGTTGTTCTGTCTGATCGCTGCCTACTTCTTCCTCCCGGAAATGAAGGGGTAAGTGGCTTGTCTGCGCTACATATTTCGACACATGACTCTGGACTCACCTACTTTCCCTGCCACAGTCGAAGTTACCGAGAGATCGACATTCTCTTCCGTCGACACGTACCAGCACGGAAGTTTGCCAGTACCGAGATCGACATCTCTGCCGACGAGTAATTGTCGTGTATGTTTGATACACCCGCACACAACGATGGCGCCGTAAGCGGGGGCGCTCAGGGAGCAAGGCTTTTGTCTACGAAAGAAGCGGCTACATGGGAGCGTTCTGGGCCGAATTGTATCGTAATCTAGTTAAAAGTGTAAAATAGAAGGGGGTCCATATCTGAGTACACACCTATACGAACATATCTTCACTTGCAGAGGCCGAATGACGTTTGCATACGTAATCACATGTTGTGAACCTTGTCAAGAGCAGCTTCTCGCTTCTCGCGAACATATGATGAGGGGAGACGACATCGCAAGGTCAACCTCCACGGGTGGTATTTGTGACGAAATGGACGTTGTCAGCATCGTCAAGAGCGATCATGGATGCTCTCGAGAGTGATCAAGAGGCATGGATCAAACCGCTACATGAATATCCAAGAGATGGAGTATACGACAAGAGCGAAGGAGACGGAGAGGTATGGGTCAAACCGCTATACAAATATCGGAGAGACAAAGAATCAGACGAGCGCGAAAAAGATGAAGAGCAGCCGCCGATTGCTGGTCACGATGATCTATTACCCCGTCAGACGCTAGACCGCTGCGAGCTATTCCTGAGATAGTATGCCTGACCTTAAACTGTGTCCTTCCTACGATCACGTTCATACGCTATAAACGCGGCTATAATTCTCAGCCTGTTTATGATCGTAATAATAATAATGACGTAAAGAGGTCGAGTGAGAGAGAATCGCTCCAGTACAACATGCGCGTATTCGTAAGTGACTAAGTCCTATGACATGGCCTATGATATGATTCACTGTCTTTTCCGATCGTAAGAGGTTCCGTTATATGTCGACGATTTCGTGAGGAGGTGAAAGTGGTCGACGAGGTCGGCGGCGGTGTTCCCGGTCGGATCAATCTGTTCTGGGTGAGAGCCTAGGCCTAGAATTAGAATTGCTGCAGAGGTCATGATGCGGTGTCCGTCTTGCAATGAGCCCGTTTGTACTCTTCGCCAACCGCTGCGAAACATTAATGCTCACATCTCTCCACCAAGTCCTACAGTTCAGTCGACGGTAGGCCCCTTCCGTACAGGGCCAGCCCAAACAAACCGTTCATGACGGACCCTGAACGACCAAGGCAGGGACATGTCGCTCGAACCAGCTGCGTCGTCCATCGCGAAATGAACGAAGTAGTCCTGCATCTCCGTCATGCTGTGCGGCCAGTTGCGCCTCCACTCGGAGAAGACCTTTTTGCAGGCTGCGATCCGCTGCTTCCTATCCATCCAGGCCGGGGCCAGGAACTCGGACCAATAAGCTCCATCGATCTCCTGCGTAAAGTCGATGCCGAAATGTCGGCCGATCATCCGGACTTGTAGTCCTCTGGGTATACACAGCATGACGTCGGATTCGAGATCGGTCATCAGCTGGGCTGCCGCCTGGTCTCCCATCTTGACCCAGTGAGCTAAGGGAGGGAAAAACGTCTCTCTCTCTTCCTTGAACAGTCCGGCGGCGGCGAGCACATCAGCCCATCGTCGACGCATGACCAGAATGTCCTTGCATTCTGCGATGTCATATAGAGTGTCTTGGACCACATCGGCATTGCGGTTACGAAAGAGTCGAAGGATCGGCGCCCACTCTTCCAACGAGAACCTGCCTCCTCCCAATATCAGGCGCAGGTAGTGTAGCGGTCCCTGGATGTCGTATCCGGCAAAAGCGGGTTTACCGTCTTCCGCGCAAAATCTGGCTCTGATGAACTTTGCGATGATCTGAAGGGCTTCCAGCGTAGCGCCTTCCGACCACCGCTCTCCCATCCAGACACCCTGACTCCATCCTCTACGCTTCCACTGGAGTGCGAGCTCTTGCCTCCTGGTAGCTTGAAGGGGCAAGGCCAATCCCGAAAGCATCTTCAGGTCGGCTACCGCCCTATCCGCTTGAAGCTGATCGAAAGGTTGAATCTCTCGCAAGATCGCCCTCAAGTAGCCGTCGTCCACACCGACCCATAGCGTACTCGTCCCCTCCAGAGCTTGGACGATCGCCCCGTAAGCATGTCCCAGAGCCGCTCGTCTTTCCTCATTCTCTTCGTCCATCTTGACTACCGAGTCGAACAGCCCCGTATCCCATAGCAAGCGGTACATCGCACAAGCTCGCCCATCTTCCGAATTAATGGTGTTCAACCAGTCCCACTCATCCTCGGACCATCCGTCCTTCAAGATCGTCTGAATTCCGGTCTTAAGCTCTTCGTATGGGACGTGCAGGCCTTCATTTAAGATCCATGTACAGGCTTGAGTTAACCCGCTCCCGAGAGGTGTCCCCGATTGAAGAGCATTCGCAAAGGGAGGCTGATATGCTCGTCGATTTGGACGTAAGATTGGCTCGTTGTAAAGAGCGGCAGCGACGGACATGGTAGGCATGGCAGTAGAAGCTTGAGAGGGGGTTTCAGCAAGTGTGGACGGGCGGGCGGTGGAAGGGGAAACGATTTCTAGCTGCAAGCAGTAAGAGGCAGAAGAAGAAGGACATGATGTCAGTTGACAGGAAACGTTCTTTGCTCTTTCGACGAACGACTCGGTAGGTGGTTTAGATTCGGAAAGTGATTCGACTCGGAAGGTGGTTTGTATATGACGAACTCGTTCGAGGTGCACGATGACGATGTAGATGTTTCAGACGTCGTAATCGTTGCGAGTGGAGATTCAGGTGAAGGGATTCTGAACTTATTGAAAGCATGGGGGCAAGGTTCAGTCATATGAACGTCGTTTACTTGGACACACTTGTCTATACGCAACGTACGGGTTCGATACCCAATTCGAAACGGGATTCTTGGCTTCTTGGGCGTTTCAGGAGGTTGAAGTGTGGAATCGTCGTCGGCGGGTTTCTTTGTACTATCGTCACGATCCGAGATGTGGTTATTACTAACCTGATGTATCCTGTAGACCTCTCTGTGTGTCGTTACACGATATATATACACATATATACCTTCCTAATTCCTAACGCTTAACGTGCCTTCTCAGCTTGTCGACAAAAGAAAACGACCACGACGACGACGATCGCCGACCCTGCGCCCCCCGGAATCAAATTCGGGGCCAAGAATACCGTAAGAGGCCAGAATTACGTAATCTGCGGATCGGGCTGCTCGCTGCTCGCTGCTGCTAATGCCTTGTTGCTAACCAACTTGCTAAAAAACATCACACTCTTCTCTGGTACAGTCAATCGCTTTCGAACAAGGAGATCCCCCGCATCTGATCGTCAAGAGATAGATCGATAACACGCACGGAGCCTCCCAAAGGCTAGTCCGAGCCTCACCATGGCACCTTCTTCCTCGCCACTCCCCGCCGTGGGTGCTCGGGTCCATTCATCTTCACCTGGTAACAAGCTGAGCGATACCGAGTCTGACGGAGAAGACATGGTCACGCCTACCAGGAGGAAGAAGGACAAGGGAAAGAGCAAGGTGTTGGGAACCCCGGCGGTACCTCTGAGGTATCCAAACCTGGAGACTCCGACCCAGGTGAGCAGTAGGTCTGTTCGCAGAACGAGCGGCTCGGTGGTGATCGACACCGGATGTTTCATTTTGCGCTTTATAGGTCTCTAGGGCGATTAGCAAACCGAGATCATTACGGCGGAACGCATCCAATCAGGAAGACTGCTTACGAGTCTTGACAACGAGTCAGTTCCCAGCTCTTCTCTTTCTATACCTTGGGGGTCCCTCATCGATTGATTTCATCGTACATAACGACTACATTGCAGCGTTCAACAAACCGTCTTTCAGGGGAAGACAGAAGGAGATCATGGAGGCTGCCGTGCATGGGGCAGATGTACTCGTCGTCGCTCCAACGGGAATGGGCAAGAGGTACGTCATCAGTATCAGTATCGCAGTTGGACAGCACAGGAAGCTGATCCATTCACGCTCGTTCGGTATCGGTAGTCTCTGCTTTCAGGTGCCAGCCGTAGCGGACGCGCACGGTATCACGATCGTGATCTCGCCACTTCTGTGTAAGCTCTATGAGTGACTATTGCTGCCCAGGAGGCGAGATTTACACCACGCTGATACCAAAATCTGCCGCGATGTACGGGTCCGCATAGCTTTGATGAAAAATCAGGTAGAGGCTCTGAGGGGGTACGGCGTCAAGGTTCACATTCTGAGCTCCGAGACGACATTCCCAGAACGGCAAGAGGTGAGTTTTAGGGGATTCTGGATCTGTGATTTGATCGTCTCGCCGGCTTTTTCCCGGCACCGTGTGCTGACATGATCATTGCAATCCTGTTCCCTGCTCGCTGCACCCTGAAACCAGATTGAGAAGGATCTCGCTTCCGGACATCCTTACGCCCGGCTCTTATACATCACCCCTGAATCCCTGTTCAGCCCGAAATTCTTGAAAAGCATCAAGATCGTAGTGGGACAAAAGGAACTGAGGCGTCTGGTGGTCGATGAGGCGCACTGTATCTCGGTGGGTCAAGCTCCGAGCTGAATGCTCATTACTCGACAAGGGAGAAGGGTTGGGAGTGCTGATTACGATCACGCTCGGATGTGGGGCGGGGGTCAGGAATGGGGTAGCTCGTTCAGGCCTGAATATAGGAAGTTGGGCTTTTTCAGGAAGGAGTTTCCGGATATCCCGATCATGGTGAGAATAGCCACGCGTGAACAGTGACCTGGATCGTTGTTCACCCATCTTGCGTTTGTGCTACTATACTACAGGCGTTGACGGCGTCCGCCACGGCGGCGGTGGAGAGGGACATCATCGCTCAGCTTGGATTATCACCTAGACACCTTTACCGGTGCGTCGAGCCGTTCAACAGGACGAACTTGTATTACGAGGTACGTCATTATCATCCCTCAAGGCTTCCCACGAGTGCCGCCTCAATGATGATCCACTGTGTCGCAGGTCCGATACCGTCCGGAGCCAGATCAGTACCGCATCAAAGATGTCGAAATGTTCATCAAGGCATTCGCAAAGAAAGCGCCTGTCGACCCGTTAGACCCAGAAAAGAGAACACCGGTCTCCGGTATCATCTACTGTCGGGCTCGTGCGATGGTGAGTTGCGAGACGAAGCGCTTGACTTTACGCACAGCCAACCGATTTGACATGCTTGCGACGGGATGCATTGCAGTGCGATCAGGTAGCGGAAATGCTCCGGGAGGAGGGAATCAGAGCAAAGCCGTTCCATCGGGGACTGAAGAACCCAGAGCTGGACAAGACTATGCAGCAGTGGCTGGAAGGCGGCGTCGAATGCGTGGTACTTATCCTCGAGTTTAGAGCCGTAGAAAGCGACTGACCAGTGTTTTCGCGCGTTCCATCAGGTCGCTACGATTGCTTTCGGAATGGGGATCGACAAGCCGAATGTGAGATATGTAGTGCATTGTGAGTGAGAAGTGCCGGGTATTCGCCCGTCGAAAGCATGTTCGTTATCACTGACGACGTCAGCGAACCATCTAGTCGACCTACCCAAGAGTTTCGAGGGCTACTATCAAGAGACGGGTCGTGCCGGACGGGATGGACACGTGAATTTAAACGCTCAGCGCTCGTCTTTGACACGTCTTACTGATCGAATTGGCCGCTTCCCCATAGATTTCGAGATGTTTGCTGTATTACTGTGCGTGTGGTATCGCATACAATACGGCGTGAGTTCGTGTAGGATTTCACAACCTCGCCCTCATACTATTTACAGCGAGAGAAGACGCGGTCCGACTCCGCCGACTCGTCAACATGGAATCTGGCAAGAAAAAGCACTCGAAACCAGAAGATGATGACGAGCTGGATGAGCATAGCGGGGTCGACAGTTTCAAACAGGTCAGAACGGTCAAGAGCTGTGCTGGAATTGTTCCGCTGACGTTCGCTGGGAGCCTCAGGTGCAACACTACGCCGAAGCCACGACTCTCTGCCGGCACGTGGCAATCTGTAGGTACTTTGGGGAGAAAATCGACGAAGCGAATCCGGTCACGGCCAAGAACTATTGTGATAACATGTGCGATGTGGGTTCTCGGTCGAAAAGACGAGGTTCCTTGATCTTCATTGATGTTGAACTGTTCATAGGTTTGCGTCAATCCGGAGAAAGTTGCTACTCGTGCAAAACAGCTTACCGCTGAGGTTGCGGTATCCTCGCAGATTCCATTTAGGAAAGGGCGGGACCGTGAGGAACTGGATCCAGTGCACCCTGTCTCGTTCTACGGTCGACGAACCTCCCCGAGCCCGCCTGCTGCGCAAGACCCGCCTCGCGTTTCTGCGACTCGCCATGGGATAGAAACCCATTCCACCGCGATGCCTCCTCCCTCCGCACCTGCTCGGCCGGAACCAAGGACCAGTGTCGCTGCGCCGGTAACCAATCCCTATCTCGCTGCTCCACCGCCGCCTGGTTTGTCTCGGGTCGGGATCGCCCACTCGAGTCACGGTCACGGACTGCAAGGACCTCGCCGAGCTGCTCCGGACAAATCTTCGAAGGAAAAGACCTCTCCGGTCATTATCGAACGGTCCGAACCTCCTACCAAGAAGTCCAGGATCGTCCCGCCGAATCCGTACGCCGCTTCGCCATCCTCGGCGAATCCAGGTATGTGGCTTGTGAGCCGACTCCCACAACGCTCGCCAACCTTGCTGCTTCAGCCCGCTGACAGCGTCCCCGTGTGATTTAGTCTATACGGTTGCTGCGAGACGTATCGGATCTCAACACGGCTTCAAGACGCCGTTCATGACACAGCCGCGTATTACGCCTTCGCAAAGAGCTAGTCGGAAGTTGAAAGAAAATTGTACGTTCGTCCATCTGTCTCTCGCACATGTCTGCAATCTGACCTCACGGTATCGTCATCTAGCGTCGTTTGACTTTGATATCGAAGAGGGCAGTCTGAGGGTGGAGATGTCCATGTCACAGAAACTCCCAGTTAGTATCTTTTCCGTCTCGTGTGATTAGACTGTACTGATGGAAAATCTACAGACTGCGCTTCGAACCGAGACGCTGAAAGCGATAGTAAAGGCAATGCACAACTGCCTTACAGGGAATGTCTGGGAGCGGCTATTTGCGGCGAAGGGTGATTTCACAGCGAAGCAAAGGTGCGTCAATCGTCCTCAGCCGTCGAGGTACGTCAAGCTAAGATGTCGGTACACGACTCACTCAGGACCGCAGCGATCTTGAGCGCTTGTAAGGGAACGGAATCAGGTGAGTAACACCAAACGCCGACTCGTCCGCATGAAACTGATGATCAAGGCCTACTAGACGTCATGTCTTGGTCAGTATCGGCTGAAGGCTACAGCGAGCGTACAGCCAAGGTACTACGATCCATCAAGTCACAGAGAGCCTGGCAAATGGTGTGCTCGGGTGATATGATGAGCAGTGATGAGGATGACAACGAAGAAGCGGAGACTCTCGAACAGATCAGGCAGCGTATCGTGATGGCCTTGAAGTAGCACGATACTCGTTACGACCGATTCATAGCACGACAAGAAGATTTAGGATACAACAAGTACTCACAACGAACGATTACGACCCCGACACGACACATGATCTCTTGTAGGATTCACCTCGATGTAGCGTTGTAACGAGTATAAGCGTGTAAAGCTACAACTAGATCTGTGTGATTCGAAGCCCGGTGCAGGTCGCCCGGGGGGGGGTATCATATCGCGAAAGGTCACACTATTCGCATTCGGTTTGCAAGTCCACTCTAACCGAAAAGCTACTGAAAGATCAGCATGGCGCATACTTACTGTACTTCCCATGTGCGACACCACGACACGTCTCGAGAGCCGAGATACGTTTCATCTGGTCAAAGGGTTTCGAGAGGATCGATCCCGCAACTTGATCCCCTGACAAGCAGGATAAGCATGTCTGAAACCCATACAGGCTACAAGAGTCGCTCGCTATCTCGACACATCAAGATTGAGCCATGGATGTCCGCATGTCCGAAGATTACCAACACCGAGCGTCGGGGGATGGCACGCGGAACCAACTCCGCACGCGTCCACCCTTCGACGTCCCCACCCGCACGAACGCCGAGATCACAAAGTCATATAGGCCATGGGAGATCGATCGTACATGATAGCCGACCTCGAGCGCGATTCAGACCGCTACATACCTAACACACTCAGTCTCTACAATACATAGATAAGATATGATCGAGACCATCGCTTCCGACCCTTCGTTCGCGGGTGCACTGTCGAAAGACTTTAGCTACGGCTTTGCAAGCGCGAGTTATCAGATCGAAGTGAGCCCCGTTGAATGCAAGCACGAAAGACTTGACATGCTCATCCTGCTCCCGCACATCTTCGTCAGGGAGGATATCAAGACGACGGCAGGGGTCCTTCTATCTGGGACGAACACCTCAAGGACCAAGAGAACGGAAACGAGGCCGTCGACTCGTACCACCTCTTCAGGGAGGACATCAAGCTCCTCAAGCTCTACGGAGCCAATTCGTACCGGTTCTCCATCTCGTGGTCCCGAGTCAAACCTTTGGGAGGAAAAGATGATCCGGTGAACGAACCGGGTTTGGCATACTACGATCAACTGATCGACGCTTTGCTCGCCGAGGGCATCACACCCTGGGTCACGTTGTACCACTGGGACCTCCCGCTCGAGCTGGAGAAGCGATACGGAGGCTGGCAAACGGACGACAAGAGCCAGATCATCGATGATTTCGTCTCGTACGCCGGCTTGCTCTTTGAAAGATACGGTGATCGGGTCAAGAACTGGATCACCCTGAACGAGGTGCGTAGCGATCTCGGATCCCCTTGCACTTTTAGGACCGGGGTCGCTGCTGAAACCGCCACATGTAGCCACACATCTTTACCATGCTTTCGAGCTTTGGCTTGAAACAGCCTTGGAACAGGGAGACCGATACCTGGAAGTGAGTCCCTCAAGCAGGAGGTTTCATTCCAGCTAGAATTTGCACTGATGTTTGGGGTTGAAAATTGTAATTCAGGACCGGCCATCATCAGCTCCTAGCCCACGCATACGCTGTCGAGCTGTACCGACAAAAATACCAATCTTCTCAAGGCGGAAAAATTGGTATCACCTTGGTGAGTTGCTCGTCCCACTTCCCGCTTCGTAACCTTGGTTTCCAACATCAGGACCAAACAGATTGACGTGCTTGATCCGCTGCGCCTGCGGTTTAATTTAGAATTGCGACTGGTGTGAACCCATCGACGATTCACCGGAGGCCAAGGCCTGTGCACAGCGTATGTTGGATGCCGTGCTCGGTTGGGTGGGTCGTTCGTCAATCAGGCGTTCCATTTTCCCTAGACGATACTGATTGTACTGATTGTTCTCGAATCCGTTTCTCCCCTAGTTTGCTGATCCCGTCTGTGAGTCAACGCGTTGCATAACTGGTCAAAGGCGACTCGATCGTATTGTCTTACCGGTTCACCATCATACTTGCAGTCCATGGGCATCTGAATCAGACACTCAAGGAGGAACTCGGAGATCTCCTTCCAGACTTTACTGATGAAGAATGGAAGGTCGTCAAGGGAAGCTCGGATTTGTAAGTCCACTCGCGCGGCCCATCTTCGAAAGAGGGCAGCAACATTTGCTCATTCATTCAGAGATGGAATTGATTTGCATCACACTGTAGCCTCGGCTGGAACCACTACGGAACCTCGTATGCCACAGGGAAAAAGTTCCCCTTCAAGGACGCCGATCCCAGACAGTTCATCTTTGGTTGCGTGGAGAGAACATTCGAAAAGGACGGGCAACAGATCGGGATCAAAGGTCATAATGGGCATCCTTATATCGGTGAGCCTCGGCTATTGGTAGCGGATATGTAAGAGTTGTTGTTTCGAGGTTGATGCTAAATGAGTTCGCTCTGTCCGTCTCGCATCGCGTCGTACCAGTCCCCTGGGGTTTCCGCAAATTCATGCGATACCTCAACGAACGGTACGCCAAGCCCTGCAACGTACCGATCGTCATCACCGAAAACGGGTTCCCCGTCGAAAACGAGGGAGACCTTCCCACCTTGGACGACATACTCGAGGATACGAATCGACAGGTGTACTTTAATTCTTACTTGAAGGAGATGATCGAAGCTATTCGGGATGACGGGGTGAATCTGACGGGTTACTTTGGGTGGTCGCTGCTCGAGTGAGTCCGAAGGTTTCCCGTAGTCGATCAGTGGGTGCGACACTGACCATATGATGACCCATACCTGTATTTAACCACAGCAACCTCGAGTGGATCTTTGGTTACAAGCCGAGATTCGGAGTGACCCACGTAGACAGGGAAAACGGGTTCAAGCGGACCCCTAAACAATCGGCGTTCGTGATCAAGTCCATCTTTGACCATGCCATCGCAAATTAAACCCATGCAGTCGGGCTCCAACAGATCGATAAACCAGAAGTCGATGAACAGGAAACAAGTTGTGATAGTATCGTATCATATGCAATTATGATGTGGTTGCCCCGATGGCGTATGTCGTCGTCTCGATCGAGATGTACAAATGAAGGTGGTTCGTAAGGAAGAGGCAAGAATGTGAAACGAGAGAAGGAGCGTCACGATCTACGGGTCGGAACCAGGAAGACCCCCCTAGACCACCCGGGACGGGCTTTTTCGTCGATCAGAAGCTTTTGAAGCTCAGGTTCACGAGCTGAACCTAGCGATGGTCCCATCGATAGACCCCCCGTGAACTTGCGAAAAGACGGCGACGCTCGTCTCGGTGTTGTTTGAACACCCGATGACGTCCCACTCGATCTTGCTGTCCTTGCCCTTGGCGGTGACGCTCAAGAAATCCTGCACTCCGCTGACGAGCGTCCCGTAAATCTCGTACTGGCCCGTCAAGGTGAATTGTTGGTAGAAGACAGGGAGGTAAGGGGTGGACCCGGAGGATGAACCGATGTTGAGGTTGAGACGTTCGGTGAGGGTTAGGCCGAGGGTGGAGAAGGTTCGGGTGGAGCCGGGGGAGTTGGGCTTGCCGGTTGTGGACTAGATGAGGGAGATCACAGAGCGTTTGATTTGGCATTAGAGTGGGATGTGAGGTACGTAGAGAGGTTGATCGATGATGCTTACGAGCAGGGTGAATCCTTGCCACTCGACGTCGGAAAAGTCACCGATTCGTGCCCAGACTTTGCTCGGGCTGGTCTTCTACGGTCGCCCAAAGAGTTTGCACCGGTCAGCTCTGGCCCGACAGTGATGTTGACGAGGCGTCGATCGATATTGCACTTACGGGTACAATTCCCTCGTTATGAGCCTTGAAGAGCACAGAGCCCTTCGGGCAGACCAAGTCGTTGACGATGGACGTGAGCGAACTGCTAGTGCCGGTCCAAGTGGGTGCGGCGGTGGTAAAGCTGACCAGGGTGGTAGCGGCGGCGAGAACGAAGGACTTGATGGCGACCATGTTGATTGACGGGTTTGAAGGGTCCTTTAGGGTGTGTAGGAGGAAGGGTGGCCGGGAAATGTATGTAAAGGAGTTGCTCTGGGTTGGGAGCGATGAAGATGTCGTGCGGAATAAAGGCAAAAGAGAGCTGATGGGAGGAGGATCTGAATGATCTCTATGCTTATATATACGAATAGCGAGTAGACATGACCTTGACTGGCGATAACGAATCTCTGAACCTTTCACGAGGGCGAAGGTGGTGATGTCGCGACGAACCGAATGGTAAAAGACGAGTCGCCCCGTGTCCGGCAACTCTGGCGACAGGCCGCGACCGAGACAGCGGATGACGCGGGAACAGGGAAGGGAAGGGAGAGAACATTTAGGAACGGGAGTAATCACATCTGATAGAGTTCACAAAGTTATTCCGATCGCCCTGTCGCTCTGCTGCTGCTGCTGCCTTGTCGCGCTGCTGTAGCGAGAGATCTTCGGTACCTTTTCGTTCTTCCCTCCCGCGCTACGCCGAACCCGGCGACGGCGACAAGCGAACTTCCCGCTGTCGCGTCGCATGCTCGATCGTGTTCCCTTCTCTACCGTAGCGTCTCATCACCCGAGTGCGAGTACATTCTTGCGGGCTTGCGGTGAGCATATGAGCATCTCATCATGCATCTGGCTCGAGCCAGATGAGGCCAGTGCGGTCGTTGTCGCCGGCGATACCATCTTGAGTTCAAGAATTGATCGGGATGCGGCAGGAATGGAACGCACAACCTGCTTCAGCGCCTCAGAACGATTTCCTCAGGCAGCTAAATCTCGCATCGGTTGATTCTTCAACATCTAAACTAAATAATGCTTACTCTACTCGAGTCATCGGCATGGATCAACTCCTTGAAGTTCTCAAGTATGTGGGAAGACCTTGTTTCCCTCTTTACGAGGGACGACACAGAGAAAGAGGCCGCAGATGAAGTCCACCTGGTAAATGAGCGACCAAGGATTTTTCTCCTATCATAGACATCATCGTCTGCGTACATTCGGACGGCTTGCGGCCAGACTATGACGGCGAAGTGAAGAAGACATCGCGGTCAGAGATTGACGGCCTGGAAGGCGGCGACAAGAAGCCCTCTCAAGGGTTTCTGATGCTTCGCTTGGACGCTCTCTGCATTACGGGATCTCTTTCGCCCCTTTGGCAAGGGTTGTGATGTAGGATTGCGTGGCAGGAGTTGGCGTGTGGCCGTCTTGCAGCGACAAGGATATCTGGACGGGACCTCCCGCCTGCCTCTCAGGTTGGATCGGCATATCTATGCTAATACAGTCGTCATCTGTGGAAGTATGATAATTTGGTACTCAACGCTATACGCAACCCGGACAGACAGACTGAAATTCCTGGGTTCTACTATATGAGACCCGTCTAGTAAGACTTTTTCTTGCTCTTCTTGACCGGCGTCGAAGGCTCGGCTATTGCGACTGGAAATCACGGATATCGCGCCACACTTCATTTAGCTATTCATCCTGGATCTTTGCTGATCGTACGGGATGATATGGTTCTCGAGAAATCAGACACTCACCTTTCTCTCCTGTAACGACCTTGCTCTCCGTATCCTGCGGAATACCTCCGAAGTTGTAGATCGCCCGCAGTGCGAACAAGACGGCCAGGATGACCGCACAAAGAGCCCTGGCATCGAGCTTGTCCCACGGTTTGAACATCGCGATCCTCTGTCCTGGCACCGATCCTGTCTTTATACTCGTAGACTCCGTCATGATCCCCATACCCGGGATAAAAGCCCCAAAGAGAGTAACAGGAGCGAGGAAGACCGGATGCGCCTGGGTCAACGCTCCGTACAACCAGGCGATGACCACCGGTGCCCAAAAGTCAACCGCCTTCCACCCGTCCGGCTTGAGTTCCCCTGGAGTGGAGAGCGTCCATTCTTTCTCAAAGAGCCCGAAGGCGAAGGACGCCGAAGCGGAGGGTACGACCATGATCCACGCCGAGAGGACCATCAGGTAAGGGTTGGTGCTGATCAGAGGGTCTTTGTGGGACCGGATGAGTTCGAAGGAAAAGGTGGTGAGGACCAAAGCTCTTCCCAGGGAGTCGAAGAGCGAAAGAGGGAGTTCATGTGAGAGGAGAGGTTTGCGGGGGATCAGGCGGTTGAAGGGTGTACGGGAGATGAGGTAGTCTGAGGTCGTGTCCACCGCATAGCAATGCAGACGAGTCAGCCTTGGAGGCACAACAATGAGTGTTTAGATAGAGTATGACCACTCACGCATGCCGCAGAAGAGGATGAGACCGTTTGGCGATTGCAACCAGCTAGGCAAGATACCCAACCAAGCAGCTAAACAACTTTCTCCTCCAAAGATCAATACGGCGATCCCAAACGCCTCTTGCAGGAACGTAGGCCGTCGTCCGCCTTCGTCGATCTTGTCATCCGGAATCTTTGCCTTTCCTCGGACGTATTGGTCGACGAACACGCTCAACCGGATGGCTCCCAAGAGGTCGAGGACGGGGAAAGGGAGGTAGGTCGGATGCGGGATCGTCTGGAAGAGGTAACCCTGAGTGTCCCGAAACCAGGGAACGAGTTGAGACATGTTTGCAGCGTGAGCGAGTGATAGCGAGATATCTGTCTAGGTATCGACTGGTTGTTCTTCTTAGTGTATCGATGACACGACTCCTTGCTCCTTGATGTCGCTTTTCGTCATCGATCGTGGTTGATCGACAATCTCGCAACCACGCCGGGCGGATCCGAGAGTCTCTTGCGTAATCGAATGCCACATATGCCATCCATGAATACTCTCTAATCGCAATATCCACTATCGTGTCTCTTCTAATCGGAACACCAATCTGCTTCCCTTGCTGGCCTAGTAAAAGCACTTTGATCTGCGTGTACGTTATTCGATGCTGCAATCATGCTCCGATCCCCCCGATTAGCCATAATACAACCATGTGCAAATTCTGCGGCTGTCCGCGTTATACAACTCCACGCGTGTGCACGTCTCAGATCGTGATCTATTTGTGATGTGTGATGTGATGTATTCTTGGTTGGCGGTCGTCGATTCACCCCTCAACTCATGCTGAAGCCTGATACTTTTTGCGAAGGTCGGAGACGTCCTGACGTAGTCGTCTGATGCTGACGGGCTGGGCGAATGAACAGGGGATGGCATAGGTTAGCGGCACTCGATTTATAACCGCATGCGATGAAATCTCACCTTTGTGATCCATTCGTCGATCCCAGCTCTGCAACAAAACTCGAGTGTCAGCTACCCGAAAGCACTTCTGGCAAGGCAGAAGCTAAGAAAGATACTGACTCGATCAACCCCCTCTGCTCATTCAGTGGACCTTGTAGAGCGGTGACGGCAATGATCTTGCAGCGGGGCCACTTCATCTCCTGCTCATATGCCCGAATGGCGATCGCAGCCTCGAAACCGTTCTTCCGAGGCATGTTGATGTCGAGCAGAACTGAAAGCGCCAACGAGGTCCACATCGTAAGCGATGCGGTACGGCTTGGTAAGCCGCTGAAGTGTGGACGCTCACCAAGACCAGGCTTGAACAGGGTGTATTCAGAGATGCCATCTTCCCCGTCCACGGCCTCCGCGACGTGAATACCCATTTTCTACAAGCCATAAAACACGCGTGAGCGGGGAAACTTGTACCCTTTAAGCTCAATCATGCGACTCACCTTGAGGGCTCCTACAAGTAATCGTCTGTTCACCTGTAGACACCAAGAGGATGTTTCAGCCGGAAGCCCACAAATGCCCGCGGTCCATTGGTACCACTCACAACATTGTCCTCGACGACCAGAACTGGTGAGAAAGAATGCACAACTTTCAACAAGCGGTTTCATCCGAAAACAAGTCAGCGTCAGGGACTAACCTTTGAAAGCCGCCTGCAGCTCCGTCGATTCTGCCTGGCTTTTCTCGGTCTCTTTCGCGTGTGAAAACGCAAGAGACTTGGAAGTTTCGCTACGCTCCGTCATCTCTGGCCGCGTGTGTTTCAGGTCGGCGAGATTAGGATCGCTCATCGCGGGTTCAGGCATGACGGCTTGAGGCTGTTGTTCTATCCTCGGCTTTTGTTCCGCGTCGCTATCGGATTCCGTCGTAGTCGAGTCCGGGTTGATCATCTGGCCCTTCTTCGGATGAGCGCTCTGACCTGCCGGTCTTTCGTCCCATGATCGAGAGCGAGTGGCCGTGATGATACGGTCGATAACGGCAGGCAATAGAGGCCTAAAGACCCAGCAAACTGGGACCTCCTCCCCGCCTAGTTGTATCGAACCGGGTGGGTCCGTCCGCCTTGGCGATGTCGACGAGCCAAACATTACGATCTGTCTATGGTGTACTTTGGTAAAAGCCAAGAGATCGCTCTCATATGGCTCCAGATCACACGCTTCTTCTATGACCACAGCGTCCGCTTCGGACAGGCTGCGAACCACGTCGCACTGCGACGCTCGTAGCTGCCGCTTCATGCTTGCCGCCATGTGCGCCAGTGCCAACCCATCCTTGCTCTTGAATCCCAGCAGATGTACGCGCACCTCGTTTGAATCTGTTTCCTCTGCAGTGCCATCGCCTTCGGTGTCAATGGACAGCGGTACCTCTATCTTGGCCGATGTTCCCGATCCAACTGCGCTTTGAAACATGATGGACCCGCCCATGAGGTCGATCATTCGTGATGCGAGCGGGACTCCGAGACCGGCCCCTTTCTATTGATGGTCAACGGATCAGCTCAAAATGACCCGACTTGCCCGACTTTCAATATGCAAGACGAACCGCATGAACATTGGCTTTGGCGAAAGGCTTGAAGATGTGATTGTCGACAAAGTCCTGTTCCATCCCGATCCCGCTGTCTTCGATAGTGATCGATACCATAGTGGTTGGCCGCGCCTCGTGATAACCTCGTGGCGCATGGGTTTTCTGTCAAAGGGTTCGCGCCGATCGTTAAATTTTCAGCACCATTGGGAAGTTTCAACACTGTACTCACCCGGGAGATATCCTCGCATATGACGGCGATGTATCCGCGAGGTGTGCACTGGAATGCGTTGATGAGAAGCTTCAGCACCGCCCTGTCGGGTTTGCCAAAGGAGATTGGGTTCAGTTCGGTGTATAACCGCCGAGTAGATCAAGGAGCTGACCGTTGCAATGGCAGTTTATCACGGTCAAGTTGCCATGTCCCCGTTTCTCGTGGCATAATCTCCAGGTAGACTTCAAGGTCGTCCATGTCACCTCCGGATACGCCTCGAGTTCTGGCTTCCATCTCCCAAGCTTCTCGTATAACCTCGGTGAGTACGCTCTCCATTGGCTCAGACGCTTTTTGTGGGCCTTTCATGGTCAGGTCTCGCTGTTCGGCGTGTTCACCGCCTACATCCAAGAAGTCAAGCACGTCGTTGAGCAGCGAGTCCAAGGTCCGACCGCTCGAATCAAGGGTGTCGCAAAGTTCCCCGATTTCCTGTTTTAGCACTCGGGACATGACGAGCTCATTGTTACTGATAGGTTCCGCTTGATTGGCGAGGTCGCGCAACAGCGCTGTGCTAGCCAACATTTCTGGTAGAGAGGTAGGCGTTAATCGACCTTTCTACGGGTCTACCTGATTCCTGGTGACATACGATGCATGGGCGTTCTAAGTTCGTGGTTGGCCAGGCTCGCAAACAAACGCTAAAAGGGTTCGAGGAATCGTTACCAACCTGTCCTGTTTGGAGCACAGGTGAGGAAAACTCGCCTGTGATTGCTCTACTGCTGCCATTCGATTTCGTTGGCTTGTTGCCATCAGTGTGCCGCAAATCGATTCACTACAGATCGCGATCACGAGTCAGCTATATGCGCTTCGGGCGTGTCACGCCTCGAAAAACTTACACAAAGCTCAATGCCGAAGAATTATACGTGTAGAGATCATCCGTCCAGCACGCTACGAACACAAAGGCACACTGTCCCTCGTAATCGAATATTGGCATGGCTACGGATGTTTTCGTGTGAGCCATCTTTGTCTTGGCGGGCCTTGAATCCGTTGTTTCGACTAACCTAGACTGCAGGCAGTACCAGGCGGCATTACTGCGTTGATACTATTGGCGATGGCCTAAGTGCGGCGCGAACGTATTTCAACATCAAGGTCGGCATGTCGTCAGGGATTTGGACGGCTCACCTTGGAATCATCCCTCTCGAACCAGGTCTTTCGCGACTTGAGGTTGAGCGAGATGAATTCGGCGACGACTCGTTTGGCCTCGGGGGACTGAAAGTAGAATTGCGAGGAATCATCCGACATCGCGGAGCCGAGCATCCTGATCTGTTGACCCTTCTAGGGGGGTTCGGTCAGTGCAAAGATGTCAACGGGCATTTGACGGTGTTTCAACCGGACGACTGACCTTTTCATTATCGTCTGCCCACTCATCGTTGTGTAACGCCTCGTTCCGCCGCCTCCTGGGCACGAACTGAACGGTCGGCGCCAGCGATCTCGGTACCAGGTTGACCAGATTCCTCGCTGTCCGCCTGTCTCCCGCATTTAGACCGAGGAACGAACCGTCCGACGAGTATCCTCCTAGAGTCGACGTATCGTCTCGCGAACTGCTACCTCCACCCGAATCGGTCGGAGCGCCGGACGAACTTCCTCTAGCGGACCCGCCCGAGTTGATAGGGTAAAAGACGTGAAAGTTGGAAGCGTCGACGATAGCACATGCGTTGGCGTGTAGGGTATCGCGTACAATTCGACAGGCTTCTTGAAAGAGGTCCAAACTGGTTTCGTCCTCGTCACCTTCCTCGGCGATTGATGTCCGATCTTTGACGTTACCAGCGGCGACAGCTGCCGTCTTTGCTTTGCGGTTCAGCTCCCGCCTCGATCCCGTCCCGGTCTGCAGAGACTGTCTCAAGAAATCGACCGTCACCTGATGCATCGACTGTTGGTGTTGATTCTCGGTGACTTGATACATCTGCTCGAGCTCGGCGACAACGCACCCGGCGAGATCCGTCATGACCGCCTTGGTGCGTTCACCAAAGTCCGGTCGAGGTTTCATGTCGATCACGCAGAATGAACCGATCGTCACCGGATATTTCCCCCGCGTGACGATCAAAGGAGCTCCGCAATACGCCTGGATCGGTCCGGATCCTCCACAAACGAGTGGGTGTTTTGAAAACCTCCAATCTTTGCCGACATCCGCTACGAGCATACAGTCTCCAGCGGACAGGGCCGTGTGGGTGCACAGGCCCAAGTCGGTGTCCATCTCGTGCTGTCCCAACCCGATCTCGGAGACGAACAGCTGATTGTGCTTGCCGATGATGGTCACGGCGGCGATCTTGACGTTGAACACCGAACAGGCCAGCCGAGTGAACTTGTCGAGCGTCTCCCTTCTTATCGGCTGGCCAGGTCTATCAAGCCCTAGCCGCCTGATCATCCTCAACCTCCGCCTAACCGCCTCCGGCTGCTGTTTGGGAGCACACAGGAAACCGTTTTTCTGAAAAAATTCTCTGACCCGGTCCGTCTCGTTCGCTCCGGCAGCGCCCATGTTGATCGTCGGGAGACCTGTATTGGACCCGATGGAATTTTGCGAATCCATCGCCGATGACGATGCCGTGGCGTTTCTGGATTCTCCCGACCCCGTGCTTTGGGTCCCGCCGCCGTTACCCTCTTGCAGATCTCCAGGATGTAGCGGGTTAATTCCCGGTCGATTGATCGTGCTCGTCGGGGGTCGAAGGCGATGTACAGGCCCCTTGCCTGTGAGGGGAAAGGTCTGTACAGGGTCTCCTCGGATAGTCGATGCGGTACCTCCCGTCACAGTCGATTGCCTGAGCGTCGCCGACGATTGGGACGATGCGGCCGGGGGTACTCTACTCTCAGCACTTCCCGCCTTGACTTTGACCTTGTCCACCGACTCTCCAGAATGAGTGCCTCCCTCGCCATCACGTTCGCCGTTCTCCCCGACAGCCGTCAACCTCGTCGCATTCGCCTGACCCAAAGCCTGAGCGAGGGCGTTCTCATCACCCTGCCTCGATCGTTCGCGCCTGGACGCCTTGCTCTTGTTCTTTACTGGCAGATGCGTCTCCTGCCCAGCGACGATGTTGGGAATGTTGGGGTCCTGATTGTCCCCCCGCTCATCCGAACCCGATCCTGAACCTGCCCCTCGGGGCGAGACCGTAGGGAATTGGACATCTTCCTCCCGCAACGGCGTATCCGGTCCAGCGACCCTTGGACGGTTCTCACCACCACCCATGGTCAAATCGTCCCCGTGTACAGAAAAGAGACGTTGTTCCAGAGACTCCGCGTTCCCATTTGTGTCCTGTTCATTCTCGGCCTGACCTTTCGGTATATCGATGGTAGCCGGTGGACGGGCAGTCGAGGTCTCAGCAGGACGAGGTGTAGTCGAATTTGTAGGAGGTACCACTTCCGGAGAGACAGGATCGAGGTCTATGGCAGAAGTATCGACGGGCTCCAAGGTGATAATCGTCGGTTCGACCGTGTCCTGCTTAAACAACTTCGGCTCGAGCATAAGACTGTCGTCGAGGTAGCTATAAACAGGTGAATGATATCCAGTTACACATCCCAGCAAACCAGCGGATGAGATCAGACATTCTGCGGACCAATCTAAGCTGAAACCTCAGACTGACCTCTTGATGAAAGCGTCCCACTGGCCTTTCGTTTGAGGCGGTGAGATCCTGCCCGAGTCGGAATCTACTATCGAGTTCCTTCTCTCCATCCTTTCCTGCTCCTGCTTAACATCGTGCGTCCCCATGCTATCTGATCCTTGGTCATAGGTAGTGAGAAGGACCGGTCGTCGATCCGATTTGCTGGACGAGGTGCTGATTGAAGTGTCGTCTTGTGAATCTATAGGCGAGACTACGCTTGGATCTGGGTCCATCTTTCCCTGGCAAGGGTAAGACGTCGGCTCCCTATGCCTTAACGAGTCGGAGGTGTCGAAATCGTCGGATCGAGAGAACGCTGTACGCTGGGTCACAGAGAGGCGTCTCTTGGTGTATTACGACGTGCGTGTGTATGTTCGGGCAACGACGACTACCGGCCCATGATCGATAACGGGGAGGCTGGACGGACAAGAAGATCAACGCAGGGTATGAAAAGGTGTATCGTCGACTTGTACCACACGGCTCGGTAGTGATGGTAGCGGGGTTGGAGGGAATATGTGAATCGAACACGACGTCGGAACGTCGAGAGTTCAGAATCTCTCGATTCGCTTACCGGAATCAAGCCAGACTAGCAGAATGCCGTACGCGCTACAAAGCTACAGCTCTTCGGACCTCTGGCATACCAACGTCGAATGCTGGATATACAACTGGCTAGCAAGACTAGATCTTAGTACTACACTGTGATAACACAGAGAGTCAGCAAGAATCGTATTCGAGCATGCCGCTGTCGGGAATGATAATTCAGTCCTGTGTCCCAAAGGCAAACGCTTCGGTGATCGCCTCCCAACCTCCCTCAGTAAGCCTCGTCCCGCAACCACGACCAGAACATCGTCAACCCCAAACGGTACTGCTCAAAAGTCGCGTCCATCCAAGCATTCCACCCGATACAGCTGTCTGGCATATGGCATGTCTGGCCTCTGGCATGTTCGCAGGTGGCAATGTCAAAGTCACCAAAACACAAACGTCGACGTACTTGAATACGAAAACACGGCACGTAACCAGACGGGAGTAATTCCACCTCGTGGCAGAGAGCAGGGGAGGATGGGGCGAGACGAAGCGATGACGCTTTCCGCGCGACTCTAGCGTGGCTAATCGTCGGTTCCGCCTGGACTTGACGACCGAATACGTCTTGAAGCTGAGCGATACTTTGTGTGCTCGTCGTCTCGAGCTTCTCACCGTTCATCATCTGGCCTACGTAGGGAACCTCGGTCTCAATGTGAATGCCTACTTTTACACATTTCGAAGGGAACGTCCACCGAAAACTCCCCCGCTGACCGCGCCGAAATGGGTGACATCCCCCGACATCGGAATTCCACAAATTTAGCTCGCGCCCGGATGAGGCGGCTAACAGCTGACGATTCGAACGCGTTTCAAAACGAATTTTGGGATGGGTCGAGCCGTTTGGGTCACCTTTGTGCTCAGCACGAATTATGCCTAGTGTTTGGGAAGGATCGCTGGGACCGGGGACAGGCAGGTCGAATGGACAACGAATCTTTTTCTCGGGGCGCAGTGACGAGTAGCAGGAATTGCTGCCGACGAGCATTACACCTCGTCCGCTATGTGGCGATATACCAACGACGAACAGATCATACCTCAGCAAGTGTCGGCGGCTGGACAACGCCCTGGAAAATGAGTCCGATTGAATTCCACCCCAGTTGCAAGCGATTCGGGATTCGTCGATTGCGTATGGTGACCGAGCGGGGGCGACGATACATCACGAATATCAAGCTTAAGATCGGCTTGTTAGCAGCCCTCATTCTCATCGTTCTTCCGGGGCCATGCGCTTCGTCTTGACAATGTGGTCATCCGGACGCTGTGGCTCGGTGGAGTCCAGAAATACCGATACTATACGAGGTTTTCGCTGCGAAGGTTGTTGTATATTTGATAGCTGACGCCCGATGCAGTTTTAATGATGGCGGCTCTCGAGGCCCAATTAGTGCCTGCAGTTCGAGTCTGACCCTTCATGTGGGGCTTTCAAATAGGTTCTGGGCAGGACGCTTCGAGTGGCAAGAACGAACATGATACTCTATCGTGAGGCATGAATATAGGTTTCCCTCGCCGTGATGCTTCTCGAGGAAGCGACGCGGTATACCCCTACGTCAGATGGCCTTGAGGCTGACAGATGCCGGGGCGCACCGTCCGGACTAGCTTCAGGCCTCTTTCTTCCGCGTACCTCATGCCGAGTATCGACTGGCTTTTCCAACTTCCCTGTTCGAGGCGCTTCGAACTCATCATCGATCATCGACCATCTCCTGCACGATCCACACCCAATCGCAAATGCGCCCGGACGTTGTGAGCGATTTTTTTATCGGCAGCCTTGTTACCCGAATTAGGACCGTGATTAGTCAGCGAATATGTGCTGATCAGCAATCTATTGTGTCGTGGAACGTACCCTTCGTTGCCTTTTGGGTTTTGTAATGCCCAGCCTTTTCATCGAGAGCTTGCCCCTTTGAAGCTTCCTCGGCGGACCTTGCTTTCTGGCAGCGAGGGCGGATCGATTCGAGCGGAGCCTACAGTCCGATCATTCGTCCCACCCAGACTGTAACGGCTGTGAAGCGGTCAGATCTAGGATCCTTCGGGTCTCTCGAGGCAACAAACCCGCAAAGGGACCGCTTGGAACTCGGGCCAAGGGAGCGCGGTCGACGTCTCAAGCCCGGAGGTACCAAGATCAATGTAATATTTTGCACTATCGGTTCCATACGGATTGACCATATATGATGTATCAAGGCGCCTACCCTGGGTCGGAATAACTTCAAACCTGGAACGGGTAACCCCATATGGAATCGTATGCGAGTTTCGAGACAGAATGCGCCTCTAGCGAAGCTTCGTCGAGGATATGCCGCGCCTGGTTGCGGGACGCAATGGATGCGATAACTCGTAGAGCCAAGTGGGAAACTCAAGGCGATTTGCGACAGGGCACCGAGACCCTCGAGTCAAGCGAAGGCTCATTGTAGGGTCTTGATATCGCAGAAAGAGATCAGAGATCTGCCGTGGTGCGCAATATCCAGATTCGGGATGACGTGTGGCGTAGCTGTTGATTGAGATACATGAGATGAGGAATAGGTATCACGCGGAATCGCTTGAGCTCTCGATCGAGCGTATCTCGGACTCTCCCTTCCGGAAGATATAACTGTTTTGGAGCGTGGACATTCGTACATGAAGGGGCAAGAAGATATCGATTCCGGCGTGAAACCTCACAACTTGGTTCTTAGAGAACATGCATCCGTTGGGAATCGATAAGTCACATAAGGATACCATCGACACCACCACAGGTATCATAGATGTCCCTCAGAACCATATGATCGAGTGTCAAGCCCACATAGCAGCAGCTCGTTTCACATGTCGTACACGTTAGTGCGACATTTCGATATTTGTGAATGATGAACAAGGTGAAACGGCTGCTAGCCTGGAACGGGGCGACGCGCAGATGAACTCTCCTGACATATTTGAAATAAATCATAGTGGTTGGAAGCCAACCCTCGCGAGTTTTGGCCTAGGCGCGCTTGGCGAGAGGATGCGCTTCTAGTTCGTCAACCCAGGCGCGAGATGAAGCGGGGAACACACCTTGTAACCCACTGGCTCTGGGTTTTCGCTTCCGCGCGAGGGTTTGCAGCGGCACGACCTGGCTGATCGAGACCTCGTCGACTTGGGTGAATTTCGCACGACCCAGAGCCCGCCTCTGCCGCCCCGCCTTGTTCGTACGTTCGGTCCCAAGAAGAAACCACCAAAAGGTCAGTCTATCAAGTCCCTACGTACATCTCGGAGAAGTCGTCTTCCCAAGGGGCTCATCGTACATCATCCATCTTTTCAGTCGACAACCAGCAAAAATGGCCGCTCGTCCTACCGTCACTGTCTACGCCGCTTCGGGAGAGGCCTCCGGGTCTTTGGCTTTGCCCTCGGTTTTCACCGCTCCCATCAGGTTGGACGTCGTCCAGCAGGTTCACAGTGAGTCGAAGGAATGAACAAGAGGCGAATTGCGGGAGGAAAGAGGGACATGCGAGGGTTTCTTCAAGGAGGATCGACATCAGCAGCAACAAAATCAATGGAAGTGCGGGCAATGGCTGCAGAGATGGAAGGAATCAAGGTCGGAAGGGAGAATCAAGGCGGTGTTGTCGAACAAGCGAGGCAAACCGAGAGGCACGAACAAGCATACAATCGAGATAGCGGGGCTCGTTGATCAATAGCCACAAGACAGCCGAGGAAACCGACTCTGCAACATTCGGCACACCCTCTTGAAAAGAAACCCTCGCAACCTCCGTTCCCCCCGCAAAAACCTCATCACAAAGTTAAAAAACCGCCCCGACTTACCATACCCATTTCCCCCAATTCTAGAGTCGATGAACAAGAACAAGCGACAGGCTTACGGAGTCTTCGAGAACGCCGGTCACCAGCACTCGGCCGAGTCTTGGGGTACCGGTCGTGCCGTCGCCCGTATCCCCCGTATCGCCGGTAGCGGTACCGCCAGGGCCGGACAGGGAGCTTTCGGAAACATGTGCAGGGGAGGAAGGATGTTCGCTCCTACCAAGACTTTCAGGAAGTGGCACGTCAAGGTCAGTCACAGCGGAGAGCAACGGGAATAGGCAAACGTCAGGTGGCTGATCGAGGTGCTGTGATGTCTGCTGATCGCATTTCGTAGATCAACCAAAACCAGCGACGATACGCCGTCGCCTCGGCTTTGGCTGCTTCCGCCCTTCCCTCTTTGGTCCTCGCCCGTGGTCACCGAGTCGAGCAGATCCAGGAGGTTCCTCTCGTCCTCGCCGACTCTGCCGAGTCGCTGAAGAAGACCAAGGAGGCCGTTGAGCTCTTGAAGACCGTCAAGGCCTACTCGGACATTGTCAAGGTCTCCAACTCGAGGAAGATCAGGGCTGGAAAGGGAAAGATGAGGAACAGGAGGCACAGGCAGAGGAGGGGTCCTTTGGTCGTTTACAAGAACGACGAGGGTATCGTCAAGGCCCTCAGGAACATTCCTGGTGTCGAGACCTGCCCCGTCTCGGCCTTGAACTTGTTGCAGTTGGCCCCCGGTGGTCACGTCGGCAGGTTCGTCATCTGGACCGAGGGTGCCTTCGGTGCCTTGGACGAGGTTTACGCCGCCAAGTCTGGTTACGAGTGAGTTCGGTCTGTGGGAAGGTTGTCCTCCAGGCGTTCCGAGATGCTGATGGCAGTTTTCACGCTCGTAGGCTCCCCACCGCCAAGATTTCGTCTTCCGACGTTACCCGACTCATCAACTCTGACGAAATCCAGTCGATCGTCCGAGCTGGTGGTGCCCCCACCCAGAAGAGTGAGTCTAACGCCATACAATTCCAGGCTTCTTTCGTATCCCGTCGCTAAACCTACTTCATCTATTCTTCTCTCTTCAGGGCCCTTCACCCAGAAGAAGAACCCTCTCAAGAACAAGGCCGTCTTGTTCAGGCTCAACCCTTACGCCAAGACTCTTCGTCGTCAAGAGCTGTTGAGGTCCGAGAAGAAGGGTTCCGTCAAGAAGTCGACTCCCGGCAAGGTCGCCGGTGCCGAGTTCTTGAAGACCTTGCACGCTGCCTGAGCGGGTCGATGAGGTGGACGAGGAAGATCACGGTGCGATGAGGGAGTAATCATCCAACTCGTATCGGGTCGGGTCCGTCCGCTCGTCGGTTCTTTGCTTTGGCGTGGCTTGTGTTTTCTTATGTGTATGGTCGGAATAGTCCTATGAGAATGACATCCCGCCGCACGAACCAATTGAAGCAGTGTCTGGTCTGGATCTCTTGTTGCAGTTCACGCATGCCGGAGTGAATAGCTCGTGATTGACCTTGCTGTCCACCGGTCGAGGCGTTTACGCGTCCGAGTCGGCGATTCATCATGATGGTTTCATGAGCTATCGTTCAGTATTTCGTGCCGAAATATCTGCTACATCTGCTACGTCCACCTTGTTGGAGTAAATAACAGCCCCTCTAGGATAGCCCGATAGTTAATAAGCACAAGGGATGAACTAGATAGGCACCGACAATGAAATCCCGCCAATCCCCCTTCACGATCCTCCTCCTCTCCTGCCTCTTGCTCCTCACATACGTGCATGCCGTCCAGCGATCGCTCGCAGGCAAGATCGACTGGCACAAGTCCTTGATCGGAGTTCCTCGACATGACCTAGAGGCTGGTTTTGTTCAGCTTCCTCAGGGTCGGGATGGAGTGGTCATGGTTACTGAGCGGAACGTCCTGGCCGTTCTGGGTGCACAAGACGGGGAGGTCGTTTGGAGGCAGGTGCTTGAGGCTGAGGATGTTGTTGTCAGTTACGAGGTTGCAGACGATGGTGAGTAGCGGGAGTAGCACGACTCGTACTTGAAATGGATCTGGACGTTCATCAGCACTGTCTTTGTTGGCATTCGAAAAGCGGTGATCGTGATCTCTGGACTCGGAACACCTATCGTCCGCTCGTTCTCTTTGTCAACCGGGCACGTTCAGTGGGAAACGCTACTCAGATCCACTTCCGGTCAACCAGCTCAGCAACTGTACGAGCCCCTCAACCTGGGGAGCAAGATTGTCTTCTCGACTGAGGGAGATGTCATCGTCTTATCTCGGGGACATGCTGTCAACAGGCTGGATGCCAAGACGGGGGACATCAAGTGGACCTGGTCCGCTGATGAGAATGTGACTGGCTCAACCCAGGTCGACCTCGTCCTGGGCCAGGACGGCTTGACGGTCATCTCCATGATCCAGTCGTTCGCCTCTCCGCAACTTGCCGTTACCAAACTCGACAGCACGACCGGTAACATCATCCAGGAAACCAAGCCCGTCAAGATCAACCTTGCTTCACCCAAGGATTACATCGTTACCGAGTCGTCCAAGATCCACTGGATCGACGCGACGACTCAGCAGATCAAGAGCGCCCTACTTGAGAGTATTGACAAGCAGCTCACGAGCGGTTTGAAGGGGACGTACCAGAAGATCCAGGATATCGGCCTCGCATCGTCAGGAGTCTTTGCGGCCCGCAATGCCGATGGTTCGGAGGATCTGATTAGGAAGGATGAGAAGAAGCCGCTCGGTCTGCAGGCTTTCAAGACCGACTTTGGGCAGGCGACTCTATGGCAGAAGAGCGCGACGAGTGACCAGATCATACAGGGGGCCTTCACAGAAGCAGGTTTCAAGGTGAGTTACGAAGTCAGCTCTTGCCGCTCCTTTTGCACATCAGTGAGGCTGACGTAAACGAGCCGAAATTGTAGGTCTTGGTGTACAATCCCCAGGACCTTTCCAAGACTACGATCATCAACGATATCGACCACGATATCGTCAAACATGGCAAGATCGTCAGCGTGAGCATCTTCTGCCCAACTCGATCAGATGAAAAGTACTGAAGTCGCATTCATGAAGGCCATCACCGGCCCCGCATCAGAAAGTAGCTTGACCATCGCCGTTACTTCGACCGGTAGCATTCAATGCTGGGCTCAAGGCGAAACCGGCTCGCGTCTCCTTTGGGCACGAGAAGAATCCCTTAGCGATGTCAAAACGCACGTCGTCGTCGATTTGCCCGAGAGAAAGGTCGAACAGACCGGGGCGGTCTTGGATCAAGAGGGATTCATGTCGAGAACGATCAGGCACGTCAAGGAGTTGATCGTGAGTACTCCGAGGAATGTTGTCTGGTGTCTACTCCGTACTGAGCTTGATCGCCGTGACAGTACTTACCTAGCTACGCTTCGAGCTTCGTCAGCCGATTTACGAGCGGTAGCTATACCAAGTCCCTCTCTTCGTCGCCTCTCCGCGCGGGTAACCTATTCAGGGACCAATTTGGTTTCCAAAAGCTCGTCATTATGGCGACCGTACATGGTCAGATCTACGCCGTCGACTCAGCACACGGGAACATCGTCTGGAAGACTTCTCTCAAGGACGATGCGTCTGAATTGGATATAGTTGGGATGTGGAACGTACGGAGCGGACCCGAGTTTGGGGCTCCGGTGGTAGCGATCGTTGCCAACAAGAATGCCGCAGGGGTAAATCGTGTTCAGTTTGCCAGGGCTGGACACGCTGTGCTAACGGAGCTTGTTCTCGGGATTAGAAGGGAATATCGACGATCGCTTACCATATCGACGCGTTCACCGGCAAATCTCTTCAGTTCGCCAATGATGGCTCGGACGCTTTAAGCGTCAAGACTATTGCGGACGGCCTGGCTACTCGTGCCTTCCCCATTCCAGTAGATCACTGCAAGACTCACATCCAAGCGATCGCTGTCGTTGCACAAGACTCTCAGGTAGGCTCAGTATGTGTGCGAGGTGTGCCGTATGTTTCTTCCTGACGATCACGTTCTGCAGGTCCACTTCTTCCCCTCGTGCAACAAGATCAAGTCCGGCTTCGCCAACATTTCTTCTCAGACCTTTTTCCACTCGGCAGAGGGCAAGCTCGCTCAAACGTCGATTCGAGGATATGCCATCTCGAGCTCAGAATCTAATGTCTTTTCGGCCTATCCTACGTGGGCGTTGCCCTTGGCCGCCGACGAGACCATCGTCGACGTAGCTGAGCTCCAGCAAGGAGTCATTGCGGCATACGGTCGAGTCCTTGGCGATCGTACAATCCTTTACAAGTACCTCAACCCGCATCTAGTTGCTTATGCTACCATCAGCAAGCATGCAGGAGCTGGTACCGTATACGTCATCGATACCACCAGCGGTGCGATCGTTTACGAAGCGGGTATATCCGACGTCGATGTTCGAACGGGAATCCAGGTCAACCTGGCCGAAAACTGGCTGGTCTACTCTTACGCTGAGAAGGAGGTTTCGGGCAAGTCCAGTCGCGGTCAGAGACTGGTGTCAACCGAGTTGTTTGAAGGCGCTTTCCCAGACGAGAGGACTAACAGGTAAGTACATACTGTGGGGTCGTGATGAGAATGAATCTAAACAGCCGAGGACCTTTGTAGTCTCTCCGCATCGACCCTGACGGGCTTGCCGAGCGCCCATGCCATAACTCGGACTTTTATGGTTTCCGTTGGTATCAAGCGTCTGGGTATGACCAATAGTATGCACGGGATCACATACAAGGATCTTATCAGTATGTTCAGTGGTGTTTCAGATTGCACGAATGGGTCAGATTTCTGACAAGCTTTACGTCGCAGTTGTGACCGATCGAGACCAGCTCGTAGCGGTGCCCAAGAGGATGCTGGATCCTCGAAGGCCCGACGTCCCATCCAAGCGAGACAAGGAGGAATTTTTGGTACCCTACCAGCCTATGTTGTTCCTCGACCCAAAATGGACCATCTCCCATACCTATGACGTGAGCGCAAATGTTGAAACAAGATCGTCAAACAGTCGCTAACGTACGTGTGAATGTTGTAAACAGGTCACCGGTATCAACAAGGTCATCACCACCCCCTCTCTCCTCGAATCCACCTCGCTTATCATCACCACCGGTCTCGACCTGTTTGGCTCACGAGCAACACCTTCGGGGACGTTCGATATCCTCAGCGATTATTTCAACAAGACCCAATTGATGTTGACCATCCTCGGTCTGGGGATCGGGATCACGGTCGCCAGACCGGCTGTCACGAGAAAGGTCTTGAAAGCACGATGGTACTGATGAGCCCCGGTACAGGCATAGATCGACGATCTGGATTGTGTGACTGCTTTGTAGCATTATCAAATTGCATAGGATAGGAATTCTCGGCGTTGCTCATATTCTTGCGTGCCAGATTGTCTTCGCTCGCCCGTCTTTGAAGCCAGATTTGGGTTACAGCTCGTCGATTATGATGATCGAATAGGGTTCTTTGTACAAAATGATCGGTAATACAAGCCTTAGACATCTATCCGCACATTACAGTGACTGTGCAATCACGCAGCCTGAATCCCATCCTCATGACCCGCCTGCGACCCTGACCTGCGATCGGCCTTGGACTCTCCGCTGTCAACGGGCTATCCCTTCCCCTTGAAGGTGCAACTGCGTCCGTGTCCTCGGATCCTCGTCCACCTTTTCCGGTTCCAACCTGGGTATACTCGCAGACGTGGGTGTAGACTGATCAGGTGTCCTCGGTGCGTGTCGGTTGTCGCTCCGAATATAATCTTGTTTGTAGACGGTAGAGAGGACGAGGAGGACGAGGGTTATGCTACCTCCTATGACCAGGGCGTAAACTAGGTACGAGATGAAGCACAAGTTGATGAGGGTGGTAAGTCTATCTGGGGTAGCGAAGGAATTGGACACAAGGAAAACGACTCACCCCATGCGGATGTCCCGTCCTGCGTATGGCTTATGCCTTCATGGTCGACGTGGTCGTAGTATGCTCGTTCCCAGAAGAGGTCTCTTAGTGCTGATGTTGGCAAGGGAGGCATTGTCGCGGGGGATATGTGTGAAGGAGTTTATCGTATCGAGGTAGTTTGACAGCTGTGAGGATTTCCCGGTGTCGAAAGCGTTTTGTTGTGAAGTCGTGATGATGATGGTCTGTTGGACAAGATGGAGGTACTCGACAGAAGGCTCGTCATCGAGTGAGATTATATGGACCCATAGGATGTCGTATCAGTAGGCAAGGGCGATATCATGAAAGGGGAAGGATGTTCAAAGGGAATTGGGCAGATATATCCTTACGATATCCTTACAACGAAAGGGGGAAAGACACGCATCAAGGTGGACATCCTTTGAAGATCAAAAAGGGATCAACAAGGTTTTCCGGCATCACTGCCGAGCGCGCGGTGCCGGCGAAACCGATCGCTGAAACGCGAAACGAAACACAAAGCTCGCGTGTCATCACTGGTGAGCCAGGGGCTTCTGTTTCTAGCACATCTCGTTGTCTTCGGACCCGGCTGCTTCCCTCGCCTTGCCCTTGCCCTTGCCTTTTTCCTTGATCTGTCTCGCGTGGAAGCGATCGCCCGTGACCGGGGCCGTGTCGAAAGAAAACGACGATCGAAAAGCGGGAAGAATGATCAGCGTTACAGCTCCACATCGACCGCAGTCGATCAACTGGGGAATCGATCAATCCGACCACTCACGTCTTCATCCAATTCGGGCAACGCTGAGACCTCATCGACAACGAAAGCTCTATCGGCTTCAGCTTCCAGGTTGGCTGCAACACGGACCCGTTTGGTCAATTTCCGCAGGTCGTGACCGCGAGATAAGCGGCTCCGAACTCACCTTCGAGAGCCAGGATCCCACGACCTGTACCCATGATCAAACCCAAATCAGAACAACGCGAAACCGCAGATCCCCTTCGTCTGATCTGGTACTCACGCAGATCTCTCAAGGAACTCCTCAACGCACAAGCTACTTCATCCCCAACCTCTTCAGCGACCATCGAGACCCGGCTGATAGCATGCTCAACAGCCGTATAAGCGCTCTCGAACCCTTGCATGACATCCGCAGCTTTCCAACCCTTCATCTCCAGCAACAGACCTTTCATCTGTTCCAGGTCGTCAAAGATCCCATTGACTTCCTGATTGATGATAGCTGCGCCTGAAAGCTTGGTATCGTCAAAGTTGTAGTGAGCCAAGAGGCCGGAGAGGATCTCAGGGTCGAGTTCGGTTTCCGCTTCACGAAGTCGCAGGACGGGTTGATGAGGGCGACTGGGACCGGCTTGATTAGAGTCCATCTTGATGCTAGAGACTGAAAAGTGAGAAGGAAGTAGAGTAGGGTGAGGTCTGATTGTCTGAACAGTGTCTACGGTGGCGATCCGCGACCGGATACCTTCTAGGTTGATACGGCTTGTTATACGGCGCGTCACCTGGACCTGGCTGCTACTGCAGCACCTGTGACAGTAGTGCCTCCAGGGTCGTTCTCACAAAGGAAGTGCCGACCAACTCGGTCGAAACGTAGTCTGGCCAGGATGATCACATCCTTTCGATCCAAGTCCGGGTCTGGCTTATGGCAAAACGCATGGATTCCTTGATAATCTATTCTACTCTATACAACAGAAATTGCGACCGGACGAGGACGACGAGCCCCCAAGAAAACATGTAAACGTCGTCCTCGTCAGGTCGCATGATGATTTGGTACGATACAGGTGTACGGACGTGAAGTCGAAGGGGGATGATGCTGGGTAATGATGATAATGTTGTTGATGATCCAGGTGGAAGAGGCACCGGAATGGGCGTGATGATCTGAATTTTCTCTAGCCACAAGGCAGGATGAGATTTTGGGTGTCTAGCTTGATTGGACTTGTCCGGCAGGGGTGGTATCGTCCACCAACGATCGAATCCTCGTCGTTACGGCGATCGGGTACATTCTGAGCAAAAGAAACCTGATAAGTAAAGAGGACAATCGAGAGCGGATTCCGAAACCTCTTACCTGGCCTCCATGCGGTCGCAAATGGCACGTGCAGCATCCTTGTCACCAGCTTGTAGTTCTGCCCGAATCATAGTCTCGCTGTGAAACGGTAACAGGTCAGTGATATGCATCACTTCGCACAGCAACTCTCGGGAACAGACTGACTATGTCGATGGTTCTCGGAAAACGACTGTAGTGTCGGCAGTAGTGGCGGGCTTCACTTGACCAGACGAGGTGAGCAAAGTGGGATGGTTGTTGGGGGCAGCCTTGCCTGTTGTTATTTCGATGGGTTGAGGGTCAGTCATTCTTCCGGGTTGTCCGCAATCTCAACCCCGAAACGTACCCATTTCGCCGTCTCCCATGCTCTCAAATACGGCCCTAGCGTCTTCAATCTGACCGTTATTGGCGAAACCCTTAATGAGCATATTGTAGACGTAGGCTGTTGACTTGATGCCCTGCTCCTTCATCTTGGCTCGGTAAGATTCCATCTCGGCGACCATCTTGTGTTGAGCGAGTACGCTCATCAGCGCTTCCCAGCATACAGGCTCGATCGGTCCGCCCTTCTTGTTTGAAGGGTGGGTCGAGATCGACTCGAACATGTCGATGGCTTCTTGCGCGTTACCTGCGACATTTCCGGTGGCGTGGATCATGGAAGCCCAATGGGTACCGGTCACCGACACACTGGTATCCTTGCAAAGGTTGTTGAAGACCGTTCGCATAGCGCCCAGATCGACCGGCTCGAGCGTGCCGTACGCGTCGAGTAAGAGCTTGTAGGTGTGAGCCGAAGGAGCGACGTTTGCCTGTACCATCTGGTTGTAGTAATGCAGAACGAGTTCTCGCGACGGATGACTCTGGAGATGAAGCTGCATCATGGTGCTACGTGTGGCGAACATCGAAAGTATTCAGCTTGGGTTCCAAAGGAAGAAAGAGATCAAAACTCACTTGTAAGGGGGTACCCGCGGCTTGTGATTGGGAATCGCTTGCATCTCCTCGAACAAGGTCGCTGCCGATTCCGCGTCTCCGACACGACAACAAGCGTTGATGACGGCACCGTAGGTGACCGAGCTGGGTCGGATCCCTTGAGCCTTCATCTGCTTGAAAAAGTCGAGCGCCGACTCTGCTTTACGGGCACGAGACAGCTTGGAAATGACGGTGTTGTAGAGGAACAAGGTGGGCTTGACACCGAGGTTTTGACTCTCTTCCCAGAGCTCCCGGGCGACCGAAGCGTCATCGGTGGTATCCTTGGCTGACGAGATCATCAAGGCGTAAGATTCGGCGGAAGGTACCCGGTTCTGCTCGAGGATGGCGGCACGGTGAGCTCCGGCTTGCTCCAGACGCCCTAGCAGGCAGCATGCCATCAACATTTGGTCTTCGACCGTGAACCAGGCGTCTAAGCGTTTGTCGTCCGGCTGATGAGTCAGTGCGGCGTGAGCATATTGATACAGCTCGGCGACCTTGTCGGCGAGTCCCAGACGAGCCATCGACGTCGACAGACGAGCAATGACGGCGGGGTGAGGCAATTCTCCCTGCTCCTCGAGCCCCTTGAGCAGCGAGTAAGATTCGAGTGGGGTCCTGACGGGTCGCATGCCGAGGTGCTGTTCGATCTGCTTGGAAGCGCTGAAAGGAGCAGCTCTGTATTGACGCACAGGTCCGGCCCCAACATCTTCCGAGTGTTCCGTCGGAGCTGTCGAAACTTGTGAAGTTTGGCCGGGAGACAAAGGCATGGTCACGTCCGAAAGGGCAGCCGATATGTCGCTCGCCGAGTCCGCACCCCCGAGCAATTCGGCAGTGGTCTCCGCTCCGTAAAGGGATTCGAGCAGACCTCGCGCATCTGCAATACCACGTCGGTGTCGCAGCAACGAGGCGATCATGGCCTTGTCCGAGCGGTTCAGAGCCTTCTCACCCGTAACCGCCGAAATCCGACGGATGAGGTCTTCGCTCTGCTGATCAAACTCGACACCGCGATCGCCGGGAAGCGGATGGTTCAACTCGCTACCAACTCGAGTCAGCACCCGCGTGATGATCGCCAAAGTACCCTTGTCGCTTTCTTGTGCCCAGGCCTGCATAGCCCCGGCTTCGGTGGGCAGCTCGGTAAGCAAGTCTGTCACGAGGCCCTTCGCGTATGCCTCGCGGTCGCCCTGGCCCGTGAAGTCCATGACGTGCATGAGATCCAGCTTCTGTCGTATAGTCCCAACCCGCTTCTCCATCTCAGCCATGACGTTGGTAATGTCGAAAGTGATGACCAAGCTATTGAAGGCGGCGAGCTTGCTGACCTGACGAAGCATGTTGTAGGCTTGCTCCGGGTGGTCGTGTCTGATGGCCGCCTTGACAAAGTTGGCGACCGTGTACGAGTCAATGTTCCACCTCTCGGTCGAGGGCCACGAGCTGCTCAAAAAGTCGACGGCGCCGATGTATTTGGCGGCGAGTTCGGTTTCCAGATCCGTTTGCTGTAATAGCATGACGAGCTGGACGACGGCACGCCTGATGAACGGGGTCTCTACTGAGAATGTGACCGATCGCATCAAGGAGCTTATGGCCAATATCGCTTCGATGTTCTCATCGTGCAAGGCCTTGTACCCAAGCTGACGCATGGTTCTCTGGAGCAAGTTCGCGCCTAGATTGCCCTTTCGTTGCTCTTGCACAAGCTCGATCGCCTTTTGCCACTCGCCGCGGTCGTAGAGTGCGTCAGCGATATGAGAGATGGAACTCGCGTTGACTTGAATGAGATGTCCGGCTCGCCTCTCCTCTTCCTTGGTAGTCTTCCTCATCAATTCCAAGAGCGACTTGACCTTTTCGTCCTCTCCCAAGACGGTGTACCCTCCAAGGAGTTTGTCGAAAACGGCACAGACTGCACGAAGGACCAGGTTGTGATCCTCGCTCGTCCCCTTGATGATCCCATCGAGACTACGTCCGTCATTGATCTTGCCATTCTTCTCGTCCAAAAGGAAACGTTTCAATCCATCTTGCATACCCTCGACCCCGCCTTCCGAAGTCTTGGAGTAGCATTCGATGAGATGAGCGTACATGATGACCAAGGTATGTCCGTCTGTCACCTGAACCTTGTTTGCGCTGTTCCTAACTCCCTCGAGATGACCCCAAGCGGAGAGTGCCGTCTCGAGATCTCCCCTGTTCGCAGCGGCTCCCATCAAGAGTGAATACACCGCCAGCTGGAACGGCCTGTGTCGATTATACGTCGCACCGGATTGGAACAACTTGACCGCATTCTCATAGTTCCTCTCCTTCTTCAACGCCGTAATCTGCTGTTCGACGGGTTGTAGCGCCCGATCCCTGTCCGCAAAGCCATAATCCCCTCCACCCGACCCATCCTTCCTCGCCACCCTCGAATACTTTCGGTCCCAGTCGATCCACTTTCGCTTGGCTTCCGACTCGCGGACGGCAACCTGGACCTCGTTGTTCCGTTCCAGCAAGGACCGGATGACGAGCGAATACGACTTGATATTCGGCAGGACGTCCCTCTCCAACATCTCATTGTAGGCCTTTAGGACCTGAGTGATGGGTTCTCCGACCTTTCTGAACGCGTGCAAGATCTGGAGTACGGTGTTATACCCCGATTGTGAAAAGTAAGGGGGATCCACGTGAGGGGCCGAAGAGATCTTTGGGTCCGAGCTGAGCGCCGCCGGGTTCCTGTACTCGTCGACCAGTCGGAGGGCGGTCTCCACCTGTCCGCTTTCGAGGGCCTGGATCATGCGCCTGCTCTTCTCCCAATCCCGGGATTCCAGCTGTTCCCTGAGTTCACTCTCTGCCAACCCCAACTCTCCCTTGCTGACGGGCTTGTTCGATGCGCTGCCATTTGACGACCTGACGGCCGACGAGTTGGACTCCCTCGACCTCGACGGGGCGGAATACGAATTCCTCCTGACCCTATCCACCCCGTTCACCCCTTTGCCCTGACCTAGATTCCTCATCCTCTGGATTCCAGCGCGTCGAGGACCGTTCATCTCCAGATCATCGACCGTCGTCGACCTCCTCTCTCCGGACCCTTCCGACAAGCCGGCCTGGCTGGAATACGTCCTCGTCCTGCTTGACAAACGACTCGGATTGGGTAGCCTGACGAACTTTCCTCCCCTAAGGCCAACCGTCCACGTGCCTCCGACTAGAGGGTTCGACTCTTCCTTGCCCCTCCCGCTCGGGCGTCGATGCAGCCGGTGTCTATGAGCCTGTCGACTTTCGATGTCCGAATCGGGATCCTCAACGGCAGACTCGACCTCGACATCCCTAAGCAGATCGGTCTTCTCACCAGCGATAGTCGCTGCCGCATTGTTATTTTCGACTTCAAGGGGGATCTCGATCTGTTGACTGATAGCCGTGGGCGAAGGAGGAAGATCCAGGTCCGCCACCTCCACTCCATTCTTGCTGTTCTTTGCACGACTCGACGACCTCTTTCTCAGTTTCTTCGAATTCAAGGAAGCCGAAGCTGAAGCCGATCGAGCGAGGGTAGAAGGTCTTCCATTGCGGATATCAGCAAGCGTCAGGGATTCGTCCAGCTCATCATCCTGAGTCTGAGATTGTTGTTGAGGTGCTTGAGTCAGGGTCCGTCCGAAGCCCTATAGATGCACATTCCAGTCAGACGATAGAACCCAGAGCCGACAGAGAGGATGCGAAGTATGGTTAGCCATCGACATCCGCAGATAGAAATTACAGCTGAGTATCTCTCGAAGGAAATGCAAGACTAGTACTCACGGTATACCCCGAAAACTTGCTCCCCGCTCCTTGACCCCCATATCCTCCCGTCCCCGGCCCGCTCCCCGCTCCAGCCCCTCCCAACCCCCAAGCGGCGCCTACGAAATTCCCACTCCCCTGTTGTATAGTAGCGATCTGCGCATTTCCCGCTTGAACCTGAGCTTGTGTCAAGAGGGTCGCATTGGAGGTGAAGGCTTGGGAGACGGTGGATGATGTGGACGAGGTGGTTGTGGTCGCTGTGGTTGTGGAAGAGGCAGAGTTGGTGAGGAGGTTTTGGAGGCGGAGGATTGGTCGGAGGTGTGATCTAAGACAGTGAAACGAATCGCATTGTGGTTGTTAGAGAGGACCGCCCGAAGTATACAAACGATGCCTTCAATAGTCGGACTCACGCCGCCTTGACCAACATCTTGGATCGTCTATCACTAGCACGAAGCTATAACGTCCCGGTAACTTCGAAACCCCGTATGTTCGAGGCGGTCTATAATCTATCGTCTATCGTTTGGTGGTGATGTCGACCCGAAGCTTGAAGTGTCGAGTGTCCATCCGACCGGAGGATCCCTAGAGGTATGTCAAGCAAGTGGTGGTGTGTGCAAGTGTCGCAATCGATAGTTTTCAGAATTTGCATCCGCGTACCAACTCTGGCTCTGCAACGACGAGCAATCCACCCGGCTGCCCTTTTTATCAAGAGGTCGATGTGCCCCAGTTGTTCCTCCGAGGCGATCGAGGCGACACACAATCTACCCGGCAGCATGCAAAGAGGTGAGACTCGTCATACCCCTCCCGCTCTGCCGAGTCAAACGCTCGTCGCCACTCACACATCGACCATCGCTCGGATCGAGAATATTCTGCTCGGGGTTCCGATCCGAGATCCGCTTAGGATGTATTACATAACGCATAAACGCCCGGTCATAGCAAGTCATTACGGCATGCACAATCAGTGTATGCGTTATTAGCGTTCGAGATGACGATTGATCGCTTTGTTGATCTTGTCAAAAAGCCCGAGAAGCATCGACCTTTGCCCTTCAGCATACTCCTTGCTACCAGGCTACCTCATTCCACAAACCGTCGACCACCAACTCTGCAGCAATCAACTAGAACGCCGACCAGGGATTCACACTCACTTTGAATAGAGAGACGTGCAACGATGTCCACACGGTAAGCTTCCCCACCTCCCCTTGCTGCCCATCTGACCAGCATCGCGGTCCTTGAGCACCCCCAACTGATAGCGTGCCAACTTGCTCTTCCTTCCTGGTTGATTGTAGGCACGACTACTACCAAACGGATACCCTCGTGTATATCAGCATCTACAGAAAGAAAGTTGCCGAGGATGAATTGAAGGTGGAATCCCTGGCTCATTCCGTAAGTACTTTACCTGAACCCTTACCTGGACCCTACGGAATGGAATGACAGTTCATCTTTATCTGATTTGAATCTATCGCAACCATCTTGTGTCTGTGTGAGATCGCACAGTTGAAAGTCTCTGTCGGCGATGAGACGTTGCTCGACCTTCAACCTCTCTGGGCGGATATCAATCCCGCGTCGACTGCCACAAAGGTCTTTGGGACCAAGGTCGGTCTCCCTCTGCTTTCTTTGGTCTCTCTTTTTTTCAGTTTTCGATCTGAACCTTGAACTTTCGAATACAAACAGGTCGAGATCAAACTAGAAAAATCCAACCCCGGACCATCCTGGCCGAACCTCACTAGGTCGGCTCAGGATCAAGATCAAGATCAGCCTTTGGCTTCTACGTCTACCTACATCCAGCCGCCTACCGCTTCCACCTCTACCACTTCCAATCCTGCCAACCTCACCTCTACTTCCGCCTCTTCTGCTCCTACTGGCCCTCGACGGAACAAATTCGACACCCTCGACCTCGATGCCGACCTCGAAGAAGACCAAGACCAAGCCGGCAAAGGTACCTCGGAGAAGGACTTGGAAAAGTTCTTCCAAACCCTCTACGGCGACTTGCCGCCAGAGGGGAGGAGGGCGATGATGAAGTCGTTCACCGAGTCGGGGGGGACGGTGTTGAGTACCGATTGGGGTGATGTGGGCGGGAGAAAGGTCGAGGCGCAGCCGCCGAAGTAGCGGGAGGAAGGCTGAAGCGCATCCGCCGAAGTGGGAGTACGAGCAGGCGCCTGGGTGGTTGTGTGCGAGGCGGACGCAGGGGAGTTGAGGATAATCGAACGGAATGCGAGCGGGGGAGGTTCACGGACGACCACAATCAACGTCGGCTGCACATGGCGCTCAAGATGCGAAATACGAGAAAAAAGATACAAGATGGAAAGTACAAGCATGGCGGGGATCGGGCGGAACCAGGGTTGATAGATGGTTTATGAGTTGGAGCGGGACATAAATGGGCTCAGACGAGTCTGTTGTACAATACAATACATTACGAGACTGACGATATACGACAAGAATACGTTCACGACCTGATACTCGCGATCTCTAACCGCATACGTGGAATGGGACACATCACCGCTATCGCTACTTCTTCGCCCACTTGTCCCACTTCCCGTCAGGCTCCCCGCCAGCGCCCTTGATATGGACGACCTTCATCTTGGCAGGCAGTTTGATGACCCGGTGTTGCCCCTCGACGTAATCCCACACCCTCATCTTTTTCTGCTTCTGAGGGTCGTTCGGGTCCTCAAAGACCTGTTCGACGGACCAGAAACCTTTGAGGTAGTCGTTGTTGGACGGGTCGGGCAGGATGGCGATGATGGGCTACACTCGAGATACCGCGAGAGGCGAATGACTGGTAAGCTCGTGCTCAAGCCATGAGGATTGAATCAAAAATGCTTACTGTCTCGTCCGCTTTATCCAGAATCTTGTTCATATCGCCATTATCAGCCTTGTAATCGCCCGTGATCTCGCAAGGCTCTCCCGTCACATCAGACAGGAAGTGCACGGCAGCCTGTTCCCCACTGTTCCATGGGTCCGTCTGACTGTCACAGTCCGCTCGCTGGCCATCTGGCTTCTGCTGACAATCGCTAGCCGAACTGGGCTGGATGTCGTCCGGCTGATAAGCCTGATTGAGAAAGAACGGCCAAGTAGCCGTCAAGTGGTCCGTCCCGCTTATGTTTTCCGTCCCGTTCTTGACGATGACCGTCTTCGATTGTTCTCCCGCGGACTGGACGAGGGTCTTCAGGCCGTCTTTGTCTCTAACCCAATCTTTCCCATCTTTCTTCCATTGAGACTTGATGATCAACTGGTTGTTGTCGCCGGGGAGGCACCAACCGATAGGTTTGCCATCCCCGCCTACGAACGAATCTCGAACAGTGTTCGGAACGAACTGGCGCAAGCAGGTCACCTATGACATCAGCTCACCGTACACATTAGGATCGACAGCGCTCTCGGACCCACCTTGGCCCAAGCCGCCATGGCAGCCAGCCTCGCCTGTAGGACCGGCGAGGTCCCTTTCTTCCCTGCTGGCTCACCGACAAGCAGGGCTTCACGAACATCGTTGACCCGGACCAGTCCCGGTTGACCGAGATCCTTGAAATCCGAATCCTTGTTGGGGTACCAGAGAGGAACGCCACCCTTTTCGGTTCGACACCAGTTCAAGGCGTCGTCTTGAGTACTCCTCGTAGCGATGGATGAGCCGGGACCGTTGAGTGCGGCAGAATTTGGGTCGGCCAAGGGGGCTACCGCTACGGCTTGGGTGTAGGCCACTAGCGATAGCAAGAGACAGGCGAGGGTTTTGATGTGCATATTGTAGCCTGTCAATGGAACGCCGGTATTTAGGCCTATCTAAGGTTATGTTCGTCCAAGTGTCTGGTTTTGTCAGCTGATATCGTATATGGTGAATATCCAGACTTTCCGATCTCCTTGATTTGCATGGCTCAGACATCGGCTTCTTCTACGTGTCTATAAGTGAAGGCTGACTCTAAGATGGATGGCGTTCTGTCCTGAAACCCGTTTGGGATCGGTGAAACCTCCAAGAAAAGCTAGCAACATGAAAGGAACATGACAGGAGGTGAGACAAATAGGGAAAGGATAGTACAGGGAGAACGTACCTGCAGATTTGGTCGAGCTATACCTTTCTGCTTCGCTTACGTGAAACGCGGATGTCCTTGTGCGCCAGAAGTCCTGACGAAACGCGCGCCTGGGCCATCGCAATCGAAGCAAGTGTGAGACGATAGCTTGTGAATCGTACATCAGGCATGTCCTTCTCACAAGATGTATATGTCTCTTGCGCGCTTCGGTGGTGAACATCTGGAACTGTCTCGCTTTGGATGTGGTCAGCAATACCTGAGAATGTCTTGCTATCGATCAGACCTTTCTTCTTGCAATTAGATGGCGGACAGGAACGGGTCGGCGCAAAAACGTGCGGGTGGACAGACGCCGGTTCATCATATCGCTGGCGGAACATGTTGATCCGGACTGCGTTGTCTACATAGCGGATGCTTGAACGCAAGTCGTTACTGATCTGCAGATGTTAGTCGTGATAGCTCGATTGGGGGAGCACATGCTTTGGACATGGTCCGCTCGCTTACTGAGTGTTGTACAACCAGAAGAATCTTCATCGGATTGGAACGGGCCAGAAAGTAGAAGGTCAACCCGAAGTATGTATTAAGCTGCAAAGATAGTGCGGGCTAGTTTGATGAGGTAGACACCATCGTAATCAATCTTATTACATTTGGCAAGAAGATCGTAATGCTAAATAGGAAGTATCGTCGCCTCTTCTGCCGACCGCCTCACTCATCCCTTCAGATGAACCACCTTCATCTTAGCAGGCAGGTTCACGGTTCGACGGTTCAAGCTGACGTGATCCCAGATGTCCATAAACTTGGTTCCATTGGTATGTTCCCCAGTCTTTTGTACAGCCCAGAAGCCCTTGAGGTAACCGTTTTCATTGTTCGTCTCGTCTGGAAGTATGACAATGATAGGCTGCGCGCGAAGCGGATGAGATAGAAGTAGAGGTTAGCTCATGATCAAGAGGTGATGCGATGAGATGGACAGAGAGGGCTCACCCTGGCCTCGCCTTTCTGCGCATCAAACACAATCTGTTCGGCAGCGGCACTGTCGCCCTCATAATCCCCGGTGATTTGACACTCTTGTCCAGTAACAGCAGATAAAAAGTCGACTGCGTGCTTCTCGCCCTTCGTCCACGGCTCGCTCAAGCATTTTTTCACTTGATCAGCCACCAACTGAGAGCAGTTGTCGCCCTTGGGGATATTGGCAATATCGTCCTTTAGATACGCCTTGTTGATAAAGTTGGGCCAGGCTGGGACGAGTCTTCCTTTTGCCTGGTCTCGGACGGAATGCACGAGGTTCTTCAGGTCGTCGCCGTTCTTGGTAAGGCTGTTCGAAACTTCGGGGCCTTGCGAAAGAACGTCGAGCTTCCCCTTGCTGGGAAGACACCAGTTGATGTAGTCCATCTTCTGATCGTCTCCATATCTGAAAGCCTCGTAGACTTTCTGGGGTGAGGTCTGTCCGGGTTGATAAGACGGAAACCTATCAGTAAAACAATTCGCGATGGTAGACGGTTTGGCGCTAAGAATGAAGCCCTTACCTTGGCCCAGGCCGCCATCACGGCCATTCTAGCTTGAACAAGCGGGACGTCCTCCAAGCCCGACGCATCGCCAAGAACCGACGATTGCCTAACATCGTAAGGTCCTACCACCATATCAGTCCTCGGTCCGTTGATTTGTTTGTAATCGGCGTCCTTCTTCGGGTTCGGGGCCCAGAGGACGACACCATCTTGATCCTTCTCGCACCAGTCTTGCATCTCCTCTTCCATTCCGCGGGAAGCCAATGATGGCCCAAAGTTACTGGAGCGAGCCAGCACGTTGCCCTCCAGGTTTCTCCCTACCGCTGCGGCTTGAACAGCTGTAAAGATCCATGTCCATATGTCAGCTGTACAACTTTGGGCTTATATAGATCTCAGTTAAACTAAGGGGAGCGTACCTGGGGCGACCAAGGAGAGGAGGAGACAAGCGAGGATTCTGGTTTGCATCTTGAGTTATTGTATGAGTTCGATGTTGGAACGTGAGTAAAGGAATGTTGCTAAAGTCTTGTTGATGGACGGGGAATTGTCGGGTCTGGGGAATATGAAATTATCAGCAGGACATCGTTCGGTATTGGGTTGAGTCAGAGTGGAGGATTGCCTGATCCATTTTATACGCCAGTGATCGAGCTACTGTTGCAACGAGTTTCGTAATCGACCCTTTTCTGTATCTTCGAAACCACAGGAGCAGGAAAGGAGGCATGAGACTTACCTCCGTCAGGCAAAGGATGTATCGAGGAGACGTCACCGTCATTCCGTGTTTGAAGCAATGTCGCGTCGCGGAGGCACTGCTCGAACGATAGATGACCGTTTCGTAACAGCTTGATGACTGTCATCACTGTGCCCTCTCATATAAAGAGGAGCCACAAGTCATTCTGACGAGCCTGGCTAGAGAAGCTCGAGGTCCGTCGACATGAAACACCCTTCTTCCTATTCGAAACGCGCCATTTCTCGCAAACCAAGTGGAAGCGCGTCTTCCCTTCTCTCGTAATCCGCCAAGCGCAACCAAACGACGTCGAGACGTACCCAAGTCGATGTCAACCCTGGTACCCTGAACGATATCGGGACACGTCCAGCAGACCATCCCAACACAGCCAGCACATACGTCTCCTTGCGATAGAGCGATAGACTAGACCTACGAACCATGCCTTCGAAACAACCCCTCTCGCCTTACCCCGTCATCGACGCGGACCCTACCTTCGGACGAGTGGTCAGGTATATGCGACCGAGCGATTATGCCACTTGGGCCGCGGCCGCTGCTGCTGGTCCCGCTGCTTTCTGGGGTCTTGGTGAGTCTTCCGGATGGGAGATTATGCTATGTGGAGGAAGAAGAGCCGGCTAGGGAATGCAGTCCGATCTCAGATGAGGATGGGAGATGAGAATTCGAGGCTGGAATGCGGGGACCTGGAGATGAGATCATGACCTATCCCGGCTCTTTCTCCTCGCCTTGTATATGCCATCTTGGGGTCTACCACTGACAAGATTGCCTCTCGCTCTATTCATCCGTTTACTGATCCTCCTACGTAACAACGGAAACGTATAAACGACCACAACAACCTGGACCTCGAAACAAACCCGACCTGGATCTCGAAACCTCAAAACCCAATCTCCCTCCTTCTTCCAACCACAAACCCTGCTTCCTCTCGATCCGGACCCACCTCTCATCTATCCCGCAAATACAGAGCGAGTCGACCCTTCCCGCGCATCCACCCGATCGGCCATGAAGCTCGTCGGTTTCCTTGGAGTTTCCGCTGGGTTCTTGTTGGCTTACCAGAGGAGCAGTTGTGAGTGTCCGGGACTGTCCTGAATCTACTGCGAGGTTGGAGGTCGGGGATCTGGTCCTTGATGGTCGATTTCGGGCAAGGGAGGCTGCATGGTGTTGCCAGGTGATGGCTTGTGGACGGGGGAAGAGAAGGGGTCGCGAGGCGATACGTTGGGTGTTTGGGACGACGGAGGCTAGAAGCAGAGGCTGGCATTCGATTATGTTCGAGCTCGTCCAGCCGAATCGCGGCGTTCGGGACCATGCCTGCTCAAAGCAAAGACCTTTTACCCCGCAGCTACTAGACCTAAAACAAATTATCTCTCCGGAGACCGTGCTGACCATTCTTCATCTCCTCTTGACCTCACAGTCCGATTCATGGGTCTTTCTGAGAACGCCTCGGAGGCCAAGAAGGACCACGCCGAGCTCTCCGCTCGTGTCAAGGCCGGACAACCCATCTACGGCGAGACGGACCTGACCGATTACGTCCAGAGTGTGGCTGCGAGGAACTCTACTTGGAGCCAACTGAAGTTGAGCGTCATGCCTTGGTGAGTACAGGGAGAAACGACGTCCCATAATAGAGAGCAGCAGGGGTTCCAATGCTGATGCCGATGCGATTGATCGGCTGGCGATGTCGATATAGGTTCAACCTGGTCAACCACAACTATCACGGTGTCGACACGTCAAAGTATGGCGAACAAAAGTAGAGAGAGTTGGAGGGGATGCAACGAGAGAGATGTCCATGTGCGCTTTTGTATCTGTAACACAATTAATGCCCAATCCGCATCCTGTTAGAGAGATTCAGACGGTTTCACGGTGTGTTTTCGGCGAAATCCGCGAGAGAAAGATGGTCAATCAACCAAAAGTAAGGGGATGATCATCATCAATTTGTGTCGATGTCAACAGACCCCTCGATTGCGACCTCACAACATTCCTGATCATCCTTCCGGAGCTCATTTTGTCGGCACAATATCCCTGGTATCCGTCATTAATCTTGGCCGAAACGAATGCAAAGTCGAAAGGCTCAAAGGGATCGATCGTGACCACCCACCTGCCTTCTTGTCCCCCCATCAAAGGAGTCATCTTGTCTTTCTTACACCAACCGATATCGTCATCGCGAGGAAGTGCTATGCTCAAGTAGCGAAAGGATATAGAAGAGCTTCGAAGGCTAAGCTGTCAAGGCATACGAGACGAGGATAGCCTCACGGTTCACGGAATACGAGACGGCAGACGGTCGGAGGACGACCAAGAACAAAAGATCGGGAACTTACGACCACATTATCACGACAAGATACAACTTCTGTGCAAGGGCTCGAGACGAGGGAAAACAAAGATCGTCACTACAGAGGCTCTGGAACGATAGATAAGAAAGAAGGACTTGTGAGATGCATATCACGCTCGAGGCTATTACGAGCTGGGCGAGGAAGGCGACAGGGGATGTACCGGAACCCATGGTTGTGAGTACTGTACCACCTATATCCCCAAAAGAACCCATCATCATCCTATTGCAACTCCGACTAGTTATTCGTCTGATTGTAATCATCTCCATTCTTTGTTGTTTAGGGCCCGTCGACGACCCTAGTAACGATCCCCCACCCAGACCCCCTCAAAGCAAGGGAAGGTCAGACCAAAACCCAGATATGGGTATATGGCGGGAGGTCGGTCAGGACCGCAAAGGTCACCAGCGGATTATGGTGTTTAGACGTAGAAACGTTCGTCTGGGAGAGGGTCGGACCGTGTGACGTGAATGGAGACAACGGGGCGTGGCCGAGAGGGAGGTATTTCCATACGACCGATCGATGTGAGTGGAACCGAGGTCTAGATGTGGACCGTCATATGTCGTTTGTTGCGGGGCCGAGAGAAGCTGACAAAATCTGCCCTTGTGGACAACGCGATGTGTGTCAAGGGAGGAACAAGCTCGTCGTCTTCGGTGGAATGGCAATGACAGCAACGGGAAACCACCATTCCCCATCCGTCGATACGCCCACTTCTTCAGACGGACCCTCCGTGCACTCAGAAGAAGAACCTTGTGTCCTTAACGGCATCTGGGTATTTGACTGTATCACGCGTCGATGGACACGGCCGGACAATGCCAACGTCGGGATGAATATTGAAGAAGGTATCTTGGAGCATGTGGAGAATCTCCCGGCGCCCAGGTACGCGCATACGAGTGTGGTCAGTCGTGGGCGGTTGGTCATCACTGGGGGACAGGACCTGCAGAACGAGTAAGTCAAGTTGCATACCCGGTCGCGATTCGCGTGCCTGTTTCTCATCAGGACTTATGCCGGCTGGATTGTTCTACAGATATATCATGCAAGCATCGATCCTGAATCTGGATAGCATGACATGGGATCCTCCTTCAGAAATAACGGCCCATCGAGGTTCCTACCGAAGCGTATCCGTAGCTTCCCGCTACGTCCTTGAGCCGCAAACGACGGCTTTAAAGGACGATTATGGTAATCCGCTCGAAGCCTTGCCATACTCGATCGAGTCCGAAGACAAGGGCGGCGAGATCTTCACCTATTCGAATTCCAACTTTACCGACGTACGGAGACAGATCCAGACGTCCCGCTTCGAGTCCGAGGATGGAGAGACGGACTTGGCCACCAGAGATATCACCGTACAGATGACTTCGCAGCCCCAAAAGCTCCCACCAGGGTTGAGATTTCCTTTTGCCAGCGTCATAGGGCATCACCTTATCATCGCTGGGATATACCTATCTGCGACCGAGCAAGAATACATCGTGTGGGCGCTGGATCTGAAGAGGGCGAGGTGGAAGAAGATCGACGCCATGGTCCTCGCCTCCAGTAACAAGGCCGGTATGGGTGCCGAGGCCGAATCTCTGGGTGGAGGGAGTTGGAACAAGGCCGTAGCTTGGGAAGAAGCTGGAAAGCTTATGGTGTTTGGCAACAAGAACAGGAGCTTGCCCGAGGATTGTGAGTCTCGACGATTAGCGGGTACTATCACAACGGGTTTTGTCTGATCCACTCTGTTTGACGGCGATTTTCAGACGAACAACGAGCCATCAATTTTGACAACATTGCGATCGTGGACCTGGAAGTGTTCGGGATCTACCAACCACCTGTCCGGGAATCTTCGTGCTCACCTCGAATGATACCGTTTGCGCTGAAGAGCTTGCGAGAAAATTGGAGTTCCGACTACCACATCGTCTGCGAGGACGGCCGGGCCTTGGCCTGCTCTCGAGCGATACTCTCGGAACGATGGCCTTGGTTCAAGAAGGGTTGGGACGAGGCTTGTCGAAAGGCGAAGGAAGTCATGGAAGGGATGTCGCCCGATTCTGATCCTGATCTCGCCGATCTGACGGGTCCTGGATCCTCTGCTATGGATAAAGTGGGCAACTCGCGGTTCGAGCGATGGAAGTCCGGCCTCAAGGTCGAACCACAGACTCTGCAACTGGCGGAGCCTTATCCGGTTTGCAAAGCGCTACTGGAGTATCTCTACACCTGCGACCTCGTGACGCCTTTGCAACACCGGGCTCCCATACTGAGTGCACTGTTGATCCTGGCCAAACAATACGAACTGGAAGATCTCAAGCGCAAAGTGGTTTACGCCATGCATGAGCGCTTGAGCGGGTCGAATTGCCTGGGAATATACGAGATCGCTAGCCTGTGCGCTTGCACAGGTTTGCAGGTGCGAGCTCTTCGTATGGTATTGGTACGTGTAATCGTTTGGTTATTTGCGAGTTCCGGTGGTCTGATGCGACGTCTCTGCCTCGTAGGCCATACAAAAGAGAGAGGGTCGAAGCTCTACCCATCGTCGAGGCGATTCTAGTGCGGGTCTAACACCCGCTTCAGCTAGAGGAGGTCAAGGTGGACACTATGAGGGCAACGGCATGAACGGCCATGGACGTCAAGGATCAGTCGGATCGCGTATGCCACCATCTGCTGGTTCGGGCAACCCAGGCTCGCAAGGCTACGCGATGAATCTACCGCCTTCTTCCTATCGGATCAGTAAATCACCCCGGACCCGCTCGCCTTCGCTCTCTGGGGCGAGTTTAAAAGCGTCTCCTTTACCTATACCTTCCGAAAACATATTTACCTTTCCTCCTAAGCTCGCCCGCGATGCCAGCCCTCTAGTGGCAGATTCAACGCCGCGGTCCCTGAGGACCGTTGCCTCGCAACCCGCACTAAATGCCTGGAGGGATCCTCGAGCCCCGCTTATGACCGAGTCACAGGAAGAATCTAGCCCAGATGCACGGCCACTACAACCTCCTGTGCCGAACGATACATCTGAATTGGGTAGCGGATCGGATTATGAGCCGCCGTCTTATAGAGGGAGACCGCGCACGGCCAGCTTGAAATCGGTTCACCATTACAAGAGCGGGCTCGCCAATGCGCGTTGGTCGCACAACGGCGAACACGACAACAACAAGCTGAAACCCACCAACCACAAGCATAGCCGTCCTCGGTCCAGTACTCTGGCAGCAAACCCTCTCAGGAAGAGTGTCAGCAAATCTCAATCCATCTCGTCCTTCTTCAACATGCCCTCTGCAACTTCTTCTCTGACTTGGATTGGTCAGCATTTGCACTCAAGGTCTCCTTCAATGCAGGGACCGAATATATCGTCACCGAACGACAACGCTCTTGCCGTGATGATTGGCCCAGATACCGCGAGCAATTCCATTATCGGGACGCCTAATACGTCGAGTTCCTCTGCAAGTTCCGGTGGATCTTCTCTGGCATGGACAGATCCAAGCGAAGGTCTCGTGTTTTGGCAAGAAGGGGACCGGTCCAAAGCAGGCACGCGCCATCAGCGACTTTGCTCACTTGGGGGCGACGACGACAAGGATAAGACGCCGATGCCCAAACGCACACTCCAAATAGATACCCGCCTGGCTCAGAAACAGTATAGACAGGCACACGTGAAACAGGACCCGCCGAATCTACGTGCATCACCTCGAGGAGAAATGCCATTGTTCTTTGTACCTCCTACTCAGGCTCGTGGTGTACAGTAGAGGAACAGAGGGATTTGCGAATTTTGCGCTGCGAAATAGTGATCTCGAAACTCAGGGCTGCCGAAACATCATTGAAGGCTGAGGCTTGCACTTGATGAACGCGGCTTGTAAACGAATGAGGATCGGGTTGACTTGAGACGTGCTCTATACCGATAACACTCGTACCCCTTCTCAGAGACACAGATGCTCAAAGGAAGTTGCCGAGATTCGCACGCGGGGAACCATAACAGTGTTTCACAAAGTGGCATCTTGCGACGCATAAGAGGGCTTGGCTGGTCCGCAGCCCTCAATCGCAGTCTGTATCACTGATGCGCCGGTAACTGCGCAAGCGACCGGATTCTTAACGTCTCCATTCCCTGCGAATATCACCCATATCCAAATCATCCAAATTTAGCAGTATGAGCAAGGTCGATCTTGAAGCTTTAACAAACCAGGAGAATAGAGGGCGTGTCTGGAACTTTTTCCATGATAAGAAGACCGGAAAGGTGATACTGATCATATGTGAGTCAAATACCGGTACCCCATCGCAACGGCAGGTTACAATCTAAACCTCTCACTTGTCATGCCAGTTCTGTTGTTGGTCGTAGCCGCAATCGCCGTAACGTTATACCTCAACTCCAAAAAGAAAAGTTCAGGAGCCAAGAAAGGTTCTGGCGGGAAACCATATCGCTCCAACTTTGGTTCGAATTTGCACTCGTCTTCGGCGATTGCCAATACCACGTCGACTGAGACTACCGATACCAAGGTAGCGTGGGCGACTACCATTAGCTTCTGATAATGGCACAAGGAGCCGACACCTCAGGATTATGTGTATCGCACATGATTGTTTCATATACCACATATCAATTTCTCTGGAATGTTCGCCTTGAAAATGGCAGCTCGCAATGACATAATGCCAGAGTACTGGAGCCGACCACATGTTGACGTGTTTCGTTCTCCATATCCTGCTTCGCTTACCGTAAGAATGTCCGTCATCCGATCCATTGTTCTCGTCCTCGAGTAATCATCAAGAGCTACTGTGACCGTTCGAAACACTATAGTATATGTCATCGCTGTCGAGATATAGGCCTACTCTTCAGTGAGCGAGTCCAACCACGTCGAGGGCTACAACTTCTAAGCTTGTGTTGTGCGCTTCCATGTCACTGGAGGCATACGTACAAGTACTGCGGGATCCTAGTCCACGTACGTCTTGATCCCAAGGTAAGACGAACTTGATATAATCAGGCGAATCCTTCTGTCTTTAGTCTAGGGCTATCTTTGCGTATTCGTCGTCCTTTGTCATAACGTTGCCCATCCTTATCGCCCTCTCTGTCCCTGTACGATTTGTATCAGGACGGATGATCTCTCAGGAACTCGTCTTGGGACTTGGACTATCGACTTCTGCTTTATGCTTCCCGTTCCCAAAATCAGCGACCGGTCCTTCAGATCTGAGTCACTATTCTACCCCTTCTCTAGTGATTTTGGACTCAGGATCCGGGGACGTGTCATCCTTTGCGGACGTGTGACCTATCGCCTTTTCTGTAGATTCGGTTGCGAGATCCGGGCGCGCCTCATCCTCTGCTGCCGTCCCGCTTGATTGTTTGTCGGCTTGTTCTGCGGAATCTGACTCGGGAATACCGGGGAATAGCCAACGATCTACTTCCTGCGTATGCTCCGGGACGGCTGTCAGCGCAGCTATTCTCATATACGATGCAGAGGCCGAGCCACGTCAGGCTAAGCGCTCACCGTTTTGAAGAGAGAGACAACGTCTAAATCGAAGACTGCCTGGGGATCGTATCCGTAGCGACGGAGGTGCTCCTCGTCGAGCGTCGTTCGCCACCAAGAGAGAGGGGCTGGCTCTTGAGCAAATGGCGTGTACGGCTGATAATGCTGGACCAGGACCCTGATCAATCCGCCGACGTTTGCGATACCGGTGTTATTGTCAAGGACGCCCTTGCCACTGATGATTCTTTTACATCGGGCAAATATTTCATAGGGGAATTCTTTCGTTGGGTTTCTCCAACTTTTCTCGTCGACCCGGTTGGGGAGGGGTTCGGATGACCACTCTTTGACTTTGATATCGAACGCCTCATACCATCCCAAACCGTGCAAATATGCATCCAGCCTTTCTGCGAAGAGGCCGATTGAGATCAGAAAACGAGGGCGATGGGGCAGGGTGTTTCGCCAAACAACTGACCGAACTCGCTTCTCGCCTGGGCGCAGCAGTGGAAGAAATGCGCTAAGCTAGATCGGTACAGGCGATAAAGGCAGAACACTTACGACCGATACCCATTCTCCGAGAGCTGCTTGAGAAGTTGCGTCCACCGGTGTCCAATCCGATGCAGGCAGTCCTCGCTTGATCAAGCACAAGAGCAAGAAAGTCCTCGCCAGCGCGACCTGACGAAGGACCTCCCAAGCCAATATGAGTTCCCAGCGATATATCGTTCCCCACTTCTATCGACCAGATAATCGACCCCCGGTTAACATGGTACCCGCGGTCGTATCCGTTTATCCCACTTACTACCAGACCGTCAGATGTCGTAATGGGATACCGGAAGGCGAGATAGTATATCAACTTCAGGCGTGGTACCGAAAATGTCGGAGCCCCGACTCTGCGGTGATCCATTTGGTTTTGCGGATAAAAGTCGTACAGAGGCTGATAGTCCAGCTGACCGCGAGGAGGAGGCGTAACTGAGATGAATCGAGGGTAGCCTGCCCAGACCGTTGGATTGTACAGACGATCTTGTTTCAAGCTCGCTAGAGGATCCGGGCTTGTTTGCGGCTGCGGCTGCGGCTGCGGATCGACCAGGCCGAGGGCGGCCAACGCGGAACGAAAAGAATGCATGGCCATCAAGCCAGTAGACGTGAGAATGATATTATCAGAACGATAATGACACCGGGGGAAATGAAGATCGAATGCGTGCGAAGAGAGAGAGAGAGAGAGCTTTGAACCGGACTGAATCACCCTTTGCCTCGCCTCACGCAGGAGATCAAAATCACGTAATCTCGTCCGCGTTTCGGGTCCGGCGGATGGCGGACGCGCCTGAACGTTTTGGCAACGAAATTCACAACCTACACCTCTGTACCTCATACAATCGTCTTTCGTACATCTCTTGATTTTGTATCCGTGTACGACCTATTATTAGGCTGCACAGTAGCCAGCTGTATCTGCAATCTCCAGGTTGCATGGGTAATTCTGGGAGGGATCCCTCACGTCATGATTTTGGCGTCGCGCTTGCAGAACCGATAATCGTCAGGCTTCCATCGCGGATTGTTTCTCACTCAAGATATCACACGTCGTTCAGTACATTCAAACCATGGCCATGAAATGAGAGTGGGTGTCCAATAAGGAGCCCTCGGTGGCACTTGCACAATGTTCCCGACCGATCGGTCCGTCGACCCGTGGCTTGTAAGGGTGCACCGGGTCGACGTGTGCATAACTATCTATCATCATGGTACGTTGCTCCTTAGATTCACAGTATGCTCTACGGCTCCAGTGTGATTTACCCGCGCGGAATAGTGTTTCGAAGAGCAGGAAGATTCGCATCTGATAGCGGAGAATGAACCTGTGTCAGACCATCGTCGACAACAACTGGAAACAATCTCATAATCTTCCGCATCTCAGATTTCGCTGTTCTACAGCGGAGACTTTCTGAAGATCCATACAGAATCGGGCCCAAACGGATACGAATACGGAAGTACACTATGTGCGACTGAAACTTCGCCGTTCTCGTCATGTTCCCATTCGCAAATGTATTCAAGCGGATTGGTGCTGCACGACGAACCTGTGACGCAATAACAACGAAGCATACCATCAGCCCGGATTCTTGCGGTCACGAATTTGAAAGTCGCAAGTCTGAAGACGATGGTATATTAGTAGCAGTGTAGTACGTTCTAGTACTCACAGTCCGGTCTGCTCGACGAGTTTCACCGGATAGTACGCGATCGCGACCTCGATCGACTCCTTGATCGATTCCTGCCAGTGCCTACAGTAGTATACATCAAGTCAGCCCAAGGTGAAGGATTTGGCAATGTAGATGTCAGGACGCCAATGTGAGCGGAAATTAAGCTGTAGGTTGGACCGGGAACCGTATTGATTGTACTCACGCAACGGTGCGAGCCATGTTGTGATCAGAATCCTTGAGAATGCGAGCGAGAGCGCACCCCAAGACGAAGAAGAAGCAGCAGACCACCACCTCGATGACTGTACATGTAGCGAGCACCAACGTGAGCTCTTCTTGACCAGACAATCCAGAACTGGTTTATGTGATGCTATGGTCGATAGACCAGAACGATGTACCACACATGACATACCTTCCATTCTCATCTCTTTCTTGGTCTTCCCGTAGATCAAGATCTCTTCCATCACTTGCAGGTACAACTCCATCTGTTCCACGGTAATCGCACCGTTCTCGAATTGTTCTTCGATCGAAGCCAACCGCCGCAGGAGGTCTTGCTTCCTGCGCTCGAACTCCTCGGACTTTCTCTGCTTTTCGCGTTCGACCTCTTCGGGAGAGACGGGTTCCTTGGACTTGAGGAAGAACATTTGTTCAGCAGTAAGGATGCGGATATCTGTAGGTAAGAGGTGTTGCTGGGCTGGGTCTCGAAAGCTAGACAAATATGGATAAGAGAGAAGCTGGGCCAAATCAGCTGGTCTTCGCGTTGGAAGTCAGCCTCGAGAATCGACTTTGCAACTTACGAGGTGGTCCCAAGGGTCCTTTCTTCAATGGAAAGGGAGGGCGATCACTGGCTCGTATTCTCTCGTTTACGCTATGATCGCTTGAGTCGACTATCGGGTGTGATATGTATGGTTGTGTGGATGAGAGTGTTGAGGGAAAGTCGATCTGGTCTGCAAGTAGATCCCCTTTGGGCGCTTTGCTGATGGCGTCGGCGTCCCCGGACTTGGCCGATCAGTTGTTGTCGATGTTGTCGTCATCAACCTACTACTGTATGCCTCGACCTACCTGATCGTCTTCTCGACCTACTCATCAACAACAACCACGTCTCGCAAACAGAGCAGCATACAGGAACACACAATGATGATATCGTCAGATACCACCGGCAGCCTCGCCCCCGTGGACCACCTCGACGTCGTCCCCAACGAAGCCCTAGGCCCGTTCAAGCTCGGAGACTCGTTCTGGACGGTGACCGAGGTGTTGAAGAACTACCGGAGTACGTTCAGGGTGGTCGATATATCCTGGGACGAGGAGGTGAGTACCTTCTTCCTCCTGTCTGGACTACAGATCTGTGCCGCAAGATGCGCTGAACGGCCCGTCCCTTTCGTGACGCTACGTAGAACCCCGCGTCGAGCACGATCCTGCTCAAACTCGACGGTTACATCACCCTCATCTTCCCATCCACTCCACCTCCGTGTCCACAACTGCTCCAACGGATCGATATCGACGTCACCATCCCATCCTCTTCAAACCCCTCTTCCTCGTCAAAATCAGCGATACCCTCGCTATCAACGCCATCCTCGTCGTCATCGTCGACGGTCAAGAAGTCTCAACCCAGGTTCACATATGCTGGCCAGACCCTACACTCCGCCCGCGCACCGCTGGATAAGAACCGAGTTTCCACCCTTTTTGGACCTACGTTCGAACCCAAGACCAGTCCCGGTCAAGAGGATTCAAGAGGAAGGATGACTTGTTACCCCGGGATCGGCTTCGAGTGGTCCTCATCGGCCGGGTCATCATCAAGGGGTGCGAACGGCGATACGCACACGAATGACAGACCTAAATCCGAGTCCAATGGGAAGGCCATTTCAACCACGCAACACACATACGGGGGAACAGGACTAAGCGAGGAGGTCAGATCGTCCTCATCGATAGGCAAGATAACGATCTTTCAAGCCCGACCTGATCATTCCCATACGGCCAACTTGGAGACGATGAGCCGGGACCCTATCGCCAAAGCCAACACAGAGGAGGAAGAGGAGGAGAAGTGGACTTTTGTTCCGAATGAGGTCATACAGGGTAGTCTGAGGCTATGTCAAATCACGGTGAGTCCGCTAGATGTCTTTCGGAGATCGATCGTCAGGTGGCTCTTCTTCTCTCTTCGGATCAAGCTGAACATGACCCAATACCATTTCTCGCCGATCGTGCGTCTCCAAATTAGCCTAGGAAATGTATCAAGTTATATTTCCATACGCATAACGGCGATCACGGTAATGATAACAACAACAACCCGTACCCGATCGAGCTGCACCGAACGCTCGCTCAAGACCTCCTCTTAGACCTAGGTCCGCCCGCCCGGAAATACACCAAACAGGACGGGCGGTTCGAAGGGATGTACGGAGTGGACCCAGCTTCCAATTCAGGTCGTGATCATGGGAGGACTCGAAAGGACAAGAACGGCAAGGAAAAGGGGAAAGGAGGCGAGGAGGGAGGCAAGGTCTGGTGGAACTATTTCCATCTAGGTCTGGATTTCTTGGTCGACGAGGACGAGGCAGGGGTCGTCGTCAAGGTCATGGTGCATTCGAATATCGTGAGTCGACGTCTTATGTCGATCGGGTTACACATCGCTAATACAGGGCGATACCATTCCGATTCCCGTTCTCATTCTCTTGTCCGGCGGGGAAACACTCAGCCCGGTACGGCCTTGTTTCAGCGATACGCACGGTGTCCATGGGAGATCGTTGTCCCCGGCAGCCCCACACGGACTGTGTATTGTCGGGATAGCTTGAAAGCGGCTACAACGGCGCTTTCCCAAGCGCACGGGAACGGCGTCCACACCGACACCTCCAAATCGTCTAAATCGACTGCAATGGCTTCGAAACCCAAGGACAGGAACTCGAACTCGAACTCGCCAGCTGAGATTGAAGCTGCGGCGATGACCCTAGATCGGACGACTGAACCCGGATTCGAGGGGATCATCAACATCGACCCTAGCAGGATCGTCGCGCTCGATGGCATTGTACTCGAAGAAGGTCCGGGAGGAGCGGGGATCGCCTCGGTGTTGATCTGTTAACGAGTAGCCGCCATAAAGAGACACGACCAGTTGCGATCCTCGAGTCTCAAGAAGACTCCACGCCTTCTTTTTCGACCGCATGACTATCAATTATCTGTAGGCTTTGGCAACAGAAAGCATTCGACACGTCGAGGATCGAGGGCGATCGACGTGATTGTGATTGCACAGGACCAGAAACCGCTTCGAAAACGGTTGCGAAGACACGACCCTATACCCCATGACTTGCACAACTTCCTGTCCTTGTACGAAGATAACACTTGTTGCGTCTGTTCATCGTATTCAAATGGTTCGATACAAAATACAAGTCCTGGTCCATGGAATTTCTTCTTTCTTTATCCGTACTGTACTGTATGCGCTTGAGCGTGGTGTGTCGGTGTCGGGGGTGGTCGTCGTTGTCCCGAGTGTTTTCATAAAATACATGCAATCGCCTTGTTCTCTCCGTCTAGAATCCAGGAGCTCCACCGGCACCTCCTCCCATCGTCTGCATTCGCTCGCCGACCTTCTTGTTGACCTAGAGCGTTTTTCCCCAGAGTTATAGCCGTAGTAGTAGGCGCAATAGTAGTGTACGGTATAATAAGGGAAGGAGAGAGGACAAGTGTCAGTATCGTTCGATAACGAAGATGAATGCAGAGACAAGCCGAAAAAAGAAACAAAAAGGAAAGAAAAGGGGGGAAAAGAAAACAGATGACCACCAAGCCACGAATGGCATCGAGGTCGGCGTGTAGTTTAGTGTGGGTCCGACTGATTAGTCGCCTCTTCGGTAGAAGCAATTTATCCAAACGACGACATGCCCAGTCGGATCCTGAAAGGAGATTCCATCTCCGCTCATCTTCGTGGAAAAGCCCCCCCTTCCTCTCCTCCACCCATACCCAGCCATCCCCCTCTTCCTCCTGGCGCAAAAGGCGCAACTCTTAACGAGGCGGAGAGGGACGGCCGTAAGTGGGTACGGGTGTTCCTTTTAGCCGGTAAAGGCTAAAGGGGTGAGAAGCAAAGAGGGAGGCGTGCGGACCTGGGCTAGGGTGGGGAAGACTAGCTCGGTACGTCCTGGAGCGGGTTGCGTGGGGTTTTGCAACGGGAAATGATGAAAGGTGGAGTGTATAGGAGGGAAAAGAGAACCAAAAGAAAAGAGACACAGCGGGCAACCGCCGAGACTCACCTCGAAAAACTTGGCCGTACACCGATCGATACACACGCCTTCCCCCTTGTTGAGGTCCCCCTCGAGGTACTTTTCCGAGATACATTTGGCGTGACACGAGTTGACGAGTCGGTTGAAGACGTCGGTGATCATGTCGAGCTCGGTGACGGCCATCTCGATCTGTTTGTACGTGTCGTCGTCGTCATCATCGTGGTGACAAAGGTCAGCGTCGGTGAAGGCGAAGCAGGTGAAGCCATGAGCGAAAATAATGGCGACTTGCCTGAGCCGGGTTGATGGTGCCCTGGGACTGAGCCTGTTGTCCACCGAGACCGAAGAACGACATGTTGTGGTATTGAAGACGTAGTGGAGTCTACGAGATCAGACGTAACGCAATCGAAATGCTCCGAATGAGCCCGGGATTTCTTTGGTCTGTGAGATCGTTTGATGCTTACCTTGAATCAGAAAAGGGGAAAGGGAGAAGGAGGTTGACGAGGTTGACGATGATGTGTACGAGTTGGGTGATGATGCGTGTTATATATACTGACCCCTGTTCAGCAGCATAGGCTGGTCGTGTTGGAAAAGTTGCGTGCGTGCTGGGTGGGTGAGTCTCGAATTTGGATCCGCGCGCGTTCGAACCACTCGGATGCCTCCACCTCTTTCGAATTTCTAAAGCTGGCTCGCATCCTGAACTCGATCTCAAAGTTGAATGACCTTGAAACGTTCCCACTTCTACAACGACTTACCACAAGTCACACACCCATCCTACTACGATACCCTGTCACGATGGCTAAACCTACATCATCATCAAAACCGGCGTCCAAGTCCGCGTCCAAACCCGCCTCCAAGGGCAAAAAGACCAGCACCGCCGAGACGACCCCGGTCGCTCGTCCCGCTATCGGCAAAGACGACAAGGCTCTCAAAGAAGACGCTGCTGCCAGCCCGGCTCCCGTCGCTGGAAAGAAACGTAAATCCACCACCTCGCCTGCAACGGGCGCTGCCAAGGACCCCGAACACGACCCGGAGACGATCAAGAATACGCAAAAGAACTCCAAGACCCACGCTCCTGCGCCCAAGGATGCTGGCAAGATCACTCCCGGTGTGTCTCTGAGGTCGGGTGATGAGGAGCAAGATGGTGGCAAGTCGAACAAGCGGGCCAAGGTGCACGTGAACAAGCCTGCCGTCACCGTGGAGAAGACGACGGAGGATGTCCCCTTGCCTGTGGTCGCTTCTTCTTCCTCTGCGTCTGCTGGAGAGAAGAAGGGCAAGGGCAAGAAGGCTTCAAAGAAGGACGTCGAAGCCGATGAGGATGTGACCATGACCGCCGCGGAGACCGCCGCCGTCCCTCCCTCGGCTACCAAACCCGCTTCTTCCCTCAAGAGCGCTCTCAAATCCAAGTCCAAGTCCAAGAAGCCGATCGAAGAATCCGAAGACTTTATCCACGGGTTCTCTTCCTCTGATGGAGAAGATGGCAACGAATCCGTAGATGACGATGATTCGGACGTCGACATGGACGCCGGAGCGGGGGTGAAGAAGGTGGTAGCGAAAGACTTGCCAAAGGTCGTCGAGGGGGACAAGGCCGTCGAGGAAAAATTGAGCAAGGCTAAACGCAGAGGGGTGAGCAGCTCTTCCACCTCAATCTCCCGTAGCTCCAAAGTATCCTTCGTCTTTCGTACTCACGAACCCATATTGTGCTGTTTCCTTGCGACCTCCTCTATTCGCAGGGCAAAGAAAAGGGAGTGCTCTACCTCGGAAGGATCCCTCACGGATTCTACGAAGAGGAGATGAAGGCGTACTTTTCCCAATTTGGGGATATCTCCAGGTTACGGTTGGCTAGGAACAAGAAGGTGCGTCCTCGTCGCGTCCTCTCCTCGCTCCCTGACTAGGTCGGCTGATCGCGTCCTTTTCCACCTCTGCTTCCTACTTTGACCTTGGCATTGTCGTTCGTCCTCCGCCGACAGACCGGAGCTTCGAAACATTTCGCCTACATCGAGATGCCCAACAAGTCGGTCGCCGAGATCACGGCCGAGACGATGCACAACTACCTGCTTATGGGTCATATCCTGCAATGTCACGTGAGTTACCGTTCCCATTTCTTCGCAGTGATCCGACTCTCAAGTCTCGATCTCGAGGAATTGATGCTGATGCAACGGCGACACGTCGCAGGTCGTCCCCGCCGACAAGCTTCACCCGGACATCTGGATCGGTGCAAACAGGAAATGGCGTCGAGTCCCCTCGGCTCGATTGGAGAGGTCCCAGTTCGGCAAGGTACGCCCCTGCGTTCAATCCACTACCTTTCTTCCTTCTGCCGCAAACGCGCTGACTCGACATTAATATCTCCGGCTTGCTTATCGATCTTGCGCAGGACCGAACGGACGAGCAGAAGAACAAGACCCGGAGCAAGCTCATTAACAGGGAAAAGGAGAGGAAGGACAAGTTGAAGGCTGCTGGGATCGATTACGAATACGAGGGATTCGTGAGTCTGCAACCTTTTTCCCGCCGTCGTTCTCGTGTCTATTGTGCAAAAAGGCTGACTCTCCATATTTCGCTTGACAATCTACGAACAGACCGCCTAGAGCTCGATTACCGTGCGATGTCTTTCGCCCTTCCTCCTACCCTCTTGCCTCTTTTTTTGTCTCCGCGTTTCGTTCTCATCTTGTAAATCCCTCTCTGCCTCGACCTCGTCTTCCTCCGGCCGGGAATATGAGAGAGGGTGTATTTGTATGTCATCTCATTCGATCTCGTGTGGTATCCTTTGGCTTTGCATCACCGGCTTTCGACGCGCTTCTTTTGCTTACACGCCGCCTGACGAGGATCATCCCATCACTGGCACCTGTAATAAAAGACCAAGCTGATCTCATGAAGGGCAGGACGCTCGTGATGGCGGTGGCACCTGACAGGATGATGAGGAACATAATCGATTGCATGCTCGATCGTGCATTGGGTTTCATGTAGAGTTGGCCGGCCAGAAACTCCTGTCGAATCTCGATAAACGACTGCACCTGGACGACACAGGCCGAGCATGGCGAGGTTTCGACAGGATCGCACTCGCCCTCGATGGAATAACAGGACGCGCTTGAGCGCCATTTCGTGCACGCGGGTCCGACTTTTGAGCAGTTGAGTGGCGATCATGGCGATGGTGTGCACATTGCCTTACATACTTCACACCGTATGCTCGAGCCTCAACATATCTTCCCGAGTTCTGCAAGCTCACGTCACGCATGATACCGATCAGCAACCTGTAGCGACCTTGTTCGCACGCATACTGTATACTCATAGCTAGATAGATTGGCGGTGGCGAGAGAACAGGACGCGCGACATCGTAAACAACCCCGCCTCGTACCTTCTCTGGCGATCGCCTTCCCCCCGAGTTCGACTCAAGAATCGCTTTGGGCTGATTAGGCTTGACCCGAGGATCTTCTAGATCCTTACGATCAATTCAATGTTGGTTCCTGATGGGGGTTGCGATCGATAGAAGTCGAAAGGAATGTCGCCACTCATTAAGCAGAGTCACGTGACCGACACTGTTGGGCGATATCTAGACCTTTGAAGGCTCCTTTGAAGCCGGGAATCATTTCGAGCTCATCCAGAGAAGATTAACTACTCATGGAACTTGCTCTTACTGGGAACTGATGTGGTAGACGGCGTTACGAGGCTACTGACAGGTTGCGCCTGAGCGGGATTATGCGGGTATTATGCGTTTATTCTTCGCTTATTCGTTCTCACGTCATTCGATACGCGTCCCCATTTCGCGTCCTCGACGCGCAATTTGAGAGGGCCCAGCCATGCCAGAGAGCGTCTGTCTCTCGATCAGCCCAGGTCTTCTCATTCCTGGACATCGAGCTGCTCATCCATCCTGAGCGTTCATTTCCTGACCACATACCACAATCTTCCACTGCATTTCGTAACGACCTCGTCCTCTCTATCATCTTCATCTTCTGAATCATGCAATCTCGTTGACGGTAGGACGAAGACGGACCTCTCTCGCTCGTACGGCTCTCGAACAAAAGAGACGAGCCTCGCGGATCAGGATCAGGCGACGAGCTTCTCAGGACGTGCTTTGTTAGTACCTACAGCGGACCATGAGACTGCCAACATGAGCGCTGAGAAATCTCTTTTACTTCGCTCTAGATTCTTTGCTCAGAACACTTACAGACCGGATCGACATTCACGACCTTCATCATCGCTTCCTTGACTTCTCACCATGGCTGCTGTACGTCATCTCGCGACTTTCCCAGAGGTGGCTTGTCGTCTTTCGATCGCGATCACTGAACATATCGACCTCTTCTTCTCCTCTTCTACCATCGATGTTGCTCTAACATCTACCCTTCCTTTACACCACCATCGCTACCTTCTCTCATCCTTTGCATATGCGCCATACCATTCGGACTCGCACGTAGACCCGTCGGACACGAGCTGTACCGGCACGCAACACGCTCACTGATGAGAATGCGCCTACCACTCGATCACGTTCCGGGGTCAGCACCGTCGGTGCGAAACCTGGTGTCTCTACAGCAGGAAATGTTCCGGTGAAACCGACCATGAACAGGACGACATCGACGGCATCGACCGTCCTGGGGAGAAAGGCTGCGGTGTCGACGACGACAGGCAAGGTGGAAGGAAAGCAGGCTGCAGCGGGGACGAGTCGGGTGGTAGCAGGATCAAAACAGGAAGGCGTGACGAGGAACCGAGCGGCATTAGGTGAATTGACAAACAAGGACGCTACCAATGTGACGACTGCGAGTGACAAGCCTAAAGCGGGGGCGAGCAAGACGACCTCGGCCGTCACCGGTCGACCTATCATCGCACGGAGAGTGACCCGGAACAGTCTAGCCGCTGCTGACAAGCCTGCCGAGGCCGTCGCTGAGCCTACCGCTGGACCGAGCCGATCGACCATCACCTCGACCGCTCGAGCTCGACCTCTTGCCCGAACCCGTCCGTCTACCAAAAACGTCAAGGAGGAAGTGGCAGCGCCTACCGTCACCAAGCGTGAACCTCTGGCAGGCAAGGCCACCTCGTCCACCATCAACAACGCTCGAGCCGGTATCAAACGGACCTTGACGGCCACCACGGTCGTCCAGGCTCCTCCCCAACCCGCTCCTGTCCGTCTGGAACGACAACCCAGCGTGAAGCGGGAGATTGAAGAGGAACATGACGATGAGAAACCGATCCAACCGTCTTCCAAACGGATCCGAACGTCGAGCCCGGTCAAGCGGGACGATGCCGAGGTGGAACGCCTCGAACCCGAACACGAGCGCGCGATAGCCGAGGTGGACGAGACTGCACATGTGGAAGATGTCAAACCCGCCGTTGTCGCTCGTGAAGCTGGGGTGGATGCGTTGGAGGATGAGCAGCCTTACGAGTTGGAAGATGATCCGATCGGGATGTCGGGCGGGAGGTTGGGTGATATAGTGCAAGATATCGATGCCGATGATGCCGACGATCCGACCATGGTCGTCGAGTATGTGCAGGATATTTTCAACTACATGAAGGAGCTCGAGGTGAGTTGTCCGCGTCATGACCGATTGTGTGACGTTCGCCCTTGCTGATCACGTTCGACCTTGTGTCATTCCGCGCCGCCTTGCAGTACAGCTGCATGCCCAACGTCGAGTACATGGATCAGCAACCTCATCTCAAATGGGAGATGAGGGGTCTCCTCACCGACTGGCTGATCGAGGTGCATCACAAGTTCCGTCTCCTCCCCGAGACCCTCTTCCTCACCGTCAACCTCGTCGACCGATTCCTCTCGGCCCGAGTCGTCTCGCTCGCCAAACTCCAACTCGTCGGTCTCACCTGTCTCTTCATCGCGGCCAAGTACGAAGAGGTCATCTGCCCGACCGTCTCCAACTTCTTGTTCATGGCCGATGGGGGTTATACGGATGAAGAGATCCTCTCGGCCGAGAAATACGTCTTGACCACGCTCGAATTCGACCTGAGCTACCCCAACCCGATGCACTTTTTGAGGAGGGTGTCCAAGGCCGAGGGGTACGATATCCAGACGAGGACGTTGGCCAAATATCTGATGGAAATGTCGTGCGTCGATCATCGGTTCTTGAGTTACCCCCCGAGTCTGCTCGCCGCTGCCGGTGTGTGGATGGCTAGGCTCGTCTTGGATCGTCCGGAATGGGTAAGTCGGCGGTCGCTAGGTTTGCATGTTAGCGGAGTCGTATAGCTGACGTGCCCACCATCCTCCGTTCTCAGGACGCCACCCTCACCCACTACTCGAGCTATACCGAGGAAGAAATCCTTCCCGTCGCTCAGCTCATGCTCAACTACACCCTCGACCGAAACTTCCCTGCCAACGACTCGTTCTACCGCAAATACTCGTCCCGAAAGTACATGAAGGCCGCCGTCTTTGTGCGCGACTGGGCGGTGAGATCGTGGCCCAGGCAGGCTGCGGGGGCGAAAAGGACGGGGAACGAATTGGCACAGGTCATCCTTGAACGCGAACGACTGCTGGCAGAGGGGGATATCGTAGCCCCAGACTATTAATCTCGCCCTCGGCGCCTCGACATCATCATCTCGGATCGAGGAACTCCCTTTCGATACCGATGCCGAACCCCCTTCAATCCTTCTCACCAACAATTATGCGAGTCACACCCATCATCATCGTCACGTCGGCCGCCATCCATGGTCCTTTCACTAAACTCGATCTGGCTCGACCATCTGGCCACCATCGAGCCGCTCGTCTCGCTCGCATCGCTTCCCAACCATACACTCTACACATGATTCTCGCCAGGCGCCGGCCCCCATGTCATCTGATCTCTTTTTAATCGGGTCGAGCCTCCTGGTCCACCTTTGTTGTCTGTGGGTACTGTATTTAATCACTATAGTGGACGTCCATAAAAGACTGGACCTATGTACAATCTGGGATTATCGTCACGAAGTCCCCCTCCATGTCAAAACGATGTCATGATCATGATGAACGATGGTGCTTGCAGACTGGCAAGCTGGTAAGCAGTCGGCGAACTGTTCAGAACTAGTAGCATGATGCCAGGATCACGTGACAAGATGATGACGTAAGACGATGAGCACGACTACACAGCCAACTGCATGAGATTTACTGCGCACTCTTGATCCAGGTTGTTCAGCCCCAGTTCTATCTACACTAGACACTCTGCTGATATGACCAGCCATTCTATTACAGGCTGCGATCTAGATTCCTGCCTGCTGATATACCGCGACGAGAGCAGGAGGCCGCCTACTGCAGCGATCGATTAAAGGCGTCTCGGAAGACGCTGAAACGATGCAGATATCGAGGTGCATGAGTGATACTATCGACAACTCGATATGGACGACATGATTGCCAGTCCTTCAGCCAAGGCGAAACTGATACTTCAGAGCAACATCTCAGGAGATCGCCCGACATCATCAGACCAGAATCTCGCAATGTCGTATGCCATAGAGACACCGACCTCGCAACTCTGGTTGTCTTCCCGGAGGGATCCATCCGATGCAGCCAGATATACTGCCCCCGGGGAAGACAGGATCCTCTCGTACACAAATCTCAAGCTAGCCCTGAGCCTGGTCCCGCTCCTATGGAGCAGATTTGCCCTGCTCTTCTGGCAAGGCGGACATCGAACCCGACTGCTCGCCTTTGCCCTATCCAAAATCCTCAAGGGGTTCCTCCCGGCTGCCAAGATCTGGGCCTCGTCGGCCTTGTTGGACGAAGTCCAGGCAAGCTTTGGAGCAAGCAAGGATGAAGATGTCGACCAGGGCAAGATCATCCGGCTTGCAATATCATCACTCGTCATCTCGGCGGGCAACTCGATCCTGGATTTCCTGTCCACGAACAACAATGTCATTGTCAAGCATCACGTTGATCACCAGGTCGAGAGGCTGTACATGTCGTCCCAGCTCTCGCTAGACATCCCCACCTTGTCGGACCCAACCGTATCGGCTCTCATCTACGAGGCAGGATGCTTCGCAGGATTTGAGAGCAGGACCTCGAGGCCTGGTATGGGCAGCTCGATGACGGGCCGGATGAGAAGCAGACCCGGCGCGTTCTTGACCCTCTCTCAGTTGCTGAACTCGGTCACCCTGTCCGTCGAAGTTGTCACCGCCAGCGCCTTGCTCTTCCGTACCCTCAGTACCGCACTCGAACAAATGCAGACCCAGACGCACGAGAAAGACCGGGACGCCGTGTCGCTCCTATTTGGAATCTCTACCAAATCCGTCATCCTCCTCGTCCTCTGTTTCCTGCCCTCCGTATTATCCCTGAGTGGTACGCTCTTCTCCCTGTCCGTGCCTCTCAAACCTAAAGGCAAGCTGGCCGCCCCAGGTAAACTGAAGAACAACCCCGGGATCTCCGAATCCGAATCTCACGCGCGCAGGGAGACGGGCTACGAAGTCCAGCACATGAAGGTTCTGGGCAAGAACGGGAAGTACAAGCAAGAAGTCGTGCTCTTTGGCCTGAAAGAGTGGATCTTGACGAAATGGGAAGGACTTGTCAACTTGCAGATGGAGACCGAGATGGCCCATCGGGGGAGGTTGGGGTGGATGTTGGTCAGCTTTAGGGTCTCAGAGGAGGCGGTACAGACGGCGTTCCTCGTATGTTTTTGCGCTGGACTTGGCGACATCTGCTCTGTGTTGCTGGAATCAAGTATACTGATTATGACCTCTTTATAGGCACTCTTGGCTTTGCGGAGTTTCGGTACATCGATCTCGCTCGGGTCTATCCGTCTGTACCAGTCCACCGCCAGCTCCCTACTCGGCTCCCTCCGCAGTCTCACGCGAAGCCTGCAACAATCGGTCCAATCGCTGTTCTACATGGCTGCCTTTTTCGAGGCTATCGACATGACTGCGATTCTCGAAGAAAAGGGTAGAAGGGCCTTGAAGGTCTCGTCGGGCAACGTCGTAGATTACGAGACGACCCGTCTACCCGGAGGCATGCGGATCGAGGCGAGAAATCTCGGGTTCACTTATCCTGGTCAGCAGGAGCCGGTGCTGAGGGATATCAACCTCGTCGTCGAGCCTGGTTCGACGGTAGCGATCGTCGGGTTGAACGGTGGCGGTGAGTACACGAACGGTCAGGTCGAAAGGAAGATGAGCGAGTCTGACCCACCACGCTCTGCATCATAGGCAAAACCACGCTGGTCAAGGTCCTGATGGGTTTATACGACCACACGGGCGACCTGCTCATCAACGGACACCCTGCCGAGGCTTTCCCGTCCAAGCAGTTACACGCGCGTACGACCTGTTGTTTTCAGGATCACGGCAAGTATCAGTTGACATTGCAGGAAAATATCGGGATAGGCAATGTGGACATGATCGACTCTCGGGTCGATATCGACCGCGCCATCGTGAAAGGCGGAGCCGAGTCGGTCAGGGATAGGGTCGGTCTCGGTGGCAAGCTCGACGACGTCGGAGTTCCCAAAGTCTTGAACGAGACGGTGACGAAAGACGTGCGGAAGGCGCATGATGCAGACACACGTCCCTCTGACGACAAGCCGGGGTCGTCGGCTGGTCTGCGTTTTCGCGGACGTGGAAAGGGTTCGACAGCGAGTTCGGACGTGGGAAAGGATACGCCACCGTCGTCGGCTTCTCAACGCACGTCGCTGTCTGGAGGTCAGTGGCAGCGAGTGGCTCTGGCTCGAGCGTTCCTGAGGGCGGACGATGCGGACCTGGTAGTCTTTGAGTGAGGCTCAATTGTGCTCGATCAAGTTATACATACCAGCCTGACTGACCGATCGTCTCGCAGCGAACCGTCAGCTTCGCTGGATCCTCAAGCGGAGCAGGCCCTTTTCAAGCGGGTCCACGCTCTGTCTTCGGGAGAAGATGGTAAACGGACGACCACCATCTTCATCTCACATCGTATTCAGACGGTCAGACGGGCGGACAAGATTGTAGTTGTTGAGAATGGGGTGAGCACTGGTATTGAGAGGCACGTTCCCATCGGTTTGATGTTGACTGATCACGAGTGACCTGAACAGACGATCATCGAGAGCGGGCCTCACGATGCGCTCATGGCGATGAAAGGGCGCTATGCGGAATTCTTCAACTTGCAGCGAGAGGGTTTCGACTGAGGAGATGGTTCCGGTTGTATTACGCGCAGGTCGACAGGTTTACAGTACAGTACAAGATTATTCGCCGTGAAGCGCGTCGGTGGCGCGGGTTACCGTCGACAGGTCAGCCCAGAAGCCTTTGAGTTTAAAAAGGATCCATTCAGATGACATAGCCTGGGCTATACCTCCACTTGAAACGCGATCCCGTACCTCCAGCCGGTGACTATGGTGTGTGACCTAAGCAACTGCGAATGACCGTCGTCATACGCGAGATCACGTGCGATGGCATGATCGATGATGATTTCTGGAATAAAGAAGGACGCCGGACGCTCCCCAAATAGGCCTAGCCCGACCGATAAGCCGAGTGTACCAGGCGCTCGATAAAGCAAGCTATACTGTTCGAGCATAGTGCACTAGACAGACGGCCAAAGCAAGAGACCTCGGACCTGCCAACTTGATACTTCTCGAGCGACTGGAGAGATGGAGGAAGACACTCTCCCCAAGTCTTCGGACAATACGGGTGGAAGGAAGTGGGATCGAAATCTTCCGGCGGTGCTCAATACTGAGCGTGACAAGTTCTCGGTGGTGGCAACTAGCTTGGAGCAGAGCAAAGATAGACTACCAGGAATGAGAGTCCAAATGAAACAATCACGTCGCGATGCTGGAAAGGTTCAGGAAGGAGGGAAAGATTCACAAAAACACGTATATAGCCTTGCTTGCAAAGCAGAAAGGCCCTCCCACCCTTGTCGCGTACATGGCGGGGACGGAACCTGGAAAGGACAGACGACTTCTGAAAGGATTCCGTGAAGGGTTTGAGAATGAGTCTGAGCGATTCGAAGAAAAGACCGAGCTGAAGATTCCTGATCATGAAAGGATTGTCGATGCTTGTGGCCTGACCTGTGACTGGGAAAATTGGCACGAGCGTATGTGGAGGCTCTTCCATGGCATCTATCAAAACTTCTCGAACCAGTCCTAGCAGAAGCAGGCGATCCCAAAGTCGAAAGCGAAGGTACAACGATCTGGGATTTAGCCTCACTAGACAAAAACCCATTTCCGGCTGTACTTGTATCCTTACTCTCATATGCTGCAGCGCTGTCCATAGGGAAAGACGTGACCAGGAACCTGTTGTGCGATCTTGAATCTACCAAACCCCCCTTGGAACACGGTCGGAACCGTAAACTCAATCTGATAGGAACATCGAGCAATCGCAGAAGGTTCCGCGCATCGAAAGGTTTCACGGGCGATTATCGTGGTCGGTATAGTACGCGATACACACCAGGAATCCCCGCTCTGGTTTGCATCCATTACGTGTCGTGTACTCGACCTTGACAGACTGTGTTGCAATGGTGAGATTCATATTAATGTGGCTCATCATCGGCTGCAAGGCCGAAGAATTAGCTGTGGTATCGCATACAATGAGGACTGCCAAGCCATGCGCGCGCTCGAAGCGCGAACCATGGTTAGACCTTGTCGCGTCTACTAAAGCGGTATCGACCGTCCTATCAGATGCGGGACATGTGTTGAGGATCAAGCGACTCCAAGGCTTTGACTGAGGATCCGCGGAAGCACCTAGTGTGCATACACAGCGTGTCGTTGCCAAGCGAGAAGGCGCCGCAGGCGCCACGCACGCGAAGCGTGCGGATTTTCGGGCTGGGTGATCGATCGAGTGCTCGATACCACTCGAGAACGAGCTAAACATCAAGGTCCCGCTGGTCTAGGGGTTATGACCTCCCGTATCGGCCGGATCGCTCCAAGGCGCTGAGCAGTGCGGATTTTCGGGCTGGGTGATCGATCGAGTGCTCGATACCACTCGAGAACGAGCTAAACATCAAGGTCCCGCTGGTCTAGGGGTTATGACCTCCCGTATCGGCCGGATCGCTCCAAGGCGCTGAGCAGTGCGGATTTTCGGGCTGGGTGATCGATCGAGTGCTCGATACCACTCGAGAACGAGCTAAACATCAAGGTCCCGCTGGTCTAGGGGTTATGACCTCCCGTATCGGCCGGATCGCTCCAAGGCGCTGAGCAGTGCGGATTTTCGGGCTGGGTGATCGATCGAGTGCTCGATACCACTCGAGAACGAGCTAAACATCAACGTCCCGCTGGTCTAGGGGTTATGATCCTCCCTTAGGGTGCAAGGCCTCAGTTGGGAGGGGTGCTGTGTTCGAGTCACAGGTGGGACCGTCCTTTTTGCCCAGGTCAGCTTTTTGGCTCGACAACCCTCATCTTACCTAAATCGTGTATCCCTTGCTTGGGCATCCCTAGATTAGTCCGGGAGGGTCATCAGACCGCCTATAACACCTGTATATCTCCGATACTCATATCAACGCCGCAGAATGCAGTGTCGCATTGTTTCATTAGTCGACGCGCAAGTCCCAGCTGTGACTCGAACACAGCACCCCTCGCGCGCGCGCGCCCATTTGAGGCAGTGACTTCGAGCCGCCGTTCACGCCACTGTACCCGTTGCAGATAGTACGGATGTTCATAGAGTAGTATATGAAGCTGTGTGATAATGTATTGCCAATTGACACCACAAGTCAGCTTCGCGGTCCGATCTCAGGCGCTCGCCGGTGTGCTGTGTTCGTGTCACAGATGGGACCGCTACGCGCTTTGGCAGGATAACGTCAACGATGTCCCCAATCCATTTACTCGCTTGTATAAATCTCGAGCAAGGATCGTGCTTCAACTAGGCCCTGACTCAAAGGCTCGGGGTGGCGACATGTACAGCACCGTTCGATCTGGAGTCAAGGCATTTCCGTACCCACAGCGGCTTCGATGGACGTCCGACATTGATCAACGACATGCAGATGTGCCCTGGCACGATACGTCTCTGGATCCTCGACGCACTCCCCGTAACAGACTTCAGGGAACTACAGCAGTTGCTACTGCACCTTATTACCCCTTCTCCCCACCCCATCTTTCAGTTAACGGGTCGAAAGTGGGAGAGGATAGATTACCACGACAGAAAGGCCATCAGAACCGGCGCGTCATCGATCCGCTCACCTTCCTGCTACACATGTTTCTTCGGAAACATGTCGTGGCTACATGGGAGCACGTCACATATATTGATTCGTTGAGGTTGTGACGACGACTTCAGTGGAACACCTCGTCGACATCATATCGAAGGGCCACGCAAGTCCGTCACCGAAATCCTGCTTCTGGTTGATCACCAGACAACGTCAAAACAACTTGAAGTGATCGAGTCACAGATGTAGGAACCCCCTTGAGCATAGCCACACACAGGCCAGTCCAATCTGACTTTCACGTCAGATGCGCTTCGTCGCATCGCTCGGGATCGTTGCCCGAATCGACGCGGAGGGGTTCCGCACGGGTTGATTTGTACCGCATACAGTCAGCGTGCTGAACGGCGGTCCCAGCATCGGGTCGGCCAGGTGTTCGTTCGCACACATAGTCAGGCCACTCGCTTGGTAATGCATCTGACAAGTGCAAGGAGCACCAGGGTCCAGGATGCGGGTCAACCCCTGTCTGTCGAGGTGCGGCGCCTCCGCGGCCTCGCGCTAAAGGAAAGTCATATCACCGGAGAACGACCGAAGATCCGAAGATGAAAGTCCACTGGCGTCCCCAGCTCCAACTTGCAACTTGTAAACGGTCAAACGAGAGTTTCGACCCTCGTACTCGCTGTATAAAGCTACAGCTAGAGTCTCCGGAGAATAACCTGTAGCCTGTACTGGCCGAGACTTGATTTCGCCTTCCATAACAACCTGCCGACAACATGGACATCACGACTGCGACCTACCCCCCTCAAAAACGGACCCCGAGCACGGTCCCGTCTCGACCTGAATCCAAGAACGGCTCCGCTATCGAGCTCGCCCATAGGCATGCAGGACAAGGCGAATCGGTCAGGTCTGACGATCAGGCTCAGGTCGAAGTCACACCTAGCAAGCTGTCGACCAGCGTGGAGAGACGATACCTGGCCTCGCTCTTCTGGGTCATGATCGTTTGTGGTTGGAACGATGCCTCGAGGTGAGTGATGTGAAATCTACACGAGAGATTTGAGCATTAATTGACGGTGTCCTTCGTGACGGCTTCTAGCGGACCCCTAATCCCTCGCATGCAAGAGAATTTTCACATCGGCTATACCATCGTCTCGCTCATCTTTGTTAGCATCTGCGTCGGTGAGTCCGGCTCGTGATACACCGACACTTGATGATCTGGAAGGGATCCGCTGATACAGATTCTCAATCCAGGCTTCTTCATTGCGGCCGGTCTGAACGTATGGCTCGAGGATAGATTCGGGTTCGGCAAGGCAAGTCGGAATTCCCTTCCGTGACCCGGTTGAAAAAGTCTTACCCACGATGCCACCCGCAGGTCCTCCTGATTGGCACTGCAGCCCAGGTAGGCCCCAACGCTCATTCTAGATCAAGAGATCGATCAAGAGGCCCTGATCGATTCGCTTTTACGCCCCCTAGATGACAGCCTACACGCTCATGGCGACCCCTATCCCCTTTCCGGCCTTTTGCGTCGCCTTTGTGATCGCCGGGTTTGGCTCTGGGACTGTGCTGAGCTTGGCCGCGGCGTTCATTATGAAGCTGCCGACAAGACAGAACCTCAAGATGTGCTTGTTTCAGGCTTTCTACGGTACGCTCCGGCCGCACCAAGCCGCAGCGCTGATTCTGCGCTGAACGAGACGTTGTCGATTCCATCACATGTTCCCGCTCGGCAGGAGTGGGAGCCCTGGTCGCCCCGCTGATCGCGACTCAGTTCACGAGCATGACGACGCAGTGGAGATTCTACTATCTCGTCTCGCTCGGTCTCGCCACGACGTCGTTTGCCATCATCAGCATCGTCTTCAGGGGAAAACACGAAAACGACCTGCTTCCCGACCTGGTCGAGGTCGGGTCTGTGAATGAGGGGCTACCTTCCGCTGCTACGCCTAATGCCAACGCCGAGACGTTGAAGAAGATGAACCAGATCATGCGCGTCAAGGCGGTCCATATGTTGGCGATATGGTCCTTCATCTATGTCGGACTCGAGGTGAATCCAGGATCCATTTCTGACTCCTGGCTGTCGTGCTTATTCGGAATCGCGTGCTCGCTTTCCAGGTCACTATCGGCGGGTATGTACGAACGATGCCGCACAGACCTGACAGTCAAGCTAATTCTCAAAGACCGCAGGTGGATCGTCACTTTTATCCAAGAATTGCGGATCGACTCTTCGAACGAGTCTGCATATCATTCGGCAGGCTACGTTTCCACCGGTGAGGTTTGGCGGCATTTATCCGCGTCACCTTGGGAACTGATTCATTATTGCATTGCGAAAAAGGGTTCTGGGCGGGACTTACTATTGTAAGCATCGATACCTGACGCGCCACCAGACTCAATCGGATTAGCTAACGTCATTTCTTGATCGTTCGACACGACAGGGACGACTTGCGTTCATCTGGGTCAACAATAAGGTAAATCAGATATCTGCTCTTCAGGTTGCGGTCAGGTTACTAATCGTCTCGCTGGCGCTGACAACTAGCTCGGAGAGAGGCGGGTCGTCTTTGGCTACACGCTCATCGCGCTCGGGCTCGAATTCATCGTCTGGTTCGTTCCGGACCTCATTGGAACCGCCGTCTCGGTCTCATTGGTGGGACTATGCCTTGGTAAGCAGACGAATACCGCTGCCGTCTCGCTCGATATAACACCAACATTTCTGACATCTGGGCGGGTCGCATTTGGCAGGACCCATGTTTCCGATCATGCTTTCGGTGGCTAGCAAGTCTATCCCGCGGGCACTTGCAGCTGGGTCAATCTGTTGGATTGAGAGGTGCGTCCCAGAACGTTGGGCACCGAGGAACCATGTACAGATCTAACGACGACACTATAAACCTTTGCAGCCTCGGCCAGGTCGGTAGCGCGATGCTGCCGTTCGCCACTGGTGCCCTTTCTCAGGCATTTGGCATTAGGGTCCTCCAGCCGATCATCGTCAGCCTACTGGGCGGCATGGCCGTGGCATGGGGCGCCGTTCTTTGGTTTACCGCCCTCGACAAGAAGAGATGGACATCGGATTAGTGAACGCGTTGGGTTCACGCTGTCGAACTAGGAGCATGTGATTATTGTTGCAGCTACTGTATCGCCTATCAAACAATATCGAGATGTCATCGCTCGTTGTAAAACATCTGATTCATGCCGTGCTGATCGGCCAGCCCGTAAAACTCTTGCGAGACCGCTCCGTTGCCGAGATCCGGAGGCACACCGTACCCAAAGTCCTGCGGGAAGGTTGCTCAGCGCCGGCTCCGATCTAAATCACGAGTCCCAACTCACATTGCTCGCCGGCAGAGTCATCTGAGCAAGACTCGGTGGAAAAGGGTACGTGGATTGATGGCTTTTGGGTGCATGTCTTGCGCCTGCGGGCATGCCTAGGGTTTGAGTTGCAGCCGCCGAAATTGATGGACCGGTCGGAGCTAGCGTGGGATTTGATGCGCGTTGGTAGACAACTGCGAGTTCATCTGCCCGGTCGAAAGCTTCTTCAAAGCAGAGGCCGTATTGTCGGAGGCCGGCGATGCACGACATGCACTCGATCCGGCCGGCTTCGGCTAGATAGACGCCGCTTCGATAGAGGGCGGGAAACAGTACATTGCTGTGGGAACCCGAGTGCAGATCAAGAAATCAGTTCGAGACCCTTGTACAATCGCCAGGTCACTCACGGATCGAGTCGAAGGTAGCTGTTCTGAGTCAGGACCCCTGCCAACGCAGATATCCGTAGCGCTCCGTGCAAGGCTTCGTGCTCAATCCTGGCCTTGATGTCTTCGGCTTCGTCTCTTAACAGCGGAGCTTCTCCGGTGCGCTTCAATTCTTTGATTCCACACTTCTTTATGGCACCGGCGAGACATGTCCAGTGGATGTGATAGTCGGCATCCTCGGTGCCTAGAGTGATGATACACGGGTGAGCTTGTACCCGGCACCACCTTGCAGTTTCAAGCGCTTACATGCTGTCACGGCGGCGATAAAGTTCCACGTCTCAGGCCAGACGGTCGGTACCCCGACCCTTGTGAGATATTCGTCCCTCCAATTCGTCAACAGTTGTACCGTCTGCTTTATCTTGTTCAATGGAATACCCTGTGTCTCGTTGCCCGGTTGCCACAGATACGTCGCCATGCTGCGTGACACCCGGCACAAGCCCGTGTTCGAATCGCTCCAGAGCTATGAGCGAGTGATCAGTCAGTCTAAGTCCCCTTCGACAAACGAATGCCGGTCGCGGGACGCGGAATTCTTACCAGGAACTGCGAGAGGAGATAAAGCATAAGTAGGGGATTCCAAAACAAATGCTAAGGCCGGACGTCTGACTCACATCCTCCAGCCTAGACATCGGATTGAGGCTGCTTTCCGAAGCCGCACTCCACGCTTGCTGTGGCTCGACATCCCAATCCCCTTCGAGCCTGGAGAGAAGTAATGCCTCGCGTGTCAATGGTCGCTCAAACGACCGCAGCCATCACACACAACCTACAGCTGCGGCTTGTACCCGTAGAAAGCGGCAGAGGCTCCATCGGCCCAGCACGTCATCCAGAACGTGAACGCGACGGACGCTCTCCGTTTCGATTCCATCGACTGCAAGACCTCTCGTTTGTGATAGCGTAAATTGACCAAGTGGGTGCAAGCGACCTTGCCCCACATTCCGACATAGTCTGCGACGATGACTATCAGCACTGTTACCCGTCGATCCAGCTCGTGATACTTACCATTCGGTACATTGATGTTCCCTGCGTGATCATACCCAGTCAGCTATCGAGAGGCTCCCGAGTGTGGAACAAGCCCAACTCACCTCCCTCAAGCACATTGAGCATCAGACAAGCCTGCACGTTCTCCAAACTGGGTACCCGGTATACCTTGCAGATTTCTGCCACCGATTGAGCCCTGACAGCGACCATCTGTATCAATCGACTCCGCTTTCGCTCCCCCTGCAACCCGACAGAACATTCTTCCCGATCCTTGGCGATAATGCCGTGTTCCGAGAACTTGGCGCCCCATGCGAGTACACAGGCGAGGATGGGCCAGAACGGTGGACCGTCCGGTCCATCCGGGTCGTGGAAACGTCGTCGAAAGAGGCTCGGGTCGAGCAGAGGCAGGCGGATGTGCACGATCTGAAAGTAGGTCTCGACGAGATCGCTCGCGAGGCTAGCGTCAGAGTGTCACGAGCATCAGCAAGCGGTCCGTATGATCTGCGCGTTCAGCGTGACCGCTATGCTCACTCTCTTCTGGCTTCGTCCGAATTCAACTTCAAGTGCGCCTTACTCGGCCGATCCCAGAAAGTTGGCGAATAAGGCATCCCATCTGTCATCTCTGTCCGAGTCGGATCCCTCCACTTGCCCGTAAGACCGACGACCGGATGAGGGGAAAACAGGTAGGCGAGTAGCGAGGTGAGTCTGTCTGTCTGAGATGCTTTGGAAAAATCGTCCGAGGTAAGCCCAAGTTCGGGTGCTTGCGAGTAAGAGAGGGTCTGATCGGACGGGCTAAGGGCGGAGACGTGAGCATGCAAAATCCTGGCGATTTCGAAAATAAACAAACTAACCTAGGTTTCCGCCGTTTTACACGCTTCTTGTCGGTCCCGTCTCCATCCTCGTCCACCTGGCTTTTGCTCCCTTCGCCGGCCATGCCGCCGTTCGATATGGACGCAGAGCCACATCCTGAACCAGAGGCGACGGGGAGATCGTCCGAGCTGGCCCTCCCTGATTCGCCACCACCAGATCCTCCGTTGCCGTTCGCGCTGCTACTGGCGACATTTGAAGTGCTATTGGTTCCACTTCCGGTTGTCTTCCTCCGCGAAGACGAGAGGGAGGTAACATAGTGTGATCTACAACGAGAAGCATGTCAACCGGCTGCTTTAATCCTGCTAAGGGGATAGAAGCAGAGTTTGCTTGAAAAAACGACTCACGTGCAAGGCGTCTTTTTCGCTCGACAATGGTCGCACTGAATAAGCATAGCAAGATTAGCGGGACGTTGATCATACAGGATGCAGGTGTTCGAAGAGAGCAGAAGGGAGGAGGGTAAGAGAGACAAGTAACGATGACTTACGCGTTCCGATCCTGGCTGCCGCACGCATTTGACCTTTCTACTCCGACATCCATCGCCTAGCATGTCCGGCACCCAGCACGAGTCCAACGTAGGTACCACAAGATGATGTCGTTGGCGACGAACAATCAGAGCAAGGAGCGATAAAGAAGGAAAAAAGCACAATCAGCCCACATCCTCCACACCCAGATTTTCCGACAACTACCCAGACCCGGGAGCTTACAGGCGATATTCTGTTTCCTCTGTGCGGCGTTCAAGACGTGTTGAGCGAAACTCGTGCCCGCTTCCATCGTAGAGAGTGGAACCTGATGAGCCGTTGATGGGACCGTAGCCGTAGCTAGGGCCGAATTCGGAGTACCGGATGTAACTACGGCTGATGTCGAGGCCTGAGTAGGAGTAAGGGACCGGAAGAGAGGAGACGTAGGGGAATGAGATTGTGACTGAGATTGTATTTGCGGTTGGCTTTGAGCGCCGTCAGATGGGCTAGCCATCGGTATATCCATCGGATTCGCTTTAGTTGTTGCCTCCAACGAGCCCGACAGTGACGGCCCGAAAGAAGGACCAGCGAGCGCGGACGTGGTCGTCACTGGGGAGCCTTTATTCCCGTTTGAGAGGTGTGATTCCGAGCCAGGGTTTTGGTTCTGCATAGGCGTGCGCGAATGCGGGTACGGGTGTTGATGCTGGTATTGACTGATAGGGCGCAGCGGGATGTAGACGTAACTCGTCCAAACTAAGATCTTGATACAATGGATCCTGTTGGTATGCTGAGTCTTGTCGTCTCGTCCTATGTCGTCAGGAACTCTCTTATTCGGCTTCGCACCAGGATTGCTCGACCTTTCCAGTCTCGGGCTCTCGTATTCTAACACTATCTCTTCCTGCCTGGGCTCGATTCGTTCCGTTTTTGTCAAAGTATCGATGGCAAGAGATCCCAAGTCTATGTAGATCGACGGGAGCTCTAGACGATATCGTTATCGCTACTTCCAGGTACGTAAGACAAATTCGTTCGATCGTTGTCTTCTGCCTCTTCCAGCCGTTCTTTCTTCCTGTTCCTTTGCTTCAGATCCCGGTATTTCGGTACCCGGTCAGATCCTCCTGACCGCGAGTTCAAGATGAGAACGTCACTGACGTCAACAAGAAGAACAAGAGTCTGGTCGATCGGTCCACGCTCAAGCTCGAGCTCGATCCCGTCTGAGATGGAATTCCGGATGATCCCGGTCGAGGCGACGTTGCCGGGTAGACCAGTCGACTTGGAACGTCCCCTGATCGTCCGTCTGCTGACTGGGTAGTCAGAAACGCTATCCCTGACGAAGAGCCAGAGCGGCGATACGACGATGCGATGTTGCTGTTGTTGTCGATGGCGGATGTTCGGATGGGGGGATGAACCTATTTTATTTACCCAACCTCTCCCTGTTTCTCTCCGTTGAATTTCCCGCGTCACACAGAGAGACAGACTACTCTCGTACTATCCGAACGCCCGCCCGCGTGGTATGACGGGGTGAATGACACAAGTGTGCTGACGGAGTCAAGGTAGGTAGGTCTTGAGACCGCTGGATATCTCGATAAAGGTTCTGGCGAGGCAATTGGGTAGGTTCAAAGTGGCAGTTGCTGGTGAACGACGATCTATCGATACGTGATGATGTAGGTCGCAGCCCTGAGTGGCCAAGAACCCCGAGCGAAATTAGCGAACTGATCCCGGAAGCCGGCTACCGAAGAGGGGGGTCACCGCAAGTCTACAACAACGTCGTTATCGTTCGCCTCCCACTCGGATGGACTGTACTTCACTGGTAACTGCTTAGCAAACTAGCAGCTAGCAAGGCAACTACACAGGTTCGAATTGGCCGAGCGACGAGAGCAAGAGACGTGTCCTCGCCCTGACCTGGTCGCTTCGTCTCGCGCCCCTGATAGATGATCGGCGCTTTCAACTCGCAATTTCGTCAGAGATCAGAGATCACGAGACCGACTCCCGACTCTTCCGACTGCGAAACTCGACGAAACACGGTTGTTTCTTCGTTCCTGTTCGGGTCGGACGGATGAGGGATGAGTGCGAGCACGCACACAGAACCGATTCGCACCTTTGAGCATGAGCGGCGGGCCCGCCAAGGTGGTTTGAAGCGAAAGCGGAGGCTGGATGAACCAAAACCCCACTGACCGGCGCGCGGGCGGGGACTGATTCCAGCGCGACATTCGGTTTCGAACACTCTCCTCGAGAATATCAGAAGCGCAACAACTGACATGAAGCATGGAGCAACGCAGAGCAATCGTGCAGCAAAAGTAGAGTATATGTAGCAGACAGCGAGGAATTTGGGCAATGAATGCGATTACTGGATATGTACTGGGCATTATGGACCGTTTCGAACATTGCCATTTAAGGGGACGCCAGCCAGACAGTCCCTTCTCTTCTCCCTTGTCTCGTTTCCTTCGTTCCTTCACATGTTGTACCCTCTTACACAGTACACTCCTGCATATTGTGGCGTTTGACATGCGCCTTCGGTCCCGCTCGAGCCCAGGGAAGCATACGGAAATGGGTCTAAATAGGATCGTGAGAGCATGGACCTGGACTCATAGAGTGGCCGAGAAATGCACCGCATCGATATCGCAAACCCTAATCGATATCAAGTTCGAAAGTGCTCGACCGTGGTGGATCACCAGAGGTGTCGTGATCACTACAAACATCTTTCATGGTCAAGTGACGGCTGTATGGGGGCGAAAATGTTGCTGGATGTGACCCTGCAAATGTTTTGTTGCATACGAACTCGGGCGTTACATGCCGAACATTGAATCCGAACGAGTCGCAAAGCAGCTACCGGTTTAATTGGAGCTGCCTTCGAAACTTGGAATGACCTTTGAAGCATCCGGTGCGATCCCGGACGGTGCGAGTTACGTGTCTTCCACTCTCAACCCGGCAATGGGTTGCGTTCCAAGTCACTATAGTACAGCGCAGAGCAATTGTTCTGTCACGGACGGACGCATAGAAAGGCAGTCGCGCATCGCATTGATTTGTTCGTTTCAGCGCTGCACTAGTAATCCGCCTGTCAGAGTGAAAGTCATTAACGCAAATAGCAAGTTAATAGCTATGACGGTGCGTAAGGAATTGACACCCCCTCGGACCGAATCCCACTTCTTTTGTCGCATCTCGGGGCGGAGAAGTGTCAAAGCGCGAAGGAGGTTCTCTCGCAACAGTCACCATATCACCAAAGTGAAGTCACATCGTCGACGATCTTGTCGAGCATGACGAGCGAGGTTTCGATGGCGTTTCGAGAATGCAATTCGGCCGCAGTGAAATGAACGGAGGCATTCATATCGAAACTTCGGCCCCGCACGACCCGGCCGATGAGAATCGGTGATTCCGGTGGGATAGCATGACCAAGCAAGCCGAGGTGGAGGTAAGTATGGACATCATCAACTGGCTGTTTACGCCGTGATCGATCGCCAAGCGGGATTTGTCGTCACCCTTCGTCATTTGCACGTGCTTGGCTGCCTCACGATCATCGCGTGCTCATCGGGTCTCGGAGCCTGTTGCCATAACCGATCATGGCGTGATCGAGTTCTTTTGCATATTCGACTCTCGCGCGCGTATCAAAATCTCAAACCTACATCCCCCGCGCCCAGGCAAAAATCGATGGCGACATCGCCGGTTCGTAAGCTTTGACTCTCTCTTGGTATCAGGACCTACGCACGTAGCAAGCAATGCGACATGTAAAAATCTCCGATCCCCGGTGTCTTCGCCTCGGTTCTAGAAATAGCGCTGAGTCGCTGATGAAGATCACGAATTGCTAATCACGAAACGTTCGACGCTGACGGACTTTTGCCTCGAGCTGCGTGTGTGCTGCTTCATATACTCGTGAACCCAGGTCGCATTCCGAATCGTGCCTTCTCATCGTCCGAATAGTCTCAACCTCGTTCAACCTTCTTCCATCCTTGATCGTATCGCGTTTCATCTGCTCGTCGAGCTTGTAACACCACCCTCACCACCTCGCCTTTCCTTCTCCACTTCACTTCATTCTCTCTTGAAACACCCCTCGTCATGGGTCTGTTTGGTCGAGAAAGTACGGGCGAACCCAAGGTCGAAACGGAAACGACGCAACCGCCCGATTCGCTCTTCACCCCAGCCTACGTTCAGCGTTCACGTACGGACGGCCAACGTTCTGATCGGCCACGATCGTTCGGCTTCAAAGCTCGTCGGACAGCGAAGAAGCTCGTCGGCGAACCCGATGATGCGCCGGATACCATCCACACGTTCTCCTACTTGGCGGGCAATACGGGCAACGTCAAGCAGCGCGTCAAGGATTACGGGTTGAGCTTGTTCCCTTTTATACAATGGGCGCCTAGGTACAACGTACATTGGTTGATCGGGGATCTTATTGCGTGAGTTGGCGCAGATACACATGTTTGATGAGCGATAGGGGCTGATCCGATCTATGCGCTTCATAGTGGTATCACCGTCGGTATCGTGTTGGTCCCCCAGTCATTGTCATACGCCAAACTCGCCGGTCTTCCCATCGAATATGGTCTCTACTCTTCCTTCATCGGTGTCCTCACCTACGCCTTCTTTGCTACGTCCAAAGACGTCTCCATCGGACCCGTCGCTGTCATGTCCTTGCAAACCGCCAACGTCATTTCTTATGTGCAACAACACCATGCTAGCGAAGGATGGGAGCCTCAAGTGATCGCTACCGCCTTGGCGTTCATCTCGGGTTTCATCGTTCTCGGAATCGGCTTGTTGAGATTGGGATGGATTGTTGAATTCATTCCCCAGCCAGCGGTATCCGGTTTCATGACCGGGTCCGCTATCAACATCGCCGCTGGTCAAGTGCCCGCCCTTTTCGGGATCAACTCTCGATTGAACACCAGGGAAGAGACGTTCAAGGTCATCATCAACACGCTCAAGAACCTGCATCACGCTACCAAGGACGCCGCTTTCGGTGTGACCTGTTTGACGGTCTTGTACCTATTGAAGTGGGGATTGGCTTGGAGTGGGGATCGATACCCCAAATTTAGGAGGCCGGCTTTCTTCTTGAGTTGTTTCAGGCATGGTTTCGTCATCAGTGAGCCTTATAAACTCAATTGATGTAAATAATATCGGGATGTCAACTGATCGAACCAACTCGATCTCTGCTCAGTTTTGGCTACTGCCATCTCGTACGGGATCTGCAAGGGCAAGACAAAGGCTCAACGACCTATCGCCATCCTCGGTCAAGTCCCCTCGGGTCTGCGCCATGTCGGCCAACCGTACATCACTTCCGGCCTCCTCTCCGCCCTCGCCCCCAAGTTGCCGGTCTCGGTCATCGTCCTCCTTCTTGAACATATCTCCATCGCCAAATCGTTCGGCCGATTGAACGGGTACAAGATCAACCCCAACCAGGAGCTCATCGCTATCGGTGTTAACAACACGTTGGGTACATTGTTTAACGCTTACCCTTCGACGGGTTCGTTCAGTCGATCGGCACTCAAGTCCAAGGCTGGAGTGAGGACCCCTGCGGCGGGTATCCCAACGGGTATCGTCGTCATCATCGCTTTGTACGCGTTGACCGGTGCTTTCAAGTGTGAGTAGAGGGTCGTTTTTACGGGACTCCACATGATTCTGATCTGACGCTGGAATGCTTTTGTTCATGCTCGGTAGACATCCCCAACGCTGCTATCTCGGCCCTGATCATCCACGCCGTAGCCGACCTGGTCGCCAGCCCTGCTCAGTCTTACGGTTTCTGGCGAGTCGCTCCTCTGGAATGGGTCATCTTCACCGCCGCCGTCGTCGTTTCGGTCTTCAGCTCAATCGAGAACGGTATCTACACCTCTCTGGCCGCCTCGGTCGTCCTCTTGTTGTTCAGGATCGCTCGTCCTAGGGGTCACTTCCTCGGACGTGTCAGGATCAGGCCGGAAAACTCGACCTCGGATGCCGATATTCGGGACGTCTACGTGCCGCTCTGTGGGGATGGTGGGATCACCAACCCGGCCGTTAAGATCGAAGCGCCTCCTGAGGGTGTCATCATCTATCGGTTCGAAGAGTCTTTCCTCTACCCGAACGCTTCGTACATCAACTCGGCCATTATCGACCACGTCAAGACGAATACTCGTCGAGGCAAGGACATGAGCAACGTCAAGCTCGGGGATCGACCTTGGAACGACCCTGGCCCCAAGAAGGGTCAGGCGATCGAGAATATCGATTCGTTGAGCAAACCGAGGTGTCGAGCGATCATTCTCGACTTTGCCGCCGTCGCCAACCTTGACACGACCGGTGTGCAGAACCTGATCGATTTGAGGCGCGAGGTGGAGAAATGGGCGGACCAGAGCGTAGAGTTCCACTTTGCCGCCGTCTTGGCTCCCTGGACGAGACGGGCATTGATCGCCGGTGGATTCGGGTATGGAGGTGCGATCCGACATTCTCGTCCGAACGAGGTCGCTCCCGTCCTGCCACCCATGGACGCCCTCTCCCCCGCCGACCGGGCTCAACGGGAGAGGGAGGCAGAAGAGGCAAGGGGAGATCACGTCATCCGCCCTGCTCAACAGAGGCAAGACCGAGTCGAGCTCGCCGAGCAGGAAGAGACGGCCCGATCGAGCCCATACGGGTCCGATCTGGAGGCGGGCAAAAGGTCGTTGGCAGAGTCGTCCGTGTCGAGCGAGGCACCCATCTTGGCCACCGACACGCCGTTCTTCCACATCGACCTCGCCAGCGCCATCGCCTCGATCGCTCCCAACGAGTAAACAAAACCAAAAAGAGGCTCAGGATCAATAGGACAGAACATATAATCAAACAGCAAACAGGCCGACAATCATCTTTCGGGTTTTCGATGGGGTTCTTCCCACATTTCATATTTTTGGCTCGCGGTTAGATGCGCTTTTTGTAACGACACAACGAACACCAAAAAGGAGGCCAAAGCGCCTCTTCTCTCAACAGTTGTAGATCAGATAGAATAGATGACAAGTGCTAGTAGTAGTAATGACATGATACGTTTGATGTCTTTGCCACTCTGCCGATTCTCGAGGCTTGTTTGATCAAAATGGCGGCCGAGGGTTCATGGTCGCGCGCTGCCGGGGGTGACGACATCAGTCAACCTCGGCGAGTAGCAGCATATTCATTTCGCTTACTTGATCGACATCTCGATTGGAATCTAAAAGACGCAACACGGAAGATCATAGCTACAATTTGTGAAGAGTAGAGCGGACCATCTGTCCTCGTTCGTCGGCGATACCTGCGTGCCATGTCACCGATCGACCATAACCACATGCTCGCCTACACCCACATCCCGACCTCTGCGTTCAGGATCCCCGAGCCCGACCTATCGAGCCCACCGCCCGATCCTCATGATCCTCGTTATACCTTCTCGGGGGACTCTTCTTCGACGACAAAAACGGCAGAGGGCGAACGTTTTCGGTCGAGGTTGGCTTCGTTCCCACCGAACAGCTCCGGGGTGCCACCATCTGCACGGAAGGGGAACAACCTCGCCGCACCCGGGTCCAAGGGGGACGCCGGTGGAGGTGTCGGTGGGATAGGCAGTGCTCTATCATCCGGAGTGACCGACATGTTCATCTCACACCTCTTGCCCTCGACATTACCCTCCAAGGCGACGCAACAAGCTCCTCTCCCTGTCCCGGGCAAGGTCAGGTCGCTGTCGTCTCAACGGGAATCCCTGAGCTTGCCCACGATGACCAACAGTTTTAGGCGGTTCGTAGCCAGGTGTGGGACTATATTCTGGGTGCAGGATAGGGTGGAAGAGGTGCTTTACTGGAGGAAACCGGTCTGGACTTGGTCATGGATGTTGTTGTGGGGGTTCATCTGTGAGTCATGTCGAGTCTTAATACGAAGAGGTTTCGGCTAACCAACATGCTTGGACTTGACCAGGCTTTTATCCGAGGATAATCCTCTTGATCCCGTTCTGCACTATCATCCTCATCCTCCTGCACCAACATACCAAGACCCACCCGGTGATTCCACCCACACCCGTGCAACCCGTTTCATCGCCTACGGTTTCGGCACCGAAGACCTCCCTCCTCAACAACGCACTTACCAACAGCATCGCAGCGACCTTGACCCAGAACAACGACCCGTCCATCAACTCCAAGGCTAGAGCGGATGCCGACCATCATCAACATCATCATGGGAGTCAGGGAGGAAAGGGAGAGGAAAGAGGGTATTCGGCCACGGCGACGGACGCGAATGGGAGGGAGATCCCTTCGGCAAGTGGGGCGCCGCCTGAGAGTGGGGTGGATTATTACATGAACTTGCAAGGGATTCAGAACTTTATGGGACTATTGTGAGTCTCGCTTTGTCATGCTACCGTGATGTGAGCCTTGCTTTCGCCTTGCTAAAATGTTTTTCGACTCGCCCAGCTCGGACGTCCACGATGCCGCTCTCCCCTTCATCTCGCTCATCGTACCCTCGATGCCTAACCCTCAGCCTCTGCCTACGACATTTCCTCTTTCACCGACACATATCATGATCTTCTGTTTACCGCCCACTATCCTCCTCCCTCTCGTCCCCCTACGTATCCTCTCCTTCCTCCTGTTGCCCATCGGAATCCTTCCTCCGATCGTCTACCACCCGGCTTTCTTGCCCGCACTGGACAGGGCGAGACGGTGGGAAGGTCTGGACAAGAGGCGGATCAGGTATTGGAGAGGAGTTGCCGAGAGATGGGTCTTGACGGACAGATTGGACGATTCGATCGCTAGGAGCGAGATTCGGGAGGTGAGGGTCTGGGAGAACCAGAGGTTGGATCCGACTTGGATCGGGGAGAACGAGGCGCGGTTGAAGGCCGGTGCAGACAAGGATAAAGACAAACGGCCGAGGTCTGGGTCGGGGGGAAAGATCTTGGAGGAAGAACATCACGCTCGGGAACCGCCAGATTCCGCTTGGAGTTCGGTTCATCTGAAAAACTACGAGAGGTCTGGTTGGGTACGGGCGTTACCGACATCCAAGTCCAAGTATCAACCGGACGAGTCGTTGTGGCAGGATGAGCCCGGAAGTGATGCCCGCAGAGAATCGGGGACGGGTCAGGCGAATGCTGGAGGGAGGGTAGCGTTGAGTCTGATCAAGGGGTGGAGCTTCGTACCTGGTGAGGATTGGAGAGTCGATTGGGTCGCCGAGTGGGATAGGGTTGGAGGGGATGAGGGTGAGTGGGAGACAAGGTTCGGGGTTGCGATTGGCATTTCCAGCTAACCGAGTTTGATTGGCTGGCAAACGCAGCGGGATGGGTTTACACCGACGACGAGTGGAAGGTCAGTCCAATGTATTCAAACGGCTGGCCAGACGATGGCGATGTTGATTTCTGCCATTCTAATACCACCTTGCAGCAACCTTCTCCGGACTCGGTTGTCGACGTCGTCCTGCCCGAGAAGAAAGAAGTCGAGACGCGGTACATGGTCACACGAAGACGACAATGGTGGAGACGAGTGTATAGTACCGAATGAATCATCATGTTTGCACTGTCTGACGTCTGTATCCATAGCTCAACATCTCATGGAAGATGTCTTGTACCTGTTGGTGTTTCATGTATCATCGTGCGGTTTACCCCGAGTCTCACCTCAACTTTGTCAACAAACCCCCTCTCCCTCCTCCCTTTGCTTGACATTAACAACATTCAGAAGAGCCCAAACATGTCGATCGAGGTGGTCGATGACTTTCTCGATTGATACTACGCTCCGCCTTGAAACCATTCTTGCTTACTTGCATATCTCATAGACGTAGGAACTGGAAGAGGTTGATGCACCGTCGAGAAAACGGCAGCGCTTGACGATGGAGTCCGAATCAACACCGCCCTCGCACTATCACCTCCTTCGGCGTCTCGTCTCATTGTGCTACAACTCGTCGCCCCGGACATCGTACTTTTACGCCGGACTTCTGTTCGATCTATATAATGAAGAGCTTCTGAATGGACTGATACTACCGGTAGTCGTAGCACCAGGGGAAGAGCTGGACGACGATGCCGACACTGTGCACGGAGATAGTCCCATCAAGAGTCGAGCTCGAGGAAAGCTCATCAGGTCGCGGAATGGATCGAGCGCGGCCTCCCTTGATATGGGAAAATACGACGTCTTGACCGGTGGAAAGATCGAAATGGTAGACATTCCGAAACATCTTGCTTTACACATCAAAGGATGGAGTTTCGTCAACAACGCCGAACTGTACTCGGCTATCCATCTCGTCAAGGAACATATCGCCAGGTCAGATGAGCACTTGGATACGAAGTTGAGGTGGGATTCGGAATGTGGGATGCTGGAAGCGTTGGTAGCGTCCACTATGAGCAGTGACGACGAGGACGAAGACAATATCGGAGCTCGTCAGCAAGGACGCAGGGCGAGCTCGAAGGGCAAGGGCAAGGGTAAAGAGAGGGCGACGATCGAACAGCAAGACCTGCCCTGCTTAGAATGCGCCATGATCTACTCGAGAGCTTGTGAGGGATTGGCAAGATTCGAAGAAGGGCGGACTGTCTTGGAACGGACAATCAAGACGCTCGAACAAGGGTTGGATGAGGAAGAGTTCCGTACGTTACCCGATCAGACCGTTAGACAAGGAGTACCGGCATGAAGGATTCGAAGGCTGATAAGAGGAGCCTTGATGATTTCGATAGAACGACACATGTCGACACCACCATCACCAATACCCATCAACCCGCTCACTCCTCGGTTACAACTCGCACGTCTTCTCTCTGGTTCCAACGTGCACAAGCTGGCGTTCGTGAAGCAAGAAGAGGATAAAGAGAATCAGGGCGTCGGGGCTAAGCGTCTGGAAAGAAAGGGTGGAGTCGGCGAGAGTGATAACACGCCAGCGAGGTACTTGGAGCAGGTTCTCAAGGTCGATGGAAGGGGCAAAGGAGACGGAGAGTGGTGCTGGGAAGCATGGGAGACCTTCTGCGAACTCGGTGAGTCTGGGTCGAGGTATCGTGTCGTGAGAGGGACGACGAGCTAATCATCGGAATGGAGCAGGCGAACGGTGGACATACGCCGAATCACCATTCTCGGAGCCGACACGGTCTGCCCCGGTCGAACCGTTTCCTTCTCACCTCTTGCCCCTCCCACCGACATTGACGAACAACGAGCTTTCCAACCTACTCCAATCATTCTCGGCCGCTTCGCTAGGATCGACCGCCGGATCGACCTATGCTTTATCCGGCATGGGAGGTTCATTGAACCGAATCCAGACGACCTCGTCGGCTCAGTCCATTTCGGACGTCCCTTCCTCGCCACCCACCGAATCGTCCGTGCCGGGTTCGTCAAAAGATACCGGAGGCACGCCTAGAAGAAAGATGTCGCCCTTGCCGCAACACAGTCCGCTGGTCAAGGCCGCTCATGCAGGGTATCCAGTCTCACCGCCCGGGGTAGGTGCGGGATTATTCACACCAGTGGGAAATGCCGTAGGCGTAGGAGCGGGAGCAGGCGGAGCGATGGGTATGAGAGGAGGAGAAGGGCTATTTGCTGGAGCTCCAGCGAGACCTGGTAAGGGCAAGGGCAGAGCTGTGATCAGAGCGTGAGTTTCAGGTCTCGTTCTCGAGATCTCGACATGCTGTGACCTAAACGGAAGCGATTATCAACCACAGAGAATCTCCTCCAGGCGATATTTCATTCCCAGACCTGTCTTATTATGGCTCGGGCGAGACGAGACCGGATTCATACATCCTGCCAGGAGTCAGAACACCGGTCGACGGACATTTCGCGCGGGGAACTAAAGCAACCCATCCTCTGCCTAGCATTGCCAGTCAACTATTCCCTCAAGCCAGCAAGGACGGTTCGAGTACGTTTGGGTTTGGGGAGACGCCAGCAAACAAGGTGGGCATGGCATCGTCTTCATCGTATGAGCCCGGGATTGGCAAGCCTCCCGTGGCGAAACGACCAAGGGGAGGTCGAGCGGGTGAGTTGAGGGGGGATGAAGGTGCAAGGAATGCGACGGGGAGAAACGTCAGTGGGAAGGGGGTGGTGAGTTTCATGGTTCGAAGTCGATAGCTGCATACTTCTGCTGATAGAGGGGTTTTAATAGGGTCTCGACCACGCTCCAGTTCGCAGGAGCGCACGTTTGCAGGAGAATCAACAGCCCACCAGATCTCAGGTAGATGCGATGTATGGTGTTAAGGCGTCGGAGCAACGTATACTGACCTGATATTGTACAGGCCCCGGCCAAACCGCTCCAGGCGCGTGCAGACAATCGCTCGCGAGTCGCGCCTCTGGAACTTCACAAGCCGCTCAACACGAACGCCATCCGTCAGCCTCCAGTCTCCCCTCCTACTTCGACCGGCGGACCGCCCTCATCGCCACCGCAATCCCGACTTGGTCGAGCGGAAACGACTCCGGCGCCGCAACGACCTCAACCAGATGTTCTTGCTATCCAGCAACAGACCGCCGACTCGTGGCTCATGTGCCTCGTTCGTCGATGTGCTGCAGCCTATTTCGAGCTCTCGCGGTATTCCTGCAAAAAGGCCATGGACCTGATTGATACGCTACCAAGAAAGGTTCAAGTGGGCAGCTGGTCTTTGTGCCTGTATGGGAGATGTTTCTACGAATTGGCCGAATATGGAGTGGTGAGTCGAGCCGCCTGGTCGTTGTGTCGATCGGTGACAGAATGTCAGGATTGCTGACATAGTGCGTAAATCAATGTCTGCAGGCCCGGAACGCCTTTGCGCGCCTACGCTCGATCGAACCCTATCGTCTCCGAGACATGGAATGGTTCTCGACCGTTCTGTGGCACCTGGACGAACGCGCCGAACTCTCTCAACTGGCACAAGATCTGATGACACTCGACCGGTCAGCCCCTCAGACCTGGATCGCGACGGGCAACTCGTACGCCTTGCAAGGGGAGCACGATCAGGCGATCCGGTGTTTCAAACGGGCGAGCTTGGTCGATCCGGGCATGGCGTATACGTATACGTTGACGGCTTACGAGGCATTGGAGATGGAAGAGTATGATAGGGCGATCGCTTATTATCAATCGGCACTGAGAGCGGACGTCAGGCATTATCACGCTTGGTAAGTCTCGATCGGGTCGAGAAGGCAATCTACTTCCATCAATGCACAATGCCGATCACTACAATCCTACAGGTTTGGACTTGGTCGAGTGTATCAAAAGACGGGCAGGCTCAAGCTGGCCGAGTATCATTTCCGACGAGCCCTTTCGATCAACCCGTCCAACGTCGTGCTCTACTGTTGCGTTGGAACCGTCATGGAACGCCGGGGTGCTCTGGAAGGCGCTCTTGGCGTGTTCGAGAGGTCTCTGGAGATCGATGAGGAGAACAAGATGGCTAGGTTTAGGAAGGCGAGGGTGTTGATGGGTCTACAGCGGTATGAGGTGAGTTTGTTCGATTGCGCTTGGCGCAGGCTTTGCTTTCCCTTACCCCCTTGCTGACGCTCATTTTTTGGCCGAATTGATAGGAGTCTCTGCCGATCCTGATAGACCTGGCGCGTACGTCTTCAAACGAAGCGTCCGTCTTGTTCCTCCTGGGCAAGCTTTACAGAATCCTAGGCTATTCGAGGGAGGCGACCGAGGTGTTTACGCAGGCGCGGGACCTGAACCCCCGGTTGGCGAAAGCTATCGCGGCGATGAGGCGACGAGGTGGTGGTGCGGATGAGAGCGACGAGGATGATGATGGTAGAGATGACGAGTACGAGTATGACGAGGAGGAAGACGAACGAGCGGGTGGGAGTATGAGGGTGAGGAGCGATGTACGGGGATCTGGGTCTGTAAACGGGGTTATGTTGGACTGAACATCCTCGAGTCGCACTTCGTTGTTAACGTCAACATCATAATAACCATAAGCACCTCGAAAGCATATTCATGGCGAAGGTCGTGAGACATGGGTTGGTCTGGACCTCGAGTTTGAGGAAGATATGTGATCTTAGATGGAGGTCCGGTTGTCGAATTTCCCAAAGCGGCAATCGTTTCGCGCGCCCTTCGTCGCCCTATCGCCCTCCCGTGCGAGGGTCGCTCTCGACGCTGGATGGCGATATCGACGGTACATCAAGGGAAACCATACCGTCATACTACCATCAGAAGAACCAACAACATCATTATTGGCACTGCAGCCTTTGTTGGAACCTTGCTTTAGCGAACAACGGAGCTGACGACTTAGAAATCCGAACTGCCCTACTTGCCAACATCATCGAGGTCGACGGACTTTTTCCTAATTTCCATCTCCAAGAGGTCGACCGAATACACGGACTTGAGATATCGATCAACGTCCCTCACATTCACCGAGGGTTGATATCGATTCGTTTCGTTGAAGCAACATCTACCTCGAGCAGCGATGGACGACGGAGAGCGAACGGACGTCACGCAGACGGGTCAACATCAACAGTCGGACAGGATCGTCGATGTCGACCGACATGACAAGTCACCTACATCGAGCAATATGGGGACGGGAACCGCTGCTGCTGTGGGGGCAGCGCCGGCAGATTACCCTGACCTCGATCCTACGCTCGATCAAGGGGAACCTGGAGAGCTGGACCTCGAGATGAATATCAACATCAAACAGGCCTTGCAGAGGGTCATTGAGGGCTTCGATCATGCTGATCCCGGGACTGGGGACATGTCGGCCACCTTGCAACAGCAGGAAGAAGAGTACATGAGACGTAGCGGTAGGGAAGACGAGCCTCACGATGATGGACACGGTGGACATGAGCATCCCCATCATCATGCTCACGGTCAGCATCTGCATCATCACGATCACCAAGACGATGAACAGGACGGACATCACTTGCAACATCATCAGGATCGACACCACGATGAGATCCAGGACGTCATGGGTGGGGATAGGGACAACATCTTCCAACACTTTGACTCGATCGACGTGGACCCGCATCAACACGCCCACGATCGTTCCCACACCCCTCAAATGCACACCTCGAGGATGGGCACCGAAAACGAACACGTTCAGGATCACATGCTTCATCAAGATCAAGACCTTGCTCAAATCCACCAGGACCAAGAAGACCCTACCGGCAAGCAGGGCAAGTCGTCCACCAGGGGGACCAAGCGGAAACGGCCTGCCAAGGTCAAAGGTCCCATCCCGCCTGTGGACGACGATCCGTCTAGGCCGTTGACGGAGGAAGAGATCAAGAGGAGACAGAATCGGAGTAGGGCTAGCGGGAGGGTTTTGCCCGTGAGTTTGAGTAGTGCTTTGTCCGGCTAGCTGAGGATCGCAAGAGGGATGAGGGAAGTGATGACGGGAGCTGACCGGTTCGTTGTGGTTCGCTTTCCTGTGCTTTTGATACGTAGCGAGGAAACGCTTGTGAATTCTGTAAACGAAGGAAATTGTAAGTTCATACTTGGTTTATGACGTCGAGGTCGAGGTCAGTACAGCTGATATCGATTCCGTGAAATCTCATCGCCCGATAGGCGATGCGATGGAGAGAGGCCGATCTGTACAAATTGTCTCAAGGTGAGCCTCCTACACCCGCAACGTCCCGCAACCTCGAGATAGTGCATGAGGAACAGGCCGCTCATCCGGAATCGCAACTGGGGTATGCTTGGTTGACAATGATAGAATCCCGAAAAGAGACAATGCGTGTATGTCCAGAGGGAGAAAAAGTCGAGCAAACGCGCCGAGGCTCGAGTCGGTGAGTGCGATCTCCATGGCGTTCTCGTGATCCCCTCACTAAGATGTTATTATGTGAATCGTGACCTATATAGCCGAGCTGGATCGAACTATATCGGCCGCTTCGATTGATCTGACTCCCGAAGTCATCTTGCCGGATGCAACGGACCTGATGGGCGAGATCGATCAGGAACCTATCGCTGGGCCTTCCGGGACTACGGAGCAGGACCAGGACGACGCAGACATGTCTGTCGATGAGAACGGTCTTGCACAAGCACAATCACAATCGCAGCGGGAGAATGAAGGATTCCAATTAGCGCCCAATTTGGGGGAGATCGATCTCCCTGCCATCGACATGACCGTTGCGGAGCACCACGATGGCTTCAACACGCTTTTCGAGCAGAGCGCAGCTGCAGCCGAGGCGGATCACGGGGTCGAGGGCGATCGGGTGCACGAGCAAGGCGGAGAGACGGACCCGGCTCTCGGAGGAGTGGGTTATGTCGACGAACAAGGGTTGGAAAGGAACGAGAATTCGGTTCAGGATGATGTTGGTAGCATGTCGAGGTTAGACTCTACTGGGGTCGCAGAGGAACAGGGGGAAGAGACTTCGGGGTCTCCAGCCCGACAAACGGGCCAGGAGCCGTACTTGATGACCCTAGCCAACGCCGCCGAAGTTGCCTCTGACGTCCCGCAGACGGATCAACAGGGTGCCTCCCCGAATGTCCCATCGACGAGGAGGAGAAAGAGAGTCAAGACAGGCAGCGCGTTGCCAGAGCAGGATTCGGTATGGGTGCAGATCTGGGTGGACTTGGCTAGTGGTATGCAGGATGTCGGCGATGTGGACGAGCAGATGGGTGGGCTGTTGGTCGGAGAGTTGTAAGTTCATCATGGGCGGCAATCGTGGTTGGGAACAGGTGGGTTGACCCGGACATCTTTACGCTAGAATCGACATCTTCTACAAGAGGGCCGAGGCCCTCTTTTACACCCGCTCCCTCAATCGACTTCATGCGGCTCTCGTCTCTGGTAACAGGCCTGCAAAGAGTCTCATCCTGGCCATCTTGGGTGCGGTTGCGGCGTCTCGGATGAACGGTCTCTCTCCCGACAGCCAGACTCTTGCTCGAAAGTTTGGGTCGCAGTTCCTCAACCTGGCTCAGCGAGACTTCCTTACATCGCTCAAGAACCCGGACCGCATCGTCGACGCGATTCAAGCCGCCGTCCTAATCACTCAGGTATACTACACCCAGGGCAAGGTGATGGAGGGTTGGCTTCTGATCACCCAGGCGATGAGGTTGGCCGTCTCAGCGGGGCTCCATACCCTCAGGCTGGAGTATCTAGACGAGCAAGTGATGATCGATCAGCAGCACGAGCACGGAGATGTCCATGTCGGGGATGTTCCACAATACATGACGAGGACTATCAAGAAGCCCATGGTTTACAACAACGTCATCCCCAAGGTTATGATACTGGCTCCGCCAGAGGATACGGCAGAGCTCGGGGAAAGAGTCCACCTGTTGTGAGTGCCGGCTTGTTGTATGTCCCAAATGTGGTCTAGGTTGACAGAATCAAATCCCTCACCATAGCTGGGCTTGTCTGATGATGGAACGGACCGGATGTTTGGGTGAGTCATCCGTCGGGCTCGACCTTGCGATCTGGAACCGAAGCTGACCGCTCTCAACCTAAAGCTCTGGGATGTGTCTCCTGTGAGACAGAAGTGTGAAATCTTCATCCGTACTCAATTCCTGACTTACTGATTCTTCGCAGCGATCAATGAGGAAGATATCTTGACTCCTTGGCCTCGAAGCATCTCGGAATACACATACGTAAGTCGCTTAGTCATCTCAAGCCGATTTGTATTCGAAGTCTCAACGGACAATCACAAAAAGGTGACTACTGTCAAAGACACGGACGATACGGTTGCCTCGTTTTGGTCTTCCTACGGGAAGCAGGTGGAGGAGGGGGAGGAAAAACCAAAGGAGTTTTGGTTTGCTACCACCTTGAAAGCCATGTCTTTGTTACATACGGCTCAGAAGTGAGTGTCTTGCTTTTTTAACGGTTGGTCAAGACTCGTATGTAACTGATCCGACCCACTCCTCCCCCTAGGTATTACGACCGCGCTACGGCTGAGCCCGAGGCAGACCACTCGACACGTAGACAACAACTCATCGAGACGCTCGAGCGGTTCAGCGTTGATCTGCCGGTCGACTGTGTTCAATTACCTCCTGTCATCAGGAAGAGGCTCGTAGATCGCGAATCGATCTGGATCGGATCAGCTATTCATGCGTGAGTCGCAGAAACAGTCTGGTAACGCAATCTGCTAGACTCAATTCGCGCTTGCTCGAGCAGGGTCCGTGCCCTTTTGTGCTTCACGGATGATCCTATCGAGCACGTGAACGAGATTTTCGAAGCCTGCGAATTCGTCGTCCGCTTGTCCAAGGCCATGAGTGTGCCCGAAAGGCCGAAGCTCGGTGAGTCCCCGTCGATCTCTTTTTGCGAGTCAGGAAGTCGCTCATCCTTGCCCGTACCTGCCTAGATTCCGTCATTGTCGTCTTGTGGTACCTGACCTCTCAACAACTGCGAGGCCTTGGCCAGATGTGCTGGGCCAATGGCAAACTTCCCGAACACAAAAAGGCCAACGATCTGAACGATACGCTGAAAGAAAGTATGAAGATGCTGGTAAGTGTGCGGACGAAGGTCTTACCTAGAATGAAGCTAATCAAGTATATTCCCCCTCTGTTTAGGCTCGCGTGTCACCGCTCGCCTTGAGCTACGTCCATGCACTGGGATGACGGCTTGGCTATCAATGTCAGAATGGCGTTAGCACGGACAGCGCGTGACTGGTCGGGTAATGATCGACCCCTTGTAGACACTTTGTATGTGACGTTGATAGAAGGAAAGACAGTCTACTGGCTATAGGATATCTGTCGCTTAGAACGCGTGCCGGGCGCTACGCCATACAAACAACCGTGCCGAGTGCAGCGCCCTTTCCGGCGGTCTGCCACCTCTTCCGTCCATCTTCCTCGACTTAGGAGGGTGATGACGCTCTACGAGGATAGGAAGCAATCACTGCCGACAGGCATCATACGCTCTGCTCTGTACGCGCTGTACGATAGCGTGCTGTGACGGTTTCCTTCCTGAACCGCTATATATCGCTGCGTGGCGATTTCTGACGCCAATAATGACTTTGAGAGAAGGTCAGCTGACGGAAAGATCAGGTGGTCAAGTGAGCGTATCACCTGTGTGGGACATCCATTGTATTGACATCGCTATAATGACGAATGTGTACTTAATCGACTGTTGACCCAAGCTACATCAACTGGTAACTACGGTGGACGCTCTCAAGACTCAAGATTGACTATTCTGTACTATTACAAGGCGGAAGCCGTGGTTCATCGCCATTGACGCGCAAGTGGTCTCTTACCCTAGCTGTTTCCTGAACTCTTCGTTGTGTTTTCGTGTCAGCTGCATGAGGCGGAATAGTTCCCACATGCCAGAATCCCATGGCTTGGTATCCCCTACTATTGAACAAGCCGCGATCAATCGTTCTTTGCTTCGATCGGTGAGTTTCTTTTGACTCTGCGATTCCAGTTGGGTAAAGCATAATGTCAACTCGCTAGCTCGACCGACATTGATGACCTGTCCGCTCGAACAATGCCTCCTCCAGACCACTTCAAAGGCTGAAGGATTTAGGGAGTAAAGCTGAAAGACAGGGAGTACCCTTATCTCGTTCAACCACGAACGTCGATAATCGTTCAAAGGTATCGCATTCTCCAAGAGACGATAACTTTGGACAACCCGATTCCAAGAGGCTGGATCCGAGCAGGGCGGAAAATTGACGGCCTGGTGATTAAACTCCTCGTACAGATCTTGGATCGGGTCAGGAGCGTCTTGTTTCCCCATTTCGGAAGTGGCACCATCCGTGTCCTGAGAGCTGTCGGGGGATGCAGTCGTATCAGGCCCAGTTGCCGAAGTCTCGTTGTCAAGCCATCGGTATCGGTCAAAGTTGAAGGTTTCCAGGGTTGTCGGGACTCGCAGACTGAGTCCAGCGAGAGTACTGGCAAGATCGAAAGCGCTGCGCTCGGACACATTCATAGTTGAGCTGATTTGTTAAGGACGTCTATGCAGACAATGGGCGAATGATGTGGTCAAGCTGGAATCCATTGAACTCATCAAATCGGCATCTATCTCTCATCAGTCTAGATTGATTTGGTTCTTATGCCCTGCTGTATTTCACGAAATCATAAAGATAACGAGACATCGTTGGGTGGTCTATCGCAGATCCTTTGTTGTTTTGTGAGATCGGCGTGATGCTCTACGCGGTACTTGAACTGCCGAGAACTCAAAGCATGGCGTAATAGCTTGCCATATCGCGGTAGATTTCGCTGTGTAGTACACCGTGACGATGGCGACCTGGAATGCGGATAAAGGAGGACCAATCGCACTCCTCCTGCCGGCGAGGGGTTGCATAGCAAACAGGCTGCGGTCATGTGCCCAACCTGGCCTGCTCGAAACCACAAGGAAGATGATCAGATGAGGTGATGATACGATAAGCTTACTCTGATATCTCACCTGATCAACAACGAGCAAATCGCTGTTCCATCGATGTCTGTTTGATTGGCAGAGAATTTCCTCTCGCCTCTTGTAGCGCAGACGCCACCGCCAGACGAAGATGACCGAACCCTCGGCGATCGGATCGATCGATGACGTAAGCATCCCCGATGACGGGATGTGGTGACCAATCCATATTAGCCATATCATCCTTCGACTCTACGTACTCTACTCTTTGCATTTTACGAATTCAATTCAACTCAAGCAACAGGGATCACCCATCTTCATTTTCGAGCAGTGTTATTAGCTTACGGACTAGAACTGTTCTGAAAGCGACCATGTCTCAACGAATCGCCGTCATCTTGGGAGCCGGACCAGGTGCAGGAGCCGGGATTGCGTTAGTAAAGCTCATTGCTGTCACAAGTTCAAGGCTGACCTGCCGATATATACCTCTTCGCACACTACCGACTTCAGGCGAGCATTCTCCAAGACCCACAACGTCGCTCTCCTTTCCCGAAACCCAGCTACCCTTTCCAAAACCCAATCCTCTCTGCCATCTACATCCACCTCGCACCCTTTCCCCGCCGACGCATCGGACCCAGCCTCGATCTCCTCAGCGTGGGAAGCTATCAAGTCGCACTGGCCTGAAGGGACGATCGATGTTGCCATCTTCAATGCACCTGGGGGCGGGTTCTCTCCGGGAGGCTTCTTGAGCAAGACTCCGGAGCATCTGGAGAGGGGGCTGAAGGCCGGAGTGTGAGTACCCTGGCGGGACGAATCTGCGTGACATCTTTTGTACTCAAGCCGAGTCGTATAGATTGGGAGCATTCGCTTTCGCTCAGCTTTTCTTGAAGGAAGCTAAAGAAGGCACTTTGATTTTCACTGGAGCTACTGCTGGTAAGCTTTCTGCACCTCTGAGCCGCCTCCCGCATCGGTGACTGACAAAGACTGGACTTCTCCCTTTATTCAGCCCTTCGAGGCGGAGCCAACTTTTCCAGTAAGTCTGCTTGTGCTTGAACAGTACGATCATCTGCTTACGAATAGCTGAAATCCCAAAAATCCATCTCGCAGCCCTCTCGCCAGACAAGTTTGCCCTCCGCTCGCTGTCTCAGGCGAGTCTCTACCCCAATCCTCAGCCCCTATGCACAAATCCGAGCTGAATGAACCGCGCCGTTACAGACCCTCGCCAGAGAATTTGGGCCCAAGAACATTCACGTCGCCCATACCATTATCGACGGTCTGATCGATACCGACCGCGTCGCTTCCTTTGCCGGCGAAGCTAAAGAAGCCGACGGGAGGATCTCACCGGACGAGATCGGAAAGGCGTATGTGTACTTGCACGAGCAGGCCAGATCTGCTTGGACGCAGGAGTTGGATCTTAGGTGAGGCCAGGTGGTGGTTGGAGGATGGTGAGCTGGGCGGAGGCTGACGGATGTTGCTATTATAGGCCTTTCACAGAGAAGTTCTAAGCGGCGCGGCCGAGATGTTATTGGTACCCAAAACAATTGCTATACGATACAGTTTTGTCTATGCCCCAATCTGCCATAATGATACAGTTGCCGTCTAGCCTTAGTGCAAGATAAACCCTGAATTGTCCATATTCACACCCTTCGCCATCTCATGCCGGGTCGGCCATATCATCCTGCCCTTCCTTTTCCTGTGCGGCCTTTTGTTCCTCTTCTAATAACAACTTTGAAAACTTGCTCTTCGCCCGAATCTGCGGTCCATAGAAGAACCCGACGAACGGTACTGCCGCTAGCAGCGCCGCGATCAACCCAAAGAGCGTGGACGCCCAGTTTGGGTTCAGGTTCTCGTACATCGGGTTGGCGAACATGGGGAAACTTCCCCCGACGAGGTTCCTCACGAGGGATTGGCCGGCCAAAGCGCTCGAGGCGTACAGAGAGTATCCGTCGGCGAGGTAGTTGAAGCAGGCCAAGTAGATTGTGTACACGCCGGCCATGATGACGACGATCCCGATGCATGGTGCTACGTATGTGATGTGCGAGAAGGCTAGAATAGCATACCAAAACGTCAGCGAACACGCCATTTCGTGGGGACACCTTGACGACTCACTCGTCCACGCGTAGATGAAACAGCCACAGGCCAGGGCGATCCCCGCGACCATGGCACCGTACAACCTCGCCTCGGCGCCCTTCTTTCCCACCCTCGTATTGTAATAATGTTCCTGCACAAAGTTCAGAGCGTAACCTATGAACCCTCCGATCCTAATAATTGTCATATCGCCCGGGTCAATTTCTTCTTCTTGCACTTGGAAAAATATGTTTTCCACACTCACGTCAAGGCCAAGTAGACCAACCCAACCCTACCGGTGCCGAACCCGTACACTTCACGAAATACGTACGGGATCGATTGGACAAGGCCGTACATCACGGCCCATGCGATCGAGATCCAGAGGGTGAAGAAGATGACGATAGGTTCCGTTGCCAGGAGGTCTACACGCGATTGTAAATCAAAGGTGGAAGCACAAACAAGCATGCCATCAGCGATTGGTTTCTCGCGGCGAAAATGGAGATGTGAATGGCTGGACACTCACGTATCGGTCTAACCAAGCTGACCCTGATCAACTCGGTCAACTTCGGTTTCCCCACTTCCCCTCTTGCGAGGTATTTCATCCCCTGGTCCCACCCTCCTACCACGCCAACCACGCCTTTCTCTCCAGCCTTACCACCTCCCTCTTGTTCTTCCCGCTTCTTCTTTCTCATCTTCTCCGCTTGTTTCTTCAACAAAACCGCGGCTCGCGTCTCCGGCATGAACAACGGTATACTAGGCAAGTAAACCCCAACGAGTATGATCTGGATCCATTGGATCCACCTCCATTCTAGCGAAGGGTTCGCTTCCACCCAACTGAAGATGACGGGGGCGAACGCGGTTCCGCTCACAGCCATCAGGGCAAAGACGGCCATCTTGCCACCCCTTTCCGAGGCGGGCCAAATGTCGGCCAAGGTACCACCGACGAGCGTGGAGCCTACTGAACCCGCGCCGCCTTGTAGGAAACGGAAAACGAGGACGACGGCGATCGAGTTGGCTCTGAGGGTTTTCGAGAGATAGTAGCGGAGGTAAGTCGCGCTTCCAGATATCGTTTGCGTGCATACTCACTTGGCGACGGCGAAATAGAAAACCCAATACAGAACCCCTGCCACGACGTACAACGGTCTCCTTCCCAGCCTACCGTAAACATACAGCCGTGAGTCAGCCTCACCCTCCTTCCCCCGCAACACCGAGTCCAATCTCGATTCCAAACTCACTCTTCAGAGAACGGCGCCAATACCATGGGGAAGACCGCGAACCCCCAGGCATACAAACTCAACCCGCTCGCCGCCGCCACCCTACTCGCCCCCAAGTCTCTTTCCATAGACCCTTCCCCAATGGCGTACGACGAAGCGTTGAGGGAGGTCCAGAAGGTGAAAGCGCAGGCGATTGTCGTTATGAGGTATTTCTTGAATGCGGGGAAGTGCAGCGGGTCAGAGGGGGAGGAAGGGGAAAAGTCTACCCAGATTGTCGGTTGGTGTTCGGCGTTGGCAGGGGAATCCGTGGACTCGGTAAGGCCCTCGAGCTCGTAGCTATAATCCACCGTATACCTGAACCCATCAATGTCCCTATAGACCGATCTCCCTGGGGTCCTCGTCCCGTCCATCTGCCCTTGTCCATGTCTCGGTGTAGAGACTCCCTCAATCCCAATCCTATCCTCTGAATACCTGTGCCCTGCTACTTTCTCGCTTTCCTTTCCCTTCGAATCTGCCATATGTCCGGGACCTTCCTCCAGCTCCGCATCAGCATTAGGAGAAGAAGAGGGAGGAGAGAACCCGACGACGGCCGTCCGGTCAGACGAATGACAAGGCGACACCGTGCTCCCCATCTCTATCTCTCCGCCTCGGTGGTCATGCTGAGGATCGACCTCGATGATAGGATGTCCACCGGCTCTGACATCGTAATCCGCTACCTCCCTCTCTTCCTCGGACAGGTTGGAACGCTCCGGGTGCTGAGGATCCTGCTTTGGCGTTTCATCATGTTCGTGTCCATTACTATTGCATCGGTGATGGTCCGATATATTCGAATTGCTTGATAGCTGTGGTTGATGACCTTGATCTCGTACGTGAGCGATCCCCGATCGATCGTTCGCCATTTGGTTGTTCAGTTCTCACAGCAGACGAATGCCGCTACCGGGAGAACAGCTTTTGCAATCAGCTATTTGTATGTATAACTTTACAGTTCAGTATTGACTATGGGGCGTTATCTTGACATCATTATTGTGTTATCTATACTTGTATCAGGAGAGAGAGAGGTCGGGGTTGGTTTGCGCAGTTGCAGTTGCACTACTTGCTCTCGTTTGACTCGCCCCACATCCCGTCCCATCGATGATATTCACAGTTTCCAATTCCCTCTCTCACTGGAATTATCCCGGCCCCTCGGCATCAGTCGCGCTAGATCTGGTGACGTGATGAAGCCATCACCGTGCGCGTTTCAAGCCACAGCTGTAAAAGGGGCGTAACCGAAGAGGGTGAGAGTGCGGCGGGAGGAGGATGAGAGAGACCTGACATGCCGATGGTGGATCGGGCCATGCCGAAGGTCTGGAATGCCGACATGGAATCTATAGCCGAGGTAGAACCGCCCGCCCGCCCGGGTTAATCACGTGACGACTAGTTGGTGATTCTCGCTCAACGCCTTGTTACCCTTGGCATATCGCAGAGGGAGATCGTCATCAACCGATCAACCGACCTCGTTCGCGAACCTCTTCAAGTTACATCCTTCACCTCGACCTCGATATCGTCTGCAAGACCAGCGAGCAGGATACTGCGGACGTTAGCAATGCCATCACGTACATTATTCCGCCTCCCCTTTTCACCATCCTCCTACCACAACTCGATCAGGAGCTCTTCCCCCACCGCCGGCCTAATCCGAAACCACGCATCTTTCACCCTCCTACCATCCTTACGTCTTCTCCCAGCTTCCACACCAATATCAATTCGATTCCGTAGCGCAGAGCGAATCCAAGCTCGACGATTCCATGACTACGTCCGTGGACAGACCCCAACGGGCCAGACATACAAGGTAGACCTCGATTCGAGAAAGATCATCGGAAGGGTCTCTAGCAGGGGGACTAGGCAGTGAGTTGTCCGTCCGTCGTTCTTGGGATCACAGCCAAACTCGAGTGTCGAATTGTTGTCGATATGTGCACCGGCGTGAGATTTTGAGAGCTCACCTCATCTTCTGTGTATCTCTGCTCGTTGTTCGCTGCTCGCTTCATTAGGTACCAGGAAGATCGGACCTCGGTCCATACCCTCACCCTCAACCCAGAGGATCTCCGAAGGTCGTTGAAGCGGCACGAAGTGGATTGGATACCTCCTGGGCTCGATGGCGGGTCGCCGAGTAAAGGAGCTGGATCGAGGGTGGGGGAGTCTGGGAGGACGGCTTCGACAGGATCGGGATCAGGTTCAGGATCAGCAACGAACAATACAGCATCACAGACCGTACCACCGACATCATTACCATCGACATCAGAGTCTGTTTCGACTTCAGCGTCAAACAATGAGATGGCAACCTCCTCATCAGCATCATCAAAATCACAACCGCAAACCACATTGCCATCATCGACCTCAGCAACAACAACAACGACACCATCTTCGTCATCATCATCATCAACAGCTGCCCCTACGCCAAACTCCCAACCGAAACCCAGCACCCCCTCCTCCAGTGCCAAAGAACTGGCAGGCCAAGTAGGATACTTCGCCATCTTCGACGGGTGAGTTAGAATTGTTGCTCTCTATTCCACAGACCCAGGGGTGTTGCGGGATGACAAGCCAAAAGCGAGAGATATATGGTCGGGCGCTGGGTCTAGGGTTTGATTGGGGCGGATGATGGGATGAACGAGATGAACCGGATCGAAGGTTGATATCGATGCTGATTTCGTCGGGTTGCTATTCGCTCTCTTCCTCCCTTCTTTTGAAACGGAACATCATCCAAACCCATCTTCATGATCTGCGACCTACTCGCAGTCACGGCGGCCAACACGTCTCGGAACACCTACACAAACGCCTACACGGCATGATCGAAGAGGTCGATCGAGTGACTATCGACGAGACGATCGCTTTTACCAAGAGGCTCGGTGCGTTCTTGTTCACCTTTCCTTCCCTCCGGTGATGCTTGAGGGCACAGCGAAGCGCACGACCTCGAGCTGACTCGTCATCCCGAAATCTATCGCTGTTCGTACTGGCCTGACAGGCGGCTACTTTAAGCGGTTCCGAGGGGGCGCGCTCAGAGAATGGGTCGGACATCCGGATCATCGGGATTGGATGACGCTGGAAGAACGATTAACTCTGGCCTTCTTGATGGTCAGTTCCCTGCGTCCTCGAATTTCCCTCGACATAGCTCGCTGCGAAAACTGTTTCACTAACCATGTCGTTGTGGACATCGATAATCCGGTTCAGGCGGACCAACTCCTCTTGTCCAGAGAAGATACGCGGCGGTGTGGGTCGACGGCTTCTCTAGCTCTGCTTCACTCGTTGGATGACCCCGTCCAGCCTTTCTTTGTCGCCAATAAGATCAGCCTTACCACTGCGCACCTCGGGTGAGTTGCCGCGTGTCCCCATCTCGTGACCTGATTTACGCCACAACGGACAGTCATAAGGGTATTCAGGAGAGCTGATATGACTCGTTCTACGCAGAGACACCAAGATCCTCCTGTGCAACCGACATACGGGCAAAGTCGAGCCTCTTACGGAGCGGCATCACGCAGACGCCCGGATAGAAGCTTCTCGATTGAGAAGGATTGGAGGAGGGTTGATCACGGACAGTTTCGGGGAGAGCCGGTGAGTCCAAGGGTTCACGGTGTGTGTCGAAAGTGTTTATAAGAGATGGGCTGAAATAGCTGAGATTGGGATTGATCAGCTGGATGGGTGCAGTGGAGAATACACGAAGGTGAGTTTCGAACTGCCTGGCTAGTCAGAAGTGATTGCTGTGAGCTGATGAGCGGTGACATGCTGCCAACAGTTTCGGAGATGGCGAATTCAAGCCATTAGGCGTGACAGCAGAGCCAGAAATTCGCCATCGGGTGATCAACGGTAAGGCTTCCCCCGTCATGGATTGTCGCCTGCTTTCAACCTCTGCTGATCGCCTTCACACTCCAGGCGCCGATTACGCCTACATGGTTTTCGTCACCGACGGCGTCTCCTCCCTGATCTCGAACCAAGAGATCATTGATCTCGCCCGGAATGCACACGATCCGCATCGAGCCGCGACCACGATTGTCAATTTCGCCGAGGACCTAGGCGCGGAGGACAATTGTAGTTGTATCGTTGCCCCGCTCGCTGGGTGGGGCAATGTCGGAGGGACGGACGAGACCGAGGCGAGGCGAGAGTACAGGAGGCGCAAGGTCAGCTCGTTGAGTACGAGGATGCAGAGGATGTAGACGGGATCCGGGGAATGGTGCGCATGGCATCGATAATGTTATGGGCAGCGCGGTTGTATAGGCAAACATCGTCCAGCATAAGGAGAAGACGACTGGCGAATGCTAAAGAAGATTCCAATTCACCCGATCAATGTCCCGGATCTCCTTCAGGGCGTAAACAATACATAGTAGGGGCGGATGTCTCCAAGTATCGAGAATTACAGTACTTGAATAGGTAAGCAGAAATGCAAGGGCAGGTCTAATGATCATACCACATTTCTTTCACTCCGTCCATCTCAAGGTGTCTATCTGCAATATCTTGCAAAGGCTCCAAGCTCCCCTCTCCCTGCAATTGATACGAAATTTCGCCTTTGTGCTGCCCATACACATCTATCGCTATTTGGTTTCGGCTGTACTTCATTGCGCTTTTCAGGGGCATCGAGTATCTTGATTCTCTACGACTAACATCCCAGTAGAGCGAGCGAAGGTTCACGTCTTACTGCTACTTACTCAAGAGCGTTTCTAGGACAGGGGTGAGGTGAGAAACCTTGAGAATAAGACGCAAGTCTCGGCATCACCGAAGCAGATCCATGATGCGAGGTTTCGTGATCGTATGGCTCCGCGCCAGAACATGGGAGGTGAAGGCAACATCTTTATCTCGATCACAATAACAACGCCATATCGTCTTCTCATTCCTTCAAACTCCGAACGTTACATACTGCACAATGCCAGAAAAAGATCGTTTCGCTAGTGGTCTGTCTCCATCCCAGCCCGGCTATGGTCTAGTTGCCACCAGTAGTGTTGCTGCTCGGTTGTTCCGCGCTGTGACCCTGATCCTGATCGGCCGCGGTGCTGGCGCTGTGCCGGGTCAGGTTCTCGGAGGGCTCAGGCGTGTACTCCCTAAAGGCGTCCTGCTGTGCCGGAGTCATCGAGCCCCACTATTGTTCAAAATGTTCGAAATCATGCGTGGTGGTTTGAGTTACACTCTCATCAGCTGTTCGGGTTGATATTCAACATGACGCACCAGAGCTGCCTTCTGTTCCGCACTCTGAGGAGGCAACATGGGTTAGAAATTCGGGTAGGGTGCTTGAATACGGGGCTTTGCGTACGTATCGCTCGAATTCGTCAACGTGTCGACCTACGGACGGAGAGGCGATCGGAATCCCCGTCTGTGATTCGAACTCTATGACCTGGCGGGCCCTTTCCCAATTTGCACCCCGAGATTGCTGTTCAGCTTGTTGTTGGTTCCGTTGCAGCATTGCTTGGATCTCTCGTACTCGTTGTTGTTCTTGTCGTCTCCGTTGTGCAGCAACCTCCATAGCCAGAAGGATATCTGCTACGCTGGACATGTGAATTCGGTTCGTGTGCTTGATGTTCAGGGGATACGAGGATATGCTTGGGGCAAGGAGGCAATCTCATTCTGATAGAAGGGAAAGTTCGCTCTAGACCTGACTCATACTTATAGTTGTATATGAACTGTATCGGGCGATATCGCACGGGACTCCTTTCACTCCAGAGGAGTGGTATCCTGGCAGCTTACGATACATAATGCGTACATGTGCCGGGCTGATAACGTCGACAGAACGATACCTTCTTTCAACGCAATGGGCAATATCTAGGCAGCCTAGAATTGTCACGTGTTGAAAACCCTGAGAACCTTGAGAACCCTGAGAACCCTGAGAACCTCGATCATGTGCAGCCACGGTCATTTCTTGTACTCGGTGTCTGGTGATCAAGATGAAGAACCTCTCCGGAAGGGGGTTCAAAGGAAAATAACGAGATATATCGTTTCTTGCGGGGTCAGCGTCAGTGTCTTGGGGCTAACGCCTTGTCTATGAGTCTTGTTCAAGGTGGGCTGGTTTGCCATGCCTGATGCGATCAGTCGATGACAGGTGAACGATCAGCATGCTTCATCTCGTTGCTAGGTCACATGACCGTCAACATTCGTGGCCATACCTTTTCCGGGCATTGTTTCACTGCGGATCGTGGACGCTGTAAGCGCGGAGGCGCGGTCACAAGTCAGCAAACAAAGAAGCAAGAATTGTGCACATCGATCCTTGTGAGTTTGTCGAGTCTGATGCTCTCAATCTATTCTTGTCCGCACCTGCCATTGACCCATATATATAACGATTACAAGAAGCCAAACGAAAGGAATAGATATATCCCAGGCCCCCTCAAACGCCCTCCATCTCGACGTTCCCCACAAGGGGGAAATGAGACCAACAGAAGACCCGTAAAGAGTCCACGTCGATCCCTACGCGTCACAGCGAGATGAAGAGATCGCCACTCCCGTTAAGGATGGTGGGAAGGCCCCGAGGACTGTGTGTTTTATTCTAGCACCCTTTTATTCCTTCAGTTTCCCCCGTAAGATGGTTCCTCGATGGGATGCGGGGGGTACTGTACACAGGTGTGCGGGAGGTTTTTCTTCGAAACTCGATTGCGATCGAATTGGCTATCGTATTTCCGTCCTGTATAGATGTTAACGGGGTGTGGTCAGTACGGTTACGATCACAGAACGAGGGGACGTGACAGACGAACCTTTTATCTCGTACGACGAGCGCCTCGTGTAACCTGCAAGGCAGCTTGAAAAATCGTCTCTTGCGTAGATCAGCCGGCTCCTATAACAATCACGGTGATGCCTCCAAGAAGTTGAATTGAGACCAACAGACGAACCGGGCACTTCGGCGAAGCAAGACGAGAATTCAAGCAGTTGTTTTTGTCATCAATTCCATCGTCAAAGAAAGCCAGGGATAGGAAAGAAAGGCCCAATGGAAAGCGAAAGGACCCGCTACAAAGAGATCGAGTCTTTCTTCTTCTTCAGATCCTCCTCCTCTCCTCGTCTTCCTCCTACGACCCGAGGGGATCCGTCTCGTCTCATTTGTGGTTCTAGAGTATTTAACGAGTTGGAAAGGCTTAGGCCTTGGCGGCGGCGGCCTTGTCCTGGGCGGCAGCGACGGCGGCGTTGATTCGCTAACGAAGTAGGTTTGATATTTAGTTCTGCGTTGTGCAAGGTGCATGAAAGCGAGGCGACGTACCTTGCCATCCTTGAACCTGGGCCTGGGGGGAGGAGCTCGGTTCTTCCTGCTGTTGACGGCACCGGGCTTGGCGGATCGGACTCGGACGACTGCAAACGTCACATCGTCTACTGTCAGTTTCTCCGCCAACACAGGATTTGCCGGTGATGAGCCTTCAACGTACCCTTGGAGTGGATAGCACACGAGATGCAGTACACGGTCCTGTTGTAGAGCTTAGGAAGGGCGTACTCCTTGTAGATGGAAGCCTCCTCCATGTCCCTGATGGCAGCGGCCTCGACGATGTTGGTCACCTTGACACGCTTGATGGCCTTGTCCTATGAGAGGAAAGTCGAACCGGTCTGGATTAGTCTTGACGGGCGTGAGGAACGTTGGCGTGTGGGTTAGGGCGAGACGGGCAAGGACGACATGGAGATACGTTGCAAATCATTGCAGCCGAGGTTCGTCATTTGCTAGGGACCGCTTTTGCATCTCTCCTCCTCGATCCATCTGCTCAGCCGTCTTCCTTGTCGTTCCACGACCGCCCATCCCGCCTTTCCCACTGCCAGTCTCGAGAAACCCACCTTGGGAATGCATCGGGCACAGTTGGTGCACCTGAGGAATCCAACGTGACCACGACCCTTCTTGGCTCGGCCGGTACCTCTTCTCTGTTATCCCGTGCGTCGCATCCATCACAGATCATCACCCAGTCGCAATTGAACAGAAACATAAACCACGCGTAAACGACCGTCAGCGATCCCGTCGGTTTTTCTGATGGCGAGCAGCGGCGTCGAGCTGAAACTGACCTTCTTGGTCATTTTGGGTAGTTGATTGTCGGCTTGAAAGCTAGGTCGATAATCGGACTAATCCTGAAGCAAAAGAAGGGAGGAATATCTTTGTAAGGCAGGTCAACATCGATCAGGTCGAGGGAAGGTTTTTTCGGCGAAAGGGGGAGAGGGGGACTCGGGCGAGCCAACGAGTGACGAGCGAGGAAGGGACGACGCGCTTGCCGAGTCAAGGGGGGGAAGGGGAGACGCGCTTCGAGGTGGCGACAGGTCGCGCGTGTCGCTCACTCGCGCTTTTCTTCGTCACGGGTCCGCTTCCTCTCAACGATTGCGGAAAGCGAGCAAGGACAAGGCGGAAAGCGAATATCTATTCTCAATTGCCGGGCACTTGATTGTTTAGTTTGTGATCGGCATCTTTTCGGCAATATCCGAGCAGCCGTCCAGACGCCTGGACCTTCGTCTTTCTTTCTTGGTTGCTAGTGCTAAAAACCAAGGCCACGATAGAGTTGACGAAGTCATGTAGTAGCTATAGTAGCCTCTTACAACGTCATTCTCGGAGTGTCATCAACGTCATGTTCTGGGCGTGAGAGGCCTTCGAGCTCGAGGGCTGTAGATATACTCGACGATGATTTCGAAGGCATGCATACTTGGAAGAGTTCGGCCTGATGAATACCATACAATCTATTGTAGGAGGGATCGCAAGGTCGTCAGAAGTCAGAGGAAAGAGCCTCGTCCAATTTCTCCACGATCTCTTCAGATCGCTCAGCGCTCCAGTCCTACCGTACTATAGTGATACAGCGGGCTGGTAGCTGGTAGCCGGTGATGCAATATCACAATCTCGTCAGAGACCAGTATCTCCTCGCTTGTCACGTGATATTTGCTTCCGACCAAAAGCAGCCGATGACCGAAGAATCAAAAGTTGGGCAACTCGTCACACAGGAGTTCACGCGTCCCCAGTTTGAACCCAGATTGGCGCGTCGCCAACCGGGGGGCGAAAGCAACTTTTTTTACTAGTGCAAAACGCGCCAATCCAGGGAACAACCGGGCATGGATTGACGCGCGATTTGCCGGATTGGGGGGGGATTGGCATTTCCCTAAGCGCTCTTTTGTTCCGTTCAATCAGGCATCAATCTGGCAACAATCCATGGCATATTTGTATCCGCATGTTACAGATTACGCTTCCGCCTGATTACGTGTTTCTATTGTTCTATCGAGAAGCACCGACCAACACGCTCGAGAAGCTCGACTCGACGTCTACTAACTTACTACCTACCTACCTACCTGTAAATGCAGTAAAAACCGTCAAGTCACTCATATTCACTCTCCACACACTTACAACATCTTATCTACCCCGTTTGGACCCCTATAAACACCCTCATAACTCCCTAGACTCCTTTGACGAACTTTACGACTATGTCTGCTGCTGTAAGTGCTTCAAATCGCTTCGAGTGCATTCATACTTCAATACTGACTCAACCGGCCTTGTCTAGAACACTAACATCAAGGGTTTGGTGAGTAGTCTGTTTATGAGTGGTGTTTTTCTCTATCGCACTGTGAGATCCGTTTACTTACTCGTACTGGGTGTTTTCCCCCTCCTTTCTACCTAGTTTCGTCAAGTCAAGCCGTACGAACATGCGGAGGAGCACGAGGAAGCCGACCAGCGCTTCCATAAAGGTCTCGAGCGGGTTGAGCACTACGTCCGAAGTGCTATCGACGCAGCCGACTTGATCCCCGAAAACAAGGAGATTGAGAAGATCGACAAGAACAACGTCAGCTCGATCGTCAAGGTTGTAACGAGGATCGTCGCGGCAAACTCCAACGCGATGGCCCAAGTTCAGGGTGGATTGGCCGGCGTTTCGCACCTGTTTGAGGAGATTGGTGAGGTCGCCCAGGAGAACGTCCAGTTGCGTGCAAGAGTGGAGACTTTGGAAGACGAAGTCCAAGCCCTGCAAGAACAGGTCGCAAACCCCCTCGTTGGGGACATGAACGCTGCAGGTGTTCTCCAACTCATCACCGGCAACCCCGAGTTTGCCGCTTTGGTCTCCGGTATCGCTCGAGACGCCATGGGTGTCCATCCGGGTGCCCTTCCGCCCCCAATCGAGGGAGCTATGCCCGAGGCTGGGCCCTCATCGCCTACGAAAGCGACCAAGGGTCGCAACAACATCCTCCACGTAAGTCTTTTCTTCCCTGATCTTAACTTACGCCAAAGACGGTCGAACATTACCTGATTGTACCCCGCTTGTTTCACAGGCCCATGTTCACCACCACGTTCGACGTTTGATCGGTATGCAGTCGAAGCTGTTCCCGGGGTCAATGGACACCGTGAACACCGGATTGGAGGCCGTTATATACCCGAAGCCTCGAGTGAACGGTCAGAAGACCATTAAACTCACGCTACCGAACGGCGTTCGTCAAACGTTCTTTCGACCGAACTGGAGGAAGGTCAAGAACAATCCGTGAGTCTTCTACCCTCTATCTCGCATGATCGTACCCGTATTGATGTGTGTTTGTGTCTCGCAGTGAATGGGACGATTTCGTTAGGAACGTTCAGGATTCGGTCATTGCAGGCTGGAACGATTACCGAGGCGATCCCCCCAAGGAGGTGCCCGATCGTGCCCAGATTTCGGTCAGTTTGTTCAAGTTCTGCAACACGATCGCCGGTAAAGCGGGAGAGGGGAAAGCCACCTGCATGGACGGTGGGAAAGACAGGGTGGGCTGGTCGAACAAGAAGGCCCGTGCGGTGAGCTAGATTGACTAGATTGACACCCACTTGGACCCAACTTGTGCTCACCATCATACAAATCACCCACCGAATAGACCCTGGCCAGCCGGAAGACAATCTGGACCTCTTCCCTGGTCAATCAGTCCCGAAAGAGGGTCATTTGGAAGCTGCTTTCGCAGCCTTGTTGCGCGCCGGTCTACTTCCCGAACGACCCGTACACGGAGATGCGGTACCCGAAGCTAGACCCCTGCAATGTGGAGACAAACGACCCCGCTGACGCCCTGTATTTGGGTGCTTGGGAGGCCTACGGTCGCCACCACATGGTCTCGGAGGGCGTCGCCAACGAGAAGATCTCGGGGGCGATCGAGAAGTGCTATCCCAGTTGGATGTCCGACGAGGTAGGTTGGCCCCCATATACTCCCCGTTTGACTTGTGTAACTCGAACTGATTCTTTCGTGTTGATACCTTTGCCATCGTCCCTTCTCTTGAACACAATCGCATGCAATCATGCTTCAAACTACCTGTGTTCTCCCCTGCAATAGGCCGTCTTCGCCTCTGCTGCTCTTGACGCGGCGTACGGGTTGACCATCACCCAGGCCCAATGGCAACAGCGATGGTGCGGGCCGAGGTCTTACTGGCCCCTAACGCAGCTCAAGACTGCCCAGTTGGCCCCCCCTTCGGCCCAGGATGCCAACGTCCCCGATCGCTCGGACAAAAAGCTGTGGGTGATCTACCGATCGATGGTCAGGCCAGACGTTCTGGAGGCAATCGATGCGAACGACGCCTCGCTTGCTGCCCGGTTGTACCCCGATCCGCCTCTCTCGGTCAACGACGCCGCGATGGACGACCTGCCGACCGTCATCGCCAAGCCCAGCAACATCACCACGGCTACTGCGATGCGGCCCATGTTGCCCCCGGTTGGTCCCGCTTTGACCAAGGAACAGCTGCGAGAGAAGGCGCTCGAGTATCTCGCTCAGGATCACGGTATCGTCGAGCACATCGAGGAGGAGGAGGACGACGACATGCAAGTCGACGCCGCGTAAACGGGCTCCAGTCACCCTCGAAAGGACCGGGATTGTTGTGGTGTTTTTTGACCGTTGTGGGTGAGCGATCTTATGCTCGATAGGGGCGCCAAACGCAATTTACATACCGTAGGGGCGCCAAACGCACATAATTGGAGGCTGATTGTATCCGGGTTGGAGTTCTTGCGACTTACGTTCCTTTTTTTTATATTTTTCAAACTTATAATGTTTCGATATCGAGTTTGTTTGTAATAGGTGTGTTTTATGCTCTCAGAGGTGGTCGTTTGGAGGCCAATATATGCATGATTGCCGTACCTCCAGCACGCAGAACATTGTGAACCTATTTGTAGAATGAAGTCCATCCGTATTCCGTAAGACATGATCAGACATGATTAGGGGCCATACTCTTGTCTATTGTGTCCCGAACGAGAGTAGTTAGTACCCGGTTTGGTTTTCGCTGGTGTTACGCACATTACATTCAGACTCTTGTGACTGCTGTACAAGCCCAGATCTTTGGGCTATCAACTTCCCCCGGATGTAACGGGATTGGCCTTACAACGACCGGCCTCATTGACTCAACTGTTCCGTTCGTCAACTCCCAGCATCTAGTCTCTCGTTCAAAGGTACCAGGATGCCACAAAGTCACACCTAGATCGGGACTAGATTGCCAATAGATCAGACCTCCCTTCAATAGGGACGTTTAAGCCGATGCTTACTGTCGACCATAAGGGTATTCTGTCTCCCGTTCAAAAGGCATGCCATGCGCCCCCAACATTAATCTAAACTCCCTCGTTTGGCCCCCACTTGCACGCGCCCTGATAGTAATGAACGATTGGATCAAAATCAAAGGTGGTCGTCCAATCCTGCACTCAAATACGTCTTTTTGAGGTAGAATGATGGCCAGTCGGTCCCGGAATGCTTGAAGTGGGGCTGTGGCGGGGGATTTTTTGCCCGTATACGCAGAAAACTGCTTGTAAGCAGGTCTAATCTGAGTGTGATTGATCCCCGAAGTGTCTATGATCCATGTATTCTCTGTTGGTCGATTTCCAACCATGTCAAGAAGGTACGTATCGCCAGGCTGTGTCTGGGGGCTATTCTTGAGTCTTTCGTGGATGATTGGCCATAGATTGAAGTCCAGATGCTGCAGAACGCTGCCGACGACTTGAAACGTACTCTTGTCTGCCTCCATTACAGGTGCGTCAGCCTGTAATTGTCGAATATTCTCCTCATGTTTGGCAAATAATTCGGACGCTGAAGATCCCCTGGATTTATCTTCTCGTGTGAATGACGCGTGCAAACTAGCCAGTTTGGACACAGATTGATGGTCCTCTGGCTCAAGCGCATATCTTCGAAGGTGATGTTGTATCATGCTTGCTGTACTGGCGCGCAACCGGGCATTAAGTGCGGTGATTTCTACCACCTTTCCGTTGGTATTGACGTTCTTATAGCATTTCCCACAACGTTCGCCCGCAAAACACCAGTGATTGTATGGGCCTCCATGACGTCTCACGTCCCCCGGAATGTGTATGCATTGGTGTATGTTTCGGGTTGCCTCCAATCCTGGCCAGATCCCCAGCGCCGACGGTACCAGCCGGCCTAATAGGACCTCAGCTCGACAGAGCTGAATCTCGCTGATTTCTGGCCTGAGTAGCAGTAGATTGACCCCCGAAACAAGTAGGGTCACGTCGAGTTCAGCCTGTGTGATCTGGGTGGAGATCCGCGCACGTATCTGCCTGTTTTGCGTGCTTTCTTCAGTCGGATTGAACCATGATTGGATGGCAATCTCTGGAAAGATCAAAGGAACATAAAACTCGGCAAAACACCTCCACTGAACAGCCGTGATTGTACCCCCTTTGACGTCCATTATAGTCTTTGGGATGGAAGGGAATACTGATCGATCGCTTGGGGTCAAGACCTGCCAATCAGTAGTAGCAAAGTATGGGCGTCAATGTGTAGCCAGACGGGCAATATTCGATGGCGTACTCACCTCGCTCATTGCAGTCTTGATGGCAGTGAGCTGAGGTGGTGTCAGACCGCCAACAAGATCAGGACCGGTTCGTTCGGGCGTTTGTCGAGCCTGGCTGGCCCCAGTTTGTGGCCCAAACATCTCATACGCAGGTCGTGCTGCTGTGCGAAAGACGTCTGCATCGGCCTCCGAATCGCTTTCATCGGGGTCTGCGTTTCCAATCCCCCCTCGAACGGTACGATAGTGGCCCTGACCGATGCACCTTCGGAAGATGGTCTTGTTAACACCGAGGAGAAGATTGTGCATCGCGTCAAATACCCCTTGCACAGAGATGTTGAGATAAGGTAGTAGATAGAGGGCACTGAGGTGGCCCGGTGGGACCCGGTTCTGAGGTAGATTGAGGAATCGTTTACGCGCGGCCTCTGTAAAAACCTTTGCGCGATATTCGGGGGTCAATGTGGTTCCAGTCCGGGGAGGTCCTTGCCAGTATGCCGCTCGCAACTCCCGGTTCTCACGAACTAGTTCTTCCTCCCGCCGATCATGGGCAATTGCCTCCCGGTTGAGGGCCTCCTGTTGTAGTCTCTCTCTGTCAAGGAAAGCCCGAGCCTGAGCAATAGAATCACGTGGTTGGCCAACTATGAGGCGAATCAGCAGTTTACACAGGTTGTACGTCAAACTCCCTCCAAACTAACCTCGACCAGCCGCAAAACCTGCCTGATTGAGGTTGCATCGGGTGCAGATATGGTCCTTGGACGTCTGAAAGGTCATGCCGCTCAACGATGTAAATGCCGGCCGATCACAGCTAATTGCTGCCACATAGATACGGCAAAGGACCCCGTTTGGACGCAAGGGCGTGCGAATCAAGATTGGTGTCTCCCACATCCGCCGAAGTTCGATCACCACCGGTAGCATATATTTCCAAAGGGTATCCTTTGTGGGTTCTTTCGGGCCTGTTTGTTACACGATCAGCATCAGGTCGATATTGCTTCCACAGGGTAGAATTTTACCTGGAGTCATGCCGACGCACATGATCATGGCTTGAAGTGCCCTTGATTCCTGTGGAAGGTTGGCCATTTGAACCAGGATTGGTCCGACCGAGTATCCAGGGGCAAATGACGACGAACGTTGATTCAACCAATCGATCGACAGATTGAGGAAGATTTCCTGGATTCCATCATTCTCCGTCTGATCTACCCTCAATCCAGCCGGATTGAGTAGAGAATCGATCATTGTGCCGTCGGTTTGATCTCGATAGATTTTGAGACCGGGATAGAGGCGTTCAGACAACTGGGTGTTTATCCGCCGTCTTTCCCTCCAGTTGAAGGCCACTTGCTCCACGCCTGGGTAGGACAGGACTCGTTCGATTTCAGAAACGAGGGGAAGCCTTGGGAAGGTCGATGGCATTTGACCAGTAATCGGGGACCAATCTAGCTCACAACGGGGGCACTTGGTAAGCTGATTGAGCACCAATTTAGACGTTGACATATTTGTCCGTTCGTACACAACCTCCCTACAGGCCGGATTTGGGCAACAAGGGTGGGCGATTGTAGGTAGTTCGACAGCCAATCGTCGTCTGGCAGTAGCAAGCGTCTCAGCGGGAGAGTCACTGATGATTTCTTGATGATTGTTGCAGGTACAGTCCTTTCGGGCCTTAATCTGGGTCAATTGTGCTACGGTATTCATGGCCTTGAGGGCGTATTCCGTCTTGTCCCTGGCCACCCCGACTGAATCCAATGTAAGGGCGACGGTATAGATGAACCTCTCCAGAAACGATAGATCGGCGGTCGATTGATCGCTTATCAGGCCCGAAAGTTCCCCACTTAGAGGGGCATTTTTCAACACCGGTGGGATCGGTTCAGGCCAAAGTGGCAGGAAATCATGCAGGCCATCTTGATCGTGCAATCTATGCTCATTCAGGGCGTTTTCGGGCAGATCTTGGTATCCAAAACCGGGGTCTTGAAGAGTGACGTCCGGTGTTTCGGTGGGAGCAGGTGAAGGAGAGGGAACCGATCGGAACGGGGATCGACTGGGGCTCAAAGGGGGGCCATGGGAGGTAGGGACAGGTGCTATAGGTGGTGGTATTGAGCGATCAGGGATCGGGCGACTTGGAGTGACGAACAGGTTCGTGCTTGCTCTTGCTTCGGCTCTTGCTTCGGCGGCCTCCTCAATCTCGTTCCAATCATGGGCCATATGGCGTAGAAAGGTACGCCCTTGGATGACTTTACCCCTTCTGCCACATTTGGAACATCGGCAGGTTCCAAATTCGTCTTTGCGCTGTCATGCACCAGACGGATCAGATTGGACCCAGAAAAAGAGGTGTCTGGACTAACCACCCGAGCCTGTATGGTTTGAAGGCCTAGATGTAGTGGATATATCTCGCTAAAGTCTCTAGTAGCAGAGACCCAAGACATTCTGGGAACAATCTAGGTGATTCTGCAATGGAAATCAATTGTATCGAATCTCGGCTGCCAGCACGCTGACGATCAAAAGATATATAGGCGATTGGCTGACGTAACTGACATCGGTGACTGGGGGCCAAATGCCCTTCAAACCGGGTCTCAAAACCCCAGCGAGGGACTTGTTGTTTTTAAAAATTCTTCAAAATACAATCTGGGTCCAATCCGTCGCGCGAGACGCCAAACCCCCCCCCCTGAACTCCTGTGTCACCGACAGTCACATCTGCTTTAGGCTTTGAACTATCGATCACATCGATGCTGTCACATCGCCGCAGTCCCCAGAGAGTACCATCCACAAACTAGCCTATCTGATAGTTGCCCCAACATGACACATACCGACCGAAAAGGACCCGGGATCGCCCGACCCAAACATCCTAAAAAGATCCATCACCCACCCTCTCGCCCATCCACCTCGACCGCCTCCACAACACCCTTGACCACCCCACTGCCCATCGAAGAACTCGTACTCCGCTCCATCTCCTCCGCTCTCGAGAAGACGCTTCGTAACTCTGCGCTGCCGACGATCATTCAGAACATCAAACACTTGTTGTACGAGAAGAAGTTCCTCGAGGTTTTTGAGGACGAGACGGTGCTTGAGGCTTATGCATCAAGATGGGTACCTAGTCGGGCGTTGGCATTCAGGGAGATCATGGGAGAGAGCGAGTATGTGGTCAGGTTGTTGGAAGGGAGAAAGGCTGGAGCGAGGAGTCAGGGGGATGTGAAGGGCAAGGGCAAGGGAAAGGAGGACGAAGAGGAACAAGGGGTGCAGGCAGCGTCGCCGAGGAACAGGGTCGTCTGTCTAGGAGGAGGAGCCGGATCGGAGCTGCTCGCTCTAGTCGCGCTCGTCTCGGCCGAGAACGAATGGACAGAGTTCCCTAAACCCGTCGACCAGACGGGGTCGAAAGACGATCCGGATGATAGCGAGGATGACGATGATGACGCCAAGACGGACAAAGTGAAAAGAACAGCATTCCCACCGTGCGACGTGCATATGGTCGATATTGGACCTTACGCACCGGTAGTCGACAAATTCACTACGAGCCTACGCTCTACCCTCATCTCGGCGGACTTTACCGAATCCTTCCATCAGACCGATATCCTCTCTCCGGATTCCGACGTCCTAGCCGACCTGCTCGAATCCGCCTCCGACCTAGCCAACCCGCCTTTAGTGACCCTCTTCTACACACTGTCCGAACTCTTCCTTCAATCACGTCCGGCGACCATCATCTTCCTCGACAAACTCTCCCGATTAGCACCCAAGGGGACGCTCTTCCTCATCGTCGACTCTGCCAACGAAGAAGCCAGCGCGCTCGGTGTAGGCAAGTCCGGTCGAAGTTATTCCCTGGGCGACGTCCTCGATGGTCTGCTCTGCGCGCTCAAACCCGCTCCGGATGGTGGTGAAGGACCGCCAAAGCCGAGATGGAAAAAGCTGGAAGGTGTCGATAGTCGATGGTTCAGGTTGAAAGCGGGACTGCAGGAAAAGTACCCGGTCAAGTTGGAGAACTCTAGGTACTGGTCGAGGTTGTACAGGAAGGAATAGCGGCCGATACTTCTGGATGATTATGCCGCCCGTCTTCATTTTCGATCCCGACCAGGCTGTCCAAGCATGTTGACTGATCCTAGATCCGTGGTTCACCGCTGCCATCCGGTTCTACGACTATACAAGCTTTGCTCGCTTTGGTGATTGTGGAGGAGGTGGAACCAAAATCCTGAGGAGGACGACCTCCGCTTTTACGTGCTCGACTACGGCGGTAAGAGGCGCAAATTGGCCCAGGAGGGTGTCTGTACCGAGGCAACGCCTATCTCCGTGTGATTCAACATCGTCCTTTCTGAAAAAAGAAAGGGATAACGGGACCAGAGTTGATATTACTGAACCCAGCTTGCTGAAGTTTGGATCTTATAGAGGAGGGCGCCAGATCCACAAGGTGAATCATCGCCATAAGATGTTCTCTGTAGATCTGATAGCGTTCAGCAGAACTGGCGGCAGGTCCCCCCCATGTTGTCGCTCAGAATATTTCACTTCAAAAGGTGAATTTGATCGAGCTGATCAGCTTCCATAAGGTGTTGACCATATCCGAAATATGACATCAAGTAAATATCAGTGACATTCGGGAGACCCGGAGACACGTCGAAGGGGTTGTCATCCCGGACATGCCTAATCCAACCTGAAACGAGAAATCGACAGAGTTTGACCGATCTCTCTCGAACGCGTCCTTGCCAACGCGTCTCGACGCGTCATTTAGCGGATTCCGGACGAGCTGAGGGGACTTTGACCTGATCGATCCATGATCTCATGATCTCGTGAGCTGCTATCATGATCAGCTCGCCATCACCCTCGATAACATCGTTCAACAACATTCCCTAAACCAGCGTAGTCTACCCGCTGCAGTAGTACATACGAAAAGATCCCAAGAAGTAAGATCGCTGCAGGATGGCGGCCAGAATGGTGAGCCTCCGTTTCCGGGAAATCCCGTCAACTGCCATAGAACGATAACCGGACCTTTCGTCAATTTAGATGTATGGAAGCGAGTCTTCCGCCAAACCAGTGCTCGATCTCGGTGGTGAGTGGATTACATACTCAGGCTACTGTAAATGTCTTGCTTACTGCCCTGATGCCATGTCATGAGCAGACAAGACGAACGAAACCTCTTTCTGCCGATTCTTCGATTCAATGCCGAGCGTACGTCAGTTTCGAGCGAACAGATCCGGAGCGAGTTCATAACTGGTCCCACTTTACCGTGCCCTTCAACTTACATGTAGCGGCTACCAGGAACTGTCAGACTTTTCGATAGAGGAGTAAGTAACAGACTAGAGTAGCCTGCAGCTCGATCCTATAAGCTACAACTAATCATCGGAACATCGTGATCTTCACCAGGACTACTTCTCAGCCCACGGCCCTGACGCCCTCCTCATCGCCCAAACCGTCTACAAGACGACCAATGTCATCCGTTACCTTGGATCCGCCACCGCAACTTCCGCTTCCAACTCTGGATCGTCCTCATCTACCAACCAGAAGAAAGGTCTCCCTAGTTTGACGCTCTCGATCACTTTGGCTAAAGGGTTCTTGAGGGAGGCTTTGACTAGTAAACAGATGAGAGTAGAGATTTGGGAAGGAGAAGGAGGGAAGAAACAGGGGAATCGGTGGGAATTGGGCAAAGAGGTGGGTCGATCAGTTTCGTTGACGGTCGAGTGTAAAGGGAGATCACACAATCAGAACTCGACTGAATTTGAATTTAGGCATCACCCGGTAACATCCAACAAGTCGAAGACCTGCTGTTCTCCTCGACTGACAACATCTCCTCGCCGATCGTCATGGCCCTCAAGCTCGTTCTCAAGGATGGGGGAGCGACAAGGCTAATTGGAGCAGCGTTCGCGGATGCCAGTGCGAGGAGATTGGGCGTAGCCGAGTTTCTGGACGACGAGATGTTCTCCAACACAGAGGTTAGTCCTGCATGGCAGGAACGAACGCGCGGACTCGCAGCGGTAAACTGATGCTTGATGCCAATTGTCTTCTTCGCCAATCAGAGCTTGATCATCCAGCTCGGAGTCAAGGAATGCATCGTGGTCGAGACGAACGAGACCAAGACGGCTCGAGGCCAGACTAAGAAACGGAAATCTATCGCCATCGACCTAGACGGGGATGATCAAGACGACAGTATGGAAGTCGACCCGCCTACTTCTACCAAGGTAGCAAAAGGCAAAGGAAAGGATGATCAGGATTTCGTCAAGCTGTTGGGGATGATCGAGCGGTGTGGAGTGGTCATCACCGAGGTTCAGACTGGTACGTCGAGCACGAAGCCTTTCTATTCAAGATGTGCTCTAATCAACAATTGCAAACGAAAATGCACATAGGCATGTTCAATGCGACGACGGTAGAATCGGATGTCAAACGCTTGCTTCACCCTTCAGTGTCAACGGTTGCCATGCGTGAGTATTGCGAGATATGTAGTACCTCGAATGCGACGGGCGGAACTGACACTGAAACCTTTCGGTGCAGCCGAATTTGACTTGAAGGCGGCTAGCTCGTGCCTCGCCTGTGTTATCTCATATCTCGACCTACCGAATACGACATCTCACCACGGGCAATGGCGCTTACGCCATCACGACCTCTCTCAATACATGAAACTCGACGCCTCCGCCGTGAAAGCGTTGAACCTGATGCCGAATCCGCTTGAAATGGGAGGGAACAAGAACATGAGCTTGTATGGTCTACTGAACCACTGCAAGACGGCTCAAGGGCAGAGGTTACTGGAAATGTGGTTGAAACAGCCATTGGTAAACCTTCACGAGATTCGTAAGCCTTGGTTCAGCGGAATGATTCATCAGGTCGGATCAGCGATACTAAGTCTAGATTCTTGCATAGAACAACGACAGAGCCTTGTCGAGGCTTTCGTCGAGGATGCTAGTACACGCAAGTCGCTCCAAGTGAGTGAATATAGCTGTACAATCAAGGTGTCACCGTTTCTTACCCTAATCTCTATTCGAACCAGTCGGACTGCCTCAGACCCATGCCAGACTTCACCAGGATAACGAAACGCTTCAATCGGGGGAACGCTTCACTGGAAGATGTCGTCCGGGTTTATCAGGCGGTGTGCAAGGTGAAAGCGGACCAGCCATACGAAACGTGCCCACGCACGGAAGCTGATCTGTCGAACCCGCCTTAGATACCACAAATGATCTCATTGCTGCAAGAGGTTCAACCGATCCATACTGAGCACATCGACCTCATTGATCGCCTATACATCCAACCTTTAAAGGTGAGCTGGCCTCAAGTGCCCCTCCTACGAATGACGCGACTCATTTTGACGTACGTACCAGCAACACAACGAGGCCTTGGGGCGATATGCATCAATGGTGGAAGAGACGATCGATCTGGATGAATTGGCCAACCACAACTACGTCCTGGTAGCTAGTTTCGACCCTCTTCTCGAACGGATCCGCGACAAGTTGATTGGCGTCATGGACGCACTAGACGCGGAACATAGCAAAGTAGCGGATGATATGTCGTTGGATATGGAGAAAAAGCTGCATCTTGAGAAGCATCAAGTGTACGGATACTCATTGCGAGTCACGAAAGCGGTACGTCAATGCGATCCGGGTCCTTTTCTTGCGTAAAACGCTGATGCCACTTGGCGCTTCCAGGAAGCTGGAAAGCTCAAGGGGAAATCAAAATACATCGAGTTGGCCGTACAAAAGTCTGGAACCATCTTCACGACACGTACCCTTAAGGGATTGAGCGAGGAGCATAACGATCTTACCACGCAATATGAGAAGCAACAACGTAGTTTGGTCAAGGAAGTGGTTGCCATTGCTGGTGATTCTCCAGGTCGCACAAGCCACATCAGGATTGCGCTGATATTTTACGGGTCCGAACAGCATCGTATACTCCAATCCTAGAAGTTCTGGACGCTCTGATCGCTTCGCTCGACGTGATTGTCAGGTGCGTCTTCCTCCTGCCCTCTGCAAGAAGTCTCCGCTCATCTCTCGATATGACGATGAATCAGCTTTGCGCATGTCTCAGAGAATGCGCCGATTGCGTATGTGAAGCCGACCCTAACCGAGAAAGGTGAGTGAGTCCCGCTGGTACAAACCATGGCAGGCAGGGCCGAAATCTCATAGTCTTGTGAACGTCCAGGCGGAGATGGGGACCTCGTGGTAGAGCAAGCTAGACATCCCTGTCTTGAGGTTCAGGATGAGATCAACTTCATACCGAACGATCACAAAATGCTTAAGGGTGAGTGTTGCCTCACTCAAATGCTTCAATTCGGCCTACTGACCCGTAGTTCGTGATCACACTCCCCAGGGGCCGGAGAGTTCCAGATCATTTCAGGAGCAAACATGGGCGGAAAGTCGACCTACATCAGACAGGTAAGGCACGTGCACCGGAAATCGCCAAGACCACGGCTGATCCGTCCCACGCTGTAGATCGGCGTGATCGCTCTCATGGCTCAGATCGGATGTTTCGTACCGGCAGATAGCGCTACGCTCCCGATATTTGACTCGATCCTCGCTCGAGTGGGAGCTGGAGATAGTCAGTTGAAGGGTGTGTCTACATTCATGGCAGAGATGCTGGAGACAGCGGCCATCCTCAAGGTGAGCGACGATCTTCCGTTCCAAGCTGTGAATATCGTCGCCCGCTGACAAATTATGCGCTGTCCAGACCGCGACGAAGGATTCGCTCGTCATTATCGATGAATTAGGTCGAGGTGGGTCAACACTCCTTAACAATGATATGTAGACATCGCTGACGCCCGCAACTCGTGTATAGGCACATCGACTTACGACGGGTTCGGCCTGGCCTGGGCCATTAGCGAACACATTGCCACCGAAATCCGCTGCTTCTGCCTCTTTGCCACCCATTTCCACGAACTAACGACGCTATCCGAAAGCCTGCCTCATGTACGAAATTACAATGTCCTGACGCACGTCACGCAGCGAGGCGATAATGCACAGGATCGGGATGTCACCTTTTTGTACAAGGTGGAGGAGGGTGAGTCATAGGCAGGTCTTCTATGTGAGCCGGTCCTGACATGTTGATGGTGATCGCAGGTGTTTGTGATCAAAGTTTCGGTATCCAGGTCGCCGAGATGGCTAACTTCCCAGAAAACGTCATCAAGGTAAGTCTTGCGCGTATCGAATATGTGACAGTCACGAAACCTCACCGCTTCTCTTTTTGCGCCGCAGCTTGCCAAGCGTAAAGCAGACGAGCTGGAAGATTTCGGAGGTGAGATTGTAACGCTGGCTATTAATGATATTGCTGCTGATTAGCTGCATCGCGCTCACAGAGAGCGGGGACATCTTTTCCAAAATCTCCAAAGAAGAGACGGACGAGGGTACGCTCATCGTGGAGGAGTTTCTGCGAACATGGAAGACACGGGTTGAAGCCAGCCAAGCCGGGGCGGAGGATGAGGAGACGATGTCTCGGGACCTGCAGATGGAAAAGCTCAAAGAGGTCGTGGTCGAGTACAGGGACAAGTTTGAGGGTAACGCGTGGGTCCAGGCGGTCCTTACGAACCTGTAGCCAGCTTGCCAGGGCGACGCTACGGCACGGTCGTTGGGCTCGGCTTATATTGTATCGCTGTTATGAGCGCTTGAGTTGTTGGCAACTGGATGATGATTGTCTACACCCGCAAGCCACTCGGAGCGCTGTCTTGCACAGACTTTCGTGGATCGATGTGTGTCCTAAACGCCAAGCTATGATCTCCTATCGTTGAGCTTGTTGATGTCTCTGACATTGACAGTCTCAAGAGCTAAAAGATTGGCAATCACCCATAGACACGGCAATCCCAATTCACTCATTGATCAAACAGCGTCTACTGCAAGATTTTGCAGCCTTCAAGGCAAGCTTTTGAGCTTGGACATGCCCGGAGCATCCATTGCTTAGCCTTTGCAATTCATCTACTTGGACCTGGTCCCGTCAAGGATTTGATCCCCGGCAGCAGATGGAGCAAGCAAGTCATAGCTCTCGCACGTGCAGTCTGACTATCGATCATCATCGAGAGAAAAGATACCAGCCATGTACACACGCGGAAGAGATATCATATGGGTCGTTACGGGTACGTTGCGCTATCTGCCTGATTCAATCCTCAATCCTCTTGATCGAGCGGCTTGTCCGGCATCAACAAGAAGCTCGACCTCCTGCTATTGTTCTCCCTGCCCTGGCCGGGCCTGATCGTACCCTCCGAGGTGGATACGGCTAAAGACCCGGCGCTCGACTGCCGGCTCATCCTATCGTGCTGCGGACCTCCCTGCGACTTTCCCGCCTTTTGCTCCGACAACATCTCTTCCGTACTCTCCCCTCGTCCGAAGTCGTCCAGCCGGGGAGGTCGTCCTTCCATCGTCGGAGAACCGTCGCCCATAGTAGGGACAGGTTTCCTCTTCATACTGCTAGCCAACCCGGTACTATGCCGCTTGTTGCTCAGGCTCCTTCCGATTCCGGCGCCCGAGCCGAGCGTGGTCGATGCAACGCTGGCGTTTCGTTGCAACCCGGTAACGGCAGGATGACGTCCAGACGACGGGGTCGAGAGCGTATAATCATCCGGATGATAAGCGCGATCACGTTCACGCTGATCTCGTTCAGGATCGAACGGATAAGAATGCGCGTTCCAGCTTTGAGATGGGGATGTCGTGCTCGAAGGTGATGTCGACGACCCCGCGGTGGATCCAGAATTATCGTACGAACTGGGAGGAGGCAACCCAGCCCGACTGAGTCGTTTCGGCACATCCTGATTCTGACCCTTGTTCAGAACGGGAATGTTCAATCCGACGCCGGTATCGAGCGGAGCACCGAGTTGTAACCTCGTCAGCTCGATACCGCGATCGTCGCCACGCTGAGCAGCCCCAGTAGGGTTGTAAATCCCCATCCCGTACTTTTCCTCGTCTCCACTGCCTTTACCCTCGACCTCGTCGCTAGGCCTCGTCTGCCCTGCAACCTCAGTCGGGCTCCTCCAATTCGAACTCGTCGTACTCGCCGGCGTAATCACTCCCATCGGCCCAGAAATTTCCTGCTCGTTGTTGAACCCTCTAGCCGAACTCCTCTGACTATCCCGTTTACTCCGTCCGCCCAGAGCGGAGGAGAAGATCCCTTTCCACCCGGCCTCCCGATCTCTCCCGTCAAACATCCTTCGGCTAGATTGACTCAACCAGAGCGATTTCCTCTGCCTCTTTCTCCAGAACCAAAAGGCTACGAAGGCGAGGATCAAGGTCCCTACGATGGCGCCGATGACGACTCCAGCGATCGTACCCCCGCTAGCACCCGAAGACGATCCTCCTCCCCCATCAGCCCCAGCAGGATCCGGCTCGATATCGGTCGAGTTCAAGCAAGTCGGGTTGGCCCCGTTCAACACCGTAAACGGGGCCGAGGTCCCTAATACCTCGTCACCGTTGCCGTGTTCTGTAGCGTAAATGACATACCGCCCTAGAGGAAGCACGATCTGCGGGTAGTTATAGGCATTGGAAGAGGCTGTGACGAGGGTAATGTTCTTGTTGATAATCTTTGAGCCGGAAGGGATGGCTCGGGGGGACATAAAGCGTGGGGAATGTTGATGGGCTCGAGGAACGCTGAGCCCTCGGGCGGCTTGGGAAGCTGTTGAACGGGCAGCTGTGGTCGAGGTCGTCAATGCGGCAGCCGAGGTCGAAATTGAGGTCGAACTGGGTCGAGCCGAGGTAGACGAGGTAGTAGGCCTGGCACTCGACGTAGATGCGATAGCCGAAGAACTCGCTCTAGATACACTCGAAGCTGTCGATGAAGCTGCCGGGGAGCTAGAGGCGGAGCTACTAGAAGATCCACTCCCACCCGCAGGTATAGCCTGATCGATGTTCTCATTCGTGATGAACAGATCGATTAGCTCTGATCGAGCGGCCGGGGAAAGGTCTGCCGGGAGCGTCCATGTGAACCTAGATCGGAAAGGGACAGACGGTCGGTCATTGTGATCAGCTTGAAAGGTTGCAGGAAAGACGGAACGTCATCGAGCTTGTCTGATGGGAGAACAACGTACTTGACACCCGCACAAGCGTACAAGGAATTAGGAATGGAGTCGAATACGACGGCGACCTTTGTATTTGTCGCAGCCGGACTGGCAGACGAGCCCGTGATAGTCGGCGCTGTTGTTGTCGTACTACGACCAGCAGCGGCTGTCGAAGACGTCGCTAGTGATGGTGAGGTGGTGGTCGACTGAGCTCGTGCAAGGTCGGCTGTGATTGAGATCGTTGACGAGAGGAGAAACCAGACAGAGAGCCGCATGGTCGAGAATTGAGATCAAATTGTCTCGTCGATACTTGTCGATATTCGTTGACGGTAGCCGACGCAAGGGAGAGGACCTCTGAATCGATTCTCGACCAGCGAGTATATCGATCAAGGTGCTGCAAGACGAAGGCGATACCTCGTCGAGAGTTCCTTTCGTTCGTCTGACGATCGATATGATTCGGACCGAACGAAAAGGGGATATAACGAGAGCGTGAGATCCCTTTCGGCACAGCCTCGGGAGCCCTGGGATCCTGCTCCTATCGGCAAGAGGGAGGACGAGGAATGGCTATGTCGTCCTTGCTATCTGTTATATATGTCGTGGATGATCTGGTCGAGTGATGTTATATAGCCAGAGTCGGTCGAGCTGATGAAATGATCAAGGGGTTAGGTTGAAGTTGTGAAACGGGCCAAGTCCTCTCTTCCCTCTCCCCCGCAAACATCGGGATCAGAGGGGAAATCTGGGGTAGCGTAGCGTGTCTCACTTTGATGCCACCCCCGACGAAACAACAGAGGTTTGGAAAAATCGAAAGCTATTCCAACGAGTTGTATGACAAGCAAGCTACATCACCCGTATGATTACAACATGCGAACTGTCGTCTCTCTGCATGAACCAGAGGCGGATCGCATCCGCGGCATCATCTCTTGGAGCAGTGCATGAATGAGAGCCATCTTCTTGCAGCCAAATGATGCACAGCTCATCTGAAAAGAAACACACCAGTTGCGCCTGGAAGAGATCTAATGGACCGGGCGGAGGAATAACATACCAAGACCACTACGTCTTTGACGAGGTAGTCTGGTCAGAGGTCATTGGGTTGTTCGTGCATGCCGTTCTACAGGGACACGGGAGGTCGATCGAAGTACATGCATGTGATGCAAGACAGCCGGGAGAGTTGGGTCAGTCTTCGCCACGCACCGCCATGAGGACACCCTATATGTTCTCGACGAGCGATCGGTGGTGATCATAAAAGATTGAATCTAGAATTATATGTTATATTCATCTTGAGTTATATGATATAGCTGTTTTAATGGCCCAGCGGGAAGACGATCGTCATCTGGTTTCATTGGCGACCGCTTTCGATCCGGCCTTGAAAATCCGGACCCCCGGTCTTTTCCAGTCAATACACACGCTCACCTCTGCTCGACGTCCTCCCTCTCTCCATTCCCAACCTCCCTACTTTCCGTCTCCCTCTTCCCCCAGCTCTATTTTGGTCCTTGTCCTCTCTCTCATCCTGCAGCATATGCTGCATGTAAACGAGATCTTGCCACCGTCCAAACTTCTTGCCCACCTGCCCCAGTCTCCCGACGACCTCGAACCCAAACTTCTCGTGCAGCCTCAGGCTCCCTCCCGACTCGGCCCCTATGGCGGCTATCATCGTATGCATCCCCCTCTCCTTCGCCCAGTCGATCAAGTGGCCGAGCATGAGCGTCCCGAGCCCGAGTCCGGTCGAGCTTGGGTGACAGTAGATAGAGTTCTCCACGGTGAGAGAGTAGCCGGATTTGAGGTTGAAAGGTCCCAAACTCCCCACGCACAGGATCCCTCCATCGTCCTTCTCATCGCCCTCCGCTGTTTCCCCTGATCTCATCCCCTTGCCCCCGGGATCTCTGACGACCAAAACCGGATATCCCATCCCGAGCAACCCATCGTACCAAGCCCTCCTCGCCTCCAAGGAGATCGGCTCCGTCTCCCAATTAGCCGTATGATGCAGGATCGAGTGATTGTAGATCTCGTTGATGGCCGGGATATCCGCCGGAGTAGCCGGTTCGATGGAAAACCCAGAGCGGTATGAGGGAATACTATCAGTTTCGATCGAGAGGAAAGGATGAGCATGACCTCATACGGGCGATTGCGAGATGGGGACAGCAGTAACTTCGAGAGAGTTACAACAAAAGAAATGGAGACTCACGTTCTGGTCATCGCTGGCGGCCCTTTCTCCTCTTCCTTTTCCGATCAGATACAGTATGTAGGTTCGATTCAGAATCAAAACAGGAGCAGGAGAGATGAATCTGTCCTATCAGCTGTTTGTCGAGTGCTAACGTGCTAGATGCATCGTGCTTGAGATCTCCTCGAACCTGTCTCTCGAAACAATTCTTGACCCGAGACTCTTCGATGACCAGAGTCGTCTTCGGGGATCACCGAGCAACCTGAACCGCAACCTCGCAACTTAGCTGCAAGCGGGAGGACATTTCTGATTTCTATAGTTGTTGCGATCTTGATCGAGACGAATAAAATACACACAGGGCCACGCACGGGCCCTTTCCTTCCTTACAACGAGCCGGGGGGTAAAACCTGTGTTCGGCCCTCGCTCTCTTTCCTCTTGTCAAAGACCAGCCTGACCGTCCGACCTTTGTCGCAAACAGGCAGCTTTTACTGCTGGAACGCGTCGAAAGCGATGGGTACCTCATTGAACAAGTATGACTGTATGAAACAGGCACACGATATGGTCAGATATAGGTACATCTCACAGCAAGCAGAGCGAAGCATGATACTGACGACGGATTCACCAAAGTGACTGCGATGCATTGAGACGTGAACCCTCGCGTCAGCTTCTCCTTCCCATATTCGCCAGAACGACCGCTCGGACACTAAACACTCACCTCCTTCGGATGACCTCGGCCAGTACCAGACTGATATCCACAACCTCGATCTTGTCACACGCCGCCGCCTTCTCCCCCTGCGGGATCGTATTCGTGACGACCAGCTTTTCCAATCCGCTATCCCCGATCACCTGGAGCGCGGGCCCGCTCAAGATCCCATGAGTGACGACGGCATAGACCTGGGTAGCTCCTTCTTCCAACAACCTCTTGGCGGCCAGTCCGAGGGTCCCACAGGTGTCGGCCATGTCGTCGACGAGGATGGCGATCTTGCCTTTGACGGAACCGACGAGGACCATACGGGCGATCTCGGAGGCCTTTTTACGTTCCTTGTGGAAGAGGGCGAATTCGACGTTGAGTCGGTCTGCGATCGAGGTCGCTCTGGGTGGGTCGAGGAGGAAGGTCAGGCGCAAGGCTTTTTGGGATAGCGTCGCAACGACTCACCGCTTGGCACCACCAGCGTCGGGGCTGACGATGATGCAATTCTGAATGTCCAAATTTTCTCGCATCCAGTAGATCATTGATGGTTCCGCATAGAGCTGCATTACGAGCACGGATGTGAAAGAATGCCCTTTAGCACTGGCACTGACACACAACGCCGAAACAAGATCGAGACTCTAGGCTCACGCTGCAAAATCGAGGTGACATTGTCAACTCCGATTCGTCTCGATACCAGCACATGCCGGACTCACTTGTCTACGGGTACGTCAAAGAACCCTTGAATCTGACTCGCATGCAGATCCATCGTCTACCCTCGTCAAACGTTTGAAAAAAGGAAACCTCCGTCAGTTTTCCTCTTCCAATCTTCGCCCAAGTCCTTTTGCTCTCCGCCCGCACTCACGATAACATGATCACACCCAGCCTCCCTCAACATGTTAGCGACCAACTTGGCCGTGATCGGCGCCCTGCTCTTATCCTTCTTGTCCTGCCTAGCATAAGGGAAATGGGGCATGATGGCCGTCACCCGCCTCGCGGAAGCGATCTTGCAGGCGTGGATCATGATACACAGCTCGAGCAAGGAGGTATTGATCACCCCAGCGCCGGTGTTCATGATGTAGACGTCGTAGTCACGGACGGATTCTTGAATCTTGATCTTTGATTCTCCCGAGGGGGTTTGGGTGATTTGAGCTTTAGCGAGGGGGATCCGGAGGCTATATAATTCGGAGTAAACGTTTGGGAGGAGAGAAGATGAGAATTATGGTTACAGTCAGCATAAGAGAAAGGAGCAAAGCAGGGGCTGGTGGAAGATGCTCACCGTTTCGCAATCAACTGTGCCAATTCCGGGTGACTCGACCCTATTGTATGTTCGTCCGGATTTCCAGGAGATAAAAATTGGCACATAGATTATAAGAGGTCGGTGGTTGTAATTTTGAAGGTTGTTGTCGTTGTGAAGCACAAGCAGAGTGTGGATGAGCGAGCCGTTCTCACACCCTCAACTGCATTGCCGAACGGACTTTAAAAGACCGTAGGCCTAGCAGTTGTACTTACCGGAAAAAAGCTTGATCGTGGAATAAGCCGCTGAAGACATGATGTCGACGAATAAGAGCTCCCCAGTTTAAAACTTGGAAATCAGATTCCGGACGGTCGAGGATGTGCTCGCTCCAGCTAGCTACTTCGGTCGCTCGTTATGCGCTCGAGCGGTTCAGATAGTCTGCACGGTTCCGGAGCGTATCGTAAAGGCAGGGAGAGCTTCGATGAGCTTCCTGACGAACAAGTGATAGTTGACGACGCACTCGGACTCGAAAGCCGTGGATCTCCTACCAGTTGTGGATTCAACCTGGGTCGTTTGCAGTGGAACAAGACTGGGCAGAGCTCTGCTGGCTATATGATGGTACACAAGCTAGGTCTAGCTATATTGATGTGGTCAATTGGGGTCGGTTCATGCTCATCAAAACAACAAACGTTCTTTCGAACCCAACTCTCATGCTCATTCGGGCCAAGCAATCAACCTCGAATCCCCCAGCTTGAAAGTGAACCGAGCGGTGATCACGGGAAATTTGAGCAGAGACTCCGAGGGAACCTACTGGGTCGGCCGGGGGACTGGCATGCCGGCATAATACACGTAATCTCAGCACCGGAAGTATCCGGAAGCTATTGAGGGTAATTGGGGAATGAATGCCGATGAGGGAGAGACGTCCGGCTGATCGAGACCTGATCGACGTCGACGTCCTCATCATCGTCGTGCCATCCATCGACAACCTCGTCAGTTGTCATTCACTTCAACCACTTTGTTGTAGCAGTAAGGCTCGAGGTTAGAGCTCGACAACACCACTTGGCGACGCCGAAACAGCTTGTCGATTGTCGACAAACACGGTTGCGATCACCATCACCGTCGTCCGGAAGTCGAAACCGTAAACAAATACCACGGTCGATTAGCTTTTGAACTTTACTCGACCGTAACAACACGAACACACACCTAAAATCGGCAGATCTGGGCTGCTTTCAAAAGCTCACAGGACGCTCTGGGGCGGAGCTGGGGATGTCGAAGCGGTAGAGAACTCGACTGGACATCATTCCACGTCGATCTGGCCGGGCAATAGACCGAATTCTGGCAATTCCGTACTTCGAGCTAGGAGCTAGATATCCCATATACAACAAGCACAACGACCAAACATCGACAAAGGTCTTCCCGAAATGAGCTCTGCACGAAGTACCACCTCTGCGTCTACTTCGACGGAGGATCCGCCTACCCGGCATCTCCTCCCCCTCCCCTCGCTCACTTCCAAGCTCCACCTGACCCCTTACACCCATCCCACCCCGACTTCCTCCTCGACCCCTCCACCTCTGCCTCCTCGTTCCCGGATAGATCCATCGATGATCCAAAAAGAACCACCGCTCCCCTTAAGCAGGTTAGGGGTCAAGGGTCTGGTCAAATGGGGGAGAGATAACTGGGCGGATGTCGGCTGGTTTCTAGGGAAGAAGGGGTGGGACATCGGATGGAGTCTGGTCAAGTATGGAATTTGGGGACCGCCGAGACCTAGTTGGGGGATCGAGTGAGTCTTCTGAAATGGTTTCTTCGGACCAGATCGGTGATAGCTGACCTATCCTCGAACGCTCTCTGTCTGTCTTCCGCTTCTAATTTCGATCACCCTGATTCACCTCACGTTCACCGACCCTGTCCCTGATCCCCGGACATTGCAGGATGACAACAATCGCAGCGATCATGCGGAACCTAGGCCAACACTCTTCCTTGGCGGATATTACGCTCATCAGAAACTTTATCTCGATACACCATCTGTTGCCACTACCGCCCGATGCGATCGTCACGCCCGTGCGATTCGAGGTTAGGAAGAGGGAAGGGGATGAAGAGGGGTTGAAGGGGTTCTTGGCGTGAGTACGATGATATCGATAGAGGCCTGATTTTCAATGATAGGGAAGCTAACGGTCGATCCCTTTACATTTCTTCCTGTTCTCTCCATCTGCGATGTCAACCGTATTGTCGTATCTGCGGCTTTCGGTCTCATTTCACTTTGCCTGCACGCTAACAGCAACCTAGATGCAGAAGAAGACGGCATCCGGACCCTCTCCGGCGAATGGGTCGTCAACAAGTCGGTCTGGAAACGACTACGTTCAGAGGCACGCGAGAGGGAGGCAGAGAGGCAGCAGCGCAGGAGGGAAAGATCGACCGAGGGGGCCGCAGCGGGTCTCAATGCGAGTGGGAGCGGGAGTGGGACTGGGCGAGCGGGTGGGAACGATGCGAATGAGCGTGGTGGAAGTGGAAGTGAAAGTGGCAGGAAAACCGGGTTGGTGCTTGATACTAGCGTCGCTCCGGCCAAAGATGAAGGAAAGGGAAAGACGGCGAGGGGGAAGAAGGAGGAGAAGGTCATTTATTATATCCATGGGGGTAAGTCGGACAGGATTCACAAGAGTACGATTGTCAACAAGAGCTGATGTTATGTTTTCGGTCGGCTTCGCGCTCTGTAGGAGCTTATTACGTCGGACAAGCTACGACGCATCGAACGATCACCATCGCGCTTTCGAAACATTGCAATTGTCGGGTTTTTGGTAGGTAAAAGTTTCAGGCGGATGGCGTGCGATCACAAGGGCTGATGCGAGATCGTCTCGCAGCCATCAATTATAGGCTGGCGCCCGAGGTCAGGTTTCCGGAACCTTTGTTGGACGTTGTTTATGGGTACTTCAGATTGGTTGAGGATCTGCGTATCGAGCCGAAGAATATCGTGCGTTCCCCTTACTTGTCTCGTGCGTCCTCCTTGAGCGGCCCTAGCTGACTGCTTTACCCACAGATCGTCATGGGAGACTCGGCCGGAGGCGGACTATCCCTCGCACTGGTCATGTACCTCAGGGACGCGGGCTATCAGAACCTCTTGCCACGAGCGATGGTTTTGATGAGTCCCTGGGTGGATCTGACGATGAGCTGTGGGAGCTGGGATGAGAATGCAGAGTTTGACGTCGTGCCCATACCCGGACAGGAAGGTCGGTCTGGCGCCAAGATTTGGTGTCGATCATTGTTTGCGAGCGATGCTGATAGTTGTGAATAATGATAGACCACCTGAATCCGGTGTCTTGCTATCTTGGACCCGAGGGAATCAAGAAATACCTCACGCATCCTTACGCCTCGCCATTGTTCGGAGACTTTACTGGCTTACCTCCTATGCTCATGCAAGCGTAAGCAATTCACACAATGCATCTCCATTCGCTCAAGTTGCTGACTCACTGTCTGCTGTCGCATAGTGGCGACGCGGAATGCCTTCGCGATGAAATTACGCTGTTGGCTTATAAAGCTACACTCGCCGGGGTAGAGGTTCAACACGAACTGTATATCGACCAAGTTCACGTCTTTCAATCGTTCCCCTTCTTGGAAAGCTGCGGAGTCGCCTTCAAATCGATCGCCAAGTATGTCAAAGGGCTACAAGAGACGGGTCCGAGCCTTCTTCCCCAAGCTTCAGAGAAACCTGTCCCGCACATCCAGACGACTCTTCCAGACCGATCGGCACCCCTCTATACACCCGTCGACGAAGATACCGTGGCCTCGGAGATGGCGCTTGGCGAGACCAAGCTCGTCAAATCGGATGGGACCGAGGTCGATATCGATGAGGCCAAGGATGACGAGGTCGAGGGTGTCAACGAAAAGGCGGAGCAGATCTTGCAGGAGACCATTGATAAGGAAGAAGCAGAGGAAGAGGAGGAGGAACAGCGAGATAGCTTGTCGCCGCTCGCCAAGAGTTCGGCTTTGCTGCCCTTGGTGGACGACGAAGGAGAGGGACGAAACGAACAAGGTGAACCTAGCATCAGCATCACCCACGCATCGGAAGAAGATATCTCGGGATTGCCTAGAGCCGCCTCGCCACAGAAACCGTTCATGAGACGAGCCCTCTCTGGGTTCGCTCGAGCACGTCCGGAAAGTCCGCAATTGGTCAGGAGGACATCGGGATCGTCCTTCTTCTCCTTCTCCGCTGTCAGGCCGACCACGTCCATCAGCAACACTCTTGGCGCTCAGGATCACCAACTTCCGCCTTCATCGCCTTCCACGGGCGCAGCACACTTGCCTTCATCGCCATCCTGGCCTCCACATACCACCGCCCGTGGCCATCGACCAACCATCTCGCATCAACTGGCCCGATCGCCGGTCGTTCCTACGACCCGCGCTCGGTCTTCAAGCCATTCGGACATGATCAACCTGGTCAACGGATACAGTCAAGGAGGAGCGGCCATTCGTACGGTCGTCTACTCGCCCGGCCCCGTCAAGGCCACCACGGTGGTTCAGAACGACACCGATCTTCACGACGCGCCTCTCGATCTCGATGTCGATGCGCAGACGACCCACACCCATGCCCACGGGGATATCAAACCCGGCGGTCTCGGCCTGCACACGCAGGGTTAACGACATACTTTATGATCTCGAGAAATTGATAGCTCTACGCATACGTACCGAATGTACAACATCGTCGTGGTCATTTTATCTTTCTGGGTTTCCCTTAATCATGTATTTTGTATGGTTACTAGTCTACCCAGCATGTCAGCCGTAACAACATCGACCGAGCCAGTCCACGAAGTCCTGGATATAAAGATGAAACGCAAGGAATCGTCTGTTTTGCTATTTTTAGTCGCTGCTGACGACGACGACGCGGGATGACGTTTGCGCAAAAGTTTGGACGGGGTCGACTTGCAACTTGAACATCTACTAGTAGCTAGTAGTAGCTAGTAGTACATAACTACCGTACTCGTTGCACAACTTGCTACTCGCCGGAAGAACACACAGGGAGATCCTCTACAATATGGCCGTCACTTACTCGGAGGCCATCTCCCGCATATCAAATTACCTCGACCAGCGCAACAAAGCCACACCGAGCAGCTCGTCGTCGTCGTCAAGCAATGGCGACGTACTGGTACGTCTTGAAAAGGCCGTGGGCAGGACATTAGCAAAAGACTATGCGGCAACAATCGATGCTCCGCCGTTTGATAATTCCGGTCAGTTCAGGCAAGACGGTGCAAGACTGACGTGTTGATCTTTGGCTGATGTCTCATTTCGCCTCGGATTGTAGCCATGGACGGGTACGTTCTCTCATCAAGCAAGACCGCTGCCGCGTCCCCTTCAAATCCCTTGACCTTCCAAGTATCAGGCTCGATCGCTGCCGGTGATTCTCCCCTCACCCTTACGGACGACGATCAAGACGAAATGAAATGTTACGAGATCATGACCGGAGCGCCTTTTCCCCTGTCCAACGGGATGGGTTACGACGCTTGTATACGACACGAAGCCGTCACCTACGCTTGTCAAGATTATGATCAGAGTCAGGATGGAGTTCAAGCTGGGCCGTCGACTTCGGATACATCCTTCCCTCGAGCGAAGAGAATCACCCTCAACGCGCCCGTCCCCCCTAGGTCGAATCGCAAAGTCGCCGGAGAAGATTTCCGGACAGGCGATCTTCTCGCTAAGCAGGGGACTGTGATCACACCGGGGATCGTGATGGTGCTGTCTTCGACGGGCGTTGAGAGGGTGCTGGTACGAGCTAGAGATGAGGATGAGGAAGGAAAGGGACGAAGACGAAGGTTATGCATAGGGATCTTGACCACCGGAAAGGAGGTTGCCAACAATCACAACTTGCCCACCGGCACTTTACGACCACAATCTACTTCTGTATCGCTCGACAGCAATACCGACAACCAAGCAACAGTAGCAGCAGCGACAACAACGCCGATCTTACAGAAAGGACACATTTTCAACTCGAACGCCCCTTACCTTGTCTCCACCCTAGATTCATGGGGTCACGAACCCGTCGTGATCCCCGCACCATCACAAGACACTCCTGAAGCTTTCCAAGAAAGACTCCGTACTGCCCTCCCGCTTGATCTTGACCTGATCATCACCACCGGCGGTGTATCAGCCGGGAAACATGATTACGTCCCTTCCTCTGTTGTCGATCTGGGTGGGAGAATCGTCTTTCATAAAACAACCATCCGACCGGGATTCCCCGTCATGTTCGGCGAGATCCCTTCAGATGAGAACGAGACTAGTGGGGTCCCGATTTTCGGACTTCCAGGGAATCCGATTGCCGTAGCCGCCTGTCTGAGGTTTTTGGTCACCGTCTTCTTGACACGGTGCAACGCCGCTCAAGCTCCTTCTTTGGGTCTCGAGGTCGGCAGGTTGTTATCACCCGACTTTTCTGCCCGTCAAGGTAGTTCACCCGCTACGGCCGGGTGTGGAGTGGAAAAAACGCCACAGGACGTGACGGGCCAGAAGGAGCATCGGGCGAGGTACCACAAGAAACCTCTGATGACCCGGTGCTTCCTGCCATCCAAGCTGCATCGATCACGCCCGGTTGATGCTGTTTCGGACACGGATGAACGCGGCGCGACGGTGCCAGGGCTGGACATGCTTCCCTGGGTCGAACCGCTCACCCGATCGGCCTCGTTGACCAAGGCGATGAGCGAGGCGGACTGCTGGGTTGTCTTGCCGGAAGGCAAAGAAGTCTTTGAGCCCGGCGAGATCGTCGAGGTCGTCAGCATGAAGCCAGAATAGGAAATGCAGGGTCTTCGGACACATTTCATGTATATCGTGTGCGACCCGGAAAAAAAAAGTCAAAGTCGCTAGTACAGCTAGTACACACCGATGGTATAATATGCGTACGGAGAAGAAAAGACCCCGTGTACGAGGTGGTGTAAGGGGTATATGAACAACGGTCCAAGACGTGTATAGATCCGTTTGTTCCAAGAGCGAAAAGGCGAAGGGTGATGATGGGAGACGATCGTCCGTTGAGCGAAATCGCACGACCTGCAGGCATCGGGGCGAGTCTTTTCTGTTCTGGTTTGTTTTATCGTTACATGGTCGTTAATGCTGGCTCCGAAAGGTTCGTGTATGTGTTGATTCGGTGGCGGGCTCGTTGGCGAAGATCTCCCCATGCTGTTTTCGTGTATTATGAGCGAGAGGAGGGAGTCGGGGCCAGAGCGGCGTGCCAGGGGATTGTGATTGAGTGTTATCGGATTCGTGTGTGTTTTGGTAGCGGTCTGGTCGACGGTCGTTGTATCAAGCAAGTCGTGGTTTCAGTCTCAAGTTACCGGTCGTTGTGCAGTGAATGCGGCGTGCGTGTATGGCCATCGAGACTCCGCGACGAACGACTCGGTACGTTCTGGTTTTGGTGTGCCTGATGTTGGTGTTTGTTTGTCGAGCCCTGATGGCCCAATCTGACAATGACATATCATTGATTCCCGGTCGGCGCGGGTGAATCGTCGTCGGTGCGCAACCACTTTTCCCACGCGACGTCGACTGGAGTGTTTCCCTCCGAAGTCGGGGTAGGTAACGTCCACTTGTCTGGGTTCATAAAGGAAGACGTCGCACGTTGCAACAAGGTTGGTCGAGTTTTGCTCATCATCTCGTCGACAAGCCCGAGCCCAGACCCAGGCTCTCCTTGAGGACGCTGGGCGAGGGCCTGTGTGGTATAATCGGGTGGACCGGCGGGAGAGGACATCTCGACGACGTCCCGCGGGTCTAGAGGCATGTTCATCAACATTTCCCCTCCCAGTCCGAAACTCGGCAAGAAACCGGGCGTCAGGGGGTCCAATCCAAAATCCCGGGGGTCCTTGAAATCGCCCTGGATGTGCAGGTCCCTTTGTGACGACGCCGGAGTACCCAGCTCGGTCATGGCCAGGCTGTTACCCGCCATCAATCCGGACGAGCCCCCCGTCAACCCTTCATGTGTACGACAGCCAAGGCTGGCGCCCGTCAAGCTGGTCAGTCCGGCGCTGCTCGTAGTCCCCAACGCCGCATCGGCCGAAGCGTGGTGCCTCGATCGTCCGTGTTGTTGTTGAGCGTGTTGTTCGGCATAGTGCACATGATGATGATGATGCTGCTGCTGGTGGTGATGCTGCTCGGGCATGTATACCGGTGAGGAATGACTGGGCAAGGCGATAGGGAGGTGTGAAGCCGAGACGAACGCCAGCGAGTTGCTCGAAGGCGTCGCTTGCAGGACCGGCCTCGTCGCTATCCTCGCCGTCATGTTGGTCATCGTCAACGTCGGCGACGACCACTGTCTAGCCCTCACCGCCGACGAAGAGGCGGAAAGTCCTGCCGAGCTCGATCCCGTCATCGCCCGTTTACGTCTCCTGCTCTCCTCGATGGCATTCCGATTCGCAGGGGGTTGACTCAAGGTGAACCCGCTCGACCCACCGGACGATGACGAAGAGCCGTTTGATGATGATCCTCCTGCCATCGCGCCCATACTCTTTGTCCCGACAGCTTGACCAAAGTTTATCCCACCCTTGTTCACAAGTTGAAGGTCGCCGCGGTTCATCTCCTCGAAAGGTGTCGGCACAAAGGCCAAGCCGGGAGTGACCAACGGGCTGACATAATGACCCGTCTCTAGTTGGCCGTGTTCGCCATGTCCATGACCATGGTCGTGCGAATCGACTCTGGATTGTCGACGATGTCCATGACCATGACCATGTCCAAGACTCTCGGCCTCGTCTTCCGAAACGACCTGCAGACCTTGCGCCGAGTTTTTCCTCGACCTAGGTAGTTGCAGTTGGAAGGGCTGTTGCTGTTGCTGATGTTGCTGGTGCTGTTGGTAGTCGCGATCGTCCGCCGTGACAGGTCTTTTGGCCCCCTTGACCTGCCCGTCCGAGGCTTTCAGCCCAGGACCCCCTGATCCGGCCCCGCCAGCGACCACTCCACCCTGCTCCAAAGACGCCCTCAACACCTTTCTCCGTCGTTCCAACAACCCAGGTTCTTCCGTATACCTTCTCTTCCTACCCCTCGCGGCCCCTATCTGCTCCAACCCCAGTCCTGGTCCTTGTCCCTGTGGGCCTTCTTCTGCGTCCGACAAATTTCCAAGCGCGGATTCATCTTCTGCCTCTTGACGGAGCAAGACAAAACCCGGGTTCACACCCCCGATGTACCGTTTATACCCCTCGAGGTACCAAGCTGTCAAGTGTTCTTTATCCCTTTCTGCGAGGGCTTTGAGGTCGGTGTACATCTTGCCTTGAGGTTGAGCTTGGGGTTGGGTGACGGATTTGCCGGAGGGGGCGGGAATATCGGAGGCAGCAGTTCTGGTATTGTGGCTCCGGGTCTGGTTGTTGGTAGGGTTGACGACCCCCAAAGCCGAGCTCGTCGACCCCGAGATCTCTTCCGAGAGGATGGACGACAAGTGCGTGGACAACGACGCGTGGTAGGCTTTCAAAGTCGGACGAGATGTCGTCGTCGCCGTTGGTATCGACGCTGATGACGAGGTCGAACCCATCCCCCGTGATTGCGAGTGACCTTGGCCTCCCGCTACGGATGTTGATGAGGTCGTTGAGAATGCCGGTGGCATGGAGAGCGTCATGCCGAAACCCATCTGATCCGACAATCCCTCTCTCTTTGCTCGGGTCTCGACAAGTTGAGATAGATACACAAGGGGTGTGTGTGGTGTCTTCAGATCGAACCTATGAACATAACATGATAGGCCAGAAGCAGAAGAGAAGAGGAGCGACGATAAGCCAAGCTATTCGAGGAGACCCGATCAAAGGAACTCTCTTGCTATCATCAACTTACCAGCAGTGAGATGTAAGAGAAGAAACCAAAAGTCTCCCGGGTGAGATCCGTCTGCTTGTACTGGTCCTCTCCTTTGTTGCAGGATCCACGAACTGCCAAGCGTCTATACACCACGTAACCAGATACCGTGTATCGATTCAGACCTGAGCTGGTCGAACCGGCTAAAGACAGATGGGTGACAGCCAGTACCACCAAGATGAGTACGACGTGGAAGGGCAAGAGGTCCCGGCGTTGAGAGTGGCCAGATGATCCCCGGGTCGTTACTTCCGTCGACGAGAGGGTAGAGTTTGGCGGGTGAGCGGGCGTTGTTTAGTTTGGCGTGATCGTCGGGATTTTCCGCGAGGTGGAGAGGAGGATGAGATGGGGAGGACAAGAAGGTGGGATGGGGTGTGGAGAGGATGAGATTGAGAATGAGGACTAGGACGAGAAGTGGTGGTGTGTGTGGCTATGGTCGATGTGTTATCTCCTTTGAGCAAGAGAGTGGGTGGGTGTGTGTGTGATTACAGGTGAGAGAGTGACCTTTTTGGGAGAAACAGTTCTCGGCTCGCACGTCGCCGAAGCAACGAGCAGACGAGGATGAGAAAAAGTCCCGCAGTCCCTCCCTCCCCCTCCCTGCCCCTGCCTCTGCCCCGCGCGCGCGCGTTTCCCTCTCGATCCGCAGCTTGAAACGCTCGACATCGAATCCCGCTTCCTCGGCAAATCCGCTCTCTTTTCGAATACGATCGAGTTTGACAACAACGCACTATATATATATACCGACCAACCGGACAAGGTCGGGACCATCGCGACGAGACGTCGAATGCGTGTTGGCAGTGATATGGTTCACACTGGACATGGATGAGTGGCAGAGAGTCGTGAACGAGGACAAGCAGACGCGACGTTTCACCCCGACCAGCGACCCTACGGCCTGGATTCGGGTGTGAAGATGTATGTCCGCCGCAGCATGTGATACACTATTCATGCTACCCGATTAAAGTAGATACATCAGCGCATAGTCTTGCATTTAAAAGACCAGCGGTGCGCCACAAGTCAAGTCAGCAGGGCTGTGAGCTGTGTGGGTTTCCGCCACGCGCGCTAATACTCGAGCGCAACGGCCGATCCATCGATCATTGATGCGATATCATGAGGTGCTTTGACACGTGTTCTACCATCAGTGTGTCCTTTAATCAACACGGCGCAGCCATGATAATCGTCAGGGAACACGAGTGAAATGAAGAGCAAATGCGGGAAAGACTCTTGAAGATGGAGACCGTCTTCCTTGATCTTCCCCTTCCAGTCGCTACTCGTACCTATACTCGTAATGTGAACGGGCATAATGATCTCTATGTTGCGGATAATGATGATGATTCTAGTATCTCCCGCATACCTCTTCACGGTAAGGTCGGATCGTCCTGCTCCGACGTCGTTATCCCCTGATGCCCGGGGCACAGCACTGCATACAATCTACACTGGTAGACCCCCTCGACCGCCTCGTACCGATCGGCGCGACAACAAGTTTCAAAATACGACAGTATATCATCGCAACATGCCCGTTCAAGCACAAAATTATCGATCCGAATATAAAATCTGGGGGACCTCCACTATCGATAAGCCGCACGATGCGTTTCATCAGCGCAGAAACGTAAAGCCTTCCGAACTCGATGTCAACCTAACATACAACCATCTATTCAGCGACCTCATGCTGGTACGGTATGATGATGTTGTTGTTGTTGTGTGATGGCTCTGACCCCTACGTACAGACTTCCCGCCTTCTTCATAACTCTGCTACACTATAAGGCTCTCTTGAAACGGTCCGCAACATCGCATCCCGTGTGGGACGCAGAGTCAAGATCCATTTTTTTTGTGTTTCAGATTGTGTCTCAGGACATGGACGCAAGAACGACAAGGATGACTTGTGTACAACTTTTGTCTGGACTCGTTTTTTGTTTAAATAAGTCGAGGGCGATTCAAGATCAGCAACGAGGGGCTTTCGACTGATTCGTGTTGGAGGGCCGGCTGTGTAGGGAACCTGAACCAATAGGAAATGGTCAGTTGAGAGCTACTGGACGCAGCTCTTGCCACACGTTTTATCCAGGCAAAAAGGTTCCACTTCTCGTGTTCAATTCTGATGCGGCAACCTTTTCAGGAGATGTATGGGACACCCGGTAGTGAAGGTAGCCTGGAGTCATCTTGATCTCCTTGAACTTGGTGGTGTCAGGCGACACCTTGGCGTCGACCTCGAGTCCCATGCTTTCTTTTTTTTTTTGTCACGACAACGTTATTGATGGTCCCGCCCTTGAGATCGCGATTGATACCTGCTTGATGTACTCGATCAGTTGCATGTCGATTTGAAATCAAGATCCTCGTGATATCTTATACGTCGGTTCTGCTGTCGCCAAGCCTGATCCTCTCCCAAAACCCAAACGTCAAGCGCAAGAGTTTCTAGATATGACAGCTTCGAATGTATACGTTAAGAGGTCTAAGTGCATACGGGCTCGAAATGTACCGCAGTACCAGAGGACAAGAGCTTGTGCGTAGCAGCCGAAAGTAGAGAGACCTCATGTATCTTTGACCGGCATGACCTGTTGCCCAGCACATATCCCGACTGTCAATCCAAGGTGAACATGAATCCGTAAGTATCCTGTTCTCAAACACGTTTCCCTGGGTTTCTCAATCAGGCTCTCGCCTCGACTTGCTCGATCACACGAGCAGACGCAAAACTCGGTCTTGCAAAGAACGTAAATGAATTCATTTTGATACGATTACAAAACACGGGAAGCGAGATCGTTAAAGTAGTAGCAAACCCCATAATCCCAACCACCCCGTTACCCAGTTCGCGTCTTTCGTTCAGAGCGAGGTCATCTCAAGTGCCGTCCTCATGCTATCCATCCAAGTCGCATAAAGGAGGCAGACCGCAGATTGCAGTGAAAGATGATGAGGGGGTGTGGTGTGAAGCTGGGTCGCGGTGAGGTTGTGCGAGGTGGAGAGACAGGGAGAAGTGGTTTCTTTAGAGTTTCATGGCGTCGGCGTCGTTCTGGGATTTCAGCTCGGCCCTGATAAAAAGGGAAATCAAGGATGAGGCGTCAGCTTTGCGTCAGGTGAACTTGTGGCCCAGAGTCGAAGGGGACGAGCAATATCGCTTAGAAGGAGGGGTGTCGATGATTGCGGGAATGACCACGGCTCGTTTGGCTTGGATGTGGATGATGTCGATTCGTTATCGCGGGACCAGCCTAGATGTAGGAAAAGCTCTTGCCGCAGCTCGACACTTGATAGTCGTGTCACGGTTCTGTTGCCCTGACGCCATCCCTACCGACACCTATCCAAATCCAAACCCGATCCGCCACCGACTTCGAGATACTAGATCCGAAATTCGACTTACCTCAACTGCTGCACGAACGGCGGCTCCTTATCATCATCGTCCCAGTTATCCTCCCAAAGCTGAGCTCCCACTACAGCTGCAGCTCCATTCGCACCCGCTCCTCCGGCTTGATTGGTCTGCTGTTGAGCTTGTTTTGTCAGGACGGCGAGGGTCGTTTGCGATTCGTCCCAGTCTAAGAGGAAGGGTCCAGGTCATAGCGAGGCGAAGCTTAGCTTAATGAATGTCTCCAGGCTTCGAAGAGTTCTAGAGGCATACCTTCTACAGGGAACTCCTACAAAAGACGAGACCGTACCCATCAGTCGCCCGCTCCAACCGATCGCGTTGACTGAAGACATCGACTGCTTACCTCGAACTCGTCATCTTCCTCGAGCGTTCCAAGCTGCTCCAACGGTTTCTGCTCTACGGCCGCGCTGTTGGCCACGGAAGTCGAAGGTCCAGGTTCGGATGCGTTTGCTGACATGTTCGTGGATGGTTCGTCTGGCTAGTATAGCTGGACGGTGATACATTTTGAGTGTTTAGTATGTGGTTCTGATTGACGAGATCAGCTTCGAGCGAGATGGTCGACGATGTGACGAAGCGTCTTGGCGGACATTACTGGTTATTTTCTATGTCCACCGACATGATCTTACCACAGATGCCCCTTCCTTTGATCCCCTTGTCTTTCCCAAAGAGGCAACTTGCGCGACTTGGGGGTGAATTTCCCAAAACGGTAGAGACAGGGGGGCAAGGGGGGGAGATGACGGAGCTCGAACGCGCGAGAAGGGCAAAAACAATGGGCAGCTGGGCAGAGAAGGTCTTATCGGATCCAAACTTGCCTTCCGCGCGTATATAACCTCGTCACAAGGAAAAGCGACCAAGTCACGCCCGCGGGGATACGAGGCTTGCATCATCGTTTCATCAGAAATCAACAGACAACCACTACAATCGACCGTTTACCCACCCCTCAGGTTCTGGTATCATCCTCCAATCCCCTCGCTCTACAACTCTCAGACCTTGAATGGCGAACACGGCCGGGCTTTCCCTCGCAAAAATCGGATCAACAACCCTCCTCCCACTCGACCACGAATCAGTGGCGTCGCAAGTGATGCAACGAATACAAACACGCAAATCGAAAAAGACGGGCAGTATCACAAGAGAGAGCTTGGCAGAAAAGAGATGGACGACTTTGAAAGAGAATGAAGGACGAGACCAGAGACGATCTTCCCCCTCCGTAGCATGCTTTCGTCTTCCCTCCACCCACACACCTACACACACACAAACGCGCACACACAGAGATTCGTGTCAAAGGGAATCGAACACCTCTAGGGGTATCGGCTCCCTTTGTCATGACGATCACGACGATGGCTTTTCGAGCAGTCGAGAACGAAGATTGAGGCATACGTACGACGCACAGCATGGCAAGGCGAGTATACTCGCTCCCGCTCAACGAACGGGAGTGGGAAGAAAGAGCGTCATCGTATCACCTCTTGGTTCGAGATCGAAACGTCGAAGACCTAGTCGGAAAGTATAAGAAGGCAAAAAGTATAAAACCGTTATCGCATGGGGGCTCCAGACACAATGGTATCAAGCTTGACCTCGACCTCGTTTTCTTGAAACCGAAGTGAGCTCAAACTTTATTACTGTTCTGTCACTACAACGTGTGTGCAGGTGCAAGTGGGATTTATCATGGGGGGAACGACGGAAGCAGGGCCTATGGGTATGTGGCGTTGCCTTTCGTTCAACTCTCGGTAGACTCGATCCCTATTACCCAAGAAGTTAGTATCTCCTTTTCTATCCTCGGTCGGGACCTTGCCATACCTCGAAAGAGCGGGTTTATTGGCACCTATTTTCCCTCTTCCTTTTGCTCTTCATCTTTTGGGAAGTCTCGGTGAACCTGACGGGGCGTCTTCTGGAAAATCGGGGCGTGATCCGGGTCGTTCGGTCCGCTCCTGATCTCATCAAGGACGTCGCGTCTGGTCTCCTCAAGAAGCGCGCGCTACGCCACGAACAAACGAAACACACCTACCCTCGGCGGTACGGTTCGGTGACGTCTTACACGACGATAACGATGACGATGGCTTTGGCTCGTGCCAATGAAGGGGATGTTGAGTGTTCTGGCTAGAATGTCAGTAAGCGATCCTTCGATTATTACTACGTTCGCTCCCCCCCCTCTTCTTCGGGTTCGGTCTCGTAGGGCTGCACCGCGAGGTCGGATACCACTCCCTCCCCTCTCAAAATTGCAATTGCAAGGAGAACATCGTTGACTCAACCCGAGCTTTGATATTTTACCCTGCGATGCACTCTATCTACCCTTAAATCACGGACGACAACTCGATCGCAACCCTCGAATGACGAAAACCAAACGCTTCTTCCTCGCTTTATTATCGTTCGGAATTTCGACATCACATTACCAACCTAGACAGGGAGATCGATGATTTGGTAAGAGGATCGATTTCAACCCTCTGCACCTACGGGTCAGACTGGGGACGATCGGTCTCTCGCGCTACACCACATCGGTTTCCACCTATGACGTGCTTCCTCCCTGTTCGCAAGCAGGGCTATCGGAACGCTTCAGGTGGAGGTCGCTCAGACGCTTTTGTCTAGCAACCTCTCTCGCGCGGTATGTGAATCGGGAATTCTGAACGTAGAGAGACGGAGCAAGGTTATACGCAATCGGGTTTCGGTCCAGGTATATAGTCCTCCGCTCGCCATCCCTCGTACAATACGAATCACTCCCTTTCCCTTTTGCTCCGGCATTGCTGGCAAGTACGATCGACCTCGCCTGGTCTCCGTCTCTTCGAGTGAGCGGGCCGGGTAGGCTCTTTCGGAAAGCCTGTTGATCGCAGCATGGGGATTGGGATAGAGCGGAGATCCAGTTTTTGCTGGACAAACTGAGAGGCCCAGGTCGATCACCCTTTCTTTTCCCGTCTTGGGGAGGAGGAGGGCGGTCGATCTGGGCTTTTTTTTTTCGCCAAATTTTTCATGTAATACACGTCACAATGGTTTAGTTTTCTTGATAGATTTTCGGCGTAGATAAGCCGTTCGCCTACCCCACTTGGCCAGTGCCGCCGGTTCGCTTCGAAGGTCGACCGCCAACGCACATCTCATTGAGCGACGTCGTCGATTTTGGATCAGCTGTGCTCGCGCTGTGTCAGACATGTGATGTTGATGTTTGAGTTCGCCACAGTAGCGAGTTTCGGTTGGATACAGTACGCCACGTCCCCCGTCGATGAAACCTTGCCACTTCTCGCCTGGAAACAGAGCTTCGTTCGAAACTGATCCTCGCAGTCGCCTGACTGTCTGACCCCCTGACTTCCTCGTGACCGCCCCGGACCGGACGAATGGCAAGCTCGCAAATGCGTTGCCCCGATCACCTGGACTGCGGCTGTACGACTTTGAATCTGGTGAGACGCACTGATGAACAAACAACAATACACCGGTCGGATTTCTTCGGTCGCCTGTGCTCTTCCGTATCTCGCACGTTCCGGTCCGTGGCATTGCAGATCCCTCCTGCGGCGATCGGGGGAAGATCATCGCGCGACCTGAGAAAGGGACGAAGGGTCTCCCCGAACCTTGTCCTTTCCCCGAAAGGGCCATGCGTCCTGCTTGTACTGGCGTGATCGTATCGCATGCACATGACGAGGTGTGTTGAGTGAAAGCGCCGCGGTTTCCCCTCGTCCGTACCGTCCGTCCGCCATAACCATTCCTCCTTCCGACCTCGCTCGCGAGATTCATCGGTCAGACATACAACCCATATGCGCCGGGAAGCCTCCGACGACATACGACCCTGTGTGCGTGCGCAGCGAAAGCCCTGCGCCCTGGGGGAGATCTGGGAATGGTAGCATGGCTTTCGTATCGTCGTCATCTCATTGGCGAGCGCTCGATCGAACCTGTTGCCGTGCAGCAAAACGCAAGTTCAGATGAGAATTACTGCTGGGAGAGCGACTTGCAACAGTGCTACAGCACGTTCCCCCCCCCCCCCCCCCCCCCCTGTCGGCTGTCGGTGGTTGTGATGGCAGGTAATCGCCAGGTCGTCGGAGACCGGTAGCAATCCACGGTCCAACGGTCCGGGATCTGTATAGTCCTGCCCGGGCAAGGCGTCCACCCTTTTCACCGAAACGAGTCCGAAGCTCCGAGCGGCTGGTGCGGTCTCTTTTGTTTCGAACGCTCGATCGGTTGTTTCGGTACGGTAGGTTCGGAAAGCGGGGAAGCAGGGGAGTAGGGGAAGATATCCGGGTAGGCGTTGGATTGCAGCTTTTGCCTGGGAGCTGGGTCGTTGTACATCCAAACAAACATGCTATGATCTATCGATGAAATGCAAAGACTGTCGGTCAAGTGATAGCCAAACCTCCAGGAGATTGACGATCAAGGAAGAGACCCACCCACCCATTCTGTTTTCGGCCGTGCGGAACGAAGTCCACCTCGACACTACTTATCGCGGAAAACGAGATAGCGAGGTTCGCGAGTTTGATACAAGACGCACAAGGTCAATCGCAATCGATACCCACCCACCCAAAGCACAACAGCCTGCCTTTGAGACAGGTCGGTCGAGTTATATAAGCAGAGCGCCCTTCGCCGAGCTGTCTTGTGCTGTGCGATCGAGAGGCGCATTCCCCCACCCCCCAAGCAAACAACTGCCGGCGGATCAAGAACACGGTGGATATATCCCATCCATCGATCAATCGATCAAACCAAAGGACCTTTCCTTTCGAATCCACCGACATCCCCACAACAACAAACAACAACGGTACCCCATCCAGACGATCTGGATCATCCACTTTGAACGAGTTTTCCGACATCACCCGACCCCTGCTCACCCCATCCCACCCGATCGGCTGCGGGAAAAAAGTAAAGAGTAGTGGAACGAGGTCGTCGATCTGAAACCTCGAGCAGAATTTTCGGGTCAAACACGCAAAGAGAGTGAGAGAGGCGAAGACGGTCACGACGTCATTCCATCGCCCTCTGTGCGCGCTCGTCCGTCCCCCCCCTTTCACCCCGAATCAGACCCGAAAAAAGCGCCAGGTCTTTCGAGTTTCAAGGGAGAAGAGAGCGTATCTGTTTTGATCACGAGATCAGCGGAATCCCCTTGAACCCCCACACAAATACTACGGGGGGGCCAGAACTTGAACAAGGGGGAACCATCCGGGACTCCGTACTTTACATCGACCATAAAGGGATCCTGACCTCACGGACCCCACGGATCTACTCCACGAGAGCCTTTGTGTCATCCTCCTCTCATAAGGATCCGTACATGGACCACTCCGTAGGCTCTTCCCTCTAGTCTCTAGCTTTTGGGAGCCAGGATCCAGCCTACTGTCGACGTCGTACACCTTTTTTTACGTCACAACGGAACCTAACACCCCCACGTCGGAGGTTTAGGATTACTACACACCACCCCACGCCATATCTTTTGGGTGCAGACTCGTACAGACCAAACAAGGTTAGTCCAGATCGCTCTGCCTACGTCATTGTGGTTCTCCCTTTCTGCTGCCCTTGCGTCGGGGCTGGGGGAGATAAGAAGGGCGGCAGAGGTCGGGGTGGCGTCTGTTGATATATTGCGATCTGGGCTGGATCCAACTTCAGCCCAGATCGATTGGCTCAGATCGGTGGCCCCAACATGTTGGAGCTGGGGCCGAGGGGGAGTCATAAAGTATCGAAGGAAGTGGTAAAAGGCAGTCCTTTCGGGTCGGGTGGAAAGGCTTCGCCTATAAAGGTCGAGCGGGGGAGGTGAACGACGATCCGGGGTCGAGGCGTCTTGCGATGTCGTTTCCTGTCGTGCAAGCCATTCGTCAAACTCTGAAACTCACACGATCAATCACTTGCTCTTTCAACTCTTGTTCACCATGCACCTCTCTTCAATCTCGGCCGATGTTGGCAATTTCTCCCTCTATGCGCCACTCTTGCCTATCCCCGACCTCTCCTGGCTGCCCTTCCACATGTCCCGCTTCCGTCGATTCAGCAAGATGGCAGCGACCACCATGTCCCGAATCTTCACTACCAACCCTCGACCCTACTCTAACCCCTCGGCGAGCTCGTCGACACATACCAGCGCGACGGTCACACCTACCTTGGCTCGACCCGTACCCGTCTCTGTAACCCGATCAGAATCGCCTTACATCCCAGAACCCGAGGTCGACGCTTGGTGTGCCGTCTGTGATCGGCTGATCGTGGTCGCACGCCCGGCCAACGAGGAAGACGCCGAGGGCAACCCTTCGGGGGGCAAGAGCAAGGTCGATGAGAACGGGGTGCCTCACTTTATCAAACCTATGCCTGCGCGGATACCTGCCAAGAAGCTCAAGGTGAGTCGAGCTTCCACCTTCTGTTTCGCAAAGTAGTATACGCACGAGCGAAGCGCTGATAACAACTTGCTATCATTCAGCGGAACATCACTCAACCCGGTTTGAAGCGAACAAATACCCAGACCCGGTTGGCCGCCTTGGCTACGAAGCCTACACCTATCGAGACGACTCAACCGGCTCCCATCCCCCGTGCTGCTCCTGTTGCCGTTCCTGTCCCCGCGGCACCTGTATACAACACCGACCTGTACTGTTCGGCCGCGTGTGCCGAAAAGGATTTGGTCAGGAGCGGGGAACAGATCGATCAGTTGGGAAAGGAGATGCAAGCCCTAGAATGGTCGGGGGAGAGGGATGAATTGCCCAGCCCGCTCTGGGCTGGTACGGAATCCTCAGCTTCGGCTTCCGAGGGTGAGGATGGCAATGTCGTTAAACTCGACGACGCTACCGTCAAGACTCACCCGACCCATCCCGGAACTGCGGTCAAGGCCGAGCCCAAGATCGTCTCGCAGACATTGTCCGACGAGTTTGACTTTACCGGCTACTTTGACATGGCGGTCCGGGGAGTTGATTACGGTCTCATGGAACGAGAACGAAGGAGGAGCGTTCACTCGCAAAAGTCGACGCCGTCGATCTTGACCGGGATGATGATGAAGCGCAACATCAGTAATGGCGGCGGGAACACCGGGTCAGGGGCTGGAGGATACGGCTACGGGTACAACCAGACCGTCTCTTCCTCGGATAGCTTGTCTAGCATGTGGTCGAGCTCGGACGGAAAGACGTTCAGCGAAGATTCTGGCGCATCCGTTTACGCTGGATATGGGTTGCATGGCGGTCGACCTCTACGAGGATTCACCCCGCTCAACGGCAACAAGCCGCCTGGCAGTGGAACGCAATCACCCGCTGGACCGTTGTCCCCAAATAGCCGTCGACCCAGCATGATCAGCGCGAGGTCGTTGAGCTTCAGCAGACAGGCAGGAGCTGTCGCCACCGGTTCGAACGCGCGATTGCAGAACGACAGTGCTACGCCTGCCATGAGCCGACGGTCGAGTCACACCAACCCCAAAGGTGGAGAGCCCGGGTCGGCTCCCGCATCGACCTTGTTCCAATCGTACGCGGCCTCCTTCCACCGCACCCCCTCGAGCATCGAGCTCGCTCGACCTTTACCTATCAGCCCACCTGCTAGGTACCGCGTCCTGGGAGGGTCCCGTCGTGCTTCTTGCGCGGACGAAGAGGCTTTCCAGGAGGCTCTCAAGATGGAAAGGCGCGCCTCATCTTCGGCCGATACGATGCGAGGTCGACAGTTTGCTCCCATCAGCCTTGCCCTGGGAGAGTACCTGACCGTCGATGCCAACAAGCAGGACAGCTTGGCTTCGACCCCTACGCAGCGATTGCCGAACGACATCAACCGGGAGATCGCCCCGGACCAGGTCATGCGACGCAGTATCAGCCGTGATAGTCAAATCGAGTTTCCCATCTTTGAGGAAGACGAGGATGAGCCGCTCAGCGGCAAGCGGGCTCGACCCATCTCCTTGGCCAGCTCCAGGAGCTCGATGAAGGGCAGCTCGACAAAGGGCAGTCTCCCTCGAAACAGCTCGTTCATCTTCCGCGATACCCCGAGCACGGCCATCACCATCGGCGACCAGATCGTACCCCAAGGCTCTCTGCCTTCTAAACCAAGGTTCTGCCGGTCACCGTCATCCCCTCGAGTCGTCCCCCGTCAGATCGCCTCGTCTTTCGATGACAAGGCAGGGACCATCGGTCGAAGTCGAAGCAAGCGGGCCAACTCTCAGGTTCAGTTCGAGGTGCAAACAAGCCTTGCTCCTGGGCCTGCGGACCGGCAACGCAAGTTTTCCGAGACTACCCGATCTTTTAGCTGGGCGGATCTGGAGAAGCAGGGCAAGGTTACCACCTACGCCTTGCCCCCCGCCGCTCTGGCCAAGGGCAAGGGTGACGCCAAGAAGCTGTTCTACTTTGATTGAGGCGCCTGACAACAACATCAGATCATCACGGCGAGGATTTCTCGCCTGGTCCACCACAAGCACATCAGAAACCATCATTACACGAAAGCTCGCCCTCCGTTCAGTCAAGAGGGACCGAGCGGGCCAACGAGGCGTCACGCCCATGGCTCAATTGCATACATCATCAGTTGTTAACGAAAGACCGGGATCGAATAGTCAAAGAGAGATCAAATCAAACGTTGTATGAAATTTAATAATTAAAATGTGAACCGATGCATGACACATCAAACTGTCTTACACCGTTCAGTCGAGTTCTCCGCGCAAAGAATGGCAAGTCACACGAATTACCAGAGTTCCTTGCCGGTGGTACTACTACTTCTAACTGCTCGACTGCTGAATGAACCCCCCCCCCCCCCCCCCCCCCGGGTTACGTAAGCGGGGATCGTGCTTGTCCGGGCGATTAAGGTTCGTCATGGGACATCGAGCAGGTATAGCTAGTAGCTAGTAGACTTGACACTCCTGATGTACATCACGGGCAATACTGAATCCTGTAGCCGATCAGCATACCATATTCCAACACATCGGTAGAGTTGTATCATTCCTCCACAAAACCACCTGGAAGGTCCAGGAGCCCCGACGGTCTTTGAAGATGTATCACATCATTCCGATCAACACGCTCTTCTTCTTGGTTCTACTGGCATCACAGCCAGGCAACGTTCACGCCGCCTTGCAACACCGGCCAGTGTCTTCCTTCCCTATCGATACTTTCGCCTCGCCCAAGTTTGGTGTCAGCTTCCTAAATCATCGACCGATAGGCAGGAAAGAAGCCGACCTATGGCAACGAGGTTTACGTGGAACTGCCGGGACGGCATCAAAGGGAGAGCTGGCTGCAGCTCGAGATGAGACTGGATCTCAGTCAGAGCCACAAGCCGAGGAGGATGCCGTGACATGGCAAAGAATATTCTCTGGAATCAGAGATATCAATGATCTCAATGGCGACATAATGCCGACCTTGTGGTCAGACCCTGCGTGGAGGAATCAATATCGTCTCAAAGATACCGATTACCCCACGATCATTCCCATCAAACTACCAAGCGTTCCTGCAAGCGGGGGCGGACGGCCTCATCTATCGGATCTGAGCCGAAATAGAACGACGGGCAGCACAGAGGACCACGACTATTTGTGCGCCCTTCCCGTCGTACCCAAATCGTCATCGGTCGATACGGACAAAAAGGCGAAAGAGAAACAGGATGGCGACAAGGACGTCTCACCAGACGCCCTGGATGTCTTTCGACATTTAGAACCTCTTGATGGACATTGTCTCTATCATCGACAGGGCTGGTTCACTTATGCGTAAGCTAGCTACTATAACTCGACCAAGACCGCATACTGATACGTGATCTGCACGTAGCTATTGTCACAATTCGCATATCCGCCAGTTCCGAGAAGCAGCTAGTACTCCTGCTTTACCAGCCTCCAAGCCGGTGGAAGATGTGACTGTGAGCTGAAAATCCAAATTTACTCGTTCTGCTCTCGAGCTAACGACGCCAACACTGCGGCTACCGTATCCAGTTTGAAGCGTACGACCTGGGAGTGTCGCCTCTAACGCTAGAAGAACGCTTGGATGAGTACAAGCTAGTCTTGCAAGACGCCGAAATGGAAGGAATGGTCTCGACAGGCTTCATACCTGACCCAGAAGATCCGACACAGGAGATCGAGGTCTTTATGGACACCCAGATCGATCCCACGATCGGTATCCAGATCCGGGAGATGGAGGGTATCCTCGCCAGGATGGATCGAGAGCGGACGTCAGCATCTAAGGCGACGGATCACTCTGATTCTGAATCCAATGCCCCGAGTGCAACGCCCGACGAAGAATTCGTCAGACAGAGCTTGTCGATACATTCGAATGCGCAAGCGAGATATCTCGTCGAAGTCTGGGAGGGCGGGACCGTCTGCGATATGACGGGCAAAGCTCGAAAAATCGAGGTCGAGTTCCACTGCGGTGGGGATGGTCCTGACGGGATCGTAGGGGTCAAAGAGATTGCTACGTGAGTCATCCACATTTCCCTTTCGCTGATCCGCCAAACGGCTTGACCTGATAATTGAAACGTATCCCTTCATCTGTAATCAGATGTCAATACATCATGACCATCAAGACTCCTCGAATCTGCAATATCCCGGGATTCTTCGTGCCTTCCGCCTCATTGGGACCTCTCCATCAGATACAGTGCCGTCGCATTGTACAGGACAACCACTTGCACATGCTCACGACCGCGCATGTTCATAATGCCAACGAAGATGTTCGAGCTCCTCCGGGATGGCATACCGATCGTCGCGCATTCAAGGCGGCCCATGCCCTTCCTGCGTTGGAGAAGGAAAAAGTATCACGGGCGACGTCGGAAGCCGATTTTGAGGTCATCATTCCTGGTGTAGGGGGGCAACCCCCGCAGAGGATCGTCAAACCGGCCAAACTACGCAAAAAGCAGAGCAATGGGGACGCTGGGGACGCTAGGAATGCAGGTAAAGAAGCGTTGGCTGAGCAGAGAGCAGCCGTCATCAAGAAACGAGCCGTGGCTAGAGAGCGCAAGGCCGAACAAACTACCCTACAACAAGAGATTCGTCGTTCCGTAGATGAGGATTGGGAGACCTATTACTTCGTCAGGTTGGCGAGATGGGTAGGGTATTACAAGAAAGGAGGGGATCGGGAAAAGAAGGACAAACAGTTCTTATACGAGACTTTGGAAGAGGAAGTACGACGCTTGCAAGCCGAAGAAGACGCGCAGCGGAGAAAGATGGAAACATGACATCCGTGGTCAGAGTGTTGTAAATCGAATTTCCGATGGTATATATGGCTAGCTACATGATTAAGATTAGAAAGATGGGACAAGCCGCATTTTTGCTCAATGACCAGACCCTACAGGCTCGTCTCTACTCTTCCGACATCGAGACTCGGGCGATCCACTGTCGCAAAGTCTCCGACAAGACTTCCGGGAGAGCTTCAACGTCACGAAGCACGACGTAATACTCGAAGGGGAAGGTGTCCAGGTATCGTTCCATCTCAATCTTCATCTCGCCGTTGACCTCTTTGTAGGCGACCGTTTGCATGTCCAGAATCGAAGGTCGGGCAGCCACAGCTTGAGGAGTATTGTCGGTTATTGCGGACCCAGGCTTGAGCGAGTCAATGACCAGGAAGACGATCATGACGCGCTCTTGGAGAGCCCGTCGAAGCAACTTGCGCAGTTGGTTGTGATCCTGACATACCCCATCAGAGATGATGATCTCGAGTTGCCACAAGTCACCGGACGTCGAGCTAGATTGAGCTCTCCTCGCGTCTGCCAAGACATCCAGACTGTTGTCAACCAAACGAGCCACGTCCGTGCGGTGTTGCTGGAATGTAAACGTGTTCATGATCCGGGCTCCTTCAGCATCGCTGAACGCGTTGGAGTTGAAGTCGTGCAGCATCTCGACGTGTTCGCCGAATCTCGCAATGCCGATTTGGCCAACTTCGAGCTTGGTAAGTGCCTGCGACACGAGGGCTAGGGTCTGATAAGCAAGATGGACCGAGCGACTATCCGCCATTGACCGCGAGTCGTCCAGAGAGAGCAAAACCTGATATTCTCGGCGACTAGGCTTTGTTCTGCGTAACCAGATCTTGTCCTTGGTGTACTCGCTAGCGATGTACGGAATGATTTTGCGCATATTGAGCCGTTTGCCTGTACGATAATCGCCTTGCAATCGCGTGGCCATAGTGGGCTGTAAAATCAACCGCAATTGCTCGCATAGGTTATAAGACAGATCGCTCGTCAGGGTCGAATAGTTTCGCCAGAGATCTTCGCCCGACTCTGCTTCGCGACCGCTGGCCATCCAGGTTTGGAGAGCCATTTCGACGTCTTGCGAGTCGACTGGCTCCTCCGCGATTCCTTTCCCGTCCTCGTGGTCGCCAGGTTCAGACGCAAGTTCGTCGATTGCCATAGTGTCTCCATCGAGATCGTCGGCTCGAGTCTCGTTGACTTGATCCCTGGTCAGTGCCTTGTCGTCTTGATTGTGGCCCCGAGAATCGTGCTTCTGGATCTGCGACAGATCTGACTTGGGTTCCCGCATCGCTTCTTCGGCTGCAGAGTTGTCATCCCCGTTCATGGCATGATCGGCTTGCTCAGCCTGCTCATCAACGATAGCAAGATCCGCCAACTTCTGTTGCTCCTCGCTCTCAGCAGCCCCAAGAGCCTGCATTTCGGCATCCTCGTCCTCGCGGACGTGCTCGACCTGCTTGGCGGTTTGATCTTGGGCATCCTTGTTCTGTTCGTTCTCCAAACGACCGTCTTCTTCAGAGCGCTCGAGGATCTGGTTGATCATACGATGGATATCTTCAAACTTGTCTCCAAGGCTACGGTCTTGCTGCGATTTGTTCGAAGCGGGCTGGGCGACCTCCCCACCCTGATTGGCCAACTCCGTATTGTCTCCAGACGCATCGGTCTGACCTTTCTGGGGCAGCTCAGCTCTATACAGAGACGAACGAGGGTAAGCATCTTAGAGAGATTTCTGGGTAATCACGAGTCAACACTTACGACTTTTCGGATTGAGGCTCTCTATGAGCGCCGTCCTTTGTCTCGGTCTGCTCTTCAGACTCGCCTGCATCAGCAGGACCCGAATCCTCTGCTTCCCCTTCCATGCCGACATCCCCTGCTCCACTTTGACCCTGTCCTTGCTCATTCTCGCCCTGTTCTGGAGCCGAATCCTCATCTGGTCCAGCATCGACTTGATCATGATCATCCGCCTCCTCTTCCCCAATCTCAGAGCCGGCGGCGTTGGCGTCGGCTGTGTCCGAACCAACTTCGGACTGGGCGTCATCAGGATTGGGCTCGTCGTCCTCCATTTCGGAACCGACGTCGCCGTCCTCTTCGCCCAGGTCACCGTCTTGGGAGTCCTGATCGAGATCCATGCCTTCTGGCAGATCAAGTATCTCGGCTTCGGGCACATGAGCGTCAACATCATTGGACTGGTCGTCCTGAGGATTGTCCTGCCCATCATCACCACCCTCTGGAGCATCCTCGGTAGCATCTTCGGTCTCCTCGACCTCGGAGGCAGGTTCCTCGGTCTCTTCGGAACGGTCGGGTTCAGGTGCATTGTCCTTGCCGGTCTTCTTGTCCTCGTCTTCTTTTGCAGCCATCTCGCTATCCTGGTTTTGATTCGGATCTTTCCGGTCAGTCTTGTCGTCCTTGCCTTGATCCTCGTCTTGATTCTCGTCACCCCAGAATTTGTCGTCTACAGCCTCCGGATCGACGTCCCCGACATGCTCGTCCAACTCGTTCTCATCTTGACCATCATCATCATCCTCGCCATCCTCATCCTCGTCTTCACCATCGGCGTCAGACAAGGCGCCTTCAAAATCGTCTCCCATCTCGATGGCCTGGTCCTCCTTCTCCTGCTTCTCGCCGTTGTCATCTTCGTCTTCACCTTGGTCTTCGTCCTTGAGTCCCTCAACCTGACTTTCGTCTTCGATTTCATTGCTAACATTACTCTTGCCAGTCCCAGCGCCAAGACCCATTCCTTCGATCTCTTTTCCTTCGCCGCCTTTCGAGTCATCATCGCCCGCTTCGGAAGGCTTGCAGAAGCCCTTCTCCGCCAACGTGCGGAAGAGATGGACGAGAACATGATCGAGTCGATAAAGACTCTTAACGTTTCTGGCCAAATGCCATACCCCCCTGCGACACGTGGCCAAATATTCGCGCAAGAAGGGTATGCAACGAGCAAAGACATCCCCGAGATCGGTAATGACTGAGCCGTTCGTCTCCCCGCTGACCGCTGCGTCGCCCACACGTGCGATTGCTGCGATGATCGTTTGAAGACGGTATGCAGAAGTCATGCCATGTATTGACGATTCGAGCTGGGCCATCGATTTCATCGATCCATCGTCTTCCGGTCGAGCCAATTTCGCGCATTGTTGTGCAGCGATGAGCAACTCCTCCAGAAGTGTGTCGGTTGATCGCCACACCGCAGCTTGTCTTTCTGTCCGAGACACTGGAGGCGGGAGCACGATTTCTTCGACAGCGCTGTCACAGATCTTAAGCACTGGCAGAAGAATCGCATCAAGCGCCGGAGCTGATTGCAAAAGGCTGCGTAACTGTTCCTTGCATTTGGCAATGTGATGTTGCACGCCGTCGAGCAGGTCAGCATCAGCTGTTGAGAATCACGACCGTAGCATCATGATCAGCTTTGTAACGGCTTGCATGGGATGACCTGCCAACATACCACGCGTAACCAGATTCAATCCAGTCGCTTGCGTGGTGGCCAACATCTTTCCGATACGTTCTTGAAACGAGGTCAATTCGGAATGCAGCTTTACGAGCGAGCCTGAGGCTGCTTCTGCTCTGAACGGTAATCGTAAGGCAGCGAGGTCGACCAGGCGTCGTGATCCTTCGTGCAATGCAGATCCCACTCGACAGAGACTGTCGAACACCGCTTGAAGCTTGACTTCGAAAACCGGTCCCCCTGCAACAATAACGCTGTCTGACAAGACCTCGAACCTCGCCATGACCGTCTCGAGTTTCGAGAGTTGACTAGACGCGTCTTGCAAGCTATAAAGACGTAGATTCTCATTAACCTTTCGTCTTGTAGAAGAAACGATACGTCGCGACTTACCTGCTTCGATGCTTCAATGACACTGCGAAGATGTTGTCCGCAAAACCGTGCGCCCGTTGCAAATCTTGCGTGACAAAGTCTTCGTTATGATTACGCAGCGATTCGCGCATAGCCGGCAGAAGTATATCGAGAGATTGATGATAAGATTCAGCGTTACTCAAGAGACGAACAATCTCCGGTTGACAGGCAGAGGATTCGCTCAGAAGCCCGGGCAAAGCGCTCAGCCAAGCGACAGAGGATTGTCTTGTCATTTGATCCGCCCGATTCTTGGCCGAAAAGCCTAGCCCACGTAGAGCCTTGAGCAGGTCCGCAAATGCCTTACGCTTCCTCGCTTGCAAGTTTCCTACGCTCTTCTTGTTGTCCTCGGTCAGTGTGCTAGGGGTTTCTTCTTGCAAAGCCTTGACGGTCTCCTGCACCTCAGAGACAAGGTCGTCCAGATCGCTAAAGGTACGGTCCAACCCTGGCCCATCGTCGCGCGACATGATGTTTGCAAATCTCTTGTACGTCTTGTCAAGCTCAATGAGATGGTCCGGCACGGGCATAGCTATATCCGGTCGGTGCAGCCGGTCGAGTAGTCCGTCGAGGTTCGCCATCTCGGGGGTGAAGATTTCATCATCTGGTGAAACGTCGTCGATTGTAGGAGGACCGGCTTGAAGGACTGCTGAAACCGGTTGCTTCAGAATGTCCCGGAATGCACGTATGCTCTTGTAGAGCTGGGCGTGAGTTTTCCGAGCGCTGGCACGCATAGACTCGATGTTGACGTCTTTCCAGGTGGCTAATTTGACAAAGTCGGCGATCGCTTTGTCCAATGGTTGACGACGCTGAGCAATAGTATCGTTCACTTTTGCCTCGAATTGCCCAAATCGCCTCATGACTCCCTTCAACGACATGACAGTCCTCTGCATAGAGTCGCGCGTTGCCAATTCTGGCGATTTCTGAATCATTCTCGTGAAAGAGTCAAGCAGACGGAGTCGAGACGAGAATCGGCCGATCGTGCTGCTTGACAAGTAGTCCATAATCAGCGGAAGGGCTCGAGATACGTGATCTTGATCCCCATTGCTGGAAGGTGTAACTTCAGAGTCCGATCCCATGGCCCCGACGATCAGCAACTGGAACAACCTGAACCACCATTCTGCAGTGTCCAACTCGTAGGAGGCGGCTTCCTGATCTAACAGATGTGTCCAGCCAGCCAACTCGAGACGCCTCCAAGATATGATCATGTGAATGATCTCGTCTTGGAACGCTTTGAGTGAATTCTCCTTGTTTGCGTAAGCTTGCCAATCCTCTGTATGGGTCAAAAGTTGCTCCATGGCTGCGAGCATCCGAGCAACCGGTGTAGCCGCGCCAATGGAACGGATATTGGCGCAGCGATCCAACAGGTGCTGCAGAACCATTTGATCCGGATACTCGTCCAGGGTGAGTTTGATACGAGCTTCCAACCGAACAAGGAGATCGAGGACCTTGAAAATCTCTGGCAAATTTGGCGAAGTGTAAAAGTTGTAGGTTTTAGAATCCACAGTGGTCCCGTCCTCAGCCTGACGTCGAGCCAGAATCGCGATTTGCGCGGTGATACTGTTGCTGTCGATGTCGGCGGAGAAGGCATCGCCATGCTCCTCGATGAGACGCGCGATGGTGCCGATCCTGGCAACGTCAAATGCGTCAGAGGAATAAGCCTCGTCATGAAACAGTTGCAAGTGAAGCTGGTAGAGTCTGACGACGTGGTCGTGAGAAAGCAAGGTGGAGCCCGCGCTCGGACTGCCCTCAGTCCCGGAAGTGGAATCCTCTTCTTCTTCCCAATCGTCGTACTGAGGGAACATTGCCAGAAGCTCTCGAGCCTCACGTTCAGCATCAGGCAGATCCTCATACTGCACTTTGCGTTCACGGTAAAGACTCTCCTCGACCTGTTCTGCCCTCCGATTGGCATTCTGATCCGCAATCCATAGAGCAATCATTGTCTGATAAGCACGACCGATGCGGCCGCCAATCATTTCGGATCGACACCCAGCGGCGTCGAGCACAGCGCAGGCTTCGATTGCCAGGAGGGCCTGACTTCCTGACCGAGCCGAGATGTCAGCTCCCATGGAGTTTTGCAGGTCGATCAAGGAACCGGCTGTCGATATAGTGGGGAAAGGCAAGAGGTAGTCAACTGTCCGCACAGAGTTTGCCTGCTGCGCCTGTGTGGCTGCGACCTTCGCGGCTTTCGCAGAGAGATAGAGACCAAGCTTGGCAGCTCGAATACCCAAGGTGATCGGGCCAACCAGATCCTGAAGTGATTCGAAAGACGCTTCTAGTCTATTCAAGTAAGCTTGAGAAGCGGATTGGAAGTTCTCCTCTTCCTGTAGAGCGTGAACTCCGCCAGCGCCGATTGCCCTTTCCAGGTCCAACAGATTGCTTGACCGATGCACCGTGGCAAAGAAACGATGCGTTTCTTGGTAGAAAGCTGAGAGCTGGACCGCTCTCTGCCGGTAGTGCGATGCTTCAGCCTGTGAGTCAGTCGGATCCGGCATGGCTGCGAGTGCTTCACGTATCTTCTGAAGCAGGGGACTCTGACTCGATCCGGTCTTTATCCTTTCCACGTGTTCAAGGGTCTCAAACTCGGCCTGAAGTCTTGAGGTCTGACAAGTTTGAAGCTTCACCGCGCAGTACTGTTCGACAGATGGGTCCAAGGGTATATCCGGAACGTAGAGGTCCAGTAGCGTGAGAGCAGTATGCAGCCACACTCGGCCAGGCCTGTAATCAACCCCTTGGGTAGACGAATCCTCTGATCCGAACGTGCCGAAATAGACCGTGAAGACTTGGGAGACGGCGGGATTGGAATGCCTCAGTGCAATGTTACGCAGAGTGGCAAGTCGAGCGGCCATGGACTGATTGGTATCAAAGATGATAGCTAGTTCCGATTGGGAACAGGCAGCTTCGTCTATGTGGTCACTGGCGTATACGATGACCTAGTGAATATCGCATATCAGTATTCGCGATCGGTCATCCTGAAAAACGCAGCTTACCTTCAACAACATATAGATAGCTAGATCGGCATTGTTTTCCGCCATACTGTTTGACCCGCTCATCAGATGGACTGCGAGCAATTTGATCGCCTTCTGTAGATCGTCCTTGTTGATGTTGACTTCACCCATGCGAAGCTGTTTGGTCATTCTGTGTAATTCGGGGATGTATATCAGTACGATCTTGGATGTTATCCTTGCGGTTTGTGACGGACCTAAGCGACAGCGCGTTTTGCAAGTTTATTGGTTCAGCAAGACTCAGTTGGATCCCTCCCTATCGTGAAGGATTGACGTCAATTCCGTTACTTCGGTTGCGACGAACATAGGTGTTGACTCGCCTTGGCAGCTGAGTCTCTTGAACACCACAAGGACGCTAGCGACTGTTCAAGGGTCAGCCATAGAGCTCTACTGTCCAGTGCTGGCAATGATTGACGGGTGAGCCGACTGGTCACAATCGGCGTTCGAATGGGTTTGACCCACCTTGGAGATGAACGGCGTCATTTGCCTTGATGTAGGCCAAGCCCAGTAATGGGACGTTGCGCAACTCATCCAATTCCGCAAGGAGTTCGGTGTACGTGCCGAAAGTCTCGCCCTGGTATCGATCGAAGCAGCGCGTCAGTATGTTCATGCACAAACAGGTTCATGACATCGCTCACTTGAACCCGATCAGGCTTGTAGATCAAGTTTCGGAACATGAGCCAGTTCGCAGATACGAGCTGCTTCTTGATCCTGAGGGAAGCACTTTTTCCAAAGGATACGGGAAGCTGGAGTCGAGCAGTCAGCCTATGCGCGTTTCTTAGCCTACGGAAAGTAGCGCTCACGTTCTGCCATGCCTCAAGGATCTTCGGCACAGCATCTCCCGTCTGAACCCGTCCGAAGATGCTAGCAGAAACTGCATCGATCGTCCTATCCCCCAGAGTCCCCCAAACTACAACGCAAACAAGCACAAGTCAGCTTTTGAGCCTATGGAAGGCCCCGACCTAAAGCTAGGACTCACCCTGAACATGCTTCGAAAGGGCATCGATAACGGTTGAATTCGCTTCGTCAAAGTTGCTGGGACGCCGTATCGCTTGCCATAATGCCGTCTGAGCGAGACCAGTCTGGGGGTTGGCGCGACGCCTAAGTGCATCTAAGCTGCCGATCAAGACACGATTACTCGGCGGTACGACAAAGCCTTTCGCCAATCCGTTCAGCAAAGAGTGCACAAGAGCAACGTCTGTGACCTCGGACGACAATAAAGACTCGGTCAGGATCTGAGTTACGTCTTGCAGAAGCAGGTAGCTCTGCAGCGCATCCTGTTGATGAATCGTCGGTGTCAGCATCCCACGCGCCGATTCATGGAGATTGCGCTTACGAATGTATTGTCAGAGTCCGAGCTAAGGATGGCCGCAGCGCCGTGAGCGATCTCTTGGCGTGCGGTCTCCAGGAATACGATGACTTGACCACCCATCTCATCCGGCTGCAGGCCGGAAACGGTGCTTGCCATTGCGTTTGCTATCACCATCGTGATGACTCGAACAATGACCCGGTGCGGATCCAGGTGTTGCATCGGCGGATAGGTGGATAAAGCCATAGGCTGTATGGACGGAGTAATCTATGTGAGCCAAATCACTTCCATTCTCGTCGAATTAACGACTTACCAGAGCCTTTGTAAACATTTCTGACAGCAGCGGTTGCTCGTCCCCACACACCCCCTTTCCTGCGCGTCCAGATTGCAAAACGTCTTGAACGGCGCGGTACATGGTTTGCTCGATTTTGAGTTCCGAGGGTACAAGTACGCGCAAGATGGCTAGTAATCCAGCGATCGAACTTCCTGGCTGCGACGCGAGCATGCGACCGAGCAAAGAAGCCTTGAACTGGTTGGGGATCGACATGCCCGCGCCCACGGGAATCTCGCATATAGAAGCGGCTTCGAAATGGGCGAGCCTGTTGTACGCGTCGCCTAGACTACCATGCTTTGTGTCCATGTCACGGCCGGTCGTGTCTACTGTGCCATCCGTAAAACCAATCTCAATTCCACGATTGCGCATGGCGCGGGACAACTCGCCGTTGCGAGGGTCAAATGCCATAAAGAGTCGGAAATCGGCATGCGGCTTGATGACTTCAACTCCTCCTTCAGCATTTCCCCTTTCGCTCAGTATCAAAGTCCCATTCAATTCGCACAGACTGTTCAATCTGTCGAGGACCGAAGAGCTGCATAGGTTCGCGTCGTTGATCAAGTACCAGCCACCGCTTTTGATTGCTTTGACCAGAGGGCCGTCAATCCACTCGAACGAAGACGTAGCCGAGCTATTCAGTACGGCGTCGATCTGCTGGTCGATGGAGGAGCCGGCATGAGCTTCCCAACGGTCGCCAAATGCGTGCACCAGCTGTCTTGCCGATGCCACCGCCTGTTGTAAAGCCACGTCGGTCGGGAGTCGTGTGAAGCCTTCTAATGCATTCACAGCGTTCTCAAGATCCACGTGATCGAGTTGACCACCCTGCTGAGCTCTGTCGAGCCTCGCCAGGATCAGCGTAAAGATGTCCGCGAGATGGCGATTGCGATCGGTCTGCTCAAAGCTACCCAACATCTCCATGGTGTCCACCGCCGGATGCATGGAATATTCTGCGAGTGTCGTGCCCAGTATCTCAGCCGTCTGCCTCACGAGGCTCCGTTTGCCGGTTCCAGAAGGCCCAACGAGTATGGTTAGCCACCCCGCGGATACGGAACGAAGCAGTGCTTCTTGCGGTTGAAGGGTCTGGTGACTGATCTGCAAGCGTCGTGCAGGCCATATTGGCGTTGAACGTCTATGTGCATGCGCATGACCAACGCTGAAATCATTGACGGTGATCCTAGGCCAGGGTCGTACGTCGGAATGAACTATCGTTTGCAAAGCGTCCCTGAGAAGCTGGGCAACGGCCTTTTGGTCGATCTTGCTGCGGAAACGCCGAACGTAAACGATGGTCAGCGCATCTTCCAGCGAGGATCCACTCTCCAGTCCGGTTGGTGTCAGCATCAAGCGGAAACATCGCATGATGTCACGCAGATTGAATTCCCATGGGCTGCCGTCATACCCGAATGCTCGATCCCGCATGACGGCAACTTGAAGCCGCGAGCTGAACTCGATGACCCCATCGATGACATCGGTCGAGATGCCGGGATAGAGATGGCGACAAATAATCTCTAAGTCCGATCGCTCATGTTCTTGAACATAGACTTTGGTGAAACGGTTCAAGAAGGATTTGGGTAGTCCTTTTCTCCCCCCACCTTGTTGTACGGGGTTTTGGGCGGCGAAGATCCGAAAATCAGAATGCTTTTCAAAGGTCCTGCCCAGCTCTGGGATGAAAACGGTGCCTCGATGATCCAATACGGCATTCAGGCCTTCCAAGATTGCTTGAGATGCCAAATTCATCTCATCAAGAAGGACCCAATGTCCGTTCTTCATCGCGGTCAGGAATGCTGCGTCTTGCCATGCGAATTCGCCCGCTTGACCTCCAGCAACCGGTAGATCCGATCCGAAGAGATCGATCAGGTCCGTCTGTTCCGACAGGTTGATCCGACACAACGCCCGTCCTGAAGCGTCGGCTAGAGCTTGAACCAGGGTAGTCTTTCCGACTCCGGGACTGCCCTCCAACAGGATCGACTTTGGTAACTGACACGCTCGAAGCACGCGTAGCAGATTATCCATCGTAGTGGGGGCTTGCATGGCGAAAGGCAACGAGTTGGGATCATTGGGTACCGGTCCCTTCGGCAGCATGAACGGTCCGATTCCGAAAGCGGCGTCCGTAGAATGTACTCCGTGCAAAAATGAATCGGCCTTCGTGCGGGACGAGTCTTCCTGAATCGGTGCTGTAAGTTCACGCACTTTGGCCAGACAATCCTCGCGGACGAGACCGATGCGCTCTTTGCTGAGACCAGCCAATCCGGGAAGCAGTTCTAAGCCGTCGATCACAATCAGTCGAGCAGCGTGTTCCTGTGTACCGATACTGATTCAGTTGATGAACGATATGATTGATCTGGCTCTCGGACTAACGAAGATCTCTGCAACCGTCATCTCGAGCTTTGACCAGCAATGATTGGAAAATGTAATCCAAGCCTGCCACGAGACCGTTGCGTCAGTTAGCTGAGATCAGGTGTTTCAGACCGAACAAATCCCTAGAATACGCACCAGCAAATCACGCAATCCGATGCCAGATTGCGCGTGCTCTAGGACCTTGTCGTTCAGCCATCTGAAGAAAGAGATTACAGGCGAGCTGCATTGTTTCAGGATGTCGTGTGACCATGTTTGATCCATGATCTGGTACAGATCGTCGTAGTCGGTGATCGCCGGTACCCAGATTTCAGTAAATCGGTTACGCAAGGCTGGGGAGAGTTCCTTTTTGCCGAAGTCCCCACCCGGATTCATCGTTGCCACGATCTGGAACCCAGGGGCACCTTTCACAACGTCAGCATCGGAGCCTCCCTTTTCCGCTAGGACGAGCGTCTTGGACGGCTCCAGTACCGAATTTAGCCTTTCGAGGACAGAGTCATCGGCAAGGGATAACTCGTCAAGCAAGAGTATGCCACCTTGTTGCATGGCATGGACCAGTGGTCCGTCATGCCACTCGAAAAGAGCTTCGCACTGGCTGGCTTCAAGTCGGATCTTTCGCAAGTGTTCCATCTCATCGACGGATCGAGCCCGTTTCTCGTAGCTCTCCACCAGAGCCAATACATACGCTGCAGAAAGGCTTTCGGGCCGCTCCAGGCTCTCTCCGTAGGCCGTTTTTACAAACGCTTCCATACGAAGAAAAGCCGCGAGTAGACGAGACGACCGGTCTCGGATCGGCCTTTGACTTCCGAGCATGTCAGCTGTCTCCATGTTCTGATGACAGCTGATGGAGAACATCTCTCGCGTCAGCACGTCGGCCAAGACCTCACAAACAGAGGTCTTTCCCGCTCCAGTCTCTCCTATCAGAAGAACAGGCTCGTCGTATTTGGCGGCAGACGCAACCAAAGTGAAAAGCCTCTGCATGGCAGCGGTCCAGACGACTCGCTTTGATTGCGTCTGTGGGAGAGGCATGCCGAGTCGGCCGAAAGCGCTGGTAATTTCAGGAGTTACCGTGTACAATGTCGTTTCGTCGAGCGAAACCTTCATGGTCGACTCGAGAACCCGCTTCACTACAGCTTTGTCTTCTTCTTTTCGCGCGCGTTCCGCCAAGAGCATGTAACCGTTTTCTGCCAGCTGCTGATAGCTTGTCACGTCCCGCATAGCCCATCGAAACAGGTCACGCAGCGTGGCGTAGGAGTCTCTCGACTCGAACATGCGAGTAGCCTGACGAAAGTGTTGAAGTTCCTGGAATACCTGTACGATCTTGTGAGCGTAAGACGGAGCGATCGCACACCGTTGGCACAGAATCGTCTGCAGTTCATCTTGCGGTACGTCATCGAAATGCACCTCGAGAAACCGGTTTCGGAAGGCTCTGGACAAGACCTTTCGTCCAGCGTATAGACCAGGTGGGTTCTGGGTAGCAAACAACATGAAGTGGGGGTGCGGTCGAATGACTTCCCCTGTCTCGGGGATCACGAGCTCGCGATTGTCGTCCAACAAACGGTTTAAGGCCTCTAGCACATCGGTTGGAGCCAAATTGAGTTCATCCAGCACGAGCCAGTCTCCTCGTCGCACTGCTGTTACGAGCAATCCTTCCCGGAAAGCCAATTTCCCTGTCGCTGGGTCCGAAGCATATGTGCCGAGATATTCTTGAATATCTGTATGCTCATGGTTATTGATTCGGATGAAGCGGTGGCCAGTCTGTTTGGCCAAATACTCGACCGCACTGGTTTTCCCCGCAGAAGTTGGTCCTTGGATCAGCACCGGGTACTTGCCTGTCAGGATGATCCTGGCCAGGTCAGAGAGCTTGCGCTGTACCGAAGGCGTGATCACATATGCCTGATCGGACACAATAGCCTCGGGTCCCCTCGTAAGCCAGTAGTGGCCGAACCGGACAAAGTCGTCTTGATCTTTTCCTGCAGGGACGGTCGGCTGCTGACGCAAAACGGCCTTGGGGTTCCGAAGACCGTTCAACAGATGCTTAGTACACACGACGTGCGCGGTGTCCATGCTCGGGCCGTTCAGCGACATGGTGAATGTCATGAGGCAGCCTTCATAGAGTCCGCGCCGCAAGCCAAAGGTGGGGGCCACATCCACGGCGAACGTGAGCGCGCGCGCTAGCGTCCTCATACTGAAGTGTGGCGGCGTGTTGGTACCGTCGACAATCTCTCGACCGCGCGACAAAGTCTTCATGGCCATGTAAAACTCCGCTACGTCAAGAATGGCTGACCGGTCCCCTGCCACTGCGTCCCCAAGATATTGCTTGACGATGGCGATCAGCGCTTCACTGTCATCATCCGGTGGGGGCGAGTAGATCTCGGAGAAGCGCATGCGAAGTCCCGGAGGAAGATCCTTCTTCCCAACGTCCGTAGCGGGATTCATACAAGCAAACAGGCGGAAGTCCGGATGGCGTTCGATTGGTTCCAAATCCCCTCGCTCTGTCAGTACCACCGATGCATCGGCGTTTTCCACAATCGCAGAAAGGGATTCGAGAGTTTCTTGACTCGCCAAATTGACCTCGTCAAGTAGGATCCTGATCGGTGCGAGATTCGATACGTGAGCTGCACCTTGGACGACAGCAAGTCCCGAAACTTACCACTCGCCGCATCGTAATGCTTGCACCAAGGGCCCCTCTACGAACGCGAAAACCAGCTTTCCTCCAGCTTTAACGTGTTGTAGCTCGAATGTTTCGATATCTATCAGCAACGAATCCCATTGATCCAGTATGCTCTGCAAATCCGCCGAGCTAAGCTCTTCGTCCGCCACCTTGCGTCGTTTTCGTGAACCGCTCTGTTCCGGATCGATGGCATTTGGAGGATCGACAGGTTCGGAAGATTTACTAAACTCGCGGTCACGATTAATCTTGCCTGCAGGGGGGACAAAGGTCAAACGCTATTCTGCAAGCTCACCTTGCTAACCGTTTGAGTGTCCGGTCTTTGGCAAGCTTTCCAGCCCCTATCCACATTTCTGCAACCCTCTTCCACCTGGACCCCACCATCGCTCTCCGCAGCTCTTCCTCGTACTTTTCGTTCTTCTTACGACTGAAACTGCGCCTGAAGAGGTCCAAGAATTTGGCATGAAGATGTCGAGCAGGGATCGCTGCGTCTACCGGCCGGAAACCTCCAAGAAGATCGGCCGACTCGGTCTGCGTGCTCAGGTTGATCACGGTCAGAGGTCGATTCAGCAGTGATGCAACGTGCTGCACCGCCGTCGTCTTTCCCGTTCCCGTCTCTCCAACGAGAAGCATCGGTTCCGCCAACGTAATGCCCGCGGCGATACGTTCCAACAAGATGGCCGAAGGTTTCGTCATCGCATAAGGCCTGGCAGGTTGCGCATTCGGGTCTTGCGGCCTCGGCGCGAGTCCGTGCAGGGAGGCTCTACCCACCCGCACTGTGCTGCTCTGCCTCGCTCGCGAATCCCCTTGGACCTCCACCTGTGGTACTCGCTTGTCCAACAACCAATCCGACCTTTCCTGACCGAGTCCCAAAGCTTCGCCCAGAATCCGAGCAATCGCTTGTCTCCTCTCAGCCTGAGCGATCAATTGGTACGGGAACGAGCCCAAGAAGATGTCGACACCTTCGAGGAAGACTTCATCTTGAACAGAAGGGTTCGAAAACCTCATGACATCTGCAGATGGATCGACATGCATAGCAATCTCGCCAGAGACGGGCAGACAAGTTGCTACTCGCGCACACCATTTTTCGAGGTCCCGGAGCCCATAACTCCTTCTGGCCCCGCTTCCTGGCAAGGCCGACTTGGCAAACTTTTGCTCGATCTGCTTGATCTTCTGATAAGCCACCGACAAGGCTTGAACGGGCGGTCCAGCCAGTTTGGGATACTTGACATCCATAATCTTCTGTACTTCAAGCTCGGTGGGTGACGGCAGGGCGACCTCGACGAAATAGTTGTGACCGAGGAATGTAGCGGGTATCGTTTGATCCAGAGTATTGACGACCTTTCGGGTCGCAAACAGTGCAAATCCCTCTCCAGCCTCGATTCCTGTTCGTCCCGGAATGTCCAACATCGCCCGCCCTCCAACCACTTTGCTGATCCCCAAACTATCTGCAAGCCGGGCAAACAGACTCAGAACCTCTTGACCAGCCCGGTCGATATCTTCGAGCACGATCCATCTTCCGCTCCGAACCGCTTTCGTCAGAGCCCCCTCGACCCAGGTGAACGTTCCCGGCTCCGTCGGTGATGAGACATAGCTCCCCAGAAGCGCTTTGGCGTCGATCGACGTATCGGCCAGGGAGATGGTCAGGATCCTAGAATTCACCGGTATTGCAGGATAAATCATCATCGACAGGTATTGCAGCAAATGTGATTTTCCTGATGAAGCCATTCCAGTCAGGAGGATCGGTAATCTCCTATCCAAGAGGCTAGCCATCGACCTCAAAGCTTTCTGATTCGAATCGATATCCACGTGCAGGGAATGCTCCTTCGGTCGATGTGTCCGTATCGGCAGTTGCGCCCGCAAAGTCAATCGTCCCCCAACAACGGCTGTGAAAGGCGAAAGGTCGGATTCCGCAATATGCGAATCCCCTTCTGATATCCATTCCAAGCTATCCCTTCCGAGGTTTCCGTAGTTTCGTTCCCTGACCGCCTCCCGAGTTCGCAATCCCCAACCTTCAACGGTCTGCAGCTCCATCCTCCCCGCTGATCCAACGTTTTCCTCGGGCACGAACTCCCATCCATAAGTGATGAACGCCGAAGGCTCTTCCGTCTGGATTCCGACCCAACGATCTTCCAGCTCGACCCGGTCTTTCTCCGGCAAGCCGACCTGTTGGATGTAACACTGTACGGCAAGATACCTGACACCCTGATCCGGATGTCGTGTGAAGAGCAGTCGAAGAGGGATCTTGGTCCATTGATTCCGCAGACATAAACGAGGGTCGGCGGAGAGGAGTCGGTAGTGGGAAAGCAAGAGGAGGTGCAGGCGGGTGGAGGGGATGGAGAGGATGGATTCGTCTTTGCCCAAGAACGCAAGAGGGGTGGATTTGGCGAAAGGGGATTGGGAGAGGAAAGCGTTGACGGTACTGTTGCAAAGACAGCAAGTTCAATTGCTTGAGTCACGCTGTGACCGAGGTGGGAGATAACTCACTTCCAAAGCTCTGGTACAAATTCGGCTATTTCAGCCAAGACAAAGAGCTCGGTTTCCCATCTCTCTTCGCTCTTGGTCTCATTGTCATGCGTAAGGAGCCATCTCGCAAAGACATCCACTAAAAGAGGTCTGAAATGCTTGACAATCAGGTATGCGCATCCAGGCGTAGATGCGACTTGAGAGATGACGTCTAGGACATCTCGTGTAGGTAGTACCGCCTGGGACGGCTCGTAAGCCCACGTCCGTAATGTACAGTAAGCTTGCTCCGAGAGAAACTCTGGACGTTTGCTTGATTCTTCATGTGTGACGTTGAGGTCGATCAAGAATGCTCGAATCCGGCTGTTGAGGGGGAAGGTCTCGATGCCTCCTGCCGGTTGCGCGATGGTGATGGGGGCGCTCATTTCGACGTCAACGTCGGCGTCGATCGTAATTGGGTCGTGAATCTGACCAGACATACTGACAGCTATCTCAAAGTCGACAGTCTATCTCGGTGGATCGTTTGTTGGGAACGATTGCCGAGAAGTCTGTCATATCGCAACTTTCGAAGGAAAATGAAGTTTGCGACGTCGGGGCGAACAAATTCTGCTCGAGGGAGTCCCGGTCGCGGGGGTAAATCTCGGAAGCGATCGATGGGCGGACATCGGGATGATTTTTGGCTGATAATCGGGATGTCCGCGTTCTCGATGGGTGCAATGGTCACCGAGCGTCCTCGATGTCAGCATGTTGTACACAGCTACGTACTAATGACCAGGTTTTGAGATATCGCCATCTTTCACAGCTGCTCCATCGCCCATGCCAAGATAGACCAAGACTCATCATGTCAGAAGTCTTCTCGATCGCCTCGAGTAGAGAGGAGGACGAGGATGACCTATTCGGCTCGAGCGGCAATGCCGCAGCTTCTTCATCTCGGGCGGGAAGAACACCTACTCGAAAACGTAATGCTGAGAGCGCTCAGCTTTCCGAAAGTAAGTACCCAGTCTCATATTATCGGCAGTCACTGAAATTAATCATGTCACTGTACTCAGACTCGCCAGCTCATCCCCTACGAAGATCCTTGATCAAGGCGCAGATCGGCAACACATCGCTTGAAGCCAAAATATTCGCTCTCGAACAGCGATTGAAGAGGAGGGATGAAGAGCTCGATACGAACCGGCAAGAGACGGATAAGTTGATGCAGGATCGAAGGAATCTCAATAGAGGTTACGAGTCGGCCATAGCAGCTAGAGATCAGGCTAGACAAGAGCTGGAAGCCGAGAAGGTTTGTCCGGCCTCTTCGTTAATATGGAGGGGTCGAGTATGCTTAATGGGGCGGTTGGGAATAGACACAAGCAAGCAGGAACCTCGAGCAACAAAACACCCAGAGGAGACAACTCGAAGACCAAAACATCTCCCTTCGCGATGAGCTCGCCAGTCTAGGCCGGACTCATGCACAAACAGTCAGCCAATCCCGATCCGAAAAAGAGCTCTTGCAGCATCAGATCGATCGGCTAGAGGAGGAGCGGGATAGCCTCATTCATATGCGTCAACAAGCGCATCAGCTCAGTGAGACTTTGGAGAGGAAAGAGCGCGAGCTGGAAGACGTGCGGACGATCCTAGCAGGGGAACGTGAGAGGTCGAATGACCCGGACTCTCATGCGGGGACGAGTAGTACCCCTTCAAGCGGGGCCGAGACCGACCTCAAAGCCGAGCTCAAGCGACAAGCATCCATGCTCAATGCGCTCGGGAAGACGAACCACGCGCTTCAGAAGGAGAACACCGAGCTCAGGTTGAGGCGGGATAATGTAGAACTGCTGAACAATGAAGTCAAAGCGTTGGGGAAGAAGGCAAAGGTGGCGGAGAACAAGTTGGCCGTTTGTCAAGAAGCTCTGGACCGAGCGCGGAAAGATATGGAGTGAGTCCCTGGGTACATACGTGACGAAGATCGATCCTGATGTATTGTCTTTCGCTTCGGCTATAGCATGTTGACGATCAACGTCCCGCTGTCTGCTGGGAATACCTCTGAGGATCACACCACCACGTCTAGCACGGAATACCTTTCCTTGCAGCATCGACTATCGCAACTCTCAGCAGCCCATTCGCTATGTGGTCAGACGATCTCCGCCAAGCAGAGCACGATTCTGGACTATTCGAACCGCCTGGAACAGATTAGCAGGGAAACCGCTATCACCCTGGACGAGCTGCAAAAACGCGCAGAGACGGCCGAGCGCGAATTGAGGTGGGCCAGCGAGGGAAGACAGAGTGCGGAGAAGCGATTAAGATTGGCAAGGGAAGAATTGGAGGTCTTGCGCTCGAGCAAGGTGAGCGGGATCCTTTTTAGCAAAATTATTCCCTAACTGATTAAGCTGAATCCCTTCCATCAGACTCCCGCTTCCACCGGAGCCGTTTCATCATCTACAACAGAGGACGCGACGGAACTCCGGCGGCAGATCGCGCTCTACAGGAAGGCGATCGATGATTACCAGGAGGATAACCGCGATAATCAGGCCAAGGCCATCCTGGACCTCGATCTGGTCAAGAGGGCAGATCTCACGGCTGCACTCGACAAGTGCAAAGCGTTGGAACAAGGTCAGCTCTGGCGTCGTCATAATGATGTAGCCTGATGACTGAGTGTCGCTTCTCTTGCATACAGAATTGGACGCGTTGAAGCAAACCATTACTCAGCACGAGGAGCGTTACGAAGACGTCCGCGGAGCCGCGGAAGACATGGAACTTCGGCTCGGGTCCGGAGAGTACAATACCAAAGTCTGGCGAGCAGTCGAACTCAGCGGGAGCCCCGCTGCCAAGGACTATGCCATCAGGAAAGAAACGCTCGAGAAGCTCAAACAGGAGAACGAGGCCTTGATTGCCAAGGTGACGGATATGCAACGTGCTGGGGCATCGTCTTCTGGAGGTAGTACAGAGAAGACGGTACCGATCGAGGTGTTTGAGCGTCTAAGAGAGGAGCAGGAGGCAGAAAAGGCGTTGCATGAGAAGCGGTTGCTGCGATTGCGTGAGGTGAGCCAAGCTTTCAAGTAGCCGTATCAAATGAAGAGAGCTGACGCCAATCCTCTTGCAGGCCTTTGCTGCTCGCTCCAAAGAGTTTCTCGAGTCTGTCCAATCTCTGCTCGGTTGGCGGGTCCGTTTCGGCGAGAACGGCTCAGACGTCCGGCTCGAATCGATGTACGCAGCCAAGAGCGGCAAGATGGGTCTCCGGCTTGTCTTCAAGAGCGAGGGGGGCCATTTCGGGACGATGAAGATGATGGGTGGGATGGGAAAGAATCTGGAACACGTCAAGGAGTATTGGGTGTTGCAGCGGCAGAGCATTCCCGGCTTCCTGGCTCAGGTGACTCTGGAGGCTTTCGAAAAGACTACGGTCCGTATATCATCTGTGGATTTGATTCGATTTCGAGGCAACGAGACTGATCCATGTGAATGTGCAGATCGGACGGCTTGCGGGTTATGCAGGCAACGAGGATGTCGAAGAAGACGACGAATGATTACGACCTGCTTATGATATGCATGACTATTTATACTGTGCCAGACCTGTTGATCTGCTTCAAACCAGGCGAGGCGGCGTATGCCATGTTTGTCGATGTGGTAATGCGGCGAAAGGATCGCTTGTACTAGATACATGGAACAGAGAATTTGAAAGTGTAGCCTATGGCTATCTAAACTCGCCTTACATCTCTCCGCACTCTACGATCTGCACCCTCAACTTCGGTCTATCATTGACACCAGTCGGTACGGCTTCGATCTTTCGTACGCTCAACATGCTCTGTCCGTCTGGCACTATTCGGCCGAAAACCACGTGCTTGCCATCCAAGAAAGACGTCTCTGTCGTCGTAATGAAGAACTGAATGGGAAAGGGTTGGATGGTTAGCGATCCCGAACCTGTCAGACGCTATGAGATGTCAGAGGACGTACTTGACATCCGTTGGTATCTTTCCCGCTGTTTGCCATGCTCAGTAAACCGGGTTGGTTGTGTTTCACTTGAAAGTTCTCGTCCTTTACGATCGACGAACCCGAAGTCAGTACCGCTATCCAGATCTTTCAGGTTCCGCTCTTCACTAACGGCAAATTTCTGGCCTCCGTAGATCGAAAAGGTCCCTGTTCCGTCCCCGTTCACGAAATCACCTCCCTGAATGACGAATGACGGTACGACACTGGATACATGTAAACGGCAGGCGTTAGCGTAGCCTGCCAGCATGTTGTTGTGTACGACCTACCGATGGAAGGTCGCACCCTTGTATCCCTGAGGCACACCGTTCTGCCTACAGATAGATCAAGAGGTGGTCAGATCAAGACCATGTAATTCCGAGTAGCTGCCGAGACATACCTGTGTTCTCCCGTACAGAGCTGCCTGAAGTTCTCGGCAGTTCTAGCATCGATGAAAACCGCACTTAATCAGCTCAAAGCATTTGAAGAGGCTACGCGAATGGCCTACGAACTTGGGTACCACGTCGTCGAAAAGCTCCATACGTATTCTTGGCAGCTTGCTTTCGCCAATCTGTACATCGAAGAACACGACGGGGCGTGTATGTCCGGCGGAGGCATCGGGTGGGCCGTTCATAGTCGGATTACTGATTGCGTATGTTCAGGCTTTGACGGTGCTGAGAGATGAGAGAGGCTAAAGTCTTATGGCAGCGGCTAAGACGAATTGAGTAAACTACTAGATCACTAGCTCACTAGATCGATGCCCGGCCCTATTTTAGCGGTTGATGAATACACCTTCGACTTCTGTCCTGAGACTTCTCGTAGACGCGTCAGGTCGAGCGTGATCTAGCGTGATATGATCAGCATTTCAGCAAACCCTACTTCACGATAAGTTTGTCTTGCTTGACGGCCCGACGCATTCCTGATTGAAATGGCACATCAGCAAACTTTGCTTTGACATTCTTTGATGCTTGGACTGCAGCAGTGACTACGAAATATCGCGTTCTTCATGTCGTTCCATGAGGAGGGAATATGGCTCGGGGCAGCGTGCTGAGCGTTGCGCGATCCTGCTTTTGAGTTGCTGGCTGGCGGAACAGTCATGGGCAACGAGCTGTCATGAGCCAGGTCTTTTATGTAGAGTCTAGAAAATGAGAGTAGACGCTAAACATCGGTCATGGTCGGAACACCGGAGGGGCAACTCAAGCTTATAACCTGGGTCGAGCCGTCGACCAACGATACAGAACCCTATCCTGTGTCAAAATGGACTTCATTTTTGACCGCCAGTATAGATTTAGAAGATGACAGCCAATCAAACGTGTAGAATAGCGGATTGTTTTATGGATACTCAGTAAGAAGAACAACAGCTGCGAACATGAACGCTGAATGATGGAATGGTTGACGCAATGACAATCATAACAGCCGCAATCGAGGGTGATGATAACAATGAGATGAGGACCTGGCCAGGTGATGAGAAGTGAGAAACACGAGAACATCGACATTATAGCAGCATCGACCGCTACGATCCGCAGACCTTGAGATTATGGCAGGACAAAACACCGAGTCGCAACCCACAAAGACGGTTCACTCGTAGGCTCGTCAAGGCGATTGAAAGGTGACCCCTGTCTGAACACCAATGCGCTTGTTTCCGAGGCTCCTTAGGATTTAAATCTCTTTCCCTGCTGGATGCTGGAATCACAGGATCGTGCCAATCGATGCGCCTCTGGTAGTTGCCCGACGACAGCATATTCTGAAACGCGTTTACGTCATTCATTGCCCCCCCTCCCCCCTCGTGCTGCTTCCGCGGTCTACGGGTGCGCGGTGCATCAGCTGTGATCTGTAGTTTGCAACAACGATCTATGGATAGCTACTTTTTTTGGCACTACAGCTTCCGGTACATCCAGTATACAGCATCAGCCTATCTTTTCCACAACACAACGATATACTGTATTCAAGTTCCGCATGTCGAGATCGACGCCGGTCGCGCAACGGAACGCGATGATTAGTGGGTGAGTCAATCCCCCCTCCAGGCTAGTGCCCACCTCTCTGCGGTGATGATGATGGATTGCCTCTCTCCTGAAATTTCTCTTGACAGAACGCATCCAGAGCATCTCGACAGCACAGCCGTTCTCGGAGGTTCTTCCTCCAAAGACATTGACACCCTCTCTGACGACAATATTCGAGCTAAGAAGAAGATGAGGGGCAAGAGGAAGGGTGCGGGGGCGAGCGAGGGCGTCAGCGAGGAGATTAGGATTGATAGGTCAATGAACGCATGAGCGAACAAGGCCATGACGAGCAGGGGCAGAACGGGAAGGGCGAAAGGAAGGACGGGAGCAAGGAGGTAGAGCCGAGGAAACGTAGATCGGGGCACCTTCAGCACCAGGGTCACCATCCCGGTCCAGCAGGGTCCGTCTCGTCGGCTGTCAAGCCTTCCCGCAAGGTTCAGGCCGCCATCCGTCGCAAGGCCCTCGCAGCCGTCGATTTTTACTCAAGAACTGGATCCACCGCTGGACTAGCCGCGTTCCCCTTCTTAAATACCGAATCCCCCAAAGCTGAACTTCACGGACCTATTGTTCCACCACCCACACCATCGGCTTTGGAAGATACGGGGCCGGCTTCGAAAAAGCGACATCGAACAGGTCCATCTCTCTCTCGTAAACTTGAAGAGTGGCGCAAGGGCGAACGATCAGAGAAATACCTCTTCGGGTAGAGTCATCGGAGCTAGAATTTCGAAGCAAAAAACGATCTAGGAGGAGGAAAAATACGAAAATCAAACGGAATACGGGCACTTAATGTTGGTTTTTATGACACTTGAAAGAAACGTTCGTACATCTATGTTGTTACGATGCATGCACAGTATGAAGACTGCTGGTAAGACTGGTGATGTCCACGATGTTAGTCACGAATTTATGTCAGTCTGTGAGAAGTCTGTTTTTGTGAAACCAAACGTGTTTCGACCGATGCTTGCATCCGATCCTGAGACTTCTCGCAGACGCGTCAGCGAGCGTGATATCGTCATCATCATCGTATCGAGGTTTCGCCTCTGATACTCTAGATCTGACATCGATAACATCATCTTTAGCTGTCTCCTTGTTTCCAGAATTCGAAGCTAGAGGATTTTGACCCTGAAATCAGCCACAGATCCCTCTGCACGATGTCCAACCCCAACGTTCCACCTCCCGCCTACTCTGACAATGCTCCTGCCCAGAAAACTTACGGGGCGACGACCTCGCCTACTTCAGCTGCCGAACCCCTTCTTGGAGCTCAACGAGGCATGCTCGCCAGCGGATCTGGCCGGGATGCCTGGATGGACTCTGGTGACGATATCGAGGCCGCCGGAGACGACTTCAAAGATGACAGGCCCGTAGACGAATGCGACCAGCTCATCAGGATAGGCTTTATCAGACGGGTCTACAGGCAGGTCGAGGCCGGATGTCTAAACAAATTCTGACTATCATAGGCTGAACAAATGCGGGTTCTTCTCCTTTCAGTATTCTACTTTCTCAGTTAGCTCTGACTACCGTGGTCGCTGGGTGGTTGCACCTTTCGCCCACTGCCACATCGATCATGCACAAGACGTAAGCCCTCGCCATATCCCAAAACTTGGTAAGCATAACACGACTGACTTCCGCATGACACCCTCTACAGCCCGTCCTTGATATTCATCCCCATGATCGGAACATTCTTGACCCTCTTTGGGGTTTCAGTCCGCCGCCACTCATATCCTAGCAACATGATCCTCTTGGGCCTGTTCACGCTGTGCGAGAGCTTCTTGGTCGGAATGGTCACTTCCTACTATGAGAGCCGCATCGTCTTGCAAGCCCTCGCCTTGACTTGTCTGGTATTTGTCGGGCTTACGCTTTTCGTCTGTCAGAGCAAAGTAGGCCCTGGTACTGGTTGGTATTTGCTATGCCCTGAAGCTGATATACTCCTTTGGTACTCGCAGTACGACTTTTCCGGGATGGGACCCATGCTCTCGGCTGGTCTTTGGGGATTGATCGGCGTGGGATTGATTCAGCTCTTCCTGCCATTCTCCACCACTACCGACCTGGTGGTATCCGCTTTTGGGGTGATAATCTTTGCGGGATACGTGGTGTTCGATACGTTCAACATTATGAAGCGTCTGAGTCCGGACGAGTACATCTTTGGCGGTGCGTATTCTTCACACTCAGAGGGAACGTATCCCCGCGCCGTTTCTAACCAGACTCTGCGTCACCTCTAGCGTTGAGTCTCTATTTGGATTTTCTGAACTTGTTCTTGTACATACTCCGAATCGTAAGCTCCTCTCTCCAGTTGCGTACGAACACAGAAAGCTGAAATCCACCCTTTCGCAGCTCAACGATTCGCAGAGGAACTGAAGAACCGGCGATCGTAGTTATAAGCCCTGACTTCAATCACCATCCTGCTCCGTGTCTCTAATTGTATGATGACGCAACTCAATCTATGTATCCGATGAAACTATTTTGACAGCCGATTGCTCGGTGGTGTGGAATGTGACTGCGATTCCAATTAGTCTCCCGATTGCGAGGTCGCGATGGAATCTATATTACAAGCTGGTAACACCAATCACAGTCCCTTGTTAAAGTAAAGCTTCTCTCGATAGTGGTGGAATCGCTCCTCGAGCTGATCGGGATCCACAGCGGCACGTTGGGGGAAATAACCAATTGCAGGTGGAAGAGCGAGACCGAGTGAGAGGCCGACTGGGAACAGAAGAGTTCGTCAGCCTTGCGAAACAAGTGGTGTAGCGTGTCGAGACTCACTCAAGGTAAGCTGAGTCGCAGTACTGAGGAGTTTGCCCCTCGGACCCACGAACGTCCCTCTCTTCTCAAGCAGTGACATGAGGACGGGAGGAAGGACGAGGGTAGGGATATTAGTTAGTACACGGCTCGCCGCAGACTGTCCCACCGCCCGTTTTCCAGCCTCCGAGCTCTTGCCCACTACTTCGATCTCCTCGTGGCCCTTGGCATCATCGTATTTCAGGCGAAACACCTGAACACCTTCTCGCATCTCCTTCCACCGAATGCAAGAGATGTTGACCACTCCGGCTGAAGCGACAGAGACAAAAGGTACCAATCGCGCCAGGACCGAACGCATTCCTTGGGAAACGGGTAGGCGAGGGACAGCTTTGGTCAACCCTACAGCGAGTCCGACAGACGTCGCGGTGGCAGCCATATACGCTGGTGATACTTCGTCAAAATCAGCATACGTATCTATCTCGAGAGTCGAATCAAGGCCTGACCTATACCGATCTCCTGGTTGGACATCTGGATGCTCTTGTTGCTGTTTGCTAGATTCACCCCCACATTTAGAGATTGATTCGCCCATTGGGTGCCGATGATGGATATCAGCTATGAAGAAGGATATGAGGCTGTGAGCTGAGCTCGTTCCGTCTATATGTGCCCTGTAAAGCCTACCCCCGGGTTAGGAATTAGCATTCCTGCCTATGTGTATGATTAGAGTTTAGCGATTTACAGCATCGGCCAGCAATACCATCACCAACGTACTACGATGATCAGATTAGTAGGTACGAAAGCACTCATCCTGAAAGGCAGAGCTATAGGTTCGAGCGTATCCGGATGAATGGAGGAGTTGACGACTATAGAAGGGGTAGTGAGGACGTTGAGCTTGCATATTCCTGTCGACACTGCTCTATACAAAATACTCACGCTGCTTGGCTTTGTCGTAAGCCGCTTTTTGCTCCGCATTCACATAGTACCCCTTCTTCCCGGCTTCTTTGATCCGTTCATCGTATTTCTGGGCAGTCTTCTGTGCCTCCAACAAGGCGTCATCCGAGTAGAATAGAGTAAGGGGGGAAGTAGCGGAGTAGAAGTTGGCGACACGTCCTGCGTATGTGCTCAGATCGAATCTGGGTTTGGCTTTTCGACAAAGAGATCAGCTGAGCTGTGACGCATCATGACAAGCAGACTCACAGATATCGAACAGCTCCTGCTGCTCTTTTTGGACGGACATTCTCGCGACCTCGTGTTGTAGTACTGTTGAAGGTACTGTAGGCTCGTAGACAATCCGACGCTCGAGTACGAAAGGATGAAAGGATAGGCTATAGGCTGCCGATCACAAATGATGCAGCCCGAGGGCGACCTCCACTTTTTCGGCCGAACAGCAATGACCGAGTCATGCACGCGCAGGGGATCGTCAAGAATCTAGAATCAAGTATCCTATGGTGGTATAGTACTGCAGGGACCTGGTAATTGATCTACAACTAATTCTGATTGGATGGACTGCCTCAACTACGTGACTTTGGACTCGGCACATCTCCTGGCGACGATGAAAGTAGTCCCGAAGGTAACGAGGACCGCCCTGATCCATCTGTACTCTGTGTCAGACTAGAAGCAAGTCGAGCTTCCGCCGATCTGGTGCCTCCGTCCAGAGATGATGCCCTTTTTCCTGTCCTTGGCTCGCTACTGCTGCGAACCTGCCTCCCAAGCGCTTCCCCATCCGAATTGGCATGCTCATGATGATGATGATGCCGCCTGAGAGCGAATCCTGGGGAACTCGTATTGAACCCGATGGAGAAGCCCGCTGGCATTCCCGGAGGCGCGAGCTCCGGTATCAGCGTCCCGTAACGAGCTTGATAGCCCGATGAACGCCTGCGTCTGGGCGATACAAGAGGAGAAAGAGGCGGGGTACGGGCTACGTCCTCTTGCGTAGCAAGTGCGCTCGAGTTGTGATGGTCCAAGCCATCCCCACCGGGCTCGTCTGTAAAGGCTTCGCTCCAGACCGGCGATGCATCTTCCTCATCGTCCGTCAGATCTGCCTCGTCTGCCCAAGATCCAAGTTGCACTCCTCCCTCGCCGGTATCGGCCTTGACAGCGGAGACTGACCAGACGCCAAGCAGCAAGACGGCAATGCCGATAGTGACGAGGGCTATCTGATGAGGTGCCAATTCGGAGAATTGAGAGTAAAAGACCAGGCCATCTATCAGAGGGCAGGGATGTTCAGCCAACTATGCTATTCTTCGTAATCGAAACCAGCTCACCGAAGATGCTGGAAATATTGTAAAAGCAAAATGCCAACGGACAGATCATCGCTGGTCCCGCCAATCTCAGCGAGTAGTTGAGGTAATATAGCTGCGCGAGCGCCGTGATTCCCAAACCGACCAGGAGGATCCAGCTCTGGACGGATTTGAACTGATTTTGCTTGCCCTTCGAGGCGAAAGTCAAAATGAGGAGCTCGACCGCGCATTTCGCAAATAGCAGCGACATTCCCGATAGCGTGCCCGAGCATGCCGCGAAGGATAGTCCCAACAGGGTTTTCGACTCGCTATCGATGACAGTGTGCTCGACGTCCCCATCGGACCCGTCGTCGGTCACACTCAAGTCCTTGTAATGCACCCGCTTGGCAGGCCGTATTGCTTTATCCGGCTCGCCTTCGACAGGTTGTCTACGCAAAGCGCTCCTGGTGACCGGAGTTGAAGGTGGGCTCGGCGTAGAAGACTCATTGTCCACGACTGCAATCAGCCGAGGTGCGGATGCGGTCTTGAACGGTATCGAATTCTGTCGATTGTCAATACTGCCGTAATCCGATGGATCGGGGGTGGCCTCGGAATCTTGAGGCAATCTAATCGTCCCCGTCCTGTCTCGACGGTGGAGTCCAAATTCTACCAGGTGACTCTACTCACAGTGTCATGTTGAGCAAGACGAAGCTTTGGTCTGTGATCGGCGAGACTCACTACGGCTAGCACAGCGACGACAGTTAAGCTCATCAAAGTGATATACACGACGAATCCCTTCCTTCGAAACAGGGTCATGAGCTCGTCGAGGGTGTGATTCTCTTCAGGGACTACGCCGAATATCGCGATCAAGCTGGCTCCAGTCGCGATGAGGCAGGTTCCAGCTAGTGTCCGTACTGAAAACCGTTCTCTCAATAGCAATCGTGACAGTACCGCGTTCCATAGAAGTGAGACCTAGTGTGAAACATCCATCAGAGATCGCTCGATCGAAAGGCGTCTTACGTGTCACCAACTCACAGCTCCAAGTGGTGCGAGTACCACTATAGGAAGTGCTCCGATCTGGAAGACAGTACCAAAGAGATTTGAAGTGATGAAGACCGCTGCGAATAAACATTAAGCTTAGCTCTCGAGGTTTGTCTATGTCACCTAGATGGACCCACCAAACCCGAAGAGCCACAATCTGAAAGAATGGGCCACCTCAGCCTACACGGCCTGAACTACAATCCTGGCTAACGGACTCACGGTCGTCGATAGGTCTTCTTCTGCTTTGATAATGGCAAAGAATCATTTTGGATATGACTCTTCCGCTGTATGGTCAACCCTGGATCGAAAAGCAAGAACCGGTTAACTTTCAGCAACCGGCTTCCCTAGCTGAGCGTCCCACCGTCCGAGCTGACCTAGTGATTGCACGAACGAAGCCAGGAGACCGACCAGGATCCCGACTACGATAGGTATCCCTGCCTTTCCAGCGTTGGGCTCTTCCATCATGAAAGATCAAGCTCGACCAGGCGTTCTCTCGATCGAACAAAGGTTCCGGTGATCCGAAGGATAGAGCGACCGATATCAAAAGTCTACGCCGAGGTCCTTTCTGCCATTCAAGCTCCGAGCGGCGGGAGAGATAGGCTGGCCAACGAGGATGATATGCTTTTGTTGAATCGATACAGACGATAATACAGTTGTACAGCGTCCAAGCTTACTAGTGAAGTGAACAGTTGCAACTGATTCTACTGATCAAATCGCCGTCGTTGCCTCGACGATGTCGGGCTCGCGCGACAAGTCGCGATCTGGCTTGGGGTTGCCGTTCTGAGCGTCCGAGGGAAAGTCAACCTCGATATAACTGGCCTGTATCTGACCTGCCCGCTACAAATCGTCTTGCATCTCCGTCTGTGAGTTTTGATACAGAATAGGGTATAGTATGCTACAGCTATCGACTACAACGCCTTTCTACGCACACGAGAATGAGCTCGCATCAAGCAAGCTCTCGTGTATCGTTCAATCTGCTCCGCTCTTCTCTTTCTCGAGCCTCTCAACGTCGTCGGCATCGTTCACCTTGAGAGCTTTGGCGAATTTGATATAGTCGAACCGCTCTTGCTTGTCCGAATATGGGCCGACGAGAAGACGATCGATCTAACAAAGGATAGGGTTGCAAGGGATCAGTAAACAAGGCTCAATGGCAGGTGACGGCAATCGGACTCACCTCCTTATCCGTCATTCGGTCCCCGTACTCCTTGAGCCAACCTCTCAGACCAGCAGGTTCACCGACCCTATCTACCTCTTCTTCCTGACCCATCATCCGGCCTTTATCACGGGGAACATCAATCAACCCATCATCATCCTCGTCAAAACAGGCAAAAGCGTCCAAGATCTCTTGCTCCGTGTCCAGCTCCAATAGCTTTTGACCGAACAGAGTGAGGAATTGGGCAAAGTTGATGGATCGCGGTTGAGAGCCGGAAGGTACCGAGCCTGAAGGAGGGGTCAAAAGTGTCTGCAAGAGAGAGGTCGAAGGGGTTTGTCCTGATCACCGTAACGATATCAGCTCAGTGTCCAAATCCGCCCGATAGATTATGGTATCGCTCACCGAGATTCCCCATAGTAACTCTCAGATCCTCCTCAGTGATCTTGCCATCACCGTCGGCATCGATCAAAGAGAAAGCTTCTTTAAACTGTTTGATCCTGGGATAATCGTCCTTTCAGCTCGAGCTCCGATCATAGAACAGTATCTAGATACGACTGACTGTTGTGGGTTGAACAATTGGAAGACCCCTCCACTGGCCTCTCTGGGATGCCTGCCACTCCGCTGGCGAGCTGCCGCACCGGGTGAGAGGTGCGAATGGTTGACCGAGGTCGAGGACGGTCGACCTAGACCGAGCGACTGTTTTGGAGAGATGCACAAGCTTCCGATCAGCTTGTCTGCAGGGTGAACTTCGTTTGACCGTCAAGCTTCACCATGAGCAAGCGTTGATCTTGTTGTGTATGGATGAGCAGCTGATGGTGATCCAGTTTCGTTCTCTGATGATAGTTCGGCGCGAGTACTTTTCAGGACACCCTTTTTCGGCCGGTATAAGGATAGATAACGGCGATACTTCGATCAATTGTCAGTTCAGCACCTGGAAAAGTCCAAGCAATCGCATCCGACGGGCTAACGATGCATCTGAAAAGGTAGCGAGTCCCATCAACGAGGGATCCCTTCGGCCTGGTGCTCGCTGCTCGCCGAGGGTTGTTTTGTTTGTTGTCGCCAAAAAGAAAGATGTCAGCAAGCGGGAGCGCTTTCGGATGTTTTACCTGCCTTCGGTCTGCCAAAGGCGCTAGTCCTTCCAGCGAGTTCATGCGTTGGATGTATTGGCTTTACTGGCAAGCGATCCTGATGTATATCTTGGGTCTCGTGAAATCGGAGGCCAGATAAAACCCCCTTTGGGAGGCGTGAAAGGCGTGTGAACTGGATGAGCTTGTCATTCCTCGAAAGTGAGTTCCCGTACGTCATGTCTATGTGATCTGTGCTATGGGCAACTGTGCTGATTTTCGTGAACATACATGAGGACCCATGCTAGAAGTGTGTGTACATAATGGTTGAGCAGACAATATACCTCGCACACTTTCTTCTCATGTTACAAACGAGTCTGCATCTTTAATCCAGCCTACCTGAGGTCGAACAGGTGGTCACCAACTTCATAGTCAAGGAGTTCAAAATTGGATAAGCAGGTCCGTAATCGGAGCACCGGGACGGATTTTCACCTATACTCGGCTCTGAGGCATGGCGCCGGTCTACAAGGGAAAGCTGCCCCGCTTGGAGGCGGATCATGTCTCGCATAAAAATGGAAAATATAATCGAGAGTCATACATCTGATATACAGGACGCCGCGATCCTTCCTACAATGGTATCTTCCGTTCAAAACACGAGGTCCATGTCGATGCCAGACGGGATATCTCCTATCGGTGATAACTGGGGCGCGTCCGAGCTCGCACCAGCCCATCTAGCGGTGGCAACCGAGAGAGCAACCGAGGCTGGCTGCCAAAGTCGACTGTTGCGTAGAACATCTCAGTGCGGGATCACAGCTGAGTAACACGGCCAGGCTTACATGGTATCGTCATCGGCGCAAGACGCAAAGAGATCAGGGTAGACCGGATTCCAAGCTACAGCGTTGATGACGCCCTTGTGACCATCCAACTTTTCAAGCAGCTTTCCGGTATCCTTCTGCCACACGTAGATGCGCGAGTCTGCAAGAAATGCCCCACGCAATCAATTAGGACCGATACTTCCAGAAACCACTTGACCGCACGTACCCTCGCTTGCACTAATCACAAAGCTCCGGTCGCGACCGCCAAAACAGCTCTTGATCTGATACTCCAGATGTTGATGTTCCGTGTATCGCCGTACTAGGCCGAAGTTATCTTCGACATTCCACAATTGTAGATCCTGCAAAGAATAAGGTGTCGAGCTTGAGAGCTTGCTTATCAGCTGACGTTCTATCCGCCGGTGCTCACGTTGGGCGCTGCGGTCACTAGCGCTTGGTTCCCGTCGTCCGATAAAGAAATGCTTCCCATCTCTCCTCCAAGGCTTCTTCGTCTGAATTGCCACATATTCAGCTCAATCAAACTCACACCAAGCACCGCTATTGGCGACCCGGGACCCACGCAATGACGTTACCATTCGCAAGGTCGTAAATCACGATATCCCTCTCCATCTTGCCGATGCTATAATTCGGCACACTGCTGTTCTCGTTGAGCACAGAACCGGTCCGGCCAGGAATTGCGCCAGCCACCGGTAAGCGCGAAGCAGTAGGCCGTAGGTTCCCATGAGTCTGCCCGCCAACAACGTTCGTGATTGCTATGATCCGATCGAGATCCTTTGACACCACAAAGTCGAATATCCGCAAAGGTCCGGTGGGTAATGTCGACTTGAGCTTTCCGTCTCTCGTCTAAGACGATGATGCGAACCTCTCGTCAGGCACCCGACCCTGTGGGTAAGCAGATCCAAGACAAATCGGCTTACCCATGTGACAATCTTCTGATCCATAGCTGCTGTCACAAATCCAGCCTCATTTGAGATCCATTGTACCTGGCTGACCGTGTCATGATGTGTCTCCGGCAGGTACGCCAATTGAACGCCCATCTTGATTTTGCCAGAGGGTCAATCAGTTCCAAGAACCAATGCTGTAGCAGAATTGACGGACGACCTACTGTCATGTCCCACAGGATGACGGTCGATTCCGCCGCAGATACCAGTCTAGATCCATCGGGCGACCAAGCGAGCGCAGAGACGGCCTCAGAATGCCCGCGCAGCGTCATGTGCTTCTCGCAAGTCCGCGTCGGCGTGGGCTGAAGTCACGGGTTTATCAGCGTCTTGATTCTGTGGCACAAAAACCAAGCACACGAGCTCACCTCGACCTTCCAGATGATAATAGACATGTCTTTACCCGCACTCGCCAGATACCGGCCATCACGACTCCACTGGATAGTCCAAACTTCGTCGGTATGCTCCGCCAGTACGTGGGTGGCGACAGTGGGGAAAACTTCCCGCTTACAGCGATGATCGCTCAATAGCGTCTCGGCTGGATAACCGCTATGGTAAACGCAATTACCTTCTTGGTACTTTCTAGCTTGGTCGAATAGGGTCGCGAGTCGTTTTGGCGGCATAATGACACCAGTCGGCAGGAACTCTAAAGGCAAGATGGTTTGAGACAAGGTTCGTTGACCGCGTGTTCGCTCGAACGCTCACCTTGTAGGTCGTCCAGTAGTTCTTGTCTAGAAGAACCCGTCGCCCCATCCCATTTAGCTTTGGCATAAAGATCTGCCTTCTTCATGCACATCATCAACCTGCAACAATGTGGACGTCAGCGAAATGTCGATAACGTCATACCAGAATCTCAACCCACTCACCCGGAAAGCGCATGTAATTTGGCCGTATCCGTCGCAGCGGGAGCCACCTCCAGCCTCAAGACCTTGAGCGCTCGGACCGTCTGTCCAGCTTCGATCAACTCGAGGTACTTTTGACGTAACACCATGAAGATGGCTCGTCGACCGGGAGTGTCCTGTTTCTTCGAGTTCGAGCCGCTTCCGTTTCTAAACGTGAGATCGGCACTATTGGCTCCGTTCATATCAACGTCCATGTCGGCATCAGGCATCGAAGAGCCGGATTCGTAACTACCGGGCATCCCACCGGGCATAGTCAAAGTGTCCGGGAGAGAACCCCCATCAGCTCTCCTCATCAAGCTCGAACCCGAATCCGCGGTCGAATTCCGATCCACATCCCCGCTCTTGCGTCGCATACTGTTCTTGCGCCCCGAACCCCTATCTTCGGGCAAGACGACTCCGAGATCGCTCAACAGGTGGATAGCCTCGGACCATCTCCCACCGAGGATAGCTTGGCGGAACGATCCCGCTAGAGCTGGTTCTTGCACGTAACCGGACTCGGCTTCGAGGACCTCTGCCGATTGACTGTGACAGAAACAGGTATACGCAAGCAAGGTAGACTCAGTTTGGTTCGTTCTAACAAAGTAGCTAATGTTCGTATAACTGACCTATAGCCGATATCCCTTAGAGCTTGGAGCATCAACCTGACAACCTCTTCCCTCTTTGCCGGAGTATGCGCCCCCTTCGACCCTTCAATTGCCACCCCAACTCCATCCACACCACTTCCACTCCTACCGAACTCTGGCTCAGCCCTCTGCTTGCCCTTCCCCTTGACTTCCCCATTACCGCTCCCGTCGACATCACCGTTGCTCTTGCTCTGGTCCTGAGAACCAGATCCAGCTGTAGAGGTCGACCCCGCCATCCTTGTAGCAACCGGGTACATCCACTCTCCATCCAATTCGACCCTTCGGATCCGAGCAGCTAGCGATCCCGGTACGCCTCTTCCAGTTCCATTTCCAGTCGTACCTGAAATTACACTGGCGGCATCTCCGTTGACACGACCAGCAGACCCGTTGGTAATCCCGTTTCCGTTGATATTCCCATTCATCTCGGCCGTTTCAATATTTTCCGACCTGGATCTCGATCCCGAGCCCAGTCCCGTATCTTCGGTGTTGATGGCGGAAGTGGTAGACGAGTGAGCGGAAATGTCAGCCTCTGGCTTCGGCTCAGGGTCGTCTATGTCTAGGCGGACCCTCTTGTTAGGTCTCCCTTGTTGAGCAGACGAGCTATGTGCCGAATTAGCGAGCGCAAGGTCGGATGGACTTGTGGGGGCCGAAGAGGGGGATCGCGAACGGGGTCTTCGAATACCTCGGCTTCCGGAGTTGGGAATCGAAACGGATGAGGTTGGATGAGCAGCGGTGACGGTGTCGGGCCTTTCTGACTCGTGCGTAGAATTGGTGAGCGTTCCGGTTTCCGTACTCCTAGCAGTATTACCAGTGTTCGGAGTAGCAGCAACTGTGGAGGTTGAGGTATTATGAAGGGGTGTCGCTGGAGGTGAGAGGGTGGCGGGGGAAGACGTCTTGATCGGCCTGAGTAGAGAGGACGGGTGACCGCTCCTCCGTGAATTGTATGGGTGGGATTGAACTGGACAGCTTGATTAGGCTCGAAAAGCGATGTCGTAAAGATGGATGAGCTTGTGAAGGGAAGTTGATTTCTGACGATGATGATGGTTGTTGAAGCGAGAGAGGAATCGAGTGGTCTGAAGCGATAGGGTCCAGACGGATAAGAAGAGGTGGGCTGTACGACACGGACCGGTCGAGTTGCGAGTTGATTCGTAAGGTGGTAAGAAGAGGTCGAGTAGTACGGGGTCGTCAAGGTTTATGCGAGACGAAACATTCTCATTGCAGGGTTCGAGCAGGAAGTGACGACAGAGCCCCGATATACCCAGGGTGAGGGAGGTGTCGAGAGGAGGAGGTCGAGGTACAGGTAGCAGGTAGCCAAGGTCGATTGATTGACCTTTGGGATGGTGTCATGTCATGTCAACCATGTCCCGGTGATTACGTAAGTCGGACGCTCGTGCTAGCGTGCTGCTTCCGCTGCTCCGGAGACGACCGGTTAGACGATCACATGATCCTGGCCTCTATCGGTGCTTGGCCCCCCCACTCTATACATATCATGTATAGCTGCAGCTACCAGTCACACGCTCAGTCATCATACCATCTCCTTTGAACCCCGTAGTCACCCTCATTTGACAACCGCAGACATCGATCATGGTAGAAACTCGCCCCTACGGAACCTGGGACTCTCCCTTGCAAGTCGACGAGATCTACAAGGCCGTACGGTGACAACTTCCACGTCGATCGTTCTCACACAACATTCCACTGACTGGAATTCCTCGCAACTTTCTTGTTTTGATCACAGTCATCCACTCTTGCCGAGCTGTACGTCGACGATACCACCCAGGAGATCTACCACGTTGAAGTGAGCCACATTTCTTCCCCTGTCTGCGTCGGCCATCTCCGTAGGGACTCGAGTTCCAAACCAGACCTCATCGCTGACGTGAAACCTCTTTCTTCCAGTCTCGAGCTTCCGAAGGCGGCCGCTCGGTCCTCTGTAAATCCCTATCCCCCTCCAAAGATCTCATCGGACCCTCCTCTAACGCTCGGACCCGGGTACACGAATACGGCGGGAGCGCGGCCACGTTGAGGCATGGATGGGCTTATTATTCGGATTTTGTGGATGGGAGGGTCTTTAGGGTCAAGGTCGGGGAGGATGTGGAGAGTGTCAAAGCCGTTACCCCGGGTACGTGTCAAGTCTGGTGCTGCAGCACCCGAATACGGTTAACCCTGACCGGTTATCTTTCATATCATCATGTTCCTGACACAGAATCCAGCGTCTACCGTTACGCCGACTTTGCGGTTCACCCGCAAAACCCCAACCTCGTCCTTGCCATCAGGGAAGACCATACCATCGATAAACCTAGCAAGGTCGTCAACACGCTTGTCGTCATCAACGCCGCCAACGAGGAGGTCACGGTCGTCGTCGAGGGGAACGACTTTTACGCTAGCCCTCGATGGAATCACGATGGTACCAAGGCCGCTTGGATCGAAGTGAGCAGATTGGTTCGAGACCGAAGTCTGATCAAGTCAGTCGCGCTGAACAGAGTCGGTCTTGATAGTGGTCTCACCCGGACATGCCATGGGAAGGCGCGACGCTCTACTATGCCTCCTTCAAGCTCGAAAACGAACCCAAGTTGACCCGCTCTGTGGAGGTAGCTGGGAAACACAACACCGTCAGCGTTACTCAGCCTCTCTGGGGTTTGGGCGAGAGCAAGGACAAGCTGTTCTTCGCTTCCGATGAGACCGGGTACCAGAACATCTGGGTGGTCGACACCGCCCAGGAAGGTGCCGAAGCGCGCTTGGCCATGAAACAGCTCGACAAGGACTTTACCACACCCATGTGGTCCCTCGGCACGTGCGACTATGCTCTTTTGGATGGGAAGACTGGCCTGGTCGCACCTCTGAACGACCGACCTACTTTGTCCCACTTCGACCTCCGATCTGGCAAGATCGTTCCTATAGCCGGAGGGGAAGTCTATGGCAAGATCGACCAACTCAAACGACTGAGCGATACCCAAGCCGTGTTCATCGGGAGCAAGTCGGACGCTCCGGCCACATTGGTCATCGTCACGTTGGGGTCTTCCGCCGGTCAAGCCGATTTCAGCGAGGTTCAGACGACCAAGCCGGAACATCTCAAGAAACCCGTCGACCCTGCTTATGCCAGTCGACCAGAGACTTACACCCTGAGAGTCCCTTGGAACGAGAACGCAAAGCGACCCGAGGGGATGAGCGAGGATACGAAAGAGGTGGATCTGCATGTGATACTCTTTCCGCCTACGAACCCCAAGTTCAAGGCTCCCGAGGGGACCCGACCGCCTTGTCTCGTCGGGGTTCACGGAGGGCCGTAAGGAGATTTGACAGCTTTCGTTCGAGGAGTGGTTACTGATCTCCTCGTTGCTCGTCATTGGTCCTGCCAGTACGTCGCAAGCGTTCCCTGTTCACAACACATTCTATCAGTATTTCACCAGCAGGGGATTTGCCGTTCTCGATGTCAACTGTGAGTGTTGGAATTTAGTTGGTTCGGTGGTCCTGGCTCATGTGCCAGAGGATCAAACAGATGGAGGTTCTTCTGGGTACGGTCGTCAGTACATGCAACGTCTTTCCGTGAGTCCACCCGTAGCCTTGCAAGACCCCCAATTTTATCTCATGGATCGGCCCTCCTTGCTTAATTGCAGAGCAACTGGGGCATAGTCGACGTCCACGATACTGTCCACGCCGTCAGTAAGCTCGCAGAAATGGGCAAGATCGACGGAGAAAAGGTCGGGATCCGGGGAGGATCCGCAGGCGGGTTTACCACGCTAGCTTGTTTGACGGACAGCCGGGTGTTCAGTATTGGGATCTCGTTGTATGGAGTTTCGGATATCAAGCTCCTGGTCGCTGATACTCACAAGGTGAGTGGATTCGCAATCTAACTGGCGTAGCTCTTCGGAATCATGCTTACCCCGGTACTGTCACTTTTCAATAGTTCGAAGTGAGCTGAAGATTCTGGCTAAGGAAGTGGCCAATATGTCTAACAAATACTTTCTCCTCTCGCAAACAGTCCCAATACATGTTCAAGGTAAGACCATGCACTTACATATCCGTTCAAAGCTTCTGCAGCTAAACATCAATTAAATTTCAGCTTGTTGGTGGGACACCGGAACAGGTCCCTCAGGTGTACCATGATCGATCGCCATTGTACAAGGCAGCAAACATCCGGGCGGCGACATTGATCCTTCAGGGCAACGATGACAAGATCGTACCTCCTTCTCAAGGTGAGCATCCATGGCAATCTGATAGTGGCACGGATTCTTAACATCATGCCCATTTCCTCCAGCCCACGAGATCATCAAGAGGATCGAAGAGGGAGGTCACGGTCAGGTAGAATCGGTCTTTTACGACGGTAAGCAATTCCTGTCTTGTTCTCTTCGGGGCTTTCCCAGTTGACGCTTGCTCGTGCCTTCCAGGTGAAGGGCATGGTTTCCGCAAGCTCGAGAACCTCAAGGATAGTCTCATCCGGACCGAAGCCTTCCTCAAGAAGACGTTCGGTTTGTCGGAAGAGTAGAGTCTTCCCTTTACACTATGATCGGAGGGATTATGTGTTTTGTATGAGATCTTGAATAGGTATAGCCAGTGCATTACGTGGCTGAGTAGCGGGAGTTTTCTGTCTCTGAAGATGAATCCATTTGAATGAGGGCTGTGGTCCCGCCTATCTTCAAAGTTGTTTCAGGATAGCAAGGGATCCAAGGGACGATTATCTTGATAAAGCTCGCTGTCCGGCGTCGATGAACCACGTGTCAATAAGACCACCGGCCGAGCCGAGACCTCGACGTCGACCGACCTCAAGGTGTTGTTGAATGCAACTCTTCGCTTCTTGGCGCTCACTTACATGTGCACAGTTGTGATTGTACTGCAAGTGCTACCCAGCACTTCTTCAAGCTGGTACCTACGAAATGCCGAGCAGAGAATCGTCCGAAGATTGGTCGCTCTACTACGCATATGGGGCTCTCGGCGTTCAGGCATTGCTGCCGATCGTAATCGGGTCATATGCAAGCGTCAAGGTGTGTAGAAGACGGCCGTTACATTGCTCTTGCTTGGCTGACCGTGGTCATTCGACTCCAGACGCCAAAATGGATACGACATCGGGGCAAGGCTACGAAGAAGGAGGTCATCCTGAACCCAGATGATTCTGATGACGAGGACGATGAGGAGGTGGAGGAGCGGATAGGCTTGACCGACAGCTTGATGTTCCCCGTCATTGCTTCGTGCATGCTGCTTGGATTATTCTTGGTATTCAAGTATCTGGATTCCAAATGGATCAACAAGATCCTCGGGGGTTACTGTGAGTCGGATCGAGTCACGCCGGGTCAAGCTGTCGACTAAGTCAAGCCCAACTTTTACGCAGTTGCGTTCGCTTCTGTACTAGCATTCCAGTTCGTGAGTACTGCGATCGACGATCACATAGAGGGACATATTGCCTGATTGTTTGATCACTTTCCAGACCTTCACATACCTCATTAAAGGCGCTTGGAGCAAGTTCTCGAGCAAGCCGTATACCAAGTATCATTTCCGACTAGAGCAAGGTTACAAGCGTTAGTGTCTCCTGGACTTATGTCGAGACTGCACTACCTGGAGCTGAAGTTTCATTTCAGAAATCATGCACATACCCCTCACTGCGATCTCGCTGGTCGTTATCCCATTCTCGATTGCCCTACCGATCATTTACATCTTTACGGATAGACCTTGGTATATCACGAACATCCTCTCGTTCTCCTTCGCGGTGTCGTCGATCAGCGTGCTCAGGCTCGACGGCTTCAAGACGGGCGGCGCTCTTCTCATCGGGTTGTTCTTTTACGATATCTTTTGGGTATTCGGTACCCCTGTCATGGTCACCGTAGCCAAGAATCTTGACGCTCCGATTAAGGTCGGTATCGAGCGCCTGCTAAGGCGATTACTTATACAGTGGCTAATCGAGCTCTTGTTGGACAGGTCCTGGCCCCGCGAGATCTTCATAACGCAGACGCTGGCTTCAGCATGTTGGGTCTCGGAGACATCGTCATACCAGGGATTTTCGTATCGCTAGCTCTGCGATACGACTTTTCATCCTACGTCAGACGCACTCTCAAGCGAAACCCCGATGCTTCGCCGGCAGCGGGCGATTCCTATAGCAAACCGTACTTTTTGGCTGTCATGGTGGCCTACATCGCCGGACTTGCTACGACCGTGGCGGTCATGCACATCTTCGAAGCCGCTCAACCTGCTCTTCTCTATTTGTCACCTGCATGTAGTGAGTTGGGTCCGGGGATACGATTTGTCTCAGCAACGCTGGGCTAAAGCTTCCGAAATCGCAGTTGGTGCCATCCTCCTGATGGGTGTTTTGCGAGGCGAGCTTCCTCAACTGTGGCAATGGAGTGACGACGAGGAGGAGACAGAGAAAGGAGAGCAGAACAAGGTCACCTGGGCCGAAGCCGCCAAGATGGATGAAACCCCGGTAGTGGGTGATTATGCTCGTAAAGCCAACCCGGTCGAGGGGAAACCGACTGCTTCGACGGAAGACCAGGCTTCTCCTTCCGTCACTGCCTCACAGGACAACGAAGACTGGATGAACTTGGAGAACGACAAGTCGGAGAACGGAAAGTCCAAGAAAAAGAAAGCCAGCAAGAAGAAGAAGTAGAGCGCGGGGACAGTTTAGGCACAATCGTCCATTCATCATATTGCATATTCATTCCGACATGTGTTTACGTTGTTGTGCTCGATTGTCATGGTCGCTGGATCGTGCTAAAAGAGAATCGCCTGCCCGTCGGGACAACCAGTCGTCAGTCGAAGTGGTGTCGAAGCAATGTTTGCGGCCGGACCCTAGAATAGAACCTATATAGTCCATCACAGAGGTTTTGTCGGTACATTACCCAGACATGGAAATGGATGATGAAGCGACATACACACATTTCGCCCATCGGGAGGCTTTCTTTGACTTATTCAACAAGTTTCTGGAATGCCGTCTGGATGAGGCTCTGGTAGAACAAGTTCAGTCGGACAGCGAGGAACGCTTGGTAGAGTCGATTGGAGCGATCGTATGTGCCTATGAACCGCCTGTTGCTTCTCTAAAGGCTGATCGGCGTCTACGAAATATTAGCTGGATCTTTACCTACCCCTGCCGACTCTGCTGGATCCCCATCTAGATGCGATCGTCCCGCCACTATTTCAACTGTTGCGTCAACATCTTGCTAGCAGGTTGGAGAATGATGAACAACAATCCAAGAGACCGCATATCACCCTGGTTCTGTCATCCGAAGCACGGTTGGCAAGGGTTGGAAAGGTGATCAACTGGGTGGTCAAAGTGAGAGGCCGGAAAGCAGTCGGTAAGCATCTGGGAATGATCTCATATGGCAATCTCACTCAGTCGTAATGCATCTCTATAGTATCTCACTTGCCATCCGAGGTGCATAACCTTCCTCTTCTCTTGCGGCTATTTTCGCGCTCGCCAACCGGGACTCTTTACCATCCGATGATATCAGCACCGACATCGTGGGAACTCCGGTCAATATTGTTACTATGGCTGAGCCTTCTGATGACCGTACCCTTCAACCTATCGGCCTTCGATGAATCCATTGCAAGCGGGTCTCCAGAAGGGATCTCTCGGACGGCGACCAAAGTGCAGGACCTCTGCTATCCGCTGCTGTATAAGCCTTCCAAAGAGGGCGAATACGCTGCCTTAGCTTTGGCGAGGCTATATGCCCGGCCGGACTGCAGGAATGGCCTGCAGCCGTTTCTCGCTTGGATTCGTTCCGAACTAGAGAAACAGGATGGGCAGGATGATGGACTTGAAGCGATCTTTGTGAGCGGATGCCCGGTTGGCATTTGTAGAAGCAGTACAAAGAGGCTAACTGGCCCTTGCAAGCCAGCTGGTCAATGTTCTGGCTTTCCTGTCCATCATTCCCGGCTTGCTGCCTTCGGATTCGCTCCACGACAAGTTACAAGACTTAAGGCAATTTCACCAAGAGGTTTTGCATCCACGATTTGAACATGACCAGGGTGTTTCTGCCTCTTCGAGCCTTCTCCGCAAGATGGCCGTTAAATCAGAAGGTCGATGGTGGATGATCAAGCTGGGTTCGAACAGGCCGACGGAAAAGCGATCGGTCAAAATAGTAACAGGGGGATCTTCTGGCCCAACCGACGTACTTCGTTCTTTGGACCACCGGGTTTGGAAACGCCAAGACCTGAATGACGACGCTGATTTCGAGCCGCCAGAAGGTTTCGAGGAGGAGATAGAAAGTCTTTTGCAAAGCCTTTCAGATAAAGTCCGTCCACGGGAGCGTGGGCTGTATGATGAGCTCTTCCAACTGATCGCAAACACGCATCGTTATAAAAGGATACTATCGTCCGGTATTCTGCGGCGAAATACGTGGCTCGTTTGGCATCGGTACTACCTCAAGATCTGTCAACACAGATCATAGAGGCGGTTATCGATTTGTTCAACGGGTCGGAATTTGAGCCTGTGGCAGAGACCGACCGGGGGAGGATCTTGGACCCGGGCGGTGGATCTCGCGGTGATGCGAGATGGCATGGGGTCTGTCTCGCGTTAGCCGAGACAGCGCGAAGAGGCCTGATCGATGAAGAGCGCCTCACTGAGATGTTGCCATGGGTCATCAAGGTCAGATCACGCGACTTGCGCAAACATGTGTTGTGAGCATGTGCTGAATGATCGATCTCCTACGATACTGACAGGCTCTCACTTTCGATATCAAGCGAGGGGCACATTCTGTAGGGTCAAACGTGCGGGACGCTGCAGCGTACTTGATCTGGTCGTTGGCGCGCGCATCCGATCCTCACAGCATGCGGCCCTTTGCTCGAGAGATCGCTATCAAGTTGGTCGCAGTAGCCTGCTTCGATCGGGAAGTTGGGATACGAAGAGCAGCAAGCGCTGCTTTCCAGGAGCACGTCGGACGTATGGTGAGCAACGTTACGTAGCGAACGATGCGAGAGCACGAAACTGATTACGAACTAGCAGGGCCTCCTCCCTCACGGCATCGACGTCCTTCGCAAAACGGACTTTTACTCTGTCAGCGTAAGGCGTTCAGCATTCTTAACGGCAGCGATAGAAGTCGCTCAGTAAGTGTTCTTATCGACTACCGTCGTCGGGCACTAGTGACTCACGCCCAGTCGCAGGCACGATGCTTATCGGTCTGCTTTGATCGACTGTCTGCACTACACTACGCTCCGTCACTGGGACCCTGCAATACGGACATTGGGAGCCTCATCATTAAGGGAGATGTGCAAGATCAAGCCGCGAGAGGCCGCAGGTCATTCGGCGATCGATATCGAGGTATGTTCAAGGCCTTTTGAACAGACTTCTTTCATCGCTTACCGGAATCTGCAAACGTCAATACTAGATCGCTCACCTGAGCTCAGTCGATCCTAACAATATCCATGGCGCTCTTGCCGCGTTGACCGAGCTAGCGGGCTTGTACAACTCGGAAGAAGAAACGCTGACAAAGGTGAGTGAATTGCGGACCGAAGCCAATAAGCGGGCTGACCCTGTCACAAACATAGATTCTAGGTAGCGTGCAAACGATACGGGCATCTGCTTGGCTAACGTTCGGCTCGGACCTACTTCTGGAAGCTGCTGCGAGTTGCATAGTCGCAACAGCATGTGCGCTATCTACTGGGTCGCCAGATATCAAGACGGTCTGCATGAAGATCGTGCATTTGGGCATGCAAAACAAGAAGGAAAACGTTCAGGCCGCCGCAGCAGAAGCATTTGGCGCTTTCAGCCGATATCAAGACTGCACACAGGAAATCACGAAATAAGTACCCTTTCCGAACTTCACTATGAGCCTGAAAATGAATAAGCCTTCCCGTTCTTTACATTTCTAGCAAGTGCGCGTTCTGGACGGATGCTCCCCCGACATGGGGCGGTTTTAGCTTTGGGAAGAACTTCTTTCCCTCAGCACGCGCAGCAGTTGAAACCTGCTATGGAAATACTTTTCGATAACGTAAGCACAACCAAGGTGAGTCTTATTTTCCAGAACCGACACGACGAAATCAGGACATTGAAATATCTAAAACAGTCTCCACGGCCCGAAATCGAAGTGCGAAGAGCTTCTTTGGACTCTCTAGTCTCTCTTGTTGAGGACAATGAAGTGACGAGTGAGATGGGACTCGGTTGCTCCTGTACCAAGGAAAGCTAACGAAGGCATCTTAATAGGCAGCGATGTAGTTTTGCTCGTAGACGCGTTATATGTCGGTCTAGAAGATTACACAACGGATCAGCGGGGGGATGTCGGATCATGGGTGCGGGTCAGTTGTTGCAAAGCCCTTGGCCGCTTAAAAAAGGCGAGGACTGCGTGTGGATCTGAGACCTGGGAACTCGTGGTATCGCGGTTGCTGAGGCTGGCTGTCGAGAAACTAGAAGTGGTTCGACAGGCTGCCTTGTTCGCGCTTGCGGAGCTCGTCCCGAACCTCGCTCCACAATCCTGGGCAAAGGAATTAACCGAAAGAATGTCAGTAACTCGGAGAGACGCTCTTCGATTCGTTGCGGAGCTAATGCCAGTTCTTTGGCCTTCAGAGCTACAATACACGACCGAAAAGACCTGCAAATGGTGTTTTCGACCCTCGCGCCTATGCTGACCTATGCGGGATTGCGAACCTCGCTGCTTATCGGCTTGGTCACGTCTATCGGAAGCAAGAACAAAGATATAGTAAGGGACAATCGGTTTCCGTTCTACTTATCTTCCGCTGACTTCTCCTGATAGACGACAGCCGCTCGGAGATCGCTCCTGCGTGCTATACAAAGTGCACCCAGCCCATCGGTGCAAAGAGACGTGACAGTAGCAATAGGAGACATCTCGGCCTCACATTTCACACAACACCGGATTTTTATCCCAGCCATGATCACCACCTTCGAATTGGCCTCCGCCGATATTTGGCGCGACGCTACGGACGGGACAGTCGTAGAAGCGTGAGTCGACCAGGCGTCTCTTTGTGGTACCTGCGAGCACTACGACTGACGCAAACGATATCAACACAGTCTCCAACGCCTCGTTATTCTTAGCGCCAAGGGTGTACCGAATCTAAAGAATGTCGAGCGTATCATGGCAGCTATGAAAGCGTAAGATCAAGCTGGAATCTCAGCGGTAGAGTCCGCTTACCTGGCTGATATACTCGTGCCGCAGATCGATATCCCTCCTCAAGGTACCAAGTGCTAGGCATCACATCCTTGCGAGATTACCGTGCTTTCTGGATCACTTATACCCGAGGGTAAAACAGCCAAGAGATGCTGGAACCATGCCATGCGCAAGACTGACCGAGCCGTCGAGTTCATAGGTGCGCGCTGCAACAGCAGAGACTCTCTACTTGACTTTGCAGGAGCTCGAGATCGATGAGGACGAGGAGCTTGATGAGCTGTTAACTTCGGTGGACTGGTGAGTCGTAACTACTTCGCACTGCAAACTTTCATCTGAATGATCTCCTGCGTCACCTCACGATAGGACTTCTGAGGAAGCCAAGGCCTCAGTCAGTCCACTTGTGGAACGCTTGAAACAAGTCTTCTGCTAGGTTTCCGTCCATCATCCGGAAGATCGTATATGGTACCGAATCACAACACAATATATACACAACCATGCATGCTACAAACAGGTCATCGTAAAATAGGACAGCGATCACTCGTATAGCCGCTTCAATCGGTATCCATCTTGTCACCACCCTGCCCCGCTGCATCATCGTCTTCCTTGCCTTTCCTGATGACTTCTTCCAAGAACTCTCCAACCCCTCGACCGGCCCGCTCGCTCATGCCAAGACTGCCCATGGTGCCCGTAAGCGCACCGGTTCGCAAAGCGGCGTCGAACCCACTAACGGCTTCTGACCATTGAGCCGACGCGATAATGGATTGGATCTCAGATTGGGTGGGAGGAGAGGAAAGAGGAAGGTCCGAGGGGAGATGGGGGATCAATGAGTGGATGAAATTTGGCGATGAAGTGAGAATGGGAATGAGGTTTGCTGGAGTAAGAATGTCGGTCAAGTGGGCGTCTGAAGAGAGTAATCAGAGAAGCAATTAGCGTCGAACGACAATATGCCGTGCCTGTCTACGATATCTACCTTCGTGAACCTGTTCGGCTCCAGCGTTTTGCACGCTCTGCTGCAGCATCCTCGCCAAAGCGCTAATCTGCTCTTGACTGAAAGGCTGATCTGGCTGAGCGGAAGCCGCTGTAGCAGCTGTACCACTCGGTCCAGGAGTAGCGGGTACGGTATCGCTTGCTCGACCTTGAAAGTCAGCGATACGTTGCGGGCGGGGGGCCTCGGGCATGACGGGATTCGAGGAGGTCGTCAGGGAGTGGGCGGGAGTTTGAGGTGGGAGAGCGGACATGGCACTCCCAGCCGCCTTGGCAAGACCAGCATCAGGAGCGGGACTGTAGAGGGCAAGGAATATTGCTTAGCGAGGTTCTCACCGACTAGTCCGAGGCAGCGGAAGATGGCGCTTACTCGTCAAGGTAAGGAATGGGAGCAAAGTTCGGGTCTTGCAATAGCGAATTAATATTGAATGCGTCCGTCTCGTCCCTAGATGTAGAAGCCTCCTGGAACCAGAACTGAAATACAGGGTCAAGAAACGCTTGATCAGCTCATCGTTATCTTGGAACTCCGGCTGTCAGCAGGATGAACTCACAAAATCCCGACTGTCCGAGCTCGAAAACTTCAACACATGGGTCCTTCCTGACAGATCTGAATCGACCTTCTCGAATGTACAGTCTCCAGGGAAGATGATAAGCTCCTGCGAACGATCGAAGGTCAGTTAGCTGATTTGAATACCAGTGGGAGATGGTACGTCGATCATGAAGAGCACTCACATCGTCCTCAGCCATACTTCCGCCTTCTCTGCTCTTCCAGTCTACGGGATACAGCATAACTTAGATCAGTGACGATCCCGCCAGCAGATCGTGCGAGACCGAGCGGAGCGATGGCTACCGTACTCACAAAACGTAAGGAGACCATCCGCTTCCTGAATTTCGATGCGTCCCTTTGCGGGCTGAGGGTCCACCCAGTTGGTCTCGCCCCTTCGCTTGCATCTTCCGGCTTTGATCGAGATGATGGCCATGATTTTGGATTATCGATTCTGTATTTGGTCTGGATTCTAGCGATCGTTCAGCCTGGGTAGCCTGGTAGTCTTCACAAGTCGATTCAACGAGATCGACTCGTCATCACCTTGAACCTTGATGATGTGCGGCTGCGCTTGCGGGAAATGACGCGCTTCTACCTGGTAAAACCGCGAATCTCGCTTTACGACATGAGGTGTTGTCATATTCAACAAGGTTGATGTACAGATTCGACATCTATCTCGTTCGATCCTACACGACAGCCAAACAACCACGACAGCCGCATCCAGTAGTCACCATGTCGTCCAAGCGAATCGCTGTCCAGCCCATCGTGAGTTGGCGAAGACGGCGATCGCATAAAGCGATTAGTAACGTGGCCGAGCTGAACCTTCACCATGTTTACAGAACGTCATTTTCAAGCACCTTCAAACGGTCAGCAGTCTTCGCTCGTTAAGGATCTCGCTATATCCGGTCTTATAGCTGACACTTGCCCCGCCCTGCTTCGTACTGCTCTTCTGCCTTGTCGTGAACTTCCTTGACCGTCTTACGAATTCAATCACAACCTCGACACGACTTCTTCGGTCCACCCCTTTCCTGTCTCTGTCGGATCGACAATCGGGCGTCTCAAACGACCAGAAAACGAAGGTGGTCTTATGGCTGTATGACCAGAAGGACCTGAGAATCGAGGGAATCATCATTGTGAGTCTCGATTGAGCAAGGGAGTCGCGCAAGCATAAGTATTGCGGGACAATACGCTACTACATCCATAAACATCTCGGTACAATATCGACTCGACTACTAGCTAATAAATTCGTGGATTCGTCTCGCAGGGGTTTGACGAGTTCATGAACGTGGTACTGGACGAGGCAGCGGAGGTCTACGTCAAATCCCAAAAGCCTAAGAGGCCTCTCGGTAGGTCGTGAGACCCAGATCGAGTTTTTCGAGAAGCCACGATATTGACCAACTCTTGCTTCATTTCACTCACCTTCTTTGCGCCTGTTTCAACCCGCGACCTCTGCATGTCCATCTCAACGCCAATCAGGCCGGATCATGTTGAAGGGGGACAACATCACCCTGATACAGACTGCATGAACTCCCTCCTAGGATCGGTATCTAATTGTTCGTCTTCGGGTCAAGGGGAGCTGAGGGTGTCGTAGCAACAAGAAAGAGTTCCCAGAAACTAGGATGGATACGATCCCTTCGGACTACACTACGACAACCACCTTGCTTCTCCTCGAGATCACAAAAGCAAGCTTGCGGCATTATTGTCCCACTCGTCTGTTTCTTTTCGGTTCAGCATCGTCCCCTTCGTCCGGTTATATTGTTGAGAATTTGTAAGCTAGAAAATGCGGGAAGGGACGGTACTGCCAACCACCGCGGCTGTCTCCAGAGATACCTACGCATTGTACATGACTGTCAGGCAGGTTGCCCGAGTTCGGGATTCGTCTCAGTAGGGCACCTTTCGCAATGAAACTTCGCTGGCTCGTTTGCGCAATCGAAGTGAGTGTCGCCTGGGTAAGGGTCTCGTCATATATCGTCATATCGTTGGCATCGAGGCAAGTCCATTGCCCGTGGGTATTTGTTACAAACCTGGCTTGCTCTGTCTATCAAAGCGTCCGCCCCACCTGTGCGGACGTTTTGGACGGCACGGCAACTTCTTTGTTGACGAGATCACTGTCGGTCGGCCTTCCTTTCGTTGAAGCGATGGGAGAACCTTTCTCTTTCAAATCTGACTTATCGGTAACGGGACTCTTCTCGCCAGCATCTGACCGTTTCTCCAGCATGCTTCGGTATTCGATGTCTGCTATGGAGCCTTCGTCTGGAGAGCCCATGTCAGGCAGTATCGTTCGTGTCTGATCCGCCGTCCCGCCAGAAGGCGCATAAGGTGGTGTGGGAGGGTATTCGATAGTAGCGGGCTGCCTTCCGACTGTTCGTGCATACTCTTCCGAAATGTGCATATTCTGGCCGGCCGAGATGGCCTTGATGACTGGAATCGATCGGGGTTAGCGGAAGAGAAGACTGCGAGACGGGTTGTAAACTTACTTTGCCAATGGGACCGCTCATGCAACTGTCTTTTCAAGGCTCGGCCGAAAAAGTCGGACATGTCGCGCACCTTCCAGTCGTTTGGTACCATTTCCAGAACCTAGTTAAGCAATACAGTGTTAGCAGGGACCTAGAACAGAACCATACAACCCTGCTTGCCTCCAGGCTGTCCAAGTGCAGTGCTTGCGCATTCAGCAAGGCAGCCGTCTCCTTGCTGGCCTCCGCGCTGAAGGAAGAGAGGGAGATATCAACCTTGCCTCTTCAGGCTAGATAGTGTGACGGACGACATACCCTTCCGACATGTACACCTTCAGCAGGATCGAGACCAGTTGCTGGCGCAGCTGGCCCTCTATAGTACCACGTCGTCTTCTTCCAACATCGCCTAGGCTTGCCCATGGCTCTAGTGACTTGATTCTACTGGTGACAGCGTGGGCGATTTTGGGCGGCAAGACTTCGCCGCCTTGTGTGCAGTAAGTCTCCGCTGATACTGAGTCCCGCAATTGCAGGGCGAGAAGGCGTAAAGCTTTGTCGTGCTTGCCGAGCTAGGAAGCGGACATCTTCAGCTCGCGATAAGGCCTCAAGGGGGAGGAATAATGACTTACCCTCCCATACACTATGGCTCGCTCATAAAACAGGGCTTGAAGCTTTTCCAGCCTGCCTTCGACAGCCCGGAGGTCAAAGAACGGAGAACTTTGTAAGAACAGTATCGTTTTGAGTCGAACGGTTTTGGCCGGCGAGTCGTGGGCGGTCTCCGCGATATATTGGCAGTACGTAAGATTGGGTCGCGTCTGGTGATATTCGTCGACTGCTCATCCATTCGTTAGCTCCTGATATAGACTGAAAGGAGACGTGTCGAGCCCTACATAATTCCTGAAAGTGGTAGACGACGCCGTCATCTTCAAGAAACGCTTCGCAGCGGTCGAGAAGATGAGAAGCGTAGGCGTCGTGAAAGTTACGATCCTAACAGGTATACGTCAGTGCTCCATACGGCACATTGAACACCCAGGTACACTCACTATGCTACGCCGGACCACAACCACATGCTCGAGGTAGTCGCCAGCTGCCTGCTCATTGATTTCCCGCATATCTTCCAACAATTGCGCGGTATTAAAGGCCCAACCGGGACGCCCATCAATGACAGTCAGAGCCTTTGAGGGGTAGTATCTCTCAGTCGCATGAATCAGACGACAGGAGATGCAAATCCAACTGACTCTGAGCACAGCAGGCGCATCGCGCCTCAGTAGCCACAGCAGGTACTTTCGCAACAACGACTGATCGCTGATCTCCAAAAGTAGCTGCGCGATCTCTCCTACCGGATTTATGCAGCGTTGATCCGGCGTCTCGCCCTCTGCGATTCTGACGTCGCAAGGTTAATATCAATTTTGCGGCGCACTCTGAACAAGACAACTTACTTTACCAAGCCTTGAAGCAACCTTTCTTTTTGACCGGTCATCCTCAATAACTCGCATTTCAGATAGGGATGCTGTATTGGATCTGTAAACTCTTCCACCTCCGAAACAATGCAATCATTGGTACCAGCTAGCAGCTGTAGCAACTCTTCTATTTCACCCGACTCGCTCAGGAGTTTAGCTAGAGTCGTATCGATCGCCTGGAAGGTCGACTCAAGTTCAAGCTAGTGCAATATTGAACTTTGCGAGATCACGCACCTGCATGGTTCGATTGTCCCCACTGGCATCTTGTCTGGAAGCGGCTTTGCGGCGAGAAGTTTGCGCTTTTCGAAGGTATTCCATCATCATCGTCTTGACCAGATTGGAGAGCTGCGTCCTCAACTCCTTGACCTCAGGAGACGGTATTTCCACATCGACCAATGACGAACCATAGACCTGTCTGAGCTTGTGGTCGACTACCTTTGCGGGTCAACATCGCTTGTTGAACACGCACGCTGTCACAGGCAATAACTTACCGATGGAGCCAGAATCTTCGGCAGATTTCGAGTCCGCTTCTGCACCCTGCCAAATGACCGCCTCGTCGTCTGGGCCGATACTCTTGCCGACGTGTTCAGAAAGTAACCTGATGACGAATCTCGGATCTATCTTGCTTTTCTGAAAGTACGATCCTGCATCCTCGAACAACGCCTTGGAATAGTTCTGGTAGGCTATTCGGCAGTACATATACCTAAGATCGGCAGTATGGCTTGTCTGCATGAGGTGGCGGTGCTCAGCAAGTAGTGACGTCCAGCAGTGCACGCCCGGCTGAACTAACCTTGTCACCGTCGATTTCGCCTCGTTTCCCCTTTCGCCGTTGAACCTCTGTCAATTTGACGGCTTCGTCTAGATTGCCCGAGTCTATTAGAGCGTCGGCATTAAGAAGCCAGGACCGCGGTGCGATAGCGATGACAGCATCGTCCGTGAACAATAACGTTTCCGCTATGGTCGTTGTTGCTGGCCTCGAAGCGCTCCCAGAGGAATCCTGACTGATCATCGGTGGGCGATGGTCCAATCTAGACGAATCGACGGGGAAAAATGGGGGTGATAGGCCGGAACCAGGTGGAGGCTCGAAAGGTGTCTCGGCGTCCAGAAGGTTGTCGTCACTCCTCAGCCGAGGTAGTTCTGCCGGTGGTCGAGGCGAAGGAATGATCTTCGTGGAACGCGCTGCAAGCTTGTCGTCTCGTTGTCGATTGGGAGTAGCGATACCGTACGGGTTGGACGTCAAATGCAATGGATTTGCGCCCAGAGGCAAAGCGATCGTCTGCAACAATCCGCCACCTGTCCCACTGGCAATGATAGACATCGAGTGGATGGTGAGCGTGTCATCTCGTAGCAGCGCGACCACAGAGTCGCCCTCGATAACTGCAATGAAGAGTTACGCATAACGTCAATTAGGTACTTTAAGTTGACGAAACGCTTAACAGACATACCGATGGACTTCGGATGGCTTTGCCATGTGATGGTGCCTTTTACTGGATCTCCTTCTTTGTTCACAAAGACACCGATTGTGCCCGATCCCGCAAAAGACGTGCAGAGGAACTCTTCCTCTCCCGGGATCACTGCAATGTTGACCTCAAGGGAACCCTCGATCCCGATCTCGGCCGGATCTACCTGGGCGATAGGCAGGACCTCGTACATGTTTTGATCGAGAAGGTTCACGATGCAATACTTTGAAGAATCTGCCACCGCCATGGTCCCGCCTGATCTGACTGCTCGAGTGAGAGTATCTGGTAGAGGAACATCCTGTGTTACATAAGAGGGCATCAGGCGGACGCTTCCGGGCCTTCCAGTTTAATCCGAGGAAGAAACACGTACGTGAAGGAAACTGAGCTTGTTGCCCAGCCTGTAGATGGAGATGGCCTTTCGCTTGACGATGCTCAACGTGATATCCACCCCCTTGCCACCGTTATCATCGTCGCCTGGTCTCCAAGCGATCTCCTGATCATCGAGTGCCACGTCTATGACATCGCGTATCGGTTGTGCACTTCCGTGAGGTAGCGGTTCGAGTGTGGGTAGTGCGAGAAAGTAAAGTGTGCCATCTAGAGCATTGCGATCAGATGGGGTTAGAATGTGTTGACTCAAGTATCACGTCAAAGGGGAAAACTTGCCAGCTTGAATTGCGACTTTTCCAACACGCGGTAACAGGTAGATATTGTCCACAGCCTTCCTTGAAGATATGGTATGCCCATTTTTTAGAACATATGGTCCAGCCTATCGAGGGTAAGGAAGTTAGACTGAGGGTTGCGAACTGAAATCTTGATAGAAGCGGTACTGACACCGCTCGTGCTGCTACTTGGGCTGTTATAATCGAGGGTGTACCACCATACTTGGCCATCCGACGATCCGACATATAGGTTGGTCCCTGTCAAAGCAAAAGCATATAAGCTCGATATCAAGAGCTGACAGGTCGACCTGGTTTACCGTATCCTACAGAGCAAGTGATCTTCGCTCTCGGTCTGTCCGAACCCGACAAGCTGACATCCGGGCTAAGCCCTTCCGACCGCAAAGAGAACCCAGATAACCCTGGAGATGAAGCTCTTCCTATCTGCGAGGTCCGCCGCGTCGCAGCAGCGGCACCCCCAGATACTAAAGCTGAGAGTCGATTGAGGGGTTGTACCGGAGAAGCCGAAGTCGCGACTGGTGCAGATACCAACCGTCAGCCAGGTGTAGCAGCAGGATCATACCCTGACCTACCTTCCGGGTGGGCAAACGAGATCAGGTTGTTGTCCTGGAAGACATTCCCTACGAGCTGTTCCGTAAAGTAGCTCTGAGCAGGACCGTCCATCTTCCCACTCGACCGGAATCGTTCCTCCTTAGGACTGACTTGACACTTCTAGTTCGATATGGCCATCACAGGCGAAAGGTATTCAGCAGATTAGCGGTCGGAAGAAGCTGATCGGTGGAACGAGCAACCGGTGTTCATCCTGCGATACCACTCTCAAGAGCTCAGCTCGCTCAAGGCCGTGACGACTTGTCGCCCTCCACCTCACCGTCGGAAGCAAATCGCGAGTATCAATCGACGCTGGGGTTGCAATCGTGACAGTGAATGAGAATGAATAGATAGATATAGGGAAATGACAGATTCGCTACATCGTTCAACGCCTCCTTTCTCTTCCTCTATAAGCCTATAAGTCTATATATGAGTCGGAAAGCGAGTGTGGGTGCGCATGACCAGTACAAAGTACAAGAGCGCCTTTTCGTTTGCTTCGCCGGTATGTCCGGTTTACAACCAACGGGGAGAAGAGAGGTAGGGATACAGGCCCGTCGAGCTGAGCTGAACCGAACCGAGCTGGATGTCCGGTGGAGGTCCGAGGTCGAGATCGAGGTTGATACAGGTAGAGGGCGAGAGTACGTGACCGGGAGTCTGAAGGGTTCCGGTAATATGATGTTTGTTGTTTATGTTGACCAGCTGGTCGACCGAGGACGTCGTGATGATAATGGATGGTTGAGGACGAATAGGGGAAATGGGAGACTTCGTAAAGAAGACCTTTTGGGTGCCGGAAGAGGGAAGAAGGCTAAGCGGGATCGTTCTCCCCCCAAGTGAATCTAGGGGGATCGATCGACCGTCTTAATCTAGTTCTTCTTGAGGAAGTTCCACTTGGCCTCCATGACACCGTCACCGAGACCGCCGTTGGCGAGGGCCTGGAAGACGGCGGGGCTCATGTCGAGGTCCGAGTCACCACAGCTGGGGCAGCTGTCAACGACGACGGCGTAGACCGACTTGCCGTTGGCCTTGATTCTGACTCCTTGACCGCAGTTGTTGCCGTTGTTCCTGTCGTAGAGGCCCTTGCCGATAGCAACGACCATGTCGCTGTCGACGGAGTTCCAGCCACCTGTGGTAAACGAACAGACCGAAGTCAGCGTCGGAAGTCGAAATGGTCCGGTCCGGATCGAATCGAAATCGAAGAAGCTACTCACAATTACCAAGTCCGACGTTGAACCAGGTGGATCGTCCGGTCCTCTGGAGACGAGACTCGAGGACGTGGGCCTGCTCAGCCTCGGCGACGGGAGCGGCGTTGACCATGGCCAAAGAGGCGAGGACGGAGATGATGGTGACCTTGGTGAATCCGAACATTGTGTAATGTGATCGAGTGTTTTGAGTGGTTGTTGGTTGGACGAGTGAAGGTGTTGGACTTGGAGGTCGAGAGTGAAGTGACGAGATGTGTGAGTTGGTTTGAGTTGTGAAGAGAAAGAGAGAAGACCAAATCCCCCCTCGACGACTTCCAAACGTCCAGATACTTATACCCGTCTGGCACCCGCCTCTGGGTGGTTTCCGGGTCAGCACACCGCCGAAAAGACGACGAGGTCGAGAGACGTTGATCGTACGGGACCATCGGGTTAGCCTGGTGAATTCAGTCAGCAAGAAAGAGGGTAGCGACGAAGTTCGGGGATCGTATGGACCTCCTCACCCTGTTTCTTGGCAAGGGCCGCAACCGGATCGTCGCGTTCGTCGGCCCCGGATACGTTGACCGCTGTCATCTCTGGGGTCCGAGCGAGGGCGACGTCGATATAACGACGTCGTTCCCTTGCCAGCTAGCGGTTTTTTAGGGTGCTAGCGGTTGTACGGCTCGATCTATTCTTTGTTCCATATGGGTACAATTGTCCCGAGGAAGCGATCATGTGAATTTTGCGAAATAGAGTTTTTCCATAGAGGCCGGTCTTTGTCTCGATGGGATCAGGGCGAGATTCCCGGAACACGACCACCGCGGGAGGAAGGAACAGGACAGAACGGGAACAAAAGGATCCGCATCTGGCCCGCGGAAAGGCGTCGCGGGAAGACGCAGGCACAGTTTTACATCCGAAACTAGGGTGGTCGACCCTTTCCGACTGGATTCGGGGTGACATCCGGGTCGATCGGTACTGGACGATCCCCGCATCGCCGATACCCTGTTTCAACATATCCACCTCTGCTGCTATGACGTTTCGGATCGGTTCGAACATTAAACACTCCTTTGACTATTCATCCTTGGCATCCCTGACCCCTTGAGCCCCTGCAGGCCTGCATAGGATAAGCGGGTGAGCTCGTGGGTTTCGGTCGCGTAGCTCGTCCACGTTCGACCTTCAAAAAGGGTGGGTACTGGATGGTTTTGAACGCTAAAACGCTAGCTTCTTTTTGAGTTGTCATCAAAAGCCACATTGTACATCGCGTCGTCTCCTGAATACGCGTATCTCTTTCTGACATCATCCTCAATCTCTGCTCTTCGGTACGACCCGTGTCAAAACGTCATACTCGCTAAACGTCATACATATCGTCATCATGGAAGCCAACTACCCCGCTCTCAGCTTGTGCAGCAACACGGGTCCTTCCGTGTCCGCAGCATCGACCGATTCAGCGACGAATCGCAAACTAGTCGATTACATCAGGGCAGAGACGACCCGACTGATTATCGCAGACTCTCAGAGGATGCAGGCTACAGGCGTCCGAGCACACGGTATCGCCACTCTCCTGTGCACCGCACGGGCCAACGTCTCCAAGTCGATCCGTGCGTCGCTCGAGCGCAATCAGGGCAAGGACGAGTATGACGTCGAAAAGACCGTCAGGTTGGAAGCCGAATTACCTTCCGCCTTCATCTCTCTCGACGAGGATTTCAGACGGTGGTCAGAGAGCGTATCGTGTCAGGTCAGGTGGGATGTGGAGATGGTGAACGCCTAACGAAGCGTATCCGCATGTCAAAATGAAACTCGCCGTGTCGATTCGGCCTAGCGCATGCGACTCGCCCTTGTAGCCAGCACAGTGCATGACCATATTGCGTTGGAACAGATTCGACTCGTTCCTAGATTCCCACTCATTCTCTCTTCATCTGCGCTCTGTTCTTGGCCGCAGCCTGCTTGGCCTTCATGTCCCTGTTGACGTTATTTTCCACTTAGTTCGCCATCTCGCCGCAACCCCTGGGAGTCGCTCGCTCACTCACCTCCACTCGCAACCCTCTTCAAACTCGCACCACCCACACCGACTGACGTTCTCGATCCCTACCCCTTCGGGCTGCCTGACGCCCATCCAAAAGCGCAGGACGCTTTCGAGGCTCTTGGCGAGCAAGACCCGATCGTGAGTGAAGACGTGCGATCCAATGATGCTGCCGTCTTTGGGTCGCTTTCGCTTGCTCTTTTTTTCCGGTTTCAAGGGCGTGGCTTCGGTCGAACGTGTAGTAGTCGGTCGTTCAAGGTCGATGGTACCTTTTGAGGTCTCGAATTCATGAGCAGCCTTGCCTGTCTCGCCGGCCTCTGGCAGGGAGGAGCTCGACGACATAGGATCGGCAGGGTTATGTACCACTTCGGCTTGAATCTTGGCCGAAAGATCCAGTAAAGGTGCTTGTGCTTGATTTGGCTCCGAACCGACTCTCGAAGGTAACGGAGTGTCTTGCAGTCCCTGGATTTCCGCGAAGCTCGCATCGACACTTGTTTCCGCAGGCAGATCCTTCAAGCTCTCTTCTATGGCCAGCGCGAGCAGGCGTTCTTCCTCTGTCGCTTGCAACTGGTCGGCCGTAGATCCCACCATGTGCATTGGCTCGTCAGATAATACGGAACTCGAGGTTTGTTGTTCCTCTCCCTTGACCCGTCTCGATTTGCGCTTATGGTCGACCTTTGTAGAAGTCGTCCGAACGTTCCTGTAGACCAGCTCAAGGCGATCTTCGCTTCGACCAAAGTTACCCTCCGTGTCAACCCCAGCCTGACCCAATCCGAGCCGCTTGACAAGATCCACCCAACAATCAACGTAGTCCCAGAGGCATTTTCCATCGAACAGGCGTGGCTCGAGACCGTTCCCGTGGATGACGCTCCGAGATTCGATCAGAAAGTCTTCCGAGAGCTTGGCGGTTGGGTCGAGGTGAAGATGGCGGAACAAAAGGCTCCATGAGAACTCTTCAAACGGTTGATTTCCTGAGATCGATAGATCGATCTGGGGTGCTGAATCTGAATCGGCAGGTTGCTGTAATGTCTCACTGCCGGCCTGCTCAGAGTCAACTCGCGAGTCCTCGTCAATCGATATCGGGCAAGCCTGACTTCCGGACGCAGCATCTCCATCAATTGGCAGTCCAGCGACCTGAGAGCATTTGCCAGGGATATGCCGCTCATTGGAGGCCGCCAGCATGCCATCTAGAATCTCCTTGTAGCACATGAGTTGCATCATACCGCTTCTGGCGGTATCCAACCGCGGCAACGTCCCGCTCGCTCTTGTTTTTGAGTCAGAGACCAGCAAGCGATGAGTCCTCTTGCTCGACCTACGAGCCTTGGATTCAGGGTTCGATGCGAAGAACGATGTCAAAAGGCGTTGGGACTTTCTTTCCGGAGAATTGGTTCGTGCATCCTCGGGTGTTGCTATCTTATCCAGAACAAGCTCGTCCTGTTGTCAAGGCCGAAGATCAATCGAATTAGTAACGGTGTCAGATACGTGCAGACCCAGTCAAGCGAGGACTTACAATGACGCCGACTACCATGAAGCCGCACACAAAGCCAACCACAGGTAGCTCTCGACACTTCCCGATGTCAAGCAAGGCTTGCAAGCTCGAAAGCATATTCAAGAACCTGTTGAACCGGATTCAGTGCCGAAGATTCAAGCATTTACGGGGACTGATCAACGGGGACTCATCAACAACTTACCGCAAGCCCCAAACGTCTTCTCTGGTTGTGGTTGTCACTTTCACTTCGACAGGATGGATCTCTTTCTCCAGCTTCTTGTGTACCACCTAGAGACGATAAAACGAATCAGCCACGGTGCTCTCGGACTGCTTTCGCAAGCAGAATCACTTCGCCTCGCCTACCAGAAGTAATGATGGGTTTATTAGCTTTTCCCCAACACAGTCTTAATTAGACCGAGAACTGACTTCATGATCTTCTCGTGGTCGCCGGCTTTAACTTTGTTCAGGGGTATCTGTTTGCCTTCCCGACTAACGATAATGTCGGGTCGATCTTCCGGCTTGAGGTACGGCTTCGAGCGTAGCCGGCTGTCGAATCAACGCACATCAGGTTCGATCAGCGTTGAAGAAGGGCAAGAAACCTGCCATTACTCACTAATCGTACTGGACTTCACACCACAGGGGGCCAACGAGGTCGGACACGCTGAAGAATTCTCGTTTCCTGAAGCGCTGGAACAAGCTTCGATCGTCCCTAGCGATCTGTACCGCCTCTAGCAAGTTCCCGTCCTCATCCACCGAGATCGGTATGATTTTAATATCCGGTTCGAAATTGGCCTGTTGAGATTCTTCCACAGACTCGGGGTGTAGCAGCGAGGTAACCTGGTCGACGAGCTCTTCCTCGAACGCGGAATTCTGGGACAACGCAAGTTCAGGGGCATCAACTTCATCCTTGACGATGCCGCCTGGCTGTTGCCGCTCCGTCTCATATGCTACAGTCACCGTCTCCTTCTCTCGGACTGTCGTCGGTCTTGCAGCCATCTGGTTCTCGAGCCTCTGAATCTCGGCCTCGAGGGATTCATCATAGTCGTAAAGGTCGTCGAATTCGTCATCGGAGATTGAGGTCATCAAGGAGGAAGACCAGGAGGCGGGTCGTTGGCAAGATCTACGTCGGATTAGGTACCGCCACAGGATTGTTGTGTCTAGTACAAGCTATCTCAATGGGTTTGCGAGCGATTCCAGGTCGCCGTCCCGAGATCAAGTGGCAAGTGGTACATGGGATAGTTGTCGGAAGCGATGTCGCATGTTCGTGTGATGCATGATGACAACGTAAACAAACTTCGGGGTCGAGGCTTAGCATTCAGAAAGGCATAACGACAAATCCGTCATCCTGTAGTGGGTTTGGGGAAGGTGTCACGCTTTATCGCGGGTCATTGCGTTTGCGTCCCTTGATTCTCTATCTCTACTCGCGTCTCCTTGGGGTCGTGCGTTCGACTCGCGTCCTAACCTCACGGTTGGGTTTTCTCCCCTTGTGGGCAGATGTCATCGCGGCAGGTCGGTAATCAACCAGGTTTGTATGCAGCAATGTGTGCTTGGGCTAGGCGGGCAACCGAACAGTCCATCTGTGTTGGCGTACGCAACCTTGAATTGAGGATTGGATGTGAGGAGGGTAAGGGAGCGCAACGTGCCGGGCTGGCACCAACTTCTTTTTTGCCCTTTTTGCGCGCGAGACTTTGGTTCTTGATTCGTAATTCTTGACCATCCAGTGTTTTGTTTTTGGGCAACTACCTTGAATGTCGATTAGCGGATAACTGATCAGCTCACTACCTTCCTCGATATGGCGAACATCCTCAATCCTCAATCACCATTGCTTGATTCATACACCTCTTAGCTTTTGGTCTGATCGAACTCATCAGCGACATGTCGTCTGCAGACGAAGCCGGACCATCTCGACGAAGCGGAAGACGAACCCCTCGTATCAGATACGACGTCTCTTCGGCGTTCGACGGGATCGAGGGTATAGACGATGGTCCTCGAAGACCACCTTCTACCGATCCTACCGATGACTCGAATGCGTCTGACGACTATGGAGAACCAAAGGGGAAGGGAAAGGGTAGGGCGTCTCATCAAGGACGGGTCGAGAGCCCTCACAGCGATTCCGAATATGACGAGGACGAAATCGATGCCGAGGTCGAGGCAGATGAGGCCGACATACGGATGAACAATATGGACGTAGACAGCTCAATGGATGAAGATGAAGACGAGGACGAGTACGAAGGGTCGGTAGCGGAACGCAAGCCGAAGCGCAGGCCACCTAGACGAGGGAAATCGCTAGAGGCTTTCAGGCTACAAGAAATCACCCCTCGAGACGACCACGATGTCCCCGACGACAAGGCGGTCGTCGATTTCAACACGATCTGTGATCCGGGATATAATTACGGCCACAAATATATCATCCGAAGAGATCAACCTAGACGACCGAATGCTATCCGGTTCACTCAGACACCAGTCCGACCTCTTGGCTTGAGCCGACTGAAGGAGAAACCGCATCTCGGTAGACTTAGCGAGGTCGAATACACCGACGAAAGCGACTGTGGGACCAAAGAGAAGTACAACAGCTTGCTCGAAATCCTTCATGCTGTGCCTTCGGAGATCCCGTGGGACCTATGGAAGGGAGAAGGGTGGTGGTCGGATTGCTGGACGTACGATGCGGAAGGCAAGGCGAATTGGACGTCTCGCTCCGTCATCGACGTCGGTTTGCATGAGGTGGGAAGGCTCAAGAAGGAAGATATGCGGTACCTAAACGCCGAGTGAGTTTGTTAGCAGCGGTACGCTTAGGTACATGTCCCTCCTGACGATTTGATTCCTGCTCGTCGCTATAGCCAAGCAAAGCCTTACCTCGCCGAACGCAATAGACCAAATCTTACTCTGATCTTGGGGTTGGACAACGAGGCTGCCGAGATGAAGGAGGAAAAGATCGAGACAAAGATGTTCGATTCTAGAAAGTTGGGAGGGTCTAGTCAAAGGCAGGCCAACCTGTTTGATGCAGGAGGGTATGTCTCCGGGTTGGAGTGGTGCCCGATGTCTGAGACCGAGTCGAGCAGTGAGTATCATCGTTGTGGGCGGGTCAACGGAACCGCAGGGACTGATGTACGATGATATGACAGGGAGAAATTTCGAGCTATACCTCGCCGTCGCTACACTCGATCCGGCGACCCAGCCCAACCGGACAGGTGGTCTCGCACCGGATCTCAAGGGAGCCCTACAGATTTGGACAGTCTCGCCGGGAAGTGGAATCAATGAGACGGGTCTCCAAGAAGAATTCTTCGATGCGGCCAACGACGCAGACATGAAATGCTCGCTAGTCTTGTGCATCGAAGGTGGTCCCATCATCGACTTCAAATGGATGCCCGTAGGGTGCTGTGACGAGGTGAGCCTTTCCGAATGCAACTCGTTCGGCTATGACACTGAATTCTATATTACAGGTCGGGTCTGACACGATACCGAAGATAGGGATCATCTCGGCTGTTATGACAGACGGAACAATTCGCTTTTTCTCAGTACCTGACCCTCGGCAGGCGGGGTCTGATCCTGTCTTTGGTAAGCCTATCTTTCGACGTTGCTTACCCAGAATCAACAACCCTGATAATGACATCTCGTCGCACAGTCCATGTGGAAGCTCTTCTGATATTGGGGGCGGAAGACGGTGCGGCTATGAGTCTGGACTGGGGGTCATCAAGCATGCTAGCGGTCGGCCTGAGCAACGGTAAGCCCCTGACCACGAGGCTGTCGACAACCCGGTCTTGCATACTGAGAGTTCGACTCCGCAGGATCGGTCTGCATCTGGGATAACGTCGTAGACCTGTTGACTGGAGACGAAACGATCCGTAAGCAATACGTCGACTGTGTCTCTCACTGAAGCTGACTCGCGTCCGTCTCAGTTCTGCCTACCAACCGGATGCCGATTCATACTTCCGCTGTTCAGACCGTTCGGTGGGCTCGCATGCCTGCAGCGGACGCCCACGATCGAACCCGGCTGGATCTCCCTCCACCGTACCTTTTGAGCGCGAGTTGGGATGGGACGCTGTATCTGGTCGACATGCGAGATTCGACCTTCATGTGTGATATCGAAGGGCAGCCGCGATGTAAGTGTTTTTTTGCTTCGCACCGCGAAAAGGCTTTTCCTGATTTGTCTCATCACTAGTCCACGGTGCTCTCGATTGGAGCGGATTTATGGAGAGTATCCTCTGGGTCGACAGCGAATACTACGGTCTCCTCGTCAAGATGCGGCGATATACCCAGTTCGGCACCTATCGGACACAAAGTCATGAAGGGCCGCTCACTGTAAGCCCCATTAGACAGGTTGAAACGCGTTCGTTCACTGACTTTCTGTATGTGCTCAGTGTTTCGGCGCTTCAGATTATCACGGCATGCTGGTGAGCGGGGGTGCAGACGGTGTGGTCGGTTGGACCAACTCGGTACAGAACGCGCTCAGGTACAAGAAAACAGTGAGTGCACACTTCGTTTAACCGTCACCTCCGCACCTCTCGGGCTAAACGTATCCGGCGATGATAGGAAATGATTACCGGTGAACTGTATCAGCTTGACTTGAACCGGAATACGGGCGAATATCGTATGCTCGGTAGGATGTTGCCCGAAGTGAGCCCGACCCTGCACGTAAACTGTCTAATGACGCCGAGCTGAATGTGCTTCTTTGATTAGACTTCTGCTTTGATGCGAAAACTCGTGGTTACCGGAAAGGGGGATCGCCTCAAGAAGGCAAGTCCCTCGTGGTCCCCGGATATCAGTATCACCTCCCTCGCATGGAATAACGGCAACGGGATTGGGAGAGCCGGGATGATAGCATCTGCTAGTGCGAGCGGGTTGTGTAGGATCGACTACATGCAGGGGTACAAGGAAGAGAGTAAGCTGGCACAATTCCGAGCAAGAATTGGAAGAAAAGAGGGCAAGGCTCCAGCGGGAGATTCGGACGAGGATGACGACGAATAAGCGTTCGCGACTACGCGACGATTGTACTCGATTCGATGTCTGCGTGACGTAACACGCCCCTGTAGATGTTTCACTTTTTACGCGCGATCGACCGATCATCAGCGTGGATCGACCAGCTCGTCGAAGCTCGCACCTCGACTTTGATGTTTACACCCGAAGCACCCAATGTGTCACAACCAACATCGTATCTCGAAACAAATTCAGGTCATCTCTTTCAAAGCTACACTTCCTTTGCGATACGATGGACGGGGATCTAGACTCCCTCGAGGCTTCGGCGGACTTGCGAAGCCACCAATTGACCAAGACCTACAAATTCACTGATGAATCCATCGTCCTCGTCGCGAGATTGGGTTGGGAGATAACGACGCCTCTCGAAGTACCTTTGGCCAACGGGAACGCCCTGTTGAATCAACTTCTGGTCTTACCGAACGAGCAAAGGAGGGTCTTGGGCCGGGTGGAAGTCTTTGTTGGCGATCAGCAAGCCAATGGCGCGGCCATCTTCAAGCGTCTGATGCAATCGCTCGAGACGGTGAATTGGTGTTCTAGTGCATAGCAGTGCTCTCTTGCTCACTAGAAAGCATCCCCATAGAACCTCGAACGCCTTGAATTGGATTCCGTACAGTACGACGGAAGCACTCAACGCCGCGAGCCGAGATGTAAGTGTTGAAGACGATCGCCGCTTACCGTTCATCAAATTGATCTTGCTTCTAACTCTAGTCACACTGAGACCTAGCAGCAATCCCCTACCTGAAGGCGTCATACCAAAGCATCGTATAGTCGGTCACCTGGACGGGATCTCTCTCCGCTTGACGTTCAAGTTGAACCCAAAACGTAAAAACAAACTGAACGAGTCGGAAGAGGACCCCTTCGCCGAAGACGGTGAGCCTTTCGTCTCAGCCATAAGCCTTTCGACGCTGACGATTCGTGCATAGGTTTCGGAGATGCCGAAGAGGAGTGTTTACTGGGTGCTCTAGGAGAATATCGGTTGCCTGAATGTTTGCTGTTGTCGCTCGATAGTCTGTGCGAGCGGTTCATGAACGTGGGGCTGGCACAGTGAGTGATGTCGAGTTTTATGCGCATAACGGTTATTGAGAGCCGCTTGGCTATGATACAGAAACTTCCCCATGATGTTCAATGGCGGAGTGAAAGCCGTCAGTGATACCGTACGCATCGAAGTCGACGTTGTACTCACTTCGAACGTCCTCGTAGTATTATCGCAGAGAGGCGACCGGGATCAATACGGTAGTTTCGAGTATGAAGGCGGTGATCCAGAATAGCAAGAATAAATCGTTCAAGAAGAAGAATGGAAAGATCTTCAAGGTGACTGCCCTCGCACTCCGAACTGTCTCTCATCTATCTCCGGACTGATCGAAGAACGAGAAACAGGCTTTAGAGGCGGTCATGAGGGAGAACGAAGAGCTTATGAGACGCGCAATCACCCAACCTGGAGAGATTCCGGACGAAGACGAGCTCGTCGATGCGGCGCAGGTCCTGGCCGACAAGGACAAGGAGGAGGAAGACGAAGGCGAAAGGTTTGAAAGGTTGCTTCGCGAGGGATTTATGGGTCTTTGTGTGAAACAATGTAGCAAATCCAAGCTCAGAGTGGGTTACCTCTTGAAGAAAACTCTCTCGTCGACTACCGCTCACGATTCTGACTACCTTGGCCAGTGCGAGATACCCGACTTACCCGAGGAAGTGGAACCCGAACTGGATCGGATCTTGTCTATGCCACCTTCTCCAGTCCTGGAGGATGGCCTGATCCAAGAGGACTCTGAACCGGGCTCCTATAGCGAAGAGGATGCCCGTCAACTGAAAATGGCTCACATACACCTAGAGTCTACTATACCTTGCATGCAAGAGGAAGTCCAGCAGTCTGTCAACCTGGCACCCAATGAGATCCCACCACAGAGCCAACTACTGGATGACGACACCGACGAAATCATGAGCGACATCATTGTCGAGAGCCTCGCTGTCGACCGCGACCTCGATCACGACCTCATCTCTGAGGACTCGTCTTCTCTAGCATCACGATTCTCAGACATGTCAGAGGACGTTTGGTCGTTCCCCGAGAGCCCGATCGACGGAGTCCAAGCCATCACGTATGATCAGCATTCGAGCGCCGCCTCGCTACCGCTAGGGTCTCCGCCTCGATCCCTTACCACAATTTCCACGCCAGTGACCGCTTCCTTCTCAAACGAATGGAGACTATCAGACGGCACGGGTCACGAGCGCTCGTCAATCAGCCATCACGAAACACCTATTCGACCATATGACGGAGACGATGGCAATGTCAGGGATTATGATGAAGAGGAGGTTTACGACTTTTAGTTCGCGGGACTGGTCACCGAGGTGCAGGCTGGAATGTCTCGTTATGTTCGTATAGTGCTCCGTGCCAACTACTTGTCATTCTACACAGATTGCTTTCCCAGATGAACCACCAAGGTTCCGTTTCGAATGCTTCTCTCCTTCAAGACCTCCCAGCGTCCGAGACGAGGTTCCCTCGATAGCGATGCCAGCAGAAGAATCTCCGGGTCCGCCTTGGCGGTGACTGATTTGACCTTCTTCCCTGATACGGCAGCGACTTCATCCTCCGCATCCATTTCCTCATCGCTGTCCTCTCCGTCCTGTTCTTCATCCACGCCGTTCACAGCATCGGCATGGTCGGCATCGACATCGGCAGAGTCGCCGTCAGCTTCCATCGGCACTTCGACATCGTCCCCATCGGCCTTGCCAGTGTTGGGATGGCGCTTGATCAACCTTCGTGCCTTCTTCATGGCCTTTTTCAGGTCGACCTGCTCCTTTCTTGCCTTGTTCGAGATCCACTTGTCGGGCTGAACGTTGCGGGGCGGTACAGAGATGATTTGCAGACTGTTGACGAAACCCTTGGCGGGCACGTCGAAGAGCAAGGTGAAAGATTTGAGGTTTGCTGCAACTGCCCAGATCTTGATCTCGCCTGACGAAGAGCCTGTAGTACCAGTCCAAAAGATTACATCAGCGATCCTGGTCACAAGCTGTGTATCGATTATCCACACTCACCAGAAGCGAAAAGGTCCGTTCCGCGGAGAGCAGCTAGACTGGTGATCAACCTAGGTCTAACCATCACCCCTTCCGTCTCCGATACGGTCTCCATGAGACCGTGAGCCAAGCCTGCTGTGAATATGGGCTTCTTCTTGCCAGTGTGCCAGAGACAAATAGATCTATGAAGCGGGAAGTAAAGTCAGCGCGTAGCCCAAACCGACTCGGAAACGTAACAAGATCTCTCACCCGCTGTCACCGCCCGATAAGAAGTGCGAGTCGTCCAAGATGCAAACAACATCCATGCTTCCTTCCTGGAACTCCTTCTTGGCGTCTTTGCCCTTGCTCTTGGGCTTCGGCTTTTCCTGCTCCTGCTCCTCCATCGTTTCCACAGCCTCGGCCCCATTTGCTTCTCTACGATCGAATGTCTTCCCGCCTCCTCGAAACACCAGCTGAATTTCCTCCTCCACTTTCCACCATCTCGCTGTGCGGTCACGTCCTCCACTCGTCACCGCCATTGTAGGTTTTATTGCCGATACGGAAGCGATCGAATCTTGATGACCGAAGAAGGTGTCGATTGTGGAAAGTGTAGATAGCGATTGAAGGCAGAGAAGTCGGGAGAGAGATGTAGAGAGGAAGTGCATTGAAGGGTTGGAAAGCGCCGGTATTGAGATCGACTATCGAGTTTAATCAGGTTGTCAGGGTCAGAACCGCATGTTCAAGTTGACATGCACCGTTCTGCTTACCGTCACAGCATCCTTGTGACCCGTCAAACCTCGCAGCCATTTCACACCGCCTTCACCCGCCTTCCTCTTTGTTTTTCGTTTCTTAGCACTAACGCTCGCCCGCCTCGGCACCGAGTTACCTGACCCAGGCTGCACTTCCCATACTCCAACGAGCTTGTCCTTTCCACCGGTGACCACGTACTTGCCGTCCTCTGACGCGGCCAAGCAGTAGATCGTTCCCTTGTGGCCTTGACCTGCGGGCTGCTTCTCTTTTCCCTTGCCATCCTGTCCGTGTGCGGATTGTCCAAAGACGTTCCCAGACAGACGCATGGTGCGAAGGTCATATCGTACGACAGAACCGCTCTTGTGAGCGATATAGAGATGAGTGGAAGAGGCGTGGGAAGCTGTCACAGCATGGTTGTGAAGCGCGGGAAGGAAGTGCCTTTTAAGGGTGGTAGCGGGAGAGTCGATTGCTGAAAGTCGAGGTTGCAAGAACGTATGGATCGCACCGGATTGCTCGTCCTGGATGCAGAATCAATGTTAAGCCTTAACAACGATGAATGCAAGCGAGTCTTTCCAGACTCACGACATCCTGCTTCAATCTGGCAGCGATCAATTCTCGATCGATCTCGGCGGCGTCGAACGTCCCATCGTCTACCCGATTTGCCACCTCATCCCGAACCTTATTCAAGTAGCCCTTGGCCAACCTGATCCGCTTTTCTCCAGCGGTCTCGTTCCTGTTCAGTTCCTCTTCTTCGCCGGAATCGTAACGCACAGCGTCTGCGCCGACGTCATCTCGAGTAAAGTCGAGGGCATCGAGATCGCCCCGATCGTCTTCCGAACCAGAGGACAACTCTTCATCCCTCGGTTTTCGTTTGGGAGCTGATGATGTCGATGGCCGGCTCTGCTTTTGATTCAGACCTTTATTGTTAGGTCGCTTCCGTTTTTTGTCGTTCACGAAGAAAGAGTCTCCCGCCATGTTGACGTGTCTAGTCTATGTCTATGGGTAGAGCAGCCTGATGCAGAGAGTAGCGTGCGAAACAGTACCACAAGGGAGCTCGTAGAGAATAGGAGACGAGTGGAATGGACGAATCGATCGCCTTGTTAGGAATCACGCATCATCGATCTTCGAACTTGGGTGAGCGTCGTTTCAACATTTTGGTTGGATCTGGGTCAAAACGCGAGTCACGTGATCCGTGCGATGTCGATGTCATACTCTATGTCGTATCGGATGCGTGAGTTCGCAAAACAACCAATTACAAAGGCTTCCAGGATCTAATAGCCTCCATAATGCCCTCCGCCTGTCAGACTGTCCGGCAGCCGTGGCGGTAAGCCGTATCCTCCTCCCGGCGGAAGCGGCTGTTGCTGCTGTTGCTCGTCCACACCTAGATTGGCCAAGAACGACCTCCCAGCTCCCTGTGATTGTGGAGTATTCCTCGCCGCAAACCCCTCAGTCAATGCGTTCGGGGGCGAGTGTGGGCGCGGTGGAGGGGCAGGAGGGTGAGGCGGATATCCTTGATGCTGTCCTTGTCCCTGATCCCATTGATGTTGATTCTGACCCACTTGATGATCGTATCCATACGAGCTCTGAGCAGGTACCGAGGATGGCGGTATAGGTGATGGCATCGAAGCTTGAGCATAGGTGTTACTAGGCCCGCCCTGCTGAACTCCATAACCTTGATTTTGGTTCGTACCCTGATACCCCGTCCCCATCGTATCTGCCACTGGCGTATTGTGCGACGCATCCCGCCAATCCCCCTGGACCAGCTGATTGTGATTAGGTGCATACCCTGCATCCTGATACCCACCCGGAGCAGGCGTCGGTAAAGGCAACGGTCGTCCCTGAGCGTCTCCAAAAGGCACAGACCCGGGCGCAGGCGTCGTCGACGAATAGTGAAACGAGCTCGTCGGCAAGGGATAATGCCCTCCTGGGGGTGGCGGCGGTAATTGTCCATACGTCTGATTCTGATTCTGATTCGCCGGTGTATACGTTGTTGTCTGTGGCTGAACCGTCGGCTGTGACGAGGGTCTCGGTGGCGGTCGATTGTCGATCAGCGGAGGAGGTATATACGCCCCAGGGTTCGTCGATGCCGGTCGTTGTTGTTGATGTTGGTACGCGTTGGACGACGACGAAGGCATCGACTGAGGCGGCGCTGACTGAGCATGCCATGGTATAGGCGGCGGGCCCCCTGTATAATCACCGGGTACCGGCGTCCGCGAGGGTTGCGGTATTGATGACAGTGCAGGAGGAGCAGGGGTATGTCCACCGTAACTCGGTTGATAACTTCCAGCAGGGGCCGACGGATCTGACTGGTACAGCTGCGGGAACGAAGTCGAAGGAGGGACATGATTCGAGTAGGCCTGTGGTGTTGATAACCGCGGCGGGATCTGCATCGACGGTGGAGGAGGTAGTGGCGGAAGCGTTCCATACGAGCTCGAAGGTGCCGGCTGGTAATTGCCCCCAGTGACCGCCGGGTTTCCGTTCCAGCTCGAGCTCTGTGGGATGGCGCCCGACATCGAATACCGATGTCCATGTGAATGCGTTTGAGGCTGTCCCAAAGGCGGCGGTGGGGTCGACATGGCAGCATGATCAGGCATCGACGGATAAGGTTGTGGCGGCAATGCCGGCGGCGGTGGTACATGGGGAGGAAGCGGTGTCGCCGAGGGGAACGGCATGTTCGATCCGTGGGAATGAGATCCGATAGACATGCTCGACAGGGATCCTCCTAGACTGTCCATCGAGGCCTGGTGCGACCCATAGGAGTCGTATCCGGGAGCTACCGACGTGGGTCTCCCGCTGAAAGATTGTCTGTGACTCGCCGACCCTGCTCTGGCACCCCATTCATCCGCTCCCATCCCCATTCCCGAGCTGACAGGGTCCGCCTGATAATGCTGCAGATACCGCCTATCCTCGATGCTAGCGTGATATGCATGTCCCATCGGCTGGACAGGTCTCCTCGTGCTGCCCCCACTTCCCTTGAGCGGGAACCCTGCTGGACCGTCAAACGTCGCGATGGTCGAGATCGAGGTGATGCTATTGCTATGAGTCGGCTTGGGGGGGATGACCGGTTTGGCGACCTTTTTCGGGATCGGCGGTGCGTCCTGCGAGACGGTCGGCAAGCGTTGTTTTAGCCATTAATGCAATGCGGAGACCCGGCCGGAGCATGATCCTACTCACGTTGATAAAGTAGGTCAACTCGAGCGAGATTTCCCCTGCATACCGGTTCTTGTATTGCAGCTCGTACGAGTCTGCACAACCAAGTATCACAATGAGATCAGCCCGAACCCGGTCCAAACGCTCAACGACTCATCGAACTCACCATCCTGTTCACACGTCCTAAACACCTCACTCAGATCCACCGAACATTCCCCGACGATCTTGGGTTCCTTCGAGTCGTCCGCCCAGACCTGAACCTGGATGCTCTTGTTCAACGGCAGTCTCGCCATACCTCCCTGTCCATTAGAGTTGGGGTTGGAGCTCGAGGAAGCGTCGGTGACCACGGAAGGCGTATCCGAAGACCGGGAGGGTCGGTTGAGGATGTCTTCGGTCTCTTCATAGATCTTGAATCGGACTTCATCGTCAAATTCCGGATGTTGGCCCCCCCTAAATTCGACAAGAGGAGAGAGTAAGACAAAGAAGAAGACATCAGCTTTGGCAAAACGCTAACGCTGTGAAACGTGTATGAAGGTGAGAAAGAGTCGGTTTGTTTACTTTTTAACGACCTTGGATTTGCGTTTCTCCTGACGGTATTGAACGACCACATAGGGGTTATGCTTCCCGATCTTGCTCCGATCCGGCAGGTTTTTCTACGATTGCCCCAGCCCGGTAGTAGGAAATGAAGTGGGAAGGCGAGACGAATGTGAGCCAGAGTTGCAATTGCGCGGATCAATGAGGTTCGTGCGAGATGCAGGGTTGGGCGTACTCACCGCCTTGATAATGACCACGGCGAGCTCGCCCAGGAGTTTGGGCTCGATCGCTGGCCCCGGCATAGTGTTCGGTCCTTTTGGTAGAGTGGACTGCGAGCTACAATCTGCGTTGATGACGAGCTGCGTTGTGTTCTATGAACATGTTTGATGGTCTATGCGTCTATGCCCTGGCAATCTTCAAACAGGTGTCCTCGCTCGACGTTCGTCATCTCTCCCCGAGGGCAGTGCGGTGCGTTGTTTGCGATCTGCACCGCGGATTTAAATGGTAGAGGTCAGTTCCCTTATCGCGGGCCGGGGGCTGTAATAAATCTCGAACGCGTCGGAGAGAGAGAGAGGGAGAGACGCGTTCGATAGACGCGTCTTCGCTAGACTCGCTCGGCTTTGCGTGCTTGATCATCCCCCCTCTTCCTTAATTCCTAATTCCACTGATCACGCTCACCTCGCATTAAAATCCTTTTCCTCAACACTTCTTCTTGCCTGGACAATCAACCTTCTTGCCTGGCAAACCAAATCCTTGCCCATTGATCGACCGATCGTCAGATCAATCATGTCGGTCTCACCCGTCCGCCGCTCTCGGAAAGCGGCTCAAAAGGCCGTCACCAAAAAACGTTGGATCGTCTCTTCCTCCGAATCCGAGCAGGAGGAGCAGGTCGTCCAGGACGACGAGTCCGAGGTCGAGGTGGTGGCCAAGACGAGGAAAGGCGGGAGGACGAGCACCCGAGCTACCGTGAACGGCACGAAGAAGAAGACGAATGGCAAGGTCATCACCGTCGATTCTACGGATGGCGAGGCAGAGGACGACGATGTCCAGATGGAAGACGGCCAAGTCGACGTCGACCCTTCTAGTGAGCGCCCAGGTGGACTAGATTCAGAACCAGAGATTACGGGTCCGATCGGCAGCCGACCATACATCCTGAACGTAGAAATCGAAACCTCGCGTGCCAGCGGCTCCAACGGTCCCGTCAAGCGCACCTCGACCCCGGGCTCGTCGAAAAAGAAGATTGACGTTTCGGCCTTTCTGATCAAGAAGAACGCTCCCAAACCTGCTGCGAGGAAGGACAGCACTCCGTCTGAGGACGACGACGAGGAAGACGAAGAGCCCGTCAAGCGCGGTGGCCGTTCATCGAAGTCCAAACCCGCTCCCAAGACTGCTACCAAGCCTTCAGCCTCTGCCCAGAGCAAGAGCAAGAGCAAACCCAAACGAAAGGTTACCTCGGACTCGGATTCCGATTTCAAGATCGAATCCGAGCACGACGATGACGATTACGCTGAACCGGAAGATGACGAGGATCACGAAGTCTCCTCCGTCGAGGACCTGAATGATGAGAGCGAAGAGGAAAAGCCCAAGAAGAAATCAAAGTCCGCTTCGACTTCGACGACAGCTGCGGCTTCCGGTTTGAAGTACAAGCCGAAATCGAAATCGCAATCGAGGGCCGTCAGCGAGGAAGAGGAGGATGACAATGTGGTGGATGTAGAGTCGGATGCCATGAGCGTGGTCAGTGAGAAGAAGACTGTCTGGAAGAAGAAACCCGCTGCCAAGAAGAGCGGTAAGCAGCCAACTATCCCTGTTTGGTCGCTGTCACACCATCGTTGACGAGGTATGACATTTTTGACATTTGAAAATAGCTGCAGGAGGTCTCACCCAGGCGGCCAAGAAGAAGGCTTCTGCCGCCGCTGCCGACGCTGGAAACTTGCCACCCATGTCAGATCTCGCCTCGATGTTCAGGGACATGATCACCCGAGATCCAAACTCTGACGCTTCGACGTCGAGTTCCCCATCCAAAGCTTCCACTTCGTCAGGTGCTAGGGTGGAGGCTATCGTCTCTGACGACGAAGAAGAGGGCTCCAGTCCGAAAAAGTCGAAAGGCGCGGGTGTTGAGGGGAAGAAGCAGACGACCTTGTTTGGGTTTATCAAGCCGCAGAAACCAGCTGAAGGCAAGACCAAAGGCAAAGGCAAGGGGAAGGGCAAGGACGCCGAGGTGGACGATATCGATGATCATCTGGCCGGGGTGGACGCGTATACGAAGCCCAAGGGACATTATTTGGCCCAGGCTGTCAAGAAGATGGGAGGCAGGAAGTTGAGGGTGGCCACCATGTGCAGGTGAGTACGCCTTGTGACCGATCGAACCGTCCAAAGTCCTCGTACTGATAAGTAAATTCGACAATATCGGTGAACCTTGGACGAAACCGGCAGTGGTACAGAGTCCCCTTTGCTCGCTCTTGGGCTGATCTCGAGGGAGATGAAGGTCGCCTATGGGGTCCCGTTCGATGTTGAACACGTGTTTAGTTGCGAGCTCGAGCCTTACAAGCAGGCCTACATCGAGCGAAACTTTGCTCCACGTGAGTCGACCAGTCGTCTCTCGAGTGCCAAAGCGGAGTACCTGCTGATCTACTGGGTCTTGTTAGCCATCTTGTTCCGAGACGTTACCGAGCTAGGCAACGAGTATGCCACGACGGCTTATGGAGCTTCGGTCAAGGTGCCCGGGAACGTCGATCTGCTCGTCGCGGGTACGAGTTGTGTGGATTATTCCAACTTGAACAACCAAAAGAAGGGCCTTGAGCAAAAGGGAGAGAGTGGAAATACCTTCCGAGGGGTGAGCGTTCTCGTCGAATGCACCTTATCGACACCTTTTCTGATTCACTCATCCGGCTCTTAGATGTACAACTGGGTGTCGAACCACCGACCAGCGATTGTCGTGCTCGAGAACGTATGCTCAGCTCCCTGGGGACAGGTAGCGGAAAAGTTTGAGCAGATTGGGTATTCTGCCGTCCCGCAAAGGTGAACATCGGTAAAGAAACCTTTCGCGACGACATGATAGCTGATAGCGCGACACTTTACGCCTCTCCAGGTTTGACACTAAAGACTTTTACATCCCTCACACCCGTACTCGAGGTTACTTAGTCGCCTTCCGTCAACCCGAATGGCCGAAAAAGGTCGGCAGCAAGTCTGCAGTCAACCACTTGCCGGATTTGTGGGTCGACATGGTGATTTCGATGCAGAGACCCGCTTCGTCGCCCCTCGAAGCCTTCTTGCTCCCACCCAACGATCCTCGTCTCCATCAAGGTCGGCTCGAACTCGCCGCTGCGAAAGGGCTCGGGAAAGCCCGTGCGCCTACTGATTGGGGACGTTGTGCCTCACGACACGAAAAATGTCGATTCGAGGAAGGTCTGGGTACCAAGCGGCCCTGGACCGACTGGAGGGATGGAGCGATCTGTAACTTCCCAGAAGGTTACTGGAATGATTGGGCGAATGCGCAAACGGAGCGTGTGCAGGATTTGACCGATGTCAGCCATCTGAGGGCCGCCAGGAGTGGGTTTGACGCAGCGTTCAGGACGCTCGTGTGGAACCTCTCTCAGAACGTGTGAGTATCCGTCAATAATCAGACTTGACTACATGATCTGATTAAATTGCCGTTAAACAGCGATCGAGAGATCGGTTCAGCAAAGCGACCTGGTATCGTCCCTTGCATGACCCCCACCATGATTCCCTACGTGACCAATCGAGGTGGACCTCTCATCGGGATCGAAGCCCTTGCCTTGCAAGGTATTCCGGCCGATGAGCTCTTGCTCACGCGGGAGACTGAGGATCAACTTGCCGATCTTGCCGGAAACGCCATGTCCTCTACCGTCGTCGGAACCTGCATGGTAGCAGCCATCATCCTCGCCACAAAGTATCTCGACGGTGTGGAAGACGGTATGGAGGTTGACCAGGAGACCGAGGTCGTTGATGCTGCAATCGCCGCTGTTGGCGACGAGCTGGAAGACAGGATCATCGGCCAAGACCAGCTCACTACCAAGACACTGGATCTAGCCAAGCTTTCCGACATCTCGGTTCAGGAAGTGCTAGAGGAAGCGGTCAAGAGCTCCCGGTACTGTATTTGCGAAGGGCCAACAGGCACGTCCAAGGAATCGACCTTGCTCTGTGAAGCCTGTCAACACACTCGATGCGAGGGGTGTAGCATTCGTCCGTTGCACGAGTATGTGCCACATCCTCACTCTGCTGCCCGGATCGACGCCATGACCTTTGCCCGTCGGTTGAAGAGTGTATTGCCGATGCGAATCGAGGTTACCGGCTTCCAGCAACAAGATCTCGATGCCGCGAAAGCATCCACAAAAGCATCAATCGATCTGAAAGACTGGTCTCTTTGGTCGAACCTGGTCGTCAAGAGCTTGGCTGACACAGAATTCCACTTCAAGTCCCTCGATCGCAAGCACCAGTGGAATGCCATCTACGACGCTCCATGCGCTAGCCTCAGGCTGACATTGAACAAGGACAAGGCTGTTTGGCTTCTTTTCGTCAAGGCTCCAGAGACCGACAATGCGAATGCGCGTCGACGCAAGCTTGTAGCGCATCCCGTCGCAAGGCTGCTCGTCGAGCCGACGGCCAAGAATCTCCTGGACGGAAAGTGGTCGTTCCAGCTGCCTTCGGTCGAAAAGCTGAAGCTGCAGATCAAGGGAAGTGGTGAACTGGTCCCAGCTTGGGAAGCCAGAATCGGGCTTCAGCAGCTACCGCTTCAAGACGCCAAAGGCAATTCGGTTGACAAGGTAGACTGGCAAGGGAAGAAGCAGTGGTCGCAGCTGCAGATCTCCTATCAAGACGAGGAGCACCCGAAGTTGGACGTCGACATTGCGGGCACCTACGATCTGCATTCCAACTGCGGTACGGCAATGGAATGCTTGCACATCAAGCAAGGAGAACCGAACGTTTCGTTCTTCCTTGATCCGGTTCGAGTTGGTTTCTCAGGAGACGATCCATTCGTATTCGCTTTGGACCACGAAAGACTTGATTACGATCAAGAACGAGTGGCCATTGCCAAGCTCGATCCGAAATGGAGACCCACGCCAACGGATCTCATGTCTTCTATGACGGTCAAGGCAGAGGTACACGGGACATGGCTTCCTGCAGAGTCTGCTTCAATGGCACCGATCGACGACAGTATGGCCGAAGGCGAAGGAGCAACTTGCGCAATTCCAGAGAAAGCGCTTACTTTGGATGTCGGTGGCGATGCCTGCTTACATGCGAATGCTCTCTTGGTCTGCAAGGTCCCACTGCCTCACGCAGAAGCTGAACAACTTTGGAGCAGCGTACAAGGTCTTTGGGGAGAGATTGAGCTACAACACAAAGGCAAGCAGGCTTTCGAGGCACTTGCTTGGATCACCGAGCGATTGCCTGCCCTAGACACCTTGAAGCAATGGGCGTCGGTACCGCTCGGCGATCTGCACCATGACGATGAGAAGACCTGTTGCACTCGCTGTGCTCCTTCTCCGCCGGAATTAAGCTGGATGATGCGTATGAACAGGCTTGTTCCGGTAGAAGATGTCGTCCAGGCAGGCGAGTATGAGCGTGTGAGTTTCAAGAACTGATATATGGATGAGATAGAGTAACAACGAGGATGCTAATATTGTTGGCGGACCAGGCTCTCAAACGACGACCGGCACCAATGGTGGCCCAGATGCGGCTGGACGGATCTGTCGGGACCATACAGATTGGTCTCAACATCGCTACGCTCTTGCATAGAGCGCTGTCTCGGTTGCCCTCCTTCGGACGAATTCAGTCTCCGGACTTGGCCTGGAGGTTGCAAACTGATTACCAAGCGGTCGAGACTGCTTTCTTCCGCCCGCCTAAGCTCGACCTCAAGTCGAATCGACACGATGCCGAGGCGTCTCAACCACCAAATTTCGGTACCAAGGCTAAAGACCCAAAGCTCAGGCCGGAACAGCTCCGATCTTTAACTTGGATGCTGCAACAAGAAGCCGAAAAAGATCACTCTTTCGTCGAAGAAGAGGTGGCGGAGGCCACTTTGGGACCCCTCGGCTGGAGAGCTGAAGGTAGGGCGTCTCGAAAAGTAATGGTCCGAGGTGGTGTTCTGGCCGATCAAGTCGGATACGGAAAAACGGCAATCTCCCTAGGTCTGATCGATACATCGAAACATGTCGACGAGCACGCCCTTCCTGAGGTACCGCGACCCGGGCGTATTGCTACCAAAGCAACCTTGATTGTTGTGCCTGCGCACTTGACCAAGCAATGGGAGGGAGAAATCCACAAGTTCTTGCGTCGAAAAGAATACCGCGTCGTAAAGCTGCTGGATCTCACCTCGATCAACTCGGTCAGCATTCGCGATATCGAAAAGGCGGATATCGTCATCGTCGCGTTGACCATCTTCAAGAGCCAGCTCTATTGGTCGAATTTGGCAGGTTTTGCTGCCTCTGGGAGTCTTCCACAGGGAGATCTGGCTACGCGTCACTTCGTATCGCGACTCGATCAGATCTTAGAGGGCCTCGATGCTCAGGTCAACTTGCTTCAAGAGGAAGACGGGCCCAAGCAGGTCTCGAAAAATATCAAGCAGTCTCTGGCAGAAGTGGCGGCGGAAAGGAAAGAAGCCAAAGATACCAAGGACGCTTTCATCATGACCTTTGGCAAGAAGCGACTGACGGGCGCGGCTTACTTGGCTATGCAGGAGGGAGATGTGCCCGCACCCAAAGCCAAGAAGGCAAAAGCTGAAAAGAAGGACGAGCGTGAATCCAATGACCCTTGGAACCTCAACAACAAGGATGTTCGCGACAACTACCACAAGATGCGCTCGCCTCCCTTGCACATGTTCAGGTTCAATCGTGTCATCATCGATGAATTCACTTATGTGGATCAGCGATGCTTGTCTGCTGTAACCAAGCTCGAATCCATCAGCACTTGGGTTTTGTCCGGGACACCTCCTGTCTCTGACTTTACGGCCGTCAAGGGAATTGCCGATTTCCTTCACGTCCACTTGGGCGTGGATGACGACACCGAGGGAACCGCCGAGACGACAAAACGGCGCCAGAAAGGTCAAACTGCGGCGGAAGCCTTCCACTCGTTCCGGGAGACGCACACTGCATCCTGGCACGCCGCTCGTTATGGAGTCGCGCAGCGATTCTTGGACACCTTTGTCAGGCAGAACGTCGCCGAGATCGGGGAGATTCACTCGGAAGAAAGGGTGGTTTCTATCACCCTCCCCGCCGCCGAGCATGCCATCTACCTCGAGCTTGATCATCACATCCACTCGCTTCAGGGCATGACAAAGAAGATCATGAAATCGGCAAAGGGAGCTCGCGCCGATCGACAGATTCGTCTATCCGACGCACTCGGCAACTCGGCGGATCCTCGAGAAGCCCTGATCAAGCGATGTGCGCACTTTGACATGGAATCGGAAGGTAGCGCACACGACGCTTTTGAAGCCTGCGAGCGGATCGTCTCGACCCGTACCAAGCAACGCACTTTGTGCGAAGAGGACTTGCATTACACCATCGCCGAAGCCCTTGAATTGTTCCTCTACATCCGTGATGTCAAGAAAGGTTACCGGGACCCCAAGACTGGAGAACAAGAGCGTAAGACAATGCATTTTGCCGAATACCTGAAGACCACCTTTGGCGAGGCCGGTAACGGAGACGACGAGGCGACCATGCTACACCGCAAAATCCTGAAGGAGGAGGGTTGCGAGTGGGCGAACGGGGATATCAAGGTCGACAAGGCCAAACACCAAGCGGTCATCAAGAGCCGCAAACCCCGTGAAGATGAAGACGGGAGTACCAAGATGAACACCAAGCTAAAGGAGGACGAGATGAAGTGGCAATTGCGTGAGAAGAGTCACGTATTGCGAAGATTGGCGAATGAGCTCGTCGGGCGAACCCGGTCTTTGCGATACTTCACCGCTGTGCGAGATGTGCAGAGGAACGGTGACGCGGCTATCAAGCCCTGCATCAAGTGCGAAGGCAAATCGGGCAGTGAGCCTTGCATTCTCTCTGCCTGTGGTCATACTGGCTGCTTGGCGTGCTTGACACCGCTGGCCACTCATGGATTTGAATGTCCACACGAGGGCTGTAGGATTAACCTCGAGACACATCAGGTTATTCCTACCAAAACGCTCGGTCGAGAGGAAAAGAGCGGTCGTTTCGGTGCCAAACTACTTCAACTTGTCGCCATCATCAAGCACATCGAGGCCCAAGATTCGACGGATCGAATCTTGGTGTTCGTGCAGTTCGACGACCTGTTGAACAAGATTAGATTGGCTCTCAAGAAGGCACGAATTGGGACTATCGTCATTGAAGGTTCCGCATCCAAACAAGCCAATGAGCTGGATCGATTCCAAAAGCTGGATGTGGATGACCCCAAGGCTGAGCGTGTCCTCATCTTGAACGTTGCGGCAGCGAGCGCTTCTGGAGCAAACTTGACATTGGCGAATCACGTCATCTTTGTGCACCCGGTTCACTACCCTGAGGCGAGCAACGACCGGTTCATCGCCACTGAGACGCAAGCGATCGGACGAATCAGACGATACGGACAGGAGAAGCGATGTCATATCTGGCGATTGTTGACCAGCAACGCCGTCGACGAAAAGATCATGACGGAGAGGACCGGTGTCAAACCGGTCGGCAATTGGAATGCTATTGAGGGCAACGGCTTAGACAATGCCATCGAAGTTGACGAGAGTGATGGCGGCGAGCCCGAGGAGAAGACGACTGGTAAACGCAAGGCTGCTGCCAAAGCCGGAACAAAGCGCAAGGTGGTCGAGATCAGCGATGACGAAGGCAGTGCCGCCGAGTCTTGGGTCGAATCGGACTAGTTGACTTTCCGAGTGTGTAATGTGGAAGTTGCGAGTTGTAAAATAGCTTTGTATTGAAGTCCTTATCCCATACACCATCCCTGAACTTCTTTTCAAGGCGAACCTGACAAAGCGAAGTTCAGAATCGCTAAACGGACTTTCTTGCCACGATTACAACCAGAGGCACCCAAACCAGCATCAGATTCACAGCCCATCATCTCCCCAGACATTAAAAGGTACCGCTAGAATCGCAAATGGATGTAAGGCCAACATGCCCCAGATCAGTCCTGGGAGCAGTCCGTCGATCTACAATATTTGCTATAGAACGGGAATCGAAATTTTCACAAACAAGGCAAGACCCACAAAGCGAGCAACAAGATAAGACGCCTGATTCGAGAAATGATCAAGCCTATGACAGCGGAAGGCACTGAGGCCGTCTAAGAGATCTTGAAAGCTCAGTGTGCATATACATGATCATAACTGCTGATTAAAATTGCATTCCAATTGACAAGGGTTTTCGCGACTATCTAACGCGCCCATCATTCGTAAGGGGATCCGAGCTTTTATTCAAATATCGTCTAAGCGTAGAGATCGTCATCGTCGGCCTCGTTGCCGAAAGCACCAGCTTGGCCAGCCTCTCCAGCGTTCTCGGCGTCAGGGAACTGTAATTGTGATCAGGTCAGCACATGCAAGGCGAAATCGTCGTGGCCACAGGGACTAACCTTGAAGTTTGAGCCTTGCGCACCCCTCGAAGCGGACATGGAGGCGGCAAATTGCTCGTATCGCTGATGGGCAGAGAAATGAGTCAGCAAGAGGCAGACGGTACCAAGATCGAATGGTATCAACGCTCACCCTGAGCTCGGCGTCCGAGACGGATCTTCGGGCAAAGCCAAAGGCCTCCTCGAAGTGGGCCCTAGTGATGTGCGGCACCTCGTCAACCTCCTCGGCGGTCTCTTCCTCGTCCATAGCTCCTTCGCCGGCGGCCTCGGCCCTAGCACGACGCTCCCGGTCTCGCCTCATGTCAAACTCGATAGATTGACGGATAGCCAATTTAGAAGCCCTCTGCACGATACCAACACAATCGGCACCAGAGAATCCAGGAGTCGCCTTGGCGATGTAGCCGAGGTCAACATCGGGAGCGACGGGCGACTTTCGGAGAGCGGCCTTGAAGATCGAGAGACGACTGGGTTCGTCGGGCAAGGGAATCATGATCAACTGTGAGAGGAAGAGCGGTCAACAATTGATTAAGTGACAATGGACTGCAAGCCTACTTACTTGGTCCAGTCGACCCGGTCGCATCAAGGCGGGGTCAAGGTTGTCAGGCCTGTTGGTGGCACCTATATATATTTAGAATTGCGAGACAAGATTCCGCGTTTAGCGATTATATCAAAGTGTCAGCGAGATTTTCCGATTGCAGACTTACCAATGACGAAAACGTTCTTGTTGGTACCGACTCCGTCCATCTCGGTCAACAGCTGGTTCCTACCAAGACAAGAATCAGGGATTAGCCACTAGTCAAAGGTGATTTCCAGGTCCTCGAAACACGTACAAAACTCGGTCTCCGGCACCACCAGCGTCTCCCGAGCTGGCACCACGCTTTCCTCCTATCGAATCGAGCTCATCCTGCAATGAGAAATAGCATATAAGTATGCCGCTTCTCGCAAGCTTGCGATCCAGGTGCTCACGAAGAACAGGACACAAGGAGCGGCAGCTCGAGCTGTGAATGCACAACTAAATCAGCATCGCGCGTGGAACAGTCGTCGCCTTGTATCTGAACATACCCTTATCAAAGATCTCTCGAACGTTCTCTTCACTCGAACCGAACCACATCGAGAGCAACTCGGGACCCTTGATGGAGATAAAGTTGGCTTGACACTCGGTAGCGACGGCCTTGGCCAAGAGAGTCTTTCCGGTACCGGGAGGACCGTAGAACAAGACACCTCGCGAGGGAGACATTCCGTATTTGAGGAACTTCTCCGGGTGCTCGACGGGGTACTGCACGGTCTCCTGCAGCTCTTGCTTGACCTTGTCGAGACCACCGATGTCGTCCCACGATACGTTGGGTACCTCGACAACGGTCTCCCTGAGGGCCGAAGGGTTCGAAGTACCGAGAGCGAACCTGAAGTTGTCCATGGTGACACCAAGGGCATCCAAGACCTCGGCATCGATGGTGTCCCTACAATTGAGTGATGTGTTTAGCACGCCAGCGAATAGTGTCTTCCAAGCCGGCAAGCAACTCACTCGTCCAAATCGATCAAGTCCATCTTCTCTCGGATCTGCTGCATGGCGGCTTCCGAACAAAGAGCGGCCATGTCGGCACCGACGTAACCATGGGTATCGGCGGCGATCTGCTCGAGGTCGACATCGTCTCCGAGCTTCATGTTCTTGGTGTGAATTCGCAAGATCTCGAGACGACCAGTTGGGTCGGGAATACCGATGTCGACTTCACGGTCAAATCGGCCGAATCGTCGAAGAGCAGGGTCAATCGAGTTGGGCTGTGGTAGATGCGATTGTCAGTCAAATACTGCTAGGAGCGTAAGCGTCACCGTGCAGGAGCTTACCCTGTTGGTAGCGGCCATGACGACAAGGTTGGATCGGGCCTTTAAACCGTCCATCAACGTCAAAAGCTGGGAGACGACACGCCTCTCGACTTCTCCGTTGGTCTATCGATACCAAACCGTCAGTCGCTGTTCCCTTCACTGTACAATCTATAACACCCTCCGGACCCACCTTCTCACGCTTGGGAGCGATCGAATCGATCTCGTCGATGAAAATGATGGCCGGGCTGTTCTTCTCGGCCTCTTCGAAGGCCTTTCGCAAGTTGCTCTCCGACTCTCCGGCCATCTTGGACATGATCTCGGGACCGTTAATCAGGAAAAAGAACGCTCCAGTCTCGTTGGCGACAGCTCGTGCCATCAAGGTCTTTCCTGTTCCAGGAGGTCCGAACATGAGGATACCTCGAGGAGGCTTGATACCGATGGCCTTGAAAAGTTGAGGGTGTCGCAAAGGGAGCTCGACCAATTCTCGAATCTGTTACACGAACGCGAGGGTTGTAAGCCAGCCAATTCGAGATTCGGGCCGACTGGTTGATACTTACCTGGGCCATCTGCTTCCTGCATCCACCAATGTCATCGTATCCAACATCTGCCAAGTTGGACTCTTCGTCCTCTCTCTTCACAGGGTCACCCTCGCAGAAGATGGTCTACGTGACACGCAAGATTGTCAGCTTCAAGCTCGTCAATCTACTTGACTCGTGTTGACAGCAGACTCACGGTGTCTTGAGCGACGATACAGTATTCGGCGGGATCAGTTTCAACGACCTTGAACTCGACGGTTCGCATACCACCTCGGACGAGGAAGGTGTCTCCCTTCCTGACGGGTCGGTAAGCTCTGAGAGGAAGGAACAAGCCAGACGTCAGATTGATTGCACGATACAGCTTTCGCGCTTCATCACACTCACTCGAGGAAGTAAGGCTTGAGGTAGACCTCGAACAAGTTTCCAGTCAAACCTAATCAGCAGCACATGCTCGTTGATCAGCTCACAACAATAGAAAAGCGTCTGAACAATCCATCTACTCACCCTCGATCGAATCGTCGAAAGGCAAGATGTGAACCCTCTGTCCGTACTTAATATCGTTGCAAGCGTGAACGTTGGCCAAATCTCCGAGCTTGACTCGCAAGTTGTTTCGGGCAACTACAAGCGTGAAGAAATAAGATTAGTCAACATGAGAAGAAGCGGTATGCAATCCAAAGTCTTTGGCAGGACTCACCCTTATTCAAAGCGATCTTGCCCTCGTCGACCTCGTCAGACGAAAGACAAATGAGGACGGTATCCTTTCTCTTCTTCCCACTAATCAAATTATTCCCACGTCGAATCAGCTTTTACGCCCCTTGTATGTGTGCAGAGCAGGCTGATGCTGTAGATGCATTTATCAGACTCACCGAACAATGATAGTGTCCCCTCGGAAAAGACCCAAGACGTCCATCGTGGCGGGATGGAGGGTAGCCACCGAGTTGTCATCGGCACTTGATTCCTCGACGATCAATCGGTTGGGGCTGTGATCGAAGCAAAAGTATCAGATATTAGCTGTCCAAACCTGTCTCTCTCGTTGCGCAAGGCCGAATGGCGAAGATCAAGCGAGGAGACAACCCCGTCTTCGACGATGATTGTACACCTCACTCGACCTCCTCGTTGCTCGATCGACCCTGCCTTTGCGAGCCGGCGACTCACCTCTTCTTCGGTCGGAGAATGGCAGTGGCAGTGTCATCAGCGTTGGCGTTAGGAACTACCGGCTGAGTAGCGAGAGGTTCAGGGATCGAAGCATCGGCCATCTTGAAGGTAGATGAGGTTTTCGGAAGGTAGGCTGAAAGGGTAATGCTGTGATTGTGGGTTTGTTGAGAACCTCGCTTTGTCTAGGTTGCGGGTTTTGCTCGTGGCTGATCTCTCTATGAAAGTTCGATCAGGTGAACGAGATATGTATGGGCAGGGGGTGGAATGAGTTGCGTATGCGTTGTTGCGGGGTTGCCACTATAGATGGTTAGCAATCAGCAATCGAGGAGGAGTGAGGAGGATCGAGTGAGTGCGAGTAGTTCGAGCCCATTCCATCGAGAGCCAGAGAGCGAGAGACGAGTAAGCGTCGCCTCTCTCTCGCGTTTCACACGTCATCGCTGCAAAAGAGAGAGGCAATGATAGTCGGTGCACCGCGGATGTCATGACCTGATTACAATCATCATCACCATCTAGTACAACGACCATCGCTGTTGGACGACCTCTAGCACCCGTCGTTCTTCGATCAACAACTTGAGAGCCATCTTTTGCAGCTTGGCATCCGTAGGAAGAGCCTGCATGGATCGGTGATTGAGACAATCAGCATACGTGGGCGATCGCAGCACGATTCGCTGACCACTCACATCCGCGTAATCGCACAACTTGTCGATCGTCCAATTCGCATGCCACATCCGTTTTAGACGTTCCTGAAGCAACTCCAAGATAATCTCCGTACACGATCTGCTGACAGGATCCTCGTCCCATACGATCAACCCATCGCTCTCGCTCCTAGCCTCGAGTCGTGTCCTCGTCTCCAGTCCCAAGATGACGAGCGCTTCCCGGCTCTTGCCCTCCATCTCTTCTTCAGGCAAACTCGTTGCGAAACAAGCCCAGAACAGGGGTGTTGAGATTTGTCCGTCCGAGTTGATCAATAGCGAGTCTTTGGCATTGTATTTGCCCTGTTCCTGGTCCGGCTCGAAAACGAGTGCGTCTTCCTGCTCATCCTCGCTCGAAACCTCCCGGTTGCACAACGACTTCCAGAGCTTTCTTCGCGCCTCATGATCTTCCCTCTTCTCGCCATCCCCCAAGACCTCTTTCGACTCCCATCCGATCCCTCGTCCAAACGGATCGCCCGTCTCATCAACAAACCCCCATTCGTTTAACATTTGGCTCCATCCAATATGATCCCCGTAGGTGTTGAAGACCTCTTCGTCAGGGGCGAAGGGGGTGGCGATGGTCAGGTCGACAGTGTTCTGAGAAGGATCCGAATAAGAGGAGACTACTTCGGCAGGAAGATGAGAGAGTCGTAAAGGGATTGAAAGGGAGTTTAGTCCATCGTGTTCGCAAGCGGGCAACGATCCACAGACGTCGCAGACAAAGTCATCAGACTGGAACGAAAGACAGGAGACGACTCCCCCGTCAGCACGGCACGGTACTATCCGGTTTGCGGGACTTGCAAAGTAGTCGAGCTCCTCACCTCGAAACAGACGTGATTGTCTTCTCTATGATTGAAGATGTCGGCCAGAGGGACCATGGCGGCTCCGTGATACGCATCCACTTGAAACGCTCGCGAGGTGACAAGCGAGTAGGCATGCATGACGTCAAGGAACGTTGGAGGTCCCAAAGTCGATGGCGTTGAAGGGAAAGAATCTTTCGTCACTTTCCAATACGTTCGGATCTCATCCTGACGAAACCCCCCACTAGTCAGCACGACCTAGAAAATCTTACCAAGTGAATAGCGAGACTCACCTTGCTACGCTCTTCCTTGGCCATTCGTCTTGTCTCCCTCATCATCTCGGTCCCAGCGAGCTTTTCCAACGCCTTTTTCCCATCCTGACCGAAGAGCTCATCCTCGTCCCATAAAGCCACGATTGATACCGGCTGCCGAGGTAGCGATTGGAGGTAACCGTAATATCTGGACGCCGGCCCTTTCCGCATCTCGTGCAGCAGCGTCAGAGTCAGCTGAATGAGGAGTGGTATCTGTCGCCATATCTTGTTTGGGATAATCGAGTCTAGGTCTGAAGTATGGACAGATAATATGGCCGTCCTAGGGATTCTGCAGACTGCCAGATAGGTTTGGAGAAGCGATAAGTATCCCAGAACCTTCTGCCTTCGTCATATTGGCCGAAACGAACCTACTTCAAGAGGGATCCCGACTTGCGTTGACACTACGCCCCATCCTTGCCCATCTGGCATCTCCTTCACCTTCAGCTTCTCAGAAAGCCATATTCCTTGCTCCTTTAGCCATTCTAGCAGGATGAGCAATGAAGGCGGAGCGCTCCAATACAAGGACATGGAATGATCGGATAATTCCGGCTCGTCCGTCTTGCCCTTCGCCGGTCGAGGCGGGAGCGGCGTGTACTTGCTGGTGTTGTGCTTACGGGCTTGTCTAGGCATGTCGTCAGTCTGAAAGCGGGTAGTCCTTCTCGAGTGTGTTCCCTCGAGCGATGATCCCCGATTCGATAAAAACTTGTTGAACTCGTGGTACGGTTATCTCCTCCTCCTCCCCCCCGTCACTTTGTAAACAATCGGAAGCAAAACGACGCATTCGGTCAGATATATAGGTCTTCTACCGTCTTGTCTGTCAAATTACTCGTACAACATTCGAGCTAACGATAAGATGGTCGACCGTCATATCGAGCTTCCCGACCGTACTCTCTATACCGATCGTCTGGCCTGCGGTCCCCATCGAGACGTCGAGTGTCACCCACTCGATCATCGCCCCTCGACCGATCCATCTGCCGCATCGTTCGGTCAGCATCTCGTTGTCGATAAGACCGGTCCCTGTCCATATCTCGATCGCGAGCAGAGTCTGATCGATCTTGTCGACCTAGAGTATCTTGCCTTCCAGCCCGCCAATCCTCTTGGGGCTCCGTCTTGACGGCGATGTCCGGTGATCGTCTTCGGGCTACAGGTGGTGGTGAACGGCGAGAGGGGGAAGCATCCCGGTATCGCCTTTCTCGATCCTTCGATTCGTCTCGATGGCGTGAAGCAGAACCCCTATCCTCAGACTCCCTCTTGATGCTCCTTCTGCCTTCAGACTCCCTCTTCACGCGCCCCTTGCCCTCTGACCGCTCCTTCCCGCCATCCTCCAACTTGAGGACCCTCTTGCCTTCCTTCTTCTCCCTCTTTTCCCTCTTCCTAGCCGCGCGCTCTTCCTTGGTTTCTCCTTCGTGTTTCCGCTTCTTCTTCTCGTCTTTCTCCTTGCCCTTGCCTTTTTTCTCTTTTCTAGCCTTCTTTTGCTCTCGCTTTTGTGCTCGGATATAAGCCGCCATCGGGTCCTCATCGTCAGCGGAATTTCGAGCGTCAGAGTCGGATGAGTCGTCAGAGTCGTCTGTCGAGGTGGCAGCCGATTGTCAGAATTACAGCCCTGCCGTGAGTCTAACCCAGCTTCCGAGGACTCACCATCACCTCCGATCAGCGGTGGCATCGCGTTGTACGTCGGTTCTTCAGCCTCCACCCGTTCTCCCTCCGCATTCGTCTTGTCCGGATGCTTATAGCTCCTGACATGATCGACCCTGACAGTCCGCCCGAGAACCTTGGCTCCGTTCATGTTGTCCACGGCGAGAACGGTCGACCGCTGATCCTCGTACATCAAGAATGAGAACCCCTTGGCTTTGTGCGTTTCCCTGTCCCTCGGCATGTTGATATCGACAATCTCCCCGAACCTGAAGAAACAGATTCCTACCTGGTCAGTATGACTGATGGTCTACACGGATGTACTGCTCAAGGCTCACTGAGAGAAGATCGTGATGACATCTCCTTCCGTCAGGTTGTAGGGCAGGCCTCCGACAAACACGTATGCGGATTCTGAAAGGGAATCGAATCAGCATCGCGGGCTTCTTTTTGATGCTCAAAGCGAGCTGTACCTACCTTTGTAATCGTCATGCCAACTGGCCGAGACTCCATCTCCACCCAGATCCAGCTCTCGCTCGTTGATCCTACCAATCTCTCGGATCACGCTGTTGTCAACATGGCAAGGTTAGCGAGAGCTGAGCCGAGATCTTGGCGAGAACTCACTTCATTCTACGTAGATTTACTCGTCCGACCCTTGCGGCTGAGTAGTGCTTGATTAGTGTCTGAGAGGGGCGGGTGATACGAATGGGTATTCCTAGTTTTGCTAAAGGGCTCATTAGCTAGATGTTGAGTAGAGCAGCGGGAAATTGACTTGCTAACGCATAGCGTAATCCCGATTATGCGTTATCAATCGGCCTGTTTCATAATCTGCCAGATGATACGCTCGCGGCCTTGATCGAAATGATGTATCTTTCGATCGTCCCTTTCATCGAGAAGCCTTGTCCTCAAAAGATCAAGGAGACGACCTCCTTTCTCTTTACATGCATGCAGCATGAAGTACAAAGGCAGATACAAATGTACGGATTGGAGAGCTGACCCTTTGTGAGAGCAGAATATATAAGCAAACGCGAAAGACGGAATCTCTGCACGATTCGTAGGCCAAATGTCTATTACATCCTCACATCAGCGGAATCTACATCGCTTTAAACATGCCATCTTTCCAAGCCAAATCTTCAACCGTCGCCTTCGATGCGCTTGCAATGGCAGATGTCTTCGACGATGGCAGCATCGAAAAAGCCCTGCAGGTGAGTGGGGCACGTCCGTACAGTCCATCTCGATAATGCAAATGTCTGATCGACGGGCTTGATTCGTGGCGTGATGCAGTCTACTCTACAGTTGGCTAGGACTCGAGCTCGAGAAGTTCTTCAACAAAGATTACCTGCGCATCTCCAGAAGCTCGACCAGCTTCTGCTGGAATCGGAGAAGAACAACTCGCCCCTCTGGCTTGGAAACCTCGAGAGGGGCATGTTTCAAGCCGAGAACGTGATCTTGACAAGCGTCAACGATGGGAACCAGCAAGGCGCAGATCCCGACTCTCCCGAAGGTACAACCACCGTTCACAATCTCGGACATGTGATGATCAAGCGGAATGGTGTCAAGGAGGCCGAAGACGAAGACGAGCCCGACGACACGCGCTCCTGGCTTGGAGGTCTGGACAGCAACGAGATCTGCCTTGACATCATGCGGATCCTCGAAAGGTAAGCTCGACTACAAATCGAATCATTAGGTAGAGTCTGAAACCTTCCACAGAGAGACTCGAACCAGCATGGTGCTCTACATGGATCTGAAACGCTGGATCGCGCTTGAAGTACCTAAGGTGGAGGATGGTAAGCAACCCTTGCCCGCTCGTCGTCTCAACATATAAGCTCATCGGAACATTATGGTAGGGAACAACTTTGGTGTCGAGGTCCAGCAACACGTGCTGGACAAGATCTCCAACTCCTATCGCGCCTGCCAGAGGCTGCATAGTGTCCCTCGCACTCATTACAGGGATAGGATGGAGCTCGGTCGTACCTGGAACCGGTTCCCTAACCTGAAAGATCACGCTGTGAGTATCAACACAGCCGTCAAGAGCGTGGTACAGACGACTTACCGACCTCTTATCGAAAAAGCCCGCAATCGCTACGTCTGACCGTGAAGACTTTTTCCTCGCCCTTCAAGGTATCAAGGATCTGCGTGACGGCGCAGCAGAGTTGCTGCATACCATCAAGGAGAATTGGGCCAAGATCTACGATCCCAAGAACGCCACTGCTGGAGTTGGTACGTCGATGGCGGGCATGTACTAGGCGCCTTTGTATCGGATATTATATAGACGAAATTTGTCATAAGAAGCTCTCTACAACAGGGTGCAGTTTACGATAGGGCTACATGGGTTCAAAGCGAGGCCTGGGTGAACGTTCATACAGTATTGGGCACACCTTCGCCCATTCGAGTCTGCACACATGTCATCGACGTCAGCGTATGCTCTTTATGGGTCGCGACTAAATAGCACTTACGAAAACACGGGCGCTTTGTAACATCGCTTTCATATCGAGTTCGGCCAAACGATCTCGAGCGAATTGACCCGGCTGCATGTCGGGATCCGTGATGATGGTCGTGTCGCTAGCTACACTCGAGTAGATTGTCTGGCTCAACCAGTAGTAAGGGAGAGCCTCTGCTTATACGAATGGGCGAATTGACACAAAAGATTAGAAAATGACTAAAGTCCCGCGTCGGGCGAAGTTGGCTCACCTTCGTAAAACATTAGCTTGCCCTTTGCTCGACTACCGATAAAATCCTGATCATCCCGCGGTGTGACGACACTCTGGCTAGAGGCAGACGTGCTAGTCCCCCCGAGCGAGTTGTGTCGCGATGCAGCTGATTCGTAGTGAGGGACTGGATCCGCCTTGAGAGTTGGCGTCATAATTGAGGCGGCGCATAGACTATCGAAATCCCAGCCTTGCCGCCACTATGTAGCAGATTTACCTCCGTAAGCATACTGCCGTACTCCGGAAGCTGGTCGATTAAGACTGACCTTTTGCAACGCCTGACCATAGGCTTTGACCATAGCTACCATCATCTTGCCGTTGGCGACAGATGCCAAGTTGACACCCCAGCCGTGCAGCATATCAGCCGCCTCCGGATCGCCTCGTCCAAGTGCGACCAATCCTCTCAGAAGCGTGACTACCATAACCAATCGACCAAACATGCCAAAGTCGTTGCGAAGAAGCAACGAGTTGAGGTGGGAGGTCGATTCCAGCCCGGAAGTCGAGAATCCGCTTTGACTGGTCTGGAAGTGATCCCTCATCGCGGTATCCAGCGTGGTCGGGCAGTAGCTCATGAGGGCAAGCGACCACGCATCGGCCGAAGGGGCTTGCCAAACTGTATCGGGCACTGGCAAGGGGAAACCGGCTAATGTGCTGGGCTTGATGAGCGGCGCGTTTCCAGCCTCGACGATACTGAGCGTATCAAAGATGTAGATCATCCAGTCCAGTCGACGGCAGGTTTCAAGCTTGATCCATTCCCTCCATCGGTTCTCTGTGCTGTATCCGGGTCCGAGGAAGTTGGCGTCAGTGAGCGGGCTTCCGTAAATGCGGGAGTGAGGCATGTTGGGCATTAAAGCGTCCGTCTTTCGCTTGGCGCAATCGACAATCATGGCGAGCTCATTGTATCCCGCTTTTCGCTGGTTCTCGATGGGACTGAAGAGGAGAGGGGCCGCGAACAACACCATTATCTAAAGGGTACGTTATGAGCGATTCGCCGGGTCTCTTCCTTCAGACGGGCGCCTACCTGAAGGAATCCGTGCAACAATTCCGGATCTTTCTGAGCTTCCTTGGATTTGAAATGCTGTGCGATAGAGATAAAATGAGCTTAATCCATCAAAAGCTGGTCGCAAAGGTTTCGGAATGTACGTCTTTGACCATCTTGAGCTTGTCTTCGACCACAATCTGGTGTAATGATTCGGGATTAGTATGTTCGTCACGAAAGATCATCCGCAGCGCTCAGACTGACAGGCTTGTTGTCCTCGAACCGCTTCTCTTCGTCTGTAGGCGCATCCTCTAACATCTCCACCTGGGGTGCGGAGGCATCCGGAGCGATGATACCCTCACCTCTCATCCAGCTTTGGACGTCTAAAGCTCTCAGTTGCGCCAAACGTTCGCTGCTCAACACCTTCCTTGACCTATCACCAGCGATCGCCGAGTGCCGTGGACTTCCAACGACTGAAAGCGCAAAGCTGAGCGCCGCTGATACCTCTGCCATGCGGAATGTTGGCATATGTATGATCGGCACGTGAATGATCAGGGTAGAGACTGTTTGTTTGGCGATTCGACTCAGGGTCTGTATCGACGGCATGTGCCAGTGCGGAATCTCGAAACATCGTTTGAAACGGTCATAGGAAATGCTTTTGTGCATCGTAATTAGCGGTGCCCCATTTCACTGACCAGAAGCACACATGTGGCAGACTCACAAAAATGGATCAGCTGGGTCAAGATCTCGACCGAATCGTCTGCGCTTCTCTAGCGCTTGTAGCCTGATCAAGGGCGTCTCCGAGTAAGGCGACATCTGGCAAAGCGCTGCGGCTGGAAGGTGTGCCCAGCCTTCCGGCTCAGCGACCTCGTCTGACCATTCCAGCGGTTCCGCCTGCGGAAAGTAACTGGACCAGTTGAGGAATGGATCGGTACCAAATTTGTTCGGAAACATGAGCGGGTCCTGTCAATCGAAAGATTGCCAAGCATGTTAGTCCTGGCAAAGAGCTCGACGTAGAATTCGGGCAACACATACACCCGCCCATGACTCGATACCTGCCGAAGTCATCATCCCAGATCCCGTCGCTGAAGGTTGAGGGACAGACCAAACCCCACCGTTCAACACGCTCATTAGCGCCATATCCGGCACTCTCCCTACATCCTGTGTCCGCGCCAATTGGTTACTCGACAGGTAAATGGACGAGTCGAACGACCCGCCGAACCCGTTCCCGTTTGAATTGTTGACTGTGTCCTCCTCGAATAGCGTCCCCGCGGCGAGAACATTGTGCGATCTCACGTAATGATGTTCCTCCGGCTGCAAAGAAGCCGGCCAGCCTTGCTGCAAGCCCGGGTCAATTGAATTGGCATTGGAGTTGTTTCGACTCGTGTCAGGATTGCGTGAACCCGAGCTTCCATTGGTGGGCGAAATCTCTTCTTGCGATGGTTTCCGCTCCTTGTGCATCTGGTAAGCCATCGAGAGCAAGGCTGCGGCATGTTCGATTCCATGCTGATCCCCGTTTGGTGGTGGCTGCGGGAGCGATTGCGCTCCATTACTAGCCCGGGGCTCTCCTATGCCATCCTGCAAATGTCCTTCGCTCATCGGGAGCTCATCAATCTGGTTGAGCGACATGTTTCCACTCGGATTCTGGTACCCGACATCCCACGATGTCGAACCCAGGTCGAGACCTGTATGGTACATGTCCCGCATGGGCTGCATGTTCTGATGATCATCCATTAAGGGCGGCAAGTGCCCATAGAGGGTATTTGCACCGAGGTCGAGATCCGTCTGTTGTTGATGCTGATACCCTGTCCCACTCGGACCGGCGGACGCGTTCTGTCCATACGGATCTTGGTTGACGCCATGTTGGCCGTAATATGGATCCTCTTCCGGTCGGTATTGCCCATCCTCCTCGGCCCTCGTTGCCATGTCGTGCAAACTCCTGACATACCCGTCTCTCAAAAGGGGATCCATGTGGATGTTTTCCTCCTCCGTCTTGGACGCGCCCGATTCCTTTCGCTTCTTCAACTGCGGCTGCGAGTCGTCCCCCTCCTCATCGTCTGCAGACCCGGAAGATTGAGCCGCGCGTTTGCCCTGTCTTCGACCGTCTTTTGAGCCTGAACTTCGTCGACTATTGGACGCCGAGAGAAGGGCGTTGGCGGCTGCTGTCGCTTCTGACTCTTGGAATTCATCAGGGTGACATCGACGCTTGTGCCGAAGCAGGACGTCGCTGTATTCCGTAATGCAAAGCAAGCAATGTCAGTCAACTGGATCGAGCGGCAGAAAACGCAGGAATTAAGTTCACCTTCGCGCAAACGATTTTGTGCAAGCTGGACAACCGAACGGCTTCTCCGAGTTGTCTATGTATCATGTGGTCCAGCAGATCAGTCGATGGGCTTTCACAGCAGGAATATCGCCCAGGCTCACGTTTTCGTTCATGCCTCCTCAGGTACTGCCAGGTGCGGTAAGAGTCAGCTCCTTTTCCAAAATGGTTCAATCATTATCCATATTATACTCACCTCTAGACGACTGTACCTCTGCCCGCAGATCTTGCATGGGTAGGTTTCTTTCGGCTGTCCATCCGGTCCCAGACCCCTCATCTTGCTCGGAATGTTGCCTGCTGATACGCTGTTGCTACCGAGCTGGAACTCGAGTCGCTGTTCGGCTGCCGGGTGACTAGGTCGAGCTCTGCGACTTTGGCTTGGTCAGGTGGATTGACGTCTGCTAATCTTGGCTCGTGGCTGGAAGAGGCTTGATCTGGGAAGCAGAGCACTAGGATTTGCACCTTGAGCACAAAGTACACACCGTGACAAGAGATGGAGGTCGGTAGATCGAAAGAGGTCGATCGCTCTCCTCCACTTTCTCGGGTGGAGGTCCGCTTTGAAAGTGGAGAGAAACATCGCTTTCTCACGCGTGAACAGGCCAAATCGATGACGACAGCGGTGACAGTACGAGCCTCGAGACGATTTTGGGACAACTTGTAATATGTTACAACTGACAATCGTGTTCAAACACCTTGACTTGTTATGTGGATCTAAACACAACAATCCTTCTCACCATCGGCCGCGGGGAGGCGTAGGGGCTCGATACCTCGGAGCTTCTCCGGCCCATTGTCCATCATCGTAAGGTGAAATGTAGCTACCGCTAGGTCGATTGTCATACCGCCTCGGACTCGGCGACCTAGTCCTCCTCCTCCAACGATCTGTGCTTCGAGTTCTCGACCGGGACCTTCGCTGGTAACTCGAAACGCTCGACTCCCTCTGTCTTCCCCCGGTTCTACCGAGCCTCGCCCTGTCATCCCACCTCCTCCTAGCGGGCGCGTAGAGCCTCGAGTACTCTCTCGACGTCGGCGACAACGACAACGATAACGACCTGTCTGCCGCAGGCGAGTACGTCCTGCTTCGACTCCTACTTCTGCTGACGCTCATGGACCGATCGCTCGTCCGATCGTGTCGACCATCACGTTCAACATCTCTTTCCCTCTGACCTAGACTTCTTCCGTAATCCCTCGAATCGGTACGTCCCCTGGCGGGCGACCTCGATCGATTGCGGTCATCCCTGTTCCAGTATCTTTCCCTGTCTCGTTCTTCCCATCTGCCCATACGCTGATCCCGATCCCAATCACGATCTCGAGGTCCGCGTCGACTATCAGGCGAGTACAGATCAGAAGGTGTCCGTTCACGTCGATCTCGATCTCGTCCGTCGTATCTGACCTGCTGTTCCGTCCGAGTTCGATCCCGATCCCATTCGCGGCTTGCCCCAAGGCCTGGTCCCGACCCAAACCCCGAGCCAGAAGCAGAACCAGGACCGGCTCCGCGTACAGGTGAAGGGTCAGGGCCAGGGCTGCGGCCGAAACGAGTGTGGGATCGCGCAGGACCGCCTCCTCGTCTCCATTCCGGGTCGTCCGGTTGTCGCCGTTGATCTTGCGTAGCTTTGGCGCCGGCAACAGCACCTCCGCTGGATTCTTGCGTCTCAGCTCGAGGGCCTCCAGTGCTGGACCGCCAATCCTGTGAGCGTGCGGATTGAGGTGCCGGGCTGCTGCGTGGGGAGGATCCACCCGGCAGAGTGGCAAGGTCGATACCATGAGCTATAGGCACCCCACGCTCGTCAAGCGCTACCATTCCTCGTCGGACCCAATAAAGCACGTGCAAGGGGCTCTCGAACCAGTGTTGATATTCGGAGTATGAAGGAGGGATTGACGGCACGACGTGCTTGGCAGGAGAGAGTTGAGGTATATCCTGTGCGTTGACGAGAACGTTCCTCTTCCAAAGCCTAGCATCGTCGAAACGTCGATGGCGTTCACCTTGGGGCAAGGTGGGCAACGACAGGTCCTTGGCAATCAAGTGTTGCCACCCTTTGCTAGCGTCCTGCTCGGTAAAGCTCGATTCGATGTCAGGCATGAGTCCACCGGCAGCGATCCAGGCGGGTACGACCATGACGTCAGACAACTCGGCGAGGATCCCGACGACGGCCAGGAGGGCGACATCGATACGCGTCTCGATTCGGACACCTTTCTTGACGTCTCGATAGAACGCGAGTGCATCCGAGCCAAACATAGCTTCCAAAACGGTGGCCCTTGCTTGCAGATCGGCTTGCAAGTCCTGCACGCTATCGTCAAATCGTCGATCGACGCCGCCGAGGTCAAGGTTTCCCGCCTGTACGTATCGTAGCACGAGACTCTTATCCCTCTCCTTGTGTTCAAGTTTATATTCGGGCAAGGGCACGTGATTCCAAGGCTGAGATCCGGATTTCATAGTTTGGCCGGTCGAATCATCCAATAGCAGGGTGTTGTAGATCTGGGGCGCGAAGAACGGGTCCGGGATAGGTGGTCCACCGACTGGCTTTTCAAACGCATCCAAGATCTTGCGGAGGTCTTTCGACGTGCGGCTCTTCTGGTGGAAATCTTTACCCGACAGACCCAAGCTCGTACGATCCCATACGCCCAACAGTCTCCCCGGTCGGTCCTGTAGCAGGATGTTCCGGACCCTGTTTGCAGCAGCCTGCCTGAGTCCCTTGTTCGGCTTGACGAAATCTCCGTGCTGCTCAAACGCGCGATCGACCATGGTCCAGACATTTTCGGGTTGAGCGCTGCTCCAAACAAAGGCCTCGTACGGACGCATCCTCTCGAGTCCCTGTCGATCGTCCTCGTTGGGCTCTCTGCCCGGCTTGATCTTTCTCCCGTTCGAGTCATACCTGGCCCGGGATTGATTACCGGGAGCCATCAGGTAACCCAAAAACGATGGGAGGAAGGTCCGCTTGTAGCTAAGGGGGCAAGAACGATTCCGAGCGAAAGTGTCAGGCTCGGAAACGTGTTACAGGGAGGTGATCCTCTCGAAACCTACGTTTGTCGAAATGCTCCAGGCGTCTTGTGCCTACTTCGTACGATCAAACATCCGTTCAAGTCGAGCGTCAACAGTTTCCTCTGATCCGGCGGCGATTCTTGAAATTCGACCATCCTGCTGGTATATTCGCAAGCTGGCATCGAAGCGATTCCAAAGTATTCTCGATCCGGTACGGTGTGCGTTGTCAATTCGGCGGCCATCGCCTGTCGGACGTCGAACGCGGTCCCGTTTGGGTAAAGACGGAAAGGATGTTTCAAGCTGTGGGGAACGTAGATGGATTCGCCGATCGGTTGAAAGCGACGTGTCGGACCCGGACCTCGCAGGTCGCTGGGACCGGGTCTCTTCGGATACCCATCGTCCTCGTCCTCGTCTCTCCCACCCGAATCTTTGTGGGCTTTTCCTTTACCCTTACCCTTATCCTTCCGGCTGGCTGACGACCCGCTCAAATCCCCCATCACGGGCTTGCGATCCACTCCCTTTGAGCTCGATGCTTTGCCCTGATCACCAGCGCCCGACGATTTGTTCTTCCCTCTATTCCTAGCCAGGTCTACGACCTGCGCGGACGAGTCGAGCTGGATTTCCGGACCGGGCTCTATGATGCTCGACCCTGCTGTCGTTGTCGTCACCGTCGCAGTGCTAGGCGATTCATCCTCTCCAACTTGCCCGGCAGACGGACCCGCTTCTCGTCGTTGTTTATCCTGTGACAGCTTTTCCCTCAAGACCCGCATCCTCTCTTCAGCCGTCTCGATCTGGCTCAACGCTGGTCTCTCGCCTCGGGCAGTCGATGGTGACGGAGTTCCCGTTAGGACGTCGTCTGTCATCAGAGCCGCGTCTACCTCACTCTCTTCGTCCTCGTACTGACGCGGATGCTCCTCCTGGTCGCTCGGGGTCTTGTCATGTGCCGAGGTCTCGATCGAAGCTGGTATGTGGTCGACGGGGGTGGCAGATCGGGTCAAACGGTCGTCGGGACTGGTAGGTCTGGGCGGGACGTCTGCAACCGCACGTCCGGTCGACATAGCCCTGACTTGCTGGACCACGGGAGATGTGAGTCTCGACATGGATCGCGACCTGGACCTTGATCTCGACCTCGAGATGGACCTTGATTTCGACCCAGAATCCCCGCTACTATCCTGCTCCCAAACCGGCGAACCTACAAGCATCCCATCTTCCTCGTGTCCTTCTCCCTGTCCGACATCGTTCACATTATCGTCCAGCAAACCCAACCTTTCCAATAAGCTCTTTCCCGATTTCCCTCCCGCGCCGACTTCTTTCCGCTTTGCGCCCCCGCTCGCTCCTTCGCCAACTGCCCAAGCCGACGGTGGCGTAATACCACCTCTGGCAACAGCCCGATCACGTGCCTTTCGACCGAGTTCGTTCAGTGCAAGGGTGTTTGGCGTAGGTAGACCATCCTCATCCACATCGTCTCTCGTATATACGATGCACGGACTCGATGATCTCGAATTCGGAGTTGATGCCATCTCCTCGTCCTCAACGATTCTGGTACCAGATCCTCCCGTGGTCTGTACATCCTGCTCGGTCTCTTCCCCCTCCACTCCCAATCTCGTCCTCCGTTTTAGTCTCCGTCTCTGTCTCTTCAACACCGGTACTTGTTCTTCCTCGTCGTCACGTACAGATCCTACTAGTCCGGGTACGTTGGCGACCGGTGAAATCCTTCCGACAGGCAAGGTCGATGACACCGCCGTTGAAGAAGAACGGGGTGCGAGCTTCAACTTTGCCGGTCGGACCTTCAAGCTGTTACTCTGATTTCTCACAGGCGAACGGGATCGTGATCTCGACTCCGATCCTGGCTGTATTTCTGGTTCTCGTCGAGGTCGAGGTCGAGATTGGTGGTTCCATTGATGGTCGAGTCTGGCTGCAAGGTGAGGTAGGCGATCATAATCTTTGTGAGTAGAACTGTGATGGGGTTTCGTTGTTGAACCAGCCTCTGGCGTAGACATAGATCGAGACGTAGAAAGAAGGAAAGCAGGAATAGGAGCGGGCGGAGGAGCGGGCGTGACTAAGCTCAAAAGTACTGATCCCGATGTCGAGGCCGATGCCGATGATCCCGCATCGGGGTTGAGCAAAGAAGAAGCTTGTCTCGCTCTATTGTAACCGAGGATGGGTATCTGTTTCTGCTGCCTCGACCTTGCTAGCGGGAGTGGAGCGCTACATCAAGTGACCGGGCGGAGTATACGTTAGAGTCCTTGGATAATAGACGAAGCGAAAAGGTGACACTCACCTGGTCTTACCCAGCAACCCCAAGCTCTGAGTAGCCCTGCTCGTTCCCTGTCGAGGCAAGAGAACGCTGCTTCGCCCATGTCCGAATCCATCCATATTTTCCTCCCTGCTTCGCCCATGTCCGAACCCATCCACGTCCTCCTCCCTGCGTTCGATAAAGTATCGGGACTCTTCAGGCTGATAGCGCTGAGCCCAGGCCGACCTCGAGTCCACGTCCATGCTCGACATCATCGATCTTGGTGGCTCGGCGACGACCGCCATCAATCGATTTTGTTCGAGCCGGATCGAGATCGATGTTCGGGATGTTCTTCTTGTTGTTCGTGATGTTCGACTAGCCAGATAGGCTGTTCGTCGCATATGACGACCAGATCGATGGCAGGCGACACCGACTATCGAGTGGTCGGTAGAAACGGGAGAGGGGAGAAGGGAGTATCAGAGGGACAGAGTCAATAATACCTTTTAACACGAAACAATAGCAAAACCCACACAACCGAAGGGAAGGGGGGAAGGGGTGTACGTAAGTCAATGCCGGTATATCGTGCCGTATCATGCCGTCAATCACTGACACGGTGCTCAGAGTCTCAGCTCAACCTCCCATGTTTCACGTGACCTCCAAACTCGAGTCGAAAATTGGGCATCAGCGATCAGCGAGTACAAGAATCGCAACCTCTTTCAAAGTCCCCCATCATGCATTGAACCAGACACAACTTTACTCCGCACTCTGACTCACTCGGTCAAATCGAATCGCCAAACTGCAAATTGTAAGCATTCTATCGTCTTGTCTCCGTCCCACCCCTTCTCTTCGTCTTGAGTCGAGAAGAAAGAAACGACGCAACGACAACGACCTCTGGGGGCGCCTTTGAGCGAAATGATGAACAAACATAGATGACGAGACTCAACGTCTCCCTGCGCCCTCATTTCGAGCGGACAGGGGACCTGCAGATACCCTTCAATTAGTTTGGCGATTAATATATTCTGATCTCACTGGTCGTACGATCGATGCGTCGTTATTGAGCGAGAAGAGGAAGGAGGAGGTCAAAGCCGTTTCGATAGCACCGAGACTGACCTGATATACTGCCTCCTCCACTTCATATTAGATCATCATGCCTGATCCACCATCGCCTTCGTCCTCCACCTCGTCTTTCCTGCCCACCACCACCCTCCTTGCCATCCCCGACGGGCCCATCGCCTCGTCCTCGAAAGACGCCCGGTCCCATACGACGAGCATCCTCGGTGGCTACCCTACCTTTCCCTCCTTGCCCGCCTCTTCGTCTTCTTCCTCGCATAATGTCCGACCGGAGGACATCAAGTGCGGGCAGTGTGGGAATTCGATCCCGCTCTTGACCCAGGTCTATTGTCCACCTGAAGGCGGGGAGAATGACCGGAACGTTTACGTTTTCGCCTGTCCTCGAGGCGCCTGTCAGAGGAAGCCAAATAGGTATGTCCATGTTCCCTCCCTTTTCTTGCTCGGATACCCCACCTATCCATATAGAGCGTATATACGACGAGAGCTCAAGAAGAGAGACGACATTACATGTCGAGAGCGGTGTATACCGTTTGAGCTCCAGCTCGTCTATTATAGCCATCGTCGCCGTTGTACCTCGTCTTCTGTATATCATGCATATTTTATCGGAAAGAACATGCGCTTATTCGCGGTCATTCTTTCTCTGCATCTCGCTTGCTCGTCTGCTCGTCCCGTACATGTTCTGCCGTTCAATTCTCTCGTACCGTCGTTACCGTCACTCCAGCGTCCGAGCCTACCGAGCCTCGGTCCGTAACGAGGTCTACGCAGCCGACGCTGCCGAACAAAAGGCCAAGCGGGAAGCTGAAGAGGCCGAAAGACGGGTGAAGGAAAAGATCAACCCGTTCAGTATGGGATCGTCTGCTGGGATTGGAGGTGGACTCGGGTCGACACTCTTTGGCGGTAATGCGGATGGCATGCCGAGTTTCAATCCGTTCTCCAGCGTTGCGGCTGTCGAGGCGCCCACCGAGGCCTTTTCGGGGTTGAAGTTGGGTTCGGAAGGGGATCAGAAGAAGGAGAAGAAAGAGGAAAAGCCGACGGCACCGCTATCGACCCCGCCCTCGGGCCCATCGACACCTCCTCAAACCTTGGCTCCTCCTTTCCCTGCCTACTTGCCGGCTCAGTACTTGACGACCTTTGACGAATACCTTCCTGCGGACCCGAACGCTCTAGCTGGGGATACGGCCGGGCGGGTGAAACAGTTGAGCGCGGGAGAGGCAGAGGAGAAGGAGAGGGAGTTGCAACAACAAAGCGGCGCAGGTCCGGGCGGCAAGAAGGGCGCTGCAGGAGGGGAACAGTGGGAAAAGGTACTGCCCAAGGGAGTGGACGAGGTGTTCGAGAGGTTCTTGGAACGCTTGAACAGGGCGGAAGACGGGAGCGGCCAGGTGTTGAGGTACGACCTCGGCGCGGTGCCTCTGCCTTATTCGTCCAACTCGGACCTATTCAAGAGGTTGTTCAAGCGGGACGCTGGCGAGGACGGGGTGGACGAGGACGATCTCGAGCCCGACGTCAACGTCTTTGGCAAAAAGTATGACCCGACCGGGGTTGTCCCCAACTGCCCTCGGTGTGGTGGGGAGAGGACGTTTGAGATGCAGCTCGTTCCCGGCCTCATCGCCGAATTGAAGACGGAACACTTGAGCTTGACGGGCGACAAGAAGCGACGCGGTGGGAACAAGAAGAAGAAGCAACAGACCGAGGGAGAGAGGCGACGAGAGTTGGCCGTACTTTTGGGTCGTGCGAGCGCCAATGACCTTCCCAAACCCGCCGACGACGGCGAAGACGAAAGGACGCCAGTGGAACGGGAAGAGGACCGATTGAGGGGAGAGACGGGAATGGAATGGGGGACGATTATGGTCTTTGGTTGCGAGCGCGATTGCGTCGGCTTCGGCGAAGAGTGGGTCGGCGTCGAGTGGGAGGAGATGCAGTGAGAAGGTGCTGGCCTGTTCGTTCCTTCGTTTGAGCGTTGTAGGCAGCTATAGGATGTTGCGATTTTACGTTTCACAGTTGTTTCTCCCGAGCCCTGCCTGCCGCCCTGCACCCTGGTTGTTTACTTTGTGATGATATTCGAGCGGTTGATGATCGGATCGATCCTCGTCGACGATCGTGCCAATCCAGTCTGAATCAGAGAGACAAACCACCAGAACTTCTTTGGCCAAAGTCCCCTATCTTTGTATCCAGGAGACCGGATGGATATGCTTACATCTTGGCTCACTCGACGACGAGTCAACCCGATCACTCTTACCTCGCCCATCGTCCGTCGTCAACTGGCTCAAAAGGTCCAGACCATCCTCGAACCCAACGGACGTGAAGGGGCCAAGTACAGGACGTCGATCCCGATCAAGGGATACGACTCGGTCGCTTATCCCTTCATCAACCGGTTATCGTTGAGCATCCTTTCGACCCGACCCTTGCCTCAGAAGTTTTTGAACTTGAGATACTCTCTGTTCCCTACCGACATCATGTGAGACGTGCACTTGGGTGTTCCTCATTGTTTGGACATCGACAGCTGCTGATGCAGTCTTCGATCTCTATACAGGCCAAAGGCGAGCAAAGCAGGTTACTATGCTGTGAGGAGCGGGTTTAGACCCGGTGTCTATACCTCCTGGCAAGTTGATCACGAATCGTGTTCGGTGCATCAGTCCCGGCTAATACGAGAGTACTATCTGCTCCAGGGATGAATGCGAAGCCCAAGTCAAGGGGTTCAAAGGGTGAGTGGGGTGCTATCTCCGTACACGAGGCTCGAGCACTTATCGTCCTGGAAATTGTTCCACCTCAGGGCCCAACACAAGAAGTTTCCCACTCATGCCCAAGCTTTGGAATACATCGGCCAAGGCATCTCATCAGAACCTGCACCCTATACCAAACCCATCCCTTCACCACCTATCGCGACCGCTCAACCTAGAACGAACCGGAAGATCTCCCCTGCACTATCTGCTGCTGAGTCCCTGGCAGTAAAAGAAGGCTATACGGTCTCTCCAGAAGGGTTCCTTGTAGTCTACTGTGATGGCAGTTCGTTAGGGAATGGGAAGCAGGGAGCGAAAGCCGGGTTGGGGGTCTTTTGGGGTATGGACGGGGAGGCCGAGAGGAAGTAAGTATAGGTGACATCGACCGTGTAACCGGGTCGACTGTTGATCAAGTTGAGCTGTTCTTGTATCTGAGTAGGAACTTGGCCGAGGCTCTACCAGGCGTCTTGCAGACGAACAACCGGGGGGAGTTGTTGGTGAGTCTCTCTTCATCAGCAACGAAGAAGAGCGGATGACCCGTTGACACCCAATCTCACAGGCCATTATCAGGGCCATCGAGGAACACCCTCATCCGGACCTTCCGCTGGAAATCCGGACAGACTCGCAATACTCGATCTCTTGTAAGCTGTGCAGTACATACTCCCACCTTCGAACCCGCCCTCTTCACTGTCACTGAGGCTCGCCCTTCGGATCACTAGGCATGACCCAGTACCTCCCCAAATGGCTACGGAACGATTTTGTCACATCGACAGGCGAACCCGTCAAGAATCGGGACCTGCTCATCCACCTCTTGGCGCTCATGAACCGAATGGGGACGACCCGGATCAGGTTGAAGCACGTCAAGGGGCATGCCGGGCACGAGGGTAACGAGATGGCCGATGTGAGTCGACCTGACGACTCCTTCAGTCGGACTTGGAGGACCGGCTTGCTGAACATGTGCTTTGGGAGCCTAGCGTCTGGCGAACATGGGCGCGGCGATGCCTCATCCGCCCGACAGAATCAACTGGTTGACATTGAAAGACGCCAACGAATCCGCTCATGAAGCGTGGAGGGAGAAGCACGGAAGTGCCTCTGCCGCTACCAAGAACGACAATGTGCAGACGACGGCAGTAGGCGACCTGTCCATCGAGATCGAGGTCAGTTTCGAGGTGACCATCTTGTCGGTTCAGTTCAACACTGAACATCTTCGCGCTGGTTTTGGGTGTTTGTCTTATTCAGGTCGACCCGGACTGGATGATGACCGAAGAGGAGATGAAGGAGTTGGACGAGACGCAAGCGTTCTGAGTTTAATGATGGAATACCCTTTGTCTCGCACGAAAGAGATTCCGATACAGGAAGACCGGGCTAGGCTGGGCTTGCGATGTTTGAACGATCCATTTGTACAAGGGTTTAAGGGGAGACTGTACGTGTTACAGGTAATGACACAGTGATGAGCGAGAAGCGTAGTGAAGGAGAATACGTGCCCGGGTCGCTTTCGTCGTGATTGCGGGTAGCGGGGAAGGTTCGTCAAGTTTGCCGATGCCGATACATTGGGAGGTCAACCGGTGCGCTGATTTCAGCGACTAGCGTTTGTATGTTGATTGGCCTGCGGCGGTCTTTGACCTATTGGGTTGGACAAGGTACCGGGTCTCGGATCAGCTCGGCGCAGGCGGCAGAGATCCGCAATGAAGCGAGGAACAACTTACAGGTTGTTCTCGTAAACGTGCAGCATCTCATTCTCCTTCTCCAGCTTGTCGTTGGTCTTTTCCGTACGGTCAATTTCGTCCATAATTTCTGCCAGGAGGTGAAAGGAATGTAGGGGTAATTCGTTAGAATCCAATGGCTCGGTAAAGAGATAGATGAAGGTTTAGCCTGACTAACCTTTTAGCCGTCTCTGAAGCCCGATAACATCCCTGATCACAATCAAGGAGATCAAAGCGATATCCCGTGAAAATCAAGCACGAGCATATGCGGATGGTACGGTTCTCAGTCTATACTCACTGAATCGCGGCCTCCTTCTTGAGCGTCTCTTGCAAGATCTCCTCGGTCGATTTCTCCTGGGGCACTTCCCACGGCGTCGCACCGGGGTCTTCCTCTTGCATTGGAGAGCTTGACTGAAGTCGAACGTAAGACTGTAGGCGAGGGAGTGGGTACAGAAATTGGTTGACGAAGTTGATGAGTGGTGATGGATGGATCATTTAGGTCAGATATCATCCTGCTTGAATCCCTAGCTAGGTCGTGAGCGCGACGCGTTTGGGGAATCGCCGATCGAGTTTCTGGCTAGAAACACATGGGCATCTAGCATCTAGCCATGTTTAGCTCTTAAAACACATCTACTTAGCCACTTACAGCCTCGACAATCAAAGCCGAGTGCGTATCTGTATCTGGATCCGTCTCCTACGACGCCGCCATCGAACTCAACGACGACGGACCGCAACGACCTCGAAACCTACCGTCAGAACCAATCCCTTTCTCAGCCATGGACGTCGACAGCCCGCCTTCCACTTCGAACCCGTTGCCCAACGAGTCGAATCTTCCTGATGCCGAGAACCCTTCGCTTCCTGCTCAAGCCGAGGGAGATGAATTGCCTGTCGATGATACCGGTGACGTCGACATGGACGGAGAAACGCCCAGCAAGACAACGCTCGGTGTGAAACAGATCTCGAACGGCAAGAATGGGCAGGGAATCGCTAGCGGTCGAGCTGGGACGTCAGCGGACAAGGAAGGGTTCGGAAATATGGCCTCGTTTTTCCAGCCGAGAAAGGCCAACGGGTCTGCAGCCAAGGGGAAGGCGAAAGAGGTGGATGATGCGGTATACGAGGATGAGATTGAAAAGCGGGGTGGACTACCTTGGTGCGCACGTGGACGACCCTCGTCTTACAAAGACGGAGTCGAACTTGCTAACCGTTGCTGCGTATTCTTTTCTTTCCCAATCTGTCTTCAGGGTCGAGAAATACCGGCCAGACACGCTTGACGATGTAGTCTCGCATAAAGACATTACCGGGACAAGTGAGTCGAGTTCGAGAAAACTACAAGTCCAGCTATACCGACCGATAGCTGATTTTCTCTCCCATGGTGCCGTAGTCGAGAACTTTATCAAGAAGGGCCGGCTTCCGCACCTGCTCTTCTACGGCCCACCAGGTACGTTAGCACAACGAATCCACCTCGAAACTCCATCAAGCTCCTGTCCTTAACCCGCTGCACTTCGCTTTCTGCTACACCTTCCATGCGTGACCCTTGGTATAACAGGAACCGGAAAGACCTCGACCATTCTAGCCATCGCCAAGCTCATCTATGGTCCTACCGCCTGGCGATCACACGTTCTCGAGCTGAACGCTTCAGACGATCGAGGGATCGAAGTCGTGAGGGAGCAGATCAAGGGGTTTGCCATGACGAGGGTGTTGTTCTCGTGAGTTCCGTCATCATCAGCCTGTCTGTATCAGGTTTTAATAGGTTCGGATTTCGGTTGCGGCTTCGAGCAGGAAGGGGTTCAAGTTGATCATCTTGGACGAGGCGGATATGATGACGCAAGCTGCACAGGGTGCATTGAGACGAGGCGAGTCTTCGCTCCAGAAATAGCTTTAGCTTCTGGATATCATAAGGCTGACGTGTGAATCTTTGCGTTACAGTGATTGAGCAATACACCAAGAACGTCCGATTCTGCATCCTCTGCAACTATGTCAACAAGATTACGCCTGCCATACAATCGAGGTGTACAAAGTTCAGGTTCAGCCCGTTGCCAGAAAAGGAGGTCGAGAAAAAGGTCAACCAGGTGGTCGAGCGAGAAGGGTGAGAGGAGCCCGCTTCTTCCCGCCTGACATTGTCAGAGAAAGCTGATTGTTGTAAATGGTCGGCGTGGCATGATCAGGGTCAAGCTGACGGACGACGGGAAACAAGCCCTCCTCAAGCTCTCCAAAGGTGACATGCGAAGAGCGCTCAACGTCCTCCAGGCTTGCCACGCGGCGTACGACGAGGTCGACGAGACGGCCGTCTACAATTGTACGGGGAACCCTCACCCTAAGGACGTGGAGAGCGTGGTGCAGAGCATGTTGAGAGACGAGTTTGGGACATCTTACGAATGTGAGCAGCTGTGTGACGAGTGTCGAGGATGGGCGGGAGGGCATCAACTGACTTTTCGTGCGCTTGCTAGATATTACGAAATTAAAGACGGACAGGGGATTGGCGCTGCAGGATCTGATCGCGGGGACCTATGAGGTTTTGGAGACGATCGAGCTGCCCACACAGAGTCGTGTCTATCTGCTGGATGCCCTGGCGACGTGCGAGTGAGTGCAGCTAGGCCGACGGTGCGCTTAAACTCGGAGTGCTGACCATTCGCGACGTGTTCAGACATCGCCTCTCGGTGGGCGGATCGGAAAAGGTCCAGCTTACCAGCTTGTTGGGCGCGTTCAAGATAGCAGTCGAGTTGAGCCAAAAGAAGGCGTAGGAGCGGGGATCCAGGCGATCGGATGTACCGACCCGACGAGTAATGATTTTATGCTATTACGAATACCTGCTGGCTAAGGAGACCTCGAGGACGTCGTGTTGGGACCAAGCAGAATGCGCTGCCGACGCGTGTAAACCCCTTTTTACGTACTCACGACATGGCGACGAGTGTCGGACCGTCGGCTCAGTGCTGCAGTTTTGCGATAACAGGCCTCGCTAGCGAAGCCCAGGGTCGGAAAAGAGACTGGGGTTTTGAGCTACGATGATCCGGGCCTACGCGGCAAATCGGGAGAGATTCGAAGGACATCCGTGTATCTTGCTTAGCTTAAGAAGGGAGAACGATACGTTGTTCAATACAATACGCAAGTAGGGCACAGCCCAGAAATGGCTTTCCCTTTAGTTTCGACTAGGTTATAAAGTTGCAGAAAAAGCCGGTTAGCTCAGCTGATTGGAGCACTCATCGAATATTATTGATGACTTGGTGACCGCTAGTTGATTAACATAAAAACACGTATAGGGCAAAAAGAATCTGTGACCAATTTGAGGATCGAACTCAAGACCTTTCGTTCATCTAATTGAGTATTAGACGAATGCTCTAACCAGCTGAGCTAATCGGCCAGTTGTGATGGTAAATTTGAGACAAAAAAAATTAGGCTTACTTACAGAACCTAACATGTGGACAATCACCGTTCCGGTTGTTTGACAATCCCTTGATCGAGCTTACTCATTGCTCATTGAATGTTTTGCAGTCTAAGGCCCGACATCCCGGTCACAGCACATAGACGTCTCCATATACCCACAAGCGTAATTTTCCCGCTCAAGCAGAAATGACACGCGCCAAACTACGGGGCAACAGCTACTAAGCGCGATCCATATTGAAGTCACCATATTGAAGTCCAGTTCAGTTTCTCAGTGTGGCTAGAAGGTCAAAAGCAACTCACTTGTACGAAGGTGATTTGCCTTTTGCTGCGCACGACGATCGATCGCGGGTTTGAGAGGTATGGAGAAGACTTCCTCCGCACGCCATATCAGATATCTGTCGCAGAACGCTCAGGGCGCAAGGTACGCCGGACCATTCAGCAACTCGGCCTGCTCTCCGTCAGGTTTCGTCACAACTCGAGTGGACAATCCTCTATGTGCGATATAGATTGAGATTCCTGTCGTATTGAGCAATATAGAGCTAGATGACACAATCGCCCAGTACTGGAACTCTGCCGTATGCATTCCCACTGGGGGTCGGGAGGGCTCAAACGTTGTGCGCGGCGGCGGGCTGCCTTGCTCCAGAGCCCGATTGACGATGTTATCTGACTCCGTGGTATACGCACGTCAAGAATTATGTAGCATCCCGGTACGAGTGTCACCATCATCTTTATGTCATGCTATCTAATGCCGCCGAGTAATACAAGAATTTCTACTTCACGCTGTTTCGTGTTTGAAACGAAACCCCCACGGAGTCGAAAAGAGAGATAAGAAAAGGCGAAAAATGCTCGACATTGCGAGTGTTCATGGGGAACAAGCTGAAAAAACGCATCTATATTGTTGATTTTCGTGTAAAGGACCGGCAGGGGCGTCGCTGTGTATAAGGGATATGAGGGGTGTTGTTGCGGTCGAAAGTTCGTTATCCACGCGGGTCCACTTCCATGGCGCCGCTCTCTCCCGGTGTCGGGGTTCCGGCTCGACTCAGACTCGGCAAGACTCCTTGTCCCTGGTTCTGACCCTTGCCCAGGGGTGGTAGCTTGTTTTGGTTCTTGCCCAATTCATCCGGCGACGTCCAACCTGGAACATACCTCGGCTGGCGGGGTGGGGAGAATGGCCTCGCCTCAGCCGTCGTCGGAGAACGATCGTGAATGGGGGTCATGCCAAACGCCGCTCGCACACCCCGAGACAGGTTTCGCATGTCGGTGCCTTGTCCGGTCGAAGCAGAAGGAGGCGCGGTCGAAGTACCGGGACTGGCAGCCCTCGATTGCGCCGGACTGTTGTGAGATGACGCCGGGACCGATTTCGATGTAAAGTGGTTGCCGAACGACGTGTTGGGAGGCGGCAAGATTCGGTCCGAAGCCACGGCAGGAGTGTTCAAGATGTCCTCCACCGAGTTCTTCGATGATCCCCCTGACTGGGGCTGGTTCCAACCCGGATGCGACTGCGAGCTGATCTGCGAGCTCGAATGCGTTCGAGCCAGCCTGGGTGGAGGGCTGGCTCTGTTACTGACCGACCCTCGAGGATAACTGTGCCCAGACATGCTGGCAGGAGTCGCGATCGTGTGATGGTGTCCATGGCCGTACGGATGCACCTTGTACTTGGCATCCCTTGCCATGTGGCTCGTGTGCCCACCGTGCTTCCCGCTTCCGGCCAGGTGCCCCTCGTGATGATGTTCAGGGCTGTTGGCTCGACTCGGCCCGCGAGAATGACTCGGCGTTCCGCTCAACGAGGTGGGAGCCGTGAATCCCCCAAGGTGCAGATGAGGCGCATGAGGACCATGACGATGCGAGTGACCGCTACCATGCGATCCGTGATCCATCATTTGCGGATGATGACCCATGCCGGGCGGGAATAACGACATGCTCTTCATCGATCCAAGGACGGGGCTAGTCAAGGGAGTAAAATCGAATCCTTGCCCGACCGGCCGGGCTGGGTCGTCAAAGTCGTCTTCGGACGACGCCGAGGTAGGCGACGCCGCGGCCGAGTTGGGATTCGAGTGGAAGGTGTGCCCTTGCCGATGCGAATTGGCACCAGGTTGGCGAGACATCTGTTGAGGAGCCGACTGGTTCATCATGTACGACCCGCTCGGTCGCTTGAACGAGCTAGGTGCCGAGGATGAGCCTCCAGGTTGAGAATACCCATGGGCGTTGCTCTGAGACTTGAGCTGTGCCAACAGCTTTTGTTGATTCTGCCTCTGTTGAGCTTGGTTGGCAGCGAGGCGTTGGAGGTGTTGCTGGATGATCTGTTGCTGATGCATCATGCCGCCAAGAGCTGCGTTCCCGTTGTTCCCGCTATTACCCGCCATACCCGCTCCAAGCGAAGCAAGGTCTTCATGAGAACCGGCGAGGCTCCTGGTCTGAGGCGTGTTGGAGCTGGACGAGTGGTTGCTTTCGCCTGGCCCCGAGCCCAGAGGAGCACTCGTCGGTACCGAACTCGAAAAGTTGGCCGATACCGGGTTGCTCAGCGTCAAACAATTCGGACAAGCCTGGGTCTGTTTGGCCAGCTTGAGCCTCTTACGGTAGCTCTTGTGGCACTCGTCGTGATGACATGTCGGTGGCAAGAGGTAGGTCGGATCCGCGAGCGTACCCGCGGGAACCGCGCCGTGGAGATGGTTGGCAGGCTGAGCGGCCGAGACGGGGTAGATCATGTTGGGTTGACCGAAACCGCCTTGAGAAGAGGCGCTCGGACCGTTGGCGTGGAGTCCTGCCTGATAGGCAGCCGCGATCTGTTGAGGCAAACTTCCACCACCTCGCTCGTTGGACATGCTCGAGTACGGGTTAGGAGTCCCGCTAGGCGAACCGTTCCCACTTCCCGATCCGGGTTGGCCGTTCCCGAGCTTGTTGCTGTTGTTGTTGCTATTGTTGTTCCCGCCAGACCGATTGATCGTCATTCCGGACGCAGCCCCACTCATCATCTGCCTATGACGCATCTCAAACTCGGCCCTCCTCAACGCCTCTCCTCGCTCCATCTCGTACAGTTGGTCCGTAGCGGCAGCGGCGAGCGCGTTCATCTCGTTGCCCGGGCCGTTCTGGTTCTGAACGGCGGCGAGTTCAGGGTCGATGGCAAAGTTCATCGCGTGCACGTTGCCTGGGTAGCTATCGCGATGGCCTTGACCCATAGAGTAGTGCGCGCCAAACAAGTTCGAGTCGTTAGGGTAGTTGAGACCGTTCGAACCGGCTCCCATCGGATCGTCCATCATGTGCTGAACAGAACAAGTCCAAACCAAAATGTGGCGTTAGCTGGCGCCTCTTGCCGTGCTGGCGCTGATGATCGATGAACTCAGGCAAACTCACGTCTCCCCCATGTAACGACCCAGCAGGCGTCACATGCCCACTCCCAGGTCCCGAATGATGTCCGCCCTTCCTCTTGCTCCTCCCGCTCCCATGTTGACCCTGATCCATCGACTGACCCGCCATCGAGTTCCCGCCCATTCCGTCTCCTGCCATCGGTCCGGCACCACCACCACCACCGCCACCGTTGTTGTTGTTATTATTGTTACCTACACCGGCATTGTTGGCAGCGTTGATCGAAGCGGCCGTAGCGTTAGGCAGATGGATCCTTGCGTGCCTCGTCAACTCGTCCGACCTCGAGAACCTCTTGTCGCACCCAGGATGTGTACATGCATGAGGTTTCTCGCCCGTATGTGTACGGATATGTCGGGTCTGCCGATTGTACACGAGAAGACAAACATGGTTAGATCCACTTTCGATCCTCGTCTGAAGGTTCCTGCTCCCCAAGCTCAAAACTGACCTGATGTTCCAACCGGTAAAACGCACGGTCGCACAGCGGGCACTTGTAAGGCCGTGGAATCTTGCTCTTGTCCATGGCCAAAGCCGCTTCGGTCAAGGCCTTGACGGCAGGATCATTCGGGTCTAGCCTGCCCGTGACGGGGTCCGCAGCGGGGATAAGACCCGAATACGTCTTGCCGCCAGCAGATGCCGGCGAGTTGTTGTTGCTGTTGGACGGTCCTGCTCGTGCAGGGGTGGACGTCCCCGAATTCACGCCGCTGTCAAGATCGGCTTGATCCGGTACGTCCCTCGTTCCCGGGTTCCCAGCGTCGAAATTGGGCATCCTGGATCCTCCTTCCGAAGCACTACCCTGCTGCATCTGCTGTTGCTGTTGCTGCTGTTGTTGCTGCTGTTGCATATGCTGCTGATGTTCCCTGAAACCCTCCTCCTTGGCAGCCGCCGCTTCAGCCACGGCCCTGACGACCGGGTCGTTCATATCCACGACATTACCCGCCGCCTTGATCCGCTCCAGGACGCTCTGCCCGCTAGCCGACGTCTCGACGCCCTGCATGTTCATGAGCATGGTAGAATCGATCGAGTTGATGTTCCCGCCGACGGCGGCGAGCGCGGCTGCTGTCGCGATCGCTCGCTGTTGCGAGTTGGGCTCAGGCATGTCGAGAGGCAGTCTCCTTTTCTTTTCGCAGGCGGTGACAGAGGATGGGCTGTTCAGCCAGAGACTAGATCGAGGGAATCAAACGAAGTCCGTGCGTCCTCTCCGGTCGACCTGATCGAGACTTTGTCCTCTCTTTACAGGCCTGTCCTACCAACGATCGTACTGCAGTATTCTTCAAGCGGTAACAAGATCGTCGAAGACCAAAGAACGTCCTCTCCACTCGTCTCTTATCGCTCGACGTTTCCTCGGTTCCCCTTTCCCCCTTGTCGTCCGCGGTCGAAACAATTTCAACCTTTGGGAGCAATCCGAAGAAACGTTTGTGCGAGAGCGATGTTCGCGGCAGAGCAATCCTTTCCGTATCCTTTCGAAAGGGAGTTTACGAAAAAGCAATAGCTGTTCGTCGACCGACTGCGGGGTCGTCGTAGATCTGCTGTGTCTAATCGGCGGAGAACCTGGCAAGAGTGGTCTTGGTTTCGATCGGATTCCGCGACGAGGTGGTCGAGTAGCTAACAGGGAATCCTCCGATACGTAGCTAGGAGCTAGGAGAAGAAGGTGGTCCTGGTTGAAGATGTCGATGTCAAGAGATCAAGAGAGATATGGCAAGAGTTGTGTGCGAGAGTGTTGATCGAGGAGAGGGGGGGGGAGGAGGAGTGTGGGGAATGGAAGGATGATGGATCTTGTTGGGATTTTTTGTCCGAAAAAGAGGAGGAAACGGCGCGCGCGAGAGTCCGGGGCAAGGGAGAACGTGATCAGACCGTCGGATGACGAAAGAAGAACGGGGCAAGAGGCAAGAGGTATTGCCTTTTGATTCAAGAGGGGCAAATGGTGATGTTACCTCGCACAGTGACATACACGATCTACCTAGCTATCCATGACTCTACACCGCTCAACATCTCTTGACCATCGCCCGTATCGCCTTCCCAAGGTCGCCGTTCCCGTTCAAATCGCTCTCTCGTTTGCGAGCGAGGCGCTCCGCATCTCGCGCGCCAGGAGCGCAAGACTAGGGGACAAGGGGACACGTTCACCTGTTTACGAGCTAGCTATTGCCGCAAACGCTTAGGTCCATCGTCAAAAGGGGGGGGGGGGGGGGTCCCAGAGAGGGGCTATAAACAGAGAAAGTCGTCATACTCGGTTTCTCCCGTCGTCGTTGTGACGGGTACGGTGTCGATCGATGAAATACCGCTTTCTAGCGATTCTCGTATTGTTTTCCCATATTTTCTCAGACCGCCGTTCTTTCGGACGTCAGACGGAGCCCCGATGGAGGCACGTTCCGCGAGGTTCGTTCTGATGTTCGTTCTGATGCAGCTACGGTTGCCGGTTGTTCTTCGCTAGGATCGCTTGCAAACAGCAAGCAGCTAGAGATAACGAAACTGCAATCGCACGCTCGACCCGCGACCCAATCAGTCGTGTACCGCATGCTACAAGCTGCACCCACCGAGCAGCAATCGCAACGAGCAGCAAATAGCAATCCCTACCGTCCGTCTCTTTTTGTTTGCAGCGCCGGTACTGTATCTGATTACCAATCTCTTATCGCCCATCCCCTCGATCACCCTTCGAATATTCCTGGTGACCCCGCTCTTCCACCCCTCCCCCCTTGCAACTTCTCTGGATCATCGTTTAAAATTTTCTTCGAATCAGCTGACCTGACGATCCGCACTCCCACGTCACTTTCACCACCCTTCCTCGACATGGCCGCAGCGGCAATGGTCCCCACAAAGAACAGTACACCCCCCACCTCCATCCTCCCACTCTGTCCCCGACGGTTGATTGGATCCGTGTCAGGTCGGGATCAGACCGGCTTGCGAAGCGGTGCCGTGCGAAGCTGGTCGGGAAGTCGGGCGGAGTCTGTTGTAGCGTTTCGGGTGTTTCTAGCGAAAACGCGAGAACGCTCTGGCGCGAATCCTTTTTCTAGCGTTTTGGTTGTAAAACGGTAGAGCGGGGTCAAGACGGTGCACGTTTCATCGATACAGCTCTCGCCTTCGATTCATCCTTGTCCTATAGTCTGGCGCAACGAGCACCCATCTGCATAGGGGACGGGATGTGCAACGGGACTAGGTCATATGCAGAAATGGTAGGAGGAAGAGCTCTGTGTACCTTTGCGGTCGTTCAAGAACCAACAGCGCTTTCTTACTTAAGTCCTGTAGGACATCAAGAACGAATCCGGGAAAATGACTCCTGGTTCGATTCCGGACCTTTGGCCTCGAGGAGAGGGGGGTGCGAGCCATGCCTATTGATACACCCAACTCACCCTCAGAACTCATGATCAGCCTGAAACCTTTCCATCATGAACATCTATCTACTTTGATATGATCGCCCTCAAATCAAGCGGTGATTGCGCTTCACGACGTTCATGGCCAACTTGCAACCACCTACTATGGGACTGCAAAGGTTTCGATTGAGATTGGCGATGGTCACACCGGAGGCAGCACATCTCGCGACGCTTGCTGCAGGCAGTAGAATATGGTGACGTATGATACTCACGGATACGTCGATGTTGAATAAGATCTGAGCGACCGGATTCAGCTCATACCGCGGTTTGTAGGAAGCGAGGCTTATTGCCATCAAGCTTGCCGACGGAAGGAGACTTCGCCCAGCTACTTACTCAGGTTATTCCAAGAACATAGAGCAGATTATCCGCTATAGAGGAAGTGGCTTAGCACGGTTGTCGAATTTGGATCAATCAATTGAGATCTTATGGCTCTCCGGTTCTCCGGCTTTCCAACAGTGCAAGAGAATATCCAACAACTTCGCCACCTTGAACTACGATCCACAGGTTGCCGGATCTGATGGGATATGGACCTATCACCAGCTGGAAACCAGGCATGTCGAAATTCACTCGATCGCTCGACGTTTCGTCTGATCCATCCTCCAACCTGAATCTTGTCTGGTTTCGAATAGTTTCCTTCCCATGGCGAGAGCCGATGAAAGGCACTCATGTTGCAGCAAGTACTAGATCACCATGTGTGAAAGGTTCAGGACTACCTTCAAGCAACGGCAGGAGTCGACAAGACAGCACAGACAGCCCAGATCATAGAATCCGTCAAATCGGAAGGTCATCGCACTCATTATACAACACATCGGAGGTTTCCGTGGTGTCCAACATGGAAATATATCGATGTGTATGTTTTAATGTGGATAGTCAGTTTGCCTAGATCCGTGCACTCGCTCCCGGTCTGCGCCCTGACATACCATAGACGTATTCAGTGTATCGCTCTTCTTTTGGCACAGGTGAGAATAAGCATTATATCAAGGCACATTGCGCATTCACGACATCAGAGTTTTTTCTCTACCATCTTCGTCTCCATGCCTACTACAGACGGACGCAAATGGTCTTCTAGCATTGCCGTCTGACTGACGGAGGGTCTTTCTACTGCGAAATATATGTACTCGAGCCGAACACCTCGATGCACGATACCATCCTCGAACCATGTGCGCGTTATCTTATAAATCGAGAGACCAGTAGCAAAGGGTATGAAGAGTCTTCCCGCGTGACCATCTCTTCTAAGAAGCTCGACTTGCTCCACGGTGCAATGCGAGCAGTTCAAGCAGTGCCCAGTAACGGACCCTCAAGAATCGATGCCAGCCAATCCCGTTCTTCGAAGATCAGTCAGTTCAATGCGGTTCCCATATCACTTTCCAAATGCGAGGATCCCATATGACCCCATGCTCGCCAGACACGATCCTTCCAAGAGTTGGAGAACAAGCTGAGCCCGAGCTCGAGATAACTATCGGCGTACGGCTTTACATGACGTTTCGTCGGGTCTGATACGCGGAGCCTTTCTGGGGAAGGTGATCCCGTCGTGATCGACGGCCATCTTTCGGACCAGATCATCGAGCAGTAGCCGAGACACTACGGCTGTGAAATATGGCATTCTATGCCTGATCCTCATACTTCAATCTTGACTTTGCGTGCTTGCTTGAAGGTTCAAACAGCGGACAAAGGATGTTCCAGGTCGCCCGCCGTCCCCGCGCCGCACCCGGTGGATACCTCGGCGATGAGCTCGAAAGACCTCGGGCTCGCGCGTCGCGAGATCAATCAATCAATCCTGATCTCTGATCTCTGATCTCTGATCCTCTGATGAGATTGATGAACCCGCTGGCCGCTGGGCGTCGAAGGCCAGAAACCACCACAACGATCAAAGTCCAAACTCTGAAACTCGAACGAACTTGGCTTCATCCATCGATCCATCGCTTCATCAGCATCAGAACGGCCGGACCGGGACTGATCAGCTTTCCAGGCGGAAGGAGGAAGGAAAGATCAGAAGGTTCGCCGTGGTGATAGCTCGTCACGCACGATCACGCATCAGTCCTGCAAACATCGTCAGCCAGTTACGCAGGGAAACAAGAGGAGCCAGCAGGGTTTGAAGCTTGATCCGATCTCCCGGGTCATCACGACGCGATATCGCTCTACGGCGACCCAGGCGAGAAAGCCGCAGCTCTCTTGGCTAGAGACACTGTGTGCGTAGCTTAGAGCCAACAGATATATATCACGACAACGCCTGTCGAGATCGCCCGCCAACCTCAAGAGGATGTCCGCGATGACATATGCAGTCAATTTCCCGCCTGTTCCGAGGTATATCGTTGTGAAATCGTCGCTTGCCTAGGTGAGTTCCATAAGTTCCGGACCGGTGGGTGATCGATCCGCTGACCGGACAGTTTCTCTCACACCCGTCTCTTCTTTGTTCCATGTCGTCCTTCTCCCTTTCTCACCACTTCCCCCTTTGGCTGCAACACGACCATGCGCACGGATGATCGTCGTCGTTGTTGCAGAGCAGCAACCATGAGTTTGACGGCAACGAACGACGACGACCTGGACGACCAACGAGATCAGCGAGGACGATCCACCAGAAGAACGTCCATCATCAGTACCGACTCTACCGAAGACGACCGGCTTGGCGACAAGGAAGACGACTCAAAGGCATCACATCTTCATCAACAGAAGCCTCAGTACGACCAACGACACGTCGAATCGATTACCACCACCACCACCAGCAACCACCCATCCTCTATCGCCGACTTCCCCACAAGTCCCTCGAGCACCACCCTCGACTCGCACATCTCGGCAGGTGCACGTATAGAGCACGTCCGCTACGGGCACGGATCTGAAAAGGGATTCAGCATCGAGATCGAACAAGAACCTCTCTCTCCGTCAGACACCAACGACACGATCGATCGTTACTACCAGCAACGGCTCTATCGAGGTCCTTTGGGTAGACATCAGGCAGATCTCGGTGACGGCAACGATCTGAACGGACTCGTAACAGGGACGACGGCATCGATCGACAGTCCCAGTACGGCTCAGACGGACGGGTATCCACTCACCCCCTGGTCCGCCAAAGGTCACGAGGACGATCACTCCATCGTCTCGTCCGACTATTATCAGGCTAGCAATCGGTTGACCACGTTGCTGTACGATCTCAAGATGGACGATCTTGACGTCGAATATCATCAGCAACACCAACAGTATCAACAGCAACCAAGCCATCAGCAAGTACAGCGAGGTGTAGCCGACGACCGATTGAGGTATAGCGTCACGTCGTCGACCGGGACCGACAACTCCAACCCTGCCACCACACCCACTTCGGCCTCTCACGAGTTGTTCCATACGGCCGCCATCAAGATGCACACGAAAGACATCGAGGCGATGCAAAAGGCCGCGCAATCAGGGCTCGCTACCAACCCGCTGGCACCAAACGGATCGGCTCTGACAAGTTCTCTACCGGGCGGCTCGAACCAGGCTCGCGGACTGAGCTCATCGGCCTCCAAGGAAAACTTGCGAGCGCCTCTGTCCCTTTCCAACTCTCATTCGGGTGGTTCGCGACGAGGAAGAGACGTATCTCCCCCGAGAAAGAGCCCGTTGCACCAGGTGACTGGCTTCGAGGACGCTCAGAGGGAATGGCAAGAACGGTCAAATAACGATCGGGATCCGGCGACTGGGTTTCCTCTTCCTCCGAGTGCGGCCCATCCTACTTCGATGTACGCGCAGAGCCACGGTCAGTCGTTGGCGAGCTATCGATCACAAGGTGCCTTGCACCATCGGTACGAACAGGGTCAAGACGAGGAGACGTTGGGATCACCGCACGGGTCTAGTCCGGCCTCGCCTTTCAATCCGAGACCGGGCTTCACCTCGTATTCGCCTGGACAATCTGGTCGAGGATTGAGTGGACACGGTGGACGACAGCCGGGAATGGGATCGGGAGGTCGGGTACCGATCGGAGCCGCAGCTTATGAGCGCGTCAACAACCCGGGCTCGTCGAACCACTTGCAATCGCCGCCTGATAACAGTCATCTGGGTGGACCCCATTCGTACTCCCAACCCGAAATTCATGACATGGCCAGGGCCCACGGCGCTGAGGGCCAAGACGTCGAATCCGGGAGAGATCGTCGTAAACCTTATGGAGACGAAGGGCTGGGTCAACAGGGCAATCGTCCTACTCCCAACGGGATGAACAAGCCCGTTCTTCAACGAGCGTGGTCGGATGGACCTGAACAAGTCGGGAACAACCGGCGTGTAGAAGATCCCAGGGATCGGATGCAGGGTTTCAAAGAGGAAGATGAGCGGTACGATGCGCAGAACTCTGATTCGCGAGGGAGACGGGTCGAGAGCGATCGCGGTGACGTGCGGGGACATGCGAACAACCAAGCGGAGGACCTCGAAAGACCGTTTGCTACGGTAAGCTTGGCGTTTCTGCGAGTTGCGCCTCGTTCCTACCTGTGCTCACACAGCTGAACGATTCGCGATCGCTCTTCTAGGCTGCAGAACTGCCGCCAGATTATGTCATTGCGGTCATTGGCCAATCTCTGGTTGGCAAGACCACGATCATCCGCAAGGCGTTCCGATCTTGGGGTCTCGTGGAGCCTGCCACGCGAGAAGATGCGGACCCACGGAGCAAGGTGCAGCACTATACTGCCAATGTCGAGACCGGTCAACCTCCTCGTATGCGAGTCGTACAGATATTAGAGGTCGACCTGAGGCTCGTGCAATTAGGGTCACGCGAGGTCCGAGGCGTACTCAAGCACGAGTGGCCTCAAGGTACGCCTCGTGTCGACGGCGTGATGATTTGTTATGATGCCATGGAGAGTTCCTCTGTGGCGGGGTTGGCTGAGGCTATCCGTGAGTCCATGACGTGCCGTCGATATCGCGATTGGATCCGATCCTGATACGATGTATACGAGCTCCAGGCGATCTTTGCCCGGACCTACCAGCCATGGTTGTAGCTTGCAAATCGGACCCGGACGAAGACCTGGCCGTCCAACCGCTCGAAGGTAACGAGATAGGCGCTCCCTTCAATATCGGCTTGGTCGAGCTCTCGATCTACATGCCTCAGGGCAAGCATAAGATGAGGATGAGCTTTGGATGGCTGCTTAAAGCCATCTCCAAGGAACGTCGGGTTGCTCGGCCAATTCAGCCGCACTCTGAGCCTGCCAACGAGAATCGGGCCCGGTCGAACCCGGGTCTTCACGCCAACAACACTGACAGCGAGCAATCCCACGAGTGGCATCATTCGGTAGAACGAACGCCCTTGTCGGACGCACCTGCCGAATCAGATCTGGTCATCAGACGGACTCAGTCACAGGGCGCCGTTCGAATGATGCAGAATGGCTCGATATCGTCGCGCTTGCGAGAGCAGCCGCCGGAGAACACCCAAGGAGAGTCCGTGCAAGGAGAGACGCTTGTGAATGATCTGCCGCACAAAACTTTGCAGGTGCCACAATCAACTGCGGGAGAGACCGACCAGGCAGCATCCTCCGGCGCTCCGGTCATCCCTACAAGACGCGAGAAACCACCCCCGATCACGGTCGTTACTAATGGTCAGGTGGATCCTCAAAAACCTCCGTGAGTGGACGGCTGAAAACCCCGAGCGAAATGAAAACATCGCCCTAACAGAATCGGGCCACTCCAGTCATAGCCCCTCGAACCCCTCGAAATATGTCACATTCGACGAGCTAGCGGAGCAGTTGCTCCGTGCTATCATGACAGGCTCAGGTTAGTCGGCGGCTACATGGTCCTATTCGGAAGGGATAGCGGTCTCAATAGCATTTGTTTGCAGACAACGCGTTTGTGAATGCATTCTTCCTCACTTACCGAAGGTTCGTAGAACCGCCTGCAGTCATGGACAAGATCTACAAGCGATGGTCCGGGGTAGCCAAAGCGCAAGGTATGACTGCCTCCTCGAAGCAATGGAGTTACTCCAGGCAAGTCCATTAGTGACGTCGTACCCCAGCATAATCTTTGTGCTCATCACAAAGACATTCCGTAGATTACTGCTCGCTGTCGTTGAATGGGTCCGTGTTTACCCGGGTGACTTTGCGTTCGTTGATGCGAGAGAACAGTTGATCACGTTCTACCGGGAAGCCCTGAGTCACGCCTATCTGGGACACTTGTCGGCCGACCTTGCCGATTCGATCGGTAGACTCGAACACATCCGAGATCTAGACGAATCATGGAGTCTGGCCGCACGTCTCGCAAAGAAGAACTTGAGTGCCTCGGGTCAAGCCAGTGGCAACACCCCCAATAGTAGCGCTTCACCGTACTCGGGTTTGGATGACACGACCCTGGAGGCGTTGAATGCGCCCAAGAACGCCGATCCTATACGCGGACCACCCTTGGCACGAGCGCAATCCACATTGTCGACTTCGACTAAGGACTCCGCCTCTGCCTATGCAGTCATTTCGCCGAGTGATGCTTCGCAGATGGGCAGGCCGAGCGTTAGCAGCCCTCCGATCAGCTTTGGGAACGGTTTCGGCGGCTCCATGGGGAGCCAATCCATGAGCCGGACTGAGACTCGTGCTGGCAGGGGCTCATCGGAAGGTTCTCGCTCAGTTTCCGAAGTTGAATCGGAAGGGAGCAGACCTTTTCTGCGGTCCTTGACGCTGTTGGAAGGTCTCTCGGATCTCGCGGTCGCAGTCGAATTGAGCAAGGAGGAATGGCGCCTCTTTTCACAGATAAGGGTGGGTCTATCGGCGTGCGATCGTTCCTCGAGCAGGACGATACTGATGTCTGCGCTGACCTCAGCCTCGAGACTACTTGCGTCAAGTCATGGGAGGCGAGCGGCACTCGGCAATCGGACACTCTGTGGCTCATTTCAACGACATCTCGGCTTGGTAAGGACAGTTTTCACCTTCTTATGTTGCATTTGCACCAACCAGTCTGACCCTTTTCCTAACAGGGTGGTCACGCTCGTCCTGGGCCACTCGCGACCAAAATCTCGTGCCAAGGTGTACGAGCGACTATGTGCGATTTGCGTCCATCTACGTCGTTTGCACAACTATTCGACCTTGTGCGCAATCACCGCTGGACTCGACAACTTTGCGGTCCGTCGGCTGGCTGCAACGCGCCAGCTAGTAAGGCCAATGTACGAGACGGACCTGAGGACCTTTTTGGAGCTCGTCAATCCTCAGGCCAGTTACAGCGCGTATCGCGCGGCTCTCAAGCAAGACGGTATGATGGGCAACAAGGCGATCCCCTTCCTGTAAGTATTCGCCAGTATCCTCTCCCCCTTTGCGTCCGCTGACACTTGCGCCCTGGCTATCACGACGTCTAGTGGTGTGGTTACACAAGACTTGACCAAGGTCCATGCGGTCAACACGGTCGACAAGGACGAACAGGACGCTATCCACTGGAAGAAGTACGAGGTGATTGCCGATGCCCTTGGTCCGATCTCTCTATATCAATCAAGGCAGAATCCTTTTGCCACGCTGCCCGGGTCAAGTGCCGCCAGGCAGATGATCATCGACTGTCCTCGGTTAGACGAAGACGTGAGTTGCTCGAGAAATACGAACGCTTGCTGTCGCACTAACGAGTCGTTCCTCTTGGACTGCAGGCCATGTATGAGCGAAGCAAACACCTCGAACCCGACGCCAATCACCACAGCGGTTCCTTGCTGAGCAGCAACTTTGGCACACATTCTCAGCGGGGACTGGGAACAGGTACTCAGAAATTCCAGCCGCCCGGAGCATTCACTAACGGTGGCTTCGGGTTCTGATCACCATATTCAGGTGCATCCTGGTCGATCGGAGCCGTGCCAGCGACGCCCCCCACCGCTCATGTTCCGCAAGTCACCACGACCGCAAGGACTGATACGGCACGGGCGGCAAGCAGACCGATGCTTCAGACGGGATTCTTTCCCATATAAGTGACTCGAGAGAGCGAGCGTTCTTCGCGTCTTGTATTTTGTTCAGGTCTTTGAGTTTTACAGGTGAAAAAGGTGTACGGATCGCTCGGATTCATAGAAGCGACAAAGTTGCCAATGTACAATTAGTTGTGATGATTATACAAATCTTTATACCCTGCGATCTATATACCCTCAGAACCCATCACAATCACCGGGCTATGTCATGAGGATATCTCGATCCGAGTCCTTCATCCCACCCGCTCGATCCGGCAAGGCGTTCAACTTCATCCTCTCCACCATCGTGCCCGTCCGCTTCTTGACCTCTCCCTCCATTTCAGCCTTCAAGATCTTGCATCCCTCTACTCCGACCGCCAACATTTCCTCGAATCGATCGACGTGTATCCGGGTCTCGAGGGTGGCCAGTGTGACTTTGCCCGTCCCGGGGAGCGAAGCCACAACGAGGTAAGGAATGTCGGATTCCTCTGGTGAAGACAGGTCGAGGAGGGGTTGCGTGAGGTGAAGGCCGACGGAGAGCGAGGTGATGTAATCGGTCATGGCGACACCGGCATCGATAAGAGCCAAGGTCGTTGCGTTGATGGCGGTAGGAAGGATGCCTGTGAGAGACCGGTGCATCTGGCGTGAGTCACAGCAGCGACATCGTCTTGTCTGCCCTGCTACGTACCGCCGTCTGAGCCTAGAACCTGGACGTAGATGGAGATCTCGCTTCGTGGGTATAGATGGGACATGATGACCGGTTCGAATGTCTGCCTGATAGTCGCTCCGACCTCTGTCAGGCGTCTAGTAAGGGATCGTCATGGATCGATCAGCCGGCTAGTCAGATCGAGCAAACGGGGACCACTCACTTGTCACCTCGATTCCGTTGTCCTACCCCCGGTTGTGACCACCCAGCTACTCCGACTTCTACTACCAAGTTTGCCCGATCGTGGATCGCATTCGCCCGACTTCGAGGTTCTCTCGGTCCGAATACCGATACGGTCACCGTTGTAAGACCTTGCTGCATAGTAGCCGAGCCATCCGCGTGAGCTTGTGGTGAAAAGGTCATCGACACCGAGCGGAGTTCATATGGACGTCTTCCATCCACACGGAGTCCTGTGGAAGCGAGTGAACATGGTTGCGTGCTCATCAGTATCCTACCCATAGGTTTGGGCTGTCGTTGGCGTGATGTTCAGCCGTAGCTCACCTCCTTCGTTCAATATCTCTACTCTTGATGACGAGGCCATGTTCCACGGGTACAAGGTGCTGGGTCTATTCGATGGAGGTCTCTTGGTTGATACTGTTATGCTATCGACCGGGAATACCATCAATCGATAGCTAAATTTGTTTTGTCGATCGAGGTAAGCTACTCGGAAGTGACGCAAGATTTCGAACTTAGGGAGACACACAACCTCTTCTTGGCTTGGAAAGATGTCAGTCTCGGCGGGCAAATGCGCGCCGTTTCAGCCACGATGGTCAAGGCAGGCGGCGCGGCTCTCCTCTACGCTCCCACAAAGGTAATCCGGCGATGTGTGGGCTTGTAGCCGTCAAGGTGTCCGATGGAACCCATAGTGAGACTCCGCCGATGCTCTTGAAAGGAAGGTCGACAGGGCTCGGAACCCCCATAAGTACCGGACGATCACGACAAGAGAAGCATGTTAAATGATTGATCGCTTGTTGTACGATCCCCAAAACACATCGTCTAGAGAGCAACTGAACACATGTCACCACACCCTATCGTCCGACATATCCTCCTTCAGACCGTAGAAGGTGCCCCAGTATCTACTGCGACGATCCCCGCCATCAGACCAGGTGCCGTGGATCCTGATACGGGGGCCAATTCGCCCAGGGACGAAGACTTCAAGTTCCGCACCATCGAGAGTCTGCACGAGGTATGAGGTGTTGAGGTCCGCTCAATGTCGAAGACGAGCTGACTATCTCTCCTCCAGTCGACTGTCAAAATAGGGGGACTGCCTGCCAATCGGATGGAGATCGCTGCACGAGCAGTGCAGGAGGGACTCGAACATGGTAAGTACCAACTCCCCATTGACATGTCTCATGCTGATCGCCCTTCCATGACATCGCCGAACGCCCGGATCCATCTCATTCCCAGCTGGTATCCGGCTCCGATCATTTGCGGCTCGGGACTATGACGACCAAGAACCGGAGGACGGGCTGGAAACAGGTCAGGTGGTATTCGCCTTGACTCGGACTGACAAGATGGACCTGGACGTTCTCTTGGGTATTTGTGAGAAGGCGATCGTGAGTAGCATATATTCTGAGCGAGTCGGTGTCCCACTTGATGAGATTGATACTCAACAAACCATCACACAACAGGCGCCTTTCCCTGGAGCCGCCATCATCTCAAGCCAACAAGGCTACGTGATCGACTGGTCCACGTCAAACGTCCACAACCTCGTCTACGCGCCGGATTCTGGGCCGCCAACGCCGATGGTCGAAAACGATGGGTGTGATCGGAGCGTTTCTGGATCGACGACAGTGATGAGCAGGAATGACAGTGTCGATGCGGGTGTCAGACTCGTCAGTCATGTGTGATGTCGGGTGGCGATCAGGGGTCAAGGACCCGCCAACCGACGAGCGATTGCATGATTGATTTCATTTGGCACCAATCAGTCCGTTCGCTCTGACGCGATTAGATATCGGAATACAGTCGGAACTTCTACTCATTATTGTTGGGGGTGTAATTCTCGTTCAGCGACCTCATCAGACGCCAATCAAAGGGAACCATCCTGCGTCTCTTCTTGTCGTAGAACCCAAACTCTTCTCGTTCCAGCTTCCCGAGGATCCATGAGACATCTTTCTTGAACCACCTGTCGTTGCTCCGGAGAGAAGACCGACCCATCTGCAAGCGGTATCCCGTAGCAGCAAGTCGCCTGTCGCATGCCAATAGGCTGATATATTCCTTGTTCCACTCCTGTCGCGTAAGCTTCACGCACATCCCCTTTATATATTGCCTGACCAGTCGATTCAACTCGGGAGTTGTGAGGACGTCGAGCCGAGTGGGCACTTCATCATTGGTCAATATACCAGGCTGACATTTCGCCCTGCTATAAGCGAGGTTGGCCTTCGAGTCCTCACGTCGAGCTTCCCAAGTCGTCCGCCTTCGAGCCTGACTGCAAGTCCAGGAGTGCTCTGCTAAAGTCGAGTTACCTTGGTAGGTGTCGAGGTCTCCGTATTTCTCGGCAACGTTCCTTATCCCTTGAGGGATATCTTCCCATCCAATCGAATGACCCGTCTCGATTTCCTTCTCCACCAGCCTGTGCACTTCGTTTGGGTTCTGCCAATGAGTAGGCTGTCCTCCAGCCTGGGCGTTCCTAGGATGCAGCTCTGCCGAGGAATAGAACATGTCTGAAAAGCATGCCAGTTATGCGTAAGCCAATGTATTCGACGTTCTATACTTCTTGGGACGAACGACTCACTGGGTTGGGGATCTCCTCCCACCAAGCGTAGCAGGAAGTCATTACCTTGATCATGAACCCGTGCTGCCTCTTGGAGCCAAGGGCTTTCAAATGACAGGAAAGGCAGGTATGGATAGCAGTAATGTGTCCAATTGAACACAATCACCCTGACAGATCCTTGACTGTAATAGATGTCACAGAGGGGTGTCTGTCTCTTTGTCAAACCTCGGCTGAGGCTGCGTTTGACGGTATTCTGGGCGATCGTACCGCAAGCCGCGATGACCATCCCCTGCGCTTCTTCAACCTTTCGCCGGACATATTGTTCCGTGAATTGGAGACATATCTCATGGATCAGAGGTCCTAAATCTCCTAGGGTGTCGCCGGGAATGCCTCTAGCTGTTGAGGGTTTACCATAGGGGATAGCGGTGGTAACCGGGATAACGTCGACGAACCCTGCTCGTCGCATTAACGCCGGACTGTTCGTCCATCCCTTTGCCCTCAACCCGTTGATAACGATGTTGTTTGGGTCATCGAAGAACTCCTTTGGCATGTGTCCTGCCGCCAGTGGTGGGTAGTGCAGAACCTGAAGAACACCAGAACCCTTCCCGGACGGCAAGCAGAAGCATCTCGTGTCGAAGCCGAGTGGAGTCACTTCGTTGAGAAGCGAGAACAGGGCGTGGTATTCATCGGTAGGAGACAGGGACGAGCGGTATCCATCGTTAGGAGGCAGGGACGAGCGGTGGAAGATCTTTGAGAGAAAGTCGTCGAGTCCCAGAGCCTTTAGGGAACGGTATATCGGGTCGTGGAGAAGGGGTCCGGGGTACTGTTTGCTGTTCCGAGTTTCATCGACATCAACGCCCGATCCATCGTCAACGCCCGATCCATCGACGCCCGATCTGTCAAGTAGCTGAAGTAATAGGGAGGCAGCTTGTTGAACGTCACGCCGGCCGTCGAGATCGCTTTCAATGATCAACCTTGTCTGCTGCCGAGGATTCGTCTGCCTAGGTTGCAAAGGGTGATGATCACTGCAGTTGTTGTGAAGTACGTCGAGTCAGCTAATTTGGAACTGCACACTTGCGTTTCGTCTCTACTCACGTCAATCTTGTCTGCCGAGATGGTTGTGAAGGATGATGTTGACTGCAGTACGTGAATTTGGGATCTCACTACTTTAGACGCTCATGCACGACGTAGTCGATTCTAAGAGGAATAGTCGAAGAGATTTCGGAGTCGTTCTTTTTAGACTTGCTGCCCGTCACCTTGTGGGCAAGAACAAGCCCTCCGTCATGACTACACTGAATGACCTTCCAGTCTTCTGGGATAACCTTGCCGGTGGTAGGATATGACGTCGTTTCGAGCGTGTGCTGTCCGGTGGCTTTGCTGTGCTGATTACTGGTGGCCGCTCTGTATACTCGGGTAATTCCCTTGTAACGATGCGTCGACCACACTGGGCCGGGACTGTTGCCAATCAAATCCGGCAGATCGAGCCTGTGTAAGATGCTCATGGGCAAAGTTCTTTGTGTTGATTAAGCCTAATAATTCGTCCGGTCAGTAAGTCATCCTTTCTTGAATTGGTATGAATGAGCATGGAAAGGGGGGCCGAATCATCCTGATGACCCCGGGTCGCTCGATCAAAAGTCGGTCGATCGAAATTGATCGCTGATCGCTGATCGATTTCGTTAGCGCGCAAAAAGTGAAACGCGAAACTCGAATCGATTTTCTGGCGCATTCCCGGCTGTCGAGACAACTGGGTGCCTTGACAGACCGCTTTATGAGGGCGACCGAGGAGACGATCGTCGGACCTATTGGGATTCTTGTCGATGCCAGCCTTCCTGGTCGTATCTGACCCGGACGACTCGTCTGAAGCTGCCGTCCGTCATTATCCAGACTTGTCGACTACATACTATCTCATCATGTTGGGCGATCTTACGGATGTACGACAAGCAAACAAGACCTGGTACGCTACCTGATGGTACGCAAAGCAAAATGGCTAGAGGTGGTCAGGGTCCTCTACAATCATATGCACCACATTGACATGGTCAAGATCGCCATCGTAAGGCACAGTCCGAAAGTCGCCTGGTGTAATGATAGAATTTCACTAGACGGGTGAGCGAATGCATAGCACACGGCCCAGATCCCGTCAAGCCCAACACGATGGGACAAGTCTCTTTTATTCATTGATGTTGTGACAATCGTAAAGCTTGGAAGCCAATGACAAGTATAAAAGTCTAAGTACCAAGCCCGGTAGATCATCTCAAGATCGTTGCTCTCGTCTATGATGAAACGATCGCTGCCATCTATACCCACGAACCCATCACCGTCTAGACTCGGGAGGGGTTTCGCTGGAGAGCGGCACCACTGAGAGAAGCGAGAGCGTCACGCGGATCAGTATCGGGAACAGGTCGGTTTTACACCCGCACGACTTACGATTGTTGGGCCTGGATGCTTCCAAACCTGGACAACTCGTTCTGGTTCATGTTGACCTTTTGACCCTTGCCCAAACCAGTTCGGTTGAGAGCTCGGGACAAGAAGCTCGTTCGGTTCGAGTACAAAGACTCGTGTCGAGAGGCGGTCCTCCTGATGCTGGTGTCGACGTCCGGGTTGGCGATAGCCGCCTTCCTGGCCTTTCGCTTCTGCAACCAGGCGATAATGCTGTTAGATCGAAAAAATCCGGCTTAGCTCCCTTTTCTTTTCTCTTTTCTTTTCTTTTCCTTTTTCTCTTCCCTGTATTTCAGCCCAAATTTGACGAAGTCCATGGGGGCGAACCAAACAATGTTCCACACCTGCGACAAAGAACAATACCATTAGTCAACATGGCGGGCGAACCGAAACGACTTGAGCCCGGCGCTTACCCAGACGATACCAATCCAACCTCCCGAAACACCTCGGACGAGGGTGAAACCCCAGTCACCGAAAGCGGCGATGATGGACGAGATCAATTGGGCGAGACAGAAGGCCAAGAACAACGCGACCGAGGGACGCTCCATGAAGAAGAATCCGTGCGATCGGGTGACAAAGATCAAGGCTTGCGAGATGATGGCGACCTGGAGGTAGATGATCATGTGCATCTCACGAGCGTTGGGGTCCTTGTAAGCCTCGACGCCAAACTTGTCCTCGAAGAAGGTGGTGTCGTGGATAACGATGAAGAGGACGATGGTCGACAAGGTCAAGTACAGACCGTATCCGATACCGTAGGCGAAAACCTCGGCCAAGTCCCACGAGTCCGGGGTGCTCGAAGGCAAGACTCGGTCCAACGACAAGGTCATGATCGTACCGTCGTTCAAGACGGCGATGATCAAGACCATGAAGGGAGGGAAGTTGAACTGCCAGATGAAAGCCATCAAAGCAAAGCAGACGACGATTCGGATGGTGACGGCACAGGCGTAGACGGCGTAGTTCCTCATACGCTGGAAAATGATTCGGGATCCTCGGATGGCGTGAACGATGGTCGAGAGACCGGGCTCGGTCAAGACAATGTCGGCGGCACCTCGAGCAGCGTCAGTGGCACCCTCGACGGCGATACCGACGTTGGCACGGGAAAGAGCGGGGGCGTCGTTGGCACCGTCACCAGTCATGGCGCACAAGTGTCCGAGGGCCTGGATACGCTTGACAATCTCAAACTTGTGCTCGGGGAAGACACCGGCGAAACCGTCGGCGTCCATGATCATCTCGTCCAAGTTGGCGTGCTTGCCTCCGGCGACGGGTCCGTCCTTCAAGACCTTGGCGGCGTACATGTGGTCACCGAGACCGAGTCGACGACCGGTCTCCTTGGCGATAGCGAGCTGGTCACCGGTAACCATCTTGACCTTGACACCGAGAGCCATGGCGTCGTCGATGGTCTGCTTGGTGTCGGATCGGGGAGGGTCAAAGATGGACAAGAGACCGACGAGTTCGAAACCGTTACCCTGAGCGTCCGGGGTGTCACCGAGGACGTCCTCGAAAGCGACAGCGAGCGCTCGGAGACCTCGTCGGGCAAACTCTTCGACGTCGTTCTCGAGCTGGTCCTCGATCTCGGAAGTCTTGTTTCGGGAGCAGAGTTCGATGATGATACCGGTCATACCCTTGGTGGCACGCTTGAGCTTGCCGGAAGACTCCTCGAGGTAGGTGATCTCGGTCCTCTTGTCGACGGGGTTGAAGGGCTTGAAGTCCAAGAGCTTGATTCCCTTTCGGGCGAGGGTAGGGTCAGAGAGGGTTCCAATGACACATCCGTCGATGGCGTCCTGGTTCTCGGTCCGGGAAGAGTAGGCGGCGAACAGGATACACTCCTCGACCGAGTAGGAACCGTAGGTCTTGACGTTCTCCTTGTCAATGGTCAACTTGTTGGTGGTCAAGGTACCGGTCTTGTCGGAACACAAGATGGTGACACCGGCCAACTCCTCGATGGCAGTGATACGGGTGACAATGGCCTTGTGCTTGGCGAGCTGCTGAGCACCGACGGCCAAGGTGACGGACAACACGGTAGGCATGGCGATGGGGATACCACCGATAAGCAAGACCAAGATGTTGTCGAGACCGTCACGGTACGAGTATCGGAAGTCGGCGTAGAGGATGAGGATCTCCAAGAGGACAAAGAGACCGATCGAAACGAGACAGAAGGTACCGATCCTGGCAAGGACCATTTGCAAGTGACCGGTCTGATCGTTGTCGGCACCGACGAGGGTGGCGGCACGACCGAAGAAGGTGTTGGCACCGGTAGAGATGATGATACCCTCGGCCTCTCCCTGCTTGCAGGTAGATCCCGAGAAGCACTCGTCACCAAGCTTCTTTCCCTGGGGCAAAGATTCACCAGTAAGAGCGGCCTGGTCCATGCTGCGAAACAGAGGCGGCGAAGGGTCAGTCGATCGGCACGACAACAACTTGCTAAATCGAGCCAACTCACGAAACGTCAATGGCCTCGACCAATCGACAATCCGAAGGGCAGACATCTCCGTGCTTGAAAGCGACCAAATCACCGGGAACCAGCTCGGAGGACTGAGAAGAGAGGCAAGCAGGATCAAGTCAGTCAAGCCGAACCGAAATACAAGCGCACGACGCGGCCGACCCACCTCGATCTCCTTCCAAGCACCACCTCGCTTGACCCTGGCCTTGGGGGCCAAAGAGTCCATCAAGGCCTTGACGGCGTTACCAGCGTTCCTTTCCTCGACGAAACCGATAGTAGAGTTGATCAACAGCAAGAGGACGATACCGACGAAATCCTGCCAATCAGGGGGTCGGCCCTGACCGTTGGAGAGGGCGATGGCGACCAAGGCAGCACCCTCCATGACCCAGGATAGGGGGTTCCACATGAAGGACAAGAACTGGAGGAAGGCGTTTTCCTTCTTGGCCTCGAGCTGTAGTAAGATGGACGAGTCGACGTCAGCATCGCCGTTGATATGGTCTCATGATTGCATGGGGAATGTTCGGTCGGACCGGCCCGCGCGCGCGCAAATGAAACGCCACGCCAAGCTGGGATCCGATCTCGAGCGCAAGATGGGGGCAGAGCCAATCAACGAGCACGTACCTTGTTGGGACCGAAGATTCCGATACGCCTGGCGGCCTCCTCCTCGGTGAGACCCTTGTCGTCACACTGGAGCAAGACAAAGACGTCCTCCATCGAGACGTGTTCGATGTCGACCTTGTCCTTGTCGTAGAGGTCTGCGAGTCGATGAAAGCGAGAACGTCGGTCAGCAACGACGTTTGATAATTGGCGTATCGGAAGCAAATCGCGGATGGTGATTGCCTCCGCGCGCGCACGTCCCCCTCCTGCCCCTGCTGCTCCTGCCCCCGTCATCGGTCAAAACAAACCAGGCACCCCCCCCCCCTTCCACCTCCTTCGAGGAGCGAATCACATCGAAGGCTCGAAAGAAAAACACATCTCGAGGTGGAACGAGAGAAATGACGAGTGGGGATGTCGAGCAAAGGAAAGATAGTCGTAGACACTCACCCTCAGCGGTCAGACCGATAGAGTCGAGGGCGACGTTGGCAGTGGCAACATCGTGAGCCTCGTGCTCCATGTCCTTGTACTCTCGGACCTTCTTGACGGGGGCATCGCCAGCAGCCTCCCTGTATGAGCAACGAACGATGATGACGAAATCGAGATCAGTGATCGTGTACTGGGGCGGCGAGTGGGATTGCGATCGGAATGGGATGACCACCGTGCCCGGACGATGGGGGCGCTGACGACGACTTCGAACTGCTGACGATCTCGACCCGAATCGGAATCTCGACCGCCAGCCCTCGAGACGCCCGGCCCGGCCGAATCGATCTCTTTCGATCGAAAGGACGAGCCGGAGTACTCACTTGGTGGGGACCGCCTCGACGGGCGCAGCCTTTTCGTTGATAGGAGCGCTCATATTGTCGGGTCGAATTCGGTGGGGGTTGTCGAATCCGAGATGATGATAATGATGGGTGTGAAGTGTAGTGTGATTTGTTTGTAGGTGTAGTGTGTTTGTGTGTATGTAGGAGGCGGGAGAGGAAAAGGACGGGTTGTCTAGACCGTGTCTTGCCTTTTTCCTGTGATGACGCTCTAGATGCGACGACTCCCTCGAGAGTAGAGGTTGGGGATTATAATAAAAGAGAAAAAAGAATGACCACGATCGAAGGGTTGCGAGTTGGGATCGCTATATAAGAGAGAAAGGGAAGGCGAGGGGAGGGGAGAGAGGGCGCCGACTGAGGAGGAGGGTGTCGAAAGGATGGGCGGTCGGAAGGGTGTCGAAGGGGATTTTCGCTCTGTTCCCTCTTTAAAGGACTGAGCTGGGTGGTGTTTATAGCAATCAGGCCGTGTTGTTTGTGTGCGCGAGAAGGGAGAAGGGAGGAGAAGGGAGGGAGGCCAGCGGGTCCTATTTGTATCTCGGCTGCTGGATTGGTTGATTGCGATTGGTCGTGCAGGCGAGAGCGAGGGGCACAGGGTGTGTGTGGGTGTGTGATGGGGCAGAGACGCCGTTGCCGAGACCGAGGAAGCGGCGGCGAGACCTGAGACTCGGAGCGTCACCCGCCGGAGCGAGAGGGGCAAGGAGAAAAAAAAAGGAGAGAGAGAGAGAGGATCGGGTCTTGGCCGGGTACGCTCCCTATTTCCACCCTGAAATCGGCCGAGATCAAATTCGACCACGGCGAAAGCCAGTAGGCAGCCGGTGATCCGGTGATAGGCAGCCGGGGTTGCAGGTCGCGCTCGAAACGAGAATGAAAAATGATGGCGAGGTCAGAGTTTTTCGTCTGATCGCTAAGATCGCTAACAGCAAGAGGCGAAAGATTGGGTGAAACGACTTGTTGGGTTCCAGGGGCAGTGGGGTCACTCGGGAATTACATTGTAAGCGGGGCGAATAGATGTCGTACGACCGACAATGTCGCGATGTCACAGATGTACAACCTCTCTCGAAACCCCGATTCGGCCATCAAAATCATAACCTCCCCGTATCACTCCCATGTCTCGCGTTTCGTCCAGCCCACTCTCAAACACGAAACTTCAGCTTCTGAGCTTCTGAATGCACTTGTTTTGATTTTCGTACAAGCGAGTGAGACTTCTCGACCTTTAAACCCTGCCATCTTTCAACATCTACACCCCCGCCCTTTCATCGTGAGAACGGACCTGATGAAGTGTTTATTTCCACCTGCATGATCGATCTCGTCTAAGCGAAGCTCTAAACCCCATGTGACTCCTTTGCCGGGTCGATCGAAAGGGATGGCTCGCGCGCGAGATCGCCATCAAGATCACTTCCAAGCGAGAAGAAAGAAGCCCCCCCCCCTTCTCCCCCTTGCCCCCTTGATTGCCATGTGTTTGCCTCCCCGTTTCGGGTCGACCTTCATCATCACGTCACCGGCGTTTTCATCTTTGCCGCTCATAGACGACGACCTTGGGGAAATGCGGCGGAATTACGGGCTCGACGAAGGGATGGCGAGCCTCCGTACGTAGCTGGCACAAGAAAAATCGATAGCGTCTTCCGACTCTTGGACGCTGATGTCTTGTCGGCCCATCGGACCGCTGGCGGCCAGGCCAGTCCCCATCGCACAATCCTCGTCGTCCTGGTTTCGCCATTTTCGAACTCCTGGACCAACTTCGGAGCGCGCGCCAGTTCCCGTCCAAGCAAATCCCCTATCCCTCCCCACGTCGTTTTGCTCTTCCTCTCCTCCCGCGCTACACACCCCAGAAGATGAAGCGGGCGCGGATTGTCGCCGACCCCGGGAATCTTTCTGTTCCCCCCCTGCACTTGCCCCCGGTGGCCCATTCGAAAATCATCAAATCCGGCGGTAAACGCTGGGCTCCTTATCTTCTGCAACGATCAGCAAATTATCGTACGCCCCCAGCGAAACCCCCAAGCCCAAACTCAGCTATCGAGATTCGAAAATGCGTTGAGACGAGCCCATCTTGGCTCTCCATCGCCCCGTCGAAAGAAGGGGGATCCCGTGTTTCTCGAACTCGGAGGACCGTACCGTATGGAAGATCATGGTCCGAGCGTTCTGCCCCACGGGTTTTGATGGGGAAAAGCGGGGGAAAGGTCGAGGGGTCGCTGTTCTGGTAGTGTTGGTTGCGGCACTGCGGTCCGAACTTCGGTAGGAAGGGCGACCGCAATTCGATTTCATGCGCCTCTGATGCAAACCTCAGCTCTAATGCTTTCGCTTGGGCGAAAACTCCCCGAGCCGTCAGAGATGCCCTACCTCTTGTTCTACTATCGCCGACATCACTGATCAGCTTTCAGCTTGCGATATCCAACCCTCGTCCGACCGTAGCCCAAACCGGAAAGTCAAGGCGAGCAATATCGATCGTGTTTCACCGCATTACCACCTCGCCCCGGTCCGGTTGTTCAAAACGAACCGAAGCGGCCACCCGAAACTTCAGAACGATCATTTGGACCCCGCTCCGGCATCTTGTGATTACCAGTTGCCAGCTTGCCATCTTTCCAGCTCGTCAATCTCGGCGAACCTTCAACGTATGTCAGCGGCGTAATCAAGAAAGATGATAATCATCGTCGAAGCGAGATAACCGGAGGTGACCGACGGGTGGTTGATCCTTGACCACGTTTTTCGCTCTACCAAACGGGTCGGCATCGCCAAAAGGCCAAAAGTCTATTCTTGGGTCGAGGACGTCTTGTATTGTTGACAGTGTCGACTCGCACTTCTTGCCCGACAACTTCCTCGATCGTAACGAAACTTGGTTCAAGCGATACGGCTTGATCAGTTCAGCAGGGGGGTAACGGGCGCCCTCAAAGGCTCGCCCGGGAACCATTCGATATCCGGGACGGGCTCGGGTTTCGGGTCAATGCGTTTCAGGTGGCAAATCAGGAAGTGCTGGCCCACGGATGGTGTCTTCCTGTCTCCCTGACTCTGAAGAACACAACCCAATATTTCGGCAAGTCTATCGCCATTACGATGATGACACAATCTCAATCCGCATGTTCGCATCTATAGACGTCAAGGTCGTTATGGGATGTCCGGCTATACAATCTCGCTAAAGGAATAAAGTCCGTCTCGCCAGTCTCTCAATCCAGCTCAACTCTGCCCTGTCCCCGACGCAGGGGATCCCGCTCAAACACATATATACCTCCCCGTCTGAGTCCATCGTCTTGCAGGATGTCGAGCCCGTTCCAATGTGTTCGCCAAGCTTCGCCCCATCCGGCTTGTTCCAATTGGGGACGGAAAGTCGAATTGTTGTCTCTGACAGGCCATTCGAGGACTTCGCCAAAGAAAACCAGATGCGTGATGTCCCCCTCGACTGCGTGCAGATAGGTCACTGGGTCCTTCCAGAACGTACACATCTGACAATCGAAGGCATCTCTGCGAAAGAACGCATTATCAACGGCCTGATGTGGTAACCAAATGAACAGACCGACTCACGCGATCGGTGGATTACAGGTCAAAAAGTGCCATCTTTCCGCTTGAGCTGGGTCCTTGCTGTGTATATGAGACATCCACGGGGTCGAATGACAAGGCATCAGGAAAAGAGCCTTGGTGCCAGGATCGCGTTGAACCTGCATGGCAAACCATTCGGCGACGGCCACCTGGCCCCTGCCATGAACGAATGCCAGGTACAGCCAGGGTACGATCGGGGTCAGGGACAAGAAGAGCAGCGAGCCTTTGTTGATCCGAAGGCCCGAGTAGAGCGTTTTGAGCCTCGAGCCTAGTAGACCCCCTGCGACTGATGGACGGTAGGCAGCTACGAGGGCGTGTGCACCGAATAACAGCAAGACCGGCAGGAGGGGGTGTAGGAACCGCCATTCTTTGTGCTGGATCGACGAGTATACCAAAAAAGTCACTGCTATTGCGATAGCCAGGGTCCTGAGGTTGCGATCCTGAGGCTGAAGTGCAGCGGCGGTTTGTCGTCCATCCGAGAGCGTTCTCGAGAGCCGCAATCCGAGTAGCGCCTTGAAAAAGGTCGGAAGGACAAAAGGCAGCGCCACCGTGAGCATGATGGGCAATGTTTGCGAGAGGTGATAGTGCCAGGGCGACACTCCAAACAGGCTCGACAGGTCGAAGAGCACGTTGTAGACGAGAAAAGATCGGCCGGGAATATCCTTGGTTCCGACCAGGGCATAGTCGAGGGCAGCGGAGGCGCTCATGGCGGCGGCACTGAAGCAAGGCGGGTTGACGTGAATAATGCTCTTCGATCGGTGCAAGGCGTATCTGTAAGCTCACCCAATGAACACCGCCAGAGCAATAACTTTGACACCAGCAAGCGCGTCACGCCGTCCAATGCGTACAACCAATTCAGTTCCCATGACGGCCCAGAATGTCAAGTTCGTTGGTCTCAAAACGAAGGCAGTGGCCGACAGCATCAAAGACAGCGCCAGCCTCCCAAAGTCGATCCGGCGGGAATGCGACGTGTTGCCAGCGATGCTTTCAACCGAGGATCGAAAAGGCCAATAGCAGAGGGCCACGATTGTTAGGCATGTCTCGGCAGACGTAGTCAGAGGCCTCGCCAAGGCGTGCGCGTGGAACAGGTTGGTCAGTGAAAGAAAGAGCTGTAATTGAAATCGAATCCGAAGTGGATGTCAGTATTCAAGCGTCGAGACAAGGGACGTCGAGCGTACAGCGGCTTCGGCACGTCCAGGCAAGAGCCGTCCAGCGAGCTTGAACGTATAGAGATCCGTAAGCGCAGCCAGCAAGACGCAAAGTAGACGAGGCGCTAGTATCTAAGACCACGACGAAAGATTGAAACGAAAGCAGGACGTTTCAGACTACCGATTCTAGCGCGCGGGATCGAAGCGGAGTCTCACGAGCAACCTGGTCTCATCCAGCCCTGTCACCTGGAGTCCCTTGTAGATGGCCGCGAACAAGCCCGGCCACAACCAGCTTCTCAACCTTCCCCCTGCCTGCGTGTCGACATATCCGACCAACCGGGACCGCCATCCACCCTGCTCGATGATCGCCTGAACGACCTCTTCCGGTATAGCGGGCAAGTCTTTCCACTCCCAGGCTAAGAACCCGGTCCCAAACACGAGCCAGTGAGCGGGTTCCAACGACTGGTAGAATTCGTCTGGCTGGAAAAACGTCTGCGAGAGGAGGGATATCGAACGGAACCCCAGCGCGAGGAGAAAGGCTTGTCGGTCGGTGACGACGGGACTGGGCGAATCCGGGTCGGCGGGGTTACGTCCTTGACGCCGGATGGCCAGTGACTTGCCACCCGTCCCAATCGGAGTGACGACCCCGCCCAGACTGTCCTTCACGATCTTGCCAACGCCCCCGTTGATCTCGTCACGGGGCGGACCGTACTGGTTGTATTGATCCATAGCTTGATCGATAGCCTCTACAAGCGGTTCATCGTGAACGTCGACGTTTTCGACCATCTCCCCCCGAGCGGCTGAGGCCGAGCCGTTACTGCCGGCCTTTTTCTTTTCACCTCCATTCGAGCGACGGTCCACTCGGCCGGACTCGGGCTTGTTTTGAAGCGTGGCGAGCATCTTGCGAGCGATCTTGGAAAACCAGAGCCTATGCACCATGGTCGCGATGGCGTCAGCATGTGCATCATAGTGGGAATCCCGGAATCATGTTGGTCGAACTGACCAGTTCAGGCTGTTCAGAGCGATGTTCCCCGCTCCGTACTGTCAGACGCGACAACAGAGATTAGTCCACCAAACTGCGCTGCGCGACGACATCGCTTGACCGCGACTCACGGTACAGAACAACCAAAGCGGGATCCTCTCCCGCTCCGCGTAGATGCTCTTGAAGAACGTGAGCGACTGCCAGCCAACCCGATGTCAGCGAACGAGACGAAAAGCGAATCCTGGGGGTTGACAGGCCCGAATAACCACACTCGAAGGAGACGAGATCGAAAGAGTAGAGCCGCAAGAGGACACTCACGCTCTTGGTTCCAAAGACGATCCTCGCGATGAAAAACGCAAAGACGAACAAGAGGTCGTTGACGAGGTTGAGGGTCGGGTACTTTTTGTCCCATCCGAGTTTTTCCTATGAGTCGAGCCGATTTTGTTTTGAGTTCGTTGATTCGCAAGAGCAAAAGTGAGAACAGGGGCTCACAAAGTACCACCTCAAGTTGAGCATCGGCGTCGATAATTCCCAGAGCAAGAACGTCGGTCCATAGTATTGCAAGAAAGGTCTCTATCCACATATCATCAAGTCGAGTTTCAGCCAAGAGGAAACGTAGCGTTCGCGCCCCAAGTTCACGTGAACGCAATCCTCGAAAGAGTGAGAAAGTGACAGGGGACCCACAAAGCTAAAAGCAAAGATCGCTAGACAGGCCAACCCGTGTACGACGAACCCGGCGGATTGGTAGAGGACGGCATCGTAGACGTCCCAGATGAAGCTGTCAGGACGAGGTAGCGCTTGGATGTCAGATCTTTTGTATGACGAATGGCCAGGGAAGCGGGTCTGAACGGGACTCGACTTACTAGCTGTGGTGTCGGTAGGGTTATCGGATGAAATAAGAGGTGATGAGAAACGCAGAGTTTCGGAAGTTAGTCACCATCCCGCATCATCATTCCCTTTCACGCGTATTCCTCGACCTGGAAAGACTCACCCATAACTGAAAGCGATCACTTTCCCCAGAGTAGGATCGTACCCAAAGACCTTGTCGTTCCTGAGCGTAGGGTAGTTGTAGGTCCAGATGCAAAGCGGGATGCAGAGGACCGCGTGAACGAGAGCTGCGAGGAGCGTTCAGCATGGTTATTATCAGCTCGTCCTACAAACGTTCCTTTGATAGCATCGCTCGAACGTGTAGAGAGAATCTCAGATACTCACCTACAGCCCGACTCCTCCAGACCCTCTCCGTCTTTTTACTGAACCCAGCGAACTGTTTGGGGAAGACAGCCCTTCCGAACGGGGCCGAGAGGACGTCGATCGCAAAAAAGAAGACGGTCGAGAGGGCGATGATATGTAGGTGTTCCGAGACGTGGGTGAATGCGCTCTGGGTCGGGGCGAGCGTGTGAGGCGGAGAGGAGGAGACGGACATGATGAATGTCCTGTGCTGACCTGTCCTTGAGCTGGGGGAGGATGGCTCTGAGGATGGTAAGGAGATCGAGAAGGGTGAAATGGTCGAGCAAGTAGTAGCTAAGTAGGATATATACAAGTTGCATGTCCTCTTACGCGCGGGCACGGCGACGGCAGCAGCAGCCACACCACACGGCCTCGACCCTTCCTCACCTTACCTTACCTTTGTCGTAATACTATTGACCGTTTCAACTTCTCGAATCTCGCTTGCTTCTGTCCCTCTCCCAACTGCCAATCACACTTCCTTTCAGAAAGAGAGTAGATCTCCTGATTGCGTCTGCCATCCGTTTCACGTCGATCTAGTCACGTCACGGGAGTCGCCAACTTCACGGCTCGCGTCGGACAAAAAAGAGCAAGGCTAGCCAGGAGAGGGAAGTTGCTTCAACCATCCATCCAACAAGTAGCACGGTAGTACATCCCATTCAGAGGATCGTCACTCGACTACAACGGGGGGGATCATCGAACCCCTGTACAAACAAAAAAACGCTGGACCGACGCCGTTGGTGATCTTGTGTTGTGTTAGCCCGCCCGACCGACGAGAGACGATGTGCACAGGGTCCGACTGAGGCAACCATCCCCATCCCCTTCCCCTTCCATCGTTCTCCTCTCCCCCTTTACGGAGATCGTCATCGTCCCTTCTCGTCTTTCCATGAACGGGCGTCAACGAACATCGGAAGGTCCAGAAGGGCAAGGAAGCAGCGAATTCGGAAGTCAAGGTCGTCTTCCACAGACGCCTTATCGACCACCATCACAGCAGCAACACGTATTACCACCTCATTACGCTCATCCTCATCAACAGCAGCAACAACCACAACGACCGCTCTTTAACGGTCCGCCCAACAACGGACCTCTGCCACCCGCAAACCGCCCGACACCTGGATTATCGACTTACGCTGCGGCCTCCCCGTTGACCACCTCGACGCCCTATCAATATCGACCTCACCCCAGCGCCCATACTCAACCGCAACCGCAACCCCATCCCTATCCTCCACCTCAACCTCATCTTCATCCTCAGAATCAGCCCCAGCCCCATCCTCAGACCCCAAGCGCACATCTACATCAAGGTCCCCCGAGGTATCCTTCCCAAGAGACGGTCCCCACGGTGAAGAAGGTCTCCGAGCTGGATCGACACGCCTCGAGAGAATCCGTCAGTCTTCAAGCTTTGAACCAGGAGAACAAGAGGGTCAAGGAGGAAGCGATGTTCAAGCAAGGTGCGTTCGCGTCATGACCTTTGTTGGTCGGTTTTTCCTTTCCAAAGCTCTCGTCTTCCTTTTCGATCTCAACCCTCATGCTTATGACGTTTGGCTTACACTGGCTTCACGTCTTTTCGTACTGCACGGCACTCTCTGCAGGCTACAACCTCCGTCCTTCGACCAACAACCGTCTCTTCCTCTCCCTCCGCAGTGGGATCCCTACTGAAGTCGACTATGCCCTGGAAGAGCTCGTCCATCTGACCCATGCGGGCCGGATCAACCTCTCTGATTTCCCTGGGAGCGTCGAGGCGTTGTTGGACCTGGTTGAGGGGTGGGTGGAGGATGTCGAGAGGGAGAGTGCTGCGAGTGCGGTCGGTTTCCAGACGTCAGGGGATACAGAAGCAACAGTATCGGCCTTTGGCTCAAGATCGTCGACTACGGTCCTCGGACTGGGCATAGACCAACCTACGGTTGACCGTGAACGTCGAGCGACCGACGCCCTCTTAGTCCTTAGGAACGCCGTCTTTGCAGGAGAAGACGTCGAGAACGCCACGGCGAAGCAGAACAAGCAGGTCGTCATCTGGGTCAAGACGAGACCGACATTGGAACAGGTGTCGTCGGTTACGTCTTCAAGGCCGGCAGGTGCGATGGGCGTGGGAGGAGAGGAGAGGGAGATGATCTTGCCACCGAGAGTGATCACGTTGATCGCAAGGATTTATGGAGGATTGGACGAGGTCGAGTCGGTCCTGATCGCCAGGGAAGCCGAAGCGGCAGTGGCAGCAGCAGAGTCATCAACGGCCAAGGCAAAGACGATCCCGGGCGTACCGATTCATGGGTTATTAAGAGCGACGATGAAGCGACCGGAACCGATGCTCTACATGCTAGACCTGTTGATCGCGCTTTTCCCATCTCTCGTGTCACTGTTGGAAGAAGCCGAAGCGCCCGTGCCAGACGAACAGGACGACCTCGCTGCAGCCACCGTGACCACGGCCATGCTCACCGCTCGGATCTTGCGACCGTTGTTGTTCGAGACACTCCCCGAACTGTTCCTTACCACCGGGGACGTCGGTTTCATCGTCCCCCTCGACCAACTGTTCACTCTGGTTCCGGCGCACTACCTCCCCTCGGCCAGGCTCATCCCCAAGTTGATCTCGTTCCTGCTCCTCACCCCGGCCGTAGGATCGGGCAGGATCAACCGGTCGACCGGCAAGGTTATCAGTCAAACTTCCCCTTACCCGCCAGAGTTGTTGACCAACTCGCTCAACCTGTTGTATCACATCACGCAAGAGGTGACGACGAGCATGTCGGTGCTCAAGGATCCCGAGATCGTCAACTACCTCCGCATCCTCACCCGGTTGGTCAAATGGGACGCTAGAGAACTCTCCCTCGCTCTGAAGCACGCGGGGCAGGTCGGAACGTATATAGAGTCGCCTGAACCAGGAGCGCTAAAACTACAAGCCGTGGACAAGAAGGATGCGTATGGCAAGCATTACACGTCGCAGCAGACGATCGGGGTGGCTTTGAAACAGGATGATGGCAAGGACGATACGGGCGAGAGTGTGGGGCTCGGACCGGTGGTCAAGATGAGCGATGAGAGGAGAAGGAGGATCAGATCGATGAAGGAGCCGGAGCGGGCGCATGCATGGTGTGTACTGTTCAGGGTTGTCTTTAATGGGGATCAAAGGCTGACGATGGGCCATGCCTGATTTGTCAGGATGGCGGACACGTTTGTCTCGCAACCCGACTCTTCCGTCACGCAGGTGGTCTTTTGGAGGGCATACAATGCTTTCGTTCAGCAGTCACCAGATGAACAGCCCATCCCTCCAGGCGGGACGGCAGGCGACGTGATCAAGAGCGCGACCACGGTGTTCCCCGCTGCCAATGCCATGGTCATCAACAAGGATGACGATGGTCAGCCTTTACCCACAAATGTTTTCGTTATTGCCGGAATGAGGTTCAAGAGGAGTACAGGCAAGTATGCTTTCGAGCTGGGAAGACGAATATCAAGAATGCCATGCTGACCATTTGCCACCGCTGGACAGGCCGTGTACACACGTTTGCGTGTCGATGGGAAGGATGCGCCAATGCACAAAATTACCGTAGCCCGGAAGAGCTATACGCACACCTGAAATCGGAGCACGGCACAGAAATTGCCTCACCTTGCCGTTGGCAAGCTTGTCGAAGCAAGAGCTCCAGCCCAGCACATCTCGGCACGCACGTTCCACCTCCTATCAGACCTGAGAGAGAACCCAAAATCAAGCGGGTGCTGATACATCCCGAAAGTTCGGCCGAGAGTGTGAAATCGGCCTTCGTGACGTATCGTCCGCCTCCAATATTACCTAGGGAATATAGCCTGCACTACACCGGAATCATGTCGCCTGTTGATGTCAAGGGCCAACCCGCCTCTGACGCTTTCTTCGCGAGTTTGGTCCTCCGCAACCTGGGGAAAGCGCTCCGGACCGACACGGAGAGAGTAGAAAACGAACAAGACGCCGAGGACGCTGAAGGCGGTCGAAGAGCCAGAAAGAGGAGAAAGATGGAAAGGGAAGGCGCGTTCGGATTGCCAGCACCACCTGGCCTGTTGGATGCAGATCTTGCCATTGCGGATCCTGCCAACGGTTCGGGCAATGCCCGGCTTAGCCCGATCGAAAGGACAAGGGCCCGAGACGCATTTGGGGGAGTGGTCGAAAAGACGGTTTTGGAGATTTTGGGTATGGAGGGCGCCATCGCAGCCAAGCTGCTCGATTGCGTGGGGTTCTAGATAGAACCATCTCCCAGAAATGTAAATGATTTGACTTCGATAGCAATCGCATGCCACCCTTTGAGGTCAGATTGCTGGGTTGATATTGGAAACGACAGCTCTATGGGCAACTCACGACACGAGGCTATCGAAGTGCATCAAAGTACCTCAGTAGCGGCATTATTGTCCTGATCCTCATGCATGGTATGATTCAGACTTTTGAGATCGTAAAATACGCTGCCAGATATATCCTACTACCCGTCACTTGCCCGGAAGCACGTGTCGGTAGGATCGTTCGGTCATCCCAACAACATCTTGATCAAGGGACCACCAGGCCATCAGTACCGTGAAGAATCGCGTGGAGACTGTTCGACTCTGCCAAATGAACGACTTCGGGATTGCCGGTCGGATACACCAGGACTGAAATCATCGTACAGCTGTCTTGGCGTAGATGTGCAATCGCTGATGATACGCAAGGGCCCGTCGCAAATTGAAGGGACGGCCAGCAGTCACAAGTAGTGGCGCTAATGGGAGACTATCACTGTTCTATCAACGCGGCGGTTTCCTAACCAAACTCATGACATTTCACGCTGGCATTGTGTTCGTACAGATTCGTTATTTTCGTAGGTATGATGGCTGAACTTGGATTATATGTCAGGAGTGATGCTCGCCGCCAACCACTCTACTTTTTGAATATCTCTCTCAAGTCGTCCATCTTGCGGTCGTGAAGTTCCTTCTTGCTGAGCGATTGATTGAGCGACATATTGGCCAATTCTCGTTTTCGCTCCTGAATCTTGAGCATCGACTCTTCTATGCTGTCTTCGATCATGTATCGTGTAGCGATAACATTCCGCTTCTGACCCATACGGTGCTAGAGACCCCGAAAATAAGGTCAGTAAGAAGACGTGGCTTTGGCTACATCGCATAACAAAGATACTTACAACTCGATCGATCGCCTGTGCTTCAACCGCGGGATTCCTAACAAGATAGCGCCCTTTCGTCAGTAACAGCGGAGAGACCAAGAATGGACGCTCCCACTCACCAATACGGGTCGATGAGATAACATCGAGAGGCCGCGACAAGATTGAGTCCCACACCACCAGCCCGCAGGGACACCAGGAGGACTTCGCATTTCGCGTCCGATTTGAGTCGCTCCATAGCTTCCGTGCGGTCTTCCCTCTTCATCGTTCCATCTAATCGGGCACAGCCGATGCCATGCTTCTCCATCATACCTTCGAGACTAGGAATGCGAGTCAAATCAAGGCAAGTCAGTGCACTGCCATCGATTGCAGCCATGTTCCACGCATCAGAGCGACCGGCTTACAGGTCGAGCATGGAAGTCCATTGCGAACTGTATCGATGTATAATCAGTACCTTACGCAGGAGCGATCACTTCCTGATGACTCTGGTGGAACACTCACAAGACCACGGATTTCGTCACCACCGGTTGCCCTTTCTCATCCATCTCGGTGACGTCGGCCATAGGATCATAGTTTTCAGACTGTGGGTTGACGGCCGAGTTTTTGAGCAGGTCGTGCAGTAGTGCCAACATTTTGGCCGAGTAAGGGAAGTCGTCGTCGACTTTCCGACGCCGTCTTGACCTGGATTTACCGTCCGCGTTCTCTGCGAGGACAGTGGATCCAGGCGAAACCTCGATCACGTCTCTGCCCAGTCGAAGAGCCCTGTTGCACAAGCCACAAGTTCGACCCGCATTGAGGGCATTCTTGGGCCAATCGGGGAAGACAAGCTTCTTGAAGCACACCAAACCTGCACAAATACCAGTCTCGTGATTAGCCTCGCCGTAACGATGAGTGTGTAACTGGCCCAACTATCACTTACAGTAGAGATGACAACACCTGGTCAAGATGGGATAGCTGGATTTTGTCTTGCGCTTGGGGCCTTTCGCCGTCTTGGCGGCAGGTTCCTCTCCCTCTGGATCCTCCTTGACGATGTCCGCCACATTGAAACTGTGTTGACAGGACGCACAGGACGCAGGCTCTTCCGGTCGTAGATTTGCAATATAGGCGAGGGCGCGTCTCAGGTTGATACCATCCTTTTCGATAGCTTGCTTGGCCGTCTCCAGATCCATCAGTCCATCGGCCATGATCTCCTCTTCCAAATCCTCGGCAATGCACGTGTCGAGTAGCGATGGATGATCGCAGATTTGTCGCAGACGAAGAATCTGCTGCAAAATGTTGACGACGTCAACTTTGCTGCCGTCCTCGTTGGCTTCTTGGAACTGCTTCTGCCCCTGCATGAAGTGGTGATCGTATATCTTTTTCTCTTCTTCCAAGAGCTTGAGCTTGACGATTCTTTCATGTCGGGGAGGCAGATCGAGAATTTTGTTTCCGTCATCGTTGACGGAATCTTTAGTGCGTCGCAGTGTGCAGTGCTTGAGGATGGTCTGCAGTCGCACGACTCCGAGTGAGTTGCCTGCCTTGGCATATTCCATAATATACTTGTTCCACACCTCGCGTTTGTCGAAAGGTGCCAGACGGAGGAACTTGAATAACGCCCAGATATCGTCTAGCTTGTTCTGGATCGGCGTTCCGGAAAGACAGATCCGGCGCTGCGCTTCGAGATAGCACGCTGCTCGGGATACAACCGTGGTAGGATCCTTGATGAAGCTGTGTGAAATGACGTTTAGCGCGATGTGATGCAGCGTGTCAAGTATCTCACCAACTTACTGAGCCTCATCGAGCACGACCCTGAACCACTCCACAGCTTGCAGCGGACTGACTACCTCTGATGCGGTCTTCTTCCCGAACAAGTCCATGTCCATATTCTTGTTCTTTTTCTTTGCGTCTCCCGAGTTGCGCTGAAGGCTCAATCTCTCAGCACGAACCTCTGGCTTTTCATGTCCTTGTGTAAGCGATTGACCGTAGCCATCAAGATCGTTGCCTTCGTGGTCATCGGCACCGAAGTCGGAAGTGCTCGGCGTTGCAGCCGAGGAGCAAGCGGCCGTGTTAATATGCGACTTTTCCAAATAACTCTTCTCTCCCTCGGATGTCTTGATCTGCTTTGAGTACTCGGTTTGCAGAACGGAGAATGTCGTGATAACGACGTCAAAGTCTGCCAAGAACTCGAGGTCGTTCTTTCTCGAGTTGCCGTGATAGATGTAGATCTTGAGGTCACCCTTTTCCGGCTGCGCCTTCTCCGTCTTTTTCCCCTTGTCCGACGCACCTACGACGTGGACTTTACCCCTCCAATGATCTCGTATCTGCTCCTCCCAGTTCGAGACGGTGGACAAGGGGCAGATCAAGAGGGTCGCTCGGGATTTCAGCCTCAACCTGTCCATCCGAGCTTTACGTTCAAGCTTGGCGATCTTGTCTGGCGTAAATTTATAACCCGTCTCCCTCTTCCGCTTCTTGCTATTGGTCTCCTCTGAAGGCATCCCATATACAGATCCGGCAAAATGCGAAGCGTCGAGATCTCCCGCGTCATCGTCGTTATCGCCGTCCGATCCTTCCGAATCGCTCGGCTCATCCTTTGAAGAGACGTGAGCGAATTTCCTAGCGCTTGGCAAGGTCGAGGCAACCAAGCTGACGATCGACAAGGTCTTTCCCAGACCCATCTAAGTCGATGACCGAATGTCGTCAACCTCTAGTGCTAGCCATCGGTTGAATCGACCAATACAATCGGCGTCACTCACCTCGTCTGCCAAGATAGCGCCCCTAGCCTCGACGGGCTTGTCCTTGCCCTTGACCGTCTCATCAGTGACCAAGTGCTTCCACCCCTTGATCTTCTTTCCCGAACTATCGTACTTTGGCAGCCACAGACTGTTGACACCTTTCTTCTTGGTATCCTTTTCTGCCTTCTTCTGCATCCTCTTGATCTGCTTCCTCTTCTCCTCCTCGGTCATCTCGGCGTCAACGTCGACGATCTCGATTTCCTCCTTGGACGCTGCAGAGGCCGCCTTGATCGCAGCGGGTTCGCTTTCCCGCTGTTGCAAGAATGTGATCGCCTTCAACTGATGCGGGAACAGTTTCGTCTTGATCATATCCCCCGGATCGGTCGGCGGAAGATCGTCATGGCTGGGAAGCGCCATAAACACCTGATCCACCTGATCTCGCTGGATATCGATCGTCTTTTGTTGTTGCTGCTGCATCATGCCTCGACCCATCATCATGTCGAGCCTGTTTTTCCTCATCGCCCGGAATCCTTCGACGGGCGGGTTGTGCGGGTTGTAATAGATGGGCGAATCGAAATGGTTCTCGGGAATATAGTACGGCAGAGGGTGATCCAGAAAGTTGGACATATTGGCCATGTATTCGGCGAGGTACGTCACGTTAGACGGCAACGTGAAGCACAGTATATTCAGGACCGCCGTGAACATCTGTCCGCAGAAACAACGGACCGGACGCATCAGCCAAATTGCGTTCACGACCCTCTCCTGCTACGACTTACGTTCTCGAGCTTGCCTCGTTTGATATATCCTTCGAGCCTGATCAGACCTTTGGCCATGAGCGGAGCGAACATCGCGTGTACCTGCCCATTGACAACACCGATGACCACCGTTTGCTTGGCTACGATCGCGGAAAAAGACCAGACCGAATTACACGTCAGCGAACCACTTGCGAAACCATGTCACTTCATCGAGCCCAAGAAGGCACCGAGCACTCACAGCTCATAATGTTGATCACCGTGTCCGCGCTCTGACCACTTCCAGCATCCCCCGCAGCTCCTGCCGCCTGTCCAACTCCCTTGCCCTTCCTGAACTTGAGTTTGACTTTCAGCCACTCCTCTCCACCCTGATCCACCCTCAAGTCTCCCGACCGAAGGAGCTCGTCCCGGTTGCTCCCCTTTTGCATGATCGAGATCGGGTACAAGATCAACGCCTGCGTATCTACCGAGCCGATACACACTGGTCGACGGTCTGTCAGGTCCAGTTGAGCAGGTTGGGGGGGTTGGACTTCGGTAGGCTGTGAGTAGCGAGAGGCAACGTCATCGTTGGTAAGATCGATGGCGACTCCATTTGAAGAGGACGATTGTGCAGGCATCGAAGGTGATGGTGGCCCAGAGAACTTGTTGGCATGTACATTGTGGGAGACTTGGTAGGCGTTGGGATGAGGAGAGTGGCTGTGATATCCCTGAGGAACGAAGCCCGCTGATGTGCCATTCTGATAAGCAGACGGGCCTTGTTGAGAGTAAAAAGGGTGTTGTGGCGGGGCGTGAGGGTGGTTCATCACTTGACTATAGTCCGCTCGAAAAGGATGACCAGGTTGAGCGGTCATGGAAGGTCCCGACTCTCCGACGACCTCGACTTCAGGAGAACCTTCGTCGTGAGTCACTGCTGGTGGGTTCGTCCTTGTTGTTGCGGAAGATTCCCCGTTCGAGCCAAACGGAGAAGCTCCTACACGGAACGCGCTGGTTGCTTCTCCCGAATATCCTTGTACGCCCACATAACCCGTCGGGTTTCCTGCCTGCGGAGAAGGTTGATGTGGTTCAAATCCCTGTATTCGTACCGGCTGATGGACCTGGGCAGGCGGTTCCGACGAGCCAAGGCTATCGACCTGGTCGTCTGCCGGTCGATCTCCTTCCCCGATCATCGCTTCATCCCTGACCAAGCTGTCCAAGTCGATCGCTTCTTCGCCCTGAGGAGGAGCTATGTCCATACTCGTCGATTCAGCAGGCGGAAATGACGAGCCGAGGCCAACGTTGTCAAACGGTGGCGTTGAGTCGACCGACATAGCGATGATCTGTCGTGTAGATGCCGATGTGACCGCTCAGACGAGCTTCCCGTGCGGTATTGCCTCGATTGCCTGGGAGAAGAAGCTCTTGACACGATGTAGACACGCAAAGCGAGAGGTCTGCGATGAGCTAAATCTATTGTTCAATGCCAATCTATGTCAATCGAGGGCGATAGTGTGGCAATCTAGTATCGACGCTGGCGAGGTTGTTCAGATTCCTATCTCGAGGACAAGTTTTGTATGTGAGCCTCCCCGGCGTGTTATGAATGTGTCCGCCTGGCTTCTCCCCGCGAACAAAAGTCTAATAATTCCTCTTTGAATCGGTAGCTCGAAAACGACGCAGATCCTATCGCAACAACAATCCTCTGCTTCTGCGAGATGGATAAGAGCGGTCTGAGATTCTCAGGTTCTGGTGAATGTTGATTGATAATACAACTGACGTCGTCCAAGTTCATCTGCCCCTCTCGCTATTCTCGGTGCCGAGCTCCTTCTCGATGCCAGCACAAGGCCAGAGGTAGGGCGGCCGGAAGTCGAGCTGACGTAAGCAAGGCGGATATGTCTCAAATTGCATACCCGTTATGACCCGTGCCTTGAGCGTGTGTGTGTGTGTGAGAACGATGAGTAATACGGTTCGGAGGTGATCGGAAGCAAATCACAGTGATTGAGACCGATGAGCGATCATTCACATGGCGTGGGGGGTCAACCCTATGGGAATTCGTACAAAAGCACATCCTCGACAACCTCCCCTCACCAAAATCTCGTGTCTTTTCTGACAATAACACACTGCTTACGACTCTGGATCAACATCGATCTTGCTCATTCTTCTCATACCCAGCCCGTCTCATCTCCCCGTCGCCACCGCGAACGGCTATATAGATCTATAGACCCACTCTGGACGACCTCGGCCTCGAGAGTAGAACTTTCAAGATTTCACCACAAACACCCACTACCCGTTCAGAGCCCCTTCAAGGACCATCTTCAGACACAGCCCCAATAGCTAGCTCCTCTCCGGCCTTCTTTACCTGGAAGACCGTCTTGCTCTTTATCGTCGCACCCCTCATCCTGACCGCCATCTTTACTCGACCTATTCCGTCCTCGCTCCGTCGATTCGCACCCAACTTCCTTCAATCAACCTCCGTCTCGACTTCGACGATCGCCAAACCTACCATGTCTGCCTCAAACATCAAATTCACTCCCCGTAAATCGGAAGAACGAGGTGGCGCCAACCATGGCTGGCTCAAGACCTTTCACACGTTTAGTTTTGCCAACTACCAGGACGAGGCGTTCGAGCAGTATGGTCCCCTTAGGGTTATCAATGAAGGTGAGCTCTCCCTTAGAAGGTTGAGTTTACTTGTTGAAAGAGAAGCGTCGAAGCTGACTCGTGCTGTTTGCGCCGATGATAGACCGGGTGATCCCGACTCAAGGATTCGGGACGCACGCTCACCGAGAGTTTGAGATCTTCTCCTACAGTACGTTCCCTTCCGTACCGCTGCCGTCTTTTTCAACTTCTGGTCAAGCGCTGACCTTCATCCTGCTCCCCATCCAGTCCTCGACGGCCAACTCACCCACCGCGACTCTTTACACAATACCGAGATCCTCAAACGAGGCGACCTGCAGATGACCTCGACGGGAACCGGAATCCGACACAGCGAGTTTAATGACAACCCGAAAGAAGGCGTGCATTTCCTGCAGATCTGGGCGATGCCGCATACGAGGGGCCTGAAGCCGAACTACTACACCAGGCATGTTTCGGACGAGGAGAAGAGGGACAAGTTGGTCAGGATCGTCGCGCCTGTTGGTGCCGAGGGGGTCAAGGATGAGAGGGAGGCAGCGGGTCCCGCACCGGTACGTCACTGCTAATCCCCTTTCGAGATTGAAGACGGAGCGAGTATCGTACTGACGGCTATATTGCCACTTCTCCACAGGTCCACTCCTGGCTGTCCATGTCGGCCTCGCTCCTCTCCCCCAAAGCCTCGGTCTCGCATACGGTCTCTCGTCCGTTCAACCCTTCTGCAAAGACGCAGGCCAAGCGGGTGTACCTTCACCTGGTCCAATCTTCGGGGTACAACACCCGGGCCAGTTACACACACGCTGACGCTGCCAAGGTCAAGGTCAGCGCCAAAGGAAAGGATATTGAGGGTGTAGTCCTGGGAGAGGGAGATGGAATGTTTATTGATGGAGGTGTTGAGGGGGATGTGGTCGAGATTGAAAGCGTTGGCGGGAGGGAGGCCGAGTTTGTCCTATTCGAGATGGACTGAGCGAGGGGCGCCGATTCGGCACAAATAAGAAGCTCTTGCGACCATAGGCTTGTAACGTGGACTGCCCATCGTACCGTACAGATTTAATAGAATTGTGCATCTTGTCTCGAGACCACTTGTCATCTCCCTTGATTCCGTCTGCGCTGTGAGGTCGAGGTGAGGTCTCGATCGATCACGCGTGGTCGGCGGGGCGCGGGGGCAACTAACTTGGACCACAAAAGAGACCGACCGACCAGGGTTCCTCGGGCTAGTGTGTCACGGGAATATGAGCGAAAACGTTGTCCACCTATCTAGACCTCTCGTCGGAACCGAAGCGGGCACAGTACATCAACCACATCTTTGCATCTCGCATCTTGTGTATCAAGGCAGATCTACTACGGCGACTAGACGGTCACCCCTCGCGACGACTCTGGAGATCGCCACGCATTCCGCGCAACGGAGTCGACAACCGACAACGACGACGACCTCTCGGATTCACGCGATCAACGCTGCTTCGTCTCCCTGAACGGGATCCCTTACTCCTTTATCAACTGCATCAATAGCTTGCGACTATCACTGCATGACCCAGCTCGTGATCGACAGCCCGCGGCTCGTCGTCGGTTGAAGAGCCCCGGTCTCTGTAGGACGCATAGATATAGATCTGCCAGCTGAAGGACTACCGGGACGAAGGCCTCGTCCTCGCTTAGACATCGATCTGCGCCTTTCTCGATATCGAGACTTCCCTCTCCCTTTCGATCGTTATCGGGCTACTATCCAAAAGAAAGACACAGAGCATAATCAACTTCGATCACGTCCCGGTGACTGAAACCTCTATCAAGGATGAACAACCTTTTCCGGTCGTCCAAATCGTCTTCCAAGAGCCGTCAATCGGTCGAACCCGCCCCGACCGAGCTGGGGAACAGTTCAGTTCCTTACGAACGAATCAGCTCATCAGGGAGTCTACCCGTAGCCACTTCGAGCAACTTTGGAAGTCTGAGCAGACCGGCGAGGAACAGCTCGGCATCCACAAGTTCGGCATCGACTACGACGAGGGTCATCGGAGCGCCTAGTACCAACCCTAACCTGACGGAGAAGGAAAAGGGAGCTATACCTGTAGGGTCTTCTGGGGAAGAGTTGACGATACACGACTATTTTGCGAGGACCGCTGGTGACCGTGCAGAGGTAGCGGGAAGGTTGACGAGGAGTCCGGCCGAGGATGACTTTGGACCGGGAAGCAGTGGTGGAGGAGGGAACAGGTATCAGGTCGGCAGGACCGGGTCGACAGGATCTAGGGTGGCAATCCTCCGGGATGGACCATCTCCTACGCCTTCGATCGCCAACCCGTCTTCGGTTCACCGGCGAAAAGATTCGGACCACTCGACGAGGTCCATTATCAACGAGGAGTTATCCAGGTACCCCGGTGCAGACCGCAATGCCAGTATGAGTTCCCGACATTCCAACCAGACGATGAGGCAAGGACGAGAAGCGTCGTCGGCATCGTCCTCGGGGTCGACCCTGAACGGTCGTGCTGGTGTGTACAACAATGCCGGTGCTCATTCGTCCTCGTCCATAAATCTACCCGAGACTGTTCAGGAGGAATTCACCCTCCGACGACCGGAAGATCCTGCTGAAATTGAACGCATGTTTCAAAACGTCGTCGCCGCCCTCGACTTCGCCGCTACCGATAATAAAAAGTCGATCTCGCCCCATCACCGAAACTCTTCCTCTCCGACTGGCATGTCTACCTACCAGAACGTTCAATCGATGAGTCTGGACAAGAAGTGGATGATCATCGAAAGCGATGCCAGATCTCAATGGGCGTCAACGAAACGGCAGGCCTCAACGCCGCCGAATTTCTACGTTGATCAGATGATGAACAACAAGTTGACAAACCACCAACTGAGAGACCTGGAGATCATGTTGCGGACGTCCAAAGTCAAGTGAGGAGCTATTTTTGAGATCATGGCCTCGCTTGATCTGTCAAGCTAACGTGCTTGTGGTTTGATGCTACGACGATAGAGCTATAGAAAGATGGGTCACCGAGTTCATCGAGCAGTATCAGGGGCTGTATATGCTTACTCAAAAGCTGTCGTCAATACACAAACGGCGAGCCATGTGAGCGTTTCCCGCTCGTGTCCTGCCATACAATACCAAGACTGATCAAATTTGGGTATGCCATAGAAACACATCGGACGCGGAAGAAACGCAAATTGAGTTTCTGACCCTGAAATGCATCTACTCGTTATGCAATCGTGGCTATTCAGTGAGCATGCGTGTTCGAAGCCTGAGCGACTTGCTATTCACCTGCGTCGCCTTCCTGTGGATAAATAGTGCGTCGCAGACAACGCTATCAATAAGCAGGGGATCTTGACCGGCATCATCGGATCGGTACTATCGCCTCACCTCGCTTCAAGAAAATACGCCGTAGACATCTTGACCTACCTCCTCTATTACGAGCCCCCTGACGGCTACGACTCTGTGCTGGGAAGCTTCAACACCTACGAAAAGATCTTGAATCTGCCAAGCAGGGGTATCAATCGGTATGCCACATGGCTCAAGTATTTTGAGATGACCATCAGTAGCCGTGGGGTCATGGGCAGCATGGTAGGTGCAGGACACGAGCTCAGGAGGAGCACCACGAATGGCGAAGCGGTCGATGACACGGCGCTGGCAGAGTACGCAGTAAGTAACAAATACCAAGCTGCAAAGCGAGGCGATTGCACTAATGTTCTTGCTCACCTTTCAGTTAAGTAACCTCTTCCTCATCAACGGTTTACTCACTGTGAGAGCCAAAAACCTTCCGCCTGAAACGACTGGTCTCAACCAGCGGATACATACGCGTATCGAGCTCGTACAAGCAGGAATCGAGACGATCTTTCCTAAGCTTCAAGCCCTGAATAACCGACTTGTCGACCAAGAGATAAAAACCTACAATGAACTTCATGAAGAGGATGTCAAGGAGCAAAAGCAACGCTTGAACAACGATGCCTTGCAAAGCCTTGGTTCAGGACCCGAAATCTTTGAGGGTCTGATGTCCCGGATGAAGGGTTCTCCGGCCGAGACGCATTTCCTCTCCATCCTCCGCCATTTCACCTTGATCGAAAACGAACCAGAACACCGGCAGAAATATTATCAGCTCATCAATCAACTTGTAACTGCCATCACTCTTGATGGCCAGATGGGTACCGATAAGGACTTCACCGCTCAGGCTGGTGTGACGGTCCGGACAATGTTTCTCCGCTTCGAGAGTGAGGCCAATCTTGACGCCGCCATGCTGCAGATTGACGAGCTGGAGAAAAAGGTCGCCCGACTCGAACGCCGCAAGGCCGAACTGGAGGAAGAATTGGCAGAGGCCAATGGCGGGCTAGTTGGCAATCTCAAAGGTCAACTGGCGCAAATGGAAGAACGCCTCCGCGTCTCACGAAACAACGCGAACGGCTTGGAAGAGGACCAGGAGCGAATGAGACTGGAGTCTGTGTCGGCTGCCCAGGAGTTACGTCTGGACGTCTACGAAATGATCGAGATGCTCATCGAAACCGAAAAATTCGACGAAGTCATTAACAAGGTCGGTCGTTATCGCAAGGATAGGGTCGCATTGGTAGCGAAGTACGAAGAGCAACAAGAGCGCGCTCGTACGATTCGTCAGCTTGAAGGCAGAGACCGTAAGATGAAGCGTTCAGAGACGGGATTGTCTGGTTTCGATTCCGATTCAAAGGCGGCCAGCGACGAAGGAGAATTGCTTGATGTGCAAGAGGTCGAAGTTCGACGAGCCGACAAGGTGACGCTTGGTTCTGCCAGGCGCAAAACGTCGTTCGCCGCTGGCATGCCACGCATCACCAAGGTACCCACGCAATCCATGGAGAGGACTTCCGGTTCTCAATTTGTCGATGCAGACGATGATAACGTCAAGGCTCATATAGAAGAGCGCCTCTTGACCGAAGAACAGGTCAGTCGTGACTGACTGTGGTCGAAACATTCAGCCTAATCTCAACTCGCCCTTATTTCTTCATAGTCTCCAATCCGCACTCGTGGCTCTCTACCCCGTAGCGCGCGCAGTCGAAATGTCAACCTGGAAACGCTCACGGCTGGCTCGCCAAGTCAAAGTTTCCTCAGTCCACCTCCGATCGGTCGCAAGTCGAAGGACCGTTACAGTAACAACCTGGCCAAGCATCCTGGGTTCTCCAACGTGTTGGACGAGATGATGCGAAGCCGGTCTATCGTGAGAAGTGCTTCAGCACCTGCCAACATGGAGATGGATGATGAGGAGGAGCAGAGTGTTATTTCCAGCCTTCGTGGCAGCGGCTTTTCATTGGCAGCTTCTGGCACCCCCGCTACGTCAATCTCATCACTGCATTCAAGGAACGGTTCAGAGAAGGATGCTAGTCCAGAAGATCCGCTTTCACGCAAGTCCAAAGCACTTGGATTGTCGTTGGATGCAGGGGGCTCTCCGCTGCCATCCCAGTCGCTATCCACGGTTCGAGAAAACGATCCCGAGGAAGTAGACGCAGACGAAGACGCCCCGCCTCCTCCTCCTCCGCCGCCGCCGCCGCCTATGCCCGCTTTTTTGGGCGGTTCTGGTGTTCCGACGGATGAGGATGCGCCACCACCACCTCCACCGCCTCCACCGCCTCCTCCTCCAGGGCTTGGACTTGGTTCGTTCCCTCCAGCCGCTGGACCAGGGATACCAAGTGGCTTGTTGGCAGGTATCGCGGGTGGCATCAAGCTTCGCAAGGTCGGATCCAGCGACGACGATAGCGTACCTCCCCCAGCTCCTCCCCCTCTTCCGCCATCAGCGCCAAACTTTAGGGGTCTCGGCAAGCGTCCCACTACGAACCCCGTCGCTACGCAGAGCGAACGTCGAAATGACGTCCCGCTTACAGCTACTCGGAAGATGAAGCAGTTGCAGTGGGAAAAGGTCAACAAGTCCAACCTGGAAAAGACCGTTTGGGGTCAAGCTCAACAAATGCCGCAGGAAGAATGGGCGATGAAGCTGAAACGGGTTGATGTATGGTCAGAGATGGAGGACGAGTTCAAAGCAAGAGAGGTTGCATACGACGCCGTCGGTGAGCGCGTTTAGTGCTGATATCGGATACCGTGATATGTATACTGATTTCATAATCCCGCATAGCGAAACGCAAGAAGGAAGAGCTCAAGAGCGTGCTCGAGCCTTCGGTGAGGAAGCACGTTGGTGAGCAATGGCGAGGGTGACACGGATCCCTTTTCACGCGTCTGATCAAGGCCCTGCACCCAGAGATTCTGATGAACAGGACAAAACGCCTGGAACCGGAACAGCTATGCGAAAACATTTTGGCTTTCGACAAGGAGTTGTGCAACCTGACATTCTTGTCCGAATTGAACAATTTGCTGCCGACTCCCGAACAGGTCAGTCGAAATCGCACTGCGACATTCTGTCATGCTGCTCACTCCATCCGATTTTGGCTCCGAATAGGTATCCATGCTGAAGCAACACAGTGCAGAGAGCCCGGAGGAGATGGCACTATTGCATCCTGCAGATCGGCTGATGCTGCGATTGATCAAGATACCTCACCTAGCCGACAGGATCAAGGGAATGCTTTATCAAGTCAGCTTTGATGAAACGGTCACCTTGCTGGAAAAGGTGTGTACCAAGCCGGGTTTTGGTCGCTCTTGTCTTTGCTGATAAAGCCGTGCTACTGCTTGGATAACAGGGTATCGTACTGCTTCAGGACGCTTGTCATGATCTGAAACATGCCGTACAGTTCAAAGCCCTCCTCAATGTCATCTTGATGATGGGAAATTACATGAACGGGTCCAACTACGGAGGAGGAGCCTATGGATTCAAGATTGCAAGCATCAACAGGGCAAGTCAGGATACATTACTGCGACGGAGATCATGATCTAATCTTGCCTGTTAAATATAGTTGGTCGATACAAAGTCGTCAAATGGTCAAAACCTCTTGCACTTCTTGGAAAAGACCATCTCGACCCAGTTCCCGGAGATGCAGAACTTCCGCAAAGAGCTCGAAAAGCCGGCTGAAGCCTACAGAGGTAAGACGGCGAACCTCTGCGTTGTGCCCATCTGGCAAACCTGACACGATGGCTGCTTGCAGTGAGCTTGGAGGAGATCTCGTCCGGAGCTCGGGATCTCCACACCGGCTTGGAGAAGATTCGTCGCGACCTAGAGAGCCGTTTCTTGGACGTCACTGACGGCTACTCGAAGAGGATGTTCCCCTTTAGCGCAACCGCCGAGGGTCGTGTAGAAGCACTGCGAGATCAAGTGCAGGCCGGAATACGGGCATTCAACGAGGTCAAGATGTACTATGGAGAAGGGGACGAGAAGTACAACGCCGCGACTAACCCGCTGGCACTGGGCCGACCTGGCTCCCTAGAGTTCTTTGGCGTCTTCAAGACGTTTTTGACCTCGTATGACGTGAGTGGGCGCATCTTGAGCGTTCTCAGAAATTCATCATGGCTGACACTATCTGGCTGTGTTCTTCCGGCTGTACAGCTATGTCGATCGCAAAACAAAGCGAGAGATGACGCCAAGGCGGCTCTGGACAGACGACGACTAGCCGAGCGAAACCGCGCCGCTGCCATGACCCCACAAACGACTGGGGCAAGCAGCCACACCGAAGTCGGCGCCATGGACGAGCTGCATGCCAGGCTCCGTATGCAGGGTACGCCCCGAACTAAACGTTCCGATAGACGTCGAGCTCGGGAACTCCCATCTACCCCATCTCTGGACAAATTCGATATGGCAGCCTTTGCGATAGATGATATCGTGGACGACGATGCGACCGGATTGAATCTTGCCGATATGGCTGCCAAGATGCTCAATCAGCTTGAGGACGCCTCGCCAACGCCCACCCCGCGACATTTGAAAGCGCCCGAGGCCATACAAGAAGAAACTGAACCGAAAATCGACGTTACGATCACGGAGCCAAGCGAGACCAACGCGCCGGTCGACAGTCCACTCGAGACGCCGTCGACACCCGAAAATCGACCCGATCCTGCATCCTTGATCACCCCGCCAAACAGAGGGACATCGGACTATCCGATGGGCTTGGGTATACAGGCCCCCGACACCGAAACAACGTTTCCCTCAACTCTCGATACCGCACGTAATGAACCGCCTCCAGCAGCATAGAGACGAGAACTCCTTTGATCTTCGCCCCATAATCATGAAACAAGACGACACCCGCATGAACGCTTTTAACGTTAATGATCAATAATGACCTCGAGCGATAATGTACCTGGCGGAGCAAATGTAGCTGGACATACATTGCATTCGAAATATCCATCTGGTTCATCTGACGATCTGCCATCCCACAGACGCGTGACCAGAGCTACCGAGGTCTTGCGTGGTCCGCAGTGAATCTGTGCGCTCAAACCGGCGTAAAAGACCGGTGGGAAGGGGTATCAGATCGAGGCTCGTTGCCGCTATGGATCATGTGGCCTACTGCATCGTCGCGTAGCTGATGCAAAGGCTTGGCGATGACTTGCACATCAATTGCATGTCTTGACCGGAGTTACAGATACCCCTTAGATCCGGAATTTTGGTGCATGCTCGTATGAAGCAGCGAGTCACACGTAGCAAGTAGCAAGTTTCAAATCTCTGAGGACAGCGCAGATACGTAAATGTGGTGACTTTGAAAGATAACACAAGACGACCAGTCTATCTCGCCCTTGGATCGGCATGGCGGCTATGCACGTGCAAGCAGCTTTTGCAGATACTATCATGTCGGTCGCCAATATTACACGATCAAGGGAGAGGATAACTACCTCTTACCGGGTGAATCGATCAAGGCTCTCTAGCCAGCACCGGGCTATGCTTCTCGGTCGCAGCCGGGACGACGCAAGGGTGGAAAGGATGCAGGTTTCCGGAAGACTGCAGTGTCTTTCAGCATGTGTGACCCCGAGATTTGCGTCGTCATGGGGAACATATAGAATACATTGTGACAACCGTCTACCCGCTCGTGCTGCTCATCAATCTGCGTCCTGACCGTAAAAGAAGTCGACCATCGGCCGGACTCGCAATAATAGCGCGTTGAAGACCGGACTCGTCGTGTTCTACCAAGCGGTTGTAGCCACATCAGCCACAAACCCCAATCATATTAGGAAACAGAACGCTCAGACTCACCACCCTATTGACATCGCCCCCTACTGCCAGATAACTCTCTTCGTCCTCGACCCAACCTCTAGAATGCGCCCATATCGAACGACGCCGTTCCTGACTCTCTGCTTCAGTCTCTTTTGTCCGTTCGGTCAACCAGGACGGGCATTGCGACGGTTTCCAATGCGACTCCAACTCGCGCACTTTTGACGGAAGGTGTCGGACCAAGTGTTGAGCCGAGGATAGACCCGAGAGGTTGTTGGCGGTGTGATACAAGTCTGGGGATCTGGGAGATGCCATCCAACAGAGAAGTTGTCAGACGATTTTCCCGATCGTAGCAACGTATCGCGAGAATCCTTGGACTCACTTTCCAGGCTTGTCCCTCAATCCGCCCTTGTCGCTCTGAGCGGCGATCAAGATGTACTCTTGTAGTGCCGTCCGGTTGAACAACATGTCCCTGCCTTGTACCTCTTCCCATTCACCCCCATCTCCGAGCACATAGTCTCCCTTGGTCTTCCCTTCGTCCTTGTCGCCGTCCTGGATCTGCGTTCCGCTTGTGAATGTCCCCGTCGCAGTGACGTCCGGCTCGGCGACGACGGCTTCTTCGGCCTCTTCTTCCCCCTGGACTACGCTGTCCAGCACGGCAAATAGCCCTCCGACCCACCATCCATAACACCCATCGACGAGCTTGTTCGTTCTCCCCCTAAACCCACCTCCCTCGACGGCGTAACTCTGTTGCATGACCCCCCATCGGAGCACGGCATCGATGTCGATGGACGAAGCTTGTCGTTCTTGCACTTTCTCGTTCCTGCGTAGCAGGGGTTGGAGGAGGAACCAGGAAAAGACGGCACAGGATGTGTATCCACCGTGAGCTTCGGCCGAGGCTGGGCAGACGGACGGGTTTGAAGAGGGGAACGAAGCCGAGGCGAATCCTCCTTCGTACGTTTGACAGCTGCCGAGGCGGCGCAAGTTCAGCAGTTTGAGCGGTGGGAACGTCGCTTCGAGCATGAGGGTCGAAAGCTCACTTTTTCAGGAACGTGGCGGTACCCTCGACGAGTTCTGGGGTGAGCATGTCAAGTAGAGTCGCGCAGACGAGCAGACAATAGATCCCCCTGAGCCGGTACATCGTTATTACGATCAGCTTGCCGCAAATCGCAGGTCACCTGCATCATCACAATAAAGAGGGTAGACTCACCTCACGTCCACTTCTCCGCCCTCACAGACGACGAACCCTCCGTCGGGCTGCTTGCACCGCATGAAAAACTCGTACATTCCCTTCCTATCGAGTCTCGCCCAAGCCGCTCTGCCCATCTCGCTCGTCCCTCCACCCTTTTTCGAATGATCGCCACACAAGATGGCCAGGGTCATCACGCTCGCATACGTCGGCAACAAGTGCGGCTGGTGACCCGGAGGAGGCCCACCACAGAACCCGCCTGTAGGGTGTTGAAACGAAAAGACCGTCTCGATCGCCCGTCGTTTCATCTCCTCGTCCAAGCCTATCCCCAAGAGGTCGAACCCGTGTAGTGACCAATACGTCAACCAAGGGCGGGATGCGTCGAGGGAGATGTAGGCCGAGGGCAGGGAGAGGAGGTGTCGGCCGAGAAAGGAAGCATGGGCGGATCGGTTGAGCGTCTTGGGCGGACTCGGAGGTGTTGTCGCCATGGTTGCCGTGATCTTTTGCTCGGTCTCGGCCTGCGGCATAGTGTAGAGGAGAAGGGCTGAAGGTTAGCGTGCGATCTCACAATCAGCTGGAAAGTTACATGCCGACGGGCGATGCTCCGAATCGGACGCATCGAATCGCTCACCTGCGACCTCGACGTCTCGGTGTGTACTCCATCGTCAGGGTAAGACATCATTTCTTGTTTCCAGATCGATGTCATGCGTGTCGTGGCGTAGATGCGGAGATCGTGGTGATGGTCTGAAAAGGAGCAGTGTTGCCTGCTTATATATACTTAGTACGTTACTACAACATCCCTCGTACTCGTCGAATCGGTCGAACAATCAAGAAGAGGGAAACCTCGGAACAAAAGACAAAGCGAGTGCACAGTGCACGGGCGGCGGTCACCTCCGAGGTCCCTGATCCCCCCCGGATGTAAATCGGCGATGACTACGGCATAATAACGTTATCGGAAGTAAATACTGCCTCTCCCCCATCTCGAAGCGCAACGCGCTTGCTTGCCGTGGGCTGCTAGCAGGGTGGGTGAAGGTGAAAGAGGTACATCGACAACCTTGTACATCAGCATACCAATTCCTCCAGCGTCATCCACCCAAGCTCAATCAGACATCATGGCAGCCAAAGCTAAAGCGAGGTGAGTCCCGGCCTGCCTTCCCCGTTATTTCGGCGTCCGCTGGCCCCGTGCTCGACCGCTCGACCTCTAGCTAATCGCGACGTCCATCCGTAAACCTACCGCAGGACCGTCCTCGTCAAGCTCGTCTCGAGCGCATTGACGGGCTACTTTTACACGACGACGAGGACCAGGTTGGCCGACAAGTTGGCTTTCAGAAAGTACGACCCGATCGGTGAGTCTCGAATTTAGACCTTCGACTTTCGGAAGCGGGAAGGGAGGTACACGGGCTGATCACATCGTTCTTGTTCTATCATCTCTTTATCGCTGTGATATAGTTCGCCGGCACGTCCTCTTTACCGAACAGAAGATGAAGTAGACTCCCCTTCAAAACTCTGGGAAAGGCGGACCTGATCGCTCAGGCGTCCCATACAAGCCCAAAGGTGGAACCCACCACTGCTGTTCGTATCACCGCAACTTCCTGGACTCCGTCTCTCGCTCCGGGTCGGTCATGAACTACACTCGGCGCACATCCGGGATCTCCATTCGGCCGCTCCTCAAACCCAAATCCAGACTCGAAACATACATACACCTTGACGCCCGAATGGGATGCGAGACGCCTCGATCTAGACTCGGACGGATTTCGATCTCTGCATTGTCAAACGAAAAAGAATAGAAAACAAAACAGTATAAAAATGCCTCATACCATAGCCTACTGGTCACTCGGCGACCGGTGTACCTTACAAGACCTGTTCGGATCCGACCCGTGACATTTCGGTATCGATCGATTCGCTTTCCCGGGTTTCCCGCAATCCATAAATACCCTTGACTCCAGCTCAAGGCGGAAGGCTCCGCTTGCGTCCTAGTCGTCTAACGAGTGATCGTCAAGGCGCACTCCAATGCACCGTCACTATTGGTCTATCCCGAGCGATTTTGGCTCGGCCGACTCTCCAGCCTCTCGTTATATGCCAGAATCCGTCCTTGATCCGATTCATTCTAGGGATACATGTGACCGTCGATGACAACCCCCTGCTCTATCCTCGCGAACCTCTTCTTCCGTTCCAACCGATTATGCGAGGCTATCTATGCCTTGTTCTTCTGCTGAGCTTGGTATCGGTTGTACACTGGGCGCACGCGAAACGATATCAACGTCGGGTTCAACGGGCTGTAAGCAGAAAACGATAGATGATAGGCGGCTTACGGTCGTCGTTTACACCCTTCCTGTTCCTTGCGATCTACAGAACGATCACATTCGCGTCAGGTAACATCAGTATCAGTTCCCATCCCCCCAAATGGGCAGGTCAAAAACTCACCTCGATGGCATAAAACTGTACTCGGGTGACCAAGATTGAGTTGTCCTCGTCGTACTCTCGCTTGGCATCCCCACGGAGGATCGTACCAAAGTTGTAATCCGGGACGAGCTTCTCGTACTATCATGGTTTCAGGAAAAGGTTACGGAAAGGTAGGTCGCTGTCAGCACTTTGTCACGGGCAGAGCCGTATCGCAGCAAGAGACCAGAGCGATCAAAGAATACGGAGGACAGTAGGTATTCACCTTCATGATAAAGTTCCTCCATCGTTCCTTCCCCTGGGGGCTCTTCATCTCGTTCTCGTTCAGCTTGGTCAACGCCTCGACGCTATCCAGCTCGGGGAAAGTCTGCTGAAAGTCTTCCATGATTGCGTCGTCCATCCTGCAAGCGAATGATGAAAAGAGGAATCCGAGAATCGTGAGTCGATCTGTGAACGTGTATGGTTATGGTCGGACTGACTTGGTAAGCTTCAAACTTGAGGGAGGGATGTTGAGGATCACTCGTTGGTAAGTCTAGACTCGCGAAACACACTCGACAAAATGAGTGATTATGAGTGCAACAACATGACACCACAACGCACCTCGAGATGTTCCACAGTCTTGACGGCAAACTGCTGCTCGATCTCTCCCATGTTCCCCAGATCATTCGGGTTGATTCCTCCGACAGACATTTTGAGCGATGCGGTTGTATAAGTCTGCGAGACGATCGAAGGCGATCAGCCCACTGAAGCCTTGTCTGCAAACAGCTTTCTAGCCTTACTGTTGGTTTTGTGAGAGGTCGTCAACTATCTTGCAGATTCTAGGAGCTAGAATGGCAGCGATGGCGAGAAAGAAAGTGGAGAGTGTGACGAATCTCTAGAAGCTAGAAATCTCAGCAAGCATATGCTTGAAAACGGGAACATTTCGTCGCTTTGATCGCTTGAATACACGTCGCCTCCACCTTCGCACCTTCAGGCGTTTCATCGCGAATCGTCGATCTCCAATCAGACCAAGTTGCAGATTCGATCAGCTGTATGAGCAAGGGGCAAGAGGTTTCCTGTAAGGATCCCGGCCGACGAACGTCGTGAGCAGGTGCTAATCTTCCTTGATTTTTCGTCGATCTTGCAATTATCACTCTTGAATTGCAAACCATTGTGGGGATAGGTGAGCGTCAAGCGCACGACGAGAGCGAAACCCATATAAAGCCCTCATAAGGACGACGGCCTTCTCCGCCAGCATAAGGCTAGACATTCAACATCCGATGTTATATCTGTCGGCCCGGATCATTGGGACGATCTTGTTCAAGCGGAACCGGGTGAGCCTTCAGGACTTCTGCTAGGTAATCCAAAAACTCCCAACTGACTCGGTCAACTTTAATGTCATGAGTCTGGAATTGTCTACATACATTGCGGTCCTGCGAGATCCCGGAGCAACCGAGATACGCCAACAATGAATTATCTAACCTTTTACTTGTGTCGATGTATGATCTTCGACGGTACGAAGTATGTAAGTTGTGAATCTTGAGGAAGTCCAAAGACAGTTTAGCCTCGATATCTGTTTTCGAGAGAATTGCACTTGAATCCAAACTTCATCACGATGTTCTCAGATTGGAAGACGGCGGCAGGATCGTCATTGTAACGATAGAGGCTTAGGTACACGGTATGGTGCGCATCCTGCTACCGCGGCGTTTTGGGACCATTGCAGTGGATACAGTGTATATACCAGTGACATGCCATCCATGGGATCTCGCCATATCGGCCCTGCTCAAGAACCAATTCAAATCGATGGTCCTCGCTCTCATTTGCCTCCTTCGATGTCGAAGACGACCTTGCGCTAATGGCAACAACTACAGGGTGCCCTTGTTCGTTTGGCGTTTGGACTCATTCTGCGACCCTTGAAAGACTGGCATGTCCGCAAATTTCCTGAGAGTAGCTCTGTTTCTTGTCCAATCTGTCTCGATGCCCTTCCGCATGTTGATTCGATTATTAGCTACTTAGTATAGCCGGGGCTACAATGTGATCGCTTTCATGATGCCATTTTAAACTCCATGCATACTCAAAGCCGAAAGAGTCAGAACCCAAATACAACAACCTCATTTGATTTCACCTCACCAACCCCCTTTCCTCCGCTCTCCTTTAGTTTGCTGTAACGGACATTCTTCTAAACGATGCTTCCACCGATCCCAATCTTGGCCGCCAACGCCCGATACTGGACCGCCGCGAGCTTGTTGGCTCGAAGCATGAGAATGAAGAGGGAGACGATGAGGAAGAGGGTGTTTGTCGTCTAAGCATCCGCAGGGTATAGGAAAGCAGAGAGGATGAGGTAGGGCGAAGTGAGTAGCTTGCATGTCAGACATGTATGGCCAGTGTCATTGGTTTCGACCAAGAGGGGAAGGCGAATAAGAAGACTCACGACAAATTCTCCATACCCAGCTCTTTCCAGCGCGACGACCTTTCCACAACTCTCCCAAGCCGGGATCTCCCCTCCTTTCCCGGCGACGTCCACTTTGCCCTCTTGGTTTCCGATCCCGATCACGTGCGGAGCATTTTCCGTGATGGTTTCATTGATATGGTGGTTACCCGTCTCATCGGTAGAAGCGGAATTGAGATCGGGATGTGAAGGGTTGGAGGCGAGGTGTGAATGCGGGATACAGTGCACGAGTCGGCGGTTCCCGTATGGATGACAATAAGGACGATGGAGCTGTAATGTCCAAAATACAAGGCGGGAAGCAAGATGGGACGGTCAGCTTGGTGATCTCTCCCTGTGCCAGGACGTCAAGATGACCCCGAGCTAAACTCACCTCATCTTGCGGGCAAGGCTCGCACTCTCCAAAAGGCCTGCAGACTAGATCTCCCGTCGTGGCGTGCGATTCGTATCGGTGTTTCGACGCATTCGGTTGGGTTGACGAAGAGGAAGAGGAGGAGGCAGATACGACCTCTGCTGATATTGGAACGGGAAAAAGTGACAGGGAGAGTGATCCTAGTGTTACTAGGCTGTAAATGAGAGAGTGACGAGGTCGGTTAGCCATGGACGTCAATAGTTGAAGGAGACGATAGGCGCACCTCGAGAGCCTGTACAACAGCATGACCGGAGATACAACCTATGATTTGATTTGCAGAGGTCCAAGCGAGCTACAACCTGCCTGTGCCCGTTCTGAATCATCGATCGAGCTTAGAGATCTTGGTCAAGGGCGCTGGCTATGCTAATGACGACGACGTAATAACGCATACTGCGTGTGTCACTTCGATGCGATATCAAGTCGATACTAAGGCTCTGACACGTAACGGTCTCTACAGCCAGCCAGCCATCAGCATCATCGACATGCGACATCGTCTGTCTACACAACAAGGCAGTTGCGGCATGTACTCGCACCACAACATATACTCCCTCCTTCGAGTATAACAAGATCAGGACAGTGGCTCTTGTGAAACGAAACAAGAGCTTACGTACAACCGCTTGAAGCTCGGAGGACAGAACGGCGTGTAATCTTCACGCCAATCGCATACCAAAGGGCTCCGAGTCCGAGAACGGAATCTCCCCCTTGACGAGCCACGTCGACTCAGCAACTGCAACCAAAGCGTTTTCATAATCGAGATCGGCTACAAGTAAACGAATACAACACGACACAATCCACGTACATACCTGAACGACACGATAACATGACGGTACAGACCCTGAACCGCACAGCGACATTCGCATGGGGTACCTCGGCCGACTCCCTCCCCTTGATCGCGACGGGAACCGTTTCGGGAGCGCTCGATGAGACTTTCAGCAATGTCGGTCAGCTCGAGATTTGGCAACCCGAGTTTTTCGGTGGAGCCGGATCGCAGGGATCTACCGATGAGGGGTTGTTCTTGGGCGGAGAGGGTCAGCCGGGGCCCAAGGGAAGCATCAGCACGAACGCCAGGTAGGTTACCACTGTTCGTATATCTTACGTCTCCGGTTTTAAAACTGATGGCTCCCGACTCTTATGTTTGTGTCCTCGACCCGATGTAACAGGTTCAACCGGCTCGCATGGTCAAACCCATCCTCGAAACACTCTCGAGGCCTTCTCGCTTCCGGTATGGAAACGGGTGAAGTCTCGGTTTGGGATGCCGACAAGATCCTCAATGGAGCTGGGTGAGCGGTTCCCGAGTCCTTTTGTTCAGGAGGTTCGTCCTGATGACAATCCCGATGATGGAATCTGTTGGTAACATACAGCGCTTCAGAGGCCTTGGTGTTCAAGAACGAGGTTCATACGGGACCTGTCAGGGGGTTGGATTTCAACCCTAAGCAACAAAACCTGTTGGCAAGCGGAGCCATCAACGCTGAGGTAAGTCCGGCTCAATGAACTGGAAGCTCGATCACTAGAACGGAGTCCCTGATGATCGTGTCATCCCCTTCATTCCGCTCGTCGCAGCTTCAAGTCTTCGATCTGACCAACCCTGACAAGACTCACTCGACCGGTCCCAAATCCACCAAGCTCGACGAGATCACCAGCGTCCAATGGAACCCTTCCGTTGCTCACATCCTCGCTGCTTCGTCCTCTTCGGGATACACGTCAGTCTGGGATTTGAGGCAGAAGAGGGAGGTCTTGTCCCTGGCATATGGGGGTGGGGCTGCAACCGGAATGCAAGGAGCCGGGAGGAATATGGGTGGATTCGGGAACATGCAGGTGGGGAACAAGAGGGGGATGAGTTCGGTCGTTTGGCATCCGAACAACGTGAGTCTGGCCAAACGTTCTGACGAGCTCATTAGCTTGTGTTCGGACGCTGTGCTGAGTAATGAGATTTTTGGTGGTCATAGCCTACTCGATTGATCACTGCTTCGGAAGACGACACCTCGCCTATTGTTATGGTCTGGGACTTGCGAAACTCGCTCGCTCCCGAAAAGGCGAGTCGGAGCCAGAGTCGTCGCCTCTTCTCTCTCTCCTATGGCTCGTGTGCTGATCCAGGTTCCTCTACCGCCGCAACAGATCTTGAGCGGCCACGACAAGGGAATCTTGTCCCTATCGTGGTGTGCACAAGACAGCGACCTTTTGTTGTCTTGTGGCAAGGACAACCGAACCATCTGCTGGAACCCTCAATCATGCGAGATTGTCGGTGAACTCCCTAGCAGCGACAACTGGTCGTTCCAGACGGCCTGGTGTCCCCGCAACCCGGACCTCATCGCTACGGCCTCGTTTGACGGCAAGATTGGGATCCACTCGTTGCAGAACACGCACGAGAACCACAATGAAGCGGGTCGATCGGCCAACAAGACCAACGCATCCAATAACCCGGACGACATTTTTGGCAGCCAGCCCGGTGAAGAGAGCTCGAGCGCGACTGCGCTCTCGCTCAAACAGCCTCCCAAGTGGTTGCGACCCCCCGTCAGCGTAGCGTTTGGCTTCGGAGGTCAGCTCGCCTCAGTCAATGGTGGAGTCGTCTCGCTTCAATCCGTGGTCACCGAGCAGGACGTTATCGAACGAGCCAAAATGCTCGCCGGCGCGATCGATTCTCAAGAAGAGCTTGGATCGTTTTGTGAAGATATGGCCAAAAAGGAAGGAGGTGACGCGTCGGCTGTGGCTGGTTGGAAGGCTCTCAAGAGCTTGTTTACGACCAACTCGAGGGACGAGCTCGTCACTTTGCTCGGCTTCTCCAAAGGAGAGATCGCACATCAGGTTAGCGAGGCGATCAAAAAGTTCAAGCTCACGATCAAGACTGAAGGCGAGGACGAAAGCGAGGTGAAGACGCCCAAAGAGGGTGCCGTAACGTTTGCCGAACCTGGCGAGATGGAAGAGACGGCTGACGGTGCTTCGACCCCCAAGGCTGAATCGGAAGCCGACGGCAAAGGCATCTCAACTCCGTCCGAGGTCAGCGCGACTACGGACGCTACAAAGAAGACGGAGGCGGAGACCGAGATGACCGAGCACAGCTTGTTCGACGAGGACAACAGGATCGGGACGCCTCAATTCGATACCGGAGCGGGTGCCAACTTCTTCAGCTCCATAGGACAACTGAGGAACGCCTTGCCTGACCATATGCAGGTTCCTCATCAGGCTTATGCCAAGGACTCTTCGGTCGCGGCTACCATCGGCTCGCGAGCTTCGTCGGTCGCTTCCGAGACCATGAAGTCGAATACGTTCAAGATCTACCCTTCAAACGAGTCCGAGGTCGATCGTCTGATCACTCGGGCGCTTGTCGTCGGGGACTTCGAATCCGCCGTCACTCTGTGCTTGTCTGTGGACCGATTCGCAGACGCGCTAGTGCTCGCCGTTCGAGGCGGTCCCGATCTCTTGGCCAAGACCCAGCAGGCCTACTTTGAGAAGCGCACCACAGCTCTTCCTTACCTTCGACTGTTCCAGTCGATCGTCTCGGAAGACTTGTCTGACGTTGTGCAAAACGCAGATTTGACCGAATGGCAGGAAGTCTTCGTCGTCCTGTGCACCTTTGCCCGAGCCGACGAATTCAACGGGTTGACTGAACAGCTCGGTCAACGTATCGAATTCCAGTCCCGTATGGTCAATGGGTCCAATGATCAGGCAAACTCCGATAGGGCTAAGGAGCTTCGAAAGAATGCCTTGCTTTGTTACCTTGCCGCTGGACGATTGGAGAAGGCGGTCAACATCTGGGTCGAGGAGATGAGAGAGGACGAGGACACCGCCGTGAATGGCGCCGGATCTGATGGCGCCAAGGCTTCGAGATATACCGCACATGCTCAGGCCTTGCAGACCTTCATGGAGAAGGTTGCTGTTTTCCGAAGCGCGACCAACTATGTCGATCGAGATCTCGCGCAGCCCACTCAAGCTGTTTCGGCTGCCGAGAGCGGTGCTAGGACGTACTCTCTTGCCGCCCTCTACGACCGATACTACGAATACGCCGATCTCTTGGCCACTCAAGGGCAGACTCAGCTGGCCGTCAAATACGTGCAACAGACTCCGGCTGGATACAAGGGAAGCAAGGGAGACGAAGCTGGACCAACGAGCGTCCGTGCACGTTACATGCTTGGTGCTGGTCTCGCGGAGCAGAAACCCGCTCAGGCATCTACATCGGCTTTCGTTCCTACTCCTGCGCAAAAGCCGCCGGCGCCTCCGAATCCGGCTTTCGGGATTCAGCAACCGTTTGCTCCTGTGCAAGAGATCCAGCAACCTCCCTTATCCGCCGCGCCATCAGCCTATAGCCCTTACGTACCTGCTCAGCCTAGTCAGCCGGCTCAGACCGGTCCCTCATCCTCGACGAACCCTTATGCCCCGTCGAACCCTTACGGCGCATCCAACTCTCCTCACGGTCCCGGTCCATCCACGTACACCCCTGCGACCAACAATTATGGCCAATACGGTGGACAACAACCACGAGCGCCAGCTGGTCCTGTTGCACCGCCTCCAATGGCTCGACCCAGGCAGAACGACTCGCCAGGACCTGTCCCTGCTGCACAGCGACGGGACATTCCAGGATGGAACGACGCTCCTTCGATGCAACCCAAGAGGACAGGAAGTGCACCCGGCAAGCCCCAGCCTATCATGTCGCCCTTCCCTGAAGGTCAATCGCCGATCGTACCCGCGCAATCGCCTATGGGGTATCAACAGCCAAACCAGCAGCCCGGGCAATTCGCGCCTCCCCCCCAAAGGGGACAGGGAGCAGCTATTCCACCTCCTCCACGAGGCGCCCAGCCTCCTCGACCCGCTTCGGCTCAACCACCGCCACCACCGCCCGCAGCAAATCAAGCGCAATACACTCAAGCCAAGCCGATGAGTCCACCCATGCGAGCTGGTCCGCCGCCGGGTGCCATTGCTGGACCGCCGCCGGCCCGAGCCATGTCCCCGTTGGTGCCACCTCAGCACAGGGTCATGTCGCCGCCTGCCCCTCAGCAGCAGCAATACATGCAACCCCCTGCGCCCCAGGCTCAGACTCCTTCGCAAGGGCCATACCAACCTCCACCTGGAGCACGAGCAGGTCCACCTCCTCCTGGACGGGCACCATCGCAGATGGGCAACGCGTCGTCTTCTCGTCCAGCTTCGGTTGCACCCCCGACCAAAGCTGCACCCAAATATCGTAAGTTTGAGGTGTACGAAATCGCCTAATTGGCTCTGGCCTAATTCGGTTTACTCCAATAGCCCCGGGAGATCGATCGCACATCCCTGCAGGATCACAGCCAATCTTCCAGTCCTTTTCTGACGAGCTGAGCCGATTGACGCATGTTGTACCGGTAAGCGAGCGATCGCATCCTTACATCAAGTCTTGTCTTGACCGTGTTCTCATTCGAGTTGCAGCCTCAACAACGGAAGAACTTGGATGACACGCAGCGAAGGTTGAACGTGCTCTTTGACGAGCTGAACTGTGAGACTGTACCAGGGCCTGTTGTCGCTCAGCTCAACGAGATGGTCAAAGGTAAGTGGACGAGATCTGCTTTGTTGCTCGTTTCATCTGCTAAATGCTATACTATTTTGTGACAGCCATCGCTGCTCGAGACGCACAAGCAGCTTTGGCAATGCACGTAGATATGGTAAGCAAATCGTTGCGATCACGTCGCCGAGATAACAGTCCAACGCTGACCGGACCCCCTGCTTTACAGTTGACCCGCGGACCAAAATCAGAGGGGATGACTGGCTGGATGGTGAGTTCACCTCGCGTACTTGAGCTTCGAAATGGCCACTGACATTTCGCTGCTTCATTTGAATAGATCGGTATCAAACAATTGATACGCCTTGGCATGTAGTTTTTACTGTCTTTTTGAGTTTCGAATCGTTGAATATACATGACACGTGGCTCCGTGGATACAACCTGGGTTTTGTGTCGCCGACTATCGAATCAACGCAGCAAGGCGATTCTCGACGTCGGCCGGTGACGATTTCGAATCTGCGCGATGTGCAAAATTTTATTCAGCGAAACCTCTATTGCCTCGCAAAGTCTGAACGACTCACACTTCTCGGCATGCTTTTTCGCCATGTAGCTCTGGAAAGCTGGCACCACCAGATTCCGCACGTCGGCATGCAACCGTTCCCGTAAGTTGGGGTCCTGCCGTGACAGCGTGTGCTGCCTCGAAAGCACTTCAAGCTCGTCGAGTCGGTTAAAAAAGTTTGCCAAGCTGTCCTTTACCGCTTGCTTATCGCCCCCAACTCCAACAACTCCAAACCTTCCGCTCGAAGTGGGTTCCGCCAGAAGGCCCACGAGTTCTCGCCACGCATCCAGGTACCTCGCCTTGGCGTCCCGGTAAGCCGAATTGAGTATATCCTCAGCAGTCGAGCCCATAATGTCGTTGGCTGCCGACTGGTTGGACAAGATCAAGTTGTTCCGCATATAGCTGAGGTTATTGAGCATGTAGATCGAGGAGACGGGTTTGCGCATTGATCTCGATCGGTTATCGAGCGAAGATATGAGCGCCGACAAGAGATCCGCGATAAAGTGTTGGAGGATCCCATCTTCGCCCCCTGAGCGAGGTTGTTGACCGGTCTGCGCGCCCATGAGCCAGTTGCGATCTCCAAGGGAAGTGAGCAGGTCGGTCACCGTAGCTTCGTAAGACGACAGGTTTTCCAGATAGGTGACCGTCTATATAACAGCACTTTGTCCTCGGTCAAAAGAACCGGTTTCGGCGATGCGCGTTCGAGTCGACTCACGGTATAAGTGATATCAGCGACCGACGACGTCCCCACGTCCCTCGTCCCTGCAGCCGCCGGCGTCCTGACGTCGACCAGAATCTCAGGGAAACTCCTCAAACAAGCTCCTCTCATCGCCGCTGCCGCTTCCGCCACCGTCTTTTCCATATCCTGATCGCCGAGCAACTGCCTTACCGACTCTTCCCACTGCACTTGGAGCCCATTTAGCGTCTGATACAGTTCAAGAGCGTAGAAGGTATTGGCGTTCAATGATCGTTTAATGGTATTTGTCTGGGTCGTCAACAAGTCGTTGAGCGTCTTGATGGGGGATTTGAAGATTGTCAGGAGAGCTGACGTGGTAGCGGGAGGAAAGAGGTGGTTGATCAAATCGTACTCCGTCTGTTCGACGAACCCAGAGCATTCGCTAAGCGCAGTATCCAACCGGGATGCACGGTTTCTTTGACATGCTTACCTGCATCAAGATCCTCAGACCTTCAGCAACTCTGGCAATGATCCTGCACTTTTCTCTTCGCCCTTCCTCCTCTCGTCCCGGTGACATAGGACCTTCGGTCAACTGATCGAACTCGCGGACGACCGGGTTGATGCATCTTGTCACGATATAATCCCTTCGGCTGGTCAAGTACCCTTCTTTTGCCGATGTCATCGCCGAATGGGTTGAAGGCGAACAAGAATGAGAAGAGGATTTCGGCAGTGAAGAGAGGTAGGTGTAGACTCTTGTTATGAGAGGAAGGGTGGGAATGGCGTTGGCCGGCGTCGATGGTCCTGTTTATGAGACGGGAGCATACCTTAATTAGTGGGATATCATTTTGTACGCCACAACCTTCGTCACTGACCACTCCGAACGATACCTTCCATATCTGGGCTCTGTTCTGTCGCTTCCCTACAGATCTTGAGCATCAGACTGACCAAGTTCCTCGTCGCCAGGTCGACGAGTTTGCTCTGGAGCGTGTCCCGTTTCCTAACGTTAGCCATACAACGCTGATGGGATGGTGCTAAGCAGGGTGTCCAACTTACAAAGTCCCGGATGTGCGCTTCCGAGCTTCTCAAGTCATTCTTGCTCAATCTGTCGATCTCCTTGAGTATCCGATTGACAGCCCCGGTGTATTCGTCGAACTGGGAGTAAGCCGGTCTATCATGCAATGCCGAAAGGAAGCTGTCAGTGACAACCAGCTTAGCCAATCGAAAAGCAGAGGCACTTGCACTTGTGAGATGATCTTTTCCTCGTGCTTCCCCACGGCAAATTCGCTCTTGATGATCTCGGTCCGGACATTTTCACCGCTCAAGATGGCCAGGGCGATGTCGATATCTGGGTCGAGACGAAATTCATCAGTCAGTGCGACGCGTTCCGTTAACATCTGTTGAAATGGGACTGACTGGAGGCTTCTCGTGTGAGATTTTGAATACCGAACGGAGCTACCGTCTTGTCAAGCCTCGAAAGCCGGGTATCCAGCTGTGAAAGCAGACCTACAATATGTTGACCGAGTAAGTGAATCGTGCATCGCTCATCCCCGATGCCAGAGACTTGCCTGTCATCCGACTTGCCAGCTGATTGGTCTGCTGGAGACGTTGCTCTAGCAAAGCGAGCTCGGCTTCTTCTTCCATGATTCCTATACCGTACGAGAGTTCAAGCTAACCTTATGAAGATCCAGGCGAACGGAGCAAGCAGTACGAGGATGAGATGAATATGAGATGTAAGTGATCTCTGCTGCTGATCGCTCGCTCTTCGGAAGTAAATTTCGGATTCAAATCTGGAAATTCGTCGTTGAAAGCCGAAGCAACATGCAGCTACTCAACCTTTGAGTTACACATGTGCAACTTGGATCTGCTCAAGATCGTCGTGCAAGATCCTCCATTGAATCTCAGCATCTAAACGTATCATCCGGAAGCGCACAGCTGTATTGCCGCGGCCGGGACAAGAGGAATACTGCCAGACGTTTTCGAGGGAAACTTCGGCGAAAGTTCGTGATCGTTGAAAGAAAGATGTTTATCCTATCTCGAATACAAGCGAGTTACATCCAGACGGCACTTGAGACTCTCGAATAAGACTAATTGTGTCTTTTCTCAACTTCAGGATTCGATAGCGGTACATCCAAATGCATTCGGGTTGGAACCGGAAATTGCCGTCAAGGACGCAATCAATGTCAAGTGAGAGCGACCTCGCTCGCTGTTTTCTGCCGCTGAATGCGCATCCACAAGGGCTGATGATCGTCTCTGTTGTATCCTCTTGAATCAGATACTCTAACCATCTCATACCTGGAATCGGCCTCGCTGTGTCTGTTTACGATATCCTGACCTGTACAGAAGGAAACGTGCGGTATGGCGACGGTCTTATCTGGTACAAAAGTAAGTTCAGCCAGGCCTTATCATCCTCCTCCCAACTCCATCCCAAACACGAGTCCTGGAATTGACCATATTGGCTATCTCTGTTCAACAGCGATCTTCCGGGTGGTAGTCTTCGCCCCTACCGTAGGAGAGATCGTCCTCGGCAAGATCATCTCGTCTACAGCAGAACATATCCGAGGTGCGTTGTCTATCGCAACCCTGCCAGTGACGATTCGCTCACGTAGCAAGCGGATTTGAATCTAGTTTCTGTCGAGTTCTTCAACGACATATACGTTCCCAAGGCTAATCTACCTCAGATATCTACCTTGTAAGAAGATCCCCGGAGCCATACTCAAATTGCGAGTAGACTTACTGACTCGTTGTGTGTGACTTGCCTCTTTGTCCCCTCTACATAGCGACCCAGAGGCAAAGTCGTACTTTTATCAACCGCAGGAAGAGCCAGAAGAGGAAGAAGAACAGCCTGGAGAAAATGAAGAGCCTAAAGAGCCTGCCCAACCTGCTGATCCTTTTGACCAGCCTTCCTCGGGTGAGTCAAAGTGACATAGCACGACCGCCCACCCCGACTGGACGCTCCGCTCACCCCTGCCGAAATTCCCATTCTTTGTCCCCCCCCTCCCCCCGGTTCTGTATCTATCAACCTCAGAACGGACTTACTTTGAGACCGACAGTATCGTACGATTCCGGGTCGAATCCCTGAAATGGCAAGAATTAGAACCGGAACCGCCCAACGTCAAGAACCGACCTCCACCCATGGACCCGAAGACGGGGTTGAGGATCGAGCCAACACCAGAGGAAGAGGCTTTGAAGAAGATGCAGAGGGAACGGGACGCTCCGTTCAAGGTTATTGTAAGTCGGCCGCCCAGTGTCGCTTGGGATGAAGCATCGAAGCGGGAATGGAAGGGGGGCACAGAATGTTGACTCAGTATCGATGATTCTCGTCGTGATAGGCGGAAATGAACGATCATGGTCTAGGTCCGATCAGCTGGTGGGGAGCAGGGCAAGAAGAAGATGGGGAAGGTCAAGACGGGATGGAGGAAGATGTCGATATGGAATGAAGCCGGTCCACAAGAGGGGTCCCGTTTCCATCCGGCGGGACTCTTCGTAACTATAATTAACGTCGGGAAGGGCGTTCTTGAATATATCACGAGCCTTTTGGCATACCTTTTGGGGCTTGAAGCAGATCGTGCCCTACGTCGATGTGATACCGTATCCATTGCCCGCCAGGCTGTTGTCTGACAATATCACGCAGTGTCCGCGTCCAGGGTTGAGACATCCACAAGCTTTTCGTGTCCGAGCAGAGGAATTGACTGCCTCTCGGTAATCGACAGCATAAGTACCACTGCCTAGACTGGACGAACGCATGTATCGGGAAACAAAAAGAAAAGTCCATCACGAGATATATGTCTTTACACCACAGATTCGAAGAGCAAGAAGAAAGGAGAGGAGCGGGGGCCACGATCCAGGCCAGAAATCGATCATGGCGCCCTAGCGAAGCTGGGCTGGTAGAGCCTACTTCTTGGTGAAGAACAACTCTTTCAGGATCCTAGCAGTATCCTCCGGGGAAGTGACGGTGTGTCCGATAGTCCTCTCGTCGGAAAAGATCTCGTAGTCGTTTCCTCCCTTGTAAGTCTGTCATCACGATCACGGTTGAAATCGGGCTGTCAGCCCAGTCTCACGCGGGGGAAAGAAAGGGGTGCTGTCGACTCGCCTTGTCCCCGAAGAAGTGAATCTCTTCGAACCCTTCCTCGGCGATGTGGTTCAACGAGTAAGTCTTGTCCCAACCTGCAAGCAACGGATAACAGTCATCAGCCCCACCATCAACTTCAACTCGTACACCCCAGCAACATATCAAACTAACCGGTGGGGAAGACGTCGAACGAGATCTGACCTCCGATCGAGTAGGTAAAGCTGAGGTGGGCAAACTCCTTTTTGAGAACCTCCACAAATTTGGCTCGGCAGCCGCTCTGCTTGTCCCACGCTTCAAAGTCGTTGCGTTCTTGGGTACTGAGATAGGAGTGGGGCAGGCAGGGTAAGCGACGGAAGGCGAGAAAGATCCAGGGGACCCACGAGGCGTTACGGCCGATAGGGGAGACGTTGATCATTCCGTTTCGGAACTCGATAAAAGTTCCCCTGCAAGTCCAGAGTTCGAAAACTGGTCAATTTCAACCTCAATGCACTCTTCAACCGCAGCCTCCACAGACCTACCTCTTGACGGGCGTGTCGAGATCAGCAATGTAGTGCAAGATGAACCTGGCCAACTTCTTGTACTCTTCCTCCCCGATATGTCCGATAAAGCTCTGGCTGGCCAACTCTTGACCCATCTTGTAAGCGGTCAACCCGTTCTCGGCGAACCCGTAATCGAAAGCGTGGATGGCCTTGGTAGACGTGTTGCCAGCGAGCTGTTCCTCGATCTTGGCGAGGTCGGAACCGCCGACAAAGGCGATGACGCATTCTTTACGGAGATCCTGGAGGAGCTGGATCATCTCGGGTTTAGCGGACTATATGTGAGGTCGACAGGGGGTATGAGGAGGTTGAGGCGCATTCCGGTCAGCGAGCGAACCTGAGGCGATAGAGGGCGTGCCGAGTGGGACTGCTCACCTGCCTAGCAGCCGAAAGGGTGCCGTCGACATCGCTACGAAGTCACCGTAACAATGACATCGGACAATCAGCCACAAGCATGATATATTGACCACCTGGTCACTGTACTGACAACATGCAGATGGTCTTGGGGTGGGTCCTGCCCTCCCAAGCGGCGGTTCCAGCGGGTACCTTGTCGTTTCCAAGAGACATTTTGTTGTTGCGATAGTGTGTCTATGAAGTGGTTTCTGAAAAGGAGTGTATGTGTATGTGTGTCTGGCTAGCTGAATCGTTGCGTTGCAATATGAAGATGCGAGCAGCGAGTAGATAGGAGTAGAATGGGAGGTTAGGGGTATTTATCTGCCCCTCACCCCTAGCCTCCCGTCTGCTTCCGGAAGCAGAAACGCGACGTGGAAGCTAAAAAGAGGGAGCAGCGGCAGGGGGGAGCACAGAGAAAAGAGGCAGGCACACGTGTCACACTCCCCGAACCTCACACTCCCTCTTCACCTGCCGCCTGCCCCCATGGACAAGGGCAAATACGGGACCGCAACCTCGAACCGAAATCTATCAAATCCATCTATCTATCGCACACATGTACGCACACACACACACACACAGAGTAGAAACAAACAGCCGCGACACCCTCGACGAAGAACGATGGCTGAATCGATGACGTGGAAACGAACCGAGGTCGCCGTGGTCTATCCTGTACCGAGTCATGTCCTCCACGTCGCCGTCCATCATGCATGCCATCCCTCTTGATCGTCATCACGACCACTTGCCCTCGCAATGTCCCTTCACGTCGCAACACCTAGCCTTCTACTCAGAGCCCCCACCTCGTCTCGCCCGCTCATGCCTTTTCCCTCAGGGCGTAATTGTTGTTGGCCAACTTGGCCTGCTTTGCCTTTTCCACCTTGCTCTGGTTCTGCTTGGCCACCGTGTAGACCAATCCGGCGACGAAACCGGTCCCGATCGCGCTCACCGAGCCAAAGTTGACTGGGTCGCCGAAAAAGATCATGCCCGAGGCGGCGACGGGGAGCTTGTTGAGCGATCCGACCATGCTATCAGAGGTTACGTTTGGAAGGAGCACGTCAGCTATGTCAGGTGAAACAGCGATGATTCGGGGATTCGTCCACTCACGAGTAGGTGGTCGACGATGTCGTTCGGATGCACCAAGCGGTCGTGTACGAGATGAAGACGGCGGCGGCACCCGAGAAGCACATGGCGAACAACAAGAACGAACGACCTTCAGCCGGGCTGCAAGGCGAAGAGCGCGTCAGTTACCCTTTCACCGTTTCATGCTGCACCCGCCCCACCCTCCCGCTCTTCCCCCTTCTCATGCCGCTGACTCACAAGTTCAGGTTCAAGTTCTCCGCACCCCAATCCTCGACGACGACCGAGGCGACGATGAGCACCGGGATGCACAACAAGTTGTTGTAAAACATCGAGTCCCAATCCTTGAACCCGGTCACCTTGATCCTCTTTCGCATGGCGAGCACATAGGCGGCCGAGAAGAGACAGTTCAACCCCATCCACAGGTAGCCCACGTTGAGGTTGGCGAGCAAGGAACCGGCCGAACCGACGAGGGGCAACTCGGCACCCGTCGTCGGGTCGAGGGAAGCTCCGTTCTTGGCGATCATGGCGTTGTGAATGTCCGACCAGGCGGCGATGATGGAAGAACCGACCATGAGGAAGAACGAGACGAGGGAGAGACCGGTGACGTGTCCGCCAAACCAGATGACCTCGCCGTATGCGATCAGGATGATGGTCAGGTTCTTGAAGATGGTGTAGACGGGGATCGAGAGGAATTGCTGCAAGCATCAAATGCCAAAGATCAGCCCCGATGTTCGGATGAAGGCATCCCCCATGACGCCCAGCCTAGACTCACCAACGACTTGCTACCCGTGTAGATCACCGAGACCAACAGTGCCGAGATGGGGAACCAAGCCTTGGCGTCCTTCATGTCGAAATCCCTAAACGTGATGAAACCGAGCTTCTTGACGATGTAGACGCTTCCACAACAGACGACGGACTGGATCGTCAGGAGGAGGAAGGTCATCGAAAAGTGGGTACCCGAGACGACAAACTGGAGAGTAGCAATGTAGCGAGAAAAGCCAAGAAATAAGTTGACGAATTGCAATCGAGGTGAAAGTAACAGCGATACTGACTTTGTTGACGACGGTCATCATGATACTAGCTCCACAGTAAGCCAAGATGGGCAGGACTGCGTGAGGCGGAGCCGCACCCGCCGGGTTTGCAGAAGGACCGTTCATCGTGATTTATCGCAGTACAATGTGATTGTGATTGTGTGGAATTGTGTGCAGTGGGTCGCGAAGAATCGTCCAGCGAGAGTAGCAGATCGGGTTCGAGGTCGATGTCGATGTCGAGGCGATTTCGATGTGATCGTTCAAAGAGAGACGGGCGGAAGAGAGGCAGGTGTCAGCGATCTCGGTGCCCAAATATATCTCTAGCTGATCGATGGATCCTAAAAGGCAAGGTCGAGCGGGTGCGAGGTATTCGGGGGAGGTGAAAGAAGGAGGTTGTCTGGGGGACGGGGGTCATTCGACCTCGGGGTCCTGGAGGCTGTGAGCTGGAGCTCGTAGGTTGGTTGGCGCGTCGCGAAAGACGCGGGAGACAGAGACCACCCACAAAAGAGAGCTAGTGCGGATATTTCCGGAAGCTCTCGATTCACATTTCAGAAAACGAACTCGAGCTGGCCAGATGGGCTCGGACAGAGACGAGACGATGTGTTTCCCCCGGCTCGATAGCACGAACGCAGCTTTCATTTCTGTTGGTGTTGATTGTTCCCCCCTCCGATCGCGTCTCCCCTGCACGAACCGACTCTGTGCGGTCCCACCGGAAAAAGACAACACGACACGACCCTCCACTACTGCCCAGCCAGAGAACCATCGACACACACTGGGACCCGAACTCACCAGCACTGGTAGGCGCCGCCTGAGCCTTCTGCTCCCCATTAATCAACCCGGTCTGGACGTCTTCGCCGCGATGACTGCTGATCTTGGCGTCGGCCGCGTATTGTTGCAGGTTGACGACCGAACCGCGAGGAGAGGAACCTAGGCCTGGTGAGCCTGGTCGGGATGATGGGCGGGACATGGTGTATAAGGATGGAGGAGGAGGGAGGAGAGATGTAGATGAAGCAGGAGTTGTGGGGGACGATGTCGAGAAAGAAAGAAAAAGAAAAGAAGAAGATGAACAGGAGGTGTAGCACAAGTTTTGAATCCAGGTAATTATTCGCTCTGGCTCCAGGCAAACACTTGGTATCGCTCTGGATCTCGATTGTGTAATTTAGCTTCCGCCCTCCCTTTTCCGGTCGAGACCGAGGAGGAGGAAAAAACGCGTCGGCGCTGTTCCTCCCCCTCGGTTCCTCCTGCCTTCCCCCTCGCTCTTGATGCGGATTCAATTCAGAAACGATAGCCACGCGAGACTACGCTTAGGGCGAGGAGAGCAGGCAGGGGACAAGGGACCGGAAGCGAACAAGGTTGGCAGGGTCGTTAGAGTTTTGGTAGCTCCTTGTCGCCCTGTCGAGGGCGTTGTTGGCATCTTGCACGTCGCATGTGGATGGTAGCTGCCTGGCTCGACTGGCTCTTCGAAAATGCATCGTCCCTTTCAAACGCATAACATGGCGTGTGCACCCAGGACAGGTGACTTGCCTAGTAGGACATCGGAAGATGCCAAAGCTGCATCTCATTGCACCTTTCTAACGGCTTGCAAATTATGATCATTTGAGAGCCTCTGGATTCTCTTCTGAAGGCGATATCTCAGTAACTTCTCGCTCTTTCTTGTCACGTGCATCAGTTTCATGTTCACCCATGATTCCGCTTTCCTGTGAATCGCATGAACTCGAGAGGATCCTGATGCGACCAAGTATTCGACAGGTCAGACAACAGCGCGAGTTTTCCAAGCTGAAGAGGTTCCGAACATCCCCACAGAGGTCTTCTGATCAATTTTTGTTTTTGAGGGTGTACATCGTATCGTATCGTCAAGGAGGCAGGTATCGATACGAACATCTCGGCTAGCCTATTTTCACCTCACACTGAGCTCTTTCTATGACGGTCTATATCCCTCCCAGAGCTTAGAGCTGCTCGATGATGGCCTTGGTGAAATCCGTGGTCGAGGTGGTTCCCTTGATGTCCCTCGTCTTGAACTTGCCATCCTTGATGACCTTGTAGACGGCCGAGGCGATCGAGTTGGCCTGCTTGTTCAGACCGAGGTGTCGCAGCAACATGCTCGAAGAGAGGATCATGGCGGCTAAGCGAGAAGGACGGCGATCACGTTCGAGTCAGCGGAGTGGTTCGAGCATTGAGAGCGAGGGCGGGGAAGGATGGGCTTACAAGGGTTGGCGACGTTCTTGCCGGCAATGTCGGCAGCGACGTGTCGACACCCGGGCTCGAACAAGCTACAAAATCCGAAAGGATCCGATCAATCTCGTTGTCGCTTTTAAAACCCCGCGACACCTCATGCGCAGGACTCACGCAATCTCTCGTCCCAACGAGGCACCGGGAACGATACCAGGTCCACCGACGAGGGCGGCTCCGATGTTTGACAAGATGTTACCGTACAAGTTGGGGCAGACGATGGTGTCGAACTGCTGGGGCTTCGAGACCATCTGCATCGAGCTATCAGGTCGCGATAGACGAGTTGGTGGGCAGCGTCAGAGCGGGGGTCCCATCGACCGGCTAGAAACGTTCGGAACTCACGTGTTGTCGACGATCATCGAGTCGAAAGCAATTCCGCTGGCAGCGTACTCCTTGGCAACCTCGGTACAAGTGTTGAGGAAGAGACCGTCTCCGAGCTACATGGCGCGTCAATGTGGCAAACCCGAATCAGCACGTGTGCTCGACCCAGCAACAAGCCCTTTCGCCTCGAACGGACCTTCATAATGTTGGCCTTGTGGACACAAGTGACCTTCTTCCTGCCGTTCTTGAGCGCATAGTCGAACGCGAACCTGGCGATCCTCTCGGCCTTGACCCGGGTCATGACCTTCAAGTTCTCCACCACTCCCGGGTAACTCTGGTGCTCTAACCCGGCGTACTCTCCCTCGGTGTTTTCTCGGATGATGGCAAAGTCGACTCCATCGTGTCGGGTGGGGACACCGTCCAAGGTCTTGCAGACGACGACGTTGGCGTAAATGTCGAGGGATTGACGCATGGCGACGTTCCACGAGTTGTGTCCATCGATCGGGGTGTAGAGGATTCCCTTGAGTCCGACCTTGTTACGCTTGAGGGACTCCATGGCTCGCTTGAACTCGGCCTCGTCGCCGTGGGTCTCGCCCGAGACGTTGTACTGTTCCCACTCGACGGGGACGTTGAGCGAGGTAAAGATCTCCTTGACCGAGTCGGCGACTTCGGCTCCGATACCGTCTCCGGGAATGAGAGTGACGGTGTAGGTACCACCGTACTTGGTCGGGACCTGCAGATCGGCACGAAGAAAGCCAGATGTCGAGGTGAGTTTCAAAGGGCAACCAAAGATAGGGGCTTTCTCTTCCAGCTAAGGTGTCTCACATTGTCCCTGCCAGCACCGGTGACGGGGCTACCAGCCAAGTTGGAGGCGGCCCTGACGGCAAAAGGCACCTGCACAAGTCAAACCGAAACAAGTACATATCGATGTTTGCAGGTCAGCTTCGCGCATACTAGCCTTTGACGACCTGGCTCGTGTAGCGAAACCCAAACGCACCGAGGTCCTGGCCGAGGCCTGGGCGAGAACGCCGGTGGAAGACTTGAGAGCGGTTCGGAACATGGTATAGGTAGGTGACAGAGATGGACTAGAGACGAGAAGGGAGAAGGCTGGGCCACAAGAACACGGTACCACGTATCATGTACAGCGACGTTTGAAGGATGTCCCCCTCGAGGTTTCGTTGTGTTGTACACAACACGCAGGGGACGACTTGAGCTGAGACTCTGAGTGGACGCGTCTGACCGGCTTTTTCGGATTTGCGCGCCGAAATCGAACGCTCATAGGCTCTCGCACAGACCGGTCAGGCAGGTTCATCTCTGGTTCAAAGGGTCGCGGTTTCTCTTCGCACAAACGTGATGATTCTGGACCGATGACGCTGATTATCGACCTCGCTCTTGTCCGACCAAATGGGTTGCAAGTGCCATCATCGATCCGAGACTGGGCCTGATCTCGCAGAGGCAAGGAGACGCGCACAAAGCGAAGAGCTCTGGACTGATCACCCGGTCATCTCTTCGCCTCTCGTTCTGGTCTGGACTTGTACAGTCGAGTACAAGACTTGCAACGGCCGTCAGTGCTTGCCACTTTGTACAGGCCATATCATCGCATTCAGTCATCACAGATCCAAATACCAGGATGATCGGGCGGCGAATTCGTCGATGCCCTGTGATCGAAAGCAGGGTCAAGGACGGAACTTGATCTAATTCGCGTTTCACCTTGTGGGATCACGTGAGTTCGGGTCTCTTAGCGATCAATCGATCAACAATAATATAACAGCAAAGACAAACAAAAGATTCAAAGGAAGGGGGAACGAGCGCGAGGGAAAGGAAACAGTCGGGTTGGGAAGGTTCCTCTCCTTTTTATCACTCGATTCGGGTCTACGCTCGCCTCGTCGACCCGAAGCTCGATCAAGTCTACACATATAACGCAACTCTTAGTCGGCAAGCTCAGCCAACCGCTGATTCCTCTCTGGCGACATCAGGCAGATCGTTTCAGGTGTAAGAAGTTCTTACATGATGTCGACGCAGCGAATCCTCGTCAGCTTGATATTCTTAGCTCTCGGCACTTGCGCCACGGCTCAACGAGTCTGGAAACCTCAAATCGAATACTCTGGAACGACGTTCTTTGATGGGTAACGTACTCCTTCATCTGCGAAACAACATCGCATATATTGATGGGATTGCATTCGACTGCTTCCGATCTCGTGACAGGTGGAGCTTTTTCACAGATCCTGACCCTTCCAACGGGTTAGTCAGGTATAGAGACGGGGATACTGCTTTCGCGAAAGGACTGGCTTTCTGGACCCAAGACGGGACGCCCGGGATTCAGGTAAGCCTAGACCTTTCGGACTACAAGCACTTTGCGTTGAAAGCCAAGATGTGCTGCACGTCAGGCGGATGGGTGGACCACCCTTAATCCGGGGGAACTCAGGGATTCGATCAGGTTACACTCAAAGGCCCTGTTCAACGGTGGTCTCTTCATAGCCGACTTCGCTCTTATGCCATGGGGGTGAGTGTTTTTCTGTTGTCTTGCCGATATCGGGGAGGATGGTGCGGCTGACTTGCAATAATGCTATTGCAGTTGTGGGATTTGGCCGTCTTGTAAGCTGGAATCCCACGATAGGGTAAGGACTGGCGAACTGAGCTCTCGTTGCGAGATACTAGTTTGGACTCTAGGATACGGAGCTGTATGGCCCACTTTGGGGGAGATTGATATTGTCGTGAGCAGTTCACTCTTGTTATACTGATCTTTTCCTGGGTCATGTTGATAAATCTACGAGGGGGATGGGATGGAGCAGGAGGGTGTACAAGATCGGACCAACAAGTGAGTGTGGCTGGGCTTTGGCGTTGTTTAGCTTGATACAAACGAAGCTGACGCGGGGCGCGATATGGCCCTGCGATGTGTTTGCAGTCAAGCGACAATGTCAGTTATCGCTAGCCGATATACATAACAAGAGGATCCTGCTGACCCACGGTGAATGTTGTAGCCACTCGACACCGGGATGTTTCACAAATACCGCACCGGGGATGTACAGTGGGATCACCGGAGTGAGTCAACTAGCTTGCTTTCTGCGACGGCATGGGCATACTCGTACATCTTGTTTCGAGCCGTATTGATTCCGTCTTATGGTCGCAGAACGTGGACTGCGATTCCACCAACGGCAAGTACTCGAGGCGACTGAGACCTTCAAGGTGCATACCCTAGATCGGCACTCCGATGGCTTACTGAACTGAACATAGGCAAAACCGGCTGTGGAATTCTTTCCACTTCGAATGTGACATACGGCGAGCCATTCAATCTGAACGGAGGAGGAGTGTTCGCCATGATTTGGGACGAGCGAGGAATCAGAATGTGTGGGTTTAGTCTCTGCCCCGCTACCGCCAAGCTCTGGGGAGACTTATCGCGATCGCTTTTTGTTGCGATTGTAGGGGAATTTGACCGGAGGAATATACCTGCAGAGTAGGTCATAAGATCCGTCTAGATCGTTGGTATTTCTCTGACCAGTAACATACTGTACAGCATCTCGAACAACGCGCCTACTCCAGGGTCATGGTAAGCCATACTTGAGTCCGTTACAGAAAGTACACAGCTGAATGGTACTTTCTTGCGGAAATAAGGGGCATGCCCATGGCTGCGTACGACGTCTCGACGTGTGATATCAACAAGTACTTTAAGGATAACCAACTCGTTCTGACCGTCAACCTTTGTGGTAAGCCTCCGATTCCCTGCAGCTCATACTGGCAATCCTCATGGAGTGACACGGTTCGCCGCTTTTTTAGGCGATTGGGCAGGCGGAACTTACAGCCGTGAGTAAAGCTGACAGTGGCGATTGCCAGCAGTCTTTGACTGAAAAGGGCTCGATAGAGACCGCTCATTGTCCGGGAACGTGCGCCGAACAGGTCGCTAACCCGGTAAGCCCTCTCCTTCGCCTTGTCTGTAGTCTATGCGCTGATCCGCAATGAGAGTGCCATGATTTCGTGGTCATCCACCAGGCCAATCTCAAGAACACCATCTTCTTGATTAATTCGATCAAGGTCTACCAACTCGCGGGACCCGATGAGATCCCACCGCCGGTCGCCAACATACGCGACGCTTCCAAGAATGCCCAGGGGATGGGCGGGGGTAGGGTTAGCAGCAACGAGACGTCGGTGGGACAAGCGAGCGCTGTGGACAAGGGTCGAGGTGGTGGTCGCGGAGGTGCTGGCGGTGGTGGTGGGGGAAGCAATAACGCGATGGCCGTAAACACACCTTGCAACGGTTTACTTTTGGCAGGCGTGGTCTGTCTAGTGACGGTTTTCTGCACTTAGAGCTGATTCTGCGTCAAGTTTCGGCATTCTTCGAGAAGATGAAGGGTTCACAGAGCTAGCGAGAGGGAATATCCGGGTGTTCTGACTATACATACGGCCTGTCGGCAATGATACATTTCGCACCAAGGCGCAAACATGATAATGACAGTACCCTTGAATGCCTATTCCCCCTCTTATTGCAAGGAACCGACCCTTATCGTTTATTCCTTATCGCTTCGTCTTCTTCTTGCTTCTTCCCTTCTTCCCCCTAGAAGATCCACCTATTGCGCTCTCGTCGGCGGGCTTGCAGCTGGAACACCACCACTTGTCCTTGGGTGCCGTGTTCATCCCGACGCAAGTGAGGTGGAACCATCCTCCATGAGGGCAGTCGTCGTTCTGGTAGGGGAGGAAGAATGAATTACTAGCCAGGATCGGTATGCTGTTGTTACTCGCGAGTCGACTCACCTCGCATCCAATCATCTCCCCAAAACTGACATTATCGCAGTAACAATACCTCGGTTCGTTCGGGTCCACCTTCAAGTCAAAATTCTGCGCCGCCACATGTCCAGCGACAATCGGAATCGGCCCTCTATCATCTTCGTTCGCCCTGCCTGCACCCATCCGACTTTCGGCAAGCCCGACGTTCAACCCATCGATGGCCAGACCGTTTCCGGCGGTCCCATTCAAACCCCTCTCGCGGCCGCCGGAAAAGATGCCCATTGCCTCTTGAGCGTCTCGTCCATCCGCCCGTGTAGCACCAGATGCTCCCAGCCCGGTCGATCCCGTAATCATCTCTGAAGGCAGGGTTCCCTCCTGGATACCCAGGTTCACAGCCGCTTGTTGGACCTGTAGAGCTGCATCCATCGATCGAACGTGTCTGTCGACCTGCCATGCAAGACGATAGAGGTTCGATTGGGCTTCCGAGTCTAGAAGATGGAGAGAATGACTGAGGGCTTACTGTATTATAACATCCAGATGCGATCCCAACCTTCTCGTCCGCTCCCCTCAAGACGTCCCTCGCCAGCTGCCCGATCTGGGGCAACATGTTTGAAGTCAACTTGACCGAGTACAGCCTATTTCCACTCGTCTGTCCATTGCCAGAGATGTCGGTATCAGCCTCGGGGATAGCATCTACATGCCTGGATGGACCGGCAGCGATGTGACCAGGTCCCCCATCGAGCGGCCCTTTTCCCGGTGTTCGGGGCAAGTTATTAGGTGGATCGATATCCATCGCATCCTGTCTTGGAAGTCTCAGGGTAGCGATATCTGGTAAAGGCTGACTCAAGTCCGTCTGAGGGTTCTTGGAAGGGTCACCAGGGAGATGGTCCGCGTTCGGCTGGATGGTCGCTAGGCGAGCATTCGCGTATTGCCGAATCAGTTCGAGAAGCTGGGAAGTTTGACCTGCAGAATAGTCCGTATGTCAGACTCTTTCTAGACGATTTGAGACACAATGCTCGACTTGCGCTGTGTCTGCTCATCGAGCTCTCGTAGCAACGCGAAATTCCGATGGAGTTCGAGCGGCAATTGTTCGACAACTACGAGACATTAAAGCTTCAACTTGGGTACCGCCCACCAGGAAGCCAAGAGCAAATGTAGAGAATGCCTACCTTGGTAGTAGTCCGCACTAAACTCGGCCCATACCGGCTCTTCTTCCTGTTCATCCTCGTCATCTTCGTCCTCACCCTCGCCAACATTTCCATTTTCATTTGCGTTCTGAGTTTGCGCCGCCGTTGATGAGCCCGCTACAGGCTGTTCCACCGATTCCCCGAAGAGCTTTCCTGGGCTGAAACGTATGGCTGCAGAGCCGTGGGGTATCCCGTTAGTCTTGCTTGCCGAGGTGGGACTCTGGTCGTAGGTCGCGTCGGGAGGAAGAGGTCGTTTTCGGGTCCTTCCAGATTTCCGCAACGATGCTGCGGTCGCCTCGTCAGACATGGCAGATGTCGATGTCATTGATCAACGACTATGATTGAGAGGCTTGGTACACCTCGACTGAGGTATCGAGCTTTGTAGGGGTCTGGAGAGCCAAAGGATACGAGTTGGAAAGTACGATGGATGAGCATCGAGGAGGATTCGAGGCCTGGCCTGGCACGCGTCCGGATATGACGAAAGCGCTTTCTCAGCATCCTACCTGGATACCATCCTATGCTTACTACTATCTCTCGACTATATTCACTATATTCGCTGCTCCTTGTACTGCTATTCAGAGCTCAGCATTCGGAAAAGGATAACACAAGCTTGACGTATTCGAAACATGACTTCCCTCGCCAGGTGAGCCGTTCACCATAGCTGGCGACGCAAGGTACTGGCGGCTAACACCGACATTCAGCTGCATCTTCTGCAAGATCATCAAGGGTAGGTCCCGCACATCTCCTCTACTACTAGGCCCCTTCGATTGACATGAGGAATCGCTTGCCTGGTCTTGATCTCAGGCGAAATCCCTTGGTAAGCTTTTGGTCCAGCGATATGAGCCTGAATTGAGAGCCAGGCCCTTAACCTACCGGCTATTCCCGCCTGTTCAGCTTCAAACTGCTCGAATCCGAGACGGCTCTCGCATTCATGGATGTTGGACCTATCGCCAAGGGCCGTGAGTTGCATGAGTTGTCTCTACAATCCAGCGTGACTTGATGGCTGAACCGGTAGGCTGCCATGATCCACGTGTTCTCAAACGTTCGGCAGACTGCCTCGTCATCCCTAAATGTAAGCGGGTCTCGAGACTGCCCGGTTGGTCGAAATGTTCCGATAGTGGTCAACCTGCCAACCTGGACCGCGCATCTGTATAGACCATTGCAGGACTATCACCGACCTCCCGGATGAGGAGATGAAGGATATCCTACCCTTTGCCAAACGCTTGGCGAAAGCCACCGTGAGTCCCTTAACACCCATAGCACGCCGTTCTGAAATCGCCATTCACCTTGTCTGAATCCATCATCCCTGTCTGCCTCACGCCGTCTGTCTCGTCTGTCAACTCAGGGCGCCGAACACTACAACCTGTTGCAAAACAACGGCCGATGGGCTCACCAAGAGGTCGATCATGTTCACTTCCATGTGATCCCCAAGCCCGCTCAGAACGATTCGGCGGGTCTGGGTATAACTTGGCCTGGACAAGGGGTGAGTGCACATAACATGGAATCATACCGGATGCGTCTTCCAAGCATGCGATCCTGATGTCAAACGGTGGGCTTCATGACAGCTCGGTATGGATGATATCAAGAAGACTTTCGAGGAGATCAAGGGCAAATTGGAGTGATTCTCGAGTAGGTAGGAAATATATTCACCGATTTGGCTTGTCGGCATGATATACACGAGTGTCATGATGGGCCATCTGAATCTAAAGATACAACGAAGGCGAAAAGATGATGCTATTCGTCCTCTCGAGCATCTTCAGGGACTCTTCGAACGTCTTTTCGAGACTGTCACTTCCGATCACTCGAGCGGCAGCAGCCATCTGTCGCAACAGTTCTCCCAACCGACGGAAGCATCGAATGAGCGACCCTGTAACGGAGAAAAAGTCAACGGCTGCTGCGTCTGTCACGATGAGATGCTGCTAGCGAACTCGGCACGAACCTTCGAACACGTCACACATCTTGCACAATTCCGCAAAACTGGCTCCATTGCACCATCTGAACACTGCCTCGCTCAGTTCAGGTTTGAACGAGTTGACGTATTCGTCCGGTACGATCGGTAATCTCGACTCGACCGAGATCTGAGCGATGGTTTTGGCTTGTTCTCGCAGCGTTCTAAAAGCGGCTTGAACTTCATTGGGAAGCTTGGGCTTGGTCTCGCTCTGCAACACGAGTTGGAATATGGTCAGTAACTGAACTTGACCCAAACGTTCCCAAGAGACAATCAGGATTCTCACCTTCTCATCGAACACGAAGCAAACCAACACGGCAGCACATTGAGCGGGCGTCAAGTCGTTAAAGGCGCCGCTAAAAATCATCTCGGTAAGGAGCAGTTCGTCTCCGGTACTGATCTCGCACGCGACCCTAGCCTTCTCGCTGAGGACGTCGTCGGCCGAGGTGAAGCCCAATCGTCGCAAGACTCGTTGCCTATTCTTTAACTCTTCCAACTGAAGTACGTTCTGCACCTGCGTAATCTTTCTCTTTACGGCTCGGATAGTGCTCTTGAGATCGACATAGTCGGAGTATTCGTTGTAGAGCCGTTCGAGGTCGGGTGATTTGGCGATGTCCAGAGCTTGCAACTTCTGCTCGTAACTTGCAATGCGCTGGAAGTACCGGTCTACATCAGCACTGCACATGCAAACGCCGGTTGCCAGACAGATCTTACTTTCACTAGCTTTTTGAATCCTTCATCCTTGATCCCCATGTTGGCGACGGGGTCGAGGACGGGCACCTTTCCACCTCTCTGGGTAAGCAGCATCTTGATCCGCGCGTAGGCTTCCTGACGGGGTTGTAACATTCGAAGATCTCGCCCGATGTGAGTCCTGACCACCGAGAAGCTTTCGATGCAGCTCAATAGGACTGGCACGATCACTGGCTCCCCAGGCCCGTCCCCAGCTGGTTGTATGGTTTGAATGGCGCTACCGGATTTGTCCCGGGAATCCACTCGAGCGTTGGCGGCACAGTTGAGTAGGACAAAGACGATGTGCTCGTCAGAAGCCTTGACGTCAGCCGGTTTGCTTGGCGCTCCGCGAACCATGGGCCAATGACGACGCTCGGATTGCAGGACGATCCCCCATCCAAAGTCACGCTTTCCATCGACCACCCGCACAACTCGACCGCTCTGCAAGAACGGTAGCGCGTAGCTGGGTTCCGTGATCACGGCCTGATAATCGCCCCGTTGTTTGATGAGACTGTCTCGGATTTCATGGTATTCCTCGATCTCGTCGCGCCTATCGATCTTGACTGCCTTTTCCTTCTTTTGTAGGTCGCGAAGCTCTGACGATGATGACGACGGGTTCAGTGGCAGACAAGCAGACTTCGTTGCCATGCAAATGCTCACCATCCTCAAGGACCGGGATATTTGCAGTGTTCTGGAATTGGTAGAAACACCTTTCCAACATGTATTCCGGGCTGACACCTTCTACTCGCATCAAGTTCAGAATCATGTTGTAACCGAGGTGGAATGCAGAGTCCAGTCGATCGGCTTGTCCCTTGACCATGCCCTTGGCTGCTTCTGGCTCGAGCTTTTGTTCGCACATCATGATGACGATCCCTCGAGCGTCCAGTCCACGACGTCCCGCTCGTCCTGACATCTGGATGTATTCCTGTCAAACGATGGCGAATTTAGCGTCAAATCAAGTCGTGCTCAGGTTCAGGCGCGACTTACTCCTCCTGAAAGATGCCTGAACTCCTTGCCATCGAACTTTTGTACCGAAGTGAAGACGACGGTCTTGGCAGGCATGTTCAACCCGATCGAGAAAGTCTCGGTAGCAAAGAGGACCTTGATGAGACCCTCCTGGAAGAGAATCTCGATGACCTCTTTGAGTAAAGGCAGGAGTCCTCCATGATGGACACCGATACCACGCCTGAGCAAGGGCAAGATGTGACCGATTTGGGGCAGCTGCTTGTCCTCGTCGTTGAGTCCGCCCAGCGCGTTGTTGAAGATGTTTTCGACGGAGAGCGACTCTTCTTCCTTATTCATGTTGATCTTGGACATTTGCATTGCGAGGGACTCGCACTCTCGTTTGGAGAAGGCAAAGACGATGACGGGGTTGAGGTTCTTAAGCATGATCATTTTGACCAGCTTGTAAATGTCGGAAGCCTCGCCTGGATGTGAAGATTCGATCATTAATCACCACTCGGTTTGATTTGCCTGAAACAAAAGTATCCACCTTGTGGCTTCCCCTTTCTGGTCTTTCCTTGCCTGCCCTTGCCTCCATTAGGGTTTGCTGGATCCTCACCGCTGCGCGCAGCGAGCGACCCCATCGCCTTTTGGAAGTTGTCCTCCCTAAACGTGCTCTTCTCGTCGACTACCAGGTACATCCCGTCTCCTCCTTCCGGGAACATGTAATGTTGAAGCGGCGTCGGTCGGAAATCGGTATACACAACGTGACAAGGCTGATTGTGGAGCTTGGCGATCCATTCGGCGAATTGCATACTGTTGGGAATGGTGGCAGAAAGGAAGACGTAGCGAACGGAATGTGGCAGCAGGATAATGGTTTCCTCCCACACGACTCCTCGATCTGAATAGATAGATTCGTTGATTTGGTCTCTACCATCAAGGTCGGCTCAAGGACTGGAGAACTTACCCTTGTCACGCATGTAATGGATCTCATCAAAGACGACCCAAGCAACCTCTCGCATGACTTCCGAACCTCGGTAAAGCATGGACCTCAAAATCTATCAACAGGCGGTTAGCCTCAAGCAAGGGAGCTTATCTAGATTGGCATAGCTCAAAAGACCTACTTCGGTAGTCATGACAAGACACGATGCCGATGGGTTGATCGTCACGTCTCCCGTCATCAGACCGACATCACCAAACTCTGCTTGCAATTCTCGGTATTTTTGGTTGGACAGTGCCTAAGGATCGATTCTGCATCAGTACAGCATAATAGCTCGGGGTTGTGACGTGCAACTGACTTTGATCGGACTAGTATATACGACTCGCTTCTTCTCATTCAAACAGGTGGCGATAGCATACTCGGCAACGACAGTCTTTCCAGCACTGGTATGCGCTGATACCAAGACGCTCTCATTTCGTTCGATTGAATTGACGGCGACACGCTGAAAAGGGTCCAACGTGAATTTGTAACTTCGAGCTGGCGGATCTTTTGGAATATGCGTCGAGATAGGGACGTAAGGGTAATCAGGGGGTAGTGCGACCTGGTATACGCAAATGAGTTAGCTTGTTATCTTGTGCAATCACGATGTCAATCGGAGAGAAGACTAACTTGATGCCTGACTTGGTGGACAAGCCTCATCTTCTCTCCTTCTTCCACTTTAGCGAAACCGCTAGTCGCGGCGACTTCTCTCTCTGCCTCTTGCTCGAAGTCATCCGTCACCACTGGCATGGGTTTGCTAGACTCCGATGGCAATTCAACATCAATCGATGCGTCTCCGACGTTGCCGTTGCTCTGCTCCACGTCCTCCATCGTCTGATCTCCCGCATTTGAACCTCCTGTACCTCGTTCTAATGCTTCCATCGGGTCGACATCGGTCGTCTGCACTTTGGCCTTCTTCCTCTCGGATGGTCCATCTTCGGTTACACTCGCCTGAGAGGCGGCTTCTTGGGAATCCGACCTGGCTCGTCGCTTTCCTGCAGCTTTGCTCGAGCTCGTTCCCTGGGGAATAACGGTCTTGGATTTCTTGACCTTTTTGGTCTTGTTCAGCATGCTGAACATGTCGTCGTCCATTTTGAGGCAGCGCTCTCGCTATGACGACAGTCCGTGTGGACTGCGAGGTGAACGAGAGTCTGCTACTACTTATCGAGTTTAATCTAGGAGCCACAGGGAAGTCCAAATCGAAGCCTGATGATGAAATTATGGGGATGAAAACAGTTGTCGAGAGGCGAGAAGAGCAAGATACCGCTGGCCGTTGGGTCGCCATCGAAAGAATTCGTCCTCGACCTTTCGACGCAACTTCCGATCGGAAGCAAAGCTTTGCTCTTGGATTATTACGTACGTTGTTACAGGCGAGCTCACACACAGCTCATGCAGCTCACAGTGATCACAGTATCGAGTTCTGTCTCTCTCATGCATGCAGGGTATATTATATATTACAGTCGACACGTATCCTATGCAAATCGTCACCTAATCATCTCGCATGGATGCGAGTTCGTTCGTTGCTTATCATAAATGGCAGGAAAGATGTGCGTTTTGGATCTCGGCCTCCTCAAGCCGATCGAGATCCTCCCCCTCTTCCTGACCCTGATCCTCGTCCCCGTCCTCGTCCTCTGCCTCTGCCTCTTCCTGTCCCTCTTCGGACTTCATGTCATCGTGCCTCGTCGTCTCAGCTAGGGTAGTTACGACGAGCTGGTTCGGTTGTGGGATGTATGGCGGTTGTGCCAGATACGGGGGTGGCGGGACCAGCCACCCATTCTCCGCTGAGAACGCTCCTCCCTCGATCAGCCTCGGGCCCTCGCTCAAGCTAAGATCCGACCACGGAATATAGTGCATGGCACCTAGTGGTTCGGAAACGCTACCGATGGTGATGGGTAGCATGCAGTGTGAAAGTTGTGTGGCATGTCGGTTGAGATCCCTGAAGCGCGCCGCATCCAAGGGCAACAGACGGTTTAGTGGCAGGTCTACCGGAAGAGGTTCCGCGAGAGGACCCGCATCCGGCAAACGACCGATCTGTACAAAGACGTAGAATTGGTTGCCCGCCGCGACAGACCTGAATGGTCCTGGCTGAGGCACTTCGCCTGAATAGGTCGAGTAACCAAATGGCCAGTTGCCATCGACGGCCAAGGGAAGGCATGTACCAGAGATCCTGGTAGGTTCTTGTCCAGAGATCTCAAAGATACCTATGCGAGCGCCGCTAACGAGGTTTTCATGAAGTTCGTTAACGGGGTCCTTGGGGTCACTGTCTTGCAGGGTGACGTGTTGATATCGTTTAATCCCGACCCTGATAAACATCCTCGCCTTGGCGGATTCGACTCGAACCGGAGTCAGCAAGAGCTCGATGGGAACCACTTGAGTTGGGGAGAAGGTGGTGCAAGGGCTGTCACAGTGCGGTATTGTTCAGCGATTGCTATCGATTCGAAGCTGGGCCAAACTTACAGAGTAGGCTCAAAGGCCCATTCCTCTCGCACATCCGAGCAATCCGTCAGGACTTTCCCCTCCCATTCCAAGCCGCAGCGATGCCACTCAAGAGTCGAAACCCGGTGCAGTGTCAAAGGGTTGTCCGGTAGGGTAGTAGGTAGCAGGGTGAACGGAGCATGAGAGAGACCCAAAAGCATCCTTTCATGGCGCTTCCTGGGATTCTCGATGGAGAGAGTTGCCGTGAAACGGTAGCTGATTGAGAAACGCCCATCCGGGGTTTCGAAAGAGGGAGGTAACCGGTTGACCGGTATCTGCACCGTCAACGGAAGGTTGTATGATCCGCCGGGAAGACATTTCTGAGGATCGGCCTGACCAGGCAGCAATGGAGAGGGACAGGCGCGAAGCGTCGAAATCGCGTCCTGAGACCAGAGGGATAACCCGTCCGCCAAAGAGACAGAGACTTGGATGATGTGTCTCTCGCCGTATGCGAGGCGTAAAGTACCCGTCAAGGTCAGGTGTAGTTGAGGTCGAAGATCGTAAGGGATGGTAGAGTTCCAATCGACACTCAGACGGAGAAGGGTAGGGATCCCGGTCCCAGCCTAGAGTTTGATGATATGGTCAGTAAAGGTTGGGGGGATGGACAGCCAAGCGAGTGAACTTACGTAGAATGCAGCTGGTATGTCGGTCATTCCGTTGGTCCGCGAGAATCCCAATTGTAAAGTTGTCGCAGGTAGAGGGATAGCAGGGGAAGAGGCAACGAGGGTCTGAGCTTCAAGATCTGTCGTTGAGCCAAATCATTTTAGTCCCAAATGAACTGTGGTTTCCGGCCGGCATACCCATCACTCACTCCGAAGCCGGGGTCGGCGCAACGAATCATTTTGGCATCGCGGCCAACCAGTAAGAACTCTGCCAGCAGAAGCCGCTCGTCTTCTCCAAAGAGGTACTCGCCAGCCAGTCTGGATCGAACGGTTTGCAGTCGGTACATTCGGCTCGTCTTCTTCGCTATAGACCCGACGTTGTATCCGCCCATCAGGACAGATTCGCTCTTGTTCTTCGCCCTCATCATCAGCTTCTCCATGATAGTCCTCCTTGTCACGTTCATCATCCGAATATTGGGCGTGGGCGTCATGAGAGCCATCGAACCCACGGTCGAGGGCGCGCACAGCTTCGGCGGGACCTGTCCCGCGCCTAGGAACCATGAGAGGGCGGTGCTGATGCTGATGAAGATCTTGCTGATGCGATGTCGACTGAGTCTGGTGGTCATGACCATCATACGTCCTCTTTCTCTTTCTCGGCCTATCCCGGTCGACGAGCGTCATGGCACGAGCTCGACGCTTCCTCACGACTTGTGGGCGAGGTCGGGTCGGTACTGCTGCTCCTGACGATTCGGACTCGACATCGGCTTCGCGCGGGTTTCGTCTTTCATCGACGAGGGATCCCTCTGAAGTAGAAAGAGCGAGGCCGTCCATTGAAGAGAGGACGTCGAAGAAGTACGGGCAGTTTGAAGTCGGGTTCGCCATGGTTCAAGCAGCAAGAGGCGAAAGCTTTCCCGTCTAGCGTCGGATTCGGTGAGGTCAAGCGTTGAACGTCGTAGGCCCTTATAACGAGTTCGGGAAACGGATGTAATCTGTGGGGGTCTGATCGTGTAATCGTTGGGATCCAGACTTGATTGCTTGCGGCTCGAGAGGCCAAGAGGGGTTTATATGGTTTTGATGGCAACGGCAAAGTTGGGAGTCTGTGAGGGCTAAGAGCGGAAAACGAAAGGCTAGCAAGGGACACACTAGCCTGGGACTGATGGATGGATCTTTATTGAATATGTGGATTGATCCGGGGTATCTCCTGGGTGCCGGAGTTGCGAGGGAGGCATCAGATGGATCGATGATGATGAGTTTGGGCTCTCGGAAGAAATTGATAGCCAGATCAAAAAACCTCCACAGCCAGGCTCCTTCGAGGATGCGAGGATGAGTCCTTTTGTGTCGTGTCTTGGACGTCTTGGTAGATCCCGATCGGCACCGGTCTCTTTGAGGAGTCATCATCGTCGAGGATACGAGGGTTTCCTTTGCACCCGAGACGGTGAACATCTGATCACCATCATGGCCGCCATCGCGTATTTCGGTATTGTCTTGTTGGTGGATCAACAAAGGGCAGCAGATTGAAGGCCGATTGTCACGCAACCCATGTTCTCCTTGCGAGTTCCCGGCAGACGTCAGTGATTAGTGATGGGCCACCAGTCCACTGTTGATGACATCGTGAATCAATGGCCGGGGATCGCGGGGAGCACGCATGCGAGTTTGTGGTGTTTCAATCGAGATCTCATTGCGGGGTAGATGCGACCTCCTGTTGTCTTGCATGTCTCGTCTGCGTGTTGTTCGACCGCAGCGGCCGACATGAACCGTGACGTCGCCAGATCGGAAGAATCACGAAAAAAAGCCCTTGTGTTCGCCTACCCCGATCACAAGGATGATTGCCGGACGGGGGAAGAAGACGAGCGGTTCCCGAACGTCGATCGCTCGAAAACAAAAACGCATGGCTAGCGGCGCTGCGGCGTCTTGTGTTGTGTTGTCCTTGGCCTGCCCCGATCGAACCGGGTATTCGCCCCACCTGCCAGCCAACCGGGTCAGCCACCGGGGGTCGAGGCTTCCTCGCTTCTCGATCGCACATGATCCCGAACTCGTCTCTCGGGTCTCGGGGTCAGATCTCTCCACAGCTGTGACCACAGGCCGAGGTCGAGAACGGAGGCAGACGAGATTGGTCTCGGTTCCCGGTAACAATCGGGCAGCGGGTGCAAACAAGATCATTTCGCACAAGTTTTTCGTATGTGACGTGGAATTTATTGGAAACGATCCGGTCCGAGACCACCTGCCACCTGCCACCTGAATGCCTGACGAGCTGACAATGGACCGTAGTACAGTCGGAAGGGCGACGAACCAGCTGAATGACTGCAAACCACATGTCGCATGATTGTATAACACATGATATACCTGATGCGAACATGTCGACGATCAAGCCTTCGTAAACTCGGCGAGTCGACCTTTCTCCAGAATCTCGCCTTCGACCAACCGCCCGACCTCCTTTCCCTGTTCAACATGTCGGTGCAGCGATAAATCTTCACCTCATTCCACACCTCGTTATCACACTTGCGACTGTTCACTCACCTCCATCAGCTTGAGGATGGTCGGTACGTTGTGCACGTTCCACCTGACCCTGGCTGGGTTCTCGGGGCTTCTCCATTCGGGTCTCTGTCCGACCCAAAATACGATCCCTTTGGGACTCTCCGGGGCAGAGAAGAACGCCTTGACGGGCTCCTGAACATCTCTACAGTCCGGGCACCATAGCTTTCCGGTGGACGGATCGGGGTCCGAGTAAAAGATCAGGTAGACCGGTTGGTCAGACGATGGCGAGGAGATGCTCGAGAGAAGCTGGGGGTAGCTGTGACTCGCGGAGTTCGGTTTGTTAGCCGTGGTGTAAGCTGGATACGCAACGCTTGACCTACGGAGTCTCAAATAGGGGCATATCGATTCGAAATATAGTCTTTGGCCTAGATGTGGGTGTTCGGACAGGTCAGAACAGGCCGACGATAGAAGCAAATTCAAGATTTCGTCTCAGCGGGGTACGACCCGTGATGACGAACCGCTTCCGCTGGCAGTGCGCGCATCGCCGTGGCCATAACTCAATCGTAACTGGGAGAAATTGGGACGCGGCTGTTACAGGCTGCGGACCGTTCATGACAACACACTGCAAAAGCTTCGTCTATATTGTACGTATCGGTCATGGGCGTCGATATTTTGAATCAGTACGATTCATAGCAGGTGACAGAGATTCCCATCATGCTGTTAGGCTGCATGAAGTCTCCGTCAAATCTGAGTCAGCTCTGCGACTGTGTATCGGCGTACCAATCAACATGGACACGGGCTACTCGGTGATCGTTCCAAGCTTGGGTTTGTCGTTGGTCGAGATCTTGTCCCCCTTGTCACTCTCGCCAGTCGGTCAAATTTTCGTTTCGAGATCCTGCTTGATCAAGATTGTCCTCTCTGGCAACGAATCTCCCATGGCGATGCTTTCGGGAGACTGTTCAAGTGTCATACGATTAGATTTGCCCAGCGTCCAAGTTTCAGTTTGACAGTTCATTACTCGCCGTTTCGCTGACCCATCGATCCGAGACATCCAGACACTCAGTCACGAGGTTGACGGTTCGGCTCAGCATGAATTCGTGCATGGTAATCACAGCTCCGATGAATTTTTTCGGTTCGACTTGCCAATCACCCCCAGTCAGCTTGAAGTAATTCTAGGGAAGCCCGAAGCTGCTTAATCGTGCCGCTCTTCTCCCTCGCCAGGCGCACGACACTCACGAAACTTGGGGTTTCCAACGAAGTCGCCAAGTTCAGGACGACCGCGTCGATGCGCCATTCTTTCCCGGCAATAGACATCCCAAGCGTCACGATTCTGCTCGGCTCGTCCGACACCGAAGTGCCGCCGCACTTCTTCGCTTCAAGAACGAGATCGATCAACTTTCCAGACTAAGCATATTCGCTACTGTCAGCGTGCAAAGAGGTATGCAATGCACCAAGAACATGATGGAAATCGACTCACGACAGCAACTCCCGCGTTGACATTCTGATTCACAGCCACGAGAATGGTGGAGGGCGTCCATTTGAGTTCGTACCAGGAGACAGGGTAGTTCCCTTGAGCCTCGACTTGAGAGGACGGACAGAAACAAACCTATTCGGCAATGAGAACACAGATGTTAATGGATCGAATACAACCTTCTCAACAGCTTTCCCGCATATCCACTCACCTCGAGGAGATTGGGATAGTTATTCAATCTCCTCATCATCGAAAGCGAAAGGAGTTCGGATGCGCGGGCAACCGAGATGCCATTCGGGATGTTCATACGTACCTCGCTGAGAAAGGCGTTGGAGTACAGGTTCTCACAGAGTCGTCTCAATGGCGAGTCGGTCCCGTGATTCTCCTGATCGATAGCGAGCGAGAAACAAGTGTCGACCGTAGGCATCGATAGATCTCTGAAATTGTTGTCGATGAGGACCTTGGGAGCACGGTTCCAGGACCCAGGGCTTGTGACTTCGTAGGTCTTCCATCCGTTGGGGTTCAGATCCAGAGCTCCGGGCTCGATGATGTTGATGAGGACTCGGTGCATCACGTGGTGGAGTTGCCATTCCTTACGGTTGTAAGACCCAGCATCCCAGGCATTGCCGATGGATTCCAGATCGTATAGGACAGGATTTTGAGAGGTCTTGTCGAGAGGAAGCCGTTCGAGGTATTTGCGGGCAGTTGCTACGAGCGCCTACAGGGCAAACAGTGCGGACGTGGCGATCAGGTGTGAGAATCATTTCTAACGCTCTGGTATCACAGAGCTCACATCATCGGTAAAGAGCCCGTGCAAGCCGAATAGGCTTAGCCCAGTAACGGAAGGCTGTATGGACATGATTCCGTTGCGTAGAAGCTGCCTCTGGAACCTATTATGGTTCTTGTCGCCAGCACTGACGTAGGATCGTTTCGATTTCGAAGTCATACTGGAAGTTCCGTCGTCGTCGCAGTAGTCGTCGTCTTCGATTCGATAGCGTTCGTCAGCAGAGCTGATCACCTGCACGGCCTGGTCAGGAGGTTGTGCAGCTAGACGTCGTATCCAGCCCGTCGTCGAAATGTCCTGGTCGACATGGACCTGTGTCATGGGTTCGGTCATGACGAAAGTAGAGAGGAGGTTCGAGCAGAAGTTGAAGTGGGTTTGATGATCGGGCTGGTGTACGCTGTCAGCTGGCGGTCCGCCTATAACATTATCACCCAACCAATAATAATGTGATCATGTGTCGTCTCGATCTTGCCAGAAGGCTTAGCCTCTGTTTTTGCTCTTGTCGAGGAGTCGATTCGCGATTCGAAGTGTTACAAGCGGTCATCAAGAACTGATCTGATCTTACGGGCTGGGGTTACAGGTGGAAATAATAATGCAAGGCTCGCCAAGGAGCTAGTAATTGAGTAGTCTCGATATTTTGAAGCCGGTCGGTCTTGTTTGATACCGCTCAACATCGCGCTAGTAGTTACAAGCGCGACTAGCGCAGATTGATCGTTCTGCTGTTGCACTAAGGAGAGCGGCGCCCGACGAGGGGGCAATACTAAGCCGCAAGGGGGCGACATCAGAGCGGCACGGTACCATGTTAGTGTTTCAGACACTCCTGCATCGTGGTCACCTGACCTTTCGCGACTGCCGCCGACACGGCGTCGGAAGAGACTTCCAGCCTAGATTGAAAGCCATTGCAAAGGGGCACATCATCCGGCAAGTGAGCATGACCCTACTTACCGGTGCATACCCAGTCCTTGTCAAGGGTATACCGAGCATATAACCCAGACCATTCCGCTGCTGTGGACTGAACTGCCTTTCTGGCGTACAGATACCACGATCAAACAACAAATTACAGACGCCAAATGAAGTTGTTCATCTTCCTCTCCTCCCTCCTTGCCATCGCCACCGCCGCGCCTCTGGTGGACAGAGCACTCCCTCCCTCGCTCGACCCTTTCTACGATCCTCCTTCGGGCTGGGAATCTCAACCAGTCGGCTCGATCCTGAAGACTCGCTCAGTGGTCACCGCGACGGCTTCCATCGTTGCCAACTTGGCCATCGATGGAACTCAGCTGCTGTATCGGACCGCTGGCCCTGCTGGCGAGGCTCTCAGTACCGTAGTGACCATCTTGAGACCGGCAGGGGCCAAGAAAGACAGATTATTGGCTTATACGTTTGCCGAGGATTCGAATGCTCGAAAATGCGCTCCTTCATACAATCGTCAGTCCCGGCACGAGTGTACTTCATGCTAGATCGCTCACAAGCTGACACAGGAGGACGCCTTAGTGCAATTTGCCTCCGTGCCGACCAACTTGATCACCACCGTCGAAAATTTCCTTGTGCAGGCTGCCCTGGCCCAGGGCTGGACGGTCACCGTACCCGACTATCAGGGACCCAATTCGGCGTTCATCGCCGGTCAGTTGGAAGGACGGGCGGTCTTGGACGGTATTCGAGCTACTCTCAAGTATCCCAACTTGAACTTGAACAACCCGAAAATCGCGGTTTGGGTGGGTGCTCGTGAAGTTTGGTATGTCTGCTGCGGGGTCCCTGCTGATCCGCTCATTTTCTCTTATCAGGGTTACTCTGGTGGAGCCGCCGCCGCAGGATGGAGTATGTCCAAGATTACAGCTTCTTGAACGATGTACGGGAACTAAGACGATTGTGCACAGCCGGAGCTCTTCAGCCCTCCTATGCGCCCGAGTTGAATATGATTGGGGTAGCCCAAGGTGGCACTCCAGCGTACCTGCCAGGAACCGCCCGCTTCATTGTAAGCTTTCTGGTCTGGACTTTCAGGCGATCACTTCGTCATCTCGAACTGACGATTTCCGTCATCTAGGACGGAACCGCTCTGGCCGGTTGTAAGCGTCCCCATCTCCTTGTTGCCACCTGTAATCTTCACCAGTCTCGGCCGAGCCTGACAACCCTTCGAATTCAACGATAGTGGCTTTCGGTGCCCTAGCAGGCATGGGATCGGCTTATCCTGCTTTCGAAACCAGGATCCAAGAACTTCTCACTTCCCAGGGAAAACAGGAAATCGTCCGCGTACGCGAAAGATGCGCCACAGACAACATTTTTGCCTATGCCGGCCAGAAAATCCTCGAGACGTATGTGACCACCGGTACGGCCGCACTTGACGATCCCATCATCAAGGTGAGGCCTGATCGCCGTACTGTACATGGATGAAACTGGATCTTTCCGTCTGCGTGTTATAGCCCATCCTCGATCAGCAAACGATGGGGGCCCCTTCGACGCCTCGGGTCCCAGTCTACGTCTACCACGCTGCCAACGACGATGTAGTCCCCTACGCCGATGTGCCCGGCATGGTGGATTCCTGGTGCAACGACGGTGCGACGGTAGAATTCGTCACAGACGTCGCACCGTCAACTAACCATTTCGCCATGGAAATACTCCACTTCCCCGCTGTCCTCGACTGGCTAAAGGGCAGGTTCGACGGAACCATTAACCCGAGCGGTTGCTCTCGCAAGGAGATCTCTCAAAGTCTGCTCGGGTCCACCACGCTTGCCGAATCTGTCGGTGGCAACAGCGCCGCTGCTGCGGTCAACGCCGCCAACGCCGCGTTGCAAGCGAGTCCCCTTGCATAGCGGCTATGATATCAATGCAACGCATGAAGATGATGAGCAGATATAATCAGGTTTCAAATCCCAATCGAAATGTATACGTTTCAAGCTATGGGTATTAAGATTGGTGATGAAACGCCGAACAATCCGAAATAGCCAATCATCTACCGTCCAAACGTTCCTTGAGGATCTCGACCCTCCCCTTGATCCCGATTCGCGTCTCCCCGCAAACCTCGACGAGCAGGTCGACCTGACGTTTGAGCCTCTTATTGGACTGCAGCTTCGGTTGAATGACGGTCCGGTGTTGAGCCAACCGTTCGTTGAACATGGAGTACGTCCGAAGATCCCTTGCGAAAGTATACGTCTGGACAACATCGGCACATCGAGTAAGGCTCGAGCCGTGCACAACCCGTTCACAAAGGCATCATTTCCGACTCACAGGCAATGCTTCGAGCCCGCCCGGCACGATCTCGCTCAACACGGTCCAACCTGCCATCAAAACTAGATCCATCGTCGAATTCGCCACATACTCCTCGACGCCCAACCCGCCTTCTTTGCCGCTCCGCAGTGGTACGTTCTTGAGCTCTTTGGTGCAGAAGGAGGAGATGAGCGATTCGGCCTTGTGGACGGGTCCTTGTCTGAAAGGCAGCGGCTCTGTGTCCGAGGGAGCTCTCCGTCTTGTCGCTTTCACTAGGCCAGCCTCTTCCGCCAATGGAGACTGAGAGTGATCGACCTCGACGGGAAGGACGGTGGTACCCGGTTGGACTTCCCACGTTCTCAACCAGAGTGCGACTTCGTGGACGGCCTTGTGGATCCAGATGTCTCCTTCGGACATGATCAGGACTTGCAGGTAAGAGGACAAGAGGGAAGAGTCGAACGCTGGGAGGAGAGAATTGTCAATGGCCATCTTGAGCTACAAGGCGAGGGTGCAGCGGTTCATCCAGGTTCAGTGCTGCTTCCAAGTGGTTAGTAGACGGAGTGGTCTTACATTTACCCTCAACGCTCTCAAGACAGAAATGGTTTCTCGTTTAGAAAAATCCTCGTCGTCCAGATGATTAACGTATCTGACACAGACCCATCCAGTCAGCCGGGCCCTACGAATCACGGCACAGTAAGCTTACCTCGAAAGGGCTCCGCATAGCAAGATGACGATATCTAGAAGACCCGTACGATCATTTGGTCAGTTGCGTGATACCAACATCGTTCAAGTAGAGCGAAAGCACATACGTGCCTTTGTGCGATTGCCCTATTCGGGAAGCGTAGATGATGGGAAACTCTCCTGCGTTCTTTTGCAGCAACAGAGGGAACGCATGGTCTCTTTTAAGATCGCGGCATCAGATTTCCTGTGCGACTCAGGCGGTGAAACATCAACAGCTCACCTGACTCGGGCGATATAACTGCGCAGCCGCCTAAAATCAGTCCCTTTCCGCAGCATGTCTCTACCTGCCTATATTCGTAAACTCACTTGAGATCCTTCTTGTCGATCGCAGCATACAGTTCGTAAGCCTGAGGAGGCCTGTCGAACGGTTTCGTCTTTCCGTCTCTCGTGTCCGGACCCCCACCCTTGTCCTTGCCCTTGCGTCGACCGGCGATCAGATTGGTCCAGGTGCCTTGCGATTCTTTGAGCTCGCGCCGTTTCTCTTTGCGCTCTTCTTCAGCGAGAGCTTCGGCTAGAGCTCGCTCCCGCTCAGCCTCGACAGACTGTCTGGCCAGTTCAAGGGATGAAGATCGGACGGCCTCTTCTTCCAAGACATGGGATGATGGCAAGGCATGTGCTAATGTAGGTCCACGGGGAAGGAGGGCGTGTCGAGGTGCGTGTGAGCGGGAGGAAGACGCTTCGGGCGATGCCGGGGCGTGAGGGTCGTCGGCAAGATGCCTCAAGATGAACTCGTTGTTGTAGCTCATGGTGTAAAGTGTGAGAGAGTATATACAACACTCGTTGACTCGCTCTCTCACTCACGAGTGATCCCTCGAGGATCAAGATGACCTGCTGCAGGAGATGGTCTTCGGAAGCAGAAATATACTTCCGGTCTGATGATTTGCTTCCGTAAACCTTACTTCTGCTGGTCGATCGACAATCGAAAGTCGTCGCAACCATATGAGTACGAGCGATCGAGCAAACAAAGTACCGGTGCTGACCCCTGACAACCATCCCTGAACTGGTTCGGGACCGCCGACGTATAGAAACCCTTCTAGTTACTACCCATACTCCGACTGTCCATCGAATGACCACCTCCCGACCCGTTTCGCCGGCCCTGTCGACCTCCTCCACATCATCGTCGTTGGACATTCTCAAATCGTTTGCCGTTCCGATCCGAGAACCGACCGCTCCGGAGAGCGAAGTCACCATCGAAGTGACCGGGTTAGAAAAGGGTGTAAAACTTGCGGTAGATGCTGGACCCGGGTGCGGAGGGATCGCGTGGCCTGCTGGAGAGGTAAGCAACTCCGAGACTGTTTCTTAGCGATTCCAGGGCAACTCTATGTGGTCCACGCTGTTGATGCAAACTTTCCGTCCTCCTGCCTTGATGTTTGAATCATTAGGTGCTCAGCAACTACCTGGCATACAGACACGGTCTAGAACCAGATAAGCTCCGGGACAAGACCGTCATCGAGTTGGGAAGCGGGACGGGGTTGGTAGGATTGGTCGTCGGTCTGCTTGAACCGTCCGCCCGGATATGGATCACCGATCAAGAGTGCGTTCGCGTTGTCCCCATCCCCGTTGCCCTCGATTTGATCCGTCATACCGTGCTTATAATGCCAACATGCAACATGTTTTCTCCCTCTACAGACCATTACTACCTCTCATGAAAGAAAACGTCCTCCTAAACTTTCCCACCACCGCCTCCCCACCCGTACACGTCTCTGAGCTTGACTGGGGAACCACCCCGCCTTCTTCGTTGCCCTCCAGCCCGGACATCATCTTAGCGGCCGACTGTGTATACTTTGAACCGGCTTTCCCTCTACTTGTAGAGACGTTATGCGGACTATGTCCGATAGGGGAAGATAGGGAGGTCTTGTTCTGCTGGAAGAAGCGAAGAAAGGTCAGTAGTCGCCATGGACTTGGCCATCGCTTGAAATATGCAAGAGTTTCCGAACTAACGTCATCTGATTCGTTTCACATCGTTTCAAATTTGGCGACACACATTACAGGCCGACATGCGCTTCTTCAAGATGCTCAAGAAGCACTTCTCGTCGTCTCCCGTTGAAGACGACCGGCCGGGAGAACGGGAACGGTACGAGCGGGAGGGAGTCAAGCTGATGAGGCTCGTTAGGATCAAGTGAGTATCGTACCCTTTGTCGTATCGAGAAAAAAACGCCCTCTAGGGATTGGGAGAAACCGAGAAAGGGAGGAAGATGGATGAGACTCCACGGAGGTCGGGATTATATTGTACGACGAGTAGAGTTGTAGTGGCCAGATACACCAATCGTATACCCGCCTGACCTGATCGCTCAGCGATCGCCTGTCGATGATGTTTTGCGGACGTCTAGCTCGAGCTCGAAGACTTGGCTATTGGATTTTGTGCTTGACCTGTCCAAGTTCCTCCCCACGAAAGCCAACAGCGTGGGACTAGAGGTGACTGGTGGGAATCACAGCGAGACGACTTCCGGGTGTCGATTGCTACCCTTCTGATCTCAACCATAAACGCTACCCATCTCGCCTAAGTTTGCATGAAGCGGGTCACGATGTCAAGACATACATGAAAGCTTGAACGTTTCCTAGGTAAAGTCAGAGAATGAGATCTCTTGTGGAGTTCATCAATACGATGTAAACATGCATAAACCTCGCGTAGCCTTTTCTTCCGGGTATTGGCGAGGCTACCGCATCGTATCGGTATATCCCTTCTATGTTAAGTACAATTCCCTCGAATGAGAGAAGCTTGATCTAAGCCGTCACACGCTCGACCACCTCATCATGTCGAACGTCCCGATCCTCCGTAAATTCCAGTTGTCGTAATGCAACATCCACCTTGTCAGCCCTCTTCTGCCGTCGAACGACCATCTCTTGAACGCCCTTCAGTCCTGCTAGACCGACACCTTCCACCTGCCCGAGGAGCCGTTCGAGATCTCCACCCAGGTCCTCCTCGAGACCTTCTTCAACGCGACTCCAATCTTGCCAAAACTTCTTCTGCGCTTTAGCCCAAAGACCCACTCCCCATCGTACGCTCGCTAGTGAGCCCAATAGACCCGCCGCGAGACCCGTCGAGTGAGTAATCAGTTCGAGAGGCACGGCAGTCGTCCAGGCCGCCGAAGAGAAGAGGAAGGATAGCGAGATTGTCGTCCACGTCATCTTGTGAGCACGAGCCTGTAGCATGGGTACTGAAAACCGTAAGAGTTGATTCCGGCGAGCAAGAACAGGGTTCAGGAGCGAAGTTGGTGTTATGTCGTTTTCAAATGCCAGTCGTTGTAGCCGGTTGAGGAACAGAGGCGAGTGGTAAGGGTGGGCGGTGTTGGGAGCCCTTTGCGCGGAGGTTTCAGGCGAGAAATTCGACAAAACATCGAACATTTTTGCGTTTAGGTTCTTCTGAATAGCCTGAAGTCGCCCGGCTTCGAAAGCCAGCTAGAATTTGGAACAAAAGCCGTCAGAAGATATCGCGACCAATAAGATATCCCGGATTCAACTTACCTTTTGTGTCAATTCTACTGCCCATCGTTCCTCGACCTCCCTGCCAACCTCCTCGGCCACCATGTCTACCCTCCAACTCATGACTTTCCACCACACGAGCCTCTTCCGCAAGACCTCTTCAACGCCCCTTTTGGCCCTATCCATCTCCTCTTTGATCGCCTCGCCGGACGTAAAGGTATCTCGGCGGAGCTCCTGCCTCTTCCGGGAGAGGAGGTCCGCATGTTGAGCGCAGAGAGCCTCAATCTCGCGGGTCTCATCCAGCACGTCCGCCAAGTTCCGCAGAATGTACCTCGACGCCGACTCGGCGAGCCAAGCGTATGTACCCTCATACACTCCTCCCGATATGTCCGCACGCTCCCGTACAGCTCTAATATCACCAAGAAGACCGGCAGAGACTGCTCCGAGGTTGCTCTCGAGGTATTCTTCCCTGAACTTGGCAAAGGCGTGTTCTGACGAGTTCAGCGCAATGGTTTCTCCAACCGTCAGCGTCGATCTTAATGCATCCATCGAGCGGAGCGCTTTATGCGTGGACAGGAAGACGATCTTTTCCTGCGCCGCCTTCTCTGCCAGACCGAAAGCCGACCTCGACGACCGCAATTGATCCTCCAAAAGTTTCCTGGTAACCCGTCTAGCCTGCTCCTGATCCAGACTTGCACCAACATCCCTCAACCCGTTCGATTCGATCTCCCCGTTGACGATGAAGTAGACGTCGGGTTTGCCTAACAAGTCCGAAAGGATCGCTGTGATCTCGGGAGTGTCGAGAAGTCGGACGGGATCTAGGACGAGGAGGACAACATCACTCTCAAGTAGGGTAGATATAGCACGAGAAGTATCACGAGCTGTCGTAGCAAGAAAAGCGACAGCATAAACGAGCTGTTCGAGGACTCGTCCAGGACGGCCTAATCGCAGGCTTACTGGTCACCTCGTGAACGTCCACAGCGGCGTCTCTAAGCCAAGGTGAATCGACCACTAGACCGTTGACATCTCTTCCCACGCTGTCTCCATAACTATGTATTTGTAAGACATGAGCAAGGTTTGATGGTATGGCTTCGGCTGCAAGCGGGAAGGTAACCAACCTGGTCACAAAGGTTTCCCCAATTTCCTCGTTCGCCCTGTCCAAAATGGCTTTTCGTGCTTCATCCGACTGTGTCAGAGGGTCGGCGAGAAGAGTGGTAACAACTGTACGGAACCCGGATTCCGGGGACCCGTACACTGTGATCTCAAGGAACAGGGATAGAAACGAAGTCAAGGGTTTCGAGTCAGATCATTTCTTTTATGAGCGGTACCACCTTGATAAGCTCACCCGCGAGTCGTCCTTTTCTACTCAATCCCGATCCAAGCTCCTCTAAAGCAGACTCTATCCGTCTGCTCCACTCCGGGTTACCTCCGATTTCGCCCTCCAGGAGCTCGAGCGTATCGGCCAGTCGCGCTGCCGTTTGCTGCATAGACAATGGCAATGGCCGACGAGGCACATCTGAGAGAGCATCTGTGTTCCCTGGCGTGACTACATCCTTCACAAGTACAGCTTGAAGACCATGACCGTTGGAGGTGGCGGAGGTGGTTGTGATCTTTCTGGACCATGCCGAGCTGGACACTGTCGGTAGGTCCACCGCTGCTCGTCGAGCATGCTTCTGCCCCTTGAGAGTGGCGCTTTTCAGGATACGCCGTCCAGCAACTCTGGAGGCCGGGATGAGTGCCGACATGAATGGCAATCAATGACCAGGGGACACCTCTGTGGAGACGGTTTGACTGGCGAGGATGGGAGGATGAATGAATCAAGACCAAGTATCGGAGGTCTTTCGGAGGAAGCCAGGCTAGGCTCTTGCGACTCCGAGGTGGAAACAAGAGCGAAGGCGACCTCTTGAGATTTTGGAGACAGCTTGCTGCTTTCCATGATCGTCGTCGCTCATGAGCGCTCTCCAACTTGATCTCGTCGGTTTCCTTCTCGACTTCAGGACAAGCATCACACTGTATCAATAGGTTTCCAAAGAACTAGGGATCAATTCACCCGAGATGCCCATCAATCAGCCTTCGGCGTCGATCAAGTGGGTTCGAGACCGTGACGGATGGAGCCTAGATATACTCTGACGTCACTCTCAAATCAGGTTGACGAATGTCAGTATCGTGAGGATGAAGAAGGGTGGGAAACGATTCGAGGTGAGTCCGGACGTATGGTGGTGATGGATCCGTCGTTATGCTCATTCCTCGGATGTGGCAGATCGCATGCTACAAAAACAAGGTCGGCGAATACCGCTCAGGCGTGTGAGTGCGACAGGCCAGATAACGATACTTTCGCCGCTGAACGGGGCCATCACTATGTTCTGTCATTCGTAGAGAAAAGGATGTCGACGAGGTCTTGCAGATCTCTCAAGTCTTTACCAACGTCTCCAAAGGTCAAGCGGCGCCCACCGCTGACCTGATGAAGGCGTTCAACACGACCGACACGCAAGAGATCGTCAAGCAGATCTTAACAAAGGGCGAATTGCAGGTCGGTGAAAAGGAACGAGAAGCCAAGCTCGGGAACCTGTGGAAAGAGGTTGCTGGAATGGTCGCCGAGCGCGTAGTGGACCCCTCGACGAAACGGCCATATAGCGTTAGCTTGATCGAAAAGGCCATGAGCGAGATTCACTTCAATGTCAAGGCGGACAAGCCTGCAAAGTCTCAGGTGAGCACCAGCGCCTTGTACTGTGTCGACTTTCGTACCCATTGTTGCTGACGAATATGATTCACCTTCTTTCACAGGCACTAGAATGTATCAAGGCGCTCATGCAGTCTTCACCGCTTCCGGTTCAAAAGGCCGAGATGAAGGTCCGGATCACCATGCCTCCGAAGGATGGGAAACGCCTTGCCGAACAGGTCCGTGGGCTGAGCAGTCAGGGTGGGATCGAGGAGGACGAGATGAGCGCAGAAGAATGGGAAGTCGTGAGTGTCGACCCATGTCCCCAAGGTCGAGATCATTTTCTTTTGTGCTCAACGTTTCCTCTCCATCGATCGTACGACACTCAGATCATGAGGATCCCACCGGAGAACTTCCGACTCTTGACGGATTTGATGGAGAAGGAGACGAAGGGGAAAGGTCGAGTAGAGTCGATGGGTTTTGCAGTCGTTGCCAAGGAGGAAAAATTCGAATAGAGGGAGACTTTGAACCGGCCATTCACGTGCCATCGTGTTGTATCCCTATCTTGTCTTATCTTGCCTTGCCTTGTGCATGATTCATGCTCTTTTGATGATGCCTAGAGCTCGAGGAAAACACAATGCAGAAGAGCTTATCGTCGAATGATCCCGCGAGTGGATGCCGGGCTAGATGTCCCGAGCCTAGCTGGATGCAGCCTTAAAACCGGATTTCCACGAAGGATGTCGTGAATAATGATGCTAATAACAGATTCTCTACGTGAAGTACAGTTCGTTTCATTCATGACGTCAAAGATGCGGATACAGCGGGCGTGATATTTCTCATCGAAGTAGAAGAGCCAAAGAATGCCAGGAGACTCTGGTATCGGATTAGGAAAGGTAGAATCCGGCGTTGGAGTTGATAGCTTGCAAGAGCTTGGCCTTGAGGGTGTGTTCGTCCTGCGGCAGATCAAATCATCGTCAATTCAGGTCTACAAAAGCGAGGTTGCAATAAGACCTACTTTGTATCGGGGTCTGTTGAGCACAGATTGTAAGAAGATTTAGTCAGGATTTGGAAACTCCGTTTGTACGATAGACTGACAGTTTGAGCAGATTCATGCACGCAGCTATACCCAAAACAAGAGACTTTAGTTAATTCGTCCGGTACTTGCTTCGCACGAGCCGATGCACACATACCGGCTGTAGGCAATCTGTTGATGTCGTGTCCATGGGGATTGAGGCGAATGCCGAATTGCGGATTAAGTTGCTTGAATCCGAGCCTGTCATGGTGGACGTCAGTGTATGGTTCATCTTGACATGATCCGCACACTCACAAAGGTGGGTTCGGTGTCGAGGTAACAAACTTGAGAAGCGATCGAAGTTCCGTTTGCGTCATTCCACGTACGACCTTCCAAAACACGTCGTAAAGAGGATCGTCTTTCTCATGCATGACCGAATGTTGCTGGAGATCGTCAACATCGATCGGAGTTTCCGCTCCACCGATGAGCGTTTGCAGCTCTTGCTGGTCAAACATCCTCAACCCTATTCTCATAAGGTAACGATAAGAAACACAGGGATGCGCGGCGACGGCAGAGCTGCACTGACATTTGGGGTCGATAATGTCAGACAATCCAGAAAAGAAGGCTTCACATTGAGGCGCAATTTGTTTGTTGAGCTTGAAGTCGCAGACGAGCTGGATGTCTAGTGGTGTCGCCGCGAGCCAAACATTGCATCAGATATACGTTCAACGAAGACCACGGTTCCTGTGCTTACATTCCATTCGATTGGCTCGGGTGACTGGAATATTCGAACCATTTCTCTTGAGGTCGATAGAGACCGTCTGCCCAAATTCCTCTTGATCCAGTGTGAAAGTTAGTGACATGTCCTCCGGGTCTCCAGGATAATTTTTCAGAGCGATCAAGCCTTTGTAGAGATCGTAATCCAAAGAAGCTAGGTCATCCAGGTAACTCTGCCTGCCAAGCCACTTGGACAGGAAGAATCCCGCGAAAGAAGCGTTCATGAGCAAGCCCTCGTAGAGCGCTTTGCCCAGCATGCGACCGATGAACGTATACCATTCCAGTTGATGCGGCTCCTTTGCATATCGATGGGGGTTCGGGTAGAGTTCGTTCTGGGACGTGGCCAACCACAATCCGCGGTCGGTATCGAAGACTTCTTTCGAAAGGCTGATAAGCCACTCCTTGAAGAGGCCGCCGCCGTCGATGCCCATCTCTTCTTCGCCGAATCTGCATTTGTTGCCGTGAGATTCGATTTCTCATCATAAACAAGCCTAGTCGAGACTCACTCGTCTAAGAAAGTAATCTGAATGCTACCTTTCAAAGCAGCGCCCAGCTTGTTAAATTCCCGGAACGAGTCTTCACTCAGGTGGGTGCGTCGGATGGTAGCATAGTGACGCAGTTTACGCCTCCTCATATACTTCGCTAGCTTGTTGTAGTCGTTGCTATGATCGTGTCCCGCAAAATCAGCTCAACCGTCAAGATGGGTTGTTCGGGCTGAAAGGCTCACTTGACAAATTGTCCCATGATTTCCACCCTAGATTCGAAGGGGAGTGTCATCGGTAGATTATTGAGTAAACCCAATCTAGGACTGATCTTCGCCATCTGTCGCTTGCTCAGCAAACGTCTGGCTCGCAACCAGGGTGGTGGTACCAATGCCAGTTGATCGTCGGGGATGTTTTCATTCATGTCGTCTTCCTCCTCGGCTGTTCCTTCTAGCTGCTGTTCCTCCTGACAGACGGTGTCTATGAAGCTGCCCATCTCAGAGTCGTCTATCATGATCCAGAAACCTTCGGCCAGGAATTTTCGCCTCGCACTGTAGTAGTCATGAGCATCAGCAAACAATCCAGTCGAAGCACTCGCTCGTAAATCTCACTTTCTGGCGCTGACAGCAAGAACTCCTTGTGTCATAAGGCTCCTCAGTTCCTCCTTTCGCTTTGTGACGGGTGTCTCCGGTCCGGCTCCAACTCCAACTACGTAACCATAGAAAGCCAGATCTTTCCATATGCTTGCAAGGTCTCCAACCTCGTCGAGGCTGAGTGCGCTTCGACCTCCGGCCTTGCGCACGGGTTCGAAAAACTCGTCATCCGGCAAGGTCAAGAGGTTCTGCAAGTATAGGGTCGAAAAGAGTTGCAGGGCTGGTAGATGCGGTGTTTTGCTGGATGTCGGCGTGAAGAGGCTCTCCCAGGTCGCCTTTGTGATGTTCTTCCAGTGAGTCCGGACGACAAGCCAGAGTTGTCGCTGCAGCTGGATACCGTGTTCGCTTTGCAAGATGCCCTCGAGTATGCCTTCCCATCTAGGGCTACCTCTGAAAGCTCTCAACATGGTCGTGACGAGCCCAGTGAGCGCTTCCGTGGCAACCCGGTCGTTGATAGACTTGGCTGCAAGGAGGTTGAGATGCTGCGGTGAAAACAGATGCAAGAGCTTGGTGGTTGTGGCGGGTTCTACCCGTCCTCGCGCTCGGCTTCTGTTCTCGGCCACGAGTTGTCCTTCACGTAAGCGTCTCCTCCCGCCCGCGAGTTCTTCATCCTCCTCTCCATCGCTGTCCATAACCGTGTCGATTCCTTCTCCAGGTCCCGCCATGACCGAATCACTTCCAACCCTCGCTACGGGCACAGCCCAGATCCCTTGACGCTCGATCCACAGCCCCCACCCGTCCTCGACACCCTCAAGAACGGACGTTGAGAGCTTCATCCAACCCGCCACATCCTGCACTTGCTTCTTGTCGATCATCCCGGTTCGTACGATGATGGTCGCCAAATTCGCCAGTAGATCAGTCTTGCCCATCTCCGTTTTCAGTCTTCCCGAATCGAGAATGCTCTGCCCAACAGCACCTGTTGTCAGCGGGATCAACTTGTTCCAAAGCTGCAGACCGCCCATGAGTACGCCCAGACTAGACAGGGGCAAGCTGCTCATGAGATTCGGTCGAGAAAGTAGGTCGTTGAGGAAGGCGGGGTATATCTTGGCTCCGACAGCGGTGCTATCGGGGTAGCTTTTGGAAGGCATGACGAGCAGGTCGACGAGAGGCGGTAGTGCGGGGTGTGATTTCTGAGCTGGAGTCTTTTGATACCAGAATTGATTAGCTTACAATTGGCAGCACGAAAGAAGAGCGTTGCCACCGATCACTCACGATATGTTGCATTCCAGCCACAAGACGCTCGACCCATCCACGCTTTCCCTCGATCAAGCTCTCAATCAGCCGCTTTCTCAAAGCGGACCCTATGGTTTCTTCATCGTTCGAGCTGGCGAGTAAGGACTTCCAATTGTCTTCTCGTAAGAATCGATACAGGTAGTGAACGATTTCGGCGTTCGGGAAGCCCCTATTAAGGAGTTTCGACGATGCACGTCCTGTCAGCCTAGCTAGCGATAGCTTCATTTGAGCAGTACTACATACGTGGGGCGAGAAAACAGTGACAGCGATCGATCCAACAGGCAGCGAATGGTTGCGATATGACTTGGGTCGGAGGCGAGTGGTAGTAAAGCATGATGACCGCCGCCTGCAATGTGGGATGAGCTTCAGACCCAGATCAAATGGTAATTGGCAGTGGCTATAAGACTCACGATCGAGAGCAGCTGTTCCCGCTCGACACCATCGCACTAACAACTCCCCGTCGTCATCGTTGGAAGTGAGAGCACGGTCATTCCAGAGAATGATCATCAAGGCCCTGTTCAGAAACGTCCATTCCTCCGATCCCAATTCGGGCTGTCCGAGAAGATGCTGTACATCGATCCTCAAGCTGTCTCGGACCTCTCGAGCAGCTCGTCTACCTCGCCATACCCTCTGGATACACGAGGCGCTGGTGATCTCCAAGCGATTGCGCTCTCTCGCTCGACGTTCCTCCCGAGCTTTTGCGAGGAGAGTCTCTGAATTGGAAGGTTGGGATGAAGATGGTCGACCAGAGAGGTTGATCTGCCGGGGTTTCGAAATCCCGGAGAATTGAGTGAACATGGGCATGTTGACACAGAGGCCGCTTTTGATGTTTGCTTGCGATGGATTTGAGTCGAAAATCTTCGTTCGATATGATCCTGGTATGAGGTATCGATCGCACTTGGGGTACGAGTGATGAGTAAGCGCCAGAGCTTTCGGGATGATCGTCAACGAGACTTGTGCGTCGTCGTCTTCACCTTGCTACCGTCGACGACTCGTAGCAAGAGTCCCACAAAGCGAAAGTGGCTCTCCTTTCAGCGTCAAAGATCGGGGGACGGATGTTGGATGGCACATAAGATCTATCGAGCAGCAGTTGTAAAGGCGTGAACGGTATGGCCTGGTTGACATGGTTGCCCCCTCGGTCGTGAGCGATCAGCGCGGAAGCAAAATCGAAATCTCGAGCTTGCTCATCATCCGGCGTCGTCGAGAAAGTTGTTTGAATCGTGCCACCTCGACTGCTCTGATGCAAAACCTCAGGCAGCCCATCTGATAATCATCAGAAACGGGCATATACTCGAATGCCGTCGATCAAAATGTCCACCTTCAAACGTCCGCCGAAGAACAGGAGACAACGGGATGATGATGATAACGCTGGACGCGGGAAGAAGCGAAGACAGCCGCAGCAGGCAACGTTTGACAACTATGACGATGCGATGGAAGGTGAGCCCCGGGCCAGAACTGTGCCTGTGAGCTCAGGCGTTCGCTGAAGGGAAGGTTCTGCTTTCGTAGCTGGAGTAGATTCAGAGGAGAAGGGCGAAAAGTTCAGGACAGGTGACAAGGCGAGGAGGTTCTATGAACAAGCCTTGGAGTTATACCGAAAGGCCATCCAATATGAGCGGACATATGATGCACTATACAACGAGTAAGCCGGCAAGAACCCGGGATCCAGGCATTAGGCTCATCGGTCCTCTTCATAGGGCACGCGTACTTTATATCCTGGCAACAAACCATACCCTCCCACCGACCCCGTCCCATTTCAACCTCCTCACCCAGTCCATCGAGCTTTACCGAGCGGCATTGACATCAACTCCAGAGCCGTTACTGGAGTCTGACTCTGCCTACAATTTAGCTATCGGTTTGATCGAACTTGCGGACATCGCCGAAGACTTTCAAATGCCCGGTACGGCCAGCGGATCTCATTTGCCGATCTACCTGAACGAGGACCGGGTGCGGGATATCAGACTGGAAGCGAGGAGTCTTTTGGAAGACGTCGTCAAGGTGCAAGAGGGGTACATCGCGTCTCAAGGAGGAGTCCAAGCTTTCGAATCCGATATATTAGGGGACGAGCCAGATGCAGATGGCGATCAGGAAATGGCTATGTCTGGATCATCTACTTCCGGTGGTGCCGCTTCTTATGAGGAACATATCCCTACACCGACTACCCTGACGGACGCAATCTTGCTGATCGTCGACGTCGACATCTCCCTCCTGGGCGCACTGGATCCCGATGTGTCACCCGAGGTGTTATCCAGCGATTTTGCCGTAGGAACACTAGCGCACGCTTGGGCGGCACTGGCGAGAGCGAGGCAGGCGAATGGGGAAACGCCTTCCGTGCCACTGGTCGTCAAGGAGAGCGAACTTGTCCTCATTCTGATCGGTCTCGGAATGGAGATCGACCTAAGCTCAGGAAGCATCGTCGCGCCGACATTGGCTGGTCAGGTCCGTCTTGTGCGACAATGTCTAAATAGGATGATCGCGTTGCAACAACTCGCTTCCTTCACGACGACCGAGGTCGAGGCCAAGTTATCGTTCTATGACACCTTGATCGAACTGTACAAAACCTCGTCCCGATTGGACGCTACCGAACACGCAGCAACCGCGTGGGAAGACCTAGGGAAAGCCGTCCAAGCATGCACGGCCGCCTTGGAGCTCCCCTTCTCCGTGGTCACCAACCCTTTATCTCGAGCTTCTCTATCGCTAGAACTCGCTAGGGTCTCTTTGCGAAGAACTTTTCTCCCCCTCGTTGCGGTCGAGAAGAACCGAGGTACCTTGTTGAGGAATGCAGAGACGTATGCCAACCGGTGCCTGGTCGCTCTCTCCTGGGGAAGCATGGCTACGCAACAGACCGGAGTGGGTCCGGGATCGGGTACGTTGAGTATTGGCTTGGGAAGTGGGGCGGCGACTGGCAATGTCCCTCCCACGCAAGGGTGGGATCACGAGAGGTTGGCGAGGACGGCGACTTTGACACTGTTGAGGATACTGTGGATCGGATCGACTGGATCGTCTACATTAGGCGAGACGACGGCAGCCATTCCGGCAACGATGACGACGACGACGACGACAACAGCAATGACAACAACAACAACAGCCAAAGCCGAAAAACTTCTACGGTCGGTCAAATCGCTGGGAAAAGGGTTGGAGGATCGCAAGATCGGGAGGATCGACGTGGAGCGGTTCGTAGAAGAGGTAGAGTTGGAGGAAGGCGCGCTGAGAGAAGGGGAAATCGGATTCTGGGAAGGTGTGGTCGTGGAGCTAGAGCGCGGGGCTTGACGGTCGAAGGCGATTGTCGGGTTGATCAATAATGTTTAGGTGATGGACAGCGCACTATGGAGCAACGGACGTCTCGATTATGTTCATTGACAGATTCTGTAGTTCTTTGTCCATGCTGTTGTCCGTCAAATCCTAATCGAATTTGGCACGACGATCCCTGGATCTTGTAGATCAGCTAGATCGATGATTCTTCCCAACGGCAGTCGTTTCTTCGGGATGGCACGCTGCAGTCCAGCCTTTTTGCCTTTACGAGTTGCGACGGATCATAACGCTGGTCGCTGATCCATGGATCCAGCGGAGATCGGCTTGCGTAACGACCCTTCGGTCAGCCCGAAAAAGGCTGCCGGAGCCGAACCCCACGCGTGGGAACTACCGCTTTGGGCGGGATGAAGGGGAACGCGAGAGGAGCCCCGAGGATCGCTCGCGCGGGGAAAGACGGGGCTCACACACACACACACTTAGAAGCGGGCGCCAAGAGGGGCGAGGGGTGAGAGAGAGACCTCGAGAGCCTGCATCGCCTGCATCACAAATCAACTACCAGCTACCATATCCATCATCCAACCTCTCTCGACATGTCCTTCATACCGACCTGATCGAACCGATTGACCACGACCGTATCCCAGGGAGACCAACCACCACGCCAGCAACCAGTGAAAGATCGTTAGACATCGCTCGACAACACTCCCCGCATTAGAATCTCGGAGGACGCCGATACAGCCCGTTACAGCATCTCGTTCACACCAGCTCGACAACAGACCCGAGCGCCTGTCTTTCTCGCTCGAGTTGCGATTAGAGAGCACCTCGAATCACATAACTCGCAAAGACTTGGATTGTCGGGATAACTCGAACGTCCAGCAGATCGTATCGGCATGGGTGAGTCGGCTTGACCCGCGAAAAGCTTGTGTGATCAGTCGATCAACGCTGACACTGCACATTCCGTTCAAACTATGCCATCGACTACTCCTTTCAAAACGATTCGACCAGTTGGTATCCATGACGATATGCTTCATCAACCGAGGATCAAGAGGGAAGGCTTCGAGTACGTCATCTCGGTCGAGAATCACATGTTCCCCTCGCGCCAGGCCGGGTTTCGCTAAAGGACGCGATCTCCTTTCACCTATCGATTGAATTCTGGTGCACTCTCTTGTCCCATCAATCTAAATGAAAATGTCGACTCCCCCAATCTTTCATCTCGTCCACTGCTGCATATAACGCTCGCATCCACCGACATCCATCATGTAGCATCTCGCCTTCACCCGGTATGACCTCGGGGAGCAATTCTACCAGCAATACCATGGGATTCGCCTTCGGACAGCCTTCTCCCGTCCCTCAAACTCCTCTACACCAGACGTTTGCATCAGAACTCTCTCCTCAGGACAATGCTTCTCCGAAATACCCTTTGTGGAACGATTCTCAACAGCAACAATACCTGTTCAACAACCATCAAGGCCATAACCCGTCCGCCTCGACCTCTTCCCGTCATGGTTTGATAAACTCGGCAAACATCTTCAACCAGCTCGATCTGAGCAACGACATACTCGACATGCGCATGATTAACTCTCCCAGTATCGACAGCATGAATGGTCCTGACGAGAAGCGAGACAAGGAACCAAAGGGGTTGCTGGAAAAATACGTCGGTACTTTCCAGCAGCAGCAGCAGCAGCAGCAGCAACAACAACAACAGCGTATGAGTGACTACAGCTTTGGACCAGACGATGAGGACACCTCGACCCTAGGTCCGACAAACAATTCCAGGCTGGGAATGAACCTTGACGATTCAGAGGAAGATTCGCCCACTTCTCGCCCTGGCGATATGGAGACCAACTCGGGTGACAGCTTGCACCAGACTCATCGACAGTTCTTGCAACACTTGCAAAGCATGACCGCTCAACAGTTCCACCAGGCCGCCATGGGATCATCTTCAGCGACCAGCTTGGGAAACAACAACGGAACTCCCATGAACGCCGGGAACCGGGTCGGTACAGCCAGTTGGGGTGGAGGATACCAAACCAGCTCGGCCAGATTTGACGATTCCGACCTGCTGGCGCTGATGGGTGATACCCAATCACCCGATGAGCCTAATCGACCTCGCAAGCCTGGTCAATCGACCAACGGAGAGTTTAGGCAGATGATGAACGATTTGCACCAGCACCACCTTGCCTCGGATCCGGACCCGACTACCAAGCTGTTCTCTGTCAGTCAGCAGAGTCAGGACGGGCGCGGATCTTATGCACCGATCGAGGGCCAAGGCTTCGTCACTGGTCATCAGCTACAGCAGGGACCTCTCGGGGCATTCCCTGCATCTGCTCCAGCTGCCTTCCAGGACGGCTTCCCAGGCCGTCTTGGTGCCGAGACCGACCACTTCGGTAGGCTCGGCGGGATTGGAGGTGCCGTTTCTGCTATGGGATATGGTGGATACTCATATCACCCTCAGAGCGGTCTCGGTGGAGACGGCGATCAGAGATCCGATATGAACCTTCATCACGGCAAAGGCATCCCCGTCGGCACCTCCAGCGGTATTCAGGGGAACCATGCCACCCTCGACTCGCTTTCCAGGCAATTGGGACAGGGTACGCCGAGCCTGATCGATGGTTCCGTTTCGTCCCTCGGGAACGCGTCGTTGTTCTCGAGCATCATGGGAGGCCAATGGGGCATGGGGGATGGGCACAGGAATACTTATCAAGCTGGAGGATTCCGAGGACAGGCCGGACAAGGCGGGTATCACGATAGTAAGTCATTCTCCTCATCCGCAGTAAGGCGACTGTGGAACTCATGGGTTGTTATGGTCGCAGCTGTCAGTGTCTTCAGCCATGGCGACGGCACTGGCGAGAATGACAAGAGTCCAGACTCCCTCGGTGACGACCGAGATGGGCATGACAAGATGAAGAACGGCGTGGATGACAAGACAACCGCCAGTCGAGGAAGGACGAAGAGCACGAGCAAGATGGGCGGGTTTGGTGGAGACAAGGCGATCAAAGGCAAGCCCAAACTCGCTCGTAGAAGCTCATCCATAGCAGCAGCAGCATCTGGCGGCAGTGCTGTTCGAAACGAGACCGCTGGAGGACCTAGTGGAGGGATCGGCAAAGCCCCTCGAGCTCCGAGCAAGACCCGTCCTGCTCACAAACGTACCGGATCTAATGCGTCGCGAGTTCCTAATGCTACCGTACCCGGTCCCACATCGTCCTCCTCGTCTGGCCCCCGTTCTGGTAACGGAACCGTCTCCCCAGCGCAGTTCGATTACGCGTTGCCTTCCCTCGAAGCAACCTTCCAATCGCCCCGACCTGACGCTCAGCGAAAACGTTCCGACTCGGCTGCGATGACGGTCGATCGCGCGAGCGTCGAGTTGCCGTTGTTCAGAGGTCATATGAACGAGATCAATGCTCAACACTCGGCGGCTCACATGATGTCGATGGGAAATCAGCGACGTTCGAGTATGGCCCGTACGCCCTCGTCTGCCTCTACGTTAGGCGTCTTCCCAGATGTCGGTGACGAGGGCCTTTGGCGACGACATTCGATGAACGATGCGGTTCGACCGGATCTGGTCAGTTTCGGAATGGGTGTCATGACAGGCGATGGAATGGCCACCGTAGATGAAGCTGCAATCGAGGATGGAGACGCCGAAGATAGTCCTCCGATGTGAGTCTTTCCCGATCGCGAGCTTGTTCGTACTGAAGCTCACTGAACCATGGCCAACCACAGTCTCAGCGCAGAAGAGTTGGCCAAAGCACGAATCTCGCGTCGGCGTCTATCGCACAATGAGGTTGAGCGCAAGCGAAGGGAGACGATCAACGAAAAGATCCAGGAGCTCGAGACGCTTCTACCTCCCAATGTCGTCGCTGGGGCCATCGCTGCACGGGATGTGGAATCGATCAAGGAAGAAGACGAGGAAGATCTCGATGCCAAACCGCTCGAGGCTGTCAATAGCAAGGGCAAGAAAATCAAACCTAGGAATCGCAAGATTATCAAGAAGGCGCAAGTACCGGACAAGCTGTGCAAGGGGACGGTCTTGTGCCTGACGGTCGACCTGGTCAAGTGAGTAATCATACGTTGTACGTGTGGACGTCACATATTGACGTCTCATCTCACAGGCAATTACAAGAGATGCTACACATCAAGTCTGCTCGAGAACAGCAGCTGCTGTTGCAGGTGCAAGCGCTTCAATCCCAGCTGGGTGTACCACCCAATATGATGGAACAAGGCATCTACACTGGCACGAGCGCAAACGACCCGTTTACTGGGATCGCTGATCTGGGTACGGACGATTTGCGATCTATCAACGACCTCGATCTTCGGTCGCTCGGCCACAGACACAACCACTCCATTATTGGGAAACAACTAGCCTCCCCTCTGTCGGCCGGGCACGAAGACTCGATCATGGCTGACCAGATATTGAACGACGACATGGCCGCACTGGTCGATTTCCGAGACTGAGAGAGATTTTAATATAACGACGTGCAAGAAGGACCATGCGAACTGCATCTTTATAATCGTCTGTACTGATTCGATGACCTGAGACGACGTTTCGCGATGTGACAAATGTTGTTGATATTTTGTATAATGCGGAAGTCACAAGTTGTATCCAGATAAAAAGAGAGTTGTGCCGCTGTAGAGCTACTGAATTGTTACCAGAATTGCTAGTCTCCAGTCTCATGTTCCAAGATCCACTGGCCACTGACAGCCTCGTCGATGGCCGCCGAAGGGCACTAGGGGATATCACGTGATTTAAATTACATCGCGTCGCGACGCGTCTCTCACTCGTCGCCATCGCCATCTTGTTCTCGGAGCTCTCGAAGGCTTTGTTTGGTCATTCTCATTTGTCCTCACCTCTATCCGCATGACAATCTGCAAGCTGTGATACTCTAGATATACCTTCACAGATCCTGAGCATCTAGCCTACAATCAAACAGGTCTGCTAGCTACTGGCCAGTGATCTTGAGATAGCATTCTTGAACCGATAACCTCGTACCCTACACCACGTCTTTAGCCTAAAAACGAAATCACGAAATCACGAAACTATCGTCATGACCGTATCAATACAACCTCCTATCAGCATAGAGAACGACGTCTTTACAGAGAACAGTGCTCAGTCCAATGGTGTTGTCAGGGGAGGAATCCTGCCACCACAGACGATGAAGGGCAAGGAACGGGCAAGCGATGTCGGAGATCACGTCTTTGCTGGTAAGATTTGGTTGGGGAACTAAGATATCCGGTTGCCAACGACTGATTCCTATCCTGTGTCCAGGCAAGAGCGTACGACCTACCGTCACCTTCAGTCCTCATCCAAGACACCATCCTTTTCGCTCCGATGCGAGGGTATCTACGTCTCTGCGCACGATTGGACGACAGAGCTCATACATCTATACACCAAAAGGGCCCGAGCCAGATCGAGCAGACGCCAACCCCGACCCCGAGTCTCCGACCCGCACGCCTCGACCAGGAGATACTCTACTCACCTCAGCTTCTACGCCAAAGTCCATTCTGAAACGAAATCGACAGATTCCTATCCGAGTTGCCGCAAGCGTCGAAGAGGGGACGAGGGGAAACGCCGAGGAACTGCGCCAGTCGGGCAGAAAGGCTCGACCGGTACTACAGGTCAGGGACAGTTTTGCGATCAACAAAGATCGAAGCAACCCTATTGGGAATGCTACCTCTAATACCCTTGCCGGAGTCAGCGCCGCTGGTAGTCAAGGCTTCCGCGACGCCGAAGTGCCTAGTTCCGATCATACCAATACTTCGGAGGACGACGCGAACAAACCGGGGCAAAGTCGAGATGACGAGGCTCCATCAGGAGACCGAGAAGAAGGTCAAGAGGGCAATGAGGATGCCAATCCGCTAGATGTCGAAATGGTACAACTCGTTTCCTCTCCTTCCTCGATCGATTCCCTGTTGGAGATCATCCTCAATGAGCTTGACGATCTGCTCGCAGTCGAAGACGCCTATTTGCTCCTCTTCGCTCGTCTGAAGAAATGCTTTGCGATCAACGAAGATACCGAAACCTTGGGACGAAGTGCAGAACAGCAGCAGGAACGGGAAGACATTCTGAGAAATGTCCGTTCGCACACCTCCGAAGTGTTTCGTGCTCTGACAAGAGATATCAAGCGCTTGGTACAGCCTGCTTCGAATGAGACGAGATTCCTGGGATCTTCGTCGCCCATTCCACACATGACCGATCCTCCCGCGACGCCTTCTCCGTCTCCGCAGGAAGCTGCGGGCTCGGACGACGAAGACACGCCTAAACCGCGACGTCAAGGCTATTCGGAAGCCGAAGTACGGGAGAGACGCGCCGCTGCTGGAGTTGGACAAGCGGCTTTGAAGGTTCTGTCGTTCATCGGATACCATCAAGAACTTCACGAACATTTTTCGGAAGCCGACTTGACCAGCCTCCTCTCTACCACTCTTGTCATCCCGGCAACACCGAAGTTGAACACGCCCAATTCCAAGCGGACATACGCGTTCGCCATCTACGTGCTCTCGCTCCTGCGAGTACCGAGCGCATGCTTGATCCCGATATCCGGCAAGATCCTTCAAGCGTTGCTTAACGCCACTGGTGAATTCGGCATGCAATTCTGGCGCGGCAGCCAAGCGAAAGACGGGCCAGCTGGTGGGAATGTCAAAGCCAAGATGGAGGGATATTCGGCAATTTGGAATGTTTGCCGCTACTACCCTTCGATCTTTCTACCGTATCACAAAGACCTCGTCCCAGAGATCATCAAGGGCATCGTCCATGGTAATCCTCAGGTCAGGGCACGAGCTTCCGCAGCAGCCGGTGGATTCGCTAAAGGCAAATTGATCTGGTTGCGCGAATCGCGAGCATCGCTCAGGGACATAGTCGAGGCAGGGCAGAGCGAAGACGAGTCCGATGAACAGTGGACTTCGAGACGGCTTGAAGCGGAAAAGCGATGGAAGGTGGCAAGAGACGTAGCCGCAGAATCTGAGGCGACGACGGTGGTAAGTCGATATAATACAACGTCAGGTTACAAAAGCAGTGCACTGACAAGCTTCTTTGCTATAGCAACAACTGAAACGTGGATCGAAAGCGCCTTACGGCCAAGAGGGCGTTCGCCGGATGGTCGTTTGGGACGAAGTGGAAAAAATGCTCACGCAGACCATGATCAACGACCCGCACTGGTCGTGCGCTTCTTGGGCATGTCTTGTGACCTTGCTGGGAGACGGCTACATCAACGACTCTCAACGTTACAAGTCCATGCAGCACATCATCCTTGTGAGTTGTGTGAAGGCGGAATAGTCGAGCACGACAGTACCTTCATGCTGACTGTGCCTGTATCTCTCCCAATCGTCAGGCTCCGCTGAGCAAGCACGACGCAGTACAACCGTCTGCCGGGCGAGTATGGCTGTCTCGGTTCGCTTACGACCACACTATCTACGCCATCTTCAATTACAAGAAACGATGTACGATCACCCAACAAGGCTTACCTATAACTAGTTACGATCTGGATTATTCCCTTGGAGACAAGATGCTGGGGGCGGCAATGTCGCTAGTCGCCGAGGCTTGGAAGCGCGAGAACGAGCTCGTCCGTCTCAAGGCCGATGCCACTATCATTACCAACACCGACCTCGAAGGAACTCAGCGGAGCACGTGGAAGCGATTGGACACCGAATCGAGTCAAACCTATTTGAAAGCCTGTGGATCAGAGGTAGTTGGTCTCGTGTTCGCGGCGGTCTCCGCCATTTTGGGCAACGCGCCCGATCGAAATGAAGCCGATGACACCATCCAAGCGGGTCGTGACACTCGACTCGATCAGTTATGGAAGACTATCGAACCAGTCCTGCAAAGCATGATGGCAGTGCGCGCCGTAGACTGGATCAAAATCGAGGCCCTGAAGATCTTCAGTGCTTTGACAAGTCCCGTTGCTCAGCAAGAACCGCCAATGAATACTTTGGATAGCCTGTTGCATTATGGCTTTCTCGAAGGCGAAATTGCCAATGTGGAAATCGCTCCGAAGGGACGCGAACAAGCGATCCTCGAACTGGCGCAAATGCTTGCCGAGAAACGGATCCAACCGGAACAGCTACCTCGACTGCCCGCCGGATGGATTGCCTCTAAGTTTCCATCCAGACTGGGCCCCATGTTTCGCCATGCTCTCAAGGGTCTTTACGGTTTACACGATGTTTCTGTGGTATCCGAACTGCTTGATCCTGCTCCTGAATTACCCGTAAGTCGATTCGGTCGAGGCTCCACTGACCGTTCTGTTGCTGAAGAATTATGTATGTCTTCTGCGAGCAGGCTCACCTGGGAGAGATCTGGTCCGGCATGCTACACGCCATCGCGCAAAGCCAGACAGGTGAGCACGGTCGGACGTTCTTAAACGGTCAAAGCATGCTGAACGGTCATTGTTCAGATTCTGCCTCTTATGGTCGCGCTTTGATCGAGGTTGTCGCCATCGTGATCGAAGTCTACGAAATGCAAACTACTTGTTACATCCCAGCAGGCTCGCTACCACTTGGATTTGACCGTTCCGAGAGGATCAGGTTAGCAGTTGTTCGCGACCTCATCTCCATCGCCGTGCACGTGTTGGGACACGAAGCCATGTCGACGTACAAGCTTTCTTTCGCTGAACTGGTAACCGATAACGGGTGGTCCGAAACCCGTCCTATACCAGCTGGAGCTGATGAGCAAGGGGGAACAAGCATAGTGGGCGCGCTTCTGCACAAGTTGATCAGCTGCTCACCTCTGGGTCTCTCTGGAGATGATCGGATCCAGGAAGTATATCTGGACATCATAGATCAACTCGCTGCGAGTCTGGAAGGAGGATCCGTGGCGAAGCGAGTCTTGGGCAATCTCACGAATACCCTAGCAACGTTTCATGATGGGATTCTGCCAGTGCGCAAAAGACTTTGGAAAACGCTCAGTAAGTATATCCACAATCGCTCGGTATGCGAGAAGCCGTCTCACCTGCAACATTTACGTGCCAGGCACGCGCTGGGTTTCGGTAATGAAGAAGTCCAAGGGGAGCTCCTCGTCGTCGAACAATACCTGTCGAATGCTTGTCGAGCTGCTGGTTCGACCGTACCGGTGCGTAAAACCTCCTGATCGCTGTCTACTCTTTCTGAACTTGATTGCGTGTAACAGTGAGACTTGGGGCACCGAGTTTGCGGCTGGGGACCAGGATGATCTCTTCGTTGTCTGGAAAGAACTACTTGGGGTGGCCATCGTCAGATCGACCTCGAAAGGGTTCAGCGCCTCAAGGGGTGTCTACGATCCTTTTGCAACGTTGATGCAGGAGATTCCCGTAGAGGCTGACGATTCAAGGTATGCTAGTTCAAGCGTGAATGCTTTGCGGCGACCGCTCTTGCTGACACTATGTTGTAAATAGGACTATTACCTCGCACATGCTGGCGGCCAGCGTCATCCTCCAGAATACCGAAGGAGAAGTCGATTCACCGGAACACCTTGCTATCTGGATGTCCAGCCTCGTTGCGTCAGCCTCCTGCTTGGCCATCGAAGCCTACAAGCTATATGCTTTGCCTTTAATGGGTTACATGATCTCCGAATTAGGGAACCGCCGAACAATGGAGACCGATATGGCCAACACAAACAGGCTCGCCTTGATTCGAGCGATTGATCATGGGCTGAGGGATCTGGACGCACATGTTGAGCTGGTTCCTCTCTGTCTAGACTTGCTTGACAAAGTTCAGACCGCCCTGGACAAGGGCTGGCTCACTTGGGAGATATCGACGGTCAAAGGTTGGAGCCCTGCCTTCAAGCCTCTCCTCTCGGCAGAAGATTTATCGCATAAGAGGCTGGCAAAGGATTTCTGGCATATCTGCTACGACAAACTCGGATCAGATTGTTTCCCGGAAGACCAGGCCGCACTCATCACTGAATCACTTGGCCTTACCGATCAGTTCGAAGACGACGAAGCCAAAGTCGATATCTCATTCGATCTCATGCAGGCAGCAGTAAGTCTTCGATACCGATAAAGCTTTGAGGGTCTAAGTGAGTTACTTACAAGAGTATGATAGGACTATGGCGACGAGGAAGCGAATGTGACCGCGTCGGCTGTGATTAATTCCGTTGACTATGAAGCCGATGTGTCCGCTTCGGTTCAACCCACCCAGATCACTTCAAAGCCATCGGCAGTCAAGCCGGAGCGAGGCGTGAAGCGAAAAGCGCAAGACGATCCTTCCGGCTCAAGTCGTCGTCTTCGTTCCCATGCCAGTCAGGAGCTTCCATCCAGTCCTGCAACCCAAAAAACTCGTAGACAAAAGAAAATTCGGCGCTCGCAATCGCAGGGGTTGGCAACCGACTCGCCCGCTTCCAACAAAAACAGACGCCTCAAGTCTACGCGGTCCTTGACGACTCCAGTACGAGATCCTTTGGAAGTGACGGATGGTGACTGTATCTACATACTGCCGACACCTCCAGAGAAGCGTGAAAAAAGGACGTCGCTTGGAACAAAAACTTCAAGCCAGGCCAATACTCCTACCAAGAAGGGTGCTGGAGCAGATGTAGACGTTGGAACACCGGCAGATGTAGTCGAAGTGGTAATACCTGTAGCTTCAGCCCCTGATGCTTTTGCTCGTGAGTCTCGAATACTGACAGTGATCTGAGTTCACCTATTGACGCGTTGTTTATGTGTGGTTGTAGTGCCTGCGAAAGATGTCTCCCCTACCGATGCACAACAAGGTATTTGGCAGTTTCCCGGTTGTCGTGCACAGCAGCGGGATCAGTGATCACTGATTATCGACCAAAACTGCAACTTCTGTGTCTAGCTGGAAACCGGGAGGGATTTTTGGCTAGCAAGCGTCGTGTCGCCGGCAAGATACACGTCTTGATCATCGCTACTGGTAGCGTAGCAAGCGTCAAGATCCCTCTTATGGTTGAGGCTCTTAGTGAGGTATGTGTCGTTCAGTGTCAGACTCGAAAGAGAGTGCGCGGGCTTATATCTGATTACCGCACACAGGACGATCGTGTCGAAGTGCAAGTCGTCGCAACGAAAACTGCCACGACCTTCTTTAAAGCGGAAGACGTGGAGCGTATGAGTGAGGGCCGCTGCCAAACTTGGACCGACGAACACGAGTGGAGCGTAAGTGCAAGCTTGGTGTCGACCCAGCGTATGTATGCTAACTAGGCGCGGAAATTAGTCTTGGAAACAAATGGGGGACCCAATCCTGCATATCGAGGTGAGCAATGATTTAATGCGGGATAGCGACCTTATCTGACATTCATGATCCCCCATAGTTGAGACGCTGGGCAGATATTGTCCTGGTGGCGCCTTGCGATGCGAACACTTTGGCCAAGATCGCAGGAGGTCTTTGCGATAATCTCGCTGTGAGTGACCTTCGAAGGGACGCCTCGACGTACCCTCGCTGACGGAAATACTGCCTCTAGACCTCCTTGCTGAGGGCGCTGACGCCAAAGACGCCGACATACGTGTTCCCCGCTATGAATACATGCATGTTTGAGCACCCCCTGACAGCCATGCACATCGCTACGATACGGGATGTCATCGGATACAAGGTGATGGGACCACAGATGGGCAAAAAACTAGCATGTGGAGATTCGGGTGAGCCCATTGCTGCAACATTACAGTAATACATACAACTGTACTGATTGCATAGCTCGATCTAGGCGCAGGCGCAATGACTGATTGGCGAGAGATCGTCGGTGTCGTAAAGGGACGAGCAGATGACATTATCGCGACGTATACTTCACGTCCTCTTGAGCAAAATACTGTATAATCGGCAAGTACGGAAAAGACGGACTACGCATAGGATTAAACGAACCCCTTGTAAGTACAAATCACGACCTATATACCTTGATATGAGCAACAACATGTATGATTGGACTGAGCATACCGCGTCAGACTACCGCTTGAAAACACCTCGGAAAAAGTTCTTGAAACGAGAATGATGCTGGGCATCTGCCTGTTTGTTCTTGCCATCGTCCTTGTGAGCAAACAGGGACAGGCCAGACTTGTTCTTCACACGCGAACTACCCCAGCCTTCTCCCTGCTGGAAAGACCATCGAGACTGCGTCAGCAGACCGTTTCCGTTTAGTCAGGCAGGAATGGCTTACATTGCGCATCACGCCGCCTTGCGCTTGCAATACCTCTTCATATGGGTCGTGGTGGTTCGACATCATCTTGTTCAGGTCGCCCGTCGAGCGATGAGATTTCAACTTCCGATCGAGACCGATGGCGGCTTTGCTGCTCGACCACAAGCCTGCCGACGGTACTAAAGGAGCAGGGCGCTTCAGGATAAGATCCCCAACTTCAGCTGCACCAACGGTACTTACTGCTTTCCGGAAGCTCTTGCTCGACTATCGGTTGGAATTGCATGCTTCGGAAGTTGGTTAGATCGGACCGCTGTCTTCGAAGGTTGTAAGAAGGTCCGGTTTCCATGCTCATACTGGGTCGATGGCTGGGTGTTTTGGGCCTTCCCGTATACTCTGCTGGCTGGTTGTCCCTGGCTAACTTGACGAAGTTGTCCACGCTTCGGCGATTGGTCAAGTTGCTCAACCGAGAAATGCTCCTTTCGAATTCTACGGGGGTCTTGCTTCGTGGGTGTTGGGCCTCTTCCAAAGCTACTCGGGCTTCCAGGACGATCTCTATTGACAGTATAGCGTAAGTTTGCTTCGTAATCTATAACGTCGATCAAGTACTCACGCTCGACGGATTTCACCCCTATCATGCGCGACATGCATTTGCGTCAGCTGGAGATGGCGCGAGACGATTTGGACGTTAGCCAAACTTACACGACGATATCTCGGTCAAACGCTCATCAAGAGCGGTGGAATCAAGGATCTCTCGAGAGCCTATTCTCGCTTTCTCATTAATACGGCATACCTAACAAGCGCACAGGCTCACCCTACGTACCTTGAACTTTGACCGTGGCGTCAGATACGACCTGTTGAACCTTAATCGCAGCAGGTTGCCACGTGTCGGGCATCTGATACTTTGCGCCCGAAGAAAGTGTTTCTGCCTCTTGCTTGTGAATCTGGCCGGTGGCTAAAGATAGCAAGATAAAGAATCAGATCCGGACAGCCTTAAGCTTTACAGATTTGACTGTGCTTACCTTGCGCGTCGAGCTCAGACGGTAAATCCACCTTTGGGGTATCAATGAGCGATCTAAGACAACCCTCACTGACGATCCGGGTATGACGGCGGTGCTGAGAAACACAACGATCCCTCTTGCCCGGAGCTAAAGTGGATTCCTGATTGTGCTGCTTGGTTTCGAAGCCGACATTCTCCAAGATGTGTCTGTCTTTGGATCGTAATGCCATTGCGGAAGCAGGCCTTCTTATCGTTTGCGGTTGAACAGCGCTATCTTCTTCGTCTGCAACACTGGCTTGTTTTCGCAGAACGTCTTTTTGCGCAAGTAAGACGTGTCAAGCGCGAGTCCTCAACGGTCGAGTCTACTTGAAAGACTTACCATAAGATCGAACCTTCTTGAGTTTTTGCTCCGCTGTAGAACGTTCCTGTGTAGAAGACTCTGTGGGTACCTCTGCCCTCCCGAGCGCCTCGATGGTAGACATTGCGTTGTTTCTCGAACGGCCAGAGGGTTGCTCCTGCGGTTCCTCAGGATCCATCGCAAAAGGTGGCGAGCGCTCACCTGAGCTGCTGACGACTGGCTCTGCATGCAAAGCTTTGGATTCTCTGGGATCTCTGTTTGGAGTGACAACCAAGATCTTTTCCGAAGCCTTCTGTTTCTGCGGGGTGAGCAGGTCGCTGGCGCGGATGGGTGCGTTCCGCGCAGGCGAGTGAGCGGCGTTTCCAAGTTCACTTCCAAATCTGTTGGCGTTTGTAAGCGCGACGTTCTCGGACTTGTCCCTTTTTGCAGGTTTGGCCTTTGGTTGAGGCTCCCTACGTCGTTTAGCCCTGTGATCGTGCTGACCTGTGGCAGTTCGGACGAATGGAGGGGTGCTCATGTGTTCAGAGCCGTACTGAGGTTGAAGAGCGACATGACGATGCGCCTGCGAGGCTGTCAACCGTTTGTGGTGGTCTGGACAGATCATCGCTTTCAAAAGACGCTCCATAGCTGAGACGTTATATCGCTTTAGCAAATACGCAACCCTTCATCAGCTAGAGCTTTTTGGCTTACAGTTTGACATCTGCCAATCCCCTAGCCATTCTCCGCGGAGAGTCCGTTCGTAATAGACGTTGAGCTGCTCTTGCGTGGAGAAATCTTCGCTGGCATGAGCTTCGAAGGGAGTCCTTGAGGCCAAGATTTCGAAGAATGTGATCTAGCAGTGACCCGGTCGGTCAGTCGAGATCAGCATGGATATGAACCATGCAGATACTTACGCCAAGTGCCCACACATCCGAAAGTCGTTCATCATGCCATTGACCGATCGCACGCTAGGATAAGAAGACGGCGAGGATCAGTCTCGATAGGATACCGTAGCATATCGACCGGGGCGCGCTCACAGGTGGATCGAGGTATTCAGGAGTTCCCCAGCTGATCTCGCTCCAGAACGGTACTTGACGGGATCCCGACTTGTGAGAGCTGACGGCGAGGCCGCTGACTTCAGTTGGCCCCCGGCCGTCGGTATTGGTAAGGTCCCATCTCTGGGCGAAGCCGAAGTCCACGAGGACGGGGATATCGCTGTGAGACAGGAGGATATTGGCCGGCTTGATATCGTTGTGGGCTGTATGTCTTATGATCAGCGCACTAATCCGACTCGACAGCTGGTTGACGGAAGCGCTTACTGATTCCGCGATCGTGCAGGTAGGCGATCGCGCTTGTAAGCTGGAGGAAATACGACCGGGCGGTTTCTTCAGGAATGCCCACTGGCATGAGATGGGAAAGGAATGGCATGGTGACGCTGCTCCGAGAGATCAAATTAGTATAGAGTCTAGTTAATGAGCGATTACCGGTCAGGGTACTGACATTGCATAGCTCGGAGTGATGATGAACGAGTCGAACCCGATGATACTGGGGTGCGGGTCCATCCTCAACGTTCTGATCACCTTCATCTCGCTCCAGAGCGCGCGAACTCGAGCCGCGGTGGTGGGTTCCTTCTTTCGGTGGACCAACTTGACCGCTACCTTTTCCATGTGATGCTGAGAGCGGATGGCAGCCCCGACAGGCGGGAACTTGTCGTCCTGTCGTCGGTGGAACGGATGGTATTCCAACTTGCGAGGTCTGACCGACCAGACCGACCCCCAGTTTCCTGCAGTCCCAAAAAACGTACGGTAAGCAAAAGTTCAGGGTTACGTCGCAACCTGGGCTGCTTACCAAATCCGATCTCCTGAATGAATTCGAACCTATCGGCGAGCATACGGTCGGACAACTGCGCGGATGCACTATCAGCGCACGATCGCATTCAGAGACGGGCTGTTTATGTCCAAACCCACCGACAAGACGTCGTTCATCTGTTCTCCCGTATCGTTCTTCCCCCTGCTCGATCTCCTAGCCCCGTCGTTTTCTCGATCGGCTACGACCCCACTGTCGTCCCCGCTCGTAGTCGTCCAACCGGTCTCGTTTCCATCCCGAGAAGTGCTAACATCTCCCGAGTTGTCAAACGAGCTATCGTTGACGTCGTCGATGTTCCGGGTCTCGACGTCGTGTCTCTTGGTAGGAGTATGGACGCGCTCCTTTTCCTGGAATTGGTGTCGGACCGGTTGGATCGGCTGGATGACCTCGATGGAATCTCGGAACGAGGTCTCGAGGCCTTGACCTTGTCCATGGCCGCCGTGCGACTCGGCATAAGAGATCTCGAAGCGCGAAACATCTGCATAAGCGATAGTCTCGTGCCCAACCTCTCGTAGCTCTTCCTCGGATTCGCAAGCCCTGGAGACGGTCAAGCTCAGATCGAGCGTGGTCTCCGATTCGGATGCAATCCGCTCGTCGGATCGTCGGGCAAGGTCGAAAACTTCTTGCGAGTCCGTTCCGACCGCCGACGTAGTAGGTCGAGGCGTCGCAGCGGTGATGGTTTGAAAACCCGTCCCTTCAACCCGGATTGGACTGACGACGGGTGTAGGGTCGAGCTGATAGAACCTTCCTTCCGGGATGTCGACTACGGTTCCGTTGCGCGTTTCACCTTGTCCGCGCTTGAGCGTAAAGACGGGTTCCCTCGGAGGTTCAGGCGCAGCTCGACGAAGATGAGCCTCTTCCAACGCCTTAATCCTCTCGTCGTTGGTCGAGTTGGAGGGATATCGAGAGTCGGGCTTCCTACCACCAGTCTCACCGGGTGCGACTGCAGCTCGACCGTGTCCAAGTTGAGCGCGTTGATAAGCCTGGTGAGCCCTAGCCTGCGCGTGTATCGGGGGGTACTCCTGTCCCATCGCGCGGGCATCGAGATCGTCGAACCCGCTCGACTTGGTCGGATTCCCAAACGACATGCCCGAATCCCGCTTGTCATTCCGAGGAATGGCATCTCTTCGCTGTTGACCTTCAGAGTTATTCTCCTTGTCGTCCCCCTTTCGGTCGTTCGAGGTAATCTTGGTCAAGACTTTCAACAAGTTAGGGTCATCCTTCGTGATATGCTTGGGCAAGGGAGCCGAGGGGATCAACAGTTTCGTACCAGGAGGATGAGGCGGGGTGAGTTTTAGGCGAAGTCGGAGCTTGGACTTGGGCTTGTGCAAGGTCTGATGAGGGAGGTTGTGAAGTCCCTCTCGTTCCTGCTGATCAGCGTTGTCCGTCATACGAACGGGAGCGGCTTCGAGTCCCGGGTTGTGAACATGAGAGATCTCTCGGGAATGACCTTGGTGGAAGGGCTGCTGCACCGCATTGACGATAGTCTGAGCGGCCGAGGTCGGTTGCAGAGCCGCTCGCGTCGTCACCGAATGGCCAGTGTTCTTGGGTTGCGAGACATCCCGGTGACTAGGAAGCCGGGCGTAAGGGTGTACTTGAACTTGAGAAGGGTACCGTCCAGGTTGGTTGGGGCGGTTCGAGAGGTTGGAAGGGTATCGAGGAGTAGCAGCGAGTTGAGGTTGTATGGGAGTCCCGTTTGAAGGGTACCTTTGGTCGGCGGGACGGTGTCGGCGGTCCGGGTTCGCCATTTCGTTGAGTTAATTGACTTGATCAAGCTCGAGGGGACATGAACAGGGGTGTTGAGGATGGAACGGGGATTGAGTAAACTAGTTCGAGTTGGGAAGGGTGTCGGTATTGGCGGTTTGCGTAAGGACGTTTGGCGATAAATTGAATTGAACAGGTAGTCGCTAGATGCTAGATGAGGGTGAGATTCGAGTGAATGTGTGTCGGTTGTCGTTGCCGGGCGTTGCGAAAGTCGTCAAAAGAGCGTGTTGTCGAGCCGAGAGAAGTGTGGTTGATGTCGTTCGATCGGGAGGTAGGATATGAAAGATATGCGATATATGCGAGGGGGATGGTGGTCGTCGAGTGTTGTTGTCGGTCAGTTGTTATGAGGGAAGGGACGGGGACGGGGGGGACGAATCCCAAAGGAAGCGCGTCGATGGTGTGTTTGTTGTTTGTTTACATCATCATCACGCTCCCTCTACCGATCGAGAGGGATATTGATGGATCAAGAAAGAAACAAGTAGATTGATCACTCAACTATCGAAAACAAAGCTCGTCCCTCCCTCTTCTGCCGCGATGTCTGATCGTGATCGCGTATCGCGTTGCTCCGATGTCTGATTCGCGTCGCATCTTGAAACACAATCATCGAGGGCTCGGCTTCCCGCCCACCGTAAGGATTGACGGCCGTGAATTAGTTGACCCTGCTATATGACTTGCACTAGACCACGAGGCCACGCTATTATATTCAAGAAGTCCGAGGTTCACTGGAAAATCGTCGAGCTCTAGCAAAGGCTGAGTGAGCCTAGAAATGATGGACCGACTGATGATGGCTTGATGATATCTGGATGATCATCATGAAACGCGTGGCGGGGACTGATGCGCTAGACAGATACTGATGCGCTTTGATTTGGCTCTTCACCCTTGACAAGGACTAAATGACGCGTTCGCGTTCAAACGCGTCTTCTCTAGTCTCTGTTGACAATGTGATGCCCGAGTGCTGCGTTCCCCTATTGAACCGGAAGCTTTGACCGGTCAAACGGTCGTTGACATTCAGCATTGTTCTGGATAGTATTTCTCCTCGATCTACAACGATTCCAACATGTCACGCCTTCATTCACTCTTGTCCTCGCTACCTCCCGACTTTCCTCCCTCGTCCCCGCTCTCCAAGCACGATCAACACCTCTCCTGTCCGATCTGCAAACAACCCTTTGAAGGTCCCGTCAGCATCGCCTGTGGACATTCGTTCTGTTCCAGGGCAAGTCGTCTTTGTGCCACTATCTCAAGCAGCCTACTCTTCCAAATGTTGTTGCTAAAACGAGCTCGTGTATGAGACAGTGTATTCGAGATGCGCTCCGGGCCAAGAACAAGACCTGTCCGACTTGCAAGGAACCGATGAAGGAGGGTGATATTCGACGTAATCGTCTGATCGAGGATCTCGTCGAGAGTTGGTTGACAACTAGGTGAGGGCCCGTCGTTCCCTTGTCAGATTCGAGAGAGATGGTTGTGTAATGCACGCTGACGGCATGTGGCTCTGTGTCGATATACTTCTGCTCAGACCTGAATTAGTAGAATGGTCTACAAGCCGGCTCAAACGAAAGCGCTCGACCGACGTGACATCTCCCTCGAAACGAGACCGCAAGCGCAGCACTGCGACCACTCTCGCCAGCTCTTCCGTATCCCGACTCTCCACCAAGCCTCCTCTTTCGACCTTCCGTTCGGTCGATGTGGAGGTAGTCGACCTGTTGGACGACAGCGAGGACGAGGAAGAGGAGAAACGCGTCGCTCAAGTCGTCGCGAGGGGTCCGATGGTCAGGAGCAGTTCCGACCGAGCCGGGTCGGGAGAAGCCGAAGTGGAAGATCAAGTTTTAGGAATTTTTTCTAGCTCTGATGCGGAACAAGAACTCCCTCGTCCTCGTTACGGGTCAGAGAAGGGAGAAAATGGAGAGGAGGTACCGATGCTAGGAAGTTCAAGGGCGGCGAAACAAAGACAGACGACCAAGACATCTTGGGAGAAGCTTTTCGCCGGGACGACCACTAACAACAATCCGAAAGCTACCACCTCGAACAGGAACGGACGCAGCAACAACGACGATCATGGGGAAGAGGCCAAACGGATAGTCAAGCCGAATTACCATCTGGCCAGTCAAAAGGAGTTGAGGAGGTTGTGCGAGAATTATGGGCTCAGTACGCATGGTGATAAGGGGGTCTTGTCGGAGCGTTTACAAATATGGATCTCCATGTTCAAGTGAGTCTGCTTCTCCTGTAGCGCTCGACGTGAACCTGACTCGTGGCTCTGTGCTTCAGTGCGAACCTCGACACGTCAAGCCCCAAGACCCTCAGAGCGCTGAGAGGCCAACTGGAGCGGGATGAGAAGGGCCGGATGAAAGACAAGTCGGATGCAGAGAAGGCCCGTGAGGAAATGAACTTGCGAGACGAGGTCGAAGTGAGTTCTGCTCTATCGCTAGTGTCGACGAGGCGTTGCTAACCTACCTTGGTCGTACTGTACGTGCGCGTGCTTGTCGTCACAGGGAGCCGAGACAGACGATGCAGTATTCCGGCGGCTGACACGAGAGATCAGGGAAAGGGATAGCAAGCTAACATCGGAAGGAAGCCTGGATTGACGACATATCGATGCGACATGACGCATCTCGGAAGGGATAATGTAACCCAGATTGACGCATGGTATAGTATGCAGAAAGACCCATCTATTCGTTACAAAGAGTGTCCAGTCGAAATCATCATGTCCGCCTCAACAATGCCTCGTCAAAATCGTCACTGGCCTTTGCCTTTCTTCGACCGCTGGAAGTCGAAGCACGTTCACGATGCTCGTCCTCATCCTCCTCCTCGTCTTCGTCCCCGAGCACGTACATCTCCCGGTTTTCTCGATGATGCCGTCTTTCGTCTGCGTCGCCGATGACGCCGTCTTCCGCCCCGACAAGAGGGACAAAACCGTCTTCTGCGTGCGCTGGGGAAGCCCCGTGCGATTCGGCCTCGCCGTGTACCGATTTGTGGTACTTGTGGTAGGAATACGTCGCGATACCTGCGTACGAAACGGCACTCGTCAGATAGGGCCCTCGATATCGTGCAATCCACTTCGACTCACCGCATATAGTGATAACCACCCCGACCTCGTTAAGCCGAGTCAACTGGTCGCCAAAGACCCACGAAGAGAGGGCGATGGTAGAGACCTCCTTGAAGATGCCGGCGATCGATAGCGGAACGATACCAGCCCGTTGTATGATGCTGAAACACGTCTCCCGGTCAGACCGCATAGCCGAAACAATAAAGTCTCTTGCGACGCGAGTTAGAAACTCACTAGTATTCGCTTGCGACCATGGCAAATGCCACTGCTCCAGGCAGTGTTATGAGCGCCATGGTTTGGATCGCCTTGAAGCCTTCAAAGTACGGGCCGGAAAACACTACAATCCAGCCTTCAAAAATAAGACTGACAATCGCCAGCGTGACGGCCATAACGGGAGCCAACCAGAAGATGGTAGCAAAGGGATTCGTCATTCCCATCTCCTTTTTATGCATCGCCAATTGAGTCAAGGCCCATCGAAGTCCGGCCATAGCGGAGGCGGTAAAGATCATGATGATTCCCGGGATAGACACGGTAGTCGCGTTGAATACCATGAGGAAGACTCCGACCGAGATGCACGAAATGACGAGGATGAGACGGATTGAGTAGGCTTCGAGTCGGAAGAGGAAGGCGAACATCAAGACGAAGATGAGCGTCGAGGATTTGCACATGGCTGTAGGGTGAAATCTAGTTGTTAGTACGTCGATAGGTCTATTCTCGAAGGACCTGACTGACTGTATAGCGTCAACGTGACTGTCTTCAGGCTCAAATTGGAAAGCCCAATGTCCAGCCCGGTCGTTATTGCTGTCGGAATCACCTTTGTGCTATGACCCGATATTTCGTCAGCGCATGGAATGACCTGACGGTCTTCCAGATGCCTTACGAATAATCGGATCTGTTCGGCTTCTCCTTGGGTCGGAGAGAGGGCCATATCCTTCGAATTGCAAAGGCCAATCCGAACTGAACGATTTGATGGATCATGGTGACGAACAAGGGGTAGGGGAAGTTGTAGTACTCGGGCGTGAACATCCACTTGTTGTAGACGGATAAGATGGTCGCAAAGATATACCTGGAACATGCACAACGCCCCGACATCAGCATCAGCGTACACATATTATCTCGTAACAGACGCACCACGACAGCACAAAAAGCCCAGTTATTGATGCATCCCGAATGTACGCCTTTTTCTTCATCCGGACTAGAGAGTCTTCGAGACCGTCCTGTTCGCCCAATTTTTCCAGCCCACCTCGAGCTCGTCCATATGTTCCCGACAATCTTGTCCCGTCTATCGATCCATGTGCATATCCATTTAGCGATCCTGATCCGCCAGTCCTACCGGTAGCCGCCCGTGCCGATCGATTTGACCAGCTTCCACCTCGGGAATGACTTCCTGTGTGAAGCATGTCGTCCTCCGAGCCGAATCCCACCTGAAGCGGTTGCGATTCCAAAGTCGCACGCTGCGGACGAGCCGTCTCCTACAAGACCGGCAAGCTTAGTTTGAATCAACGTGTGTGAACAGAAAACCAACCTGATATTTACTGTCGAACTTCGGGCTCTGCCATGGCAAGGCTCCTCCGGTGAACCTTCCAGGAAATCTAAATCCTGCCCGTTGACGGAGCTTCGCCCTTTGTGCATGATCAGCACTCGTCGGAAGGTAGGCGAGCTTCAAAGGTATGTCAGAGTCGATAGAGATTCCCTGAAGGCACGAGTGTGCTGTATCTCGGTCGGCTAGTTCAGAATAGTCTCGGCCCAAGAGTGGAATTAGATTGTCGGTACTCTGTTGCGATGTTGCTTGACGAGGTCGATTAGCAATTAGCGATCAGCTATCAGCTTGCTGGATCATGCTGGACGATTTCTACTGTAACAGATATCAGAGCGCAACTGTCAACATCCGAGCGAGGTCTCGAGATTCTAGGTGCGCTCGACCGTTCCTAGCATTTCTCGCGTCACGCTTGAATGTCAATCAGATAAAAAAGCTTGCGAACTGGTCAAGCCGGTCAATTGGTTAATAGCTCTGACTTTTAGTTGCATTAGTTGAAGTCGCTGGGCATACCCAGCTCATGCATAACGTGAGCTACATGGCGACTCGTTTCACAGAGAAGATTTACAACTGGTCGTAGGGTCTTTTCGCTGCAACGGACCGTTGCGCGACATGCTTGTTGATTGTGCTGTATTAGTGGAGTGTGTCTATTCGTTAGAGTATCGTAATCCTGTCCTGAACGACGGGGAGATATTTTTCCTTGAAGCGATCCAGGTAAACCGTGAGTGCTACATAGGAGCAGCACGATACAAGTCAGCATGCAGAAGGTCTAAAGATATCCCTATGACAACAGACTTACTCTCGGTTGGCCATGATTCAGCGACCCTCTCGATACTGCGCATCAGTTCGCCAGCAACCTTGAGGGCTTCAGAAGTGGACGAATCTTGACGATAAAGATCAATGGCACTATCGATGGTGAAAGGTGTCAGCGTCGAAATCGCAGACTTGACATCAAAAGCCTAGCCACACTTACGTATACGCTTGTGACATCAGGCTCCACACGAAATAACTTCGAGGTTCGATGAACGCAACGTCTTGCTTCTCTCCGATCCCACCTGGGGACATGAGGAATTGAGCGACGGCCGCCTGGCTCGAAAGCCACCGTTTAGCATACTCCTTCCCGACCTTTTTGCCGTTCTCCCCGAACATCTGCGGCAACATCCTGAAGTTGTCGGTCGCCAGGAGTCTCAAGTTCAAGAGCCAGTCGTTCGCCTGCCATTTCATCGAACTTCCGCCATCCATCTCGACCGAAAACATGGCCTTTTCGATTCGATCGGCTTCGCGCCATATCTCGGTCGCGAGAGCAAGCTTGTCCCCTGGGCTAAGAGATCCCGACCGTCTGACACGGTTGATATAGTGCCAAAGAAGTGTGACTCGGTTGAATAAAGCCCAGATTGTGGCCTTGGCAGATTCGGGGTCCGTGTCCACTAGCAAGACCTCGGCAGTAAAGAAAATGGCATACTTTGTACGTATGTGACTGATCAGCATTGAGCGAAGCTTAGGCAGGTTGAACACTTTGAACTCACGTTTTCAGGTTTGGTCATGTAAAGCTCGAGCGGTTGTTCACCAGTCATGTTCCTGAATTGACTGAGATGCCCAGCCATCGACGAAGCCGTCCAGACCATTCGTCGCATCTCGTCCTGGCGAATCTGACCGACACTCCACTCCACAGGCCAGGCAGGCTCTGGTGCCCACCTGCTGGTCACCTGTCCTTGAGGGCTGGAATCGGTCGAGCTGGTGTCCGCCTTGATGGGTCTCACAGGCAAGACGTCTTCAGAGTCGTTGGCCAGCAAGGGCAGCTGGTTGGGTATAAAGATTGAGGCTCTTTCGTCATTTACGTCCATTGCCAGCAGTTGGAAGCTTTGGATGATGGTGTCGAGGTTCTGTAAAGCGTTGGCGAATCGGTGTGATGCGTGATGGGTATGTGGATATGCTTCAAAGGCCGTCAAGATGAGAGCAGCCTGAGCCATCGTGGGATCCATGCTCTGCGAGATGATTGACTGCTGCAACATCGACTGAGCGGCGTCGGCATACACGAGCGCACGCTTGCGATCTGGTCCGCCTGGCTCCTCTCGTCCGGACTTGGCGAGCGTCGTGATAGAAAACATGGCCAGGATCAAGGAAGGTTGTATGCGCAAGCGCTCTTCCGGGTGGTGAAGCTGGGCGAGGAACAAAGACTTGTGGAAAAAGGAAAACCAGCTAAAGTTGAGTCCGAAGAAGTCGCGGACTTCGCGATGGATCGCTTGGAAACTGGACCCCACGTGGCGGAACCGGTAAATCAGTCTAGGCTGTTTCGCCTCGATTGGTTCTAAAAAGACGAGACTCACCCTTCTGCCGGATTGTTGCTAAAAAGACTCGTCATCCACATCCAATCACTGTCTCTCGCATAAGCATTGTCCGGAAGACGTTCCAACCGGAGGCTGGGTGTCATATTTCTCCTATGTTCGACTTGATCATCGCCACTCCCATTTGCGACCAGTTCGTTTTGGCTTCAAATGGTTTCAAATGCGATGAATGCGATGCATATAGATCAACAGCACATTCTAGGTGGATCCTTCAAGAGTTTTGAATACAACTCACCTCGACCGGGTGATCATCTCTGCCTGATTCATGATATCGTGATAACCCGAGACGAGGTCTCTCATCCCCATCTTGCTACCTCCGGAGGGCGAGGATGACACCGCCCAGCCTTCCGACCGGGTGCCATGTCCGGTCTCGTTGTTGTTCCCCATCTCTAAAACGCGCTTGGCTTCCTCATAGGTAAGCGGTGGTTCAGCTACCGGTAATGGTTGCCGATAAGGTAGTTGACCAGGATGTCCCGGCACCATCCCATGAGCATCAAGCCCAGGTTGGATGTTGGGGTTGTGATAGGGCGGTGCCGCAGTCGGATGGACCTGAACGTGATCCTCCCCTGACCATGGCATCCTCATCGAATGTGCTTGTTGTTGATGCATAGGCGGCATTCCATTCCAGTCCCCCATCTGCCCATGTCCGTTCACGTGCCCGTTCATGTCTGCTGGATGTCCGATGTACGGCTTCGGAGCGTATTGCGGTGGAAGATAACCAGGTGGGGGGACCGAGCCCCCAGTCATGCTAGGCGGCAACGACGAGTTGAGCCTGATCCCGCGCCCGTCGTTCGAATGCACCCCGACATCATCCCCACTCTTGCTCTCTCCCTCCCGAAGGACCTTTCCCGAATATCCCTTGTTCCAATAATCCTTGCCTTCTTTGTTCTCGCGGTTCTTGACCCTTCCACCGGGATTCTTGTCGGGGCCACGACGTTTGATCACGGCGTCGTAACAACACTCCAGCCCCTTTTTCACGCAAGAGATACAAGCCGGTCGCTGTCCGCCGCACTTGATCTTTCTCGAACGACTGTGATGCGAGCCAAACGGGAACGGGATGAAGCGAGGACGTGAGAGGTCAGCATTCGTTCTGCGAAGCCCTAATCAGTCGACCGTTCAACAGTCCGCCCACCCCAAGCTCACCATTTCGTACAGGCAACGAAGTGCGGCCCCGCGGGATCCTTGGTTTCTCGATCCGTGCTCGCTCCAGCGTTTTTGCGTTTCCTCGCGCTCGTCTCCCTGGCCGAGTCGGCTTCCTCTCTATCGCCCGCTGCAGGTCCTGGTCGTGGAGGCGAGATGGAGTGGGACTGAGATTGAGCCTGAGGCAACGAGTTTGTCAAATTCGGTTCGCCTGCCGGGGGTCCAGGCTCTTGTTGCGCCTCATGTGCCGGCTTCGTCACGTGCGAAGAGGTCGGTCGAGAATTGTAGTCGAGTGAATGGGTGAAGGGATGTTGAGCGTGCCCATTGTTATTCGGGTGATAGGAAGACGTAACAGGGGAGGTATTCGGTTGAGAACCATGTCGTGCGTGTTGTTGATTTTGCATGTGAGGTGGGAAATACGGTCCCGTGGATTCTTGGCGACGGTACGGATCCTGATTATGGTTGTACCCAAGTGGCTGTGCTTGGTTCTGGTTGTGCGTGGGGTACAAGGACGGTGTCTGGGAAGATCGAGCTCCAGATGGGTAGCCTCCAGGGGTCGGTCCATAAGCAGGATGATCAGTCAGAGGGTTCTCGAACCTCGGTCCCCCGTTCATCATCGGACTGGCGCTGTATTCCTGTTCGTGCGAGCCGTTTCTAAAACTTGGGTAGCCGCCGCTGTGACCGGTAGGAGTCGACTCGGGATGGAAAGTTTGCCGCGGCGGTGGACCCTGGTGCTGTTGCATGGCATGATGAGACGGGTAGACATCCTGTCGAGCATAGTTGGACGGCCCAGCCTGGTTCTGCTGGCTGGGCAGACCTTGAGGAGGATAGCCCGGCTGGACACCATAAGGCTGAGGATGATGGACAGGCTCGGTCTGTTGACGATGAGAAGCAGGCTGAGAGGGGTACCGCTGATAAGCAGAATGATGAAGATCCTGATCCACAGCTCGTCCAGACATCTGACCCCCGTTCTCTGCGACCCCACCGTGCTGGTCGAGGTATTGCTGGACCATGGCCATCATCCCCATCGGACCCATCGGCGGTGCAGCTCCAGAGTGTCCGTTCATTGGTCCAGTACCACTACCAAAGTTTGCACCTGTGGCATAGGCTTGACTTGCGCTACTTGAAACGGCTCCATCATGATGCGAGGGCATGGTGGATTCGCGTTGACGTTCGTGTGAAGAGGGTAGAGGATTTGGCTGGCCCCTGCCGCCTAGAGGATCTGGGCGATATTGCATCGAGCGATGGCGTAGGGTGCGAGGAAAACAAAACCCGATCAGAGGCTGGTTTCGTTCTTGACGCAAGACCGATTGGACGATTATGGATGGTCAGGCTGAGATGTCTCGTAAAAGAATCGTCGAAGTCGTCGAAGGTCGAAAGTCTCGGGTCCGGTGCGGGAGGTTTCTATCTCGGTCGGTCGAGGGAGGACAGGGAGAAATATCCAAGCGGCACGACGTTGACCTCTTGAAACGGTCGGCAGCCGATCTATAGGCGAGACGTGAGAACGACTGTAGAGATGAGATGGCTATAGTAGCTAGTACTAGTAGCTAATGGTCGAGGTTGGTGACATACATGACATATCGATGGGTGCGAGACGACTACTGTGGACGAGCTACGAGCTACGAGGTGGACCTTCTGGGACGCGGACCGAAGGGAAACGAGCGAAAAAAGAATCCGTCGACCATCTCTCGCAACTCGCTCGCTCCCTCGATCCCTCCTCCCCCCCTTACCGCGCTGCTTATCCCGCCGGATGCTCTGAGACTTCTGCGTCTCTCTCTCTCTCCCCTCCCCTCCCCTGCTCAAACCTGCCCCGCCCCGCCGAGCGATCTCATATCTACTCCCGTTCGCCTTTTCGTATCCCGGCACTTGTTTGCCCTCGATCGACACAGGTCGCCTAGGCGCACAGCGCACAGCGCAAACGAGGGATCAGATCCTTCGAGAGGCGCGAGAGGATCGCTCGGAATCCCTCAAAAGCCATGGTTCGTAGCACTACGGCGAGTTACGGAAAGCACAGGAGCACAGCGCACAGCCTGGTAGAGATTTCGCCGTACGACCTCGACCCTTTCAAAATATCGTATACGGTCTCTACGGTACCCAGCAGCCAGCAGCTAGCAGGCGGCCAGCATCAAGTCAAGGTCAGCCTCTCAAAGACCGCGACCGCGACAAATCGTCATCATCATCGTCATCGCGGCGACCCGCTTGGCCCGGGCGGCCACGGGAGGGAAACTGATCGTTTACCAGCTTTTGCTTCCGTCACTCTTGGATCAGGAGGCGACCACGCGTCCCGAACTTTATCTTGCCCACGTTCTCTACTGTTTCGATCTGTGCGCGTCGCCCTGTCGGCAGAGCGACTGCCCACGAAGATACGAAAACTCGTCGATGTTGCTCGTCGAGACGTGATTCTGAGACGTCGGCATGGACATGCCTGAGGCTCACAGTCTACCAGCAGGTACCGGTCATCGATTATTCTCACCGATGATCGGTGACTCGGTCGTACCTTGCTACGCTCACCGGTCGGCGCATCTCCCCTGGCGGCCGTCATAGTCCGGCCGACCAGCGCGCGCGGGCCCGAGCCCAGGTTTCATCCGTTCATGAAACTTTCGCATTCAAGTAGTCTCACACGCTCAAACGACTGATATCCGTCGTGGAGTCTCTATTTTGCTCGAGGTTCCTCACTTTTGGAGCATATGCCTCATGATAATCATGGTGTTTCTGCCGGAGCTTATCAGATCGGTTGGGTCTCGCACGCATGGTGTAGCCTTGCCGCGATTTGGGGAGTTCTCCTGCCGCCTGAAACAGCAGACGTGCGAGGAATCTTTCAGATACGCTATCCCATCGTGGGTGTTGTGTCGACGTCCTGCCGAAACAAGATGACGATGAGCTGAACAGCAGTCAGAAACATAAACAAGCATGTCAAACTAATGGCACAGCAGCCCGCCGGCTATCTGAATATGTGTGGCTTGCAGATATTCCCAATCATGTGATGGTTCGCATTGTACCTTGTACTTCTATCATGCCAGGCGTTGGCTTGATTTCAAACGAGCGATGTACATATACTTATCATTCCATAGCTTCGATATCGGATTGTATAACACACCGATCTATTGGACGTGCAAATGATCGAACAACGGACATCGCTGATCGTCCCATCCCTCGGATCAGAAAGTTTACGTGCCCAACTATCGCCTTCTTCGACAGGATCCATCAGGGCGAGCGTTATCAGGTCAGGAATGTCGGGGTCATCAATATCAGGCGATTTTGGCAGCGTGTCCTTATCCGGAAGGCCATGGTGGCGTTCGCTGGGATGTAAGGTTTGCGGGTGCACGGAATATTTGCGAGTGATTTCGCTCGGGATCTGTTCCATCTCATCCCGAAAGCTACCTGTATCGATCATCATCGGCGGTGTCCAAATCCTGCAGATAGAGCATTTCATGTGGGAGGATCTACTGTACGATCCAAACAACTTGACGGAGCGCAGAGGGACATACTCGCCTATAGAGCCCACTCGACAGAAGCTACTTATCGAACGTGTTAGCCTCCAATCGCAAGGACAGGGCATGCAAAAAGACGATTTTGGAAGCGCTCGGTAACAAGTTGACAATATGTTTAAGCGGAGTAGTCAAATGCATTCCAGCGAAGCCGGACAAAGATTCACTCAACCTCGCCGCCAGTCTCCCTACAATCTCCCACCTTGCCCTGGTCACCTCCCGAGTCCACCAAAGCTGAGAAACCCCTGCGTTACATAGGAGTCAAGCCGAAATCGGTGTTCATATGGAAGCGATTGTTTGCTCCAACTGACGCTGATCACCTGGAAAGTCAGCCGACAACCCGATATGATAACGACATCTTTCAATGACTACAAGAGGTCCTATTGCACCGCACATCGGATGATTGCTGTCTCCCCTTAAACCTCGTCGTCGAATGGCGGCAATCCCCACTGTTCGGGCTTGAAATCCTCGAGATGCTCGTGGATCACCTTGGCCCCGTGCGTGTTCTCCGGGTCCAGAGCGCGTAGTTCCACATCGGGTACCCAGACGACGTTCATCCCAGCCCTCACACCCGCTTGCGCACCCTAGTCATCCGAAGGACACGGAATTAGGGCGAGCAAGACGAAGAACCAACACGAGGGGAAGGAGATGCTTACAAAGACGGCGTCTTCGAAGACGAGAGCTTTGCTGCGCTCGATACGTTGCTCGTCACTCGCGGATTCTTCCTCGGCCCCGACATCGCGGCCTGATAGGCTCGCATTTCATCAGTATGCGTTCGATGAGCATGACCATTGCCATCGGGTAGACACCCTGTTACTCACCTAACTTTCTAGCCGCAGCTAAAAAGACCTACAGCAAGGCGAACGTAGTTTCGGTCAGCCCCTCAAAGTGGCCCTCCGGAGCCGTTCGCTGACGACTCACATCTGGGCAAGGCTTCCCTCTGCCTGGCTTGACTTCAGGAGAGTCTGCCGTGACAATGGCATCGACCGGGAACAGCTCGAACAAGTGCGGCAGGTGGGTCTGTCACGAGATATAGGTCGGCAGAAGAGAGTTCGTCTCAGCTGGACGAGCCATCAAATAAACGGAGCATGCGAAAACTCACGGTCTTGTCCAAAAAGGCCTGATAGCCCGATCCGGTAGCTAAAGCGATCGGTACCCCGTGTTTATGCTAATGCAAACTCTTGATCAGTTTCCTCCCCCTTCTCTGAACCAACAGTCTGCGCCCTGTAAGCCGCCTAGCGTGTACTGACCAGATGCTGGACCAACCTCACGGCACCCCTCATAGGCGCTACCTCCTTAAACTTCTGAGGGATCATGGTCTGTTTCCGTCGAATGAACTCATCCACGGAGAGTTTATCTAGGAGGTCGTAGGCCCGAAGTATGGATTCTGACGAGAGTCTCGCGGCTGCGCGCGCGCAGGCAGAGAGGAGAGCATGACATGATGTGCATGGCCAGAGATATAACACAAGGTGGGGAGATACCAATGAGCGACGGCACAAGGCTCGGTCGCGACCAAAGTAAGAAAATTCCCGGAACTCACGAGCTCCCATAGCCTGCGCTTTCACATCCCACCCCAATGAACAACCGAATTCGCCCAAGATCTCGTCTACCCGAGAACAAATCACGCATGAAAGATGTGATCAGATCTCAAACCTTGCGGCTCCCTGCAGGTTGGGAGAGTCTATCGAGGGAGAGGGGATACTGCTTACTGGTCACCTCGGTATAGATTCGCTGTTCCGTTTCGTTCGCCCAAATCATTCCAGAGCATGGTCAAAGCGAGGTCGAAAACGTCAGCTTGCCCCTCGGAGATGACCCCCTAGGAATAGTCTGCCAGGGTAGGGCGAGAGTGCTTACCTCTGTATCACTACGATCACGTTTTATCCGACGTTCCCCATCCAACAGAAGATAGATTAGCATCTCGGAGCAGGAGTTGTAACACGATTGACCGCGACGAGGTGATTGAGGGGTATCCTGATCGTCAGCTCTTCCGGCCTCATTTCTTCCCGAATCCGGGTCTAGGTAGCTTCAAAGCCAAAATTCCTTACACTATTGACGTCGGTAGGAAGGTACAAGTCAGTGAAGGGTGAAACCGCGCCGCAAGACGAAATCGACGCTCACTGAGTAGACCGTCCATATCGAACAGGGCATACTCGATCTTGGGGAACGAGCTCGAGCTCGAGTCACTTGATGACGTCGTGGTTGCGGGCATCTCTTTCCGGGTTCAAGTTGGCGGAATGCTCAGCTCGTAGTGACGGTGTGTAAGTCTCGATGGGACGGTGTATGAAAGTGGGTACCAAGCTATACCAATTACCAAGTGATGCAAGTGATCAAGTGATATGAAATCAGACATTTCGAAAGGTTGTTCGCGGTTGAAGATCTCGGGAAGCGGCATCCAGCAGCCAGCGACATGTCATCTCATCCCTCCCTCGTCCTCTTAGCGCGCCAGGGGGTTCCCGGTGCTCCACATCTCGCCATCAGACCGGAGCAGACCGAAGAGTAGACTGCTATGGATCAGGGCATTTTGGGAGTCGCCCCTGGCATATCCATGATCCACGATCCATGTACTCTGCTATGTGATGACAACCTGCAACCTTTCGTCTGGCCTGGATTCCAGATACAGGCCGAACGCGGACGCGACAGGTTCTTGTTTTCTTGTTTTGCGTTTGCCTCGGTCTCTGTGACGGGTGAATGGGAGCGAGAAGGGGGAGAGAGAAAGAGAGAGAGATGGGATCAAACGCAGAGATGCAGCAGAGAAAGGGGGAGGGGAGGCACATCCAGGGATCAGGGACGTCGAAACCTTGTCAGCTTGCAGCTTGTCACATCTCGATCACATCCCTTCCTGGATTCCACTTCGTGACCCGCACACCAGAGTTGGGAGTCAGCCAAGGGAGTACGTTGCCGAGGGGGGCATCGAGAGATCAGCGCGATTCCGATCAGCCCTCGCCTTTGTATATAACGATCTGACGAGTCTGTGTGTGATAGTCCCTCAAGCCATCTTCCTACCTATCCGATCTCTCTGAACTTTGAAACTCGTAGTCGTTCGTGTCTGCACCGTCCCTTCCGACCCGTCATATCGACTTGTTCTTTTTTGCTCGTCTCATCCGGCAGGACCGCGATACAATTCGACCCTTGACCTTTGACCATCGATCATCCCGTCAGCACACCTCCTCTGGCCCAATCCCATTGTCCTCAGCACAGCAAGAACGTTGCATCTCCAGCTTGCAGCTAGTTGGCCAGCCACGCACACTCTTGTACTCTCGACGCGTTTCCGCCAACCAAAAGGATTAAAAGAGCTCTCGGGGATCTCGGGCTTTGGCTTGGCGTTTCGCCTTCAACAACCCCCACCCACCCACACACAGCACTTCGCAGCGACCTCGTCCCAAACGACTTCCTTTCTTCGACGGAAAACCCCTTGAAGACTCACTCATCGTCCACGGAGTATTGGGCACAGGCAAGGATACAACACCTCGACGGTCTTTCCTCCTGCTCTCACTTCCTCACCTCCTCCTCTCCCCCGTCCTTCTCGACCTCTTTCTGGCTCGTCGAATCCTCCTTGTTCTCGTCCTCGCGTTTCGAACAGACAACACCACGTTGTCTGGCACTCGCTACATCCTAGCGGACCGCCTGGGCCGACGATCAGTTTCCTCGGATCTTGCTGTCGATCTTCGAAGCTAGACTTGAGATCAGGAAAAAACAGGACAAGACACTGGATACTCGGATTTGAATCTTTTGTCTACGAGATTGCTGGACATCTCGGTCCCCCCCCCCGCCCGCGGCTCCCCGAACGAATTATACTTGACGACCCTCAACGCTCCGAATACGACTCTTTATCGAAATGCTCCCTATCAACTCGACATCCTCCATGCAGACGCAGAAGCAGACGCTCTTGACGTTGTTTTTCTGCCTGGCTCTTTGTTCATGGACGGTTCCTACTACGATCGCGACGATCTCTTCAGCATCTTCGGGGATCGCTCAACATCCTCGTCGACTGCACCACGCCCATCCTCACTCTCGCTCCCCCTCTTCTTCGTCCCAGTCCACCGGCGGACGTACGATCACGCTCAAGCACAACGAGGCTTATCACGCTTTCAAGCGGGACCGAGGGTTGGACTGGTTGATCAAGGAGAAGGACAAGCTGGACCACAAGTACGGAAGCGGGGAGCTAGCACAAGAGTTGGGGAGGAGGGCGGATTCGCCGGTGACCCTGGCCAATCAGGACAAGGACGCTTCGTACTCTGCAGAGATCTCGGTAGGGTCTCCCGGGCAGACGTTCGATGTGGCTCTGGATACGGGTTCGGCCGATCTGGTAAGCAGCTACCCTAGGCGAGGTACAAGCCGAGGCCACCGAACTCCAAAAGCTGATCATGATCCTCTGTGCTTCCCAGTGGCTGTTGAGTACGGAATGCACTCTCGATACCTGCAGCGGGCTGGACAAGTTTGATCCGACATCGTCGTCCACATACAAGAACGGTAGTACCGGTTTCTCCATCGCCTACGGGTCCGGAGACGCGCAGGGTCACCTAGGGGCGGATACCGTCACTCTCGGCGGGTTCAGCGTCCAGGGACAGACGTTCGGGGTGGTCAACACCATGTCCGCCGGACTGGTCGATTCCCCCCTGAGCGGTCTGATGGGTCTGGGGTTCAAGAGCTTGACGGTGACGGGGACGACGCCCTGGTGGATGTCTTTGGCCGGGACGAGCGCTTGGTCGGAACCGTTGTTCGGATTCTACATGAGACGGTACAGGGACGTCGATAGTGCCGCGGCGACCGAGGCCCAGGGGGGAACCCTGACGCTCGGGTATGTGGACGAGGCGCTGTACGAAGGCGACATCGAGTACGTCCCGGTCGATGCGGACAAGCAGCGATACTGGAACATCCCCATCAAAGGTAGGTCGAGTGGGTTTTCGGTTATCGTCGGAGAGGAAGCTCATTGGGTACGGCTTTCGTAATATGAAATAGGCATCTCGATGCAGGGCAAGACGGTCTCGCTCTCAGGCGTTCAAGCGGCTATCGATACGGGAACCACCTTGATCGGAGGTCCCGAGGCGGACGTCCAGGCCATCTATGCAAACATACCCGGTAGCCGAAGGATGACTGGCGTCTATGCCGGATACTTTGAATACCCTTGCTCGACCGACATTGCGATGGACATGACGTTTGGCTCGTTCAAGGTCACGATCCGGTCGAACGATTTCAACATTGGGAGTTATGGGGATGACGCTAGTTACTGCACCGGCGGCGTCTTTGTTCAGGGGCTGGCCGCGTCGTCTCCCGTGCAATGGGTCGTCGGAGACACCATGCTGAAAAACGTCTACAGCATTTACCGCATGAGTGAGTTGGTCGCCGGTTGTTAATTGTGGGAAAGTACCTCGGCTGACGTTACCGTCCATCTACAGCCCCCGCTGCCGTCGGGTTCGCTCATCTACCTGGTTCGGGAGCCGTTTCCTCATCATCCTCGGCCTCGTCCTCGTCGTCCTCTACATCGGCATCGACGTCTTCAAGGGCATCGTCCGGGACGGTCGCGTCGAGCTCGACGGCCTCTTCCAACTCTGCCGCGTCGACCTCGGTCAGCACCGCCATCGTCGTCGTCACCGCGACCGGCAGCGTCGACATGACCTCGAGCGGGGTCTTGCGATCGACGCTCTTGCCCGGCGATGCCCAGACGACCGGGTTGGGAGTGGCCCCAGGGGAGTCGCTGAGTGGTACTGGTACCGCTGGATCATCCCAACCATCGACTACGGGTGCGGCTCTCCGTGGATCGATGGCACCGGTCGGCGGCATCTTGCTCTCAGTCTTGTTGGCCATGTTCCACTTGGTCTGAAGACGCTCGACAACCGGCCACACCTGCATAGAACGACTCTCAGAACGAACGACACACCCGTCCTTCACGCCTGAACACGAAAAGCCCATCATACGACATTCTTTATACGGGGCACCTATTGCCGCGTCCTTATCTATACCAACTTGTTTCCCCATATGGACTCCCACACTTGTAATAGATTACCCCAGGGCTTTGCCTAGAGACACGGACAGTCTTTTCATGATCACGTACGTTATTGATATAGATTGTCAATCGGTCGCTTGTGCGTGTGTGACAGGTAGACAGCCCGGAATGGTATGAATCAAACAATCGACGGTATCACTTTTTGATAATGTTGACACCCTTGCGGCCGACATAGCTCAGCCCGCTCCAGATGGTCGTGCCGGCGACGACCCACCTATGGGCACCAGAGTCGAATTTGGCCGATTGAGCATTCAGTTCACCACTCTCGCCCACCTCGCCCACGGTACACTCACTGTAATCCTTGCAGACCCAACCCGATATCCATGCTCAAGAGCGGACTGACCGTCGTCACGCCCATCAACAGCAATTGCAGCGCCGTATTATACTTGCTGATCTGCGTCGGCTTGACCTCGGCGCTCGGGATCCCAAAGTCCCAGTACCGGGCAAAGGTCTTGGGAGGAGGGAGGGAGATGTATCGGTAGTAGAACGCCGAGAGGGAGAGGAGGACGTCCCGGCCGATGATTATCACGGCAAGGGGGACTGGTAAGGGGGGACGAGAGGTACACCCGGGTGAGTGAATCTCCAGGCGGGGATGAAAAGTAAGTGTAGCAAGACGTACCCGGAAGGAGTCCTTTATATGCCAGAGTGACGACCAAGGTGGTCATCAACGTCTTGTCCGCGGCGGGGTCCAGGATGGTCCCGAACACGGAACGCATATTGAAGCGCCTAGCGATCCAGCCGTCGAGCTGCAGACGTTACGCACCCCGTGTCAGATTCCATCGCGTGGGGAAAAGCATGTCGATCTCCTGCTTCGTGGGGGTACTGACCCAATCGCTGAATCCGCACGCGACGAGCAGACCGGTAGCATAATCAAACTGTCCCTTGACGACAAAGTAGCCTAGCACGGGGCACGCCAGGATACGCATGGTCGTCAGAGCGTTCGGGATCGTCCATGGAGATTCTCTCAGTTCCACCTCGGTCTCATCGGAGGATTGTTTGGGCTATAGTCGGGGGCTAGGCTAGGGTCAGCTAGCCTGCTGCGTTTGGCTGTCTGTCCGTCTGTGTATCAACTTGCCTGCTGTGCCGGGGTAGGAGGGAGCGGTGTAGGCGACGACGTATAGGATCTGAGTGTGCCCAGGACCGAGGTGCCTGCACGCGTTGGTCCCAATCGTATCAATGTTGAACGGAGAGAGAGAGAGCGGCCGACAGGGTTTCGAGATCGTAACGACGTCGTGGGTGCCAGGTGGTATGACCGGCTATGGTTCTGGGCCAGCTGTCGGAGCGCCGTCGTTCGAGCCGGACGAAGGCCGGAGGGGATGAGCAATACGTTCATGTTGGGGGACAACACTGCTATTGAGCTACTAATCAGATGATTGTAGAGTGTATGCTCCGTGTGTAGCTTTGTATGTAGGTAGACGATGAATATCATGATGCATGACGACGACCGAGGCTATCCCCCTTCCCCGTCGCCCTTTACGTAACAGAGGCGGAAGCTAAAAGGGGCGCAAGGGGGGGAGGGGGTCATCGGTCGATCCCTCCCTGAACAAGGCAGGCAGGCAGACAGACCTGCGACAAAGCATTCATCACCTCATCACTCATCATCATCATCGTCAATTCACGTCCATCACACATACACTAGATCACTGCCGTTCACAACGGGTACCCGGCGCTTTATCCTCTGCCCATGATCCAATCGAGATAGCGAGCGCTCTTCCGAATGTCATCCAAGAACAGACTCTTGGTGGTCGGCGGGAACGGTTATCTAGGCGAGTGACAACCCCGCCCCGATGATCGATGAATGAATGCCGGTTAGGTGCTGATGAAAAGGCTTGTTCATGTTTCCTCGTTTAAACAGGCTCGGCGGTATGTAGAGCCGCTGTAGCTCGAGGATGGTCTGTATCTAGTTTCAGGTGAGTCCAACGTCGCTTTTCTTTCTCGATCTGCTCAAATCCGCTTACTGATAGGTACTCCCCTACATTCAAAGTTCGTCAGGCCGACCCGCGACCACTCCAGCAGGCCATCGAAGAGCATGGACGAATCACGTCGACTGGCACCGCGCTTCGGCTTTCGATCCGGACACCTATTCTCACCTCGTCAAGGAGAGCACTGCCGTAGTACATACGCTTGGAATCCTGATGGAGGGCGATTACAAGAAGCACGTACGGAGTGGGAACGTCTTTGGGTTGGCAGGAGATATCTTGAGGGGTCCGGGGAGTCGGGCTGGACGGACAGAGAACCCGTTGATGCGAGGCACCGCGGCGCAAGAGGACAAGCACGACGGGTTTGAAGCGATGAATCGGGATTCTGGTGAGATCTCGAGACTCATTCAGGCTGCATCGCCTTGGACTGATCTTTGATCGCGCATTCCTACCCAGCCCTCTCTGTATTCCGTACGCTCCTCTCGACGTTACCCGAGCCTTCGACAAGGACGCCAGACAGACCCTTTGTTTTCATCTCGGCTGAATCCATATTCAGCCCGTTGATCTCGCCCCGTTATGTCGAGACGAAACGACAGGCAGAACAAGGGATCGAGAGGCTGATCTGGGAGTATAAGCAGGGCTTGAAACAGGAATCGGGGGTCAGAGGGGTCTATGTTCGACCAGGTCAGTCCTGAGTATACGTCGATCTCGCTCTTTAGGGCGTCGCTGATGAGCGAGGCGACGTGATAGGTCTGATGTACCATCCTCACGAAAGACCATTATCGACTTTACCTGCCGCCTTGCTGGACATCACCTCGAGGCTCTCAAACCATCTTCCGTTCTCTCTCTTCCCCCGTTCCACATCATCAAACCTGGCCAACCCGCCACCGCCCTCGGGACCGTTCAAGACCCTATCCTCCCTCTCGTCTTCCTTGGCCATCCCACCGATCCACGTAGACCAGGTGGCCGAATGCGTCTTGCGATCCATCGAACACCCGCAGATCAAGGGGGTCGTCGATACCAAAGATATGAGACGGTGGATAGGATTGGACGCGGCGGAAGAGGGGGAAGAGGTCGTCCTGCCTTTCAAGACGAGCGGTGGCAATGTAGGCCAGCGTGGAGGACACGGAAAGACGCCCTTCCGACCATCGACGGGAGCGAGAGAGTATTCCACGGCGGTTGGAACGAGACGATCTCAGCTTGCAGGGGCGAAGAGGGGGTTGAAGGTGTTTGCGCCTGGAGCTGGACGAGAGCCCGGTTCGAGTTCCGGCACGCTGCGCAACAATGACCAGGGATATATTATCGAGCCGCCCTCGCCCGGGCGTGAAGGTTCCGAATCAACGGTCACCATGCCGCCCTCCTCTGGAACGAGTAATCAGGACCAGGTCATCGATGCCGCTTCGGTGATTACGGCGTCCTCTTCTGCTGAGAACAAGAACAATGGGAATGGGAACGGAGCAATGGGCCGGAGTAATCATCCTTATGCGAGTATGCCGCAGTCGCCGCTGGAAGGGGCCATGTCGGACGGGCAAGAACCTTTTACCTTGTTGCCCCCTCCCGCTGGGTTTGTCGCCGGACAACCCGGGCCGAGCGAGGGTATGAAGAATGAAACGCAAGGACAAGACGGGGGTGTCAGACCCGAACAGTCGGGAAGAAACCCTGAAGGGGACGCAAATGCACAGGTCGGCTCGACGATCTCGCCTGGAGCAGCAACGCTTGTCCCACAACACCCTAGCCCGGCACATCCTTTCGATACTCACGCCTTTGTGACCCACTTAGAAGGAGCGGGGTTCACCAGCCCCGTGGCGCATTCCTTAATGCGTTCCGTCAGGCTGCTCTTGCTGACCCGGAGCACACGAGCTCAGTCTGACCTTTTGCACAAGGAAGATGTGGAGAACGCAGCTTATCTGTTCAAGGCGGCGTTGTCGGAACTCCGGACCGAGCTGAACGTCCGCGCCAGGAACGATGGGCTGGCACTGAGGAGCGCTACGAATCTGATTCGACGCGAAGTAGACGCTCTTGATCAGAGGATGAAGGAAGAGGTCGGGGGGCTAAAGCACGAGTGAGCCTCGACTGGACGATAGCTACGCGAGATCGTTTGCTCATCCGATCGGTATACAACCCAGTATCGAGATGGACATGAACAATCGGAAGGGCGAGACGCGGAGCGAGCAAAAGGCCTACGAGATCTCCATCGAAGTCAGTTGCGTGCGATATGGCAAACCCGGAAATCGGACGCTAAGCTTGTGAAGGGTTCCCTAGGAAATCAACAATAAATTTACCATCTCATTGGGCGACCTGAAAACCGAGATCGAGCAAGCCAAATGGGACGCGACGAGGAGAGCGATCAGTAAGTCATTGGCAGGTGGCCATGCGTTCACGCAGCCTAGCTCACCACCACCGTTGCAACACTCAGCTATCCTCGCGGCCATCGTGTTTACCGTGATCAGCGTAGTCACATTGACTTCGGACGGGGCCAAACCACCTCCCCCGCCGCCAGCTGCTCTGCCGCCTCTTACAGAAGAGAAAAAGTACAAGGACATGGGCGTTGGAGAGGATCTCAGTATACGGGAAGGCGATGAAGAGGCCATGATTCGGATAAGGGGACTCGAAGGCTTGAGGGTTTAAGACAGAGAAAGCGATTCAATGACGCATAGTATCAATACACATTGTCCCGTCCATTCGTTCTCGGTTCACTTCAGTGGCAACTGCAAATTCTAACCCAAACACCGATCTCATCCCTCTTCCATTCAAACGGAAAGTTGCGGACGTCAATAAGCTCCGGAATCATCGCGCCTGGTGGATTCCGGCGCGGGTTCTAACTACTTTTAGAACGACTTCTCGATCGCCTCCCAGATCTCCCAGATCCCTTCCGGTCTCGTTCATATAAGGGTGCGTTCGCGAGTTTTCTCAGCCAGCAGAGAAATGGTGGCTGGCACGCAGTGGCTGTAATTTGTTAGCGAACGGTGCCTAATTACATTTTCAGCGTTCTCAGCTCGTTCGCGAGTTTTTCTTAGACTGGTCACGTGACACCGATATTTGCCTCCGAGACGCGCGTCGGAAGCATATCCATAGGTCGTTTATCGACTTCGAACATCGACGTAGGAATCGACTTACAGCGTGTTTATGCGATGGAAGGTAATATCGTCAGATCGCTATCAAACTAGAACATACCGATAGGTCTTCGTTTGAAAAACCGATCCGTACAAGTCCCGCAATTATTGGATCAGTACATCAAAAGTTACAGCCGTATTCCGTTTACGTCGACATGGACATCCCTCCTTCTCCTGCCTTTGACGATATCGATTTCGACGAATCTACCGATAACGACTCGGTCGATTCTGCTGACGAAGGTCTTGCCGGATACCTCGAGGAGAGAACACTTCGCCAACGTCAGATTGCCGCCGCCATCACCATTGTAGCGGAACATATCGTCGGCGACAACTTCCGCTCGAGGCAACCACCTCGAGAATCGACCTCCATCCTTATCGATCATAGTAGGGCGATAACGGTCGTCGACGCATGGGCTACAGGCTCAGTAATAGCCTGCTGGGACTCCATAGGCATGTTCCCACCCGCGTTTCACCTTCTGTGTACGGAATTAGAGGACAGGGACCTCGTTACCGCGACTCTCGAAATCCCCGTTCGAGTAAAGGTGGGTGTTACTCTATGGCTTCTACGTAAGTCGGCGTCGAACAGAACGACGAGGGAGGTGTGGCAGTTGGCCCAGGCTACTGTTAGCAAGTAAGCAGGGGGTTCTAGGGTACCCTGCCGTCGCCATGCCGTCGCTGACTCCCGTTTTGACCTCTCGATCGACGTTCTAGATGTTTTCATGAAGTTATCGACGCGCTGTTTTCACCCGACTTCTACGGTCGCTACGTTCGTCTCGCAACTCCCGCCAACACACCTCTAGATCACCCACTCTACGAGAATCCTAAGTACGAACGGCTGCTGCGTAATTGCCTCGGTGCGATCGACGGAACGATGGTAGCGGCCTATGTTCCCGCGTCTGAACATAAGCGATTTCGAACGCGAAAACAGCAGCTATCGTGGAACGTTCTCGCCGCTGTCGACTTCGAGGGGTTCTTTACATACGTACTAGCCGGTTGGGAAGGTCCAGCACATGACGCCAAGGTACTAGCGTCGGCGTATAACGAGGGATTCAACGTACCGAGGGGGTATTTCTATCTCGCCGACGCAGGTTACCCCTCGACGTCAAATACGCTCGTTCCGTTCCGTTCCACTCGGTATCATCTGCGTGAATGGGCTCAGGCATCGAATGCGTGAGTCTCTCTAGCAAAACATGCCCCAGAACACCGTTGACGCAGCAGCAAAATGACATCTACGGGAATAGCACGAATCGACCTACAAATCCCGCGGAATTGTTTAATTTACGACATTCGTCGTGTCGGAACGTTATAGAACGATCGTTCGGCGTTCTGAAGGCTAGATATCCGGTACGCAACTGCACAACATCCTCACGAACACAGCTGACCTATTCTTATACCGCTATTACACCACCACGTTTCAGATTCTCGCCCGTGGCTGTCGATACGACGTCGACACCCAAATCCGCGTGATCTACTGCTGTTTCGCCCTGAACAACTTCATACTGATGTACGGGAAGGAAGAAGACGGTATAGAGGTCGCTGACGATGACGTAGAGGGCCCTGACGACGAGGATATCGAGATGGTGAGGGAGTACGAGGCCGACGATCGAGGTAAACGGGAGATGGAGCGAAAACGCGACCGGATTGCGGAGAGGTTGTGGAACGACTATAGCGAGGTAGCGACACAGCGTTCGAGGCGTTAGCTACTAGTAATTTGTATGGGGAAGATGCCATCTCATTTATGTGCCATCTGATCACCAAACCAGAGCGAAATCACCACCAACGGGGGACTTACGATTTACTACGTCGACGTCGACTTCGACGCCGTTTACTCGCTGTACCGTTCGAGGAAACGTCTACGCTTGGCAGACCGCATCTCTTCCTCCTCTTCCCTGTTCTTTTCCTTCCTTAACAGGTATTCTAGCCTGTCTTGACGGAGTTCGAGAGGTAGGGCAAGGAACGTTTGCGGTTGAAGCGGATTATCGGCGAAAAAATTGATCAGACGCTTATAGTCGTCTTGAGACCAGCCAGCGTCGTCGGAGATCGTTTTGATGACCCTATAGGCCTCGTCAGTCTTTGGCTCGATGGCAGAGGCCGCTGAGGTGAGCGTAGCGAGCTGTCGTTCGATAGTAGCGTCTCGCTCGACTTGACGCTGAACGGAGGAGGTCGATTTAGACGTTCGACGTTGACGACGCTCGGCTGAAGACGGTGGCTCAGTCGTTCTTTGCAGCAGTGGAAAAAGGAGCCATCAGGAACCTTCTCCCAGGTCTACAACGTTGTAGAGTTGTAGACTCACCCTCGATCGCTATCGTCGTCCTCCTCACCACTTCGACGTCGTTTTCGTTCCCTCTCTCCCTCGCTTTCGTTCCGCTCGCGGTCGGGCCTTTGAGGGGTGATAACATGTCGTCCGTCGGGGGTAGCGCCATGGTAGAGGGCGTGAAATGCATCGTAGTGCACCCAGGATCTATTTCTCCAAGTAAGTAACTTACGGTTGGCTGCTGACTGAGATACAGGTCGATATAGAAACAGACAAAGGCAGACATGAAGTACAGGTAAAGGAGGTCGCGCGTTTACGTAAGCGCGACTTGAGCATATTCGAACGTCGACGTAGAACAATACGTCGTCGACGACGAACTTCAAATCGACACTACTCACCTCGTTTCGCTTCAAACCCTCCCAGAACTCGTCGCTAGCCACTACACGTTGACGTAGTTCGTCCCAGCCTATCCCCGATAAATTCCGGAGGTCTCGGAGGGGTATATAGCGGTCAGACTTCAACTGTAAGTGATTTGGGTGAATTTGATGAAGATTTGACGCTGACAATTCGTTTGTCCGTAACTTACGTACGCTAGCCGACTCTGAACCATCTTATTGTCTACCGGACGGAGGACTGGCTGATCGTTGATAGCGTCGCAGACCTCGGCAAATACCGCAGCCTTGAACGAATTATCGGACTTACGCCCTTGAGCAGCGTCCTCCGTCAAAACACGTATCATCACGCCGTCGAGGTGGTCGTCCCAGCGAAACATAGGAGGAGGAGGTGTGGTAGCGGCAGGGGTGGTAGAGGAGAGTCCTCGGGCCAACGTAGTCGACGTAGTAGCGACTGACGCCATCGAATACTCCCTTATCGACCTCTGGCTCGAGAACATCGACGAAACGGACGATTCTCGCTCCGTAAACGGCGTCGACGTCGGCAAACCTTGTGATACCGACCCAGCCCTTCCCCAGTGGTTGCCGTAGGCTGCGTAGGCCCCCTCAACTGAACCGCTAACGAAGGGGGAGCCGGTAGGGGGGTGTTGCGAGGGAAATCGACCGAACGACCCTATTACTTCACCGCGGTTCGTCGAATCGAACGACGGCATCGCTGGAACTCGAAAACCGCCAGGCCCCAACGGCTGGGAGTGATCTGGCTGGGAACTACTAGCGATTGACTCCTGGGAGTAGGGGCGAGAGGGTTGTCTAGACATTATTGATGGAACACGGTGAAAAACGGGAAAAAAACGGCTTGACTTCGAAGTTTCGTCAAGGTGCGTTCTTCCCAACTTTGCTAGCAATCCCCATACAACTTTTGGAATCCCAACCCTTCATTAAACTTGACGCGTTTGGTCGCGTTTCTCAGCTGCCTCAGCCCGATTTCGAGCTGAGAATGACGAGCTGACCCGTCGGCCAATTCCTCTTGTTCACACGCTAGTAAACGCCATACAACGTGTCAAGTAATCCCGGCAGCGTGTTTTTTCACCGATTTTACGTCAATTCTCTGAAAAGTCAGCTCGACGCGTACTCGCGAACGCACCCTAAGATAGACAGGGAATGCTGACTTAAGTCACGAACGTTCGTCGATCGCCCTGAAACTCCCTCTGGGCAAAGCCGACGCCTCGTGTTTTTCATATCAAAAGATAGCTAGCCCCAGGAACGACCTGGAGTCTTTGAAACACTAAAAATGGTACGCCGTCATAACGATCGTTACGATATTCCGTATGAGCTTATAGGCTTCAATCTAGCCCGAAGTACTCCTCCAAATAGACTGGTGGCAAAAGTCGCAGGTGCTCCATCCTGTCGTAGTTGGTTCTGCGGCCTTGATATTCGTATATCTGGCACTGCGGCTGTCGTCAAACCGGACGCTGGCGCCGAATGACCTGTGTAAGTCGAGGTGCTAGGTCCTGACGCCGCGTACTACTGATCCATAGACGATGTCCGGTCACCATAGTCTCTTGGATCGGCAGCGTGGTCATTGGGTCGACGTTGTCTCGGATCATCACGAACGCGAATATCGACTTTGTGCGAGGCCTCTTGTCGCTGTGCACCGTCTTGCTATTCGATTTCACCGCGACATTTCTAATGAGCCGCTCGAAGACGCTTCAGAAGATTATCAAGGGCCCACCGTTGCTGGTTTGCTTCCGTGGGGCAATCTTGACAAAGACTTGTCATAATAATAGGTAAAGGAAAACTGTGCGTATTGTACAAACAAATCTGACTTCTACGTAACTCACGGTGATGTCAGGGTGGAGCACTCGTCAGTTCTGCAAGCAATCAGAAGGGAAAGACTAGCATGCCTCTCGCAAGCCGAATGTATCGTACTGGAAACCACCGGAGTCAGTTTTTGATTTCTCGACGAAACCAACCGGGCTTCTGATTAATGTCTTTCTCTTGATGGACACGGACGCCTTGGTGACGTGATGCTGCCAGAATTTTTCTGTAGTGTACCGAAGTTATGCCGAGGCGGATTTGGAGGATGCGGAGAGGACATTATCGGACGCGATACCAGGCTACTCCCAAGCCCTGGATCAATGGCAGAAGGGAGCGACGACTCTAGACCTCTAATTGACGAGGTTGCTGGCGTATCCTGCCAGATGGGATGAGAATTCGAGAAGTTGCGGTTTAACATACGGGTTGTTATCGAAGAGATATTGCTGTATCCCGTTGTCGAGAATCGATACACATGTTTGTAATGGATGGAATTTGTTGTATCCCGTTGGAATCCGCTGTAACCAATTAATACGGATTTATCGTGCTGAGGCTCTCTCTGATCCGACCAGAGGATCCAATTTTCCAGACCCGCTCGTCCTGACGAAATGCCCAATCCTTTGGTGAGGGTCCTTCACATGCGATCACCTGGCCGGACAACAGATCATCCTCGCCGTCGCCGGGTTTCCACGATTCATACAGGGGGTTTCTTCGCACGATCGACTCGGCACGAGCCCATCGAGTACTCTTTAAACATTCGCTCCACACAGCGCATCTCACGCGCTGCAAGTTCGTCGAAATCTCGCCTCGTGTCCATCCAACGTTCCAAGCGGATTCCCTCCCAATCGATTACCTTCACCTGACGGGTCTCAGGACGCCATAGGACATGACGAGGTTCAACGTCGTTATGGAGGATATCATGATCATGTGCGATCTTGTAAGCCTTCCTGACCAGATGCCTGTGACAAGAGGAGAGCGTTCGGCTGATCAACGATCGTCACCTCTGAATACGTCAACCCTATGTGTCATACGTACTGAACGTTGGGATCGGACAAGTCTGCCGGTATGCCGCAGTCTTCCATCACCAGCCAACGTTTTCCGCCATAATATTTCCCCTCGCCAGCTTCTGCGTCTTCAAACTTTCCGTAAAAGAGTGGAACTGCATTGGTGTACCTCAAAACTTGAAGCACATCACATTCCCTGAGGTACTGTATAGTGAGGTACGCAGGCGGGACGCTCTGTCAGTAAATTTGTTGGATGTGCGTCGAGTCGAGCGTGAACTTACGTGCACTACTCGCTCATCATCATCATAGAGATCGTAACCCGGTGCTTTTGGCATCTCCGCCTCACCGTCCAGATACTTCGCGACTATCGGAACTTTGACCGTATCCAAGTAGCCTTCATATTGCAATTCGGCCACTCCGCGGTAGACATCATAACATCGCCCACTCGCAATGTACTGGGAGACGACGATGTTCACAACCGATCCTTGTGACTCTCGCTCGAAACTGCCACTCGATCCAAGATCTGAGATGAGCGACGGTGGACTCGAGGGCGGCGAGTTTTGAAAGAACAAGGATGGCCAGGTGTTGGGACCCCCTCCATCGTGGGTGCCGTGCTCAGTGAACTCAGACATCTTGGGATCGAATCGCTGTTCGTACCAGACGGTGTCTGCAGGAGGCAACGTATAATTGCCACTTCCATGATGACCAATGGAATCAATATCGAAAGTGAAAGGAACGATCCTCTTCGGAGCGGTCACGTCGAACTCCATCTCGACGCTTGTAGGGGTCTCCTCTGTATCCTCGTCGCTTTGACAGGTCATTTCGACCTCTGCATGCCTATCGCCAGCTTTCTCGGCAGAAGATGGGAAAGGGCCCCCTCCAAATAGATCGGGCTCCGCAGGCGCGTTCGCAGAGGGACCGACTTGATCGCTGATGCGATCACTGTCAGACCCAGACTCCGGGATGCCCTCCAAGATAGGGCCGATAGTCTGTCCAATACTGCTATCGGGAGTAAAGTCCGGTTCGGTGGAATGGGAGTCCTTTTTGCGTTTCGAGCACTCATGCAAGATCCTTATCACCGCTGAGTTGTCCTTGTCCCACCATATCTCATCATTTGGCAGTTCCTTTATCTCTTCGACCATGAGGGAGACCAGCACTTCAAGTAGACTGTAAGGACTAGCCCGGACCTTATCCAGGTATTGCTTCCAAGTCGGAACCATGTCCTGGGTCAATGCCGCCTTGGCGCTGGAATTCGAATCGTTCATGGTGAATCAGTAAACACAGTCCAGCGCAATACCTTAATAAAGGTGCGACTCACATAATCACGGAGCTCTTGAACATATTGTCGTTAAATTTCGAATCTCGACTGACGATATCAGAACACGCGATTTTGTAACGGTCTTTGAGGTGGAAGACTACATAATAGTCCCAAGTTCCTAAGATGCAGTAGCGTGCTCTGTTGAGATGCATCTGTTCTACGATTTGTAAAAGGAGGAGTCTCGTAGCTGAGCTCAGGAAGGTCTTCTTCTTGCGCGGCTCGTCGTGCTTGGTAGGCCATTGCGCTTGATTTCCCGAAAAGGAGATCTCGATGTCTCCTGACAGCAGGAAGAGCATCAAGCGCACCAAGTCATGAAACGACATGTATGGCTTGTGTTCGAAAATGACAGGACGAATCTGAGGCCGTTCTTTAGGAGGAACAGGGGGGAATGTCTGGATCCCAATCAGGTCGGTTGTACCGGACCCGATCAGAGGCGATGTGGTGAATGTCCGGCCTAGGTAGTCCTTCCTGAAGAAGCACTTTTGGCTGACGAAATAATTCCCTAGTCTGCAAACACTAGTTTGGAACAATGTCGTCAACCCGAGTTCTCCGCCGAGCGCAGGCAACGGGTTCATAATGTGATGATCGACGTTGTATTTCTCGCGGGCTTCGTAAGTGTCGAACTTGGGCAACGTGCCAGGTTCAGCGGTTCCGGATGCATCGGAAGAAGGTTTAAACTGTTCCTCATCGTATAACTCGGCGATGGCGTGCCATTTCTCGATGGCCCTTTCTTTTGCCTGTGTCTCGACGTCCGTTGCCGGATCATCGTCGCGGACTAGGAGTCCTTTCAACTTGCCGATTAGGTCGTCCAAAAGATCACGGTCATAGCCGAATCTAGGAGAGATTCGTCTGGTTAGTGCGACGTCTGGTTTTGAGGTTGAACGGAGATGACTTGCCGGAGTTTTTGATCGTCAGACAGGTAGCTCTGCCAAAACTTTGTTGCAGCCGCGGTCAACTTTCGACCAGTCAGGCTAGACTTCGAGTTGGGCGATCGAGCTTTAGATATTTTGGCGGAATCTTCTTCCTCGACCGGTCTGGGCGCGTCCTCCAGCGGGTCCAGAGCCGAACAGTCAGAGGAAGGCTTGGGATGCAGAACGTATGCCTTTAGAGCCTGGCGCGGAGTATTGCCGCGATAACTCGTTGGGAACATCGAAAGGACACCGCTGGATTGCGACTGAGTTGTAAGAGATGGTTGTAGTGGCTGGAAGCGATGCTGTGAGGGGGCTCGATTGATGCGAGGTGTGGTCTCTGTGAACGCCGTTGCGACGAATTGCTATGGAAAGCAAGGGGACTGAGTACACAGCACATCTCGCTTAGCTACGCCGTCTCGGACACCGTCGAAGGATATCCAAAGCTGATCAGAACTGACCGTTGAAGAGTTAGGGACTGATCACAAATTGCTCGCGAGAAACTCGAGAAGGGGAAGGGATTCGGTTGAGAGAGAGGCGAATTCTCGACCATCGACGTACGACGTGATCGACGTGATGATGATTCGATTGTCCAACGCATTCGTTCCAGTTGTTGCTTGCTTTGCTTGTTTACCTTTTCTCGCTCGCTCGTGCCGGAGTTGAGCTTGGACTCGTCGCGAACCAGCCCGTCCGGCGAGGCGAACTCGAGGTGATCGTGCTACATACATCACCTCATCGTCATCATTGCTTTCGTCGCCGGGTCTTTCGCCCTACTTGTCCACCAGCGATCAGCGGGCAACAATGCGCCATGCAGATCTGCGACGCCCCTTCACTCGGACGAGCGTTCAACGAATCCGAGACATCCTATCCACGACTCGAGCGCCCGACTCGGTCAGCTGGGATCCGAGAACGCAAGAGTATCTCTACAAGGGCGATGGAGATCGAGTGGCCCAGGTCAACGCGAAAAAGGGTATCAAATCCGGTCGAGGAGACAAGCCGAGAGAGGCGGCAGTCTTGCTACCTCTGGTGAATCTCAGACGGGCAGATTTGCCAGCCTTTAGCGGCAAGGGAAAGCAGAGGGCGATGGAGGATGATGTGATTCCCGGGATCCTCTTACAAGTACGAGCCGGGCATATGCGAATGCATGCGGGGGAAGTGAGGTAAGCTGTGTTTCAGGTCCGATGTTCGTCCTATCGGGAGGCTGATTGAGAAACTCCTCGAAAAGCTTTCCAGGAGGAAAACGAGATCCGGTGAGAATTGCCTTTTCCTCGATGCGACTGCGTATGGCATCGAATGGGATCGATTTGCCCCTGTAGGAAGACTCTTCGCTCTACCATACGGCGTTGAGAGAGACATCGGAAGAACTCGGAATATCACCTGATCAGGTGGAATACGTTGGCCAGCTGGGGCCAGGCGAATTATCTCTAGGTGGCATGCTGGTCCATGTGTTCATCGTGAGTAGAGTGACGCAGTCAAGTGCAAATCTAGATCGCTGATAAAGCCAAAGCCTTGTTCATCTCAGGGATACGTTCATGCTGCCAGAGCGGATAGAACCATATCAGGAGAGTCCGATACGACCACGATCGAACCTCTTTCATTGACATCGCTCCGCGTGTCGAAAGAAGAAGTCTTGAGCGTACTCCCACTTCCCTTCAAATGCATGCTCGATGCGGACTTTCAGCCGGAGAACGCATACGATCGGTTATCCTGGCAACTTTTCCGAGGCGACTGGGCGTATCGGACAGTGGCTGTTGGAGATCTTCCTGTCGCCTGTCACAATCCGGCGTACGTTGATGGACCGCATGAAGGGCTCGAAGGTCTGGGTCACGAGAAATCGCTAGTCAGCAGGACGGCGTTTGATGATTATCATCAACCGGATCGAGCGGTGTTGCCGAATCGTACGGTCGGGGAGGAACTCGAGATACAAAGCTCCAGGCGGCAGAGTCTGGACGTATGGGGGTTGACAGGATGGTTCCTCAACGTGTTCATGTGGCGGATGGGGTATTGGAGGGATGTCGATGATGCTGGAGGCAAGACGCTCGAAGTCGAACAACCCTGTCACGCATCGCGGTTGTAGCGGTATCGTAAAGGATGACCTGATATGATTTCAACCAAGCATTATGTCCCGAAAATTGCTTCTTTTCAGAAGAGAACGATACAAGGTTGCGTTCGCGACGTCGAGATGTGTCTATTATACGTCTAGAACAGGCCCAAAAGGGCAACTGGCTAGTTTGATACGCCGACGCTAGTGAATTGTTACCGATTACGTATCGCTCAGACCATGTGGCATTCCGTGTGATTATAGTCGCCGAGAATCGACGCTCGAGACCTGATTTTTTGCGTCTACAATTGCGGTTTGGGTAACCCAGGGCCGGCTAGTGTTTTGGTAGGGGAGTTGGGGTTTGTAGAACCACGACGCAGAACACGAATTGTACTTACGAACCTCGAAATATCGCGAATATCCCTAATATCTCGCCTAAACGACCCTATACCAACGCTACGATGTACCCGGACGTTATTGCTAGTGATTCTCAGCGACAGGGCGTCTCTCGACACCCAGGAGGAGGTAGTCGACAACCGTTGGCGAGGGGAACGACGTCGTTTGACGATATGTCGATAGTCGAGGTGATTTCGCTCGAGAACCCCCCTTCGATGGCAACGGAAGGTTTCGAGGTGATGCAGGTCGATAAGAGAGGTCCTACTAGTACCGTAAAGACCGAGGGAGGTCGTAAGAACGCTCAGTGGTCGTTAGCGGACGATCGTTTGATGTTAGAACTGCTTACGGAGGAACAACGTCGAGGTCGACGGGCCGATAACGGTTTCAAACGTGGTACGTGGGCGTCAGTCGCCGCTGAGGTGAACAAGATACGTAGTAAGGGTGGGGAGAAGGACGAGAAGTCAGCTAAGTTCCGTTTTAACAAGGTACATCGCTCACAACGTCGGTACCGAATAGCTAGAACTGACATACGACTTACTACGACCTATAGCTCAAGAACGAAGGGTGGAAGCCCTGGAACACGCTGTTGAAACGCTACAGCCAGTCAGGTGCCGGATTTGATGAAGAGATGAATAAGTTGAGCCTCCCTGATGGTGCGTGGGACGAATTGAAGGAGTCTGGAGTAAGTTACAGCGTTTGATAGATGTTTGACGATGTATGTCGACGTGTCGAACGTTCTTGACGTCGTTCGAATATGCGTACGATCACCCTTACGTAACCTATAAATCTGCGTCGTCAAAGATCGTCTGCCTAAACGAAGAGAACGATCTGACCTATCAACCGCCATATCTCGCAGACGAAGGACAATCTAGCACTCTACGCACTGCGAGGCCGGAGTAATGAACTCTACCTATTGCTAGATGACCTCTGTTCAAAGACTACCCCCGACGGTCGTTTCGCAATCGACCCTTTCGCTACCGACCCTTCTCAAACACCCGGCGGTACATCGAAATCGTCGAAAGCGATGGGGAAACGGCCCAAACCAGAATCGGACGATTCTAGGTTCGTTTCGAGCCTGAAGCGGGTGTACCGACTAGTACTCACCAGCCAAACACACACAGCGACGAATCTTCAGGCCCCGAGGTCCAGGTTACCCCCTCCCGACGAACTCCCACCAAACGTCAACGCACTTCAGTTCAGGCTGATCTAATCGAACGACTAGATCGTTTAGACGAACGCATGGAGGACCTAGCTAAACGAGACCCGGAGAAGCAGATGGAGAGGGTGTTTAAGAAGCTAGCCGACGTCGTTACCGAACTCTCGCTCAGCAACGTTGACTACAACCGTCTCGTCAATCACTTCACCGACCGGCCTGTTCGAGGGATCGCTTTCTTGGCTACACCCGACGTACTCCTGGCCAACAGCGTGAAACGTATGGTGGAGATGGAACAGCAAAGGGAGGAAGACGAAGAGGCTAGCCGACATCCGACACGATCTACGAGAGCGAATCCATGTCGATAATAGCGATACTACATCGATCAGTTCCGACCGTTGTTATAGTCGACGTATTCTCTATACATCCTTCTCGCTATCCTCCCACGTCTCTCGACAGCTAGCCTATCTTCTTCCGGTGGCGGACGTCGTTCTCGAGGAGGTGGGGGAGGTGGTGGTACGTTGACGTCGACCTCGTCTACAACGTTTCCCTCATCGTCGTATTCGGTACCGTCTTCCCCGTACAATTCGATGATATTATGGAGGGCGAAGCAGACATAGATGATCTTAACCTGATCGGCGATAGGGTAGAGTGTTCCGTATTTGAGAACCTATAGTAAACGGTAGCGAACGAGACGACTCGGTAAGTTTTCGAATATGCTGATGTACGTCGATATCGCGGGCGGAGAACGTTCGTTCTCGGTCGACGACGGCAGAACGATAGCTACGAACCTTATAACGACTCATGACGATACCGAACGACCTCTCTATAATGTTACGGCAGCTAGAATGTCGAAGGTTGTATAGTTCCTTCTCGTTTTGGGGCGATCTAAACATCCGACGAAATCGCCAGCGTTTTCATCGACCCGACCGATGGGGTTGGCCTGAGAACGAGCTGTCACGTTTTGGCTGGTGTACTCACCCGTTCTGTGACTGCGACCACTCCTTCAAGTGGTATCTGACCCCACGGAACGGGGTCAGTAGATTTGAGCTCAATCCGTAGCCGGCGTCGGCTAGTAGGTGGTGATTGTTCGGTATCTTCAGTCCTCGTTCTACGGCTGCTCGATAAACGTTACTATCGTGATCACTACCTTCCCAGCCAGCTAGTATGAAGGTGAAGAGACCGTCGAGGCCGACGCAAGCGAGAACGTTGAACGAGAGGTACTTCGCTCGATTTCGACATCGAGCGGAGTCGTCGGAGGGGGGTGTCGCTATTATTTGCGTTCCATCGATCGCACCAACGCAGCGTTTGGTAAGGTGGCGGTGTTATAGTATCCGCGGTACGCGTATCAAACATCCGCGTCGGGTAGTTTTACAGGGACCTCCGATGGGAGTCCCCGTACGGAGTATATCTAGAACACCCCCTATGTGTTTACTGTAATGTAGTACTAGTTGTACTACATCCGTTATTACATTCATTACCTTACCCTTACCTTCTAGTCCCGCGTGATACTATTCCAGGCTTGCAGGCAAGCCTAATAGAATAACGGATCCACAAACTTCACCCCGACTAGAAACCCCTACGCGATGAACACTTCGTTCACCCAGTGTTTCCGTCCCGATGGGACCCCCCAAGGAATCCCGCCAGGGATCTCGCCTGTACTGTCCGAGGATGGACAAAGCCAGCAGGTAGATGGGGAGGGAAGGTTTTTGTGGTTGCGAACAACGGACTCCGGAACGGAGACCACCGCAAACGAATTGCGGGTGTTTGCCAACCAGCAACCTCAAACGCAGGCCACGCCGGCCAACAACATGGGAACGGTCCCCCCACAAGCGGTACCAACTTCTCCTGCGAGCAATCCCGCAGCCACCTTGACTCCCGCTGCCGCCGCCCCGGACTTGAATGCCCTCTTTCAAATGATGGCCAACATGCAAATCCAGGTGCTGGAGTTGGCGAGGGCAAGGGAGTCGCGACCGTCTTTGGACGAGGCCCGGGCCAAACTGTTTAAGTTTGGAACGCCGGACAAGTTCGATGGCAGCAAGAAGGAGAAAGTCCGAGGGTTCCTGGACCAATGCAACCGGGAATTCGAGGTCAAACCGGGCGTCTACGTTACTGACCGCCTGAAGATGATGTACGCGGAGTCGTACATGGAAGGACAGGCCGCCGACTGGGCTCGGGAGTACTCCACGGGTCGAGTGCCGGCTACCTGGGAGCAGTTCGAGCAACTGCTCATCTCCACTTATGGTGGAGGACGAAACATCGCGGCAACCGAGGCCGAATTAGTTCACTTAAGGCAGGGCACCAAGAGCCTCGCGACGTACATCACCGAGTACAACGACCTCTTGGCCCTCCTCCCCAACGTCTGCGAATATTCTCGCCGGATGCTGTTCAGGGCCAACCTGAGCCAAGCGTTCAAAGACGCCATCGTCCCTATGCCGGGCCAAGAAACAATGACCCTGGCGGAATTCCAAATGGAATGCCGCCGGTACGAAGATCAGGCGGACGCCAGAAGGCATATGTTCTCGGGAAACCGCTACAACTCGGGCGGTAACCGACAAGCGAGTAACCACTCCGCTCCTCGTAACCCCGTTGTGGTCAATACCCCCGTTGCGACTCCTACCCCCGCCGCCAACACTTCCACCGCTGCTCCCATGGAACTCGATGCGGGCAGGATGAGGCGGAACGACCCATGCTACCGGTGCTTCCAGCACGGCCATGTAGCCGTCAACTGTCCCAACCAGAGGGTCCCTGCCCCTGCTTGGTTCAAGGGTAGGAACAACGGTCGGATGAATGTCTCTGGTGCCCGGGTTCAGCCCGTCGAGACCGTCCCGGAGGGAGTTTGGGAAGCCGAGCTCGCGAGGCAGAACGGAGAGCAGCCTTTGCTCTGGACCCCGACTGATTAGACGTACGGTTGTGTTGTTATTGGCTCATCATTTGTTGTACCCCCACGGCAGGCCCGGCGGGGATGTTTTTATCACCATTCACTTTTTCAAACACTCGACTTCACAGTTACTACGAGAAATACACTCACCAAAGTATACGCCATCAAAAGGTAACTGTACAAGAAGTACAATACGAAACATGTCCCTCGCGAGGAGTAAACGCACACTACTGAAGAACACAACCTGAAACAAGTCCCTCGCGAGGAGTAAACGCACAAGTCCCTGGCGAGGAGTGAAACGCACAAGTCCCTCGCGAGGAGTAAACGCACATAGAGAGAGGAAGGTGAAGTCGGGACTCTATTATGGTATATCAAAAATACAAGAGAAAAAGAGACCCCGACGTAAAAACAATCCGGAGAATACAAACACGACAAAACTCCAAAAGACCCGGAAACCACTCACTCGTCGCCTTCCGAAGCGGCGACGACCTTCTTCTTCTTCCTCTTGCCGGCGGCGGAAGTCGGCGTCGGGGACGGAGGAGGGGAAGGCGTAGGGGTGCGGAGGACGTCGGCGTCGTACGCCTCGCCGACCGGTCCGTCAGCAGCGACGGGGGGTTCCCCAACATCCTCACCATGCCCTTCGAAGAGGAAGTCCCGGTAGGACTTGTCCTCGTCCCACGCGTCACGATCGGGGATGGTGACGGTCCCGTTTTCGTTGGCGACGTACGGGTGCTTTCGGCACCACGACAGGAAGTACCTCTTGCGGTACTTGTCCTTTACAGCGAGCCAGGCGGGATAGCATCGGGTCTCTACAAGACAATCGGTCTTGTTCGAGAGAAGGGGAAGAACCTACGCGAAAGGCGAACGTTAACTCCGAGGCAGATCCCCGCCGGGGGTTCAAATCGGAGCGACTGCTTACCATGAGCTTCATGATCCTCTGAAATTCGTCCGCGACGGCGATAGCAACCGGATTGGGGACGTTGGGGATCGTAAGGACCTCACACGCCGCCTGGTACCGGGTGCGGATACCGTAGGCCGGATCGAAAACCGTCATGAAGGTGGACGGCAAAGGGGCGCACTTGATGTTCGTTCCCCGACAAGGGAAGCAGGAACTCCCCTGTCCAGAGGATTTCCCCGCGTCCGGTAGAGGGTGGCGGCAAAAGTAGATGCCTTCGAACTCCATCACGTTGTACCACCCTTTGACCCCATCCTCGACGTAACCGGGAACCGAGTTTTCGGCGGAGAGGTGGAAGCGGTCCTCGTGACCGAAACAGTTGAGGCAGCACCACTTCCAGCCACCACGGTACTGAGCCTATGTACGCACGATTGGAATCAGCATACGACAACCCCACCGGAGAGAATAAAAGAAAAGAACAATACATACCATCAAACCGTCGAACCCCGCGACGTTTCCCTCCTTCCACAACTTCTTGAGGGAAGGGATGGAAGGACTATCGGCCAAGAAGGCCGTGCGAGCAAGTTCTTCGGACCGAACCTGCCCCTCTGAAGGAGCGACCGACATGTTAGCCACAGCGGACCCCACCCAGACGGATACCACTCACTCTCGTCGGCGGACTTGGTCTTGGGGTATACGAAACCCCTGCCCCGATCCTGCTCGAGCTTCGACGTCCCTTTCGGAGTCGACGGAGAGTACGGCTTATCGCCGTGGTTCTTGGAAGTCTTGGGAGTGGGAGGCATGTCGAATGGAATAGAAAGGTAGATGGGGGATAGATAGCGTAGGAGGGGAAAGTGAGTAGTAGCGAAAGGACACCTACGACTTACTCCCCACCTCGCAAACGCGAACGCGAACCCCTTTATACCCTACATCCCTGCTGCTACGGCGGCCCAAACAAAAGAAGAGTTGCGATACTAGCAAAGAGAGCAACTAGAACAATACTATTGCTATGGATATGGGCATATGGAGAGAGGGTATCGTACAACAACAGCGGTATAGACGTCAACATCAACGACGGTCTCCTTTGTTTACACCTCCCGAACAATGAGTCGGACATGCGCCCATACGGATGTCCGCGCCAGGACAAAGAAAAGAACAACAAACGAGACGCGCCCCATCGGGCCCGAAATTCGGGTACCCTGTGAAACAGGTAGACGTGTGTAAGCGACGAACGCTTACCGGTGGGAAGGGCAAAAGGAGAGAACAAAGGCGCCTACATGAAACACGACCGGCGCTGGCCGATCTGGAATCTCGGCCTAGGGGGGGGATCCTGTTATAGTATCCGCGGTACGCGTATCAAACATCCGCGTCGGGTAGTTTTACAGGGACCTCCGATGGGAGTTCCGTACGGAGTATATCTAGAACACCCCCTATGTGTTTACTGTAATGTAGTACTAGTTGTACTACATCCGTTATTACATTCATTACCTTACCCTTACCTTCTAGTCCCGCGTGATACTATTCCAGGCTTGCAGGCAAGCCTAATAGGCGGTATTTACGGTCTGTGTACTTGTCTACATGGAGGGGAAGGT